CCCCCCTCCCCTCGTCGCCGGCGAAGCGCGACCGCTCCCCGCCCCGCTCGCCGCGCGCAGACGCCAAGCGCGCCCGCCCCGCCTCCCCGCCCCGTCGTTTCGGCCCGCCCGCCCCCGTCGCGGGCGGCCGCTCGCCCGTGCCCCCGCCGCGCGGCCGCGGCCCCCATCCCCCACCAGGCAGCGAGCGCGACCGCTCCGGCCTCCCCAAGGCTGTGTCGTGGTTCGTCGGGACGCTGCCGCCCGCCCGGTCGTTTGACGGGCCCGTCTTCCGCCCCGACGACATCATGGGCCTCTTCAGCAACATATCTCCCGCTGGCCTCGGCGTCGGCATCGGTGTCGGTGGCCCCGTGCCGCCGCGTCCGCCCATGCCGCCTGCGCGTCCGCCCGCGCGTTTCGCCCCGGGGCGTCGGTACTAGGCGATCATCTGTATTGCTGCATGCATCTGACTGGTATTGAGTGAGAGACATTGTAAGGTGACGAGTGTCGGCATCAAGACGCACGACCTCTGACCCAACACCATAGATCTAGGTGCCATGGAATGCTCGTGTTTGAGACCTAGACGTGTCCTGCTGCACCTGCATCATGCAATACATCACCTACTACTATCGCCAGCACTCGACGCGCCGCTGCAGCAGCCCTTGCATTTCCTCGGCGCCCATCTCGACGCCGATGCGCCGTGTGAGATTCTCCAGGGCGGCCGGCGCGCCCCACGCCGCCGCCATAGCCTGTGCGAAGCTCGCGCTCTCTCCGCCCCCGCCAGATGGGAGGGAGAGCACCGCCGCCATCTCCGCAAGCTTGGACCACGCCGCATCCGTCTTCGTGCCCGGAAGCGCGAGGCGCGCCGCCGCGCGCCAATCGCCCACCTCGGACGCGAGCGCGCGCCCGCCCGCCGCGGTAAACTTCGACCAGCCGGCATACACTGCGCGCTGGGCGATGTGGTTGACGAGATGCGACGTGATGCGGCGGTACACGCGCGCGAGCGCAGGGCGGGGCAGCGCGCCCGCGCACAGACGCAGCAGCGAGGTGTAGCTCGTCAGCGCGGAGACGAGGGAGCTCGAGGACTCGGTGTCGGGGTCGGGAGCGTCCGGCCCGTCTTCGAGCCCCACGTCCCACCGCCGCGTGAGGTGGTCGCGCAGGTCCGTCTCGACTTCGCTGCTGGCGAGCCGCACGACCATGTCTTCGGCGCGCGCGCGCAGCGCCGTGTATTTCTGCACGGTGCCTTCCCAGACGCTGGGCGGGGCGGGGTTGTCGGGCGCGAGGTCGGCGGACATTGCGACAAAGAGCTGGTGTAAGTAGCATCCGGGATGGACTCACGATGTCGTCGCTCCACGCTCGCAAGGCGGCCAGGACGTAGTCCGCGCTCACGTAGGCTTTGAGCAGGCGCTCAAGGCCCGCGGTGCCGGTCAAGCGCGAGTCGGGGGCTCTTTGTCCCAAGGCGCCTGGTACGGCGCGGACGAATGCGCTGGAGAGCGTCTCGAACGCCTCGAGAGAGCCCGCTACACGCGCGTGGTATGCTGCCAGGAGTGGGAGCTGGACGATTCTGACAAACGCGACGCGGCTCTCAAGGGATGGCAGCGGCGAGTAGCGATCTGTAATGCTTTCGAGCAGGGCGCGGACTTGTCGTGCCGACTCTGTGGCGGGGACAGTGAGGTCGTCTTCGTCGTCTCGTGTGTCGCTGATGATCCAGGCGGTGGGCGACGAGATGATCTCGTGGAGCTGTGTCTCGGCGAAGCGCTTTTCGCCAGCGAGCCACTGGTTGAACCAGTCGCCCTCGCCCAGGATCACGCTCGCGAGCCCGTCCCACTCCGCCTCGAGACCGCAGTATATTGAGGTGCGGGACAGGTCGAAGCCACCCTCTCGGACAGCGTCATCGAAGAGTACCGTTTGGTACACTGTGTGTGCGAGGAGTGCGGGATGGGAGACTAGGTGGGGCATGCGAGTGCGCAGGAACGTGAGGAGTATAGGGAAGAGTAGCATCGTGAGCTCAGCCTGGCGTCAGGTTTTGCTCCAGGCTTGGCTTACCGTGACGTCGACGCTGCCATACCCGCCCCGGGCTGTGAGGGGCTGGAGGTAGTCGGCAATGAAGCCTGCGTGCTCAAACACCATATCGGTAATGCTCGCAAACGCCCACTCAGGCTTATCGACACGGTTCGTGTTCCGTTTTCCCATGAAGTGGTACCGGAAGCGCAACTCTATGGGGCGTACCAGCGCCTGGATGGGGTACAGGCCGGCACCGCTGGCCCAAGCCGGCTCGCTCTGTGGTGTTGTGAGGCCGAGACGCTCGCCCTCGGCTTGCAGCGCCAAGAGGTCAGCGTAGGCGCGCTCAAACGCGCGCCTCTCGGCTGCTGGAACGGACGCGTATTCAACACGGAGCGGCCATTTGAGCGGCTCAGACGCGGATACGAGCGTGGCCGACATGAGATCCTTGAGCTGCGCCCAAGTATCGTCACGCACGGTGCGGAGCACGCGCCCGAGCGCCATGCCGCTGGGGAGTGTAGATTCGAGCTCGGCAACGCTCGAGTTAAGCCGGCGGAAGAGCGGGATGGCAGCGAGAGCAGAAGGCTTGTGGCCCGCCGGATCGAGGACTGTGTCGCTGTCATTAGTGGGTTGAGAGGCAGGAGCTCACCGCTGCACCAAGACACGCTCCAGCACGCTCGCCCAAGCGAGCGCGGCGCGGCTGCGCGCTATCACAGCGTGTATAGCCTCTACGCGTTCAAGAAGCGTGGGACCCCGCCGTTCCGTCTCCTCGTCATCGATGATCACCGAGCTGTCGAGCTCGGACATGAGCCGCCCCACCTCGTCCGAGAGGCTGTAGCGCTCGAGCGTGAGCGCCTGTGCGCGCTCAAGGACGCGGTTGAGTGCATCTTTTGCAGCGTCAATGGCGCCGGGCAGCGCGGCCTCGGCGGCCTCGAGTTTCGCTGTCGCATCGGCCTCCTGCGCGCGCCAATACTCCACGTCCTGGCTGAGTGTGCGACCGAGCTTGCTCGGCCCGGCGAGAGAGGAAAGGTTAGAATAGGTGCGGTCGAGGTAGGCGCGGACCTCGGTGTCGACCGCAGCTTTGGAGGGGCGGGTGGCCGCGCCACGGATCGCGGCGGCGAGGTCTGCCATGGTGTGTGGATGTGCTCGGTGCAGAGGCAGCCAGGAGCGTCATGACATCGATCGGGTGGAGGAAGGCCACGTGGTGTCCACCCTCCACTTGATTTTGAACCAGCCACGTCATTGTTGCCCAGCGTATCAATGTGTTGATCCCGCGCGACTGACTTGTAAACAACCCTCCACTCTCGGTGTCAACACTACCACATCCGCCCCAACAATCCCCCCAACAATCCCAAACAACCATGTCGCGCCTATCCGGGGGCGTCACGCCCGCCCATGCAGAGCTGTACGAGTCCACAGCGGAGTAAGTCACCCCTGCGCCTCATCTTATCCAGATTCCTGAAAGCCGCCGCGATCCCCACCTCGCTCTCGCTGCACGCCGTTGCGTTCCGCAAGCGCGCGATCGACGGCGCCGGCAAGACGGTCGACCTCGAGACACTCCTCGACCCGACACTTGTACAGAAGCGGCATGCAGAGCAGAAGGTGCGCCCTCCCGCGTCGGCGCTGACTGCAGCGCATCTTCCGCGACGTCAAGCACAAGTACATTGAGCAGGAGGCGAAGCGGGCGTTCCTGCACGCGATCACGGGCGACTCGCCCGAAGTCGTGCGCGACGGCGAGCAGGAGGAGCTGGGTGCGTTTCCGGTGGGCCCGCTGACGCCAGCGACACAGAACAAGGTCAAGAAGGCCAAGCTAAAGGCGACGAAGGAGGAAATCGCCGCGATGCGCGCCGAGGCGCTCACGCTGAGCCGCGCGAATGCTACTGGTGCGTCCATCCCATCTTCTGGCGGATTGCTATAAGCAATGCTAATCATAGAACACGCCCGCCTTACAGAAGAGACGGCTGAAATAGAGGCCTTGCACAAGAGCATCACGGACATGGAGCTCGAGCTCGCGCGGCTCAAGAGCACGTATCCGCCGGAGAAGGTATGTGCCCCTCTGAATTCGCTGACTCCAGCGCTTGACGACGGCCGAGGCGGACGCGCGCCTCGAGGCGCAGCAGGAGGAGCTGGAGAAGCTCACGGCGGACATTGCGGGCGCGGACGCGCGCGGCGCCGAGCTCCGCTCGGACCTCGGCCGGCGGAGCAAGGAGGTCGCGCGGCTGCAGCGCGAGCGTGAACGCGAGGAGGCGCGCGCGGCCGAGGTCCGCCGTCAGAGAGAGGCGGGCGGGGCGGGCGTGCGTGCCCACGAACTGGGGCGGTGGTACTCTGCCCGGCTGGCGGCCTATCGCAGCCTTATGGGGATCAAAGGAGCACGCGCCGTGTCCAAGACCGAGCTCGAGATCGAGTACGACGACGGCGCCACGCTGCAGCTCTACTTCGATGTCTTGGGGCGATTCGAGGATGCCGCTCTCAAGGGGCACGCCATGGAGCTTGCGGACCTTGTCGACGACGCCCGTGAACGCAACGACCCCGCGCGTCTCGTGTCCGCCGTCCTCGCCAACCTCCGGCCGCTCAAGGCCTGACCGGCCGACCTAATACTACCTGTAATCCCCTGTTGTTTTGATATCGGTGCATGCAAGAGTACAGTAACAGCCTCGATACTAATACAATCATAATCTGGTCATCTAGGAGGCGTAGAACTCTGCTCATTAGCTGGATTCTTTGCGATTGCAGCAACTCACTCTTGTTAATTTGGTGGATTAGTGTGGTAAGGTTAAATGCGGCCATGCCGTCAAACAGGTCGAGGCGGACGTTGTTGTCGAACTGCGCCTGTAGGAGATCCTCCATGCGCAGCTCCTCTCGTGGCAGGTCTTCTCCACCCGTGGGCAAGCGCATCTCGAGGCTGAACACGCCAACAGCGTTGGACGAGATGACAATGTCGATCTGGTCGAACTGGCGCGGGCTGAATTGGTTGACACTCAGCAGAATGCCGCGCTCGTATAGCACCTTGGCTGTGTACGCGTATGAGCCAAACTTCTCCTTCTTGTGCTTCCGCTGGTGCCAGTACTGCCGTGACATGAACGGCGTCTTCTTCTTCTGCTGTAGGTTGGCCATCGAGGTGTCGATGTAGTCGTGGTAGCTCTGGATCTGTTCCTCGAACTTTTGCCGCTTGTCTGAGAGGTTGGCGTGCGCGTCTGACATGGCACGTAGATCGACCTTGCGTTTCTGACGCAAGCGGTGCTTTTCGCGGATGTCACCGGCGATCGACACCAGCAGGCCCTGGAAATGGTCATCACGCGACAACCTGCCAGCGTCCGCGAGCGCCATACAGAACTCGACCGCGCGCGCCTTGACCTCATGGAATGGGAGCGAGCGGATGCTCTCGAGCTGGTACTCTGCCTCCACTGGGGTGGGCGGGAGGTCATGACGAGCAAGACGCGCCTTCTCCAGTGCAATGTCGCGATGGACCTCTTCAATCCACCGCTGCTCGTCCGCGGCATTGGGGTGTGTGATGAGCACCTCGAAGAGGTTCTTGCCCGTTTGGATGCGAAGGACGGCGAGAACATGCCGCTTAGCCTGGACCTCGAGCTCGCGTAACCGCGCAGCCTCGGGGTCTGTTGCTGGGCGTCAGTTCGACGAAATTCATCTGAACTCACGTTGCAACTGCGCAAGACGGTTGGTAAGGTGCACGCGCACCGTCTTGTTACTCTTATCATAGTCCAAGGGAGGTCCCTCAAGCTCGTCAAGAACACTCCGAATTGGGTCGTTCTTGTTGTTGGCCGTCTGCCATCAGAACATTGTCATATCGGAGTGACTTACCAGACTGGCAGAGTTGCGGATCAGAATACCCAGAAGACCATAGATGTCGTTGCGTGTGATGGAGATCGGCGTTGCCTCGGTCGTCGACTCGAGCAAGTCCTGCACCTGGAAGTCGACCTCGGCGACATCGAGTATCCAATCGCCCATGTTGTAGCCCTCAGCTCGGATGTACTCGTTGAGCGGGACCTGCACGAGGCGATCGCGCTTGGCATAGTCTTGGCCGGCCACATAGCCAAGTAGCGTCGCGATGTGCGACAGGTTGCGTCGCTGCACTGGGTTGACGCTTTCTACAATGTCGTACGTCTCCGGTGCCACGAGGGCAGGAAGGACGAACGGCATGATGACGGCCTTCGCGACGATGGGCCACAGCTCCGAGTCGTTGTGGTCGCTGTAACGCACACGGAGCGCGAAGAGTGCCTCGCGAGCGAGCAAGCGGATGGTGTACGGCATGGCAGCGGTCGACGCCATGATCTCCTTCGCAATGAAGTCGGTGAGCGCACGAAGCTCCTGGAGGTCTATTCGTTAGCGGCGCATTTGATATCCATCAATTACTCACGGTGAATGTAGATGGTGCGCGTCTCCGCATGGGTCTGGAGAATCTGGTCCGCCGTGAGGTCGCGAGGAAGTGGGCTCCGTATGCCCGTCAACGCCTCGTCGGCATTGATGAGCCGGTTGTACAGCTGCTGTCAGCTCCTTCGTCCCCGACCAACTTACATCAACAGGGTCCGTGGACAGATCAAGCTCATCTGACGAAATAATGCGGTTGATGTGCGCAGCCAGGGCGTTGTGCAGGAACGGCTTGAGAGCGGGCTTGGTATACTGCATCACGACCGGTGTGATCGTGAAGCGCGTGTTGGCGAGATCCTCAAGCGAGCGCGAGCGGAGGACCTGCTCGTGCATGCTGATCTGGCACAGCTTGTGGAAGAGGTACTCCTCGCGCCTGTCGTGCCCGAACCCAAAGAGAATGAGCGTGACGGCCTCGACGAGTCGGCAGTCCTTCTCGAGTGACTCGTCTCCCCCAAGCGTCCAGAGCAACCGGGAGATGTACTGTGGCTGGGTCTGGAGCGTAAAGAAAAGGTGCTCATACAGCTCGAGCTTGCGCTGACTCGCGCGGTCGAGGTGCACGCTGACAAAGGGGTCGCCGCCGCTGGGGTTGTGGAATACCTCCTCTTCGCCGCCACGCCTGCGTTTCGCGCGGGCCAAATCCTCAAACGACATCTTGTTCTTGAGAATAAGCGCAATCTTCGTGTCCAGCTCCTTGACTTCGGTGTCGAGCGTCTGGTTTGTGCGGACGAGCTCAATGACCTCCTTGCGCAAGGTGTCGATGCGGAGCTGGTCGCGGAAGTCGTTCTCAGTGTCGTCGAGCAGGTGCATGTAGTGCTGGATCGTAGGGACGTCCACGCCACCGCCGGTAATAAGGCGCTGGTACATCTGCCGCTGCGTGCGGCCGCGCCACATGGCCTGTACCTTGGTGATCTTGTCCTGGTTTTGGTAAAGATACAGGTGGCGCATCCAGAACCTGCGACGGCAGAGGTAGCCGCGGATGAGCGACTGCAGGAAGACTAGGGCTCCTTGCGTGTAGGGCTCGACCAGGTAGTCGCGCCACTCGCGGTACTCGCGGCGGGCGAGGAACCCGCGAGCGACAGCCTGGAAGCCAATGACGTCGGGCTGCACAAACTCGAGCTTCTTCTTCTGCTCCACCGTCTTGTGCTTTGCGAGCTTGGTGCGGAGGAAGGCCTGGAGGCCACCGACCGAGCCCGCCACCTCCACCTTCGCAAGCGCCTTCTGCATATTGTCATGCTGGCGCTTGGCAAGGCGGCCGCGTGCGAGGGCCTGCAAAGACGAGATGGAAGTGGTGAGCTTGACCGCCTCCTTGGTGAACACCTGCTTGCGCCGACGGGCGATCACGCCACGGGCAGTGGCCTGAATGGCGACGATGTAGTCGGTGGCGTCGTCCATCTTCTTCTCGCGAGCGCGCTGCTGTCGGCGAACGAGGGCACCGCGCAGGTGGCTCTGTAGCGATACGAAGGTGGAAGTGTGAGCCAGCACCACCTTCTGCTCTTTGGCAATCTTCGCGCGGGAAAGACGTCCACGCAGTAGAGCCTGAATGGCAGTGGCCATCTTGACGGTGCTTGGATGATGGACAGCCGCCTTGTTCTGTTTGAACCCGCGGCGGACAAGCTGGCCACGACCGTGGGACTGCAACGCTTCAAAGGCGTGGCGTCGGCGCGCGAGCTCCTTTTTGAAGTTGGCGCGACGCATGCGTGCGAGCTTTCCCCGTGCAGCCGCCTGCACGCGGATTATCGGGAGCTCGCAGCGCTTCACTTGCGCCACATAGGCAGTCCAGCTCCGCTGCGCCATGTGAGCCCGAGCGACAGCCTGCAGCTTTGTAGCCCAGACGCCGAGCTGGCGGTGAGTCCGATTCTGCGAGGCAGCAGCCTTGCGGGACATCTGACCACGAGCTTGCGCCTGAATACGAGCAATGATCGGGGCGGCGAGCTTGAGCTGAGCCTTCTTACGCGAGTCACGCTGACGCGCGAGGACACCGCGGAGGTGGCACTGCAGCTTGCGAATCGAGCCTTCACACTCGAGCAGCTCACGGTCGCGTTCTATCTTCAGCACAGACCAGACGAAACAACTCACTCTCATCCTCAGTCTCCTCCTCCTCCTCTGGTTCAGGCTCCTCCCAGCTCGCCTCTTGAGCGAGACTCTGGCCGACCTGTCCGAAATTTGGCATGGCGATGCCCTTGATACCCTTCTCGGTAGCCGCCAGCTGCTCGTCGGTAAACTGGAACTGGCCCACGAGGTTATTCATGCGCTCGGCTCGACCCAGGCGCGCGAGCAGGTGGCTGAGCACGTGAATGCTGAAGATGACCTTGGGGATGTTCTTGGCATTGTATAGGTCAGTAAGCTCGAACACGAACGTGTCCGGCATGCCGACAGTGCGCAGGAAGTTGATGAAGTAGTTGATGTTGTCGCTCTGGCGGAAGCGATGCTTGGCCTCCGTCCAAATACGCTTCACAATCTCCTCGCCCTGGAACACGCGCGCGAGCTTGGCCAGCACGACGCCGTCGCGTAGGCCTTGCTCCATTTCGGTGACGCCGAAGCCAAGCTCCTCGTCGAGGCAGCCTTCAATCCACTGCTGTGCCTCACCGACGTGGCAGAGATACTCGTATGCGGCGAGCTCGTGGCGTGTTCTATCCATCCAGTTGTTGTTCTGGAGAGCCAGGCGGCGCGAAGGCAGCGGAGCAGGCGCCATGGCCGCAGACGAGGCGGCGAGCGGCAGACGAGAAGACAGGCGCAGGCGGTTCGGCATTCCAGTTGCAGCGTCCTTGGAGGATGTGTCGGCGGCGCGAGCAGATGCCGCCCCGACGGCGCTCATGAGGCCCTTCATCTCCACACCTTGAACCTCAGCGCGCGGCGTAATGAAATTGAGCCCGGTCTTCGATGACTGCTTTCGTGGCGTCGTTGGGGGCCGCCCAGCGCGCTCCTGGTTCTGCAAGGCAGGCGACAGAGGTTGGCGCTCCTCGGACGTGGCGTAGCTGATAGCACGTTCAGAAGGCGCGTACGTGCTCGGTGCACGCTCTGAGGGAGCGTACGAGGAGGGCGGCGATGGGTACTCGACCACGGTGGAAGTGGAGAGCGTCCTGCTCCGAGGCGGCGTGTTCTCCTCGACCGACTCGGTGGTGGGTGCCATTGAGTTCATCGAGGTTCTTCGACTGCGAGATGATGAAGGAACGCGAGACATGCTCGGTCTGCGGTCGTCGCCATCCCAGCCCTGGTCTCCCGATACGATGCGGGGCAGGTGCTTGCCGAGCCGTCGCCTGTCACTTCCGAGTGATGGGATGCGGTTGCTCCGAGAAGGAACGATTCCCGCGGCAGCTCCCGCCGTCCAGCGGTTGGCTGTAGACGACACGGAGCCAGGCTTGGGAGGCCCCATCGGGGCACGGAAACCCAAGCCCAAAACCTTGGGCTTGCCGCCGGCAGGCGAGTCGGCCGCGCTGCGTTTAGACGGCGAATCTAGCGCTGCTGCCTTTGCGACGGAGAAGACATCGCCGCCCGTCGGGACGGGGCGTGGGTTCGACGGCGTCATGGCAGATTTGGGGAACGCGGTCCGCGCCGGCTCGGACCGCGGCGGATCCCTCAGACCTTGGTCCAGGCTGCGCACCTTGTGCAACACGGCGCTGCTGCGAGCGGGGGCTGGTGCCGGCTCAGGCCTGTTGAGTTGAGGCGCCGGCTGATCGATGCTCTGGACTCGCTTGAGTATGCTCCTGGCCTCGGAGCCTGGGATGACAACGGGTTTGGAGGTTTGCGGGGCGCTTGGTAGCTCGTTGATGCTCTTGACTTTGCGCAGGACCGCCGATTCCTTCTCAGATGATGAAACGCGGAAGGTGTCCTTCAGCTTGGGCTCCGTAGGCGTCTGGTCGATGCTCTGGATGCGCTTGTGTATGTGGCCCGTTTCCCGACCGGGGATGACGACCGGCTTGGAGGTCTGAACCGTTGCGGGCAGCTGATCGATGCTCTGGATCCTCTTGTGTATGTGGCCAGATTCTCGGCCCGGGATGACGACAGGCTTGGACGTTTGCACGACCTTGGGAGCGGTGTCGATGCTCTGCACGCGTCGGTGAATGTCGCCGGCATCGCGGCCTGGGATGACCACCGCCTTCGATGTCTGCGCGGACGTTTTGTGCAGGGAGTCCAGCCGGCGCAAGACTAACTTGTCATCCTTCGAGGGGATACGCGGGGTCTCTGCGACGGTTGAGGTCGCCGGCTGGTTGAGGGCCTGGATGCGGCTGAGCACGGAACCCTTCCGTCGCAAGGTAGGCTCCGTTGCGGCGGCTGGTGCAGAGCCCGGCTCAGCAGCAACCAGAGCGATGGGCGGCTCGTCTCGTGCAGGCCTGCTTTGTAGCGGTACCGGAGCGGCCTTGGGTGACGACTTCGGCGAGGACGACTCGATCATGGACACTGGTCGCAGGCGCCTCTCCGCGAACGACGGCGTCTTCGAGCTAGGAGACGATGTAGTCTCTACCGGAGCGCGAGGTGTTGACCTCAGTCGGTCGCGATGAGACAGCGTCGAGGTCGCTGGGGCCTCGGAAAGCTTCGATGGCAAAGTCCGTTCTGCAGTTGAAGTCTCGATCATCGACACCGGGCGCAGCTTGCGCTCGGCGAACGACGGAGGCCGAGCCTCAATCTGCGCAGGAGCGTCGACGGGAGGACGGGGGACAGACTTGAGCCGCTGGCGAGAGAAGGCGTCGGCGGGTGCACTTGTCGTTACGGGCTCTTCGGCGGGCTGGACGCGCTCGCGCGAGGGTGTGGTGGTCTCGGGGGCAAGGGTGGTCTCGGCTGTCGGCGTCTTGGGTGCCTGAGCGCGCTTGATGGATCGGAGCCGCTGGCGGGGAGGTGTCGCGACAGTCTGTTCCTCTTTGTCCTTGATCTCGAGCTTTGGCGTCGAGACATTGTTGGGAGGGGGCACGAGCTCGGGCTCGGACTTCTTGGGCAGGAGCCTGGACAGGCGCGGCGTCGACTTCATCATGCCCGACGAGTCGAGAATAGGCAGGGGCGGAAGGTCCAGCTCCTGTGCGACCGGAAGAGGCGGCAGCTCGATGTGTGGCTCGGGCACGGGAATGCCGGCTGCCAACTTGGCTTCGCGGCGGCGGAGGGCGTTGGCACGCGCCTCGGCGAGCGTCTCGGCCTGCGAGCGGTTGCTGCGCATCGTGGACGTACCGGTGTAGTCGTACGACAAGCCAGAGAATGAGGAGAGAGGCAGACGTGGCGGCAGGCCAAACTCGTCCAGCTCGGGCTTGGTCGCGGGCTCATCTGCGCCGGGGAAGTCGGTCGCGGCCGCCGGTGCGGCTGGAGCGGGCTCGTTGGTCGGGAGGGGCTTGAGCGGCGACGGCGCGGGCTTGAGAGGAGACGCAGGCGCCAGGCGCACTGGTGCTTCTCCGCCGCGGGAGAGCGGCGATGACGCGTGTGGCGCGTTCGGCGCGGCCTTGGGCTCGAGGAAGCTCCGCGGGCGGCGGGATACGGTCGGCGCATCCTCCGGCGCAGCGGCAGCCTCTATCTTGGCCTCCCACCGGCCGCGGACGTCGTTTATGGAGCTGCCGCGCGTGTTGTGGCTGAATCGGGCTCCGGACCCGGAGCGCCGCAAGCCTGTGACGCTGGGGTCTTCGCGGACGTTGTTGATGCGGGACATGGCGGAGGCGGGTGAGGAGTCGTTTGAGCTGCGCGGGAGGCGCGTATTATATGAGTAGATGGAGCTCGAGCCCTCTGGCGGAGGAGAGGGCGTGTTGTGTCGCTCCATGGTGGGTGCGATGTGATGGGGCGGGTGCGATGGAGGATGTGACGGCGCGTGTGTCGGATGTCGAGGAGTTGTCGAGAAGCTATGCTCTGATCATCTGAGACAGATGACTGGATGGGGACGGCGAGCGAGAGGCGATGTCGAGGTGTTGACGCCGGAGAGAGAGAGAGAGTCGAGTCGAGTTGGCGATATGAGACAACAAGGAAAAGAGGAGCGGGAAGGAAGGTGTCGACGGCGTGGGAGACAAACCGTGGCTTGTTTGTTGACGCTGTCCAAATGACAGTCGCGTTCTTCCCCTTGGACACGTGACAGACCCTGAATACCCGGCTTATTCTCTCCTCCCGTTTTACACTCCACGTGGGAATAATTTGCCACCCAGCGGAACTGAATTTCCAGAGGAGATTTTGAGCGGCGGCGTCCTGCCAGGCAGAGGCATCGCACGACCTTGTTGTTGCTCCTCATCCACCCCACTCAAGATGGGAAAACACGACAAGAAGTCAGGCAAGGGCCGTCTGGACAAGTTCTACCGGCTCGCGAAGGAGCAGGGCTACCGTGCGCGTTCGGCCTTGTGAGTCCTCCCGGTGGGCGCGCTGACAGATAGCAAGCTCATCCACTTGAACCGCAAGTATGACCTGCTGTCCAAGTCGCGGTGTGTGATCGACTTGTGTGCGGCGCCCGGCGGATGGCTGCAAGTGGCGGAGAAGTACATGCCGAAGGGGAGCTTGATTATCGGTGTCGACCTCGTGCCCATCAAGCCGCTGCCGCACACGATCACGTTCACGGCGGACATCACGACGCCGGCGTGCCGCAACGAGCTGCGCACGCACATGCACGACTGGAAGGCGGATTTGGTGCTGCACGACGGCGCGCCCAACGTCGGTGCTGCGTGGGTGCAGGACGCGTTCACGCAGAACGAGCTCGTGCTGCAGTCGCTCAAGCTGGCGTGCGAGTTCCTCAAGAAGGGCGGCAACTTTGTCACCAAAGTGTTCCGCTCGCAGGACTACAACTCGCTCCTGTGGGTCTTCTCCCAGCTCTTCCGGCACGTCGAGGCCACCAAGCCACCGTCGTCGCGTAATGTCTCGGCGGAGATTTTCGTCGTGTGCCGCGACTTCATTGCGCCCAAGCACATCGACCCCAAGTTCCTCGATCCGAAGCACGTGTTCAAGGACGTTGCGCCGCTCCCTGCGTCCATCACGGAGCCGGAGCAGGCGGGCGCGGCGACGGGCCAGTCGACTACACAGGCTGTCAACGCCGTCACCCGCCTCGTGAACAACCCGCACGCCGAGGCCAACGTCTACAACCCCGAGAAGAAGCGGCGCCAGCGCCAAGGATACGCCGACGGCGACTACACACTGTTCCACAAGGCGTCGGCGCACGACTACGTCTACGGAACGGATCCCATCCAGATCCTCGGCACGATGAACCAGATCGAGTTCTCGACGGACGAGGAGAAGGCGTGGCTCAAGAGCCGCCACACGACATCGGACGTGGTCGCCAACTGCGCCGACCTCAAGGTGCTCGGCAAGCGCGACTTTAAGGAGCTTATGAAGTGGCGTCTGGCGATCCGTCTCGAGATCGGCTTGGACGTCAAAGCCAAGGCGGCGGACGAGGCGACCGAGGAGGTCGACGTGCAGCCGATAGACGAGGAAGAGCAGATCACCGAGGAGGTGGGTTGTGGACCGAGCCCGCTGACATCCAGATCAAGCGCCTGCACGAGGAGAGGCTGTCGAAGCAGAAGCGCGACAAGCGGCGCAAGAACGAGATCAAGGCCAAGACGATGCAGAAGCTCAAGCTGGGCATGACGGCGCCCACCGATTTGGACATGGACGACCGCGAGCTGGCCGGTGAAGAGATGTTCGACTTGGGCGAGGGCGAGCGCGAGCTTGCGCGCGCCGGCGGGCGCAACCTGCGCGAGGTAGTGCAGGACGCGGACGGCATGTCCGAGTCGGAGGAGGAGGCTGCGGTCGAGGACGACGCGGACGACGAGGTGCTCTCGTCCGACGAGGAGCGGGAGCGGCGCACGGCCGCGCTCGAGGCCGGCCTCGACAGCATGTACGACGACTACCGCGAGCGCATGGCGGAGCGGGACGCAAAGTACAAGGTGAAGCAGCAGCGGCTGAAGGACCGGAACTTTGACGCGTGGCACGGCATCCGTGACGGGAGCGACAGCGAGGACGACGGCGTCGACAAGGGATACCGCGACCAGATGGTGCGCGTGCCCCGGCGCGGCGACAACGAGGAGGACGAGGAGTACGTGAGCGAGGACGGGGGGTGGGATGTAGTTGCGGCGCAGAAGGCGACGCTGGGCGAGGCGGACAGCGACGAGTCGAGCGACGATGACGACGACGACGCCAAGCCAAAGCGCAAGGTCAAGGCCAAGGTGACGATTCCCGCCGATGCGCGCCCCCTCGCCCCACGGCCGAAGGGGTTGATGACGACGTTGGCACCGGACGAGTCGCGCGCCAAGATGAGCCGCCAGGCGCAGGTGTGGTTCGACCAGGGCGTGTTCAAGGACGTGGGGGATCTGGCGGCGCTGGACGGCGACGACGAAGACTCTGACGAGGACGACGGCGACGGCGAAGACTCTGATGTGGAGATGGAGTCCGAGTCCGGGTCTGAAGCGGACTCCGAGTCCGAGACCGAGAGTCTCGAGTCGACGCTCGACGACGTCGACGCCGATGACGACGAGTTCGAAATCGTGCCGCAGGAAGTGGACGACGCGCCCGAATGGGACGTGGACGACGAAGACCAAGACGCGACGCTGCAAGCGCAGATCCAGCGCAAGGGCCTGCTGACGGCGGAGGCGCAGACGCTCGCCTCCAAGCTCGTGAACCGGGAGATCACGGCGTCGCAGCTCGTCGACCAAGGCTTCAACCGCCTGTCGACGTACAACAAAGACGGGCTGCCGGCGTGGTTCTTGGACGACGAGGCGAAGCACTACCGCCCCAACATCCCCGTGACGAAGGAGGCGATCGCGGCGCTGCGGGAGCGGCAGCGGGCGCTGGACGCGCGGCCGATCAAGAAGGTCGCCGAGGCCAAGATGCGCAAGAAGCGTGTGGCCGCGACGAGGATGGAGCGCGCGAAGAAGAAGGCTGCGGGCGTCATGGAGACCGAGGATCTCAACGACGGCGAAAAGGCGCGCGCCGTGTCCCGCCTCCTCCGCCGCGCGGCGAATACCAAGCGGCCGGAGAAGAAGGTTGTCGTGGCCCGCGGGTCGAATCGCGGCATCAAGGGCAGGCCGAAGGGCGTCAAGGGGAAATACAAGATTGTGGACGCGCGCATGCGCAAGGAGACGCGCGCACTCAAGCGCATCGCAAAGGAAAAGAAGAGGAGGTAGCGGTAGATGTAGAGATAGAGATTGCATGGATACCACTGGAGATGGCGAGCAAGACTACAACATGGGATATGATACAATGCTGGAGAGAGCTGGGAGACCGAGAGCCCGAGGCCGAGATGAACAGTCTAGAAACCAAAGGTGAGCTGGGAACGCGTAAAGACAGGCCTGAGGTCAGCTGTGTTCACACACGTCGCACTCACGGCTTCCACTTCAACGCCTCCGGGTCGATCGTGTACTTTGTCTTGGCGCGCGTCTTCTGGTACTGCTCGAGCACGGCGTCGGTGAGATGGATGATGTGCTGCCCCTTGTAGTACTTTATCATCTGGAGCGCCTGGCACGTGTGCATGATGTCGCCGTGCGTGATGGCTGTGCGGTGTGCGATTTCGTCGAGGCTGATCTCGTCCTCGCTCTCAAGGAGCAGCTCGACAATCTTCTCCTGCCAGTACGCGCGATAACTGAGCAATCCCAAATCTGAGAGCGGCTTCTCGGGCGAGCCGAGCTTGCCCTCGACCTTGGAGAGCTCGTACGAAAACTCGATGAGCACTTTGCCGTATCCCTTGCGCTGGTGCTGCGGCAGCGTGAGGATACACGCGACGTTGTAGCCCTCGGCGCTCTCCTTCTCTTTCGAAAAGTAGCCGATCAGGTGGTCGCCATACTCGTCTTTCACTGTCATGCAGTAGTAGAGGAAGGGGTCGACGTCGTAGTACAACGTCTTGTGGTCCAAGAAGCACTTGCTGAGCAAACACAGGTTGCGGCACCATGTGCGCTGCCGGCGTCCGTCGATCTCGAAGAATGATATGTTGCCGCTGCGGTAAATCTCGTTGCCCGGGGGGTGCTGCAGCGTGCACTTTGTGCGGTGACGCGTGAGCTGCGTGAGGCTCGGATAGAACTGGAGGCAGAACTCGCAAATGAACAGCTTGGGCAGGTGGGCGTACTCGGCTGGATAAGGCGAGAAATACCACGCCTCGACCTCGTTCTTGCCAATCTGGAGCTTGTTGAGGTTCTTGACGCGCGAGATTTCGCTGTGGCTCTGCGTCATTGAGCCCGACGTGCGCAGCTTCTCAATCTCCTGCTTCTTGGAGAAGACGGCCGGTCCCGCGGTCGGATCGGATGCTGCTACCGCCTCGCCGTCTTCCATAATCACGTCGCCGTCAGCGTCCTCGTCCTCGCCGTCCGCGTCCGCGTCGTCCGTGTCCGTCCCCGGCTCCTCGACCTTGCTCTTGCGCCCCTTGGTCGGCGCCTTGCCGACCTGGCTCGCGGCCTTGGTCGCAGCCTTCTTCAGCAGGCTCTTGGGCGTCGCTCCTCCCATCTTTGTGCCCCGCGGGCTCGCTGCGCCGCTCTTGCTCGGCGTCTTGCCCGTCTTCTGCTTCTTCGGCTCCTCCTTTGGCCGTGGCCACTCCATCTCCTTGTCCGTGATCAGGCGCGACCCGCCCACCCACTCGTCGAGACGCTTGTTGAACTCGACATAGTGGATGTAGTACTCTGTGTCGTCGCGCGGATCGGCTTGGGGGTCGTTCGGACCCGGCTTGGGCGCAAACGCCGACACGGGCTTGGGCCGCGTAGACAGCACCTCGGCCTTGCGGTGCTCCATGCCACCTCCGGGGAGGGGCTTGGCGACAAAGATCTTGACGCCGGGTATGACATCCTGGTGGTTAGCACGGCCGGAGGGAGCAAAGAACGCACAGCAAGGGAGTAGGATCCAGGAGGAGCGACCTGTGGTGCGGGGGACTCGCTCCCGGACCGCGCCGTCTTGGAGGGAGCCGGCGAGGCGCCCATGTTGTCTCGATTGGCCTCGAGTGTAGTGTGGGCGAAACGCGAGATCGGCACGGAATGGAACCAAATCGGGGGGGGGGGGGGGGGGGGGGGGGGGGGGGGGGGGGGGGGGCAGGGGCCGTATGGTGGGGCCTAAATTGCCACCCAGCGTCACTCGGCGTAGAGACCTCGATTCGGCGTCGTTCGACCTGCGGGATGTAGAGCTGAGCCGTGGGTATTCAATGCGCGCAATGTGAAAGCGGATTGATGCTGTGCGTTGACGTGAGAAAAGGTGTGAATGGGGAAGATGAGTGATGTTTGGGAGGTGAAAAGCTGCCTGCAGGAACGGACATCTGGCACATTCTCCGGTTGTTAGGGCGGAGGCATTTCTGAATGTGGCACGCCGCCCCATGAACTGGCTCGACTTGTCATGCTTTGATCTTTGATGCGGGGGCGCGGGGTGAGCAATTGCTCAAGGCCACGCGAGTACACAGTGCTAAGAGACCGGGACAAGGACTGTCGGGGAACGAGTGATGGAACAACTCTTTGTAATGGACTGCGAGTCACGGCAATGCTTCATGTCATGTGCACCACCACACCCGTTCATGGTAAACCTTGCGCGCGCCATCGTACTTTTGCATCCTCAACTCGGCTACTCCAACAAATCACTCGCTTCCCACTGTTACAATCTCTCTATAAAATCTCTCCAAGGGCAAAAACAAAAATAAAGGTTCGTGTGAAAGGCAGTGTACCCGCTCTAGTCCTTGAGGGCCATCGCAATGATGAGCTTGTGATAAGGAAGGCTAAAGTCAGTGTTAATGGATGCGATCGCTCACAGCTTGACAAAGTCCCACTCTTCTGTTTCACTCAGACTGTTGACAAAGGCTCGAATGCTCATGGTAATATCGCTGCGCTTCTTGCCGTGATACCGTGGCTACCGTCAGCGTGATTGTCCCTTTCCGCAAAACAACTCACGGGTGCGACCTTGTTAACGTATCGAATCACGTCCAGTCGCTGTGGATTCTTGTCACCCCAGAATGAGGGCAGAAGCTGGGGCTCACACTTTGCCAGGTCGAGGCGGTGGATGAGCGCACCATCATCAGAGGTCAGGATCTGCAAGACGCGAGAGGGTGCCATCCCGGACAGCCTCTCGAAGGTGAGCTCGCCAAGGTTAACACTGGCAAGAAGATCCGAAACCTCCTCAATCTTGTTCGAGGTTGTCGCCTTTGTGTTTTTGCCCTTGTCGGGCTTGCTCGACGACTTGGTCGGGCCCACCTTGACATGCGCCTGCTTAGACTCAACCTTGGTAGTCAAAGTACTTGGTCCAGCGTCTGCAGTCTCTGCGATGGCAGGGACAATCGACTTGTTGGTCGTAACAGCGAGCTTCAGTGGCTTGCTCTCGCCAGTAGCGCTGGCACCGGTGTTTTCACGAGTAAGATTAGAGGCTTGAGCAGCTGGCGAAAGGCCCGTCCCCTGCTCGCGACGTGGGTTGAGAGGCCGGTGGTGGGAAACCTTGATCCACTTGTCTCCAAGCTTGGTTCCGTCCATCGTTCTCTGGGCGTTATTGGCTGTAAGTTAGTTTACTGTCTTCAGCTGCAACCCACCGTCCTCAATGCAAGTGAAGTTGACGAAACCGAATCCGCGCGAGCGACCAGCAGCGTCACGCATGACCCTTGTTGACTTGATAGGACCGAAAAGTTCAAACACATGAACCAGGTAGGCCGAGTTGATATCCGAATCAAGGCCCTGCTGTTGAGCCACAACCAAAAAACATCAACTCACCCGAACAATGAGGTTGCACCGATCAATAAAGCCGGAAGTCGACGACGGGTCCTGGTGCGTTTCTTGGCGGGCTTTGTCACGAACATGTTGGACTACCTGGCCATCGTTGGTGATGAGACCTCCATCAACCTTGAACCACTGGGACTTTGAAGTGTTTCCATTGTTGTTCTTGAAGCCGCGCCCGTTGTTGCGGCGTAGGGGAACCGTCTCCCATGGAGGGGAGGGCAAGGGAAAACCACGGCTGAACGCACGATGCTGTGACCAAGGGGCGGGCTCAAACTCAGTAGGAGAGGTGTGGTCGTTGAGGTTGTTGTATGAGGGCACACAAATGTCCAGACAAGGGCGGCCAGCGTTTGCGCGATGCCACACACCGTCGTTCTGGGGAGGGGACTGTCCGTTCGGGAAATTGTTTATCTGTGGGCGCCCAAGGTTGAAGGGCGGCATATCGGGTTGGAAAAGCAAAGGCCGCTTGCCGGGAGACGGGGGCGTGAGAGGCAAAGCTTTTCCAATTGGTTGGCGAACCATACGAGGCATGGAGCTCGACGGGTGGCCTGCAAAAGACCAGCTCAACGGCGGCAAGTGGTGCAATGGACCGTCCTCCATGCGCTGCGGCGGAACATTGATTTGGGCAAGGTGGGGGGGAGTAATCGGAGGATGGGGAGGTGGGGCCATGTTTCCTTCAGGACCAGGTCCGGGTGGCCCAGTAATGTGGGTCTGTATATGAGCAGAAACTCCCTCGGGAACAGGCAAGAGGTGCGGAGGCGGAAGTCCAGTTGGCGCGGGGGTCGGGGGATGCCAGCCATCTCCCGGAATCTCCATCGGCGGCGGTGACCAGGGGGGATGGCCATGGGAAATAGGCTGCTGCCAAGAAGGTGGAGGGAGGTCCCATGGCCTTGGTGGCCAGACTGTTCCCTGTGGAATAAACGTTGGGTCTTTGACGACAGAGCTGGAGCAAGTCAGTTATTTTGTTCTTTTTACTCGTCATGGCACGCGGTGTCCTACTCACACATTAATTCCACACAAGAGGCCAGTAGCGTTCGTGTCACTTTCAAACTTGGCCGCCTCGTCCTCGTGCCAAAAGTGGATGACGGCCTTCCAGGGTATCACGGGCTTGATAGGGCCGTCCTTGTCGTAGCTGACTACGATCTTCTTGATGGAGCCCCAGGAACGCGCACTGTCCCAGACCTGGCCTTCAGTGAGGAGTTTGAGGACGGCGGTGTCGTCTACAGGGCGGATGATGCGGGGTGCCACATTAGTGCACGGCATGGGTGCACGGGGGTCCGTAAAGGGCGACATCTTCATGTGGAGCTGGCCTAGAAGATAAGGATGAACTTGGAGGATGGATAGAGCCTTCTCGGCTGAAAGGTTGTTAGCATGTGTCAACGAGCCTAAACCCACCCTGCATGCGCCCTTCAAAGGTGATGTGACCTTTCAAGTCAGTTTTATGCCAAGCAAGACGGGCGGCATCAAGTTGGCACTCACCATGTTTGGGCATCCAAGAGTAGTGGTCGTCTGGATAAATGCGGTCCAGTGGGTGAACTGCCGGCATGAGCGTAATCGAAAGGGGCCTGATGTTCTGCCGCTCGAGAATTTCGGCAATCTTGTTCTCGGTTTCGTTTTGTCCGTCATCATCGATGCAATGGATAAACAGAGTCGTCTGAGACTGAGGGTGAGTGAGGAGCGAGAGATATGGCTGCAGACTTACGACGAAGGGGTGAGGGCGAGGTGATGCTGAGGAGGAGCAAAGCTCATCAAGGGGTGGGGGTGGAACGCATGAAAGGTGAACAGGGGGCGGACCCATGGGAGAAGAGGGGGGCATCTCAATGCTGGAGGTGGTCATGGGCAGAGGGGCCATGGGCTCGAAACCGAGGGCCGAAGGCGGGGGGCCAGCTGGACTGTAGGAACCGCCACCAAGGGGGTGGTATGGCTTGAAGGGAGGTCCATGAATGCCGGGGGGGTACATGTGGCCGTCCCAGGGGGGAAAGGAGAGGGGGACAGTACCGGGCATAGACGAGGAAGCAGCATGGGGCATAGGAAGGGGAGGAGAGATGGGGTCCATAAATCCAGGCGGAGGTGGCGGTGGAAGAGGGTAGCGCAAGCGCATGGCTGGGTGGTGATCGTGGAACATGGGGGGGAGAAGATGAGGAGGAGGAGGAGGAGGAGGCGGAGGATTGTCAATGTGCATAAGATGGGGGGGCGGGGGGTGCATCATGTTGTGGTCGTTGAGGCCGCTGGGTTGGTTCATGGGGGTAAAGTTGTGGTTGAGGGGAGTCTGAGGGGGAGCAACAGACTCGATGCTAGCTAAAGAGTCTCTACGGTCACTGCCACTTCCACCACCACCACCGCCAAGGCCAAGGCCAGTCTGAATTTCGTGAGGGGGAGGGGGAGGGGGAGGAGGAGGAGGGGGTGGGAAGAAGGAATTGAATTGAGTGTAGAACATGTTGATGATTGATGAATTGATGTGTTGGGCGTCAAAGGGGGAGGGGAGGGGCGGGGAGGGGTATCGCAGTGATGGGTTGATGTCGTATGTGGCTGAGGATGAGCGATGGGGAGGGAGATGGGGAGGAGCGTACCGTTAGAGTGGATAGAGGGAACGATTGATAGCGAGGAGAGTGTGCAAGGGAGAGAGAGAGAGAGAGGGGTGGATTTGAATACAAGTGCGATGTGAGAGAGGAGTGTCACGGTGCAATCGTCTTTGGGGGGGAAAGTGAAGGAAAGAAGAGAGGAGAGCGAGGAGGAGAGAGAGAGAAAGAGAGAGTATATATAAGAGGAGGAGGAGGAGGCTAAGAGAGGAGGAGAGTGGACGATGTTGATCTTTGAATGTTTGTCGAGGGAGGGATTGAATCAACTGAATTGAGTGTTGCAAGCTGTGGGGCGATAGAGTGGTCAACCTTCCAATCCCCTTCCCCCTCCTCCTCGTGGCCTCGTGCTCCTTATACGCGAGGGAGCGAGTGGGTGGGACAGGTGTGTGGTGGCTGGAGGCAGGCCTGGAGAGAGGAGGAGGGAGAGAGGCCAGAGGTGAATGAGGAGAGGACGAGGATGAAGAAGAAGACGAGTAGTTCGAGTTCAAGATGGAGGTGCGATGTGGAGGCATCGATGTGGCTTCCCTCCTCTTCCCCGTCTGTATCAAGTTGCGCACAGACCTTTTCCCCTCGACCCCCTCGCCCCTCCCCCCCTCGTGCTCTCTGCTTCGAGCAGTGGCGCAGTGAGCAAAGGGCGTTGTTTTGATCGCGTGGCCGCACGAGCCTTGTTTCCCCTCGATCCCCTCGATCCCCTCGTCATTCCTCCTCCTCCTCCTCCTCCTCCTCCATCCCGCCTTCACCCCCACCACCCCTTTTCTCATTCATGTCGGTCCCACCATCCACCATCCACCACCACCGTCGTCGTGCACGTCGTGTTGACTCACCCATCTCAATCTAGCTTCCCTCGACAAACCCACATGGTCAGACATGCCCGCCCCCCCGCCCCCCCCGCCCATGCCGCCGCGGCCGCTGGTAATCTACAGTGCGCCTCCGCTGATCAGCTGGTCCAGTTGATTTGTAGACAGGCGCTAGCCGTGAGCCATGTCAGATGTCAGCTGTCAGCTGTCAGCTGTTAGCCCCTTCACACTAGTCCATGGCAATGCCGTCAAGCGTACTGTCAGCGTCTCACCACGAAACCAACATCAGCGCGCCCAGAGCAATACCACCTCTCCACCATCGGCTCCTTCTTGGCCATCAACTTCTTGCTATGGGTCACGATGCAGAAACGAGGGAGGGTCCTCCCTAAGCATCCGCATCGACTCTTCAGTACTTATATCCCCACAGCGCTGCAACGCGGCTCAAGATGAGCCAGCTGACGCAGTCATCTGACGCAGAGTCATCTGACAGCTGACATTGCTCTCCGCCTGGATCGCCGCACGACACCGTCATATGCCGCCCGCTGCCGCCGCCGCCGCCGCCGCCAGGCCGCCACTTGCCACCTGCCGCCATCGACCACGTGATCCGGGATCCCACGTGTCCGGGAATGACGGAATATCCGCGCTCCCGTATATCCAGCCATATCCATATCCATGACAAGGCATAGAGTTTCCAGCTGCTTGCACAAATGTCCATTAAAGTTTCCAGCTTTCCAGCGCCGCTGCTCGCGCAAACTGTTTGGGCGGCGGTTCTATGGAGGCTCAAAGCTAGCGCTTCACGGGTCACGACAGTAGTCCGCAATACGCGGCATGGCAGCCCGCCTCGCCCGGCTGATGGCTGATGGCATCATCGCTTGTCTCAGCTCTCCTCGAATACTGCCGTACAACAGGACGGCTTTCCGCTCATGCATGTCGGTATGGTTACCCCGTCGTTCCTGTCCTCCCGTCGCTGCCCCGCCGCCTCGCCGCCCCGCCGCCCCGCCCCGCCCGCCGCACAGCATCCACTTGCGCGTCGCTTCCTATCGCCGCTGCACGAACACTCGGTTAAGCTCGATCTCGCGATCGCGGTGGATTCCCCCCAACCCAAAGCCCTGTGGCTTCCATTGTGCCTTTCGTGGAGGCACAAGCCGTAGGTGGTCGATGGCGGCTGGCAGCTGGCAGCTGGCAATGCAGTCGCGGGATAGACGGGCGTTGTGGGACTAGGACGAGACCCATCCCGCATGCCCGGGCCCTTAGAGTTGATGTCGGCGCTGGATGCTGCGGCCCGGGTTGGGCGGCTGCTCGACGTACAGTAGGGCTCGACGTAGAGGACGCGAACAGGCAGGCAAGTACAGTGCAGTAGGAGCAGAGGAGGCGACACCAAAGTTGCAGAGGATGCCAACTCTACGCTAGCTCGAGGTGGCCGAAGAGTGAATGCAAAACGCGCAGGACGTCTGTGCGCCACCCAACTCTGCCGAATACACAGATCGACACTTTCCCCATTTGTACCCTATCCTCCCCTGAACCATCCCTGAGATTTACAGTGGCTCGGCCGGGGACCTAATTGACATAACAATTTCTATTCCAGGGAAGGTCAGTCAGACTCGTCTCTCCTCGTCACCACCATCCTCGGCGCCATCATCCTCTTCACATCCACTACTTTTTCTCCATCGGATCTCTCATCCCAACCACGGCCGCGGCCGACTCCCACCATGCCCCCACTGAACCGCTACCTCGGCCTCGTCCTCATCATCGCCATCGTCCTCGCCCTCCACTTCCTCTTCTTCAGCCCCTCCGCCCCCGACCTCAGCGTCATCATCCCCGCCACCACACGCCGGCCAGCGAGCTATGAACCAGGCTTCCCCCCCGGCGGCGGCCCGCCACAAGCCGTCAGCCTAGGTCCCCCCGTGCCCCCCGCCACGCACCACCCCATGGCGACGTTGAACGATGCCTCCCTCGCCCCCGACATGGACTATGACGAGCGCGGCTTCCTGAGCTACGATGCGGCAAAGCACACAAAACACCCCGTCGAGCTCCTCATCGAGCGCGGCAAGCGCACAGTCGCCGCCATCGAGGCCCGCCTCGCCGCCGTCAACTCCCTCCAAGCCGCTGTGGCCGACTACAAGGCCGCATACGGCATGGCGCCCCCGCGCGGCTTCGACGCATGGTGCGCGCTGTTTCGTATCGCCACGCTCACTCCAGGTTCAAGTACACGCAAAGCGCCAAAACAGTCGGCGCCGCGTCCATGCTTTCCATGGCCCAGAAGCCGTTTGTGCAATACCTCTCTATCCCGGCGCCCGAGCTGCGCCGGCGCATCGAAAACGAGCGCGACAAGGAGCCCATGTTCGCCCTCGAGTTTGTGCCAAACGGCGAGGGCGACTACGGCACCGAGTGCGATGGCGAGCCAGACTGGTTCCCAGAGGATTATCATAAACGCGGCCGCGGCCGCGTCAAGGTCCGCGGGCCGTTGGCGTGGAAGTTCCGCTGCAAGTGAGCTCTCCGCAGGCATCGCTGACGACAGCAACACGCTCTCCCTTTTGCTTCCTGTACTCAAGCACCTCCCAGACGAGTTCTTTACCATGTCGCCGCCCGTCACGATCGTGTTCAACACGGACGACGGGCCACGAGGGCAAGTCCAGTGAGTGACCCAAAGGAACGAGGGATGCCACAGCCAGCACTAACGCTTCAGCCACGACTTCCAGACCCGCGCGGAAAGTATGGGCAAAGTACTCAAGACGTGGTCGCCGCAACAGCTCGAGGCGGCGGAGAACGCTATGCGCTGGACAACCGGGTGGCAGTGGGCATGTCCGGAAGACAGCCCGCTGAAGCGCGCCGAAGTGGACATTGTGCTCAACGACGCGCCGCTGCACCAGACCTCGGTCAATCGCAAAGACTTTGTCGCCGACTACAACATGGCCATGGACGTGTGCTACAACCCGGAGCTGCGGGAACTTGTGCGTGTCCCAACCCACGCCGTCGCTGACATCAGCAATCCGCCGCGCTTCTGGACATCCGCTTCGCAAACGTCCCGCTCACGCCGTACGTCTCGCAGTGCCGCACACTACGCAACTCGGACATTGTCGGCGTGCCGCTCGACGGCGCATGGGACGAAACGCAGTTCATCCCATGGACGGAGAAGAAGCCGATGGTGTTCTGGCGCGGCACGGCAACGGGGGTGTTCCACGACCTGCGGCACCCGTGGCACAAGTCGCAGCGCGAGCGGCTGCACGTGTTCGCGAACAACATGTCGGACGCGCAAGTGCCTGTGCTCGTGGACGCGGGCACGGGGGTGAAGACGGCGCACTTTCGCGTCAAGGACATGACCGCGCGCTGGTTCGACATCGGGCTCGCGGGCGGGCCGGTGCAGTGCGACGAAGCGGACGGGTCGTGTGCGCGTCTCGCGCAGGCGTTCAAGTGGCGCGAGTATGTCAACAAGGAGGAAAGCGTCGCGAACAAGTTTGTCATCGACGTAGATGGGAACGCGTGGAGCTCGCGCTTCCGCCGCCTCCTCAGCTCGAACAACGTGGTCCTCAAGGCGTCAATGTATCCCGAGTGGCTCAGCCACCTCCTTGTGCCGTGGTACCACTACGTGCCGATCCGTGCGGACTATGCGGATATCTAGTGAGTGCGGGGCCGTGGGTTTTTGCGTCACGTCACAGCCCAGGCCTCGGCCTGCGGTCTCGGCCTTGCTGACCCCAGCGACATTATGGCCTTTTTCGAAGGCGCGCCCGACGGATCTAGCAAAGGCCGCGACGACCTCGCACAAGACATCGCCGCACAAGCGCTGCACCTCACGAAAACGCGCTGGCGCGACGAAGACATGGCGTCGTTCATGCTCCTCATGATGCTCGAGTACTGGCGCATGGTGCACGACGACCGCGAGGCCGGCTCGTTCCGCCTCGGCCGCATGCCCGCGGACGTGTAGACTGATTTGGGCTCGTTGTTCTATTATTGTATGCATTATTGTTGGCCACGCGCCAGATCGCCAAGCGGCGACGGCGGTGGGGGTGGGGGTGGTGAGTGGCCGGTGCCTGATCGCCCGGCCACCCAGCGGCCACCAGAGGGAAGTGGTACACGACCAGCTCGACACTGCCCATCCCATCACTCATGGCCGTCCGCATCTCGTACAACGCCCTCCGCGCGGACCCCGCGTCGCTCAAAGACGCGCTCCAAGCCGGCCTCGGCAGCCAGCCCGGCGCCCTCGGCATCGTGCTCATCGAGGGTGCGTCCTCGTCTTCCCCGCTGACACCAGACCTCCCGGACTCGTACCCGGCGCTGCGCACCCGCCTGCTGCGGCACGCGGCGGCGCTCGCGGCGCTCCCCGAGCCCGCGAAACGACGCCTCGAGTCGCCCGAGACGACCTACTCGTTCGGCTGGAGCCACGGGAAAGAGGTGATGAACGGGGTGGGTCTCCTGTCTCCTCCCCACTTCCTCCCCGACTGACACCAGCGCCCCGACACGGCCAAAGGCAGCTTCTACGCCAACCCCCTCACGGACCGCGCGTGCGTGAGCGCGCCCAAGCGCGCGCGCTACCCCGAGTACTTTGCGGACAACATCTGGCCGGACGCGGCCTTCGCCGCGGCGTTCAAAGCGCTGGGCGCGCTCGTCGCGCACGTCGGCATCGCGCTCGCGGACGCGTGCGACGCCACGGGCTTGGCCCCCCGCCCCATCGCGCCGCTGATCAAGGCGAGCCAGTGCCACAAAGCCCGGCTGCTGCACTACTTCCCCGCGCCGGCGCGCGGGGGCGACGACGCGTGCGGCACGCACATCGACCATTCGCTCCTCACCGCGCTGTGTATGTCGCGTGCCGCGCCGCGCCGCCGCAGCTGACCCCAGGCTCCGCGCTGTACCTCCAGCCCCGGGGGGGAGAACTCGTCCCTGTCCCCCCGCCGTCGGCGGACGCCGGGCTGTGGATATATCCCCGCGGCAGCGCGCACGCCGTCAAGGTCCAGATCCCCGCGGACTGTCTTGGTGAGTTTGCGCGAGCCGCACTGACCCAGCCTTCCAGACGGGCGAGGCGTTACAGGTCCTCTCGGAAGGCAGGCTCGCGGCTACCCCGCACTACGTGTCGGGCGGGACGGGGAGCACCGACGTCAGCCGCGAGACGTTCGCCTTCTTCCTCCAGTACGTCGCCTGTCTGCTCCGCTGACCCAGACCCGACGTCGACGACGTGATCAGCGCGCAGGGCGAGACATTTGGCCAGTTCACCAAACGCGTCCTCGCGCGCCACTACAGCGCACCTGCGTAATACGTAGCGTGACTGATGCATATGGGTTGTATTTTGTGTCCTTGATCTTCGCTCGTCCCACCTCCTCTGTCCCTCTCGTCTCCTCCGCTCCCTAGTCTCACTCAGTCCTCGCTCACGTCGCCCAGCTCAAACATGCCCAACCGGTCCACCTTGGCGCCCTCGCTCGCCTGCTGGATCTTCTTCACCACCTGGGGATACGCGCCGAGGTATCTAAGCCCCTTGTCGAGCGTCGCGAGCCCCTCGCGCACCATATCCGCGTTGAGGCACGCGAGCGGGTCCTCGGCCGCATGCGGGTCCGCGGGATCGATGAGGCGGAGGTGCGCGAGATTGCCCTCGCGCTGGTCGACGTTGGCGACGAGCTTGCGCCCGATCGTGAGGTCGCCGAAGCGGCGCCACGCTTCGGCGCCGTACTCGCTCTCCCGCGGCGGGAGCTTGACGAACGACAGGCGCGCCTCCTTCGCCTGTCCCGGCAGCGCCTTGAACTTTGGGTCGAGCGGGCGGATGCGCGCGAACGGCATCGTCTCCTCGTTCCCGTAGTCGATGAAGTGGACATGCGCGTCCTTCTTGATCCCCGACGCGCGCTTCACGCGCGCGCGGTACCATGTGTTGTCTTCCGAGAACTTGGCGGATACGAGCTCGCCCGTCTTCGGCGTCCAGCCGGCCGGCGCAGCGTTCGCCTGGTTCCGGTGGAACAGACTAAAGTCGGACATGAGGCGCTCGAGCGCGGCAGAGTTCGCCTCGTCCAGCTCCTGGTACGAGAACGCGAAGGGGTCCGACTCGCGCACGCTCGACACGCACACGTCGAGGTACTGCGGCGGGAGGGCGGCGTCGTTGGCCGCAGGCGCGACCTCCTCTTCGCCGTCAAAGTCGGCCCAGAGCTGGCGTCAGAGGAGCACACTCAGCCACTCACGTTCTTGCGCTCCTTCTTCGCCGCCTCTTCCGCCGCGAGCAGGTCGGCGCCGTACGGCAGGTTGCGCGCGCTCGGCTCGTGCACGCTCGCGAGGCCGTTGCGCACCAGGTCCACCGCGACGTTGTTGTTCCCGATAAACATGCCGCCGATGAACCCGCCCTGCTTGTCCGTGCTGTCAAACGTCACCTCGACGTCGCGCTGCATCGTGCGCGACACAAACCGGTGCGCCTCGTTGCCGTACGGCTCGCTCTTCTCGTTCGGGTTGCGCGCCGTCCGCGGCGCCCGGATTCCAGCAAGCACAAACGTGATCTTGGCGTTCTCCTTGGGGAGGAGCAGCTTGAAGCGCGAGCCCGCAGAGACAAAGTCAACCACGGCCGCGTGCTTCCCGTGCCGCTTCCACGAGGGGAGGTACTGCGAGGCGCGGGAGTGGTTCTCGCTCGCATCCACAATGCGTGGGAGCGACACCTCCTTCGGCGAGTGCAGCCCCTTGGTCTCGCCGGCCGCGGTCTGCTCAGCCAGCACGAGCTTGTCAAACTCCATGCTGCGGTCCTCGTCGTCGCGGCGGTGGCGCAGCACAGTCGCAAGGCCCTTCTCTATGAGCTGCTCCGCGACGTTGTTCTGGTTCCCGCCGTACTTGATCGTGACGCACTCGCGCTCGTCGTACTCGCCGTCTTTGGGCTTGACGTAGTCGACGTGCACGTTCACGACCTTGCCGACGAGGCGCTTGCGAAGGAACTCCTTGGCTTCGGCCGCATAGTAAGCGTTCTTGGCGTCGGCGCCACGAGGTCCGCGCACCGAGGCGAGCTGCACGCGCCGGTCTTTGGTCGGCGAGTCACCCTTTGCGACAATCGACAGCTGGTCAGGACCCCAGATCCGGACGACGGTGGCCTCAAACGACTGGCCCTTTGTCGTGCTGGCCGGAGCGGCGGCACCACCAGCACCGTTCGCTGCCTTGGTGGCACCATAGCCTTCCCACAACCCCACGCGGCGCTCCTTGGCAGACTTCTCAGCCGCGCGGAGCTTTTCAAGGCCGCCGTGTGCGGCGAGGATTCCAGCGTGCCACTTTTGTTAGCTACGAAGAGCGCCTTCTGACTCACGTCAATGACCTTGGCAAGGCCAGCAGAGGTAAGGAACTCGGCAATGTTGCCGTTGGGGTGGATTCTGCTGTCAGTCTGCGTTTGACCGACATACTCACGCCTGGCCGATTATGAAGCTCGCGCCCTGGGAGAGAGAAGGGAGCCCGCTGCTCTCGGTCTGGAAGGGAGCCGAGTTGAGCGACACGGGCGCGGACAGCAGGCGGACCTTGATGCGGCGCTGGAGCAGGCGTGCCTCGGTGAAGAACTTGGCCTCCTCGCCCCACGGCTCAGCGGCCTGCGTCTCACCGTCGCGCGTGACGCTAGCGCGCGGGCTCTTGGCGCCGGCAGTAACGAGGTTGATGAGCTGGTGGTTGTTGTCGTCAAGGAGCAAACGCACACGCAGCTGCGTGCCGTCGCGGACCTGCTCAACAATAGCGTCGATCTCGCCAGAGTGCTCGGCAATGAAGGCGTGCGGGTCGGCCGGCATGGCGAACGCGACAGTGAGCTGGTCGGGCTGAGCACCCCACAGACCGCGCGTCTCAGCCTGCGCGCGCCCTTCTGCCTCCTTCAGTGCCTCGGGCGCGTTGTCGCGCGCCTTTGCCCAACCATTCTCGACGACAAGTGTCGCGACATCCTGGGGCCGCTTGCCCGGTCCGGGCGGGGCTGAGAGGACAGTTGCGAACTCGCCCCCGTTAGGGAGCGTGTGCGTCACAGTGTACGCAACCTCCTTGCCGACGAGGTGGGAGCGGAGGAACTCGCGCGCCTGAAAGGCGAAGGGCTCATCGTCGCGGGACGCAGTGCCGATGCGCGGGGCCGATGTGCCAGCGAGGTGGAGAACGCTGGCTTCAGCTCATGCCAAATGGGCTGCTTACCGCTCCTTGGCGGGCTGACCACGAGCGGGCGCCTCTTTGGGACGCACGATCACCGTGTCGCCAGAGAGCACGGCTGGAGGTTAGCATGGTACGAGGGGAAGACAGTTAGGGCCGGGGTTGGACGTGGAGGCTGGAGGCAGGCCACCCCCGCTCAGCACTCACACTTAACGATCTGTCTGTCAGCTCGGTCGCTGCGCTCTAGCTAGCCACTAGACTCACCGCGCGGGTAGACATGATGATGAGAATGGAGTGGGAGGGAGTGAAGAGAGACGAGTTGGAAGGTGCTGGCAGATGGTCGAGTGACACGCGTGCTGCCCTCATTCTCAGGCACCCGTCGATGCCGGCGGGTGGTGTCGATGGAGTATTAGCATTGAGTATTAGAACAGATTAAACAAATAGGATGAGCCAAATAGTCCTGATCGCCCAAAAGTGGAGGTGGAGGTGGAGGCGATCGAGTCGTGTGCAGCACGCCATTGACGCTCCGTCCATCATCTTTGTCGTCTCCATCATCTCTTTCATCTCCTTCGATATCGCCACTTCTCTTTGTATCTCATCAAGCCTCATCCGTGTCTTAAAATCAACTCCTGGTTCTCTCTAAATCTCATCATTGAGCCTTGAATCGCTTTCGCCACCACGCCGACATGTGCCGCTTCGTAAGTTGCGCCCAACGGTCGCCCCAACTCATACAGATCGTGTACAAGGGCGCCGAGCCGATCCAAGTCTCGCATCTGGTTACGCGCCCCCGGCACAGCATCACCAACCAGGCATTTGAGAGCAAGCTGCGCTTCCCTTCTTCCCGGCCCATGAACGTAAGCTAATCACACTACTCTCACACTGACCGAAGGCGGATGGCTTTGGGATCGGGTGGTACGACCCCATCCTTGCGGAGGTGCCCGTGCACAGCGATAGCGCGCCTGCAGTAACGCCGGCGTCAGTGTCACCGCCCCCGGCTGTTCCGGGCCCTTCTCTCCCTTCCATGCTGCGGACTGGTACGCCTGCTCCCGCCTCCCCGCTTGTCCCGATAGACGGTGCCGTAATTCCGCCAGAAAGCGAAACGGAGGAGATTGCAGAGGAGTCTACACGGGCGCGTGAAGTTGCAAAGCTGCGCGAGGAGGAGCGGGAGCACGAAATCGAGAAGCCGTGCATATTCAAGAGTATCTCTCCGGTGAGCTTTGACGGATTGAGAGAGCTGACGACAGGCGTGGAGTAATGCCAACCTCACTCGTCTAGCGGAGAAGCTGCGGAGCCATCTCGTGTTCGCCCACGTACGCGCGTCCACTATGGCTGGCGCGCCAAGTGAGGACAACTGCCACCCGTGGATTTTTGACAGGTTGATGGTGCGTTTTTCTGCCGAGCCCGCTGACATCAGTGGATGCACAACGGCGAGATTAGCGATTTCCCAAAGATTAAGCGCGCACTGCAGGCCAGTCTGCCTGAGGAGCTCTTCCTCTATCCCTCAGGCTACACCGACTCGGAGTGGGCCTTCATGGTGTTCCTTTCAATGGTGAGCTACCCCATTGCTTGTGGTCTGACGCCAGCTCAAGGACCCGCACGCGCGCAGTTTTACGCATGTGGAGCTCCGCGAGGCAATGATGAAGACGATTCAGTTTATCAACAAGCTCTGCAAGGACGCAGGTGTCGTGAGTGTCTAGTTGGTCCTGGGGTTGACAGCAGTCGGGGCCAAGCCTTATGAACTACGTCGTAACGGACGGACACACGGTCGTGGCGACGCGTTACATCAGCAGCCGGACGCAGGAGGCATCGTCCCTCTTCTTCTCGAGCGGAACCAGCTTTGACGAGTACGAGCCCAACGCGGGCTTGTATCGCATGACCAAGGCGGACAAGCGCGAGCGCATCATCATGATCGCGAGCGAGCCGCTCACGTTCGAGCGAGCCGACTGGGTCGAGGTCAAGACCAACATGATGATTGTCATCACGCCAAAGGTAGGATTGAGCGGGAGTTGGGAGTGGTGAGGTGGTTGCTCAGCAGGCTTTGGCTTACCCACCGCATCCACAAACAACTCGTGACTGTTCAGCACTGACCGCAGATGAACCTCCTCCAGATCCCCATCATTGACGAATACTGGGTCGCACCGCAGGACCCGGCGAGCCACGCTCGCTCACCCGATCTCGCAATCCAGCTCGGCTTCGGGCACGGCTTCGCATACCACAACGTGGCAGCGACAGCCTAGTTATCACACCTATCATCTTTCTCTGTACCACTTGTCCATCTGTATGCATGTTCCTACTACCCCAGCTGAAATCACGCTACATCCTAGCGGGGGGAATCAACTTTGCCAGCTCGGCGGGAATCAGGGCCGGCGCGCGGAACGACTAACGTTACTGTCGATCACCCACCCTGCAGAAAGCATGTTCCGGTGTTCCAGTGAAGCCCTGCAACATTGAGAACTCGCCGCTCGTGACGTGGTCATACCAAGTACCTAGACAGCCGTACGGCATGCATAATACACTCTACTCTGACACTACACGCCTACGCGGCCATCAAGACGCGCGTAGCGGCCGGCTTCCACTCCTCCTCGACGCGCTCCTCGTCGGGCACCGTGCCGTGCCCATTCGCGTCCCCATTAGGCCTCACCTTGCCGTCCTCGCTCGTGAGATCCCACACCTCGCCGTCTCCCTTCTCCCCATCCTTTCCCTTCTCCGCCTTCGCCTTCTCCCTCCGAGGCTCCGGCAGCGCCGGCAGGCTCTTGTTCGTCGCCTCGGCGCTGAGCTTCTTGCGCCGGCTGGAGCGCGACGCGCTCGACCCCTCGCTCGGCGGCGGCGGGGCGCGGCGCGCAACCTTGTCGCTCCACCGGCCCATCGGCGCGCCGCCGAGGAGCCACGCGGCGACGCGGTCCGTGTCCTCTGACCGGGGGACGCCGAGCTGGCTCAGAATCGCGTCGAGGAGGAGCTGGCACTCGCGCGCCGTCGTCGCGTGGTCGAGCAGGTGGCGCAGCGGCGTGAGGTCCGCGAGCGCGACGTAGCCCTCGGGCAGGCGTTGGTCGGCCTGGTCCGAGTCGAGGGAGCGCACGGAAGCCTTGGGCGAGTTCGAGGGCAGCGGGAGGGGGAGGGCGCGCGGCGAGCCGCGAGGGGAGGAGGCGGGCGAGCGCGGGGGCAGGGAGCGGCGCTCAAGTACCGGCGAGGCGGAGTGGCGCGTGCCGAGCGAGTGCACGGAGGGCGCACCGTTCGATACCGCGTCCCCCTGGAGTTCCGCGACGCGCTCGTGACGCAGCTGCCGCGCGGGCGCGGTCACGCTGCGAGGCTTCTCGGGGCGCAGAGGCTGCGCCGAAGCTTGCGAGTAGATCGTCGAGGGCCGGGAGCGGATTGAGCCATTCAGCGTCGCAAGGGCCGCCTCAGGCGTGCCCTCTCGTGCGGATGTGAACTCGTCCTCTGTCATCAAGCCGTCGCTGTGCGCTATGCTCGGCAGGGCGCCCATTCCAAGACCTAGGCCGACACCGGGTGAGCGCAAGCTGTCCGCGTCCGACTGCTTCTCGCTTCCCTCGTCGTTCTCCGGCAGCGGCGAGCTCACGCTCAAAGGCGTGCTCTTGCGTCTCGTCAACTTCTGTTCGCCGTGCCCGACCTGCGCCGCCCACTTGCGCACGATCGACGCCCTCCGCAGCATTTCGCGCGGCGTGGCGGTCGGGGCTAGCGGGGGCTCGACGTTGCGCGCGCTCTGCGCCCGAGGCTGGCCGCCCGGTGTTTGCCCGTGCAGGGTTGACACTGATCCAACCGACGAGTGGCTCTTCTGTGATCGCAGCCCCGTGGAGCCGTCGCGCGTGTGCGATGGCGGAAGGAGTGTGGGCGACTGCAACGAGCTGTTGTCTGGGTAAGACCGGAGGGTCTGGACAGACGGCGACGGCAGCAGGGTGCGCTCTGCCCACGACTTGAAAGAGGTATCCTCATCCTTTGGCTCCTTGCGTCGTGTCGAGCTCATCCGCGACATGATGTTCTTGAAGCGGCCCGAGCGCGACGACGGTTGCGGTGGAGAGATGGGCCTCGTAAAGTCGGGCGCAGTGGTGATTGGGGGCGGTGCTGTTGTGGAAAGAAAGTGGGCGAGTTCACGCGTCTCCGGTCGCATCGTCAGGCGATCAGACTTGGACCGCTGACCGCTGAACATCTCGCCGTTGACGTTGACCTCGGTCTCGACGATACCACCCTCGCTGGCACTACGCTGTGTCCGCTGCGATGGCGCCGACTCGGACACTAGAGTGGGCGAGGCGTCAGTTTCTGAATCAACATGTTCAGCCTGTGGGATGGGCGAGCCAAGAATAACTGCGGGCACGGTGCGCGCCTGAGTCCGTGGGGACAGAACGCGCGGTTCTGACTTGAGGAGCTCGACGACGGACGGCCGATGGAAATCGAGGGCATCGTCCTCGTCCTTCTCCTCTATTGTCGGCCCTCTCGGCATGAGCTTGGTCTGCTGTGAAGACCAGCTACGGCCCGCTGCTGCTCGGTAGCCGCTGACGCGCGAGTCGGTAGTGCTGGCCTGGGTGGACATGGAAAGCAGCGACGACTCGCTCGACGACATGGGAGCCACAGACAAGTGATCACTTGCCCTTCCGCTGTCCTTCCGTTGCGGCGACGTGTTGGGCGACGTCTTCTGGCGTAAGCGGTGCGAAAGACAAATCCTTGTATGCAGGTGCAGGTCCTTTTGCACCTCGCCTCTGCTACGTACCTCGAAAGTACTGAAGCGGCTTGGCGTGAGGCTCACGCGCATTGTTTCTCCAGAGCGCAGGATGGCGTCAAAGTCGTCTTCAGCGGATTTTTCCGCTGCTGTTGATGCTGCTGGTGAATGCTTGACGGTGTGTTCGTCTTCTGTTGAAGGTTGCCAAGCGCTGAGGATGGACGAGGCTCTCTTGTGGTGGTTGGCAGCCGCGGGAACAGCTTTGGCGGCGTTGATGACGCTCTTGTAGAACTGCTCACTTGCTGGCCGTTGAGAGTGGTTACTGGGGAGTCGTGGGTGGTGTAGAGAGGGAGGTTGTTCAACGTTGGAGGAGACAAGAGACGACTGAGAGACGTATGGTGACTCGTGGGGTGACGAACGCGTGACACCCATACTGGATGCAGAGCGCGGGCCGCCACGCTTGGGCCTCGTAGAACTTCGTGCGTCGTTTTCAATCTGCGCTCTCGCTGCACCATGTCAGCACCACCACTCTTCAGCACTTTGGTCCGAGCGCAGAGGGAGGTGGGCGAGGTGGGCGCGAATAGCCTCCTCGCACCTCTGCACTCGCACTCCTTACTCGACTGATCGATTGCTAACACCACTCACCGTCCATGCGCTTGAAGAAGCCATACACGGCGTCGTCCTCGCACAGCGCCGTGTACAGATCTTGGACAGCCGCCGTTACAATCGACGAGTCTCGCGCCACAACCTGTGACAACTTTGACAAGATGTGCTCGCAGATATGTCTGTCGTCAGCGCAAGGCTACGGCTATGCCGGCCTAGCCGGCAGCACCGAGTCTCTGGGCCGCCGCATCGACCCCAACATGCCATTGGAGCCATGAAAGCCTGACATCCGAGCAATCGAAGGAATTGCAGGGGTGTTCTCGACGCCAACTTTGCCCTCGCGTTCACGCACCGCGCAAGTTGGGCAATGTCGGGTGGCATTCCCGCGCTCAGACCGCACTCACTCCAGGACAGCCGTAAGCCACAATCCGGCGGGCGCCACAGTCTCCTCCGACCCGTCGCCGCCTGCGCTTTCCCATGCCGCGATCGCTGCGTCGCTCCTCGACAGTGGTATTGAGTCCTGTGCGTCGGCAAACGTCTGGTAGGTCAGCTCGGATATTTCGTCGGATCAATCTCATCGCGCGCCAGGTCCAGTGCCTCAGTGGCAAGTGTGAGCTTGTGGAAGGGAGAGGTTTGGCTGCGCGCGACGGGTGGAGTAATACGCACGCTCAGACTGGCAACCTTGACGCGCATGAGCTCCACGGCTTCGCTCGTGGGGAAGCGCTCGCGCGCTTCCTCAGCATTCGCGACGAGCCCGCGCCCCTTGCCTGATGGTGGGAAGCCCGACACATCCTTCTGCGCAGTGGGGTGACCGTCGTACCAGGATCGTATTTCGACCTCAGCCTCGCCGACAGCTGCGCGGCCAAGAGCGCCGAGCGCAGCGGGGTTGCGAAAGCCACGCTCACCCTCGCTCAGCGCGGATGGCACTCCGCGAGTACGCAAGTCGGTGAGATTCAGGCTCTCGGCGGCCGTGACGATCCCGACGAGCAGCTCATCGAGCATCAAGTTGATGTACTCGAGAGCCTGTGGAGCTAGTGTTGTTGGCCGCAAGTCTGAGAGGAGGGCATTTGCGCTCGTCGCGGACACAATCGGCAGCGCGCCGCGCGCTGAAGTCAGCATTCACCCGGGGTAGGCAACATCAGGCGAGGGCGCCGAGGGAGGGAAGTCGCCATGCATGGTGACAACACCGAAGGCGATGGCGATGCAAGAACGCACCTGGCATGGCTGCGCGCCGCTCCAGCGGACTGTTTCAGGGGATGGATAGCCGGGGGACGCGCCCCGAGGACGTGTGGACGGCGGGCGGCTGGCGGGCAACAAGGTGAAGCGCAGAAGTCGAGTATTGTTCCGGGTGGATTGGAACGAAGGACGAAGGAGGGGGGTGGTCGTCAAGAACAATGGGAATGGAATGAATGGGTGTGGTGAGCAGGTCGCTGCGGAAAAGATGAGGTGACGATCTGTCCACAGCAGGACACTGTTCGGGCCGTTTGCGGGGGAGCTTTGGCCAGACCACAGCGGGTCAGATCGAGGCAAGGCGTGGCGAGGGCGGTGAGAGGGATGGGTTGTCGTCGACGTTCGGGAGGGAACTGGTGGCTGCGAGTAGCCAGGTGGCCCGGATGAGAGGAGGATAAAGGCGGACGGAGGGGAGGCGGAAAGAAGAATCGGGGGAGGGGGGCAAGGAAAGGGAGGGAAGCAAACGAGCGTGCGAGGGTCGTAGTGGTTGAACTGGTTCTTGTTTCGCGTATGAAGCAGGCAAAGCTCCATTCAACGTCCCTGGGCGAAACAGTGCCGTGGCGCTCTACCTGAGACGAGGATGGAATGCAACCCGCGTGCGGGCGGGTGGCTGTTGGCAGGTGGTCGGTTCGGTCCTCGGACGAGGTTGTTGATAGATGATGACAGACGGAGGATGTTGTGGATTCAGTGGGGTTGGGATGTTGCACGAGGATGCCGTGGCGATGAGGACGACTAGTCTTACGGCGGCAAAGGCCAAGCATAGACTCTTGGCTGCCTTTGGCTGAAAGACCCAGAGAATTAGAGGACTCACTGGGCCTCGTTACGGCTGGTTACGTTGCTGCGACCAAGTTAGTCAGGCCCCTGGGCACCGGGCGCGGCACGCTCTGTGCGGGGCGGGAGGGTCGAAGCGACAGCGACCTGCTCCAGTTACTCGGCACTACGGCACAAGGGCACGGGGGTGAGCGTTTGGCTTGGGCTTGGTTGCCAGTTCCAGTTCGCCAACTCCAGTCATACAGACATCAAGCCATGCAAGCCAAACGCCAGAACGCAGCAGGCACCTCAAGTCGCGCGGATACTACTGAGCGCCACACGCGCCAGACCCGGTTGCTGCCACCACAGACGACGCTGTGCGTTGGCACACCCCACGCCCGTGCATGTTCGCTCTGATAATGGGCCTCTGTCAATCGGCTCAAGCCAGCCAGACCTTGCACAACATCCAGCAGCAAGCGGCGGCCGTTGCAGGGATTTAATAGGATACCGGCTACAACCTGTGGCTGCAGATCCTTGCTGACGACACCCTGGAGGAATTCCCCCTCCCTCTCACCTCATCCCTTTCTGTCCCCCTCGGCGTTCACCGCTTGTACTGCTGATGCCGCCAGACCAAGTCGTACTCCGCGCACGCCGCTAGGCCCAGGGAATATTCTGCCAATGCTTTGCCCCAGGTGGAATTGCCCGAGCACCGCGTGGCTCCGCTACTCGTAGAGTAGCCGACGCCGAGACACCACTCAACCCAGGTCAACGGACCAAACTCACCCGGCTCAACTTTCCAACTATCCACTCCCCTCTCATGCCGCAGTCAACTACCCCTGGACTCTGAGCCACAGCCAGACTTGACGGTGCCTGGGGAACATGCCCCCCTTACACTCTGGGTCGTTTGCCTCGACCCGCCTCGAAACAAATCAGCACCCGCAGAAAGCGGCGCAGTAATCTGAGCTTGATTCCACTTGGAACACTTACCATCAGGCATTCGCACGTCCAGACTCAATTCATTCTCCGCCCAATTCTCGCCCCCGGTGAGTACCCCAGCCGGCTTCCGCGACGCCTTCAAAAATCGGGCGAACGGCGTCTGCACAGGTCGTTCGTTGTTCCTGGTTGTTACATCCTCCCCGTTCTGCGCACTCTGATACACCTCTTGCACGTCCGCATGTTCATAGGCACAAATCACCTACACGTGTTGCAATACCCAGCATTCCTGCGACACGCGGGGCCGGGTATGGTATGGCGTACAACTTCTTACGCGAGACAACAATAGCTGCTGATCACCCCTCCCCCAAGCGGGAGGCCCCGCGGGAGATCGGCAAGATGGATACGTCAGGAGGCGCGGGACCGCGTGGCGGTTGTGTAACTTCTGCTACTCGACGTCCATACCTCGCGGACGGCACTACGACGTGTTTTCCGAACGCGAACGCGTACACAAATATTCACAGTCACGCTCTTCGATCCCCTTCTCCTTCCCATGTACAGTAGAGCGGCGTATGCGTTGAGAGGTGCCGGTGCCTCGCTGCAAGTCCCGCATGCTGGCGTCGTTGCCCAATGCTGGGTGGGGCATCCCTGACACACGGGGAAGTTACTCACGCTTCATCTCGAACCTTATATCGGCAAGCGACACGGGGCAGACCGCACCTCATCCGTGCAGTCCGATGTTGTGGTGGTGCCGATGAGGACCGTGCCCCCGCCGCAGTGGAGTTCTTTAACCTCCGAGCGAGGTTGGTCTGGACAGTCCAGCAGTACCAGCACCCCTGCGGGAGTGGCGCACGGGATGCACACTGGCGCAGTGTGATGCGTTCTTGACAAGCTTGACAGAGTGTGGTGACATATCGCACTGGCAGTGGAAAGATGTACCATACTGATGACACTGGATGAGTCCCAAGGGAACAAGCTCAAAGAGACACTCAGTCCCGCGCAGCGTCGACTGTCTTGCTGTGATCAGCACGCCTGGATAGGTAGCTAGCATCTTGGCATCTGGGAGGCGCGTTGCTCCATATTGAATCTCAGGTTGCAGCAAGTTCGTTAGGTGAATGAAAATCACGTGGCTGACGGCCAATTTGATTCCGTCGACCTCCACCTCGAGACCTCCACTCGGTCCAGAAACTTCGGACCTGGGTGTGGCCGACATCCATCTCCTTTCCACCACGTCGAATGCCTCGTCTTCGCCTGCCTCCATTACCTAGCCCATCACAATGGAGCAAATATATTCCACGCACAGGGCGCTATTCCAACGAGGGAGCGGGAGCTCGTGAGCTTCTCCGGCGCACGGTTGTCGCCAGCAAGAAGCTCACGGACTCTTACGTCCGCGCCCTCGGCATCAGGAAAGACGAGGTCATTCTCGAGGCCTACCCGTCGCTTGGGCAGTTGACGCGGTCCCTCCTTGCTGGAGGAGTCGACACAACATCTGCCGCCGACTGGGAGCAGGTCACACGTGAACAGGAGATCGTAGGGCCACGCGCGGGCAAAGTCAAGCGGCGCAACATCGACCAGTTCGACTACCCGGAGTGGGACGTGAGCAGTGTACCAGCCAACCCTGTTCCGAAGGGCGTGAATGAGAAACACGCTGTCGTTCCGAAAGCAGTGGTTGCTATCGAGCCACTCATCACGCAGCTCAGCCGCGGGCTCGGATTCGACCCAGACCTCGCGCCGTCGTCGTACTGGGACTACAATGATGCTAAGACGGAGGAGGAGCTCAAGAAGATTGCGGAGATGCGGGGGACTACGCCTGTTTACCCTTCTATCCTGCAGAAGAACCTCTTGCTTTGTCCCGACTCTGTGTTCGAGTGGCACACCATTCCGCGCGTCTTGGACAACCCGCTAGTCTGGGAGAAGCTTCCTGTGTACGACGAGAGCAAGGAGGGTGTCGAGTCGAGGATGCGGCCGTGGGACGCCCCTCCCCCGCCGTTGTCGGTTGTTGCCACCATGCCTGAGACTGTATTGGGCGACCAGCTTATCGCGCAGTGGGTGTCAAGCGCGATCGGGGAACCAGGCAAGGAGAGGGGCTGGTTGTGGGCATTCGGGCGAGTCCGCCTCGCCATGTTCGTCCCAAAGACGCAGTACGACGTGAGTAGTGCCGCATCCTGCGTCCAGCGCTGACAATAGCGCCTGATGGCATCCCCTGGCGAGACGATCCACTGCAAGCTCAGCGTCATGGCGAACGCCCTCTTCCAAGTCCGCCCGCTCCCCCCGTACCACCATGTGCCCGACGTCGACAAGCAATCGACGAGGACGAACACTGACTATGAAACGGCTCTGCGGGAAAGCGCGGGTGCCCGAGTCGGAAAGGGCGGCGTGAGGATACGACATGCGACACCCGCGCCTCCGCCCATCGACGAGGTGACGGAGACACATGTGGGCGACTTTTGGCCGCAGAACGGCCGACTCGTTGGCAGGTCGGCGAACGTCAAGGTGCCCGAGGACACGAAGCTGCCGCGCCCGCCCATGCTCGGAGTCGAGCTTATCCCACGCCTCGACTCGCCCATCCGCCTCGACCAGCGCGAGGAGTGGGAATTTGTCCTGCGGCACTGCTTCGTGCAGGAGGCCAGGCCGCTCTCGTTGGCCATGCCCAAGCTCGGGTTCGGGGCAGAGAACCTCATCCCCAAGATCCGCGAAAGCGAGACAACCAGCAAATATGCTGGCCTGCCGTGCAACCCCGAGACGACGGTGCGGCACCTCACCATCGAGCAGTGGCAGCGCATCGTCGACGTCTTCGCCAAGTGGCCGTTCAAGCCCGAACTGCTGATGCTCGACTCCCTCGACGACAACCGCCAAATCGGCACCACTTAGCATACTGTACATGTAACCACTCTATTGTTGGCTCTGCTGCTGCCGCGCGATGAAGTCGCGGATGCCTGTGCTGCCCATTTTGGCGTCCTTGAGGAGCGCTTCCTCGACCGCACTGAGGTCGCGCGTGCTTCTCTTGTCGTGCGCAAACTCCGAGCTGATCACATCGATCGCGAGCATGTCGAGCACGCTCAGCCCCTTCTCCCCGCGCACGCGGTTGACCATGTTGCCTCCGCTGAGCGTCTCCTTGCTGACGACGAGGAGGGAGATTTCCGGGTCCCACGCAGTCGGGCCGAGGGCGTCCTGGATTTCAACGACGTCGAGAACAATGCCACGCGCTTCACCGCCACAGCGGCGCAGGAACGCTGTCGCAGCTCCGAGACGCGTGTCGAGGTTGTCAAGTACTGCAGCGTGGCTCTTGGTCGCGAGCAATCGGTGGGCCATGACGCCGACGATGAGGCGCTGCTCCGTCGCGAACAGCGCCATGTGCAAGAGCAGCTTGTGCGCCGCATGCAGGTGGTCGAATGTCCCGCCCATCGCAGAGACCTTGTATCCTAGTTCCGAGGCGGTGGGAAGTTCTCCAGCATTCTGGACGAGCTGGTCGAGCTCGGGCTCGATCTGAACGAGGCGGCGCTCATTGCTTGTCAGATCCGGAGCGGCTTGGGCAAGGATGTCCGCCGCCAATCCCTCGAAGCCTGGCGTCAGCATTCTCTCGGTCTCGGGACAAACCCACCCTCGAAGCCGATAACGAAGCTGAGCGAGCCAAGCTTGAGTGCCCAGTCGCCCTCCTCGCCGTCGAAGCGCACCTCGACGTCAGTGAGCGGCCGCCCGGCCTCCCATTGGCCTGCGGCGAGGACCGAGTACACCTGCGCGAGGAAGCGGCTGAGCGCAGCGAAGTGCTGCTTCGGCGCCGCCCGGAGAGCAGGATACAGCTGCGGCCCTGTCGGCGTCGAGAACAGCACGATGCATCTTTCCGTCGCCTGGCTCGCGGCGTACCCCAGCGCGTGCAGGAGCGGGGAGGGGTTGGCGAGGATGGCGGGCGTGAAGGGGCATACGAAGAGTGCGCGCTTGTGGTGGTTGGCGTCCTCCGCCGTCACGGGGTAGACCTTTGGCGGCCAGTAGAGCTCTGCGGCAGACATGGCGGGCGCAGGCAGTGTGTAGAGCGTGGGGGAGATGGATGAGGTTGTGGGCAGCATCAACCCGGATCGACCGGATCCCGGGTATCGGACAACGGCGATCTCCGTGCCTGGCGTGGAGACCCCACGCCGCCAAAGTGCCACACTCCAACTCGGTGGAGCGCCGAAACGCCGGTCGACCAAATTGATTTGTAAGCAGGTGGCGAAAATAAGAAACCGGCGGATGCTCGCCAGAGGTGGTCACTCTGTCGGCACTGCTCGTGCTCTCTCTAACCCTCAACCACTCGAAAAAAGGTGAGCATTTTATCGACATTGAGGCTCGCGCGGACTCGTCGACGACGCGCACCGGCGCCCGCGGTATCGGCAGTACGCGCGGCGAGCGCGGAGACGCTCTCCGAGACGATTTATGGGCGCGGAGGGATGATTGCTCAGCAGGTGGTGGTGGGGACGAGGTTCCCAGCAGGGGCCGGGATGTGTAAGCACTTGGCCCCCCGCCGCCTGCGCGCGAGTATAAGAGCCTGGCGGCGTCGTTCTTGCCTCTCTTCTTCCCCCCATTGCCCAGCAATCCGCGTTTCGTGTGATTGCTAAGCCAACCTCTGTTTCCGCCGACTCCGCGCGCTCCTCTCCCCCCCTCTTCCTTCCACACTCGCTTACCCTCCAGTCAAGATGGGTCGCCGTCCCGCTCGCTGCTACCGCTACTGCAAGAACAAGCCGTTCCCCAAGTCGCGCTACAACCGTGGTGTGCCCGACCCGAAGATCCGCATCTTCGACCTCGGCCGCAAGAGGGCGTCGGTTGACGACTTCCCCTTCTGCTGCCACCTCGTTTCCGACGAGTACGAGCAGCTCTCGTCCGAGGCTCTCGAGGCCGCCCGTATTTGCGCCAACAAGTACATTGTGAAGAACGCCGGTAAGGAGGCCTTCCACCTCCGTGTCCGCGCCCACCCCTTCCACGTTATCCGTATCAACAAGATGCTTTCGTGCGCCGGTGCCGATCGTCTGCAGCAGGGTATGCGTGGCGCTTGGGGCAAGCCTTACGGCAAGGTCGCCCGTGTCAACATGTGAGTGGCGGAACCGTACTGTGGAGTCGCGCGCAGGCGGACTCGACAGGAAGCTCAAGTGACAACTGCTGACATCCAGTGGCCAGGTTATCATGTCGATCCGTTGCCGTGACCAGAACAAGGCCATCATCATCGAGGCCCTCCGTCGCGCTCGTTACAAGTTCCCCGGTCGCCAGAAGATCATCATCTCGAAGAAGTGGGGCTTCACCTCGCTTGACCGCCCCGACTACGAGGCCCTCAAGGCCAAGAAGCTCGTCGTCAACGACGGTGCCTACGTCCAGTTCCTCAAGCCCAAGGGCAACCTCGAGGCCAACCTCCGCATGGCCCAGCGCGCTTAAGCGCTCCTCGGGATTTGGGGATTGTAGGATACGTGGTCGCATAGCATGCATGGCTAGCGGTTGAGGAGCGCGTCACGGGAAATCTGAGTGGCGTGTGTGATGGCGAGTTCGCGCGAGCTACGCGGCATGCGGAGACGGCGTGGAATCTGGAGCGATGCGTAGAGGAGGTGACTGTTGGAGGCGGCCTTGTGGGATAAGCCAGAGCTGGCGGCATGAGCTAGGCGAGTCCAGTCTGCATGCTCGACGCCACGAGTGACAGCGAATGCGATCGATTTGGGCGTCATGAACAGGATGCACATGAAGCCATGTTCTTTTGATCTCGCTTTTGCCGCGTCGCGCGTGCGTGCGCCCGCGAGAGCATTGTCGCACCGTCATGCTCAACGCCATGACTCAGAGTATCACAACCGCACCATCCGAGCGCCTGAACGCGCTAACGCGCCTGTACGCGCCCCCCGCTTCCGAGATGTGCAACGGCGCGCGCTAAGACCAGGCCCGAGGTCCAGCGATCCAGCACTTGTGGATGGGTGAGAGTGGCATGCGTGGTGGGTGGCGAGGTATTTGACGTCACGTAACATTCCTCAACTGGCCACCACTTCAGCCTATATACAACTCGGTCTCACGGGGTCGCACGCCAGCAACACTCGGCATCCCACTTCTCATCCCCCCGCCACCACGCCGTTCAGAACCCTCTTCCGCGCTGGCCCGGCCATGGCCTGGCTATCTAGTGGACGCACAAACACCGAGCTCGTCGACCGCATGGTGGCCAACGGGCTCATTGGTTCCGACCGCGTCGCCGAGGCCATGAAGGCTGTCGACCGCGGCCATTATGTCAACTCTGCTGCAGGCGCGTACGACGACTCGCCCCAGTGAGTGTTTTCTGGGCAGGGAGGCGGCTATATGGGACGAGGAGATCCCAAGGTGGCCAGGCCGCAAGACAGGAGGCAGATAGTGAGGCATGCTGGTAGGGTGGAAGGCAAGTAATGCTTCGCGTCCACCTCCTGCCCTCGATGATGCCCAGTCCGCTCGTGAAAGGAGATCATGGGTGGTGCCGTGCAGCCGCCATGCTCGCTCGGATTAGCTTACACCAGGCGCATCGGCTTTAACGCCACCATCTCCGCCCCCCACATGCACGCGCACGCTTGCGAGATGCTCCTCCCTTTCCTCGACGAGGCGGACGCCAAGCACGGCGCCATCCTCGACGTCGGCAGCGGGAGCGGATATCGTAAGTCCACCGTCTATGCAGTGAGAAGGGTGCTGATGCTTCGCGACGCTCCGCGATCCGTACCGCCTTGCCTGCGCCTTGCACTTGTGCGATCCCCGTTCCCACGTCGTCCTGCCACTGCCCCCCCGCCCGTTTCCGCCGCGCCCGCCGCCCTCACCTCCGCCCTACTCCGCCCTCACCGCCCTCACCGCGCCCGCCCCTCGTCGCCCTTTGTCCCTCCCTGCGCTCCACCCCCCCGCCCCTCACTCTCCTGCCTTCTCCCGCTTTCGCACACGGGCCCAACGCTTCTTGATCCGGCTTGGTTCACCCTGCCGTTGCTCACTGCGGTCCGGCTCGCCGCAATCCCCTTACTCCGCAGTGACTGCCGTGTTCCACCGCCTCGCCCCAGGTGCCACGGTCATCGGGATCGACCACCTCGACGGCCTGGCGCAGCTTGCCCGCGACAATCTCGCCAAGGACGGGATCCAGACTGGTACCTCTCCTGGCATCGACATTGTCTGCGGCGACGGGCGGGCTGGTTGGCCTGCGAACGGTGTGTGCTAACACCCCACCTTCGAGTCTGCGCTCCAGTCTAGCGGAGGTGGTACACTCTGGCTTGGGGAAGACAAAGCTGACGACAGCGCCGTACCAAGTTATCCACGTTGGCGCGGCGGCGCCCACTGTCCCCACTGCGCTTGTGGAGCAGCTCGCATCGCCGGGTCGCATGTTCATCCCCGTTGGCACCGATAGACAGGGTGAGTCAACAGAGGGCGCGACGCGGGGGAGCAAATGGCGCCCTCAGCGTGATTGAGGCGGTGTGAGGGGCGCCAAGTTGGTTGGTCCGAGCGTAGCAACTGTGTTGGGGCCAGCAGATGCTCCAGCTTTGCGTCCGTGTTTCGATCAAATGGGCGCATTGGACATGTTGGGGCTAACTTCAGCTATCTGGCAAATCGACAAGGACGCCGATGGCAACGTCACCCAGAAGCACCTTTTCGGCGTCATGGTGAGTTTTCGGTTAGACATTGAGCTCACGTCAGTATGTGCCCCTTACGGACCGCGCCAAGCAGTGGTCCGGCAACTAAATTGTGTATAGCCTGTCCCTAGGTGGGCGGCTGAGAGGAATCGAGGAGATCTGGGTGGGTGAGGAGGCGTCAAGAAGATGGCCGGCTTAGGAGTGGGAACGATGCCAGTGCGGGGGGTCCAAGCAAGACTGCGGAAGCTGCATGTTGGAGGCAGTGCCCCGAGAAAGTAGTGTGTATCTCCATTCTCCCCTCATCCCATTAGTGCAAACTGCCGTGTACAAAACACCTGTATGCATACGAAGGTCGTGGACTGTTGTTCGTGCCAGCTTCAGCGGGGCAAGAACGTGAGATTGCAATTGCGCACAGCACGAATCCAGCCTCACGCTTCGCGCTTCGCGCTTCGCATGTCTCCCTCCAGCATGCCCAAACAACCACGTCTGCGCCGCGCGCCGTCTGCGCCGCAGCCCATCTCCTCCTCTCCTCGGTGCAACGCGTCCTCGCCACGTGCAACAGCAAGACAAAATCCATAATGTCCACCCGTCATGAAACTCTATCACTCGGATTCGAGAGCGTAAAGCGATTATCGGGCGGTAGTAAGGCTCGCTCTCCACCAAGCCCAGCGCCAATGGTAGCGGGTGCCGCACCTCTGATGGTGCGGCCGGCGCGTGGGCAGGTGTTGGTGAAGAGACCAAGACCGCCGCCCAACTTTTATGCCTGGGGGAGGGGGGGGGGCGAGGCGGGAATACGGCAGAGGGCCGGAGTTTGACGGGTGGCGGCCAAAAGTTGGCCTTCGCACCAGTTCAGCGAACAACTTGTCTTTGTCTCTTTCTCTGTCGATCTCTCGCTCCAAAGTGACGGCTCGATAGCTTGGTGCACTGGTAAGTCTTCTCCCAAGCCCGCCACCATGGCTTCATGGCGGCGTGCTCAACATGACGAAACCATCTGTGTAAAATAGGAAGTGCCATCTGTATTAGCCCACAGGCTATGCTGTTTCCAGGTTCTCTGATATCCCTCCCACCAACCGTTGGGCAGTCGCTGACCCCAGATATCCCCTGTCTGTATGCTCTCACATGCATACACTGTGTTGCCGTGTCCGTGTCCGTGTCCGTGTCCGTGTCCGTGTCCGTTAATACATAGTGTACAGCTCTACGTCTTCTACTCAAAGTATCCTTCCTTCGCTTACAGTCTGTTCATCTGCCATACCGTCACACCGTAAACACGCTCGGGCGGACCACGAACGCCGTGTTCCCCGCCAACACTTGCACAGGTACCTCGCACTCGACCGTCTCGGCGCGGGCCTCGGCCCACCCCTCGCGCGTTGATATGAAGGGCACCAGCCCCGGCGAGGCGTTGTGCGGCGCGTTGTCGGCGTCAGCCTCGACCGGCACGAGATGGAGGCATTCAGCTGCCTTGGCTTTCTCCTCGCTCTGGCGCTCCCCGCTCCTCCGCCGCGGCGGCGAGGCGACGAGGAACGCCAATCGCACGCGCCATTGCAGGCCGCCGCGCGCGCCCTCGCCCGCAGCGAGGGAGAACGCCGGCGTCGCGTCGCTAGGTATGTCCAGGCTGAACGCTGTGCGTGCCGTGAACTGCGCGTAGGATGAGCGTTGCTCGGCATGCAGCCGCCGCAGCTCGGGGTGGCGTTTCCCGCCCGGCGGGAGGAGGGGCTCGGGAATCACCTCGTGCGTTTCGAGGTACGCCGAGAGCTTGAGGACGCGCCTGTCGGGACGCGTGTTGAACGTCACCACGCCTGTGACCGTCTCGCCGAGGCGGTACGTCGTCTTCACCAGCGTCAGGACGGCCACGACCTCCCCATCCTGTCGGATGTCGTAGGACGCCTTGGGGCTGTGGCGGGAGAGGATCTCGACCGCCTCGCCGCATCGCTGCTCCTCTTCAACTAGCTCATCGTCTCCTGGCGCCGTGGTTGCACTCATTGACCTGGGACGGGGCTCGAGCAAAAAGCTGCTACGGCGGGGTGGCTTGGCCGGACTCAATGGGCGCAAGCTCTTGGACGGCGATGGCGGGGCGCGGTGCGAGTCCACGCTGTCGACCAGCTTGCGCGCATACGCCGCAAGACTGTCGATGCTCTGCGGCGGCTCGATCATGTGTTGTGGTCGCCTGGGTGACGTCCCCGTCGCACTTCGCTCCTCCACCGACCCTGTCTCAGCCGTCTGGATCACGGGCTGCAGCACGTCGTAGGTACGCAGCATGTGATGCAATGAGACATTGGGCCACACGCGGACGGGGAGGACAATCTCCTTGGCGCGTTGCCGCTTCCCACCGCCGGGCAGAGCGACGCTCAGACTCAATACGAGCTCGTATGAGAATCGCAGCGCGCGGCCCTTGAACGCCGGTGGCAAGGTCGCAGGCAACTGCAGCGTGTACACGACTGCTGTCAGCTCCATCAGCGTTCTCAACTCACACTCTCGTGTCTCGCCCTCCTGTAGCTTGATGTCCACGCCCATGAGGCTGCGAGTCGTCTCAAGCACGGGCAAGTCCTGCGTCGTCCACACGCGTTTACGCTCCTCCTCCAGACTGCCCCCTGTGCCACCATACACGAGGCCCTTGGCAAGGCCAAACAAGCTGCCCGTGAGGCTGGGCTGCGTGGACTCGCCTAATGTGCCGGTACCAAAAGAAATGGCCCAGCGGCTCGGCTTGTCCGGCCCCTGTGTGCCCAGACTTCCGCTCCCGATCGGCTGGTGCAGCAATTTCGCACGGAGAGGCAACAAGGGATCTGGCGGTATGTACGCGTGACTTGGGGCAAACTTGGCCACAAGCCGCGTATGTCCCCATAGCACGGTCGTAACGCCGGTCTGGATCGCGGGGCGACGGAGCGGGTGTGATGGCGGAGGGGTGAGGAGGGAGGCGCCGTAGCTGTTCTGGTAAGAAGGTGCTCGGCGATGCCCGGGGCGCACGGGGGACCGCCGCGGTGAGTCGGGTGACGCGGATAGAGGGGAGGAAATGGGTGGGGAGATGGGGGATGGTGTCCGCAGGGAACCAGAGGATCGGCGCGAGTCGAACGGCATCTGCTCCTCGGTCACGTCGGCGAGAGAAGGCGACGCGCGGGGCGTCGCTCGGCTCGAGGGGCGCGAGTCGAACTGCCCGTCATCGGTTATGGGTGATTCTTCGGGGAGGGAGATTGGTGGGACGGGGGGAGGGGTGAACGCCGCTGTGCTCGCGATGGAGATCTTGCGGGCGTGCGGATGTGCGGAGGGGATGTGAGGAGCGCGCCGCGCCGGCAGCGGAGGTGGTCCGATCTGGGGCGTCTCAGAGCGCTCCTCGCCTAGCGCCCACACAATCTCCTGGGGACTTATTCCCTTCCCAAGCGCGAGTGACTGACTCCGCCGTCCACCAGAAGGCCTACGCACATGTCCGCGCCAGTCGTCATACTTTGTAGGCGTGGCAGGACTCTGCGCCGGACTGGACGGCGCCCCTTCACGCCCCAGCAGAAAGTGTTGTGGATTTGGACTGGACGGCTGCGAGTGCGACGCGCGTACTGGCGTGCGCGTGTTGCGGAGTGTGATGACGGCGGAGAAGAGCTCCCCGGCGTAGAATGCGCTCTGGGCCGGCGTGACCGTCACCTCGAGGTGGGGGTCGTCGACGTCGAGCGCCGGCGACGTGCGGCCGAACATACGTGTGAGTGTGAGGTATGCACAAGTGACTTGATGCGATGTAGGAAGTTGAGATGTCTGTAGAGTTCAACGTCATGCGATCATCGTCCAAGATGCTCACAGGCGGGCCAGCGACGCGTGAGGAAATGGTTACGTAAATGAACGTGCAGTGGCGACAGGTGAGTGGCAGTTCGTGCATGGTACTTTCGTCTCTCGACAAGTCCGTGGGTTCCAATGCTTTGCGTCTTGGGCAGTGCTAGGAGTGTCAATCATGTACGCCTTGCAAACGCTGTCCGGCAGATGGATTGAGAGTCGCTCAAACTACTGCACTTGTGGTCAAGCCACAGCAAGTTCACTATGTGCGAGCGTTCCCCCTCGCCGCTTGATGACAATCATCCTAACAAGGCTCAGATATTCACTCTGTTAGATGCTTTGACCACGAATATCTCAGTCTTTGGAGCTCAAAAGAATGGACACACCCAAAGAAACAATCATATCGCTGAGGGCACACTTCAATGAGGTAGGCTCGTTCTTAAAGACACCTTAGCCCCCCTCACTTGCCCCCCTCCTCTGACCAAACTCAGCTCCCAGTGAGTTACTAAATTGATCAGTGCATAGCGAACCACGATCACCAGCTGGGACCACCTAGGGGCTCCACTTTGCGCACTGCCTTGTTTATCAATGAGGTGTTGCTTATTAGCGTTCGGTGTAGTAAACACGCAGGTAGAAGCCCCTCTTTCATCCAGCAATAAACGGCACAGCAACTGGGCACCTCTATATCCGCAGCGTAAGTACCAAGATTGATTGCCCTTCATATACAATGCCACTCTCTCCTCCACTGTCGTCCACCATCTACACCCCAGGTGCCCTGCGCCTCCCTTCTTTCTCGGCAGACCACCACATACTCGACATGACTCCCCTCTGATCACTCGATGAAGAGCAGTGCGAGTGATGGTTCCGGCTTTCAGCGTGACACCATCGCAGGCTCACCCTCGGACCAGTCCCTTTCCTCGCACTTTGAGCGTGGATGAAGAGGTGCACGTGACCCTGCCCGTCGGCCTCATCGGCGTCTTCTATCTCGGCCATCTCGCGGTCAGACGTCATAGCCGGCCGTCGGGCTTGCGGTTATCAGATGGCCGAGCTGACCATGATTCTTAAGCTCCCACGCCGACGTTCAACCGCTCACCACATCACACACCCTCATCGAAATGGGCAAGACGATCACCTTTGCGCCTGGCCTCGACGTGCCCACACCTGGGCTTGGGTGAGTCTCTCTCTCGCCGCCCGCTGAGACCAGCACCATGTCCCTCTCTCCCGGCGTATACGGGAGCGTGGATGACAATGAGTCGCTTCGCGCCCTCAAGACAGCTCTTGATATCGGTTGCACGTTCTGGGACAGTGCTGTTCTGTACGGTGCAGGGCAGAACGAGACTCTCCTCGGCCGCTTCTTCAAGGAGAACCCGGGCTCTCGGGAGCGCGTCACGCTCGCGAGCAAGTGCGCCTTCGACATCCACGCGCCTCCCGACGTGAGTCTTCCATTCTCCCCCCTCATTTACCCCTCTTCGTCTCACGGGAGCATTCTGGGGTTCTGGCTACTGCGCATCACTCAGGTCGCTCACAGAACTGACCCCAGCCCGTGTCCCGCTTCAAGATCACCAACGCCCCAGCCCATATCGCGCAGTTCATCGAGGAGAGCAAGGAACGCCTCGGCTCGTACCCCGACATCTACTATCTCCACCGCATCGACCCGGACACGCCTCTCGAGCAGAGCATTCCCGCGCTACAGAAACTCAAGAACGACGGCAAGGTCAAGTATATCGGCTTGAGCGAGTGCAGTGCGGACACGCTGCGCAAGGCGTGCAAGAGTGAGTAGGCGAGGTTAGACGGACACAGGGAGGTAAGCACTCCACTGACTTCAGTCGCGCACATCGACGTCTTGCAGATCGAGTACGGGCCGTTCGACCAGAGCTCCGAAAACAACGGCCTGATGGCTGCGGCGCGTGAGCTCGGTGTCGCGGTCGTCGGCTACTCCCCGCTTGGACGCGGCATGTTGGCGGGTAACATCCGCAGCCGTGACGACCTTGAGGAGGGCGACTTCCGCCGTTTCATGCCCCAGTACTCGGAGGAGAACATTGCGCACAACGTCGCGCTGGCTGACCGCTTCAACGAGATCGCCAAGAAGAAGGGTGTCACCGCCTCTCAACTCGTGCTGGCTTGGGTGGCCGAGAAGGGCGTTATCCCCATCTTCGGCACGCGCCAGGCTGCACGCGTCAAGGACAACTTCGCCGCCAACAGCATCACGTTTACGCCCGAGGAAAAGAAGGAAATCGACGACCTTGTCGCGCAGAACACACCCAAGGGTGAGCGCTACCCCACCCAAATGATGAGCACCGTAGGCCGCTAGAAGTATGATACATGCTATACTACAAAGTCTATGTCTAAAGGCCGTTGCACCACCTATTACCATACACATCAGTCGCGGCCCAGCCGGTGTGGGCCGACCCGTCGCCGCGGTTGTTACTGTCAGACACGTAAGCGTAGCTCTCATTGGCGTTGAAATGTCGTCGGGGGCAGTTCCACTGCAGCGAGGACGGGCAGCGTTGGTCCACGCGCGTGCACGTGTTGATGCACGGCATGAGCTCGACGTAGTCGATTGGGTAGGTTGGTGGACCCGTCTCACTCGAGAGGTTGCTGTTGCGCGGCGTCTCAAGTGTGCGATCGAGGCGGAACGGCGCTTGCGGGCCGCGCGGGTCGACGTCCACAAATGGCACTTCGTCTCCCGCGCACTGCGGGAGCACGAGGCGGCACAACCATTCGCGGTACGCGGCGTAACAGTCTGCGCAGCTCGAGATGAACGAGTACCGATCCCGCCCACAGGCGCCGGAGAGCACAGACACTTCAAATGCTCGGAGGCTCGCAGCGATGAAGTCTGCGTACGGCTGCGGAACGGAAGTCAGAGTGGCGGGGTTGTCGGAGAGAGGCGACGCGTACGCAACGCCGGGACACATTGAGGTAGGGAGGAGGAGAGGGCAGTTGAAGCTCGCCTGTTTTGTTGTGAACCATGCCGGCTGGGACATTGTGATCCCGTCCGCGCCAACAGCCCACACTGTGTAGTTGGTGCTGGGCTTGAGGTTGCCAAAGACGGCGTAGTCACGGAAACCTGCCGTGCCGCCCACCGTCGTCCAGGCGCTGCCATTCACATTCAAAGTGGGCATGTCCTCCGAAGGCAGTCTTTCAACCTGCTCTTGAATCGCGGCCGCACTATTACTCAGCGCCGACGGTGTCGACGATGTGGGGAGCACGACGAATGTCACCGCTTGGGCGCGCCCGCCAAACAGGAACGTGTTATTTCGTGTCGACTCGCTGCCATTCAAGATTGCTTGGAAGTCGGGGAGCGGGAGCTCGGCGCCGGGAAGTGTGTAGTTCGGGTATGTGGGTTCTGGTGGTTTGTCCACCAGGCGAAGAGGCGAAAAGACGAGCGCTTCCGTGGCGCTCGAGTCACCGAAGTACGGGTGGGTGGCATCGATGCCCCCGACCTTGGTGTAGTCGAAGTGCTCACCGGGCGGCGTGTCCAGCACAGTGTACCCGAGGTAGACGGTGACGTTGCCTGCACCGACGAGGGTGGGATCGAGGACAATGTCGTCGTTGATCCCGCGCCCGATGAGGATAGCAGGCGCGACAGCGCTGTACCTTGCGACGTTCCACGAGCGATCAACGCCGTACGTCCAGTTCCCGAAGCCGTTATCCCACACGATCTGCCATGAATTGTCCTGGCCAATGTTGTAGCCCGTGCGTGCGCTGCCGCCGGACGTGCGCGATCGCCGCCCGTCGCGAGGCAGGTAGTTCTCCTCGGTGGTGACGATGACCTTGGGAAGTGGCTCGGAGTCGTTCGCTCCCAGTTGCCCGATATTGAGAATGACTCCAAGCGCACGATCTGTTATGTTGTTCGCAAAGCGTGCAAGGAAAGCCGGTGCAGTTCTGTTCAGCGTGAAGTTGTACGTCAGACCTGGGTCGGTAAGCAGCACCGTTGGCGCCACCTCATGTGCTGATCGGGTGGTTGTGGAGGAGGTGGATGTAGCACGATACGAAGAGGAGGAGGAGGATCGTGGGAGGGAGGTCGCAGATGAGCGAAGGGAGGTAGCAGATGCGGACGAGGCGGCGGACGTTGGCACAGTCCAGGTGTTGGTGTTGATGTCGGTCTCAACTCGGTCCTGTGCCAGAACGAGGGGCGCGAGGAGGACGAGCACCAGGACAGCAGAGAGCAGAAATCGCAGTCGCAATCGCCCCCTGCGAGGCATAGCCGCCTCAGAACGCCATCGGAGCATGCGTAGTCGAGTAGAGGTAGAGTAGTGATGGACAAGCGTCGACGAAGTTGACGACAGAGTGGGAAGTGGGACATGGACCAGATGCACGTGGTGTCAACGTGACACAGCCTCGACGTCGTGTCAGGGTGATGCCTCAACCAGGTCCGGACCGACCACCTTGACAACTAACTACTCACCCAACATCAATCAACAACAATCCATCCGCAATCCCCCTTCATCACTTCTCGCCCAGCTCCCCAGCGCTCCATCCCACGCCGCCTCTCGCACCGTGCGAGTCATCTCCTGCCTCTCCCGTTCTCGCGTGCCGCGATCCCGCGCCCCGCGGCCCGTGCGGAGCATCACACGCGCCTCTCTTCCCTCCCTTCCGTGCCCCTCACCCTCTCCCTGCTCATGCCGCGCAAACACCGTCCACGAACGACCACTCTCTACCTCCCACCTCCGGAGCAGGTCGAGCCTGCCGCCCCGCCGAGCCTCGAGGTGTTATTGGCGGCGCAGCAAATTGCGCACGACCGAGGGCACGCCTTCGACATCGAGAGCTTCCTACTCCCTGCGCAGCGGGAAGAGTACCTCGCCTACCTGGAAAGCGAGAGTGAGCGGAGTAGTGAGAAGCGTGGCACGGGGGAAGCGGAGACACCCACCGAGGATGAGCCAGCGCCCAAGCGTCCGCGCCCTTTGAGCGCTGGGCCAGCGGCGTCACATTGGCGGAGTCGGCTACTCACCGGGCGACGGACGCGATCCGCCACGCCGCGCATCAAGTCCGACCCAGATGCCAACCTCGGGAGCATGCCCGGCACACCGACAAATCACAGCTTGCGCGACCGCGAAAAGTCCAAACAGGAGATCGTGTTGCCCGCCGATCGGCCTGAGATTCAGGCGTCGGCGTCATACTGGTAAGTGCGCTCTCAGCTCATCTGCACATCTGCACTCCATTATTCTGGCTAACATCAGGAACCACCTTCTTGTGCAGGCACGAGAAGCGCGCGGCCCGCAGTGGGACTACAACACGCAGATGCTCATGTTCGACCAGCACTCGGACAAGTACTACTCGCAAGGGCTGCCGGCGCCGCCAACTCCCCCGCGACCACCACCTAAGAAACTGGAGGAAGTGCCGAACGGAGAACCCAACGGCGAGGGGAAGGGCAAGGCGCCAGAGATTGCGCCAGCTCGCCAACAACCACCACCACCACCACCAAGCGGCATGCTTCCCCGCTTCTCCAACGCTGCGGGCGGGTCAGGCGGTAGCGCGAGTGGGAGCGTCAGCGGGAGCGTAAGTGGGCCCTCGCCGTCAGCCGGGCCCGCCCAGAGTCCGCAGAACCCGAGCCAAAGCCCGAGCCAGAATCAGCTTCCACCCCACCTTCGCATGCAGGCCGCCGCGCAGGCGAATGTGCAGGCGCAGGCGCTCGCGCTGGGCCAAAGCGGCGGATTCAACCTCAACCCCATGGTCATGCAGGGCCGGCCGGGGATCAATCCCATGAGCTTGATGGGGGGCATGGGGGGAATGCAGATGGGGCAGATGGGGCAGTTCCAAGGCGGCCCGCAGGGGCAGGGGCCTATGGTGGGCGGTGGGTGGGGAGGGGAGCAGTTCCAGCAGAACGGGTAGATGCTTCATATGCAGAGATGGTGCTGTAGCAATGCATGGTATTACTACTTCCTCAGCTACGCGGAAATCGTGATGGCATGCAGCGGCGCCAGGCATGGTCTTTGGCACAAGTCTGATCGACCGATGTGCTCCTTGAGATTTCAATACATGTGGATCGTGGAATGTCTCGAGTGGGATGGAGAACGAGTAGAACTCCGCTGCAATCGGGGAGTCTGAAGGATCAGCGGTCATCTCCAACAATCGCAGTTCCATTTGCATGGTCTACGCGAGGCGTGTCTACCGCTTGCGGCCGACTTCTCGAGTCGGAGAACAAGGGCCAGCATCCTGACACACATGCGCTGAGGAAAAGCATCCGAGCAACAAAGGATGCAAGGGCGTGAAAAACATTGTCGTCCTCGTATGCTCGTCTGACCACGTTCGGCTTGTGAGTCCCAGCGACATCACAGAACAGGTATACAGGAATCGAAGGAGAGCAGGCTCCCCGACCCAGAGATCGATAACACCTCCTTTCAGATCTCGACAACACCCGCTGCAGATTCAATCTCCTGTAGCCTGCTTGCGCCTCTCTCTCCTGTCTCACCCCGCCCTCAGATCCCGCTCCATCATTCTCCCGACACCCCACCTGAACCCAACGCCGCCTCCTGAAACCAACGCCGGATTGTACACGGTTGCATATCCGATGCAGCCGAACCCCTCATGCCGAAGTCTACTCGTCGTCATGCGCTTAGGCAACGAGCTTGACGACACCACCGGCCTCCTTGATCTTCTGCTCGGCCTGCTTCGAGACGAAGCGGGTCTTGACGATGAAGGGGCGGTCGAGCTTGCCCTTGCCGAGAAGCTTGAACTTGCCGAGGTTGACAAGGTCAATCACGGGAACCGACCCGGAGGGAACCTCAGCCTGGGCCTCGGGAAGCGAGATAAGCTTGTCGATGTTGATGGTGGGGCAGTGGTAGTGGTTCTCTGCGTCGTCAGCCGCTGTTCCCCCAATACTGCGCGCGCAACGCCGAACGAAGCTGTCCCAGCCCCGTGCTGTCCGCATCCCTCCTCATCCCCCGAAGATTCCTCTCCTCCTTCCTCGAACCTCCAAACTGCCCGTTCCTATGCGATGCGCGCGCAGCTCCTTCCAGCTCGATACTCACTCAGGAGGTGGTAGTGGCGCATACCAACCTTGCCGAAGTAACCAGGGTGGTACTTGTCGAAGTTGGTGCGGTGGTGCTGTTGTCAGTGCAACTTTGGCGCACAAACTCACGTGCTGACCACCGGCGAGACCACGACCACCCGGGTGCTTGCGGTGCTTGCCAACACGGCCGTGACCGGCACTGACGTGGCCTCGGTGCGCGCCTGAACATCAGCACAATCGGCGGCACGGCGCTCACGAGTCTTCGAGAAACGGGTAGGCATGGCTTTTGGGTGTTGAGGGATGGAGAACAGACGTTGGCGGCGACAACCAAATTCAGTGGCCCGGCGCTGCGCCATGGATTTGATTCCGCTCAGGTGTGGTTTTTGACGCCAATCCCGGAGTTTTCACAAAATCCCGGGGCACGTGGATGTGATAAGGAGATTAGCGATATCCACTTCATTGTTGGGTGCCTGACGCAACGACTGGGACGTTTCGATCTCGTCGTCGGCGTCTCTGGAAATCGATCAGCGACAGTTCCAAGACAATCCGTCTTGCGCTACTCCCTCCCCAACCTCTTACTCTCTCTTCTAAAAGAGGGGTGAACACACCCACCACCCCTCCATCCCCCCTCCGCCCATTCTTCTTTCGCTTCCCTGCCCACCATTCCGCCCAAACCTCTCAAGAAGCTTCAAGCCGAGCCCCAGATGGCCCCGAAGGACAAGGTTGGCTCGTGGCTCGGCAAGGGCAAGGAGCCCTCCAGCAAAGAGGCATATGATTCGGACTCAGCAGAGTCGGATATCACAGAGCCCGATGTTCCGACCAAGAAGGCCGCCTCGTCCTCGTCCTCTTCCAGCAGCTCGGACAGTGACAGTGACAGTGACAGTGACAGCTCGAGCAACTCGGATAGCGAGGACGAGGCAAAGGAGGGCCGCGAGCGCAATGTCGACTGGGTGACTGTGATGCCCAAGGTTCGACCGGCACTCCTTGACCGCAGCGCGAAGCGCCGCGCCGCGTTCATCGCGCGCTTCCTTTACGTCACTGACGAATGTAGGTTGGTGCGATGGCGACGCTGACACCAGTGCCCGCGCCGACACAGGTGCCTGCGCTGCTGCAAGCGCTCCTCTCGTCTCTGGTCCTTCTCCAGGATCTGCGCGCCGTGGAGGACGTTGTACGAGTGCTCGCCGAGCTCGTAGAGCGCGACGAGAGGCAACAACAGCCTCAGAAGCTTGGTGATAAGCTTGTCAAGTGGTCGCGTGCGGAGGTCGACAAGGCTGTCGCCTCACCCTCGTCGTAGGCATCCCATTAGGTATCAAACTAATGCCAGCTCGACGCCCACTTCGCTCCAGCCGCAACTGATGTTGCTCCTTACGCTGATCGCGACGCTGCGCAAGTCTAGAGGAGACGCTTTTGCGACTTCGGCGCAGTGCGCGGACCTCTTCATCGCCCTCGCGACCGTGCTTGACGCGATCAGCGAGCGCGCCGCCCTCATGAAGCGCCGCCCAGATCGCCTCCTGCGGAAGCTCAATGTGCGCGTGTGGCGCGTACTTCGGCCGATGCGCGCAGCCTTCCCCGCCCTCATTTCGCTCCTCACCACGAAGGTGCCCGTTCCAACGCGCGCTGCCGTGCTGCTCGGTCACATCGTAAGCGTCGCGCTCCGAGCAAAGCCTGTCAAGGGGCAGCCCGAGGGCCGCACGGTCATCGAAGGCCAAAAGGTGAGTCGCATTACCACCCGGATCCGTGCTGACGTCAGGATCCCTTGCTCAACTACTACTCGACTAACATCCTCAGCACTAAGACCGCGTTGCCTCAGCATGTTCCTGTGAGTGGCAAGACGAGAACGGTGCTGACATGCAGCTGGCACTGCGCGAGTTCCTCGCCAACTTTGTTACTGAGTCCGATCTGTCGGGCAAGCTTATTCCCACTGCGGAGCGCATGATGCTGCGGTCCCCAGAGATTGCATTGACGCGTGAGTGGAGGCAGCTCTGAAGAGGCTGTGCTAACCGTAGTTGTTGCCGACCTCCTTAACTGCTGCGAGATTGACATCTCAACTATCATCCCGGCCAAGCTTGTCCCTTCCATCATTTCCGCGTCCAAGTCGTCGAACGCCGAGACGCGTGCTAAGTCAATTCTGCTGCTCAAGGCGGTCGTGAAGCGCACCTCGAACCCTGACTCGCTGCTGAAACTCGCGACGGAGCTCCTTGCCCTCCCCAAGGCAGGCAAGTCGGCGAGCGCCGAGCAGCGTGTTGCGCTCTACCAGATGGTTGCTGCCATTCCCTCGTCCGCGTCGTCCGTCGTCGTGGACACCATCCCATTGCTTGTGGCCAAGGAGGCTAACGAACACGCTCTGAACGCGATGGCTGTCGCGCTTGGCGCCCATCTCTCCACAGCGCTTACTTCCGACAAGGCTGTCGCCCCAGCAGCCGCGACCGCGTTGGCTAAGGAGCTCGCTTCGCCTAAGCTGCCAGCAAGAAGATCCCTTTCCAGTGCCGTCGGCACGGCGGCATGGTCTGTCCATGCTGGCGACAAGTTTTCTGCGGAGGGTGAGCGGATACTTGGCTCTCTGGTGCCTGCTCTAGAGGGCAACCTCAAGACGGCAAGCGCGTGTGCGCCTGCCAACGCTGCTGGCTTCCTCGAGGGGTATGTCGCTGTTGCACTTGCTCTTGGTCCCCTCAAAACGCTTCCTGCTGCGGCCAAACTTGCCACTGGCGCGCCCATGCAGGGTGTCCTCACCCTCACCCCCAAGCCTTCGTTCATCCTCAACGATAAGGCGTACACCAAACTGTCAACCCTGGAGGACGACACATGGTTCCTGCGAGCGCTTAAGGTCCTTATCATTCGCGGCGAGGGTCTCGCAGATGAGGCAGTGCGTATTGCATTGGGTTTGGGTCTCATCCACCTCGCTTTCGACTCGAAGCACCCGACGGTCCGCCGCGACACCCTCGCCACCGTCACGGAGCTGGCCAAAGAGCAGCCGCAGGTTACGGCGCAGGTGGTGCGTGAGTCGCTCACCGTTTGGCTCCGCATGCATGACGAGGCACGCGCCGCTGCGCTCAAGAAGCGCGAGCCAGGCCAGGACGCCGAGGTAATCCCCTCTCGCTCTCGACAGATTGGCGCTCTCCTCGCCGCATCGGTTGCCAAGTCGGACAAGGCCGACCAGGGCATACTAGAGGAGATTACGGCCAACCTTGTCGTGCTCGCTCACCACCCCGAAATCGGTGAGGGGTCGACTGTGTCGTGGATCTCGCTTGTGCAATCGTTGGGCCTGGACCCGGCGACCCTCGTGCAGCTGAAGCACGCAAACATCCTCACTCAACTCTGGGAGGCCGCCTCTGCGCCCCCGAAGGACAGTCGCTTCGCTGAGGCCGCGTACCGCGCCATTGCGACGCTGGCGTTCATCGACCCAGTTGAGTTTGTCGCTGACGTACTCGAGAAAGCAAGAGAGGACCTCGACCCCCACAACCTGGACTTCATCGGGCTCGAGGAGCGTGGTATCTGGGCCACGCCCTCAGATAAGCTATTCGTGGACGTTCTTTCGCCCAAGAAGGAACAAGTGGAAAACAAGAACCGCAAGAATTACGACATTGAGAAGTGGGAGCAAGAGGTCCGCGAACAGCTCGCCAAGAAGAAGGCGACCAAGATTGCCACCAATCTGTCGAAGCAGGACAAGGCGCTCGTCGCGCAGCAGCATAGCAAGGAGAACGCCGTGCGCCAGCAGATTGCGAGCACCCAAGCCCGTCTCCGTCGCGGCCTTGAGCTCGTCGCGGCCCTTACCGACTCGCCTGTATCGGCGGTCGAGGCCAAGGTGGGGACCATTGCCGATCTTCTTCTCAGCAGCGTGTTTGGCCCTGGCGCGTTCCTTGTCGACCGCCGCGCATTTGACGTCTTCATCAAACTGTCCACCCTCTCGGCTCCCCGCCTAGGCGAATATCGCCGCATGGTCGCCGCTGTCCTACTACGCGCTTTCGGCGCACCCTTCATTCCCGAGGACTACCAGGAGAAGAGTGTGGGGGAGCAGGTTACGCGCGTGCTGCATCAGATTCACTTCGCAGCGTCACAAAGCCCTATCGATAGCACAACGTACGCGCTCGTGAGTATGCTGATGTCGCGCGTTGTCGCCCTCGGTGGCGTTGGCTGCGACTCTCCCCAGAGTGAGCAGGCACAGGAGCAGCTCACGCTTGTCGTGGGTATCATCGGCTCATGTGTTGGCGAGTTCCACGACTCTCGGTACCCTCGCCTGCACACCATCAAGGACCTCATTCAGATCATCGGCACCTATACTCGTCTGGCCAAGGATGCGTCGGCTGTCCTTGCTGATCTTGGCGCTGCCATCCAGGACGTCGCCACGCCCGAGGAGATTACAGCGCTCATCGGCGGCACCCTTTCGCCTGACTCGGGTGTACGTAACTCGGTGCTTCAAGCGCTCCACCCCGTTGACCTCACCGACCTCAACTACTCTGAGGAGCTTTTCATCGCAACGCACGATACGGATGAAACGAACGCTGGTCTTGCTGAGAACATCTGGGAGGAAAACGGACTGGACGTTCCCGAGACGTACCTCGACTCTCTCCTCAAGTACCTCGCGCACTCCAGCGGTGCGGTTCGCACTGGTGCCTCGGCCGCCCTCGCCGATGCTGTGCAACAGTACCCCACGCAAATTGATGCGACGGTCGCTGGCCTCCAGAACCTCTACGCAGAGAAGGCTAAGCTTCTCGAGCCAGAGTACGACCGGTTCGGTATGGTCATCCCCGAGACTGTCAACCGCCCCGATCCATGGGAGGCGCGCGTTGCTATTGCCTCGACACTCGAGAAGGTGGCTGCAATGGTGCCTGACTCACAGGTCACGTCTCTCCTGGATTTCCTCATCCAGAAAGAGGCCCTCGGTGACCGCCATGAGGAGGTGCGCAGGACTATGCTGAGCGCTGCGACTGCCCTCGTCGATATCCACGGCGGAAAGGACGTTGCCGGTCTTATGGCCATGTTCGAGAAGGAGCTCGCCAAGAGCTCAAAGTCGCAGGCGTCGGACTATATCAAGGAGGCAGTGGTCATTCTCTTCGGTCGACTCGCTGGCCACCTCGACCCCTCCGACGAGCGCATTCCCAAGGTTGTTGAGCGTCTAGTTGAGGCGCTCAACACGCCGTCGGAGCTCGTTCAGTCTGCCGTCGCCGACTGTCTCCCCGCCCTTGTGCAAGGCATGTCGTCCGAGGAGACGGAGTATCTCGTCGACCGCCTGTTCTCGACGCTCACTACCGGTTCCAAGTACGCGGCCCGACGTGGTGCCGCTTATGGCGTCGCTGGTGTTGTCAAGGGTCGCGGTCTGCGCTCTCTTAAGGAGTACGACCTCATGGACAAGCTCAAGGAAGCTGCCGAGGACAAGGACGCCTTTGAGTCCCGCGAGGGTGCACTTCTGGCCTTTGAGACGCTCTCGGCCACACTCGGCCGCATCTTCGAGCCCTACATCGTTCAGATCATCCCTCTTATGCTCACGCTGTTCGGAGACACCAACAAGTATGTGCGAGAGGCGACGCAGTACGCCGCCAAGGTAATCATGTCCCGCATCTCAGGCCACTGTGTCAAGCTCATCCTTCCCACTCTGCTTGAGGGTCTCGAGGAGAAGCAGTGGCGTACCAAGAAGGGCTCGATCGAATTGCTCGGCTCCATGGCCTTCTGTGCTCCCCGCCAGCTTTCGCTGTCGCTCCCTACCATCATCCCCCACCTCACCGGTGTCATCAATGACTCGCACGCGCAGGTCAAGTCGGCTGCCAACGCGGCACTCAACGGCTTCGGTGAGGTTCTTCAGAACCCCGAAATCAAGGGCATTCAGAAGAAGCTCATGAACGCCCTTGCCGACCCCACGGCCAAGACGAACAGCGCGCTCGGCTACCTACTCAAGACGACGTTTGAGCATTACCTCGATGCACCGTCTCTTGCTCTTGTGATGCCCATCATCGACCGTGGTCTCAAGCAGCGCAGCTCGGAGACCAAGCGCAAGTCGGTCCAAATTGTCGGCAACATGGCCTCCCTCACCGAGGTGCGCGATCTCGTTCCATACTTGGCCGAGCTCATGCCTCTGGTTCACGATGTTCTGGTTGACCCCGTCCCCGAGGCGCGTGCCACGGCCGCCAAGTCGCTCGGCACCCTCGTCGAGCGTCTCGGTGAGGCCAACTTCCCCGATCTCGTCGATCGCCTCCTAGGCATGCTCCGCACAGATTCAAGCGGTGTCGACCGCCAGGGTGCTGCGCAGGGCCTCTCCGAGGTTCTGTCCGGTCTCGGCATGGACCGCCTTGAAGCTCTCCTCCCAGAGATCATAGCGAGCACTGCCAGCCCGCGCGCATATGTGCGTGAAGGTTTCATCTCGCTGCTCATTTACCTCCCAGCGACATTCGGCCACCGCTTCTCGCCCCACCTTGGACGCGTCATCCAGCCAATCCTTAACGGTCTCGCAGATGACTCCGAGTATGTGCGCGAGGCTTCGATGCGCGCTGGTAAGATGATCATCTCAAACTACTCCAACAAGGCCGTCGAGCTCCTGCTCCCCGAGCTCGAGAAGGGTATGCTCGACAGCTCATGGCGCATCCGCCAGTCATCTATCTCGCTCACCGGCGAGCTGCTCTACCGCGTCACCGGTATCAGCGGCAAGGTCGAGCTGGAGGAGGACGAGACTGCTGCGCGTGCCGCCGACCAAACCCGCACCGCACTCACCGAGGCTCTCGGCCAAGAGCGCCGTGACCGGGTCCTCGCTACCCTTTACATTGTGCGCCAAGACAACGTCAGCAGCGTCCGTCAGTCATCGATCCACATCTGGAAGGCGCTTGTTCACAACACCCCTCGCACTACGCGCGAGATTTTGCCCGTCCTCATGCAGCTTCTCGTATCGCTCCTCGGTTCCGAGACCGTCGAGCAGCAGGAGACCGCGTCGCGCACCATCGGCGAGCTGTGCCGCAAGAACGGCGAGCGCATTGTCGGTGAGATCGTGCCGATTCTCAAGAAGGCCATCACCTCGACTGACCCGCGCACCAAGGAGGGCGCGTGTCTCGCGTTCTCAGACGTCATGGTGTCAGCCTCCAAGGATGCCATCGAGACTCACGAGGAGGTCATTATCGCCTCCGTCCGCGACGCCCTTGTGGATCCCTCGCCTGACGTCCGAGCCGCCGCTGCCCGCACTTTCGACACTATGCAGCACTTCATGGGCGCTAAGGCCGTCGACCAGACCATTCCTACGCTTCTCGAGGCCATGCGCAACCCGGGCGAGAGCTCCGAGACTGCGCTTCAGGCGCTCCAGGAGGTCATGAGCGTGCGCGCCAACAGCGTGTTCCCTGTGCTCCTGCCCACCCTTACGGCCCAGCCCATCTCTGCTTTCAACGCTCGCGCCATCAGTGCGCTTGTGCGTGTTGCCGGCACCGCTCTCAACCGCCGCATCGACTCGCTCCTGGGTTCGTTGGTCAAGTCGCTCGAAGCCAACCCTGAGGAGGATGTGCGCGAAGAACTTAACGAGGCCGTTGAGTCACTCGTTTCCTCGGTCACCGATGCGGACGGCGTGCACCTCCTCGAGATGCTACTCATCGGCTGGGCCAAGGACGCCAACGCTGTTCGCCGCGCCACAGCCTGCAACATCTTTGGCACCATGTGTCAGGTCAGCGACGCCGACACCGAGGAATACCGCGTCGACTGGGTGCGCATCCTCGTGTCATTGTTCGATGATCCTGTGGAGGAGGTCGTTACCGCGGCATGGGAGGCGCTCGAGCACTTCGTTAAGACAATTGACAAGAGCGAGCTCGAGGACCTCGTGGTCCCTCTTCGGCGCGCCATCGAGGGCACTGGCGCGCCTGGACGCACCGTTCCCGGCTTCTCGCGTCCCAAGGGTGCGCAGTCGATCGTGCCTATCCTCCTGGCAGGTGTGCTCAGTGGCACGCAGGAGCAGCGCGAGCAGGCCGCATTTGGTATTGGAGACCTTGTGCAGCGTACGACCGAGGCGGCTATCAAGCCCTATATCATTCAGCTCACTGGTCCCCTTATTCGTGTCATCTCCGGGCAGTCGATTGCACCACAGATCAAGGGGGCCATCCTGCAAACTCTTACTGTTCTGCTCGAGGAGGTGCCGCAGCTTGTGCGCCCCTTCCATCCGCAGCTCACGCGCACGTTCGTCAAATCCGCATCCGACCCCGTCTCATTGGCGGTGCGCAACCGCGCGGCGACGGGTCTCGGCGAGCTGATGAAGCACCAGCCGCGCGTGGACCCCTTGATCACCGAGCTTATTGGCGGTGTTCGCGGGGCGGAGAAGGAGATCGCGCCATCTGTGATGCTGGCGCTCGGTGCTGTGTGTGCTAGTGCTGGCAAAAACATCAGCGCCCCTGCTAAGAGCTCGATTATCGAGCTCGTGGAGGAGGCATTTGCCGACTCCCGCGGCGAGTCGTTCAACAAGGCGGTCGGGTCGGTCATCGCTGGTCTGGCGGTGCACGATGTTGAGTCGATTCGACCGTTGGTGGACGCTTTCCTCGCCGCACCCACGCCACCAACGCCGCTGATGAGCGTCGCGATTCTCGCTGTCCTCGAGCGCGCGCCTGAAGCCTTCCTCGAGCTCGGTGGCGAGGTTCCCGAGGACATTGTGCGCAAGATCAATGCTAGTATTGGTGGCGACGGCGCGATTGCACGACCAGCGCGCGAGGCGCGCGAGATCATCCGAGGCAACGAGGGGTGGATGAGCGAGCCAGAGGTTGCTGCGCTGCTCAAGTAGGCATAGTGTTGTAGATTGCATGCATGGGATCTAATTTGTGGGGCGCGAGGCGTGGGTGCGAAGCAGCAAAGGCAAACCCGAAAATCACTCGAAGCACCAACGGATCAGGCCAGTGGTGTGCGACCCCCGGCATGCAATCAAACGTAGTGCTTTCAAAGCAATGCCCCAAGGCCTCGCACCATCCGGCGAAGAATGCCAATAGACATGCACCCATCAGGAAGACGCACTAGAGGTGGATATAACGACCTACTATCAACCGCCCTGCAACCGATGACCCAGCACCATAACCTATTTCAGTGACCTACCTCAGTGAGTGATCACTGCCACCTCAGTGAGTGATCACTGCCACCCCTCGTCTTATAAAGCCGTCCAGCACTACTCCAATGGACCACGCAGCTCTCCCCTCCAACCGCGACCACCTCGGTCAGCAGGCGGGACCCGGCCCCCCGCTGACGGAGGAGAACGTCCTGGCCTCGCTTGAGGCAGCCCGCGCCGCGCGCCGCTCTGCCGTTGAGACCGGCCGACGCGCCAGCGAGATTCAGGAGCACGAGCACGCTGCTTTCAACCCTACCACGCTCGCGGCCAGAGCCGAAGCCGCCGTTGATTTAATGGTGGAGAGTTTTAAGGCGCGCACGGCCGCCATGCTCGCCGAGTGTGGCGCCCTCAGCACGGAGCTCTGGGCGTTGAGTGGGGTCATCGAGCTCATCCTTGTGCAGGAGGTGAGCGAGGAGACCAAAGAGGCGCTCTGGGCCTACCTCGCCCCGGGTGGGCGTATGTGATTTGTACAATATGGCTAGGGTTCATGTGATTCTAATTGCTTTAGCGGTCATGGCCTGGTTTCAGCGTATGGTGCTCATGTCATGAAAGACACGTCGGGCATATTTCTCATCTTCTAGTACTTGTGCACAGTTCCTTCTCGCTCTCAATTATGGATTAGCAGATATACGCCGCCTTCTTCCCCTTATCGCCCTGTCCAGTCTGCTCCTTCATCGCGTGGCGCGCGCGACCGGGGCGGGCTCTGATTGCCTTGTCGATACAGTCCATAGTGCTCATGCTCGGGCTCGGGCCCGCATCGGCCAGCAGCATCTCGGTGACGGCAACGATGTCATGAATGAGCTTGTGGAGCAGATCACCGGAGAGTGACTCGCGTACGACGACGCGCAGAATCTCGGTCTTGTCTTCGGCCGGAGGCAAGGCATAGCTGAGGTCAGTATGACGGCTTACTCCGCACGGCACGCGCATCCCAGACAACAAAGCTGTCGTCGCACACGTCGCCACCCCACCGAGGCACTCACTTAGGCACAATCCAGCCGATGCCGCGCAGCTGCGACTGGACCCACGCCTGCTTGAGGTTGGGATACTTCTTCTTGATCTCATCGGTGAAGCGGAACGAGACGACAGGCAGGCCGGGAACGTAATACTCAGGCTGGTCGTCCTCAATCTTGAGATTTTGTGCCGCCTTGCCGAGAAGCGTCTCCGGCTTCACCGGCTTGTGGATATTGGACAGACACACAAAGTATCCGGAGCGCTCCAGGGCACGGCTTAGTACGCGTGCCTTGACGAGGTCAGCCGCGATGACGCGCTGGTATCCCTCCATTCCCAGGTTGATGAAGTTGAACATCTGTCCCAGAATGGGGTGGGTGGGGCGCGAGAAGTTGAGGTTGAAGCTGAAGTCGGTCTCGCCCAGATAGTGGAGCTCGAACACCATATCCTTGGGGAGGTAGTTTGGGGAGCGCCACACAATCCAGCCGACGCCGACGAGGGAGGCCCCATACTTGTGTCCACTGGCGTTGATGCTGCACACACGCGGGAGGCGGAAGTCCCACTCGAGCTTCGGGTAAGCGAAAGGCGCGACAAAGCCGCCCGACGCCGCATCGACGTGGATGGGCACATGGTTGCCTGTCTTCTCCTCGTACGCGTCCAGCAGGTCCGACATCTCCTTCACGTTCTCGAAGGCGCCGGTGTACGTCGACCCAAGAATCCTAAAGTCAGCGCTGACGTCAGGGGACTAACACAAAAACGCCAATCGTGTTCTCATCGACATGCTTCATCGCTTCCTTGGGGTCCATGACGAAGTCGCTCTCACGTGTGACCGGCACTAGACGGGTCTCCACCTCAAAGTACGATGCGAACTTTTCGAGCGCGACCTGCGCCTCGGCACCCATGACAATGTTAGGGCCCGGTCTGTAGATGTCCTTTCCGGCCGCCTTCATCTTGGCCTGCCAGCGACGCTTCATCGCTAGGCCGCCGAGCATGATGGCCTCAGAGGAGCCGGTGCACGCTGTGCCCTTGACATCACCTGGGGGCGCGTTCCACAGGCCGGCAATCATGGCCTACAGTCAGCGGAGCCGCAGGTGCCCTCTCACAATGCAACGGTTGTGAATCTCAGTCGCGGCGGGGTACTCGTCCTGGTCAGCCAGGTTCTTGGAGAGGTTCTCGTTCATGAGCTTCCTGCACTCGTCTGGGACCCAGGTGTGGACAAACGATGCGAGGTTCATGTTCGGATTGCCGTCGAGCTCAAGCTCGTCGTGGAGCAGCTGGTACGCAACCTTGGCTTCAATGCCTATCTCAGGAAGGTTGTGCTGCGGCATAGTCATGTCTATGTCGTAGCGCGACGCGTAGGGGATGTCATACTTGCCCCAGCTGCTGTCAGGACAGCCGTCATACTACCCACCAGTCGGACAGACGGTCGAGGTTGGTGTTGTCACGAGAGTCATTGATGATCTGATCAACGTCGACCTTGGTGAATCCACGAGTTTCGGACATGATGAAGGAGGCGGGATAGACTTCTGGAAGTGCGAGAGCCGCGGTATAGCGGCTATGAAGAGGCTAAGTGGGAACGGTGATGGCTTTGGTGATGGCTTGGGGTATTTATGATGGGAGCCCACTCACGCAGGCCTGTGACGCCGCCCAGGGGAGCTTTGAGAGTGGGCTAAATGCATCGACGAGGGCTGTGGCATGGCGGAAACCATCATGGAAACGTGGGTGGGCTACGACGTTTTGGCAGGTGTGGTGACTGCATTGACTGCGAAGTTCCCAGATTATCTCTGTTGGTGATCAGCCAGTGACATCATCCCCGCGTCACAGGGTACAACGTCGCCTCCGCATTGATGTAGATTCAGCAGAACGGCAGTACAATAGAGAGGCAGCGCCGTGTCAGGGAGAGGCTTAGAAAGACTACACGGGTGTGATCGTTGTACATAGCTTGGCTTGATGATAAGTCGGAGAGCTGCGAGAGAAGGGGATCGTATGCTTGGCTCCTGTCCTACTTACCTATGTAGTCGTGAATTTCACCAAGAGGGATGATAAGGGTGTAGCGATGCAGTTTTCAGGGCACATTCCTCCAGCCTAATTACCACCCGTGGCTGCTCATCTCCGATCTCAGAGTTATGTCTCGCCCTCCCAACAATAGTAAGCCCGGCACCGTTGCAAGCCATGGTAGTCTCATAGGATGATTTGAAGCATCCGTCTCCCTCAAGGATGTGCGTGCCTCGCCCCACAAAGCGTCGGAGACAGGCCTGCTCAACATATAGGCGGCTCAACAGCCTTTGCCTGCTCAGATGCAAAATGGGGGCTGGGGAATTGAATCCCCTGTTGACGAGAGTGGGATTCGAACCCACGTCCGAAGACTGCGGAATTACTATTCAAGTAACCTTAACACAGCGCCTTAGACCGCTCGGCCATCTCGCCGATCAGAAACGGATAATCCTCGGCTGAATGTGAATATGATCGCCTCATATCTTGGCAGTTGTGGGCTCTAGAGGATGGTGTGGAGGGATGCGGATAGCGTACTCCAGCCGGTAAGCCGCGAAGGGCTCAGTCGCGGGCGCTTTCCCTTGGTCAATGTGTGAGGACGTCGATTGATGGACAGTCCCAGCCCCAGCTCCTATTCCGGTAATATATAGAGTTGAATTGTCAACGACGTGGATACTCTTGGCGCTCCAGTCCGTCGTCCATTCAGATGGGGGTCATGGCCGTCTGTCCTAAGAGCTTTCAGACAAGAGTGCGAGGTTGGTCCGACAGCGAGCGGCGCTGGCAGCTTCACCCCCAGATTCTTAACCTGCTGTATCGTGCTCAGGACAGTCATCCTTCCGGCCTCTCTGAAGGCAAACCCCGCCGCGCTGCACCAAAGTCGCCCTCATGCCCCTGGCTTAACTCCTGAAGGTACAACCCACACCCTATAGAACGAACGAGAGCTGCGCTGCCGTTCGGGCTATTGCCGACTTTCTGAACGGTGCATGCAGAGTGTGAACAGCACCAATGCTAGGAGTGCGTGAAGGCCGCTTGAGAAGAAGAGCGCTGACACGAAAGGCTCGCCCTCTTACCCGTCCCAGGGCTTTGAGTCCAGCATTTCCCCTCGTTTTTTCCCTTCTCCAACGGTTCCCGTGCCCAAACCCGTGAGCGTCACCGTGCCAGCTCTAACAACCTTCGACAGATCTGGGTTTGGTTCCGTGGGAGTCTTCTCTGCCCCCGATTCCGCGACGAACAAGACGGGTCCGACAAACCAGGAATATCACAGGCTGAGAGGCGCTCACAAGCCCGTCCTTTGGCAAGTGAGGTGAAGCGAACAGCAATGGCTCCCAGGCAGTCTGTGCCCCTCGGAAAGGCGGTGCAGCATTCTCATCGTGGGCGGGTGCTGTATTGGATGCGCGGAGTTGCACACCTCATCCATTCGAATGCCTTGTATGCTTAAAGGCAGTAGATCTCCGGATCAATCGGAAGGCTCATATGCCTGTAGTTGCCATGGTGTTTCAGCCTCACTCCCTTGAGAAGTGCAAGTTCCGACAACTCTCATGCCGTAGCAATTATGCGGGTGCGAATGGAGGTTCGGAGCGCATGGGATAGTCTTCTTCTCACGCCACGGCGTAGGTGTGTGTTTCCACCATCGAGGCCCTCCCTGTCGCTTGCAGAAGTAAAGCAGTCCCTAACTGCACCGACGTCCAGCGTTTGATTAGTGTGGCCGCAGCTTCAAACCTGGCGATATCGTTGTGGTATCATTACCAGAATGTTTATAGTTGCTATGCTCACCTAACGGACATGTCACAGGCCTATGTCAATCAGCTCTCCTGTAACTGGACGTGACGGGCTTTTCCGTTGCCTCTAACCGCTGTTTCCTGTGAAACATGCCTCCACGTCAGGCTTTCGCCTCCTTTCGCCGTGTTTGTCTCGCCCCGGACGTGGCTGGTGCGAGGTATCGGTAAGCAGTCGCTCTCTGAGCGGCTGGCATAGCGACTGTTCGCACATAGATAAGTTGACACCATCAGAGAGACATGGTCTTGCAACTGCAAGATCGTGAAATCGTTGTAAGAGCATGACCGAGCCTGTTAGCAAGTCACCCCGCCAAGGACCAGTGCGACCCCCGCCTTCTGGGCCGTTACCGCTTCTCCCATCGCAGAAACACAGGACCAAAACGCTACGCCGAGCCCCTCCCGCCCCCATCGTCCCTCCACCTCGTGAACCCTATCTGGGAAGAATTCAGCTGTCACCCAACCCCCTGTCTTCAATCATACAAGGGGACATCTACGTCAACTTGCTAGGACACGAGGCTATTCTCGTGCTTGGCGACGGCCATGGCTTTCCCGGTGCTCCCGAGAGCTACTTTCCCACTCGCCAGTGCCGTATCACATTATACGGGGCGCGATTGATTCCGCTTGAGCACGAAAGCTTTCGCAAACCAGAGGGCCACCTGATCACCACAGGTGTGGGGGCAGGAGGAGGGGTTCAGACCTCTGTGCGTGCTTGGCTCTCTATTGCTCACAACAGAAGTCAGTCGCAATTCCGCCACGCGCAGATCAGGGGAAGGAGACTCGCTCCCCCGTCGCGTCACTGCAATCGAATTCTGGAAGCTGGGACTGGTTACAAGTTGACCCTGGCGCGAACACATACCGGCGCAAGACTCGCACACCGCGTACCCCGATGCGCAGCACGCCCAACTCCCCCGCTACTCGTTCATGTCATGCTGTGAGGGCCAGCGAGATAGGGCCGCCTGACACCCACTCGGTATTTGTCACTCCGGAGATGTTCATACCCTCTCGACCTCCGCCTCTGCCGCCACAGTGGAGTCAGTACTCGTCTGCAATCCCTGTTCTCGATTCCACCTCGCCTCCCATGGCCCCCAACCCCGACCTATTGCCGACACTATCCTCTCCGACAACCTTTACCCTCCCACTCAGAGCGCTTTGCAAGCCTCCCGACGCGTCGCCTGGGTATGTCGCAACTCCTGGCCGCGCGACAGGTCTGCGCACCTCCAAGTCGCTTCACAACCTCACTCAAACACTTGCTACAGGCATGTCTCCCGCGGCGAGGGCCTACCTCGCCACTCCTGTCGGTCCGCTCGCCTCATCGGAGTCAATTTCGCGACAGATCCCTCTTACCGGCTATGATCATGAAGCTGACACCTTCCGTCTTCACCCTTGGTCACAGGAGGCCTTACCGCTAGGTGGTCCATCGCAATCGAGATATCGCACCCCCTCCGACTCATCGCAATCGTCCTACTCTCCGAGCCCTGAAATCGAGCAGAGATCAGTTGCAGCATATGAAGAGCTGACCGCACCGTCAATCCTCAGACAACCAGGAGCCGCCAGCCACTGAGACCGCAGTGACCGCCATCATCCGTAATTGTAAACAAGGGAGTGGCACGGCGTATGCAGGATGGCCTCTGAAATTGTTTCCGGCAATACCCCGTTACAATATGACCGGGGCGTCCTCCAGAACGTGCTACTAGGTACAGTCCAAAAACGTAGAAGTTTGTGGACGAGTTAGGAATCGAACCAAAGACCTTGTCAAGATCATTGTGGTGTGCTGCTCGCACACCGACTGCTAATGACACGCTCTACCAACTGAGCTACACGCCCGACGCTTTCCACGAATGGCATTCCTCGCACTGCTCTTGTGGCCTCGATCCAAGCTTCACTCGAGGATTTAGCACCACTGGACTTGCGGACAAACCATACTGATACTCCAACCCCCTAAACCGGTCTTCCGACTGGAGCACTAAAAGTTTGGAATTACATCGCACCACCGTGGCTCTGAGATTCGTGATCGTTCGGTGCTCAGTGGCGATGTTGTTAATCGGCAATATTCAGTAAATTCTGGAGTGTGGTCCAAGCGGGTACCTCTCAGCTGACTGTCTTGGCATTCCAAGTGCTAGCATTCCTCCCGTCCCCGGATGGAGATCATCCATTCCTGCAGTCCTCAAAAGATCATGATGGTTGGCACAGGACGTTTCGCGCACTCCGGAATATCGGCTGCTAACAAGCTCAAGTGACGAGTGAGGTCGCATATCACCAATCAGGGCCACTCGCAGCCAACTGCCGATGGGCGACGTGACACTGCACAGGCCGCATAGGTTTCTGCGTGACGGGTCGCGACAGACCAGACGGATGGCCACCGGGCGCCGACAGGGCGAGTCTGTGCTGCTGGTCACCCGAACATGATGGCGTCGACGGTGACTCTTCTTGCACACGCCACCGTGATCGAAGCGTGAGCTGGTCTGTGCAGTGGCGCCGTAACTTTGTCGGAGGAAACCGATGTGCAGGAGAAAATGAGTGTTGGCGGAGAGGTCTCGCACTGACCTCAACACCGAGCATGTGGTGCCCAAGAGCCTATGGATGGAATTCCCTTGGGTCGCCCTTGGACTGCCCTTGTCGCCCTCCTCGCATATGGTATTTCGGCAATGTCGTTGCGTGGACGAAGATCTAACCGAATGGGCCTGTGAGCAAGATGTTTTCCACGGCGGCGGTGTGTGGCTAATACAGTGCCGCGCGGCGTGAGGTCGTCAGCAAACGATCGCTCGCTTCAAATCTTGCGACAGCAGACACGACCACTGGGATCTGCCTCTACCGGACCCCCATGCCTCCGCGACCATCACACCTCCACGCCGAAGAGAGGCTGTGATGCAGGAGGATTCGACGAGGCGCTCAACCCAGCGGCTTAGTGGTGTTGCTTCTGACCCAACCTTGATCATGACCTCCGATATGTCACCGTCACACCCTCCCGACTGGTCGCCCCCTCACCAGAGGTCATAACGCCACACCACGGACTTGGGATGTGGCGCCGTGCCTCTTGAGGTACGAAACCAAACTGTGTCCGCGGCATACTTTGGGGGAGGAACAAAGAGAACAGCCAGGCTTCGATGAGATGAGTTTTTGCGGAGCGCCATGGCTGAACGCCAGGATCTGCCATTCTGAAGAGGCCACCGCCGGCCTTGGTATGCCGATTTGGCCGACGAGGCCGCACAGTAGAAGGTTATTGGCTGATGTGTGCAGCCAAGTGAGGATAAACTCGGTTTTACTGGGTCTGACGTTTGCTTAAGATGCCGATGATCATCCACTCATTCATCGTCACTGCCACACTCGTAAGTCTGTGTGGCAAGGCTGCTCCCAACACCATAAGATCTGAGGACGACCTGCCTGTCCCCTTGTATCAGCACCATTCACCCAGTCTACTTCGCCGCCCGCCAGGCCTCCAAACAAGCCGACTATGCCATTGCGTTCCGCCCCCACCCTTCCAGAGCTCCGCGCCCACGTCTTTCGCCTGAATCAGCAGATATGCAAGAATGAGGAGAAGATGGACGACCTCGAGCGCTCCACCGCTTGCCCAATGGCGCGCGAGTACACGCGAGAAGCCATTGCGCACGCCAACAGCGTCAACCGCCTTCTCATCACGGAACTTCAGGCTGCCATGTGGCAGATCACCGAGTCATGGCGTACGCACTCCAGCAGCTCGGACTCCGGAAGCTCCGACAGCGGCTCGGATTGCGACGACACCCGCCCGAAAGTCAGCAAACATGTACGCTGGGCTGACACTGACGAGAGCCAATTATAGTGAGTTCACCGCAGAGGCAACACTTACTAAAGGTGGTACGAAGGAGGATGGAAGAGGTCGGAGAGATGCATGGCCCACGGAAGGACCAGACCGGACGACCAAGCTGGACCTCCGCGGTGATTTGTGACGGTTAGTGTTGTACATGGGTTGTAGACGACAGGAAGCTCCGGTTCATCTGTATGAGTAACCACCTGTCCACAACCTTCACATGCGACAGGTAGGGATGGAGCGCAAACTGTCCCAGTGGAACAGACAACGAGTGTGCGGAAGTGGGGTGGAACCACGGGTTGCGATCTTGTGAGGGTGCCATCGCCGCCTGCACTACAGTTACATGGGCTTCACTCTAGGTGTGGTCTGGGCCCTCCTCGCGCCGCATGTCATCGCCGCCTAACATACGTGCCTTCTTCTCAAGGAGAGTGAAATGCTCGAATGCCTTTCGTCAGTAGAGTTCCAGACACAAACTCACCTTGTTCTGATACTCGCGCGTCTCCATCCACTCAAGAACGGCGTTGACATCATTCTCGTCGGGAAGCTGCGTGCCACGGAGTTCGGCGAGACGTTCCTCCGCAGACATGATCTCGTCCTCATCCACGAAGTCTTCATTTCCGCTGTCGTCCGATTCTTCGACCTCGACGTCCTTGGCTCGTAGGAGTTCACGATACAGGCCGCGAATGTGACGGAAGAGACGATGCTCCCAGTGCGAGAGGGAGTGGTACAGACGCGCTGTGTAAAGACAGTGGGGGCCTGGCGTCAGCGTGCTACGTATGTTGGCTAACCCATGTCGAGAGAGCTTGGTAGCGGCTCATATTGGTCGTCCTCGTCGTCCTCATCATCTTCTCCATCCTCGATATCCTCATGCGACTGTGGGTTATAGCGTTTTCCTGAGAGATAAACCGTCCGCCAACAGTGCTGGTTGCGGCGATTGCATGCGTGGCAATAGTGGGACATCTCGGGGAGGCCCATATCCTGGTGTTAGCGTTCCTCTGCTGAAGCTCACTGAGAAGTAAGGGTACGTGTCGAGGGCGTGCACGAGGTTAGCGCGCCAGATCTGCGAGCGAACGCGCAAATCCCGAATGCTGCGAGCGTATGCGCGCAGCTCCCCCACAGGTGCCATGTATTCCTTCTGCGGGCCGCGGAGAGGCAACACTTCCGGCCCATGAATGACAAGCAGCAAGAGGTATTGAAACATGATCTTGAACTTGTACTCCTGGCTCTGGGCGTACCCCAGCGAAAACTCGGAGGGCATTAATCGCTCGTCGAACCCATCGTCCTCGGAAATGAAGCCGTCGTCGTCATCCTGCACGTACTTCCAAGCCCCTTCCTCGCTCTCGCCCCCGGTCCCCTCGCCCTCATCTACCTCATCTTCAGACGAGGGAAGGTTGAGGCGTCGATTCTTGAGCTTGCGCAACATGCGTTGCTGCTGCGTCTCAGCGCGCGCCCGTAGGCGTGTGGTCGTGACAAAGCGCTCAGGCTCATCAAGCTCGATTTCATTTGGATCCTCGTCTTCGGTCGCCGCTTCCTGACTCTCGTCGTCTGGATCAAGGTGCGCACGCTTGGAACTTCTCCGTCCGCCCAAATTCACGGGGCGCTCGCTTGCAGAGTCACTATTCGGATCTTTTAGTGGGCGCTGGGCTCGCAAACGGCGCCTCGGTGGCGCGGGCGAGTCCTGGCTCGACCCTCCAGAGTCTGGGTGGCGAGCTCGTGCGCGCGAGCGTGTCTTGATGCCGGGGCGCACACTTGACTCGCCATCCGAGCTGCTTGCGGCCTTACGCTTGAGGCGCACCGGCGGGCCCTCATCGTCATCGCTTATGACTCTCCGCGAGGTGGGATGCCATGCTTTTCGCTCCGGACTGAGCTGGATACCTCGAATGTCTGAATCACTGCCGCCGCCGCTCGCTTCAGCAAAGTTGAGTCTCGTGTGCTTCCGCGAGGATGAGGCGCGCGCTGGACGTGGAGCTGTACGCGGGGGGCTGGTCAACGCGACGATGTCGTCATCGGAGTCGTCGATGAGCTTGGAGACAGGTGGCGGGGATGAGCGAGAGGGACGCGCTGATGGCCGTAGCTTCTGTCTTGAGCGTGACGGGTCTGCGCCGAAGAAGTTGTCGATATCCGCCTGACTCAGCGGACTCATCTGGATGGGCGCGTCACTATCTCGAAGGAGAAAGAGAGAGGTGTGGTGAGTGAGAGGGGCAGAGGTGAAATGTGAGAGTTGAGTGGACCTCCACCGCACGGCCTGTCCGGATATTACTGCTTATTTAGGATCAACGGGTATGAGCGACCACGTTGTTGAACGCCGATCCACCGAGGACCGAGTGACCGAACTACAACAGGCACCAGATAAGGCAGCACGCGCAACTACGTCGAGTTCGATGACAACACGTGCTCACCAACACGGAATGGGTGTTGCGAAGGCTATATCGGTTTCTTCGGCGAGGACGAGTAAGCGGCTTATCCTGTGAGGAGGTAGTCAGCATGTCTATTTGGGTGGTTGCCCCTCCGGCTTTCATTTGACCGATCTCCGGCATGTACAGCCTAAATCACCTGACTTGTGCAGCACAGCGCCACGGATACAGGTGGGCAGTCGAAGTAACCGGGTGAAGCGGCCGAACTCTTGTCGCGAGATCGCTAGCGATATTCCCAGGTACAAGAAGCGATTGCCTCTTCCACGTCTGCACATTTCTTCTCCTACATCACATCTCACCAATATGACTGCTTCTGGCACTCTCGACTGGACTGTGAGTGCCCTTGCTGCTGATTGAGTGCTCATCAAGTCCTACCACAACACCGTCAACGGCCAGGCGGCCAAGACGGCCAAGACCCGCCATGGCATCAACCCCGCTACCGAAGAGGCGCTCCCTGAGGTGCCCGTCGCAACGCAGGAGGACGTCGATGCCGCTGTTGACGCGGCCCGTGCTGCGTTCCCAGCGTGGAGCAAGACGTCGTGGGACGAGCGCCAGGCGCTGGTCAACAAGCTCGTCGATGCGGTCGAGGCCAACCAGGCCGGCTTCGTTGACATGCTCGTCAAGGAGACTGGCAAGGCCGTCTCGACATCGGGCATGGAATTCGGCAGCACTCTGAAGTTTGGCCGCGCGCTCGCTGCCCTCCGCGTTGAGGACAAAATACTCGTCGACAGCGCTGAGATGACCGGCACTCTGCGCTACACACCCCTTGGAATCGGTGCTGCCATCGTGCCATGGAACTGGCCCCTCCTCCTAGCGACCATCAAACTTGTGAGCGGCCTCATCACTGGCAACTGTGTCATTGTCAAGCCCTCGCCCTTCACCCCTTACACGAACCTGAAGCTCGTTGAGCTCGCTTCCGGCATCTTCCCACCTGGCGTCGCTCAGGCCCTCAGCGGTGGTGACGACCTCGGCCCAATGCTCACTGAGCACCCCGGCATTGACAAGGTGTCGTTTACCGGCTCCTCGTTCACGGGCAAGAAGGTCATGGCCTCATGCGCCCGCACGCTCAAGCGCGTGACCCTTGAGCTTGGCGGCAACGACGTTGCGATTATTTGCGACGATGCGGATCTCGCCAAGGCCGTCCCTACTGTGGCGACGATGGCGTTCCTCGGCTCTGGCCAGATCTGCATGGATGTCAAGCGCATCTACGTCCACGAGAAGGTGTACGAGCCCTTCAAGACTGCCCTTATCGACTTCGCCAAGGCGATCAAGATGGGCAATCCAGAAGACCCTACCACGCTCGTGGGTCCTATCCAGAACGCCATGCAATACGGCAAGGTACAGGAGATGTTCAGCCAGATCAAGAAGGAGGGCTGGAACGCCATCGTCGGCGGCGCCCCCGACGCCCGCGACGTCCAGCCCAAGGGGTACTTCATGCACCCCACCATCATCGACAACCCACCTGAGGACTCGCGCATTGTGCAGGAGGAGCCCTTCGGCCCCATCGTCCCCCTCCTCAAGTGGAGCGATGAGGAGGACGTGCTTGCCCGTGCTAACTCGTCGAAGATGGGCCTCGGCGGCTCCGTCTGGAGCAAGGACACGGAGCGCGGCACTCGCCTGGCCAAGCGTCTTGAGTGCGGTTCATCTTGGGTCAACACCCACTTCCACCTTGACCCCAACGTCCCCTTCGGCGGCGCCAAGTGGAGTGGTCTTGGCCGCGAGCTCGGTGTCACTGGTCTTGAGGGCTGGATGGAGCCCCAGAGCCTCTGGGTTAGCAAGGCGTGAGATAGAGACATCGCCCCTGTTTCATAGGTGTAGGTCAGAAGCTGAGAGATGCAGAGTCTGGATGTGTTTCGAGAGCCGCCGGCCGGCGTGGCGAGCCAGTCAGCGTTGTACAGAGTATGGCATCACCCTCACTCGGACACCAAGCGCGGACGATCAGGCGGTTGGTGTGCTGCATGTGTCCCAATCTAGGTCAATCATGTTCTCCGTCCAAGACTGCACAGACTCTCTCTCGCGCAGACAAAAATTACATCGTGAGGGAGTCGAACCCCCGCCGCGTCGAATCCGTGAATGTACATGGCAACGACGCATGATACCGTTTCACCAACGATGTTTCCGTTGAGGCGGCAGTTGCCGATTCTGCCGACGAATGGCACCTCACTTGCGGCGCCAACCATACGAGGAGTGTTGTTCAGCGCTTATGCTGAAGAAACATGTGTCACGAAAGGACGAAACAGAGTAGCTTCGTCTCAGATTTGCCATGGACCAAACGCTTACGCCCCATTTCAGCATGACGTTATCGAGCTTGGGTAGGATTGGCGTTCAACGAACACGTAATTCACTCTGACCGTCGAGGTCGACACTCCCAACTGGACGACACAGACGAACCTTTTGTTTCGCAGGGGTCACTCAAGCCAACTTCATCTCACGTGAACAACATGCATACAAATATCTGGAGCGGCTAATACACAAGGGTGAAGTCATTGTAAACAAGATCAAACGTATCCCGATCGACAGTCGGAAGCTCCACGGAGCTCCCCTGACTGTTAGTAACGTCTACTTACCATGCTTACTATGGTGGAGTGAGGAGTCACAGCGCGGCTCCTTGGCAGGTACTGAAGTGGAGCACACCTATAGCCCCTTTCGTTGAGTCATCTTGGACGGCCACGGTAGACTGGACCCCGGACCTCAATGCTGAGGTCAGCTTAGCCTGGAGAGTGACTTACTATGGCGTAAAATGGAGTCGGTCAGCAGCTCGCACGTTATGGAGGACCCCTTTCAATCTGTTGCGCGGGGGGAGGGGGCAATGGCAGTGAATTTCGCAGCCCCCACAGTTGGAGCAGCAGCTGCAGTATCCAGGTAGATGACTCATGTGGCAGATAGATTGGAAAGGGAGAGAGGGAATAGAGCGGTTACGTGGGTAAATTGAGGCCGGGGCGCTGTCTCGGTGTGTCGATGAGTGACTGTCGGAACACGATGTCAGATGAACGTTTGGGGGGACGGCGTTGGTAGATGAGGTATATGAGTCATGGCATGCAAAAGTTTGGCTTGAACGCGTCGGCCATTTAGCTCCAACCACGACGCGTCTGGTAATCACCAACAAGGAATGTTCACGGACCTCCCGAGCCTGTTCCCTCGCTCTCGGCCCAACAGGCATGCGGGGGCCAAAACACATGACGCCGGTATGGATCTGAGCGACGACTGGGCCGCGATCAGCTCAGGAGTGTTTCCTGCTACTCACTGCCAACGTACCCTTGGGATGGGCGGAATGTGCCGCAGAAGAATGTCTGGACCTGCGCTCGGACCGCACTCATGGGGTGTCGGCGCTCGGTCCCATTGCTCTTGGCAAGGTAGTGCTGCATCAATTGACTGGGATGCGAAAGTGTCATACCCACTGTAGTCGGGAAGGCGCTGCCTCTTGAACGGACATCCGTTGGGCTGTGCCGTCGCGAGGGCGCTTGTGGCGTCTTTCGCAGCCTCAGCCGTGAACCTAAGTTGAGGAATGAAGCGTGTCTGTAATGCTGCATGGCGTTCACCGCAAGTCGAATCGGAATTCTCTCCCGAGGAAGGAGAGCGGTGAAGGAGGAGTAATGCATACGTCAGCGCGTGAGGCCCACGTCAAAAACGCGTGTTGTCAAGAGGATTCCCCAGCGCTTCCAGTCACCGCACCGCAATATCCCCGACAGCGGCAAGATTCAGAGCCGCTTAACTGGGAAGGGCCTGTGAAAGCTCTTCATAGGCAGTCGATTAGCTCGTCAGACGATCCATATGAGAGTCGGGCCCCAGTCAGACGAGGACTATACAGTCAGAGGAGGACGATGGACACAAGTGCCGGAAGAAACACTGCCCTGGCTCACTCCGGAAGAGTCAGTGCAGGGCCCAGGCTTCGTCTGGAACCCCACGGTGACGCACCAATTGTCAAAATACGGAGGCTTGCAGGCATGTATGGCTAGGTTAACCTGAGATGTCATGGCTCTCAATGGCTAGCCGTCTGGAACTAGCAGCTGCCATAAAGTACACATCGTTCACCTTCTATACGGGCTTCTTGCGACGGCCCACAGCCGACACGACAACGACACCTCGTTTCGCCAAGAATTCACGAAAATGCCTGTTCAGAGCTATGAAAGCGTATGCTGGGTACCAGACACGGGGAAATGAGCGTAGCAATGAAGCTCAGCGTCGTCCTTGGAAGCAGCCCTTGTGGCAGTTCAAATGTCGTCGGAAATGTCCGTTGCGCATGCAATAGGTACATATATACATGTGCATGATTGGAGCAAACAAAATCATCTCTGTTCGTATAGTGGCTAGTATGCTCGCTTGTCATCATTTGTGACCGCGGGAGACCGGAGTTCAATTCTCCGACAGAGAGCATTCTGATTGAATTACCTTTTGCTGCGCGGGTCGGCTGATGTCGAGAACCGGCAACTCTCAACGCTGGGCGATGTCGTGCAGAACTGATCGCACCGGGAGGCCTAGCTATTTGGAGGGCCATCTGCCTGCAAAGCTGGGTGCGTCACTGCATTCGAAGCAACATAAGTGAAGGAGATGAGGTCTCCGTGCTGTCATCTCTCTCTGGGCCCGAAGTCATCCCGTATGGGGCCACGCAAAACTAGTGGTTAATCTCCCTTGACGGACCGTGCCCTTTATCCCCACCTCCGTCTCCTGAGGCCTGTCCAGTGCCGGCTCTCAAGGGCCCCTCGGTATTAGATTGATGCGGGTCCCCTATAGTCGACAGCCGAGATCCCTCTCGTGATCAATCCCTCGATCTCATTTATCAGGCCTTTGTTGGTTGTTGCTGAAGATTTCGCCCCCACATCGGCCGCCAGGAATGCCGCGACAATTCAAGCACTCAGAGAATAATCAGAGCGCCGGTCCTGCTCCCCGCTGTCGATCCCGTACTCCGGGAGATTGCGGGGGTGCGTTTTGAAGCAGCCTAACGGCACCAAGAGCAATAGGGCATGTCGATGGTTTCCAGCTGAGCGGATATCAATGAGATTTCGATCAGTCGGCTTATCTTGCAACGCAAGAAACGCCACCTAGGAGGCTGACAGTTAGGCTCAGCCCCGCGCTCTGACTCCCGAGATCGCCCCAGGCATCAAGAGACTGCGGAATCGTCAGAAGGAGATCATTGCATTGTACTGGGCGCTCTGCATGCATCCCTAAGCCAAACTACTCTCAGGAACTGCCTGCCACAGCTTCAATCTGCGCCAAGCTGCCCAGACGAGCGGCAATGAATTTTCGGGGTGCCCGCGACTGACTTTCTCGTGATGAAGTGCAGGTGGCTGGGGTGCATAAAACTGACCGGCTATCGATGCTTCCACCCCTCAGCCTCCGCTGTGCTAGAGTTCTACCCCACCTTCACTTCTACCTCTGCTTCAATCCCATCTGTCCACCCTTCGGGCGCTGCTTACCCCGCAATATGACCCACCTTAGCCCCGACCTCCATCCTCGTGAGATGTGCGTCGGTCGCGCTCATACCAGACTCACGACCACGCACGACCTCGTCGAAGTCGCGCCGTTCGCTTCAGACCCTTCGGCATCAACACCCAGTGCCCGTGATCCGGGTAGAGTATGAGCGCCCGCGTTCAGAGCCCGTGCCAAGGGTGCGTCCCGCGTCCCTAGGGGTAGCCGCAGGTCGACAGCGCCGCAAGACCGAGCCTTCCACCACTCCGCACCCCTTCAGCGCTGCGGCATGTGCCCAGCGCACAGAAGCAATGCGCGCTATGGACGAGTCACGGCGTCACGTGAATTCCAACCGCACCGTCTCTGCCCCGGGGTTTTTGCGCACCAGGGCTCCAGTACGAGAGAGCGGGTCTGTCTTCATGACCGCTAATGTAACTCCTCCTGCCAACCCCACTCATCAAGCTCCTACTGGTGCTCCCGCTATCTGGTCGCCTCCTCCCATCGGCACCACCGAGCGCGCAATAATCTGCCCTTTCGAGCCACAGTGGCTCATCCCACCCCTGCCCATCAATCCCTCCTTTTTGGCCACCCCTAGCGCTCCGGAGGTTTATTCACAGAGCAGGCGAGGTGAGCGCTCGAAGTCCGCTACATACGCTACTCAGAAGCGAGGTTGGTTCCGTCGGCGCATGTAAGGAGTATCAAATCTCCACGAGATTTCCCCAGCTTAGACATAATACTCTTATGTTCTGCCGCTGTGTATGTAAATGTGCATATTCTGCAAAGGAAGCATAGCTAATCAATGCTACCGATGTAACTGGAGCGTCGGCTCGGAGAGGTGGCCGAAGGTTGGCTTACTCGTCTTTCGCGCATCAGAGCTACCGGGATGCGAGATGTGATATCTCTCCTTAGATGTGGTGGTGACGCTGGGGGATGCTCGAAAGGCCGCGGCGTTGACGGGCGATGGCGCCGCTTTGGCCTAGGGGGTGGTGGGGTGGCAGGGTTATTGTTCGCTGTTGAGCATGTTGGAGTTGGTGTTGGGCACCGTCCGTCGGAGTCAGACGTTGATTCCAAGCCTTGCGCCTGGTTGCGACGCAGCCAGGTTGGAGCGGCAAAAACGATTGGTTTCGGAGCAAAGTCCATTGAGTGCTGGGGCGCCGAGCTCTTTAAACCCATCGACCACGTTTCGGAATGTGCTCCAGCGGTCCTGACAGTTGTGAGACAACCCATATTTCTGTCAACATTTGCCAGGTTCAAACCCAGGGACGGCGGGTCGGCTAACTGCCCTCTTGGACCGGAGTTTGGCTCGCGCGTTGACGACATCGAAGGCCGAGTCATTTGAGTACCCCGAGGCCTGTCCCCTCTGCAGTGACGCATGCTGAGGCGACACCGCAAGCGTGTGGCGCCACTCCAGAGTAGGATCATCGTCGAACACGTCGATGACATCTGACGGAGCGGGACGCGTACGGCGCAGCGACTTGCGGAGGGAAGAAAGATCGAGAACATCCTTGTCCTGGGGCTTGCTGAACAGTTTGCGTACAGCAGACTCGTCCCCTTCATTCGATTGTGGCTGCTGGCCTCGACTCGAGACCGCGAAGGTTGCGGGCGTGTTCCGTGCCTCTTCTAGTTTGCGTGCCAGTGCGCGCTGCCGAGGGCTATGGTACTCTTTGACCTTCACCGGTGTCTGGGCGTCCTGCGAACTGTCCTCAAAGACTGGCATCGCTGGTCGCGCGCGCCGCTTCAGTGTCGGCACAACCATCGGCGTCTGAGGTGGGGGTGGGCGGCGCGCAAGACTAGCTCTTCGAGGGGTAAGGACATTCCCGTCCTTGTCCTTTACGGGGTCGCTGGCTTTGAGGCTTGCCTCAGTGATGCCGCGTACAATGGCTTTAATTCCGCGGCGAAACCGCTTGACCTGGCGCGCCTGATCGGTATCCTCGGGGGCGGAGGCATCGGAGTCAACGATCTCAGCGGCTTCGGTGCGCGAGCGGAGAGAGTGGTTTCCCCTGGCAATGTCTGCTAGAAATGCAAAGTGCGCGGGCGGAGGGGCAATAATGCGCAGTCGAGTCAAGGAAGGGGGGATGGCAGAGAGGGGAAGAATGATATGCTGGTCTCGAACATGGTGAGGAGGTGGTGTTCCAAACGTGAGAGACAGCCAAGTCACGATGTCTGATGTGGTGGGCAGGGCGGCTGGCTGCGACCGAAGAGGTGGAGGAGGGGGCGGTGGGGGAGGCAGTGGGGGAGGCGGTGGAGCGGAGATGGTCGTCGAGAACGAGACTTCTGCAGTACCGCCCACCTGCGCCGGCAACGATAACTCGCCTTGCCTCGACATGGATTTAGAGGATGGTACAATGGTAGGCAGTCGGCACAGCAGATTACTGCTGATGAGCTGCTGCGCAGTTAAGTTGGGTGCTTGTGAGTCTATGTAGCTAGAGTGGCGAAAGGGCATAACTGTGACACAAGAGGAGTTATATAAGCCAACTGGCAAGCGGGGACGCGTAACAGCGAGCGAAATCATTTAGTACTCAACAAGAATGTTTCGCGCTGTGATTCCAAGGGAGCGGGAAGTGAGGAAGCCAGACAACATCACACAAAAACCTACGCCAAGTGATGATTCCCATCATTTTGTGGACACGGCTGTGCGGGCCTAGAGGTAGCAAGGGGAAAGAGCGTCTCCTATCCGACATGCAGTTCGAGCACCTCATGGGACACGGAGTGATTGTTGAGGGGCCTAGGACCACGATCTTCCTCTGATTACCGTCGCCTGTTCGATTATCATACAAATGCGGCGGGATCGCTAAGAGGCGAAAAAATTATTTCTCCACCAGGGAGTTGAACCCTGCTCTTTCGCGGTCAAGCCATCTCTGGCAACTCTCTAATGAGAGGCGAATATACTAACCGATATACTAGTGAAGAGTGGATGTTTGCCCTAAGACTGCTTAGTCAGATCCAAATCGCTCAACAACAATCGGGACAAGCACTATTTTCGCCGTGAGTTGCTTTGAATGCTGCTGTCGCCTCCCTTGCCGAGACACCATCGCCTGATCGCGCCTGACCTTCTTCCCGCCCACCGGCATTCCTGCACGAGCTTCCTGTGAACATCTTCCCCGCGAGGCACAACACGTCCGTTCAGACAGGCATGGCGTGGCTGAAACGTCGGTTTATTTGCTCGCTCGCCCAGGCCACTTTCTTTGGGCTTTTTTGACGCTCGCACCCAAATCGGAGCAAGTGACTGTATGCTTCAAGCTCGCTCATCCTCGAGATGTGAAGAGTGAAGTTGCGGTTATGACAGGTCAGAAGAGGCAAAGTGATTGGGACTGACGAGTCTGAGGAATGTGCGGCACGCGAAGCACTCTTCAGATCTGTCGATGTCCTGGCGCAGCCCTGATGAGGATCTGAAACGCGTTTCACCCACTCACACATGTGCATAACATGGTGCGGTGACCACTTGCGGACATTGCACCGTGCGCAGCAGTTCGCGACTGGCTTGCACGACTTGGGCCGTGCGACGCTGCGAGAAGAGGGCGAGACCAAAGTTCCGCGGGATCGAGCGTGGGCGAATGTGACTGAACGCACTCGAGCTCCGGCACGTGTCGTTGGACCGTGCATGAGCTCGTCTAAAAACAATGTCGCGACCTTCAAATCGGTCAATGGGTCACCGCTCCTCGACTGACTCTGCGAGTGTGCGAGTGTGCAGTGACTCCCTCTACGCTCCAAACGCCAAGCTCCAGGCTGCTCATGTTGTGACGCGCGATACCGCTTCCCACGCCACCACTGACATAGCCTCATGACTCTTTCGGCGGCGAACATCATGCCCTTCCGACAGCCACCCCACAAGTCCGACATATTCGGCAGTCACCAACCTGCACTGCGTCTTGCCTCGAGGCGGCTTCCCCCCGCCAGCCTTCCTGACACAACCCCATTCCGGAAGCATCAAGCTTCTCCTCATAATTGGGAGCTCGCCATGAAGCAGAATACAGACAGTCGAGCCATCATTGTTCCCCATCACCGCCGCCTTGCCACCACGGACACCCACACACACAGACACACAGCAGCAGCAAACGTTTGCTCTGACAACTCCAGTTCATGGCCCGACACCTCGACCTCTCTAAAGCGCGCGCAATGGTGCGCTCCTTCGACGACCCGTGGGCGTACCGTCTCGGTCCGGCTCTGCTATCGCCCCTCAGATATCCCATCGACCTCTGGCCGCCTCCGCCTTCGCCACAAGCTGATGTGACGGGACGTTTTCCTCTGACAGCGCTGGCAGCCGATGCACTCACAATCAGAGCGAGCGTCATGAGTCTCACACCAGATGACACTGTGTCGCCGCCCAGCGCCGGATTGGAGAGCGACTGGAGAGTTCAGACGGCGATGCGAATGGAGCTCCACACGGCGCGCAGTGTGCGCATGTCCAGCCTCTCAAACACACCTACCAAGCTCCAGTCGTGCGAGTCGACTCAAATGGAGGACAGTGAAATCCTAGTGACGCCTCTCCCCCGCATCTCGACTCCCACTGACCTCGACACGAACCTCGACACCTCAGCCCTGCACACAGTCAGCCAGCGCTCGTCGCCTCCCTCAAGTCCCAGCCTCGCAGGATCGGTACATACCTCGCTCGACCTCACCGTGGATGGAATTGAGACGCCAACATTCTACACCCTCCCGCCTGACCCCCTCGATGCTCTGGAAGCGCTCGAAGCACTTGCGGCTCTGCAGCCCCTCTGTCCCGACACAATCGGGGAGGAACACTTGGACCCCATTGAAGCACTGCTCTGGTCGCCTCGACACGATGAAGTCCATCCCTTTAGGGCCCTACCCCGCGCGGCGCAGTACACGTCAAGTGAGTGGTGCGACCGGCCGCCACCGGTGCCACCCAAAAGCCCACATGATAGACTCCTGCCGTCTTCGCCCCAGCGCCGTAGCCTCGACATCGTTAAGAGCGCGGGGACAGCGGCCGCCCACCGCCGGGCTGAGTCGACACCCACATGGCCACAGGCTGTTGAGGCGACGACCATGCATGCTTGGAACATCGCCCAGGTACAACCAGCCCCTAAAGCAGCTGGGTGGGCACAGCGAGCACGACCTCCTGGTCCTGGGGCTGAAGGTACACATGTCCAGCACTTCCATCACCACCACTACCATCACCACCACAAGTGCCGTGGGTGACCAGCTCCGACCTGGGCGGCGAAGGAATCACGGCTGCAAAGAAATTACGGCGGCGACGTATGACAAAGCTAGTGCGGCCTGAAGTGAAGGCGATGGCTAGACTGAATATTCTGGGGACACTACCCGAGTGGGAGCAAGTTTGATGTAAGGTCCAGTCCTGCGCGCCCCGAGCTTCGAGCGATATCATTCCCGGTCCTTGTAGACCACTGAGGTACAAATTCTTGTGAAGAGAGCTTGCAAGAAAAGGTATGCGACAAACTGATTGCGGATCCATTATCCTCTAACCCAGCCTTCTCGAAGTGCTACATACAACTTCATACGTGCAGATATGTGGGTTCTACCACCACTATGTGCTAACAAATTGTTACGGGATCAACCTCCTTCACCACTCTCCGCACAGGAGCTTGGCACGGTCGTTCTCGTTCACCTCATAAGGAGCAGGATCAATGAGTTTGGCCGCGGCCATAGAGTTGGTGACCCAGCGCGCGTGGATGAGACGAGCACACGCACTTCTCCTTGTCCCGAAGACCCTCATACTTGCGGCTCTGGTTCCAGGAGCGACAATAATGTACGTGGCCCAGCTCAGCTCCGTTGTGATGCTACCACCGCCGGCCTTTTATCAGAAGCTGCACGTCTCGAGCACACGGACGTACCAGAATGGTGGCCTGCAGAAAGGGGCACCCTGGAGCCTCAATGACGTAAAACTGAATGCGATTGGGTCCGAGCTTGAAGATCTGAGGCAATCCGATGTGTATCAGGGGCATCAGAATGGGGGTTGAGTGAGGTTCGGTTAAATTGGCGGGTATGGACTCTTGAAGGGCTACTCTCGCGGCGTCCACATCCGAGATAGGAGTCTCGGACTTGACAAACTGGGCTTCAGACTGTCCATTAGGGGAGTCGGCGTATCTTTTGGTGTCTTCGAAGCCCAAGGAAGCTACAATGTCTTCGGGGATCTCGACCTTGATGGCAAATTCGGAGGAGGGGACAGAGGCGAGTGAGTCGTCAGATGTGGCATCCGTAGAGACCCTCGGCTGCACACGAAGCTCGGCTTTCGTACTCGGAGGTTGATAAGCGCAGCCATAAGGCGAAACTCCGCTGCTGGCCTTGACGCCGATTTTGCGCTCAGGCCGTGCCCATGAAGGAGGGGAGTTGGGAGGCAATTCGGTTGATGGCGTATTGGCGGGGGGTGATTCAGCAGGCGAAATTGGAAGAGGCTTGGTGCTGTTGGGCAAAGTTATGGGCCCATGACGATTCGAGGAGGCACCAAAAGTCAACCGCTTGTTATACGAGTAACGAGACCTCTCCATGGGCTCGAATGTTGTCGCAACAGCGGGGGTGGCAGGAGGAGTATGGCCTTGAGTTGGGAAGTTGCTCGGCGAGGGAAGCAGTGTCGTAAGTCTGCGAAGTGACACCGAAGCCGTGAAGCCATTGGCTCCCGAGGAGGGAGCTGGCTTGTTCGCCTGGCGGTCTGCCACACTGCCACGGGCAGGAGAAGAGAGACGCCGGAACAAGCATGGGGGTGAGCCACTGCGGGGGCGCTTTAGGTAACGTTGATCGGGGGTCGAACTTCTGAACTCGGTTTTCGCGCGCCGCGTGGCATAAGCGTTTCGAACGTTCGTTTCACAGGCGGCCAAGGAGCTAGCAAGACGAGGATCGCGGGTAGTTCTAATGTTAGCTAACGGAAACGGGATCGGGCTCCCAGGAAGGGAAAGAACGGCAGTGCATTGGACACAATTCTGGGCGTCGGGTGACTCACACAATTCGCCACCCACCCCAGTCATCTTCCTCGTCCAGGATGCGCCCCTCACGGAGGCAGTGGTGGATCCAGTGGTGTTGGAGTACGGGAACTGGGGAGGGCCCTTGCGTGACGTAACGCACAGTCTGCATGACGTCCCACTCGTAGCCAGAGTCACGCTGCGACAACGGGGTTGGCGAGGACGCAGAGCTGATTTTGTAGCAAAAGTTCCTGACGGGGGTGGGAGATGGAACCTGAATAATCACAAGGTCGAACTGATCGTGCACGGCAGACCTGCGGAGTATGGCTCCATGATCCTCTTTGTTAATGGCGGTCTAATGAGGCGACTTACGCGTAGGAGGTCGCAGTCGCGATGCAAGCTGTCAGCGGATCGCCCTCGCCAAGGAAGGTGGACACTGAGCCCGTTGAAAATGCCAGGACGGTCGCGATTGGAGTTGGCCATTATATAAGGGCCCGGAGAGGGGGGAGAGGAGGGGGAGGGAGAGTTGGGAATGTAAGAGTGGCCCGTGTTGTGGTGATTTTCAAGAAGTGAAGTCAAGAAGAGTTGATTGTTGAAAGATGAGATGAAAGAGAAGAGGAGGAAGGGAGTTGGTGGATATTTAAGTGAGCGTGGGCGAGTAGCGGATGCACAGGGTGTCCAGTGAGAGTCAGTCACTGGGACTGGGCCACTGGGGGGTGGAGGAACGTGAGGGGGGTGAGGAGGGGCCAGCAGATGTCGCGTCGTAGATCGTACAAGGAAGGTCAGTGATCAGCTTGATCAGTGATTAGTGACCATTGCCACGCGCCCTCGCGCGCCCATGCAACCGCGCAACCAGCGGGCAGAGAGTATAGGGGTTCCAATATGTATTGCGTATTTGGTTGCTTGAGCGCTCCATTTTGCCTTTGCCCCTGTCAATCTACTCTCTGATCTCTGTACGATCTGTACCATCTCTGTACTGTACCTCTGTGCTTCTCGCCGTGGTGTTTTTTTGGGCTATTTGCTCTCCCGTTGACTTGTTTTGCTCATCTCTAGGACGACGCGCATCGCTGACACTAACCTTGCATCACATCTTGTTCCCAGACCCGATAACGCTACTTCCCTACCGGTCCGTGCTCGTTGCTGCTGCAGGAGGTTGCAGGCTGTACCTGGTACTCGGTCATTCGGTCAAGCTGTGCAAGGAGGCGCACCGAATTGCAGCTCAGACGACACACACGACTGTACCATGTATACTGTATACCATGTACCATGTACAATGGTCGCGCCGCGACATATGGCTGTCACCACGTACTCATCGCCCATTCCGCAGTAAGTACCGCGAATCTGCTGATCCGAGAAGTCGAGGATCAAACCAAGCCCCAGAAGTGGCACGGCTGGTCCGTGTTCTGTGCGCTGATCGCTGATCGCTTGGATGTAAAGTCGCAGTTTATGCAAATCATACGATCATACATGCACATTCGCAGCTCCGCAGCTCCGCAGATCCACAGATATACAGATACAGAAGGAGACTTGCGGAGGCTGGAATGATGCTGCAGATCGTTGTGGCTGGGAAGGGGGAAGCAGTTCGGAAGCTCCGTCGCGCGGCGACATTTTAACGCGGTCAACACACGAGTTCTAGAGAGCTAGAGAGGGCTGTCTGGAACTATAACCGGAAGCTTGCCTGTATTGTTGCCCGATCACTTATCCTCATCTTCATGCACAACTCTCCCAAGATCATGAGTGCCACGGGTGAGCTCGTGCGTGAACGGCATGGGCGGCTCCTTAGACTCTCAACCTCGCGATTTCGGGGGGGGGCGGGGGTGCAAAGGAAGATTATCGAAACAAGTTTCTGAAATACTGAAATAGATGCCAAAACTTGGCCCATTCATCGCTGGCATTCCTGTCGTGTAATAATATTATAGCAGTGCCCCAGCCACTTCGACCCCAGCTTCCTGGCGTATGTATGCAAAAGGATTGGCTGAGGAATCAAATCCTCCTTTGACGAGAGTGGGATTCGAACCCACGTCCGAAGACTGCGGATGCTCAATAGAACACCTTAACACAGCGCCTTAGACCGCTCGGCCATCTCGCCGATGAGTTCTACTATTTCAGGCACGGATTCGCCCTCCCGCGCCTGGCGGGTGGACGAAGACGCCCATCAGTCTGCGCAGCAAACACGACAACGATGGTGTGTGAAGCGCAGCCAAATTGCGAGAATAGCTCACTGATGGCATAAATTGTGGCCGACAATGACCGTCCGTCGGCAGTGAAGAGCAATAGGGCAAGAGCTATAACGTTCAGCAATTCGGTTGCGTCTCTATCCGGACGAAGTTCTGAGTTTCGACTGAATCATGACAATTGGGGGGATTTTATGGATATGAGCGGCATCCAAAAGGGATGTGGGAAATATCAAGGGATGCTTGAGCTGCGGGTGCTGCTCACAAGCGAGAACAAAGGAAATTGAACCAAGATCTCAATGCAATTTCGAGAGCAGTGTGATTCGAGTTGGACTTACAATAGTGGTAAAGAAGTCTCAAATCGCGTCACAACTGAGAGTACGCAATGGAGAGCTAACAAGAATACACAGTCATTGGCCGCTGGGACGCATACGTATGCGTATACCTTCTGAGAGAAGGCGCGATCTGCGACACTCTCGTGCCACTGCAGACTGCTCTGCCCCCCCCCCAACAACATTTCGTCCACCACTCTCGACATACAACTGAGGCTCAGTCGGAGACGTCTGCTGTGAGGTGGAGGTGCCACCTCGCCACTGGACAGCTGACAGCGGAAACCACCTGCGCCTGACATGAGCATGTGCAATATTGTTGCCAATGAGTCCATATTTCATCTCCAACGCAGCCCTGAGGATCTTGAGGAAGAGCTAGTCCGTCCCGCCGAGATCGGCGGGACGAGCCCCCCAGGCATGTGGGGGAGCAGAACACATGAGAGGGCGGCACGATCGCGCCAGCCCTCCACTGATGCAATGAACAGTGTTACCCCGACCACAAGCCCGACAAGCCACAAGATCACAGAGGGAGAACATGTCAGAGCTTTGGAAGGCGTGTGGGCGCATTTTGGGTTTGACCGCGTGCGGCTGCCCACATGCACCCACTTGAGTCCGCCGGCGTGATCGGGGTTGGGTTACTGTAGTTCCGCAAACTCACCTGCAATACCCGCATAGAATTCAGGTTGTAATCCTTTTGTGGAATGGACGCCCTACATGCAGGGTGCAGCTACTGGTCTCGAGAGAGCAGTTTCTATCCGAACGAGTTGACGAAGTGGGTTGAGGCCACGTGCTCTGAAGAGTGGGGCAGGCTGAGGACTGCAAAGTACTTACCCAAGATGCACATGTTAAACGTGTGTTTCACAGTTAACCGAGGCAAGATGTCAACCTCTTTCCATCCTCAGACGGCCAGAGTGAGAGCACATCGCGACATGTCATGTGCGATGCCTTAGTTTGTCCACCTGACCCGCGGCTCCAGAGCATGGGGTTAATCGTCTTGCGGACTAACCAAGTGGTGATCTTATCATTCGCGTATCTTATCTGTCCATTGTTTTGCTGGCCGGCTCCGCTTCATTGATTACCGTGATACATCCAGAAACTGCTTTGATCTCTTTCTCTCAACCCGGACATGCCAAGAAAAACTACGTGCTCAAGTCTGGTAGCGGAAATCGGGGTGCTCCTCGAGAACCTTGCCCGCGCGGTCGGCCCTGCGGTTCTCAAGCTTGAACCAGACCCAGAGGCCGAAGCAGCAGAGGATGGAGCCGCCGGTCATTCCCAATGTGATGTTAATACCGGTCGGGTATCCGCTGGCGGCCTCCTTCTCGATGAACGAGGTACCTGCAATGATACCTGAGATGCCGCCGAAAGCGACGACGATGGCGGAGGTGTATCCACGCTTGCTCTGGCGACGAATGGCAGTCTGAGCCCACGAGATGGCGAGGGGCATGTTGGCGTTAGAGCCACCAACAGCAATGAAGACACCCGCGTAGCGTGCAGCGATGTGGTTTGCGCCCAGCTTCGAGTACATGCACGTGCCGATGATGACCTGGAGCGAGTTGAGAGAGATGGCGAGGGCACGCTGGTGGTACTTGTCGGCGAGGATGGCGGTGGCCATGGCCGGAATCGGGACCCAGGCGTAGGGAGGCGCCACAAGAATCTGGCTCTTGAAGCCCTTGAACCCCATCTGCAGAAGAATACGAGGGAGAAAGTAGCTGAGGGCATAGGTCGAGGTGCCCGACGTGCAGAAAATGTAGGCGAACACCCAGAGCTTAGGGTCGCAAACGTAAGACCAGAACTTGCGCAGCGTCATGGGATCGTATTCAGCGTCGCCGCGGTCGCGCTCAATGCGCGTCTCGATGAGCTCCTTCTCCTCAGGCTTGAGGAACTTGGCCCTGTCGGGGAAGTCGACGATGAAGATCATACCGATGACGGCAATAACCATGGTCATGATGCCGTTGATGATAAAGATCCAGCGCCAACCGCTGTATCCGCCGCGACCGTGAAGCTTTGAGAGGCCGTACGCGAGCGTCGCGCTCAGACCACACACAACAACGGAAAGAACGTAGAAGAATGTCGTGCGCGTTGCCATCTGCCGACGTGGGTACCAGCATGAAATGAGGTAAGTGGCACCAGGGAACAGCGCACATTCAAACAGGCCCAAGACGGCACGCAGACCAACCAGGCCCTGCCAGTTGGTGACGAAACCGAAGCACATCCTTAGTGTGAGCACACGAAGTTGAAGTCATCTTCGGTAGACGCACATGACGACGCCCCACAGGAAACAAGCCGTGCCCAGCCACCAGCGGGCGCCGAACGCGCGAAGGCCAAGTTGAGACTGCAGTCAGCGGCATGTTCTGGTGGAAGGAACGGAAATGTAGGCGGGATATGTGGAGAGAGATGCCGGCGGCCGGGTCGAAGCGCGGTGGAATGCAGTAGTCGCACGCCCCCACGTTCATTCCGAGCTCTGGGGTTGTCATACTCACTGGAATCTCGAAGATGATGTAGGGGACGAAGAAAATGAGAGTGGCGAGGCCGTAGCGGTTGTTGCCGCCGAGGAGGTCGAGCTCCTTGTTCATGACCTGGTTGTTGGCGGCGCGTGCGAGAGAGAGGTTGGTTCGGTCGATGAACGAGATGCAGTAGAGTAGGGAGAGGACAGGAATGAGGCGCCGATCAACTTTACGTGTGGTACTGCGGATTTCAGCTTGCGTGTAGCCATCGTCGATGTCGACGGGGCCATGCGTGCCACCGCTGAGGCCTTTCTCGTGCTCGACTTCAGCGATCTCGACATCGCCCTTGCTGTCGCCCTTGTACTGTACGTCGGTCATATTGGGGTGGGAACGGAGGAGCTGACGAGAGACCAAAGTTGCCAGGCCCAGTGGAGCTTATGTACGGCCGCGATGAGGTGAGCGGGTTGAGCGGATAAAGCTGTAGGGAGGCTGGTGCTAGCGTGGATACCAGTGCCAATGTGCATTCCTCTTTTTCGTCCACAAGAGCTGGGTCCCCGTGGGCGGCTAATCCCCCGCCCCATTTGGAGTGCACGCACCACCGTCTGGGACACCGTTTACCCGCGGGGTCCCCCATTCTGAATCGCATCTCCAGCGGGAGTTGCTACAGTCGCGGCGCCGGGGTGTGATGGTGACCTCGGCGTGTGTCGAAGTGGCGCTTGACCCTGGTGACAACCGCCCCATCTAATCAGTTTGATTGGGTTGGGCTGTGTTCGTCGGGGTGAGTCGCTTACGCCTTGCTTGTACCGCACATCCCCAGATGCGTCTCGCAGTTGTCATTCAATGCAGACAGGGAGAAGGAGAGCTGGAGGGCAAGCGCGCTACGGTGAGCAGAGGGAGCGGTGAAAGCGGAACTGAGGCCGACGCTAAGCGGAAGAACCAAGATCATGCCCGACCCAAGTCGTAAATAAGCACTCGGCAGGCACGGCATCTGCGGCATGTGCGCGCTCTGGGCCCTCATGCGATCATGCACCACGCGGGACCAAGCACATGATCGGCCTTCCACCCGATCGATCCATCAGCTGCATGATCAGCTGCCATTGGCCACATACATGCATGCAGCATGCAGACATCGGGACAGCGCGACAGCGGGAGCGAAAGTGCTGATCGAAGCGCGAAACGAGATCCGGAGATGTGATGAACGTGATCAGCCAGCAACTCCAGGCCTATACACCGAACTCTGACGCAAGACCTCGCTGGCTCGCTTACGTTCTGCTGTGTGACAGTCATGGATACTTCGACATCGTACCGCCCAATCCCTCACAGGATTCCAGGGGAAAGACGCATGTCCTAAGTTCAGCAGTGGAAGCGCCAAACGCTAGCCCGCGCCGCACTCGCCAAGACGTGCCACGGACCTGTAGATGCCGGCGCTTGGACATTTCGATGGCGGAAGATGTCAAAGTTGAGGACATAAGGCGGTGCGAGGAGTGCCGTTGGGGTCAGAGCAGGGCCTTAAAAGCCTCTTCCCGCGATCTCGCTATCTCGCGGGCTTGGGATGATGAGGTGCATGAGGTGGACGGGATTGCAGTGGATCGCGCAGCGGACATGTGTATGCCGTGCACATGCCGCGCACGTCCATATCTGAGGCTTGGCGTCATAGGGTCGAAGGCACGTGCAGCTGGGTAAACCAAGATGGATATCAAGTGACTAATGCCTCGCTTGCTTGTGCGGGATCGTTCAGGTTTCTTTCTGCTCGACATATGTGACGCGTCTCATATTAGATCCCTAGAAATCCGCGCACGCGATCAAGAGGTCTCGACCAGAATAGCGACTGCGACTTTCGGAGGCGAAAACGCGCAGGAGAGCAGGAGATGGAGCCGCCAAAGTATATCGGCACATGCCGAAGATCTGACTTCTTCGTGGCATGCCACTCCTGCAAGTACATATGCGTAAACGACCGTCCATGAAGCAGAATTTATGTAGAGCATTAGGGCGACTGCGAGGGTTTGATATTCAGATTGGAAGGAAGTAGTGCGTGTAGGTACTCGGTGGTCTCAGTGTCGACACGAGCACTGTGCAAGGGGGTCAGTGTATTCGCAAAAGGATACGGCGAACGGGGTTCGAACCCGTGTCACACCCTAACCGGTTTACTGGAGTCGTTAAACCAATGGGAAGGGTGAATCCTAAATCACTAGACGATCACCGTTTCCACGAAGACCACCTCCGATGCGCTATGTTTGTGGCCCTCTTGCTGGTTACCTGTGATCTGCCGTTTCTGTAACGCCTCTTGTTCCGTACGGCCCGCACTTTCAGCTCACCCGGAAAACCAGATAATGCAGAAAACAGCTGGGTTGGGTGGCGTTGTCCAATTCAAAGCAGCTGGCAGTTCATGACCGTCACTTCGCGATCGGTCGCTTCTAGCGTTAACCTGCAGTACAATGCGCTATTCACCGACCGACCGACGACCTATCGCACTGCAACACCAACTCCTTTAGCATTCACTGGCGCGACTGAGTTCCGGGACCCTCCTGGTCCTGGGTGAGCGTGCGGATCGCAGTGGGGAAATCAAGTGGAATGCGGAGCACCGGCATCCCCGTAACTGCAATTTAAGCGGGGTGGGCTTGGAAGACATGGAAAGGGATTCTGCGTTTTCTCTGACGCCTTCTCAGCGTTATTACCCTATACGCACATCTGACTGAATCGGTTGATTAGGTAGCGTCAGCGTCAACTCCCATCCTCTCCGGCTTCGTCGGGTGTTTTATTTTTAACTGGGACGGGTGGAGCCCTCTGGCCCCGATTGCGGAGGCACGCGAGGCGTCGCAAGGACTCTTGATGATGCCCACTGCCGCCGGCATGGAGTTAGGCATGTGCTTGCTGACGTCTGCCTTTGGTGACGCACAACAGCTTTGCCAATGCATGGCGCCCGGCCAGCTCATACACGGGGCATGGGGGACCCCGCTTGCACATGCTGGAGCTCCAGCATCACCCCCCTGCACCAGAGAGGGGTGGCCCAATCGGCGCCGACATCGAGTCCGACCACATCGGTAGTAATGCAGCAGCCCGACCAGGTCGGACCTTGCGATCGGGTGGCCCCGCACGTCTCTCCTCGAACCCGGATGTCTGAGCGGGTTGACGCCGAAACACCACATCGCGGCGGCGGGGAAAGTGAACTCCGAGGCTGGCAGCCGCGGTTTTGTCGCCGAAAGTACCAGCACGCCGTGTCCGACGCCGCGAGGGAGGCAACCACGCCCTTTTGATAGCGAAGACACTCAGGGCGTGTCTATCGTCAGCCATCCAGGGTCAGTACCGTATCGAGGATCGGCCAGCGCCGCCAGGATAAGGTCTATGTTAGTGGCGCTAGGAGGCACGCCGAGAGTCTGGGACAGCAGCCATGGGCTGACGAAGATCGCAATGAGGCAGAGGAGGAGAGACCTCACATCATACGAGAAACAGCCTTTGCATCCGTCTATTACTCAATATCCTCTTCTTTCCAGGAAAAACTCCCATGAGCAGTTGGTCCCCATGCTGCTCGTATCGCATTGAGCGCATAGCCGACCATCCGCTTTGCGCACTTCTCAACATACGGGGCAGGCAATCACAGGTTGAAGGCTCAGAGGGACCGTGGCTGACATCAACCCCACCCCGCTGCTGTCGGGGTGATTGGATGACCCCACGCCTGTCTTTGCATTCCTTCATACCATACATCGCTATCAGCAGTCCGGCTCTATGATCTTTGCTTAGATGATGAGTGCCGGGATGTGGTCAGCTGCTTCAAGAGATGGCTGCGAAGGGACGTCCGGCCTCATCGGGGCTCAAGGTACGATCAGGGGTAGGGGTTGAGTTATATGGCCCAGGAACTGCGCCTTGCCCGCACGGCCAGAGGTCCTCTCATCACCTGAACCCGTGATCCGAGGTAAAACGCACTGCCTGCTTAGCTACTCTGCTGCCCATGCTGCTTACGGCTCGGGGCGCCGCAGAGCGACACGCCGAATGCCCGTCTTCTCCGCCCTGAACGGAGCGCTCTGCCTGATCTCAGAGGCGCTTAATCGGGGACCGTCACTGACACTGGGTGGGGGAGAGGAGCAAGAGTGGGTAATCAATTTCCAACAGGTCTGGACCCCGCGGCTGTGGGCGTTCCTCCACACTCCCACACTCAGCCAAGGCGGAGTGATGGGTGGGCTGCATGTACTCGGCTACTCCCGACACCTTGGCATCTAACTATCACCCAACGGCTCAAAGTACTTATCACCTGATGGCTCAAGCCCAGTCGACGGAACCCATGGCCTTTTGAGCTCGCTGAGCTTCCCACCCCCACTCTGAACACCTTCGATCCCACGACACCATGGCGGCTCCCAGCACAGTCCCCGGCGCGGCATACGAGGAGGACCAGAAAGTTGCGACCTCTGTCGACGTTCTTGATGTCGACGACTCGGCGCATGGCGACCTCGGTCACACGCCGCGGACCAAGCGCCCACTCGGCACGCGCATCAAGGACTTTGGCAAGTCGCTGGGCTCCAAAGACGCCTGGTTCGCCGACTACGACTACGGGGCGCTGTTTATTCCAAACATCCCTGGCGTTTTTAAGAAGCGCGAGCTTCCATTCTACGGGCCTAACGACAAGCTGCCATACCTTCTCATCATCATTTTGGGTCTGCAACAGTGAGTCACCTCCACCGGTTAAACTGTTGCTTACAACCAGTGCTCTCGCGATGGTTGGTGGGCTCGTCGTCCCACCTTTACTTCTAGGCGGTGTCACTGGCGCCAACCTCCCTACCGAGATCCAGCAGTACCTGATCTCGGCCTCCCTCATTTGGTGTTCGGTTGGAACTGTCATCCAAATTCAGCGCACTCGTCTTTTCGGCACTAGGTATTACATTGGCACCGGAATCGTCTCCGTCACCGGCACTTCATTTGCCTTTGCCAACGTTGCCCTCAAGTACCTCCAGCAGTCCTACGAGAATGGCACCTGCCAGACTCTGCCTGACGGCACCAAGCTGCCTTGTGAGGCCGAGTTTGGCGCTATCCTCGGCACGACGGTCGCCACCGGCGCGTTTGCTATCGCTCTCGCCTTCGTGCCTCCCCGCATCATTCGCAAACTTTTCCCACCCCTCATCTGTGGTCTCATGCTTACCCTCATTGGTGGCGTCCTCATCACTTCGGGTGTGCAGAACTGGGCTGGTGGCGCTGGCCCCTGCCGCAACAACCACGAGATTGACTGCATCGCTGGAGACCGCCGTCACAAGTGGGGCTCGGCACAGTTCCTCGGTCTCGGTCTCTCATGTTTCGTGGTCATCATCATCTGCGAGGTCTTCGGGTCCGCCTTCATGAAGTCCGCCGCCGTCTTCCTGGGTCTGCTTGTCGGTCTCGCCATCGCGGCCGGTACTGGGTACTTCAACAAGAAGGCTATGAGCGACGCCCCTGGAGCTACTTTCCTTTTTGTCCACCGCTTCCCCCTCGCGGTCCGTGCCCAGCTGGTCTTGCCGATGATTGCGGCTTGGTGCATCATCATTGTCGAGTGCATTGGCAACATCACCGCCTCGTGCGATGTCTCCGGTCTCGAGATCGAGGGCGAGCGGTTCATGTCGCGAATCCAGGGCGGTATCCTCTCTGACTCAATCACCGCTACCATCGCTGGTCTTATGACCGTCCCCGCCCTCACCACCTTCGCCCAGAACGCCGGCGTTATCGCCCTTACCCGCAATGCCTCGCGCTCATCCGGTTACGCCTGCGCCTTCTTCCTGCTGCTCATGGGTCTCATCGGCAAGTTCGGTGCCATCTTCGTCGCGGCGCCTCCCGCGGTCATTGGTGGCTTCACCACCTTCCTCTTTGGTGCTGTCACCACCTCGGGTCTTCGTGTTATGGCCTACGCCAAGTGGTCTCGCCGCGATCGTTTCGTCGTGTCCGTCTCGGCAGCCATGGGTTTCTCGTCCCTCTGCGTCCACGATTGGTTCTCCTACATCTTCACTTACGAGGGCGACAACACCGGTCTTAAAGGTTTTATCCAGGCCATCACTCTCATCGTCCAGGAGCCCTACCTGATCGCGGCCGTCCTCGGAGTATTCCTCAACCTCGTGCTCCCAAGCGAAGACGACGAGGAGGTGGACAACACGCACTAAAGGTTGCGAGAGGGAGAAGGGACTTCAGAAGTGACGACAAGCGTTTAGGTTGACACAGCGCATAAGCGACACTTGTGGCTGGCCGGCTGGGTTTGCAAGGTCGATTTTTAGGTCGACGAGGGCACGAAGGTCGGGGTCGGTCGGACAGGTAGACGCGCGGGCGGCTTCGCCATAGTGCAGCGAGCTGCACCGACGAAAACTACTGCGCACCAGTATGGGCTGCGCCATGCATCAGCTGTTTCCATGATTCACTTCAGTGGGGCGAAGGGGCAACGGGCCAAGGGCGGTGGCGAGAAGCTGTGACGAGTGACCAGGCCCCGCGGATGAGCGGTGAGTGCGGTACTTCTGGGTACATTGAACCAGCGACAGCATGATGGTCACGCATGCACATAAACACGCGGCAAGACAGGACCTTGCCTGATCGCGCGTGCAAAGATGGTGAAGGCGGGCACAGGAGCAGAGGAGAAAGGAGTGTGGGGAGGAGAGTGCAATGAAGTGACAACGTGGTGTCTGGAGTTGCGAGATGATGAGTGGAGGTCGAGTGATAGCGAGGGCGCACTGTCCTTCCTTGCACCTGCCCACAACTCGCCACCTCATCAAACATCTAATTCACTCATTCTCCCGCTTCCCATTGCCATCAGCTATCGTCGTCCACATTGCTTCCACCATTCCATCGCATCTCTCGACGCGTTCACCAACCCGCCTGGCCATCCACTCCTCTGGTAGTTTGCAATCTCACGTTCTCCGCTATTCAGGCTCTACAAGCTATCAGGTCGTATTGAGCGCCTGTCATCTTACGCACCTCCAGTCACGGTAATCGCTCTCCTTGTTGGCAGCAAGCATTCGAAGCCGCGATCTGTCCTCTGACCTGCAACTGGTCCGTCCTCAAGCGCTCCGCAAGCACACCCCTTAGCCGCAGCCTAAGGCCCCGAGGTTAACCCGAACGCGGCAAGCCTGCTGCTCGCTTCGACGTCCGACCTGATCGGACTTCTCACGCGCCACCGCTCAAGCTGGTCACCCGCTCCGACGCTCATTACATAGCCGGACACATCAAGCTATATCCGTACTTCCGATTCACTCATCACCATGCCTATCCGCGTGGATACGCGCGACAACCTCCGTCCCAAGCGGCCAGCTGCGAACAAGCTCCCCCTCCGTAGGCATGAGGTGACGCCCGAAGATAGAGCGAGCAACGTTGAGGCATCATCTTCAGAGGAGAGCGAGGAGGACATTGACAACGTGCTCGCCCGCCTCGGAAAGAAGTGCGAGATTGCAGACCCGATGGAGCGTTTTGTCAAGTGGTATAATGGTGGGCTGTTGTAAGTAGAGGCCTGACAACAGACGTCAACTACCACCTCAACGCAGGTAGCTTGGACAACATCAGCAGCCTGGACGGTGCTGAATCGCAGGAGGTGAGCAAGCATTGTAGCTCGCATCTGATGCACCAGACCCCGGTCACAGGCGCCTCAGTGGGCGCGCTTGGATCAACGCAAAGGGCGAAGCGTAGGCCAGATGAGGCCTTGGTGGAGCTTTCCGCAAACACGAAGCGGACTCGACCCACCCATGTTGCAGTTGGAAGCCAGGTCATTGCCCGACATCTCTCTGGGGTTGCGAGTACACCAGCTGACCCCAAAAGGCCCACGATCGTAGAAGGGCCACATGCTAGGGGCAAGCGAACCGCACCTCGGCTACCTCCAGCAAAGACCACTACGTCTCCCACTTCTGCCGCTGCTAGACCCACCCTACATGTGAAAACAGCTAGCCCTGCCACCAAACGTCTTGCAGCTGTCAAGCAGGCCGCGTCACGTCCGCCGCCCACCACTGCAAAGTCCACCGAGACAGAGGCGCACCCCAAGAAGAAACCCACCGCCGGCAAGCGCAAGGTGCCTCCGGCTCTAAAACCTGCACCTGCGCGTACTCGTATCTTCTATGCTCGCCGAGCTAAGGAAACTTCCGAGTCTGCGCTAGCACCAGGCCGCCTTCCCTCCTGACTGTCAAACGACCTCGTCCGTCCTCAACATTCGGGCATTGACTCAGCTTGCCATAACCTCGTCGACGACAGGTCACTTCTAGAACCACCTTAAAGCAAGATTGTGTAGAGATATGTTGTACAAATACAAGAACATATATGTTCATGTTGCCGCCTAATACAGGGCAAGCGACGATGGTACGCGCCCAGCGCTTAAATCGTCCACACTGGCCCCCCAACAAATGCCAATGCAGCCTCCTGGCCGCCCTCTACATCCTCAAACATCATGTGGCCATTACGGCGATGATCTGCGTGCGTGCCCCGCCTGGCTTGCCATCCTCGCCTTTGGCCTTCTGACTACGGCAGGTGAGACTGTACGTGCCGGGCTTCAGGTCTTGCTTCACGAGTTGGCGCGCACCAACGGAGACAAATCCCCACAGTCCGGTGAGGAGTGCGGCATCCTTCTCGTCGTCGTTAACCCAGCACAGTAAATCTCCCATGTCGTGACCCCACGAGCGGAGGAAATACAGCGAGATAGTGCCGTCGACCACGGTGATGCCGGGGAACGTGATCTTGGATCCAGCCTTATCGGATCTGGAGTCAACGACGATCCGCCGAGTTGTGAGCCCACTCACTTCCAGAACCACTTGTCATTCCATTCGAATTGCTCGAACCCGTCGTTGAAGCTGGGCAAGAGCTGCGGAGTGCCATGCTTGGTGCCGTCGGCGACGCGCACGCGCACGCTTGAGCAGAACGGCTTGGCATCGGGGAGCGTTTCCTGGGCGTCAATCTTCTGGCGGATACGAAGCAGTGGAAGGCTCCAGGGGTCGTACGCCGAGGGTAGCTGGCTGCCGCGGAAACCCGACAACGGCTCAGAGACGGGTGCGCGGACCAGATCCTCTGCAAAGTCGCCGGCGCCCTGCACGCGGCACGCCTGGTGTAGAATGTAGCGGAACACTGAGTCAGCTTTCGCCTAAGACACGACACGCACTGATGTCGGCCAGGTACTGATGTCCCTTCTGGTTCTGGTGCGAGTAGTTGTCAGTCGGGGTGTAGTGGTCACCGAGCTCGTCGCGGTGCTGCAGCATGTAGCGATACAGGAATGTACGGCTGCTGACGCGTGGGATATCGTAATACTCGCTGACAGTAGCATGCGCGTCCGCGCCCGTCATGTAAAGCTGTGGCTTCTGCCATGCGGAGAGGAAGATAATTGCGGCGTCGGGATGCGTGTGACCCACGGAGCGGACGAGGTGCTCAGCATGCCAGATCGTGTCGAGTACGTGCTCAGCGGCCATTTCACTGGGGATTAGCGCGTTGGTGTCTTCGTGCCTTACATGATCGCGTCGTTGACGGCAAACTCGAAAAGGAAAAGGTCCGTCCCTTCGGCGGTATGGTGTGGGTAGCACGCGTCAAAGTAATCGCTGCCCGTGGCCCCGATAGCATTATTCTCAAGGTAGATGTCGGCGTTGGGGAACGCGCTGCGAAGCTGCTCGGCGAGGAGAAGGGGCCACGGCCGGTCACCCTCGGCCATGCTGTGCCCGAAAGTGATGCTGCCCCCGAGAACGGTGATGGAAACGCGCTGGCCAGCAAGGAGCTTCTGCACCACGCGGCGAACGCGCAATCCGCTTCCCTCGTACCCGACGCTCATGTCGAGCGCGGTACGCCCCCAACGTGCGTCGAGCTCCTCGAGCTGAGCAGAGAGGGACGCGTCGCAGCGCCCATGCGAGACGACGTACGCGCCGGCCTCCACCTCCAGTTGGTCGAGGCGTGCGAGTTTGGCCTTGGTCACCTCATCGATACTGGGGCGCACCGCAGCCGCGACATAGCGCGCCACGCCGGACACGCCGTCGGGGTGTTCCAGAGCGGAGAGGAGGAGCGCGATTATGACCGTCCAGCTTGCGACGAGTGCCGCATACAGGCCCAGCCGCGCGCGCCGGGAGGACGGCAGTTGCAGGGCCAGCTCGATAGTCATCGCAGCAAGTGAGAGTGAGAGGGGAGTCAGAGGAGGGAAGTGAAAGCAAGATGTGCATAGCTGACTACTTGCGCTCTCATCGAGTGTGAGCCAGGAGAAAGAGGGTGCGTTGTGGGGACTATCCAAAACGTATGTGCCTGCTGCGAGTCCTAAGGCCACCGCAGAGAAGGAGCTGAAGGCACATGGTGAGTAGTGGAGGGGTCATGAGGTAAGTTTAAGGGGGTTGTGAAGGATGCCGTAATGACGACCTTCAGTCTCACATGCTGAGGGGACGGCTGTCTCAGACTCTCATGTTTCACTTGGACGCCATATTTATGCTTCAGAGTTCTAAGGGGTATGAATTTGACAGGAATCATGTCACTGATGAGAGTCAAGAGGGGCTGAGTACGGTTATCGAAAAACCATCCTCGGTTGGGTGCTGCATCTCCCAATACCCCGCCACAATCCTTCTGTTGAGTCCTGAGCCGAGTATCGGTGAGTGCGACAGCGATATCTGGGACTTGTTGCCCAGAGGCATACCCAACAAGGCCCAAAGCCAGTGGCTACGCCTGCATCATCTCACCACACTCCTGGTGCTGGCAAGCCACATACCGGTCAAGAATTCTGTCAATGAACCGCCGTTCCGAGCGTACCGACTAATGAACTCGCTCGCTGTTCATGCGTATTTCCACCCCACATCACCACAAGGCCAGCACCGTCCCCATTCCGAACCCAGACGGATCTGCTAGGTTACACTTTCTGCCCTGATGACCTTGACCCAGTTCTCAGGCTCCCGGCCATGTACGATCTACGAGCGGCACGCAATCGGGCTGCGGTTGGAGTTGGGAGATGTACTGCAGTTTGCTCTCTCTACCACCTCAGCCGGGTGATGCCAACTGGGTGATGTCAACTGGGTGATGTCAACTGGGTGATGTTGGGAGAGTAAGCAGGCACCATGGGTCTGCCCAATCGATTCTGGTGCCCTCGGCAAAGGATCAAATGCATCAAACAAGGCGCGACCTGAGGGGCGATGATTTCAGACAGCTCACTTACTGTACATTGATCTGTATTGCAGCAGTTCACCTGTCTCGGCGACTTATCCGTCATGCTTTTAGTGGCTCGTTGTCCCCTGATCCGATCTCGTAGCATTGTCCACCCCATACCACTCTGCCTGATCGAGATCTTACCTCACCCAAGCAGGAAAACCCCTTTGATCGAGCGTGTCGGCTCAACCTCTGAAGTCAGCTACACGTTGCTTATCAGCAGCCACCTTCGATCAGCTCCTCTCGACCGCCATTGTCCAGAATCTAACCAACAGCCCAAGCGTTCTTTTTCGGGTTTTGGGTCGCCAGTTGGCGCCCGTAGCGGCTTTCTATCGGGATCTCTGAAGCAGATGCCAGGGTTCTGGTATCAGAGCCGGCTGTGTCGCTCGGGGCACCTTGACACGAGCCGGCGGTGCGAGCGGGGCAACGCATCCACGTTTCCCCGCCTCGCGCTCGAATGGCAAGTTTAACCCCCTACCTTCTCTTCACAAAGCGTTTGCACCCTGTCGAGACAAAAACAATCGTGCGGAGGAACGGGTTTGTAGGGCGCATACGTGGTCCTGGCTTCAGTGCGAAAACCTGGTGAGCCTTAGCGCGAGAACATGATCGCACAGGTCTCGCTCGCGTATTGAGGTCGGGAGCTCGCCGGTTGAAAAGCTGAAGAGAGAACTCTCGGGAACGTTGGAAGGAAGAGCAGAAAGCCGAAGCTGATGCAAAGCACTCAGAAAACACCCTGACCGACCCTTGGGAGGTGATGCACGGTCAACTGCATCGCGTGCCCGTTCCCGGCCTGTGACGCAGCCTCTTCTGGCGACTATGCTCCACCGCATTTCAAGTTTTCTACACCACAGACCCTCCATTCGGCGCCTCTAGTTTCCTTCTATGTAGCCTGGCAGTCAGCTCGCGCCGAGGGATGCTTTTGCGACCATGCTTCTTCGGCTTTGCAAGGGAGTAAGAGGCGTTGTCTACCGCTGCGGCACTTTTAAGCGGAACAATCTCTGCCCCACAGTCAGGCTGCTGTTGGTTCCAGTTGCGGTTGGTCCGGCAAGCAAGCCACGATGCGATCGCCCCGAATCTGGTGGCGGTGGGCGGACTGTCGTCTTTGCTGCGTGACGGTAAATGTTGCACCCTTTGATGGCGGCGACGAGATGGTAGCCGCAGTTCCTTGCTGATATAAGTCTTGCATTGCCATGGTTGTCGCCTTTATCGTCATTTGGATGCTCTGCTCCTCTTCAGTCAGCGGCCTACATTCAAAATCACTCCAAGTTGAAGATGTGCGAGCACCACCAATCCTCCGGCACCCCGGGCCGCGACGGTCCGCCCATTGAAGGTCAGTGCAACCTCGATGTCGCTAACCTCAGCTTCGTGCCAGTGCAGCTTCTGCTCCTGGCGTGCCTTAAGCATCCGGCGGTCCCCGCTCTCCCTTGCTCGTACCGCCCACCCGGACCCCCTCACCATCTTCCGGCTGTATCTACCCACAAGCCAGACGTGCGCCCACAAAACAGCGGCCGATCACTCGTTCGCCATCACCCGAGGCTCCAGCGAGAAGGGCACGCGGCGCTCCCTCCTCGCTCACCCCTTCGGCCTACCTCGCGCACGAAGTGAGGGCGCCTCATTGCGTCAATACTGGGAGAACTGGGAGCGCAAGACTAATCCCAACTGGGGTGCGACCGACAAGCAGCTGATCGCCTCGGCCGCGCTCGATGCTTTGATGCACACTCCGTTCAAAACGTCGTGCAACCCAACTCTGCGGTCTACACCGGCACCCCCAGTGCTTACCTACACAAAGCCCCCACAATCTCCAGGCTCTCTTCCCTTTATCGTCGAACGCCAGTCAGTGAAGATCGCCTCATCTCCCGTCGGGCAGGAGCAGTTCCAGCGGGCGTCTACCGACGGTTTTAGCACGAGCGCTTCCCCTTAAAAGGAACGCATCCCTAGCTAACTTGCATACGCATGCCATCCATGAGTCATGCACTGGAGTCGATCGAAGTGGTGCTGTTTAGGCCCAGGTGAACGAAATCAGCGTAGCACGAAGACCACGTCTGTACAGCCTGGCGTTTGTACCCTACCCTAAGTAAGCATAATAGACCGCAAATACCCTATGTCAGAGATTTTCCTCGCCACATAATGGCTCTATGCCCTGCCGCCATCAGTGGCAACTTGGCGGAGTGGTTAACGCGATTGACTCGAACCTCCTAGCACAAACATAGGGTGTCTATCAATTTCCTTCGGGAGCGCATGTTCGAATCATGCAGTTGTCGTTTTCTTTTAGCTTGCTCTTCTGCTGCAATCCGGCACAGTTCGACGAAGCTCAGTGGAGAACGGGAGAGGATGATATGAACTGGATCCGTGGCAGATGGAGTGCGGAAGCATTTTACCCCTTCGCCGACGATCCTGTTCCATCTTGACATTCCCAGTTTCGCATCCCCACACACACCACACCAGACAAAAAACACGCACATCACACACATCACCCACACCTAGCACACACCTCCGCCAATTGCGTCCCTTCGGAGGCCTAACTTGTGAACCATGTGCCTCTGTGAAGGCGACGTCAACTTCCTAGCCGCGGTCGAAAATACACCGTATGGAGAGGTCTCGCCCCTATGGAGAATCGCCCACACAAGGTGAGAACAACATGCAAGGGAAACAGATGCATGGTGAATTTACAGAACCTTCTGCTTGTCTTTGAGCGTGCTCGTATGGAAGACAAGAGGGTGCTTGAAGACAGCGGATCGATTTTCCTGATGCGAGCCATCATATACCGGCCAGTGGCACCCCTCCAGCTTCCAGTTCTCGGGTTTCGAGTTTGGGGGAAAGACGGGAGTTTTTACGATGCTTTAACAGCTTAGAAACAAGCAGAATCAGCTCACAGCGCGCGAAATGCCCCTGTTCCCAACTAGCGCTCGCCGGGGTCGCATAGTGGTTATTGCGGTTGGCTACTATCAAGTGGACTAACTACCGAAAGGTTCCAGTGTTCGAATCACTGTCCCGGCTGGCTAGCGCCTCCTTTTGGTCTCTGACGTTATCTGTGTGTTTTTGTGGGTAGAGAGCAGCGATGGCAAGATCGACAGCGACGAAGGGCGTTGTGGTAGCGGAGAAACAACTTTGTGGGGTCTCCACAAACCCTGACTTACGTCCACCTTCAGCGTTCGACCCGTCATAGATCCATGATGGCGAGATCCGCTTGGCTTAGGCGAGACGCTCTACTCGACAGCGGTGGAACACTTTCTGGCTTGAGGTGGGGCCTGTAAGAAAACGCATGTCCATGAGTGAAAGGGCAAACGTACCTGAGACAACTTTATTTGCGGCTCACCGGGTCACCGGTCGTGTCGCCTCAGTGGTAGGCAGCCATTTGAACGCGGAAGACCGAAAGGACACATTATCAATGACCATGGTATCGTCCTACCAAGCTTCGAGAGGCTGCCATGGGCGAATAAGCTCGACCGAAGTCAGTCAGGTGTTGGCTCAAGCAGAAGCGGCCCAACCACCGGGACTGTCTGTTCAGCACAACGATTTGGCTTCTTAAAAAGCTACACTGACGGGGATTCGAACCCCGGTCAAGTGCTATTCCTTTGGAAGGCACTTATGCTAACCACTACACTATCAGTGTGGCTGCGGTTGAGGCTGAAAGGGCGTCACGTGACTCGATGCCTGCACTGCGTGCAGCTTACCCACCCGACAAAGAGCAGCGAGAATCTCCCGGCAACTGGGTAACGTAGAACCATTGCATTTATGATCACAGCTATGAATTGAGATTCTGAAACGCCTTGCTTCGCCAGTTTTTACGAGAACGGGCATAGTCCATATAATATTCAGGATGGGCGGGGAAGGCGATACACGCCTCACTGACATGACCCAGGTGGAAGCGACGGTGAATCACGCTGATTTTAACTCGTGGAATGGCGAGGTGAGTCAGTTGGCGAGGGTCAGTCTCTCTGGGCATCGGTATCAGACGACATCCGGTCGGGAGATTCCGCGCGCGGGCCAAGAGGAGGTCCCTCGATGAAGATACTACCCGGCGTAGAGGGTGGCGTAGGATGGGTGGAAAGAGGGGGCCGCCACCGCGGGTTATAGGAGGGGGGGACCTCGAGGGGCGTAGCAGTGTGGGGCTGGACGGGGCCTGCGTCCAAGCTCTGGAAAGTAGGAGCGTCGTTTTCGATCCGCCCGCTGCCCGCAATTAAGGAACCTTCCATGCCGAAGCCACTGAAATAAGCGGTGCAGTAGGGGTGCACATACATTTGAACCCAAAAGCCTGAGTCAATGGAGTAGCGGCCGTAACTCGATTGGCGTTGTGCCTGCTCGCGGAGCTTCAGAGGGACGACGGAGTTGTCTGCCGATGAGCCGGACATGTGGTGGCTCTCCATGGATGCGTGCTTGTTCCGGACTTGCCCCATCAAGGGCCCCTGTGAGGTCCGTGATGACCGGGACTGGAAGTACGAGGTTCTGCCACTGTCTGATGCAATGGCCATAGTCAGCCGAGACCCATACTGACTTACGTGGGGAGACATATGGCGTTGAGACAGCTACGGGAGATTCATCAATCTCAAAGTTGTCCTCGGGGCTGATAGTTCGGCGGCGTCGACGGCGGCCGCACATGTACCACCAAGCGGTAGCGCCGACGACAACACATAGTATCACACTCCCCTGCTGTGAGCAAGCGGTGAGTATATCCACTGACCAGTGTTCCCCCCACAATCGCAGCGATGGGTGGCTCCTTCGCTGGAGACGGTCTACAGTCAGCGAGCTTCCATGCCAACGCACCCTGCATGCTGATTCCATAGCTCCAACGAGCTCAGCTCAAGCCAATTCATCATCTTGTTCAGCCCCTCATAACCTGTGTCGAAACCATCGTTGAGGAGATTGGTGACCGATAGCGTGTAGCGCACTGCCGGATCGAGCGTGGTCGCGAGAAGCGATACGTTGCGAACTTCCCACGGTGAATAAGCCCTCAAAGTGGTCAACCGTTCGTATAGCATTGGCGGTGCAGGACTAATTTCGTAGCGGAAGAAGCTCGCGAACGTCCCGCGGCTGCCCTTGAGGTCCATCCAGTAGTTGCCAGTGCCGAGATCAATCAGGACAGAATCATTAAGTTTGTCGGTGCCCAAAACGCGGCGGTCGGCATTGACTGTCCAGCCCGCTCCAGTCCAGTTTCCGAAGTCATCGTTGCGAACCAGTTCACCTAAATCAGTTGTCTTGACGGGCGAAACAATGACAGCGTTTCGCCTTGTAACCTCCATCGTTGACTGAGTTGCACTGCCATCAGAGAAAGCTGAAGGTTGCCCTTACCCGAACTCGGCGTCAATCACTGCGTGCGTGAAGGAAACAGTGCCGCCAGTGACACGCAGTCCCACCGAGTAGAAACCTGCGGGAAGGTCTTTGATGATTCCAATCGACACCGGCTGAGCCGAATCCATTGCACGGGACAAGGACATGCCGCTGAATATGATGTCCTGAGGCCCCGAGTATGTCGCGCCGCTGACGAAGATACTGGTGGATCCTGGGCCGCCGCTAACCTTCGTTCCGGAACCGACATAGCCCCAGAATCCGAAGAACTCGATGCCAGTGCCATAGAAGTCGAATTGAACGTAAGGCGGATCGAGAGTTTTGTTGTAGACGGCAAAATGGTATCCTTGCCCCTCGCCATGGGCTCCAAAGAGCTTGGTGGACCAAGGGCTTCCCGTGAAGCTTGCATTCCAAGCTCCAGTGTTCGCCAGCGAGCCATTAACTTGGGGCCTGTACAAGGCGTTAAGGCTGTAGCTGTCGAGGACGACAGAGGTGGCGGCGCCGTGGATGGGGACAGCCAACATCAGAGCGAGCATCAGAGCTCGCAAGGCGCCCAGCATGGTAATAGTGGCGAACGGGTCCATGAGGAACAAGTGAAAGAAGGGATGTCCAAAGTGAAGGGGAGGTCGAAGGCTGCGTGGAAGGATGGGCGATGGAACGAGTGAATTGTCAGAAGATGCAGGATAGGCATCCCTCCTCAAGGTCCCAGAGGTACGGCGGTACGGCGGATGGGAACATGGGAATCTTTCTCAACATCTCGCTCCCTGTCCGTCAGCCGTCAGCGGCTGGAGGCCGAGTTGCTGGGGCACACGGATTTCAGATGGTCACACCCCAGGGGAGGGAGCCACCAGGGGAGGGCGTTGACTCCTTGGCTTCTCGAAGGGCAGTCAAGCGAGAATCTGCAATCCGCGTGCAAGCGTCGAGCTATGCGCTGAAGGCGCGCCATCCGGCGATCGCGATGGTGTGCGTTGTGAGTGAGGAGTAGGGTGTCAGGCCTGGCGCGCTTGGCCGATGAGCGGGGGAGCAGATCAGTGGAAGGGGTGGGCTAGTCGTCTGCTTTACTGAGCGAGTTGGCTCGCAGCAGAACAGCATAGCAAGGTGGTAAGGTTGATTGAGGGCAGTAAAACCAGCTCCTCACGCACACTGCTTCGCACACCCGAAGCACACAACCCATGTCCCATGGCCATACACGCCTTCTTGTACTTCGCCGTCGTGAATGGTGGGGTCACGAGAGACCACGACATCGCCTCCCAAACTCACCTGACACTCCATGCAGAGGGGATTCGCCTTGTCCGCCTTGTCAATGGGCTCCAGAGCTGTGCGGCGGTCACCCGATCTGCAACGGCTGGCCGGAAGATCCGCGTCATCGCTCAGCCTTCCTGGCTAACATGAAAGCACCGCAGAAATGCAGAGGCCAGTTGAAGGTTGAGTGGCCGGCTTGGCCGGGCGCGGAAAGGTAACATGTTGTCGTGAGAGGGGGTGGTTTGTCGTGAGATCGCGCGAGAGGGGGGTGGTTGGCGTATGAGTCCACGGCGGAGGAGTGCGGAAGCATTACGAAATCACGGTCAAGCCGCGACGACGCGCCTGGACCCAGACTTCCGCTCATGGCGCTCATGCGTGCGTCACATCGTACCAAGTGCTATCGGTGATGTCGAAGGCTTGACATAGTCAAGAGCGAGGTGCAGGCCATATGTCTATCGGCTGCCGCCACTGCACTGCACTGCATGGATGAAAGAAAGGGGCTGGGAGAGATACCCACTGTTCTCAGTCTTCCGCTGTCACATTTATGAGCCTCCTGCAGGACACCGCTGGGCCTCTGGGGCATGCGAGAGTTCAATCGGTTTGGAGCGCCGTAGGCAGACTCTCTAGCTTCTCTCCACAGCTCTAGAGCTACTGTGAGGCTTGGCGCTGTGTCGTTGCGGAGCAAGGCTCGAGGGAGTACCATCACACGTCCTCGTGGTGTAGTGGTTATCATACTCTCTTAGGGTCCAGCTATGGGAGTGGCCCCGCGTTCGAATCGCGGCGAGGACCAGCTGTCTTCACTGACAGATACGTGCCCTTTTGCGACGGAGGAGAAGGCCTGCGGTCGACTTTGCACTTCACATGATCGGGTACACGAAAGGTTGCCAGCCCGCCCATAGCAATGCAGGTCATGTCCTGCTGGCTTACTCGTGCTATACACACACAAGGGAGTTGGAGGTGTGCAAGGTGGAGTAGAGAGCTGGCATGACAGGAAGAAGGACGGTATCCGAGCCGCGGGGGAGAATGTCATCACGGAAAGCAGTCGCGTTTGTGGAGGTACAACGCCTCCACAGATATCCTCTCTACCCTTCCAAGGACTCATCCACAGTTTGAATGACTATAGACCATCTCCGCAGCGTCGGGCTCGTTAGACAGTCCTCATCCGCACAACATCTTCAGCGGTGCAATGAGACACCTCCAGTACCCCGGAAGTCGCTGGCATGGAGGATTCTGCGTTTGCGGAAGTGACTTGACAATTGCTCAGCATGCTCTCCGTTGATCCGAAGCCTGCAAAACGGCCCGCAAGGGTCTCCCTCGCATTTCTCCTCCCTGCATTGCAAAGAGGCAAAATCAGCGCCCTGCCGGGATCGAACCGACGATCTTGGCCAGAATCGGTACGTGGTGATAAGACCACAAGACCGGAAGACCACGCCTTACCTCTTGGCCAAAGGCGCTACAGGAAGTGCTTTCCGTCGACGGTATTAGGAGTCTCTGACCTAGCTATCCAAAGTCCAAGTCAGTAGGCAGACCAACGGAACAGTATATCGGCACAGGGCTTCACGACGCAGCCGGGCGAGGGTTGACTTCTGGGGCCGGTGCGAGCGGTAGACAGATATATTTGATACATCAATTGGAGCGCCCCTAAACCAGCGTTATGTAGCGTATACAGAGCGTATGTGCGGGCAGTGCAACTGGTGTCGCGGGCCGCAAGTGACGTCGCGATGACATGGCTCCCCTGTCGCACGGCCTCGCTCGAGCTGGTGAATGCTCCTCGCATCGCCACACTACCTTCCTGCTGAAGTGCGTCACGAATCGCGTTGTCAAGAGGGACTCGGGGCACCAGAGGTCCGTGTCCGCAGCTGCTACGCCGCCTTGGCTGCCGCGAGGCGCACGGCCAGCTCACTCGGCCCCTCGAAGCGTCGCCGACCGTCGACCACCCAAGTCAGACCACAGGCAAGCCACACGACGCCGGTGACGACCACGACCCAGTTCATGCTGTCCCCGCCTTTCACAGGGATCTTGGGCGGGAACATGAATGTGACGGTAGTGACGACGAGGAATATGAGCGCCACGCAGTTAACGGGGCGTCGCCAGCGTCCCATGCTCCAGCACCGCTCAGTGTCGCCAAGAGCTGCACCGCCGCGAACGAACAATAGCGCGATGGGTACAGTGTAGGAAACTTGCAGCAACACGACCGTGGCGCAGAGGACGGCATTGAGGGCGATGCTGGAACCGAGGTTAATCGCCGCGATTGATAAGACCGCGCCGGTCGCGGTGAGGATGGCGGCCACCGGGACCTTTAGGAGTGAGTGGGTGCTGGCGAGGGGCGGGGAGAGTGCTCCGCGCGATGCGTAGGAGGAGGCGGGAAGAGACTGTGATCAGGCCCTGTGAGGCAAACAGCATCGCGCCGAGATTGAAGATCATGAGGACGGTTGACTGGTATGAGCGGGATCTTCGTAAGGAATTAGCGCACGCCAGACTCACTCCAGCTCTTGAATTCGTCGCCTGAAAATACACTTGCAGCAGCGGTCCGCTCGGAGACTCCATGACCAAGCGCAAGTCCTTCAGGCAGAAGAGCAAAGCAACGAGGTAGACCCAGCTTGTGATCGCGCCAAGTCCGACGGCAATCACAATTGTCTTGGGCGCGTTAATGCTAGGCCGCGGCATGTGGTCGACCATGAACGCGACGCTGTCGAAAGCGGTGAGCCCAAAGGTGGACTGCAATAGGCCGAGGATAAACGCCATCCCGTCCGGCCACTGGTGTCAGTCCTCGAAACGTGAAGCAGATTGCACTCACGCCAGTCTCATTCGTCCACCGTGCAAATACATCTTGCGCTGGTTGGTACTCTCCGCTGCACGCCAGGACGGTAACAACGACAACAACGATTCCGAGCATCGACCACACCCCGGACACGCGGTTGATGAGCGGCAGCAAGCGCGCGCCAAAAACATTGAGCACGGCGGCATGCAAAACGAAGGCAAGCGTGATAAGGAAAACATGCCATGCCCGTGGGGGCGTGCCGTTCCATAGCGCGACAATGCCGAGGATGAAGCGTGCGCCCACCGTAGCTGCTGTTGCGCCGAGGGCGACCCAGCCGGCAGTGACGTTCCATGCCGTCACGAAGGAGAGTGGACGGCGGAGGGCGGGCGGAGCGAGGATATCTCTAGTCAGAACCTGCGGTGGATGCGCGCAGACATCAGGATCAGGAGGCCAGCGAATCTATTGTACAAGGGCCATGATGAAACTCACATGCCCAGTCGTATTGCCCGCCACTAGTCGGGAAGACATGACAGATCTCCGCGAGGCTCAGCGCCATGGCCATCGTCCCAAAAGTCGAGACAACGAGGCCCCATACCATCGACACGGAGCCGCCGGAGGGTAGGACGAGCGGGAGCGACGCGGCCACGGCTACAGTAAGCAACGAAAGGCGGTGGACCCACCGCACCACGAGTTGAGAGTCGTGAAGGCCAGCCCGAGGCAGCTGAAAAATGAGAAGCTGCGCTCAGAGGAGTGCGCCGGCACCTCTTGGGCCTCGTGCTCCTCGCGTATGGACATGGCAGATGGGGCAGGCTCAGCGAAGCATGCTGGATGAAGATATGTTGACGGTAGGTCGTCACGCACGACGATTGAGACAGCTCCACCGGATCCAGATGCAGGGTCGCTTACACACGCCTATCTCGCATACCTCGGCAACACCCTGCCGATAAACCGACTCTCGCTTTACCTCGTCCGCCCCCGACACTGACATGTACATCACAACACTAACGCGGCACCCAGTAGTTTCTCTGCTTTCCCCTTCTCTCCTCAGCCATTCCTCTCCCCTGCAGCCGCGCCTCCTCCCTTCTCGGATGGGCGCCGCTGGGGGCCAGTACCAGCGACTGCAACTCAGCCCTGAGTGGTCGTGCGGCATCACCATCACCCTTGAGCTGGGTTCCGCGTTGATTTGGCGCCAGCAGTCTCAGCGTGGTACTTCCGGCAAGTTGTGCGTCGCCACTCCTCGTCGGGGTGCCGCTGGGAGTTGGCACCGAGGGTCTCGTCAAGGGGTTGCCGGCGACTTGGGCCGTCGCAGAGCTCTGCGTTCGCCAGGTACGTCGCAAGACCTCGGCCATCGCCTGAAATGTCCCATCCCCGCTGCCTATCCGTATGCTAGCCTTGAGATGCTCTGCGAGTGTGGCGTCGTTCCTAATTGCCGCCATTGCAGTCTCACGCGCGGCATCACGTGACGCGATCTCCGCCTCCAGCTTAATGATGTGTTGCGCGTCGCGCTCAATTTCCGTCTGCGCCTCCCCCAAGTCTATTTTGAGGGCAGCAAGCTCCGTCTCGAGTAGCTGAATCGTCTTTTCGCGTCGGCTGAGCCGCTGTTCCAGGTGCGCGATCTGTTGCGCGTGGTTGTCTATGGGTCGCCTCTTCTCCTTAGCCGACGTCGCATGCTTGGGAGTGTGGTTGGTGGAGCGGCCCGACACAGCCGGTTGCAGCGTCTCCATTGACGTGCCTTCTGTCCTGCCACCGCTCTCCGGAGTATTTCTTAGACTCTGGATCTCGTCTTGTCGCGCGTGAGAGTCATTTGCTGGTCGCAGGACGCTCGCGATGGTTTGCCGGGACTTCAACGTTTTCTCCCTCTCGTAGACATCGTCCTTGACAGTCCGGAAAGCGGCCGGGAGGCTCCCGATTTTGTCGTCGTTGATGCTTTTGAGGGTGACATTGGGCTGATCTGCGGGGCCGACATTTTCTCGTTGAACAGGCAGCGATGGAACAGTAACTTGGCGAACTGAGTCAGAGCAATGCGAGAGCGTGACGAGCTGCTGATTTAGCAAGCAGCCCTCGATCCACTGCCTAGCAATAGCAGCTAGCTGGCCACCCCCCTGCTCATGGGTTCCCAGCGCCCCTTTAGCCCCAACAGCCGTGACGTTGCGTTGATCGACTAGCACCACCTCCCGCTCCCCCCCATGGCTGATCTCCGCGATGAACCGCTCAGGGGCAGGGCGTTGTCGCTTCTGATAGGCGATGACTAGAAGAAGAACGTCCAGCACGCGCCTTCGCAAGTGCCAATACACCGCGTTGCGAGGAGGAGCCGAAGACTGCCAAGACGTTGCGGTGGCCAGGTTCATCCTTGCACGACCACGCGCTCCGATCGCGCCTGCCACTCCCTTCTGCCAGGCGAAAATTGTGCGGCGCAATAATAGGACCTCACTCGCGTGTCCCGCCCTGACATCACGGACTTGTTGTTGATGTTCACCCACGCGGCGTTCCAGCTCAGCCGTGATGGTGATAACCTTGCTCTGGAGCTCTGATCTCTCCTTCTGCAGCCGGGTGCGGTCCGCCGTGAGAGATTGGATCCGCTTCGCGGTCTCGGTGAGCATCCGGTTGGCCTCTTCGGCCCGGACATTGAACTCAGCGATTGTTTTGTTCCGCTCTTCAACGGCGCTACGACAGATGGCTTGAGCTTCGTTGTGCTGGAACACGAGACTACGATTGACATTCACGAGCTCGAAGTGTCTTTGCTTCAGGCCTGTGTGTTCTGCTTGAAGGCTTCGGTACTGTTCCGTTTGGGGAGGCTGCTTATTGATAGTCTCTCGCTGGAATTGAGTACCTCCCTTTTGAGCAGCCAACTCCCTGAGTCTCTTGAGCTCAGCCCCAACGTGGCGGCAGTGGCTGACGGCGTTCGTGCCAGGCGTCAGATTGAAGATCGTTTCGATTTCACGCAAATTCGACCCGAGTTGATCCCTCTGCTGTTTTATCTTGTGAAGATCGCGTTGCTGGACGTCGTGTCGCGTGCGCCACACCTGGAGTACTTCCAAATGGTCTTGCTTCAAACGCTCCACCTTCGCCATATGCATCGCCTGAAGGGAGGCAACTGTCGATTGTTGGCCATGGGGAGCTTCCACATCCGAGAGCTTGGTCGCAAGGTCGCACTGCTCCTTTGCGGCAACGCCCATCTCCCGTGGAGCGGTCTCCAGGCGTGTCTCACACTCCGCTAGTCGAGTTTTGAGGTTAGCCAGGTCCGTGATGGCGTCTGCCCTGTCCTGCTGGGTCGCATCGAGGAGCGCCAACGTGTCGGCATGAATGGTCGTCATCTCGGCCAGTTGAGTCTTCACACTATCCCTGTCTGTCTCCACCGCGTCCAGCGTCGCCTCGACGCAACGCAAGTTAGATATGATGTCGTCCCGCTCTTGCTGAAGCAATGCGAGCTGTGCCCCCATGGCCTTCATGGTTGTGTCTTGTTCACCAGTTTGTCCTTGAGTTTGCTCTTCCGTCTGACTGAGGTCGACCTCGAGCTGGGTGATTTGAAAGCAGAGTTGGCCAATTTTTCGGCGAGACTCGTCGAGAGCCACAGATTGCGTAGTGGCGTCATGTTCAAGTCGGGCGATCGTATCCTCCAGATGCCGGACCCCTGCAGCGTACTCCTCAGTGTGCGTGCTCTTAATCTTCTCAATGGCGGCAAGGTGCCCCTTCCGAAGGTCTGCAACTTTGGCATCGTGGGCATCCCCAAGCTGAGAAACGATGTCGCCGTGTGTACGCAGAAAACGAGCAACAGCTCCCGCAAACTTGACTTGCGTGGCGATGGCGTCGCGGTCAACCCCCTGGGACAGAGGACCGCGCTCGGTCTGTAGATCGCGATATTGAGGTTGGTCAATGCGCCCATTAGGGGTGTTGATCACCTCAAGTTTGGCCACCGCCTTGTCCAGGATGGAAATCTGCTCCGTTGTCGCTGCGTAAAGACAATCCCGTTCAGCCTTGACATCGTCTCGCTCGACCTTGGTGGCAAGCAGCCCCTTCTTCACGCCAGCGAGATGCCGTTGGACTTTCTCGTGTGCAATGCCATGGGCATCCTGAGTCTCCGTGAGCATCATAGCCTGCTTCTTCTCAAGCTGAATCGAGTCCTGAAGCCGTTTGGTGAGGTGAACCACAGCTTTCTCGAGACGATTGCGCTCGCCCCCCATGGCGGCGAGCTCGTCCTGGACGTCGGCCATTTGCTGGTCGCGTTTGACGATCTCGGTGTTATGCGCTTCGACGAGGTCAGCGCATGCCTTCTCTTTCTCCTTCCTGAGGAAGGCCTCCATCTCCGTGCGGCCATCGCGCTCGTGTTTGACAACAGCAGCGAGCTTGGCGTCCAAGTCAGAAGCCACATCCGCCTGCTGTTTGCGAAGCCGTGCGTTTGCCTCCACAAGGTCGTCCCGCTCTTTATTGATGCGGTTCTGCTGAGCCATGAAAGCTACTAGCTCACTTCCCTTGGTGGTAAGGCGACCATTGAGGTCTTCGACCTCAGCGCAATGCTGCAACTTGATCCGCCCAATCTTGGCGATAAGTTCAGCATGGTCGGACGCAAGACGGGAGACACTAGCGGCAGCTTCGTCCCTCTCCGTTGTGCGATGTGCCAATTGCTGCACAAGCTTGTCTCGCTCTACCTCAAGGGACTTCCGTTCCGTCACAATCGCATTCAGTCGGCCCTTGACAGCCGCGAGCTCGCCGTTCAAGTTGCACTCAACCTCCTCGAGATGAGCGTTATGCGCGGCGTTGATCTCCTTGATCGTGGTGACGTGCTTGGAGGCTTCTGTGACTGCGGCGTCTCGCTCCGCAACCAGACCGTCTTTGTTTATCTTCAATGCGTCACGCTCTGCCTTGAGGTCGTCTCGCTGAACAACCAGACCAGCAAGGTGGCTCTTTGTCTCCTCGGTTTGGGCGGCGTGTTTGTGCTGAATGTCTGCGACAAGGGCTTGAGCGGTCTTGAGCTCCTTAACAACTTCATCCCGTTCCGTGGTGAGATGAGCGACCTTCGCGTTCAGGTCATCGCGCTTGGTTTTGAGGCGGTCGTGCGCCACCTTTATGTGATCGAGCTGAATCGCCTGACAGTGCAGTCGCTCCTTGAGGTCGCCTAGCGATGCAGTCTCGGCGGCGTGGCTCTTGATCATCTCCGCCATGGCACTTCTAAGTCCATCGATTTGGACAGCGCTGCGTGCAATGGATTTGTCCGCGGCGTCCATTGCCTCACTATGCCGAGCCTCGAGCGCCTCGATCATGCCGGCATAGCTGTCTTCAATCTTCTTGATGGCAGCCTCGTGTTCCTGCACCAGCTTTTTGAATTTAGCACCGTAACGCGCCTCGATATCTTCCACGTCCTTGACGCAATCAGCGCGCAGAGTCTTCAGCCGATCGGCGGCGGCATCGCGTTCCACCATAAGACTTGTCACCTCATACTCTAAACTGGGAAGTTTGAGCTTGGCGCGCTTCGCCTCCGCCTCGGCCGCACTGCGTTCTTTTGTGAGCCGATCTTCAGTCGCTTTGAGGCCCTTCCACTCAACCTGCAGACCGTCACATTGGACACGCAAGCGATCGCGTTCATTGCTCAACTCATCACACTCCCGGGCCAGCTGCTCTTCGCGTGCTTGGAGAGCCCCATGCTGGAGCGCAAGTGTGCTCAGTTCCCGCTCTTTGAGGCGCAGGCTCTCCGTTAGCTGTTTGCGGTCCGCCTTCGTCTTCTTGTGCTTGGTTTTGGCAGCCTTCAGCTTTAAGGCCAGGGAGTCTCGGATGTCGCGGATTGGCTCCAGCAAGGCGATACGGCCACGGGCGGAGTCTAGCTGAGTGGTGAGAGTGCGGACAGTCTCTTCGAGCTCGGCACGCTTCTGCCTCTTTCGCTGGCCCTGCGAATCCTTAGATTGCACGGGTGAAGCAGCGTATGGTACACCTGCCACCTGAATGTATTGGGATCTGGACGTACAGGCTTCAGCGGTGAAGGTTTTAGTTTGCGCCACAGTTGCCGCTGAAACCGCTGAGGGATTGTCCTTCGTCGCGTTGGCGCGAGAAGGCTTAGACACGTCACAAGGGGGCGCAGTAGACGGGGGTGCCCTCGGTTGCACCTGCGGCAGACATGCCGCGGAAGTGTTGGGCGTCGAGGTGGACATCAACCCAGCGTTTTCGGCGCTACCCCGCCTGCGCTTTGGGATGCGTGCATCCTTGGCGGTGTCACTGCCATTGTCACCGGCGTCGCCGTGATGCGACCGTTTGCTCGGCACTGGCCCCGGCTTGGACGGCTCATTGGTGGCCTCTTCCGTCGCTGGTGTAACACCGGGTAGGCTGACTCCGCTGCTGTATATATCAGCGTGTTCCGTAGTGGACATACCGCGCGTGCCGCTTCCTCCGTCTCCTCCACGAGCGAGAAGACCAGCCGGGGACGGCGTCTGCAAATGCCTTGTGGTGCGCTAACATGAAGGCCACCACATCCTTCTCCGCGGATCCCAGCTGGCATTAGTTTCAACTCGGAGACAACCACGTTTGAGCAGTGCAATTTTGCTGAGAAACGTTGCGAGGGCGCGAGGACAACTCACGTTCGTCCTCACGTGCTGGAAAAAGTCACTTCTAGGTCGTGTGAAGTCCCATCCCTTCAACTCCTTGAGGTACGCATTGAAACGGTCTTGATCTTGCTCTGGCACGGCCATGAGCAGCGTGGAAGACGAAGTAATATTGAGAAGATGAGCAAACACTCGAACATTACCTGAGCGCACCGGGCGTGTTTGACGCAGCCTGTGGGTGGAATGTGCAGTAATCTTCGCACGACGCACTGGGCAGACGGCTCAACGGGAGGACGGGAGGATTCGGCCCAGCAGTGACTTCTCTTTCCACATGCACGGTCCTCCTCGCACCAGGGCGGAGAGCATGGAGCGCGTCGCTGGCAATAGTGCATGAGAGAGACCAGTTGTACGCCTCGTGACTCGAATCATCCAAGCCGGCTGTGTAGCTGGTGCCCCCTAGATCGCTGCTTGTCGCTCGTCAACGGGGCGTGGGTCGCTCCAGTCGCGGCCAATCTCGTCAATCCCTGTAGAGAGCGCACTGCCTACACCACAACCGTGCAGGTGGTTGGCGATGTGCACGCCCAGTGCTCCGCCGCGCGTGAGCCCCGGGGCCAGTGTAAGCTGAACACATCCTACGATACCCTCAGTTGTGCCAGGCATCGACTCGAAGGCAAGAGAGGACACTCAGCAGTGGAGTCAGAGAAAGACAAGACCACGACTGTGTGGAGCTGGCGTAGATCCGCCTCGGTTGCGATGGACGCTAGTTTGGACTCACTTGCGGAGCAGACGGAGGTCTGGAGCAGATGACGGGCGACGGAGGGCACGTCTGTGCGGTTGAGTGACGAACAGAGTAGTGTTCAAGGGGGAGGAGTGGGATGGGACGAGGAAATGGCATCGAGATGGGATGGTAGGGAGGCGTAAGGCTTGGCGTTTTAAAGTCTGTCTGTGCTGCAGCCATGGACGCTACATTAGTGATGGAGCAAGCAAGGCACGTCTGCCCGATTTAAGCAGGCATTCTCATATCACCTTTAAGCTCACACAATCACCAGCTTAACCCACAGTACTCTACCCACGAAAGAGCGTTCGTTGGCGCCCAAGCACACCAACGCTCGCGGAAATCGCGGATCTGCCAACCTACGGCAGTCGAAGGTGCTGCCTGACGAATTTCTTGAGGCCCGGTCGCTTGACTATAGACCAGGACACAACATTTCATTGCCTTGAGAGGGGCAGCGATCCAACTTGTTTTCGGAATGATGCACGCTGAGGTGAGCGGTGTCACTCGGCAGCGTCTCGGCCTGGCCATGTCCGAGGTAAGGAATGCGACACGTCCTGCGACGGAATGTCGCTCCTGGGTGATGGTCTGTATTGAGAGATCACATGTCCGCCACTCCCTGAACTTGTGTTATCCAAAGAACACTCCATTTCAGTTTTTGCCATTTGGCAATGATGAATCAAACACGAGCCTGGATTCTTATGAACGGCAAAAGCCTGTTCTCGGCATTGTGTGAACGAGAAAACGACCTTGCGCGACACACGAGGGCATGAAACGATACCACCATGACGCCACGCACAGTCGGGCACCGCACGGCTCGTCACCTTGACTGGCACCTGCCATACCTACCACGCACTTGCGCAGCCTGCGGCCGGTGGGGGCCTCACATTCCCCGCGCTCGTCCTCGATTCCTCGGCCTGACTCGGATCTCTTTCCGAACAGTCGCCATCTTCGCTCCTTAGAGGCTCGCGGAAACGTTCGGCAACCCTCGGCGCCTCTCGGCCACCCCGAGTCTGTCGCGCCTGGCCCCGGCGGGCCACCTGGTCGGCCCAGCATTTCCATAAGAGACGCGATCCAGACCCGGTCTCCGCGCCTCTGGGCCACGCCGCTCGCAGCGTGCCGGCACACATCTCCGCGCCACAGGGCTTGCCAACATGCACTGATTTTCAATAAATCGCCACCCAGAGTTGCCTGAACTGACCTGATCCCTATCAGAGCCGCATTGCTCTCGCATACTGCGCGCAAACTACGCTTGCCCGCGCTCGAGTCATACCTACATGCCATGCCCACGCCGCCTGAAGCTAGGAGTACTCAGCAAATCTGTAATGGTGGCGGGAGTCCACCTGTGTACGAAGGCATCGCGATGTTGATATAACTGACAGTCGTAACCCATCCCCCGCCACGACCCACACTCACATGGAATCCGAGGCCGCCACCTCCGCGTACGAGCTGGACCATATCCGCCGCCGCTCGTCGGCTGGCGCGGCACCCGCCCCCTTCGGCTTGACCGCCATGACACCGGTCGACGTCGCGGTGGACGACGACGACGAGGTCATCGAAGCCCCCATCGAGCCCACCGTTACGCGCGCGTCACGGCGCGCGTCCCGCGGCGCTGAGTCGCCGCTTGCTTTCAAGGGCCTCAGCCTAACCCCCATACCGGCCCCCGTCCCCATCACTCCTCCTGACACCCCCGGCAAAGGCATCGCTGTTCCTGCCCCCGATCCATTCGCACCAGGTCTCAACCCCTCTCTTCCACCGACTCCTGGTGAGGCTTCCGACCCCTTCGGCAGTGACACGGAACACGAAGCCGGCGCGACAGAGGACACGGTCGTCGCCCTCCCTCCCGTCGACCGCGGTGCGCAGGCATGGGGCTTCCTCGTGGCCGCGACGGCGATTGAGGCCGTCATCTGGGGTTTGCCATATTCGGTCGGCGTGTTCCACGAGTACTGGGTTTCCACCCTCTTCGGCCCCGAGGCCACGAGCACACTCACGCTCGCTTCCACGCTACAGACTGGTCTCCTGTTCTTTTCAGGCGCTCTTCTCGGCCCGTACGTTTCTCTCCGCATCGCAAGACGCGCCGGGCTCTATTCGTGCGCGTCGGCCCGGTGCCTGATCGCCCCTTCCGACTATCCAACTAGGGCACTGCTGACGGCAGCCTGTTCGCGGCCTTCCCGTGGTACGAGCGCCAGATTCAGCTCGCTGGCCTCGCGGTATCGACCGCCGGCCTCATCGCATCCGCTTACGCGACCAAGGTGCGTCCACGCTTCACAGTCGGTGGCATACGCGTGATTGGTGATCGGGCAAAATGTTCGTTTGCTTTGGGCAAGCCACAACGCCAAAAACCATCCGCAGCCACTGTCGGCCATCGCCGCGGGTCTGGGCCAAGGCTGACATTCAGCCCTGGCATCTCCTCCTGACAATGGGCATCATGTACCCGTGCTCCGCAGGTAAGATCTAAGGCGCTCACCACCGCACGGTGCTGACAGCAGCCACATATCTCCCTTGCGCGACCAACGTCTTCGAGTGGTTCGTGGCCAAGCGCGGCCTCGCGACGGGCATTATGTACGGCGGCACTGGCGCCGGCGGGACGGTATACCCATTTGTGGTGACCGCGCTCCTTCATCGCTTCGGGTACCGCGCGACGATGCTCTCCATCGCCGTCAGCTACTGCATCCTCATCGCGGCAGGCTTGTTCTTCACCAAGCGCCGCGTACCGCTCGTGAAGCGCGTCGGCGCCATCAAGAAACGTATCCGTCCCAAGCCGGACTGGGCCTTCATCCGCACCCCCGCTTGGTGGATCGGCGTTACGTTCATGACCGTCTCCTCCCTTGGCAACTTCATTCCTCTCCTCTGGACGCCCTCGTACGCCTCTCAGGTTGGAATAAGAACCCCGTCCCCCGCGGCTTTCGTGGCCATGATGAACGGCGTGAGTGTGATAGGCAACCTCGCCTCCGGCTCTATTAGCGACTACGTACAGCCGCGCTACTCCGTCTTCGCCTACTCTGTGGTTGCTGCTGTAGCGTGCCTGGGTCTCTGGGGCTTTGGGACCAGCGCTTCCGCACTCACGGGCTTCGTGATCTTGTGGGGCATTTCAGGACAGTGCCTGTGCGGCTTCTGGGCGCGCATGATCTCCACCATCGCCCGCGACGACCCGGCTGTCCCCCAGATCGCATTTAGCGTCTTTATCAGCCTCAAGGGCATCGGTGCGTTCACCTCGGGCCCCATCTCCACCGCCCTGCTCAAGATCAATGCCTTCAGTGGCGCCGCAGGCGCGTACGGCGACACCAACTTCGGCGTCCTCATCATCTTCACGGCCGCAATGACGCTGCTGGGTGCCCTTCCAATGCTCGCTTTCCCTACCTCCTAATCGGGACGACAAACGTCTCACGTGAGCTTTCCAGCTCCCCGCTTCGCGGCTCGCAATTGCTTAGGTTTAAATGTTGCGCCGCGGCGCTGCAGCTCTGCGCTAAAGGTTTCCTGATTCTAACGCTCGTCTTGATCCTCACTTAGATGTAGATCGCACCGCTCTGTTGTACACCTCCACTACCCCACATCCATCTCTACGCACCTCACTATATGATAGGAACCAACAATGCCAGGACATTACTACCGCTGCCACAGAGAGCGAGACGGCGCCGCACCATGTAACTAAAGCCCTTTCCGGCAGTCACTTTGAGGCACCGGGGGACCAGGTAATCTAAACTCACTCACATGTTCGCAGATGAAACGCACAGCGGAGTAAGAATGGCCGTGTACTCGCCGAGCTGGTGAGCATGTTCGTCCTTGGCTGTGAACCTCGCCGCTTAAGGATGCATGCTACTTCAGGCTCTGCTGCGGCCGAAGGGTGCATGCTCCCAGCGGCCTCAACGCTACACTGAGAAGCCGGAGCTTATATAGCCTGCCTGTCGTCGGCTTGGCAGCGTGATGCTGGACGACCCAGTCCGCTCGCGTCATCAAGTAAAGGTGTTATGGCCCACAGTGTCGGTGCCGTCGATTCCCTGGCCCAGTCGGTCTCCATGGCACCCTCAAACATCTTGGAGTGGCATGTTCTGAGTCCGCCAGCATGTCGTGACGTGCGTCGCTTGCCACGGGAACGGGATGTTAAGCTCGGCGCCTGGGACACTGCGTCACCCGGCACCTTATTGCTGACCCCAGATGTGGGACGGCGAGTGAAGTGGACTACGAGCAGGAGCGGCGCGGACCTGTCCGTCAGGCGTCACGCGACGTGTCCAAGGTCTCCCTGGGCTGGCTATACATGACAATGCCCATTTATGCGGAGAGCAACAGGTGGGCAGCACATGATCACCGAATGCATTGGATGAGCGCTACATGAGGCGGTGGGAGCGTTGTTGTGCTTTGACGGCGACGGAGGACCATTGGGCAGGCCGACATTGACTGCGAGGCACAAGAATGCTTATCGCTGGAACCATCCGATGGGCGGCGGGAAAATATTGTCATAGCGACCGTTGCTGTGGAGGATTGATGGCGGGGATACAAACATTGGTCGGCAGCGAACAATGCAGCGTGGCACAGTGGGAGCATTCACTGGCGAGGAGAGTGTTCACTGGTCGATCGTCGAGGATCGCTCTGAGATCGCCGAACACGAGAGGCAGATCTGAGAGGTATGTACATGTACAGGGATCGTCATCATCAATTCGCCGGATCGGTGGATCCGCACGTTAAGTACAAGAGAAGTATGCTTTACCCTCCTTGGCACATTCTCTGCCGGCACTCTGCACCCAGACTTGGCTGTGTTTACGCTTCACTTGGCACTCACCTTGGGTTGGCATGGTCTTACACCAGCCCCAGCCTCGTCCACATGAATCCTGGGAGCCAGGGCGCGCTGCAGGCACCGTGCCGTGCTGATGACGACTGAGTTGTCGCGTCAGACGCGTAGCGGAGTCGTAACTACTCATGAACCACCCTGAACTGCCATGTCCTGCAATGTCGAGTGCTGCCAAGCACAGCAGCAGTGCTGGGCATGCAGCCGACCTACTCTGTACCTTCTCACTGCAATACATACCTCGGGAGGCGAAACGGGATGCGTTTCAGTGGTTGTGAAGGCTAAAAGTGATCGCCATCAGATGCGAGAGGTGAGTAGGCAGGCCCGAGCGAGTGATGAGGCGCAGCACAGAAGGTTTCATTGCTGCTGACCACGAGGCAAGTACACACGCTGTAGGACATAAAAGCAGACCTGCTGGCTGTCATGTCCCCAACCATCAAGTCACTCTTTCCCACCCCTCAAGATGCTCGCCACACTCCTCCTAGCTGCAATTGCGTCCGCGTCGCCTATCCAGACCAAGCGAGCCCAGAAGACCTGGGGTCTCTTCCAGACGACCATGGGCGAAGACTTCTACCGCGATTTTGACTTTGTTACCTTCGACGATCCCACGTTGGGGAAGACCAAGTGAGGATTACCAAAAGTCAACTGATAGCAGCTACGTCGACCAGTGGACAGCGCGGAGCCGTGGACTAGCCTGGACGCGTGGGACGCAGTTCGGCATGACATGCGACACGTCCAGCATTGTGCCTGACTCCCCCGGTGTACGGGGACGCGACTCCATTCGCATTCACTCCAAGGGATGGTTTGGCGAGGTGAGTACGCTTTCACATCCCGTGGCGCCGTGTCATACCATGCCTCAGTCCAAGTTGAGCGCACTGACACCAGGTGCTTGTCGTCGCAGACATTGCACACATGCCGGACGGCTGTGGGACGTGGCCGGCCTTCTGGACCAACGGCTATGGGCCTTGGCCGCAGGGAGGCGAGTTCGACATTATTGAGGGCACCAATGGAGGTGGCATGAACTCCGTCACACTTCACACGCCCACGGACAAGTGTCGGATCCCCCAGATCAAGGTCCCCGGCATGAGCGACTATTCAGGTCGAGTGCGCGGGAGAATCTGCCAAGCTCCGGCTGGTTGCAGTATCGAGGACCCCAACCCCAAGTCGTGGGCTGCGCCCTTCAACCAGAACGATGGGGGTTGGTATGTCATGCGCCGCAACCGCGGCGGGTACAAGGTCTGGTTCTTCGAGCGCAATGGCAACGTCCCAGCTTCTATCCGCGATGGTCAGAACCGCGTTGACGAAAACGAATTGGGAACCCCCGTCGCCGACTTTCCCTTCTGGAACGGTGTGGCAGGAGAGTCGTGCAACTTCTCCGAGCTGTTCACCGACCACCAGCTAATCATCAACATTGCTATGGGCGGACACTGGGCTGCCAGCAACTTCCACAAGTTCGGCTGCAAAGGAGACATTGTCGACCTCATTCGCAATCACCCGGAGAACTTCGCCGAAGCCTACTGGCTCATCAATAGCCTGAGGCTCTACGGCCCGGACGGCGATGCCGCAGCCACACCCGATGCGCTTCCGGCCGGAGCGCAGGTGACTGCCGCCGCCGAACCAGCTGCCGCCTCAGTTACCGAGAGCGCCGCCCCCGTGGCTGACACCCCCGCCGCAGACGAACCTCAGGGTGCCCCCGATACGTTGACTATGACCTCCACGGTTACTGCTGCGCCTGCTCCATCTCCCCAGCCTGAGCCGCCTGCTTCTGAGCAACCGACCGCGGAGGAGCCTGCACCAGAGCAGCCCACACCCGAGTCCGAGAACAGCGATACTTCCACCCCACCCTCCCAGGTGGGTGAGACCGAGCAGGGGGAGGAGAACAACGGCTCCGAGGGCCGCCGTGGCGGTCGTGGTCGCGGCCGTGGACGTGGGAAATGGCGTGGCTGGCGCTCGTCTGCCTACCGTCAATGAGGCTACTAGACTCCAAGGGCCCGGACAAACATCTGGACACGAACACTGAACTCTGGACACTGCCCACTACTGTATCATAGCTGTTACTCAATGTGTATGTACGGGCATGAATAGCAGTAAAACTATGAGCTTGTACAAGCTCCCGGTCCCGGTGCCTGCGAAGCCTGTTGCTGGTGGCGATGACAGTGACAACCTTCGTCTTGTTTAGAAAGCAAGAGTACGATGCTGCCGGAGGTCATCATACGAGGCTCGGGACCTGACCCGAAAACGATGGCGGGCCCAATCTAATCATGCACAGCGTACATCTCATGGGAGTGCAGGGGCGAATTGGAAGGTGTGGCGATAAGCTGGGCGACGACCTGGCTTGAGCTGCAGCAATCGGTGGAGCCCGCCTTCATTGAGCGGGCGATGGGCCAGTCCAAGGAGTCACGCCCCAGAGTATCTGCAAGTGTGAGGCCGCAGGTGATCGCACCCCACCCCGCCGTTCGTCCTCACGCGTCGCTCGCTGGCCGGGTCCCATGGCCGGGTCCCAGTCAATAACAAACGACGGCCCCGTCATTGCGATGTCCAAGTCCTTATGCCCGTGTTGTCGAACGTGCTCAGCAAACGGTATGCTCGTCCACTAGGCCCATGCTTGATTGCTTCCTGACATGCAGTTGATGTAACCGAGCTCCACCAGAAGTGAGTCGTGAAGAAGTCAAAGTAAATGCGCCAAACAAACCACCCACCTGCTACGTGCTGCCGGTATAAGTATGCTGAGGAAAGAGTCAAATTAACGGGTTGAATCGTATAACGGTCAGTACACAAGATTCTGATTTATAATTAGTTCTTGTAGCCTGGGTTCGACTCCCAGTTCGACCTTCACAGCTCAAAGCGTGAACATTATGTTTTGAGCAGTCTTTTGTGGGAACTTTTGGGGGAAACGGCAGGGGACACCGTGGTCTGAACACCCGAGGCCGGGTATCGGAACCCTAGATATCGGCTCCGGTGTCGGTATCCCAAAGACTAGAGGCATCGTGAAAGCAGTTATGTTGGTGACGGCGCAGCAACAGTGAAGTCTGATTTCGTACTGACTGACCATCAAACTTTCCTCCGGCACGGGCAGATCGCGACATCGCTTTCAGCGCTCTGGAGCCGTGACGCCGGGCCGAGGTCCGAGAACTCCACTCGGGATACCCGAAACCTTTCGCCGACTTGTTCTTTGTATCGACCCATCGTTCTGGACAGCAAGAGTGGACAGCAATGCGCAGCAGCGAAAGCAGTGTCACTGAAATGGAACTTTCCTCAGACGATGTTATGTATCATTTGTCAATGCTGCATGCTGCGGAGTTTCCCCCAGTCACGTAGCCTCCGCCCCTCCCTCGGGTTTCCCGGCTTGACGCTCGGGCATGCCGCATCGCCATGGTCGTTTACAACCCTCAGCCTGGCACGTATATATCGCGCAGGGGCAAGCGGGGCCTCCCCATCTCACTGCACGCCATGAAATACGACGAGAATGGCAACCGCCTCATGTGAGCGTTCGCCGGCGGCGCTAACAACAGCACGGGCTACGTCCCCCAGCTCGCATTGACTGGCGTCGCGATCGCCGCCTACTTCCTCCTGTCGGCGTGGTGCGCCTTCCGTACGTGCCCGTCGGCCGCGCTGATACAGTCTTCGCACGCACCAAGCCACGACCCAAGTATATGTTGTGGATCACGATAGGCACTTTCACGATGGCGGTGGGCTTCGGCGCCCGCATCCCCATGACGAACGACCCGGGGAGTCTGGGCATCTACGTCGTCACCACTCTCGTGCGTTTCTCAAGAAATCGCTGACGCGTAGTTTACGCTTCTTTCGCCTTGTGCGTTCCTCGCGCAAGACTACGTCCTACTACCCCGTCTCGCGAGCTGGCTCGACGCCGAGGACTGCCTCTTCCTCTCCGCTCGCCTCGTGGCGCGCATCTTCATCGGCTCAGATATCTGCACATTTTTGATCCAAGCCGCCGGCGGCGGCATGACCGCCATCGAGTCTATGGCTTCTATTGGCGAGAAGGTGCGCTTCGCGCGACTTAGCTGACGCAGATCGCGCTTGTCGGCCTCATCATCCAGTGCATCAGCTTCGGCCTCTTTTGGATTCTACTCGTCGTCTTCGCCTTCCGCCTGTACTCTTCCTATGCGCCGGAGCTGACGCCAGGCGCAGCAACCACCCCGAGAAGTGGGCGAGCGGAAGTGGGTTCAAAGGCTGGAAGACGCTCTACTGGGCCATCCAGTGGACGTGTATCGGCATCATGGTGCGATGCGTTTTCCGTGTCATCGAGTTCGCCCAAGGATACGGGGGATATCTACGCAACACTGAGTGGTGCTACTATTCGTTGGACACGCTGCCACTCTTCTTGGCCATCATCATCTGGGCTGTCGTGTGGCCGCCCTCCATACTGGTTGAGAGCAAGAAGTGGGCCCTCGCCAGCCCTGAGTACGGCCTCTCAAATCTCGACGGCTCATCCACGTTCGCGCCAGTCACCCCAGAAAGCTCGTACACCAAGGCCTGAGGCAGGTGCAGTGTGTATCACGACAGTTGTGGACTCTCAAGCAATTAGACAGAAGGACAAACATATACACCCAGCAGAACATACCCTCATTAGATGCGACGCACTCTCCACGCAAGTCTGTGCATGCGGCGGCCGCGCACAGACGTGACGGCCGCCGAGCAATCGAGATCTCTTCAGGATCTACCATGACGCTGCTGCATCTCATCGCATCTCATCTTATCTCAACGTACAGCGCTACAACTGGTACCTATACCCGGCAGCAAGCTGGACTGCACTGGGACCATGCCGCCCCAAATACCTGCCTTCGTCCATTTTGCGGTTTTCCCGCTTGAAGTACCACCTTGTAACTACAGCCATCCCGATACACAGCGCGCTGGCAACAAGGTCGACACTGAAGGCCGGCACGAAGCGTGGAGGCGAGAAGTACAGATACGAGCTCCAGATATTGGGTGTCTGCGCGAACGCGTTGATAATCGAGTACACGATGGCGCGCTTGGCACTTGGGCCGGTAATATTGGCCCCGACCCACGACAGGATAATCGTCGAGGCGGCGTAGAAGCCGAAGGGAAGCAGGCACATGGCAAAGTAGCGCGGGGCCGTTTTGGTGGTTGCCACGGCGATAATATTGCCCACAAGCGTGAAGCACATGGGAATGGCGATGTGGTACGAACGGTTGCGGGTGCGATCCGAGCTAAAGCCGTTGATGATCAAGCCGACTGCGCACAGAATGTACGGCGGAGCCGTAATGGCGAGCGTGGTGGAACGGTCAAAGCCGAGGCCCTGCACAACGATGGGGAAGAAGTTCGTGACCGTCGCCGCGATGAAGCCGAACTGAAGGGTAAGGTTGAGCAGCCACGTCTTGGGGTCGCAAAGCGCCATCTTGAGCGCCGCAAGCACAGACACCTCGTCATTCTCGTCCTTTGTTCCACGGTCGCTTTCCAGGCGCCACAGAAGCATGTCACGCTCTACAGGCGTGAGCCAGCGCACCGTCTCGGGGCGGTTGGGCATAATGAATGCGCAAAGTATCGCCACGCCGAACGTCATCGCGCCCTCGACGATGAAGAGCCATCGCCAGCCCGCGAGGCCGTGTACCCCGTCGAGCTTGAGGATACCGATGGCGAAGAGACCGCCAAAGGCGTTACCTACTTGCGAACCGGTGTAGAATGCCGCGGTGCGCAGCGCCATCTGCCGGCGCGGGTAGAAAAGGGAGACCAGGAAGACGGCTGCCGTCAGCCACACTGACGGTAAACGACTCACCGCCGGGGAAGAAGGCAGCTTCAACTACGCCCAGCATGGTGCGGCATACAGCGAGGCCCGCGTAGCTCTGCACGGCGCCCGTGCAGGCGCTGACGATGCCCCACAGGCTCGCGTTGAAGCAGAGGTAGTAGGCAGGATACTTGATCTTCCCGACGATCATGTTGGAGGGAATCTGGAGGGCGACGTAGCCCGCGAAGAGCACAGCAACGCACGTCGCGTACTGCTGCGTCGTAAGGCCCAGATCCTTGTCAATGCCCGCGACCTTGGCTGACGAGAGGTTCTGTCGGTCCAGAAAATTGAGTAGATACAGAAGCGTCAGAGCGGGGATGAGCATGATGTCGACCTTGCGGGTTGCACGTTTCGCGGCGGCCTCGCGCTCCTCCTCGGTGAGAGTTGCGAGAGAGGCCGGGAGTCGCACGGCAAGGTGGTCGTCCCCGCTCCGCGACCGGACGGGCGAAAGCGAATCTTTGTGGATTGAGCCCTTCTCAGACATCATGAGTGGGCGTCTCGTGACGCTCTGTTGAGCATTATATGCTATGGGAAATGGGCTTATCGCCCACCTCCTACCAACATTTAGAGTTACAGCGTCAGGCTCCATCATTTCACTCTGGTTGTTTAGCGCGCGCCGCTTTGCGGCGATCGGCATCTAACGGAGTTGGGGAGATATGCGACCGAACCCGCGGCAGTCGTCTTGCCGAATAAGAGAGGTGCGGTTGTCGTATAGAGTCTGCACGCGACTTGAGACAGTGCGGTTTCCTGATCATCTGCACGTTGATGGGACCGCATGGGCTATCGCCTTATCATGTTTGTGACAAGTATGTCCAGGGCAAGGCACGCGATAGTCGGCGATCTGTCGGGAGCCGGGCATCTGAATTCAGTGATCATAGTGAGGCATAAGATGCGGAGTCACAGTGTACGAAGCTAGTCAACGTTCCGAGTTGGTCGGATATGCGTGCGCTATCAGCAAAGATGAAAGAAACGAGCATAGAACCGCATGGCCCTCTCCGACTGGGAACGGCCCATGAACGACCCGGGGCGTGCAATTCAAGCAAAATGAAAGTGTCTAGCCACCAGCGCGTCCGGGAAAAGCTGCGGAGAGACGTAGGATCCTCAGATATCCCTCGAGCTTGCGTGGAGTGGAATCATCTGGTAGAGTGGTATCATCTGGAGTCCTGTGGCCACTAAGTAACTTTGCAAGATTGAACAGCTGCTGAGAGACACGCCGCCCGTCAGGTCTCGTGACGACAAACTTGGTGAGTGCCTGGCCAGCCTCACACGACATGACGTGTTGCACGCGAAAGTGGGACAACCTCGGCATGTGGAAGTGGGCGGTGAGTGAACCTGCCATCTCCCCTCACTTCCAGTCCTACGTGCTCCCAGTCCTGGGTGAATAAAAAAGCCGTCGAGTCAGCCTGTGCGGCAAAATGCAATGATATACATGACCGACGGTGCCCGCAGCTCATGCCGTGACCTGCGCAAGCATGCCCTGCTCGGCCTTGAGGGCATCCTCGAACTCCGCCTCGCCCGTCCGCAACGCGCCCTCGAAGTCGACGAGTGACAACCGCGGCCCCGACACCATGATGTTGCAGAGGTTGACGTCGTTATGCACGATTCCGGCAGTGTGCAGCTTGTCGTATGCAGCCCGAATGGCATCTCTAAACGTCAGTTCCACCTCTCTGGCACAATTCCGAATCCGGGACGCCGCGCCGGCTTGGCGCTCGGGCCCCTCCACGCCAGCTCTGCTTCGACTTCGCATGCTGCTCGTCACTCACGCGTATTCCTTCGCCTGTGCCCAGTCTCGCACTTTCGCCTGCAGGCTCTCGCCGACGTCCTCGACCGCCATGACCAGCAACTCGTAATCGGGTCGGTACGGCGACTTAGAGGGACACGTCCCGCGCCACAGCCCGTAGAAGCGCGGCACCACGCTCCCCTGTAGCCCCTGCAGAGCAGTGTAGAGGCGCGCCTCGCGCTCCATCGCCGCGCGGCGGTCCGGAACGGCGGCGTCGGCGTCATCGTCCTCCTCCTCGCCTTCTTCGTTGGTGGCGCCGTTGGCGCTGGCGCTGCCGTTCCGCCGCCGGTCAAGCTGCTGCTCGCCGGCGGCGAGCCATGGGTCGCAGATCTTGGCGACGACAGGTGTATTCCCCAGCATCGCGTGGTAGACATCGTAGGAGCGGCCTTGACCGCGAAGCGTGAGGAGGGTGAGCTTGGCGCTGGAGGAGGGGGCGACGAGGGGCTCGAAGACATAAGGGCGACCGCGCTCCAGCTCAGCGCGTCGGCCCGGGCGGAAGGTCGGGCCGGCGACAATGTCGAAGGCTGTAGACATGGTGGAGAGGAGTGGATGGGATGGGAGGAATGCAGATGTGAATGTTGAGATGTCGGGATGAGGGGTCAAGCGGGTCAAGATCGTGAAGATCGACTCATCCTGATCACGTCGGATCTTGCCGATCTATAAATTTGGTCCCGTTGTCCCCATCAGAGTGGTTGACATGACATTGCGCCTTACCACGTTTGGTGATGCGCTAATCAACGCGACTGTCTTTGCGGGCGTCGATTCTCATTCGTCTGCGTAGGAGGCGATAATGGCTTGTGGCTGGACATGGCACGACACTTGAAACTGATACCGATGACATGCTATAATCCCATATGTTACATCATACAACGTCTGCACCGCTCAGTGGTGGAGCTCTTACCTATCTCGCCTCCCGCTCCCGCGCCATCACCCTCTCCATAGTTTGCAACAGATCATCGAGGCGGTATGGCTTGACGACGACGGCGTCAAAGTCGGCCATCGCGCTCTCGAGCTGTGCATGCCGTGCGTTTCCCGCTGAGGTCAGCCTGATCTCAATGATGACTCACTCAACGCGACGATCGGTGTCACGTCCAACTCGCCCGCGGCCTCAGCAATGCGCACCTGCCGCGTGGCGGTGTACCCATCCATGACAGGCATTTCGAGGTCCATGAGCACGCAGTCGTACCCCGTGCCGACCTCTCGCGTTGCAGCTTTCACCTTCTCCAACCCCTCGAGCCCATTCGTGGCCGCTATTGTTAGCCAGCGTCGTTCTTGCACGCACCCTCCGCGATGATCCCCACGTGCTTGAGCTGCCGCAACAAAACCGTGCGATTGATCACATTGTCCTCGACCACAAGCACGCGCCGCTGGCCATCTCTGCGCGTGATGGTAGGAATCCGTTCAACGCCAGGGGCAGGAGCGTGCTTCTTGATCTCTCCGACGCGACACTGGATGAAGAATCGGAACTCTGAGCCCTTGCCGTATTCACTCGTGACCTCAATCCGGCCACCCATTCGCTCGACGATCATGCGGCACACGAATAGCCCAAGCCCGGAACCGCCGAAAACCGTGTGCGTCATCGGAGAGGCCTGTGAGAAGCGCTGGAAGAGGTTGCCCAGCTCTGTCTCGGTCAACCCAGGACCCGTGTCCGCCACTGAGACGTAGAGATAGATTGGCATGCCCTCCTTAAGCGGTGGAGGTCGTGTGCTGGGAACAGGTTTAGAGCACCCGTCGTCGAGAGGAGGTTCAACGCCGATATCCATACTCAGCCGAACTCGCCGCTCGGTGGAGTTAGCCGTGAAACGTGTCGCGTTCGAAAGTAGATTCGACACGCTGTACATTAGCTTGAGCTGCGAGCTCTCGTGGTGACGTACACTTGACCAAGGCGAACGGGATCTGTCATGATCGTTTCCACGCCTAAATCCTGGAACGATGGCGACATGTCTAGCTGAAGCGCGATGCGATTCATCCGCGCTTCGTTCTGGAATATCGCGATAATGCCGTGGGCATTCCCGCGTATGTTTGTGCTGACATCGAACATTTCTGCTGTCAGCTTCCTTCATGAAACAGCACTAACGAAGAAGGTTTAACTGGATCTTACCAAGGGACAGCACGTCATTGCAAATGCGCTCCTGGGCCAGTCCGCACTGATAGATGCTGTCAAGCGCCTCAAGGTCCTCGACCAGTGTGCTGACCAGCTGCTGGGTAGGATAGAACGCCCGGTTCTCCTTAAGCACTAGTTCAAATTGATCATGCAGGAACACGAGGTTTGTCTTGACGAGCGCGGCGCACTGCATGAGCGAACTCACGGGGTTGCGCATCTCGTGGCTCGTAATGTCGATGAGCAGCTCCTGCTGGCGCCGTGCCTCTTCGGCTTCGGCGCGACGCATCTCGGCGTCCTCGACCCTCTGCCGCTGCATCTCCTCATTGAGTTTGCGCTCGGTGATGTCCATAGAGCACGCGATAAAGCTCTTTTCATCGGACAACCGCGTCTCAGGCAGCCGATAGACAGTGAGATGCGCTGCGTAAGCCCAATCACGGGCGGAAACTCACCCCACCGCCCGTTCTTCCACTGAACTTCGATCACCATGCGCTGCGCGTCTCCTTTGGAGAACGCCTCCCATACTGGAACGGCTTCCGCGTAACTCTCTTTCGTCAATAAATGGCGCCAGTCGTCGAGGCACCGCGGTAACTGCTCCTTCGAGAAGCTGGTCATGGCCAGCCACGTCGGGTTTGCGTAGAGAACCTGCGCCTCGGCATCGACGCGGAACATGCCCACTGGCGAGCCTAAAGTTAGAGGCCATCAATAGAGACGAAACATGCTCACCTTCAGTAAGCAGGCGTAACTCAGCAGTACGCTCCTCGAAGAGCTGTTCCAGAGCCCGCCGCTTCTTGCCAAGCTGCATTTGCATGTCGGCACGAGTGATTAGCTCGCGCGCGTTGAACGGCTTCGACAGCGTGTCATCGGCGCGGAACGTTCCACCGTCGCGCACAACGTCGGCCGCAGTCAATAGAAGGATGGGAACGATACGCTGGGCCCGCGTACCAGCCCTCAGCTCGGCGATCAAGCCCGGTCCGTCAAGCTGGCATCAGCCGCATTCTTATGCTCACTCACATCGGGAAGCACCGCCTCAGATATAATCAAATCAGGCGCAAATTCGTCGAAGCGGTCAAGTGCCTCCTCAGCATTGGCTGCCTCAACCACTTTGCAAAACGGCCTCAGGATTGACACAATGTACCGCCTGCTGTCTGGCACATCTGGGGTCAGCTCCCTCATCTCAGACACACACCGTCAACAACCAGAATGACGTCGTGGGGAGTGAAGTAGACTGTGCCATGGTCGTGGTTGGAGGAGCCGCGGGACAACTCGCCGCTCGCTTCCGAGCTGTGACCGTTTGATAGGAGCGAGAAACCATTGGGCATCGAGGCTATCGCATCCTCTCGTTCTCGCTGGGCGATAAACAGCTCGTCGAGCACCTCATGTCCGAACTGGGCAGCAACACGAGGGACAACTTGATCCGAGGGGTCCCCCAGCGCTTCTTCTGGCAGATGACTGGAGCCAAGCGGCAGCTCGACGCGGTAGGTGAATCCCTCATCCGCTTCCATCATGCGCGTGAAGACGCCCCCATGGAGCTGAACAAGTTTCTGAGGTTAGCTGCCACGCCTTGGTATAGCTCTTATCTCACCTTGGCAAACTCGAGGGCGATGGTGGTGTCGCTCGCTTCGGAGCGCCGTCCAGAGCCATTGGCTCCCGCTGAAGTGGTGTCGCCGATGGTTATAATTGCGCGGGAGCCCTCGTACTCGAGACGAACCTCCATCGAGCGATGAGAAGACAGTTCAATGGCGTTCCCGATGAGCACGAACAGAATCTTCTCCCACAGCTCGCGGTCGACGAATGTCTCGCGCTGCGTCTCATCACACGCAATTGTGTAATCGATCTGGCATTTGTGCGCGGCCTTCAGGAACATGCCTGCGACGCCGGCGGTGATGCACCCGAGATTCTCGCGGTGAAATGACCCCTTGAACCGCCCATTCTCCAGGCGTGAGAGGTACATTATCATTTGGACGAGCCGCTTTAAGCGGCGCACGTTGCGGCGAGCCAACTCGACCATGCCCATATGCGGGCCTTCCCTCATCTCGGCCAGCAAGTCATCCAGTGGACCAGAGATAAGGGTGATTGGAGTGAACAACTCGTGAGAGACATGAGAAAACAAGCTGCTCTTGGCGCTGTTCAGCGACGCGAGGTTGTCAATCCGATGCTGGTCGCCGTGATACAGCCGCACGGCCGCGAGGTACGACGCTGCCTGGAACCGAAGTCTATTGTCAGTCGTGCAGTGACAGAGACTCACTCAGAGACAAACTCGGCGTAGGTCGAATCATAATCAAGCCGACAGCTGAGTCCGAGCACAAGCACCGCGCCGGGCAGTCCATCCTCGCTGTTGAGATTAAGCGGAACGACTACTGCGGCGTTGGGAAGCTCGTCCCACGCGCGCACGGGGTACCCGCCGATGAGCGCTCTGATGTTCGGGACTACGATGGGGGCACGCGTCCGCATTGCCTCTTCGAAGGGCCAAGGCCAGTCCGTTGAGGGTGTGCGTGGCCGGCTTGCAGGCTTGTCCATCACCGCCCCGCGTTCGAGTGTGACGACCTGCGGCGCTGAAGGATGTGTGTCGGGGATGCCGACGCCGCCTGCGTACCGCAGGCGCACCTGGTCGTCTTCTTCGCGATGAACATGCACTGATGTCAGGGCAGTCTCACTTACTACTCACGTCGCTGGTCCACAAGGTAGAGAAGGGCAAAAGGCGCCTCCTTCGGGTGTGCGTGTAATGTCTCGAGTAGCCCAGTTTCGAAGCTGTGAAGTGTACGCGCGGCCGACGTGCGCTCTGCCAGCTCGCGCAGCATAGCCACACGTCGATCTGACACGACCTTGGCGGTCGAGTCACGATGCGCATACCACACACCGCCGAACTCGCCCTCGTCATTCATCACCACTGACCAAACACCTGAGCGGTAGGTCTCATATGTCTTGCCGTGCGAGTCGCGATAGAGATACAAGTCGTCGTCCTTGTAGATGCTTGTGCCGGAGAGAACGAGCTCGGTGTAGCTTCCTGCGCCGCTCCACAGCTCCGCCCATGCCTCCGCTCCGCTGGCGCCGTACCCGTGCGGATGCTTCGAGAAGTTCTGTGATCAGACCTGAGCCTGACGCGGCACTCACCTGAGCAAATGCCTCATTGTACAGCATGGTGAGGTCACGCCCCCACCAAATGCACACGCGGATGGGGAAGCCCATGCATAGCCCCATGACCATGCGCAGCGTTGCTGGCCACTGTGACAGTGGGCCAAGCGGCGTCGCCGACCAGTCTTTGGTCCAGAGAAGGGTGCGCACGTCCATCGGCAGGCCGCACGGGTGGGTTTCGTCCCTTGGCCCCGGTTGCGGCACACTCGTCCCATCCTGCTTGATATGGATCGCGTTGCCCGTCACCCAGTTATGGATGACGGACTGGCCATTGAAGAGCGTGTCTTGCGCACCCCCGCGGGGTTTCGAGAACAGCGTGGGGTCTTTACAGGACGGCGCACGCTGGAGGGCCGACAACGGTGGGGAGGAGGCGCTGGAGCCAGCACGGAAGAGGGCGAGGTTGGATCGCGGTCGCATCGTAATGACCCCGAGACTATTGGTAACGCTGGCCGCACCACCTCGGACATACAATGGAAGGGGGGCCATCACGAGTTCGAGAAGCGCCTTGCCGCGGGGGAAGGCAAAGTCCAAAGTGATTGTCTCTGTTTCTTCTGAGAGGTCCTCTTCGAGAGCAGCGGGCGCAAGGGGCGCGTATTCACCCTCGGCGGCATAGGGCGGGCCACGTTTGGAGACGAACTGGCGTGCGGCCGACTCAAGATGATCATCGGACGTGGTGGATGCCGCGACACCGCCGTGCGCGGCCCATGACACGGCCAGACGTTCGCGCTCGCGCAGGCTTCTCACACCGGAGAGCCAGTCGCCAAGGCGTCGTGCGCCGTCCACAGTGATGCAGTCGAGCAGATGGCGCGTGCCTGCGACTCGGGACCAGCGTCTGTTGACCCAGACTGGGGCGAGAGGCTCGGTGAAGCTTGCTGGGCCGAGGGCGTTCCATGGCTGGTCGAAGGGATGGGCTGGGAGTGCTGGGTTGGCGGGGCGGCGGAGGATGAGGACGAACGCTGGGAAGGGGTAGGCCTGGTAGTTAGCGAGGGCGTGGGAGGGCGTACTTCGAGGTAATCTCGTGGTATGTTTGCGAGGTCGAAGGCGGCGTCGACGCCGGTGGGCATATCCGGCCCGCTCATGCCACTGACACCAGAGCGGGTGATCGTGGATGGAAAGAGAGGATGATTGAAGATGGTTGAGGTGCTTGTCAGCGCATCCCGTTTAGAGAGAGCCGACGGAATGAAACCACGGGTGGGGGGGGAGTGAGATAGGAGTGGGTAGGAAGGAAGATGCAGCGGGCAAGGAGAATAATAGAGATGACAAACCAACTCTTTGCCAAGCTCCCAACTCCTCAGCTCCCCACCATTTCCTGCACTCCGGCCCTCGTTTCTCCCGTCTTCCACACCTGGACAGTTGAGCAGATAGAGCAGAGAAGCAAGCTCGACATGCTCGTCATATCCCACAGGCCCCAAGCCGTGCTACTTCGAGGGTGGCGGTCTCCCCAAACACCCCCACATTCCATCAAATTACGCGGCGCTTGTTTGGAGAACAGCTGACGACTGGTGCACTGACGACTCTTCCATTCGGATTGACAACAACGCCTCGAGCTGTCATCATCCAGCAGTAGGGGCGTTCCACCGCGCGGCGCCGGTGCAGCTGCAGGCGACAGTTTCCCATTCACAGATCGACGTAAGTGTGCTTCAACTTGGAGATCAAGGGTCAGGCAAACCGAGACGCTTGGCCAGGACCAGCGGGGAGTTTCGCTTGGCAGACAACCTTGGCCCCTCGTTGAGGCAGCCGAACAGCATTGTAGCGCTTCGAGAGTCACCTCCGACCTCTGAGCCTCCGATGGGCACTGCATGTGCTGTGCTACAGGGTGATAAGATCCTAAAACCGGCTTCAAGGCGAAAATGCCGCCAGTGCGGGGAACACCCCACATTTGCCCACCATGTCTGTACAGCAGGTGCGTTTCGGCATGAACTCTCTCACCCTGAACTAATCATTCATGCATCACTATTCATCACAGCGGGAACTACGGCGTCGTCATCCAGTGTCGTAACATGTTGTCCCTTCTCTTTATCCCTCAGGCCTATGTCCGTGGCGCTTGAACCTCTTCAACGAGACGTGCAGGTCATTCACGCCAATCGGGTCTCTTTCGCCGGGCGCGCCTGGCTCGTCGAAGTCCCCTGCCCAGATATATGCCGGTGCGAGCGGCCGTTCCCTCACATGCACGACGACAGCGTTCTCCTCGGCCGTCTCGGCGCGAATTGGCTCCTTGGTACCCACGAGCATCTCGAGCACTAGGCGGAGTAGCTGGGGCCACGCGGCGGCCCCGCTCGGCATGCTGGCCGGCACCCCTACGACGTTGATGTTGGCTTTAAGGTTGATGACGACGGCGCCGGCGGGGCCGAGCGCGGTGTATTTCGTGGGGCTTTGCGAGGTCAGGCACGCACAGCGGAGGAAAGGTGCCCACAGCGGGGTGACTTCGGCTGGCGGGGCGAGGCGGAGGATCTCCCGCTGCCACCCGTCTATCGGGGCGGGGGGCGCGAAGGACGTCTTCCCGTGTGCGAGCGAGACGACGTCGTCAATCAGCTCCGCGATGTGGTAACCGTACCGCGTGATCAGGGGAAGAGCAATCTCGAGCTGCAGCGGGTCGACATCGGCCAGCACGTCGGCCGCGTTGGAGAGCTGGAGGAGCGGGAAGAAGAAAGCGACATGCTGCGGCCCGTAGTACAGACTTCCGCGGGGGAACGAGTGTGGCTCGAGAACGAGCTCCCAAGTATGCCGGTGTTTATCGTGCTTCATTGCGTGCGAATGCCGTGCTGGGAAGAGATTTGGCCGTCTGCTTTTCATGTCGGTGCGGAGCTAATGACGTCAACTGCGGTCGGTCTACTTTTCACACGTACTCATATGCGCCGAAACCGACCGCTCCATGAAGCATGCGTCTCGAAGATGCTAGTGAAGACGCTGCTGATCCAGGTCAAGGTCACGGGACGTGCAATTCAGCAAGCATTCACGGCCAGATAGTGTGAGCGTGTCGGTCTCGCGTTCCTGCCTTTGTGAAGCGCGCGTTCCGCAGGCGAGTTCCACCCTTCCGCATTAATGCAACTAAAGTGCGCTGGTGATTGTAAGTCACGGCAGGTGGAGAGGGATAGTCACGGCCACATCGCACAACCGCTTGCCTCGGAATGGAACAGTTGTGGTCACAAAGCTGCGAGCAATTTTGGCCTTGCATAGGCTATCTCCCACTCGCAATACAGTCCCACCCCTCTCTGAGTGTTCCGTCCATCACCGTCGCCAGGGTACCAGCTCTGTTCATGCGCCTCCGCCGGGAGTGTTCTCTACAGTCCCTAGATCGCTTACGCCGCCCCCACGTGCATGCACAATCTGCTCGCTCACATGGACGGCGCACCCTGGCATCATTCTCCGAGACTCACTGGGCGTAGCACCTGCTCCACGGGAGTATGCTGAGTGCTACACACTGGCATTCCTGCAGAGGGCGTGCCCAGGCTGGGTAGTCGACGATGACTGCACTTCACGGAGTGGGCCTGACAGCTCTGGCCTTGTCGCGCGGCCCGTTGTGCCCAAGTACATATTGTACAACTAGTGCCCCATCCGCAGCTTCTCGCCCAGCGGCCCCTCAGCCTTTGCTGCCATCCCTCGCACGAGATCCACTAGTTCCTCTACAGCCCGCGGGTCGGTCTGGTGATGCACGACCAAGCGATTGGACCGGACGGTTATTCCCCGCGCGCGCGCCGCCTTCTCCACCTCGCCCAGTGGGATGCCCGCAGCCGCGGGGTCAAAAAACACCATGCTTGTCTGAACGGGTATGACGATGCGACACCCCGCGGCCTCAAGCCCAGCGGCGAGGCGGCGGGCAAGCTCATGCGTATACCGCAGACGCGGGAAGTGGTGCGTGATTGCCCAGTCAGCTGCAGCGGCCAGCGCGCCCGACTGGCGCCACGCCCCGCCGAACATCTTCCGGAACCAGCGCGCACGCGCGACCACCTCCCTACTCCCAACAAGAACGCAGGCGTCAGCGCAGTCTCGGTGTACTCACCTGCCGAGGGGCGCGCCGAGGCTCTTTGAAAGACACAAGCTGGCGGTGTCGAAGGGCGCACATATATTGCTCAGCGATGTGCGCAGGCCCTCTTCGCCGTCCCCTCCTTCACTGAGAACGGCGGCGGCGGCGGCGTTCCACGCCCGCGCGCCGTCGAGGTGCATCTTAATCCCATGCGGATCCGCGAGGCGCCGCACACCCCATGCCACGTCGTCCGGGACCACGACGCCGTCCATAGTGTTCTCGAGCACGATGAGGCGCGTCGGCGCCATATGTACGTCGTCTCCTAGCTGCAGGACTGGCTCGATATCCTCCGCCGTAAGATACAGCCCGTTGGCGGGGCGCGCGGTGTGCGTCGTCGCCTGTGAGAAGAGGGCGGCGCCGCCCGCCTCGTTCTGAAAGTGGTGTGCACGTGCGTCCACTACCACGCTATGCGGAGGCTGCGCGAACAATGAGCGGACAGCGAGTTGGTTCGAGCCCGTCGCGGATGCGCAGAGGAGACCGGCCTCCTTCCCCGCCAGAGCCGCGACGCGGGCCTCGAACGCTGCGGTGTCGGGGTCCTCCAGCTCTACGTCGTCGCCGCGCGAGGCGCGCAGGCCGGCGAGAAGCTGCGCATCGGTAGGAATCGTTATTGTGTCAGCTGGTGTGAGCGGCTTACGGGCGAATGAGGGGGAAATGAGCGCCACGCACTCCGAAAATCGCGGGAGACGGAGCGCAAACGTTTGACGTTCGCCTCGCCGCCCACTTCCGCGGTCACATCGCGCTCTGCGAGCCATTTGAGGTCCAATGCCTGACTGGCGAAGCTGCGTACAGCTACACGCCGCGTTAGAGAGACGCGCGCAAGGTAAGTAGGATGCTGGGCGCGCATGAATGGTGGAGGTGAGCAAATGATGCTCGCTTCGGCACGTCCTGATCAACCTCCACCTCACCTCGGCCTCCCCACCGAGTCCCCAGTGGACTCGAGGTGATCTCCACGCCGTACACGGAGATGAACTGGCGTCCGCGCCACCACTGAGCCAGCCACGATCAGTCGCTGAAGGGCATGCCACCGGGCTCAAACATCTTCCCAAGACGAGAGCAGACCGCGGGAGTGCAGCAGAATGTTGTTCTGAAGGATGTGGGGGCCCTTGCAAGAACCGCAGCAGGTTAAGCTGGCTGTTGCTTTGCCGAAGTGGGGCAAGCCCTCAGCCTCTGCCAAGACGGGCCAAGCAAACTCCCTCCATGTGGTGAGCGGTGAGGTACGAACGTCCAGACCGACAGGGGCTTCCTTATCTTCTGAGAAGCTTCTCAGTACCGTGCCTCGCCATTGTATCAATTGTCGCATTTAGCCTACGGTTCTCAGCCCCCCGCCTCGCACACTACCCTCCCACTGAATAGGACCTGCGGGCTCGCCAACACCTCATGAATAGCGAAAAAGTTGTATCGCAATTGTTCATTGTTCTGAAACACGGCCACCGAGAGGCAGAATCAGAATGTTCGTCTGTTGAAACGCGCACCTGCTGGACGGCACGTGGCCCTGCACCGGCGCCATCGCCGTCCTGCAGGTCACCATTCATAGCTGGCGCGAGCGGTTTCCTCGCTATTTATCGCAAGGACAGTGCATGTACCTAGCGCCGCCCATGTTACTGAAGAGCGGCGAACGAATGGACATCGTCCGACCCGCCGTTTCGAATTTTTCCTGCTCGCACATGGCGGCGTCGAAGGAAACGAAGAATTCAGTGGCTCGGCGCCGCCCAGGCACTCGCAGTTGCTCCCTACACGGTTCTCCCTGTTCTCCGCCTCGCAGGATTGCAGTATGCAGGGTTGCAGGCTGGTGCAAAGCAGAACATGTCGATGCCGAAGTAGGTAAGTCAACATGAGACTCGCAGGTTCGTATGCGGAAGGTTGGCATATTGTGACTGCAGGAGACGTCCGGCTTTCCTGCATCTTTCAATTGGCGGCCTGGCCCATGCTGGCCAGGCTGGGCAACGCCTTTCGCCTGCATCGTTAACCCAAACCTTATCTGGTGCATGAATGATTTCAGATTCGGCACAGTTCATGGGACGGGCGTTGCTTCATGTGGGCCGCGTGTCCTGGGGTGTGCGCGCCTGCATCCGGTTCTGGAAGGCCATGAGACGGCTGGAACACGGACCCCTCCAATTGATATTGGACTCGGCTGGCGACTAACAAATCAGGCGCGTGCGGCCACATTCCAGCATGACATGTCGGAGAATATGCATATCCTCTTCCGTGTCAGGCAGAGAACAATCTCGTACAGCGTGGCGACGGACAGGAACAATTACGGGAATGCTGTCACGCGGGACGGAAGATGGGCATATGACAGGCATTGGACAATACGATGTCTGACAGCGCTGTGGCAGCATCAGCGCTACCATACGTCCCTCGTGCGGGAATGAATCGTCGTCCTGGACGTCGACCTGGAACAGACCATCAGTCGGCGCCGGCACGGGATGCGGACCGGCACACCTCCCTCGCTCCTGTGCGTTTGGTGGCACACGATGTGACAGGCCCCACGCCCATGGCTCCACCGCTCTGCTGGCAGTCACCCGTCACGACTTACACGTCCCGTCACCCGCTGCCGACCGGGTCACTACCGGGTCACTACCGGGTCACTCCGGGTCACCCCGGGTCACTTCGTGACATCACGCCAGCAACGCGGGTCATCATGCACATCGCAATGTGATCAAGGGCGGCGACGTTGGACCTTTTATACGAGGGCGGGCGAGGCCTGGGCGGAGGAGACTGGGTGGAGTGAGGGCAGGGTGAGTTGAGAATGACGCCGACACCTCAGCTCCCCGTGGCGCCTCCTCCACATGCTCGGCCCCACATGACTTTGGATGCCCCGTGACCCAACTGTGTTGCTTCCGAAGTGCATAGAAGTGGAGCGTCGCCGGGCCGAGTGGATCAAGTGGAGTCGGAGATGAGCGCGGTGGGGCCGGCGGGGAGGACAGGAGCTGTACGCTGGTGCGCAGAGATGAGAGCAGGGCTGCGATTGACGCTCAGAGCACCCTGTGGCCCGCGTATGCTCCCAGTCGCCTGCCGCATGCTCAACGCCGGTGTGTCCACAACATGCATTATTCGTGATGATAGATAGATGGTAATGATGCCACTACAATGCCCAAAAAGCCCAAAATTCCCAAACAAAAGACAGCTCCGCCCGCGGACGCTATGCACATACAACCATGATGAGAGAAAAGGTGTTTAGGCGCGGACGGCCGAGGCGAGGTTCCAGTGGCGTGGGGAGCGAGGGAGACCGCGGCGAACCTGCCGGGGCGGGGTGCAAGGCAGTTCGGGCTCGGGGGTGTGTGCGGCCTTCTTGGGCGTGGTGAAGACAGGGCCGAAGGCCTCGTCGACGTCCATGTCCATGTCAAGGAACGGGTCCGCGTCGAACATGAGGTCCTGCAGAGCGGCCGAGGCACTGGAGTCAGCCCATGCCCTCTTGGGGTTTGAGTGGATCACTTACCGCTGCACTGAGGCACGGGCGAATGGGCGCACACGGAATGGGAGGTCGTCCGAGGACGGGGCGGACGCAAGTGCGGAGGGCGCGGCCGTCACGGGGCTCGGGGAGTGCGGGGTGAGGGCGCGGCGCTGCTGGTGTAGTGGTGTTGCTGGGGGAGCTACGGCGAGAATGTGCATCTTTGGTGGGGTGATGGGGTCCGAGGCCGAGGCCGAGTCGAGGTAGGCCTTGCGGAAGCGGGCGGCGGGGCTGGGGGATGGGGGCACGACGGCCTTAGTCTGCGGGGTCTGGGTGCGAGTGAAGCGCGGGGTGGGGGGAGGGAGCGGGGTGAAGCGCTGGCTTCTCGGCGTGCACGGCTCGGCCGACTCGAACGAGGCGTTGGATGGCGACTTGACGAGCTCGGGAGTGGCGAGGAGGGGCTCGAAGGAGGCGTTGGCCTGCGAGTCAGCTGGTGGTGCGAGGTTGTGAGGGAGTGTGGGGTGGAAGGGTGGAGCGGGGGTTGTGGGTGCGAGTGAGGAGCGGCGAGTGCGAAAAGCGCCAAGTAGGAATGATGACTCACACTCTGGCGGGAACGCTTGCGGGGAACGGTGGGGGGCGTCATGAGGTAGGAAGCCATAGTGAGAGAGTGTTCAAGGTGGTTGTGGTGGTTGTTTTAGAGTGATGGGGTGCTGATGCGATGTGATGTGATGAGATGAGATGAAAGACAGTCGCGATGGGGTCTGCTCAAAGATCAACGTCGGCTGGCTTTATCTTGATCGAAAAGTCATGCGCGTCCGGCGGTGCAGCGAGGAGGTCGATGAGGAGGACGAGGACAAGCTCATCAGCGCAGTAGCGCAGTAGCGCAGTATCCTCTGGCCTGCTGCCTCATGCTCTGCGACGCTCTTGACAGACGAGAGCGAGAGAGAACAACGGGACAGACGAGGTCGCCACCAGGGCTTCAGGGACCACATCAGGTCTTTGCATAGGGTCCGGTACCGGAAGCGTACGCCACGGCACGCCCTCACGCCTCTTCAACCTGGCGGCCCTGAATCTCGCACAGTTCCTGACTGCGTTGCGTCCATTGCCCATGGCCCATCCACTGCCACTCTCTCACGACTCACGATTTCTCTCTGTCGTTCTTGGATCAGTTCCATCCTGCATCTTGCCAGCTTGGGCCAAACTCAAAATGCCCTCTATCCCCTTGAGCCCCTCCTGTTCGGCGCCAGCACGTCTGACGGTCCGTGCCATGGGGTATTCGCGGGCTGCTCCACACCAAGCAATGCCTGCGGACGCCAGAGACTGCAGACCGCCGTGGCACCGAGCACAACCTCGCCATGTTCATGCCAGGCGCTCCGTGCGCACCAGATCGGGGCCCGAGCGCATCGCATAATCGGCATCTCGATCTCGCATCGGCCACTCCGACTTCATGACCGCTCTGTACCCGTTTCTGTCTGTCGACTGCCTAATTGCCTAATGTGCTGTGCTGATGACCATTCAGCAGATTATCGTGGCGGTCATGCATTGCCGTACGGGAGGTAATGAACGCCCGTCCTCATGTGCGGAAGGTTGGAAGGTTTGCACGCATACTTCAGCCACCGCGCGCTTCCGCGTTGTTGGGTCCCGCGGAGATGCGCACGACGAGTCTGATTGCATGATTGAGTCTTGCGTTTGGTCTCAGCTTGTCAGGTGCGAGGCGCGATCAGGCGCCAGAATCAGGCGGCGGGCGTATAGCAAGGCATGGCTTGGACATGAGACGCGGACTCTGACAGATGGCAGTGCGACTGCGACGCCCATTGGCTTGACGGGGATACTGACGGGGACAAGGGATGCATGGCGGTGGCGCCTGCCCGGATCGCACCTGAAGCCAGGCATGCGCAATGCAGCTTTTCACCCAGCGTGCCCGGCGCACCCAAGGGGCTACCAAGACCCAACGCTCTTGCATGCCGCCCGGATGCCGTTACATGACCTGTACGTCCACCCACTGGGCCGCCGCAGCTCTATCAGCCCCCAATGTATCTCCATACCGCTGCGCCGGAACGTGGGGTGGGCAACTGCCGCGGATTACGCGGATACAACGGACGATTTCGTCCCCGTCAACGCGTACGCGGGAGATCGCCTGCCACCATCTCATCATCTCATCTGCCTCGCCGCGCCCCGATCGCGCCCGCACTCCAGTTCACTTTGACGCACTCCGTTCCGCTCCTGCCAGCGAGCCGTGCACAGGAACGGCGCGTCCGAGCGCCGAGCCTGAGTCCCGGAGCCGAGACAATCAGACAATCAAACAAACAAGTCGCGTCAGCAACAATGGAGCTGTGTGAGGAAAAACAGTCGCGTCTAGCCAGGACAAAGCCGCATGCCTCATTTTCCAAGGCTCACCGCCCTGGTTCAAGCCCCAACGCCCGCAACATCTACCATGCCGCAACCACGCCATCCTCATCGCTAGACGAGGTCATGTTGCAGGGGGTGGCTTGCGATGCGCGCGTGGGCATTCCACTATCTTAGTGTCAAGCTCGCTAACCCGCGTTCGCAAGCTCCGTGACGGGTCTTGATCACGGGCTGGTGCCTGTCCCTCAAGAGGCATGCAAGATGCCAGGCTGAAGCGACATGGAATGAATACCTGCCTGGCCAAGCCAGATCAAACCTTGTCGCAGGAATCCTCCGCCAACATGATATTCGTGTCGCATAGTGCAAATATCCCCGACTCATGCCCCCCCCCCCCCCCCAAAACCGTGCCGTGAACAGCCGTATTGTACCCGCGGGCAGGGACGAGCTGTCACGGCGCTGCGTCGACGGATGACGTGGCGTGTGATTGTGATGGATGATTAGAGCCAGCGTTATGCTTCTCACGCTATCCACCTGATGCCCATGCAAGACAATGACTTGTGAGCTCGGCGGTCGCCGGACTATCGCCGAGAGGGCTCGTGGTCAGCTTCCAGGCTGACGCGCAATGCCTCATGTCCGTCATCTGGCCGAGCACCCTCAAGGCGCAAATCGCGGCGGCAGCCCGGCTCCAACCGAAGTGAGGGTGTCGCCGTGAGGCTTCCCCCGTGGGGGCGGCGGCGGCGACGCCGCTGATCTACGGCATTCATTGTGCTCTGTGGCGCGTTCCGCCCACTTTCTGGGCCGTCATGTGCAGCCCATGTGCTTCTTAGAAGATAAGCGTGTCACTTTGACATGCTTCTCGAAAGGGGTTACTTCTCGGAGGTTGAGAGAGGAAGAGACTGCGCTGCAGAGGGGTCACGAGGCCGACGGCTCAGAGCGTACGGACGGCCATTCCTCCGTGCACCACTGGATTTGGGACACCAGCGTGCTGACGGCACGTCGCGGCCAAATTCCGGCCGCCACATTCCAGCTGGTCTGTGCGCAGGGACGAGAGATGGCGAGAGATATCGCAGGGAGCGCTCGGACCGACTGAGAGAGTGGGGGTGCACGGTCCGCGGCTAGCCTCGGGCCCGGCCCCGCGGCGTCGGCGACTGCCAACGCCTCAAAGGAGCTTCTGGGCGGTCTAGCGCGCCACATCCGGTTTCACCGCTTCTCAAGTTCCGGATGGTCGGCTTCGGGCGAAGAGTTCCGAGCCCTGTTCCGGCAGTTTGGGACGTGGCGGAAGCGCTACCACTATACTTGTATTCTGCAGAATTGATAATCGGAGCGTTTTTCAGAACAGGCCGGTGGTGCAGCTGCGGCGCGGTGCGGTCTGCCAGTGAGGGAGAAGTTGACGATCGATCGCTGATGCATGACCTCGCCTGAAGAAACGCCTGAAGGATAGTGGTGATAGCGTTGACCCGGCGGGGATGAGGATCCGAACCCCCCGAGTCCGCCACCTGAGCGGGAATCATCAGTCTGACGGCGGTGGATCATCCGTGCGTAAAAATCTGACCTGAGCGGCATACGCTGATCACCGTTCGGTAGTCGGTGCCCACCGGCCGCTGCCTGCTATGTTGTGGTGCTGGCTGGCAAAGGCAGGTGAAAGGGGGACGGAAAGGCGAACACAAGGCAGTCTTGTGTGACCTCCTCCAACACCGTCGGGCTCAAACGTCGTGGGGCTTGTGGGTGACCCAAGAATGGACAAATCGCTCCACTGCAGACCCGCTACGCAGGGCGCTGCTAAACTCTCTCCACTTATCTGATTGACCGCAGTTGGTCATGTGCGTCTGATTTTTCGTCGCGTGCAAATGAGCGGGCTCTAGCTGAGACTACGAGTGCGACTCATAAACACGGCCCAAGCGCAGCTTGAACTGGAGCTCCGAACTGTGCCGAGAAGCGCTCTCTGAAACCTGAGCGACCTGCAGGTCTACATCTCAAACAGGCTACGGAGCTATGCCGGATATGCAGGGCTGTTCCAACGCCCACCCGGTTGAGATACTTGTCCCTTGGGATTGTTTATGTGAAGAGCGATGAGATGGAAAGGGTGCCAGAAGTGATAGGATACTGTGGAGTATCCTGTGACTGTCCTCCTGGGTTTCGAGCTGTGCAACGCGCCGTACTGGCGCACAGTATCACACACTCCTGCCCCCGAAGTAACCTGATCGACACACCTGTATCCGAGGTTACTCACACTCTGAACGTTTGCGACAGGGACGTATGTGGAGTGACACCTCGGAGGTGAGGGGGACACCAGGGATGCCAGGGATACCGGGATGCTGAGAAAGGTGAAGTGTTTGGAATACCGACTTGCCACAGTGTAGCTGCCACACTTCGTGTACCTCCGAAAAAGTGCTCGAAAATTCGTCACTATGCACCACTAACATATATTTGAGGCACTGAGAGAGTTTGACGGACGAATGTGGCGAGGTGGGGCAATTGTTCGAGTGCCGCTTGGCTAAAACATGCTTGGTGTGACCTCTTCCCAACAGCTGGACGCATCTGAACAAGAGCAGCTCTTCTCCTACAAATGCCCACCGTCCAGTTATCTCATTGAGACCTCGGATAATCTCACCCGCCACATGTATGGGGGGACGACATGTTGGAAGATGGTGCTGAGAAACGACTATCATTGTCTGAGAGTAGTAGTTTCCAAGTATCGTTTGTATAGAACTTACTGCGCCACTGCATGGAGCGTCTCGTCCCCCACATGGATTATCTATCGAACTCTTCTTTCTTCGGCGTCTAAGGTTTTACTGTCGACACCTTTGCGCATATCGACGCCCTTCGCATGGCCGCCGCTGCGTCAGGCAGCCAAGGGATGGAAAGAAGTCACTCCCTGCCGGGAGGCTCCAGGAAAATGCTTATGCCGGTAAGACAGTAGTAGTTTGGGAGTCAAGTCCATTGTGGATTGCCTTGGTTCACAAAGTGATGGACGAAGACAGACGATAGTTTCCAACGTCCCATCTGCAGTAGTCCGGTCATACCTCGGCGCACGGAATTTACATTTGGATCACTCTGCCAGTAATTTCGCCATCATAAGGATCAACTACTGATATCTCGCAAACACATCGCGGAGATGGCAGGCACATGGGGCATATTTGGACTGCCTGGGTTTCGCAGATCTCTCGACGCACGACCTTCAGCACGGTGACTGGGCAAAGAGTGCGATGAGGCAAGGGCAGGCAATGCAGAGACATCGATCCTCGCTAGTATATCGGTTAGTATATTCGCCTCTCAAGTCGAGAGATTCAACGCGAAAGAGCAGGGTTCAACTCCCTGGCGGGGAACACGAGAGCCTCCGGGCAGATATTCTCTTTTGTCCAGAGTATTGCGGTCATTATTCCGTCCGTCGAAGGAGCAAAGCTTCCCGCCCGCCCCGCCTCCATGCCTCCCGATTATTCATTTGCTCACAGCTCGAAGTTGACAGGAGTGGGCACCCATTCTTACCACATACTATGGCTACCTCCTCTCGCTCGCGCCGATGTGTTTCTGCATTGTTGAGGGTCGATGAACTGTGCGGGTCGGTGCCGGAGGACTGCGATGATGGTTGGGCGATGCAATGCTGTGGGTTGTGGGTAATAAGAGACGAGACAGGGTTGCGCCATGAGCGCGAGATTGAATGCCAAGGAATCCCGTGACGCGTCGGTAATTCAACAGCTGGCCTAATGAATTACATAGTACCTGAGTAAGGTGTAATGATCGTAATGTGATGATCTGATTAGGTTCCGCTTGCATTCCTTGGGTGAGAGTATGACGCGCACGTTGTTCGGAAGCTGCCGATCTCACCGCTCACCGCCGGCCGCCCAGACCATGGCCACGTCTGCACCGCCTCTCTTGCCTCCCCACCTTCCCTCACTCGTCGCTTCCCACCCGTTATCTTGCTCGCTCGCACTCTCTCCTCTTTCCATCCACTCCATCTGCCATCTCCTCCATCTCCTCCATCTCCATTTCCATTTCCATCTAAACACAAACAATGGGTTTCGCTGCAAAGCTTGGTATGCTCTTACACAGCACTCACACACAAGCTAATCCTCAGCTCAGGCTAACCAGGCCGGCCAGCAGTTCCAGGGCGGCGGCGGCATGGGTGCCCCCGCTGCTGGTGCTGTAAGTCGCCTCACCTCACCTCCTCGACCGCGCTGACCGCAGCCCGGTGCTCCCGGTGCATACGGCCAGCCCCCTCAGCAGCCTGGCCAGTACGGCGCTCCTCCCCAGCAGCCTGGCCAGTATGGCGCTCAACAGGGTGGTGCTCCTGGCGCCCCCGGCGCCTACGGCCAGCCCGGTCAGCAGCAGCAGCCCGGCCAGTACGGCCAGCAGGCGGGTCAGTATGGCCAGCAGGGTGCTTACGGTCAGCCCGGCCAGCAACCCGGCCAGTACGGCGCCCGCCCTGGTCAGCCTGGTGCCCCCGGTGCTCCTGGTGCTCCCGGCGCGTACGGCCAGCAGCCTGGTCAGCAACCTGGCCAGTACGGTCAGCAGCCCGGCCAATACGGTCAGCAGCAGCAGTATGGTCAGCCCGGCCAGCAGCCCGGCCAGTACGGCCAGCAGCCGGGTCAGTACGGTCAGCAGCAGAGCCAGTACGGTCAGCCCCCGCAGCAGCAGCAGCAGCAGTACGGCGCGCCCGGTGCTGGCGCCGCTGGTGAGTGCGCTCATCCTTCTTTGGCTGACTAAAGTCGGTGGTAGCACCATCCCTCCCCAGCATATTGTTCAGGTCCTGAACCAATGCATCCAGGAGCAACACATTGGTGCTTTCTACCGCAACCCCGCCGACGTGCAGCGCATCGCCGACCGCATCGTTCAGACGGGCGCTCTCCAGAAGCTGGCGGCGCAGTGGCGCCTTCCCGCTGAGCTTGCAGTCGACCTTGTCAAGATCGCTCTTTTCGACACCGTCATCCTAGTCGACGACTCGGGCTCGATGGCCTTCGAGCAGGGCGGCGAGCGTATCGACGACCTTAAAATGATCCTCGGCAAGATTGCCGGCGCCTGCGCCCTTTTCGACGAGGACGGTCTCACCATCCGCTTCCTCAACTCGCAGGTCCGCGGTGACCACATCCGCTCCGAGCAGGAGGTTCTGCAGCTCATCAGCCAGATCAACTTCTCGGGTACGTCAGATGGCATGACCCCAGCGCACGCTGACCCCAGGTCTCACTCCCCTGGGCACCTCGCTCGACCAGAAAATTCTCCAGCCTCTCCTCGTCCAGCCCGCTCGCTCCCAGCAGCTCCGCAAGCCCCTCCTTATCATTGCCATCACCGACGGCCAGCCCGCTGGCGAGGACCGCGGCATGCTCGCCAAGGTCATCACTGCGGCCGCGCACGCGCTCGCCGCGACTCCCTTCGGCGCTGATGCCGTTTCGTACCAGTTCTCGCAGGTCGGCAATGACAAGGGCGGTGAGTATCGGTCTGGATTGCGGCGCAACCACTGACATGCAGCGCAGAAGTTCCTGTCCGAGCTCGACAACGACCCGCAGATCGGTGGCCTCATCGACCAGACGATGGAGTACGAGTACGAGCAGCAGGAAATGATGACCAAGACGGGACAGAACTTGACGCCCGAGATGTGGCTCATGAAGCTTCTTCTTGGCCCCATCGACAGCTCGTACGACTCGAAGGACGAGAAGCGTTAAGTACATCCAGGAGTGGTGGTGATAGATCTGCAGCGATGAATTGTTCTCACTTGGGGCGTGGGGAGTGTATGAGGGCGCAGTGTGCAGCTTCAAGTCTCACAAGCTTCTGGCAGCTGCTCAGAATAGCGCGCCTCCATCCATCACACCTGGGTGTGTATCTTATCAGCAGTGAGACCCACCTCGAAACCATCACGGATCCTCCTCGTATGCGAGAGCCACTCAAGGTGTTCGACCTGGCTCCAGTGAGGATGCAAGCTGAGCCTAAGCAACTGGGCACACTGCACAAGGCGCAGGCAGCGCAGTCGCGACTGGCTCGCAGCCATGTATTCCTGATTACTGCTGGTCTGACGATCTGACAACTGTGCTCCAACATTTCTGAAGCCTTCTCTGCGTCCTTCTCGCTAGCTAGTTAGAGTTCGCCTGCTGCTGGAATCTGCCAAGTCCAAAGCTCCCGGGTGCCAGATCCAGGCGCCGCCGATCGTCATTCCCAGGACAAGCTTAACTACTGGTATGCTATAATGCTGTGCACTCTTTCAGCTCAGCTTGTTTGCCACCTTGTCATCGCCGCTCAATCTCTCTCTACCGCATCGACATCCCTCTCCACGCGTTGCAACTCCTCGTTTACTTCGCCCATACACTCTCCCTACCGACACCTCCTGTTCCCACCTCCATCATGCCACATCCAATCTCGACCGCACACACTTCACCCCACGAACGCATCATCAGCGCCCTCGCTAACACGACTCTCTACGACCGCATCCTCGGCACCGTCGTGGGTTCAGCCCTAGGCGATGCCATCGGGCTGTATACCGAGTTCCTCACAGCGCCACGCGCCGCCGCAACATACCCCGAGCGTCGCTTCTCCCTGGTGCCTGCGACGCCCTTCGCGCGCGACATGCATCGCCTGAAACATCAGCTGGGCGAGTGGACCGATGACACAGACCACGCACTCCTCATCCTTCTATCCTTTTTGCATGGCTCGCTGTCGCCTGGCGACGTCGCGGCGCGCTTGCACATCTGGGTCGAGCAGGGGCTGCGGGCGCTCGACACCCTCCCGCTCGGACTGGGCGCGACCGTCGGCGCGATCGTGCGCGACCCGGCGTATCTACAGGATCCGGGGGCGGCTGCGCACCGTGTCTGGGTGAAGGGGGGATGCGACGTCGCGCCCAACGGGAGCTTGATGCGCACACACCCGCTCGGCGTCGTCTCGATCTTCCAGACTGAAGCGGAAGCGATGGACGCCGCGGCCGCCGTGAGCGCCATTACGCACGTCGATCCGCGCTGTGTCGTCTCCTGCATGATCTGCACGGCGCTCGTGCGCGGCCTCATCCGTGGGCAATGGACGGAGGAGGCACACATCGACGCGGTTATCGAGCGCGCGGTCACGCGGTACCGCGACGTCATACGCCCGCGCATGGAGAGTGAAGGGACTATGGGTGCCGACGAGCCCACCCTCGACCTCGACGAAGTACGTTTTCGCCACTGCAATCTGACACCAGCTACGCAAACACACACACGCCGCCTCCCTCGCGGCGCTCGACCTCGACGGCCGCGGCATCGGGTACGTGTATAAGGCGCTCGGCGCCGCCATCCTCCTGTTACGGCAGGCGATGCGGCGCGTCGCGGCCGCGCCCTCCGTGCTCGTGGAGAAGACGGTGCTCTTCGAGCCCCTAATCACTGAGCTTGTGATGGCCGCGGGCGACGCCGACACAAACGCGGCCGTCGCAGGCGCCCTGCTTGGCGCATATGTCGGCTTCGCGGCGCTCCCCGGCCATTGGCGCGAAGGGCTGCGGCACGCCGCGTGGCTAGTGCGCAAGGCAGAGGGCGTGGGGCGCATCCTTGGCGTCGTGGAGGGCGGGTATACGCCCGAAGAAGATACGGCGCCGGATGGCGGGCGCGCGGCGGTCAGTCCTGAAGATATGGAGCGGCGGTGGATGGAGCTGCAGGCGCGCATGGCCGCGGAGAACACCGCGTTTCTCGAGAAGGAGCGGAGACGTGGGAGCGAGAACAAGGAGAAGAGGTGGTTCAGGCGGTAGTGATGTAGCTGATGTGGCGTGGCTGGCGAGTGCAAGATGACATAGACATGCGCTGGAGGGGTGCCCTGGCATTGTGACCGACACACATGCGGAAACCATCGTCTGTGCATCGCGGCGATCTCGATTGTCGTCCCGCGGATCGGCAGATCAGATCAGCACTGACATGTGCTGATTGCTGATCGTGGCAGCTAGCAGCCTGCTTGCTGGGCTGCATATGGCGCTCGCAGCCGCCTCCAGCCGCCTCGAGCGCCTTATCAAGTCCCGCGCTTTCCCGGCGCCTAGAGTTCGGCGACCAGATCTTTAGCGCCGGATGAACGGTTTCTTTCCAGTCTTCGACGGATTTATCCGACGCACTTTTCTCTCGACGTCGTCACTATCCTCACCAACCTCAGCGATTATGGCTGAGCACAAGCAAGAGTCATTGCTTATGAATAAGTCGTGGACGCAGATGCATGCACAATAAATATCCCGCGTCAGAATCGCGCTGAATCGTAAACACTGGATCACGGTAATCGTATCCGGAATTACCCGCCCGGGCCTACCCCGGACGTTGGCGGGATACGCGAGCACGGCGGTCCTGGTCTGGGGCCGCCAGGCGAGTCAAGCGCGCCCACGCCAACGCCCACCGGCGAAGGGCCCCATGGTCGGTAATCGACGCGTAGCCCGCCAACAGCTCAGTTAAAAGGCTGCCCACCCGCTCGCTCCACGTCTTTCCCCTATCCAAAATGACCGCCACTACCAGCTACAAGGACAAGGCGTACATCAACGGCAAGTGGGTCGCGGCGGCGAGCGGCAAGACGTTCGCTGTGACGAGTGAGTATTGAAGAGCCGCAGACGAGAGCGGTGCTGATCCTAGACCCGGCGACCGGCGAGGTCATCGGCAACGTCCCGGACTTGTCCAAGGAGGAGGTTCTTGAGGCCGTTAAGGCCGCCGAGGGGGCATTCCCGTCATGGAGCAACACCCCGCCCAAGGTGAGTTGCGGCGCAGCTGGGCTGTGGAGGTGGTGAGAGGCCGGGTGACATCCATGGTCAGAGCGGAGCAGAAGTGGCGTGTGAACCTCGACGTCGTCGGCCGGAAAGGGACACGGATTGGATGTGGCTAGGCTCTTCTCTGCCGACAGGCAGAATCGAGTTGCTCGCTGTTGCAGGTGTGCCACTAGCGCGCATGCCGCACGGCTGAGAAACGTCTTCCGGTCCGCGTATTGTGTGGATCTCCTTGACTTCACACCTCCCTCGTGTAGCCCACAGCCTGCAGTCTGCACCAGCTCGCTTCCACCACTAACCCCAGACCCGCCAGGACATCCTCGTCAAGTTCTTCAACATCATGATGGAGCGCACTGAGGAGCTCTCCAAGCTCATCACCCTTGAGAACGGCAAGCCCCTCGCCGACGCCACGACCGAGCACAAGTACTCGGCGTCGTTTATGGAGTGGTTTGGCGCCGAGGCGCTCCGCATGGACGGCGACGTGATCGCCTCGACCATCCCTGGCCTCCGCAACATTGTTATCAAGCAGCCCATCGGCGTCGTTGGCATCATTACCCCCTGGAACTTCCCCAGCGCCATGATCACGCGCAAGGTCGGCCCGGCGCTCGCCGCCGGCTGCACCTGTGTCATCAAGGCGCCCTCGGACACGCCGCTGTCGGCGCTCGAGCTCATGCAGATTGCTGAAGAGGCGGGCGTGCCCGCCGGCGTGCTCAACCTCATCACGTCCAAGAACTCGCGCATGGTCGCCGAGATCCTTTGCACGCACCCCGTGATCAAGAAGATCTCGTTCACCGGCTCGACGGGTGTCGGCAAGCAGCTCATGCAGCAGAGCAGCAGCACGCTCAAGAAGCTGTCAATGGAGCTGGGTGGCAACGCGCCGTTCATCGTGTTTGACGACGCCGACATTGACGACGCCGTCAAGGGCTGTGTGATCGCCAAGTTCCGCAGCTCGGGCCAGACCTGTGTCTGCGCTAATCGCATCTTCGTCCACTCCAAGGTGTACGATGAGTTCACCTCCAAGCTCGCCGACGCCGTCCGCGGCTTCAAGGTCGGCAACGGCCTCGACAAGGGCGTGACTCACGGACCCCTCATCCACGGCCGCGCCGTCGCGAAGGTCAAGGAGCACGTTGACGACGCCGTGGCCAAGGGCGCCAAGGTGCTCGTTGGCGGCAAGGCTGGCGAGGGCAACTTCTTCGAGCCTACTGTTCTTGTCGACGTGCCCATTTCGGCCGTCGTGTCTAAGGACGAGACTTTTGGCCCCCTCGCGCCCTGCTTCAAGTTCGAGACCGAGGACGAGGTCATCAAGCTCGCTAACGACACCGAGTTCGGCCTCGCCGGGTACTTCTACTCGCGCGACATCGGGCGTATCTGGCGCGTATCCGAGGCCTTGGAGGTCGGCATGGTGTGCGCCAACTCGGGCATCCTCTCGCAGGCCACCATTCCCTTTGGCGGCGTCAAGGAGTCGGGCTTTGGCAAGGAGGGCTCGAAGTATGGCATCGACGACTACTGCGTCGTCAAGCTTGTCGCCATGGGAGGTCTCGGCACCAAGTACTAGGTGCGCCCTGCAGAGTGTCTCGTAGTCGGAGTAGTTGCGCCGCGGCGCGTGTGTATCATCAGCGATAGCCAATGCATGGGGTGAAGCTTTATAATTTGTGGTGCACGTGTATGTGTGGGCGACCTAGATTAGATGAGATCGAGGACTTGGCGGACGGGGACGGAGGATGACCGCCACCTTGGTGTCACCGTACAGTGAAGCGCCAAGCCTTGCCTTCCGACGGCCGCACTCGCTTACTGCAGGCCGCAGTCAGTGCCCCCCATTCATAACTCAACTGCGAGGATCACATCCCCCTCGTTCTCTCTGTCGCTCACATCTTCATGCGGATCACCCTGTTCTCATCTTATCAAATGCTCCGATAACCGGCGTCACCGCATCAATTGTTCCTCGGTCCACATGACGTCTGCCACGCCTTCCCAGTTCCTCGGCACGCTCCAGCAATTCGATTCGAGCCGGGTCAGATTCGGGCGCCGCCAGTCTTGCCGTGTCAACGCTTTCCAACTGGTCCCCACTGCCGACCAGACATGAGGGGTTGTCACCGGCCTCCCCGCCCACGCCGGGGCAGCGCGCTGGGTGGGCATAGGATGTCGTACGCCCCGGATCTTCTCGTTGTCGCCGGGCCTGGCCCCGTTACTTGGTGACTGCCCCCCTTCGATTGCGGCATCCGCTTGCCGCTTCCCGTTCCCCAAAGAGAGCGAGATGATGACGGCGATCAGAGGAACAGTGCCGCGTGCCCGATGGCGCCCGAACATGCTTGCTCCAAGGTCCAAGCTGCCTCCGGGCTCCATCCCTATTTCGCCGCTCCAATTTCTCCTCTCTGCCTGACGACAGCTCAAAACTGGAATCGTTGCGGCGCTCGCAATCCATCCCAGCATGACACTCCTGGGGTCAATTGTCACCCTGTACTATTAAGCTCTACGCGCTCTCGTGCTGGCAGCAAGCTGCCTTGCCTAACAATCCGTCGGAAAAGTGGACCGGGACAGCCGGGCCCAGTATTCGTGGGAATACCGCTCTCCCAACACGGTAAGGTTTTGGACATCCTGAGCGTTTCATGAAGCTCGGCACAGCGAACGGCGTACCATTGGCCCAAGGCACGGCGTCGCACTTGCTCGGCTCGGTGGACAAAAGAACATTCAGTCGGCCACAGGGCGGAGACAGACTCACGGCATAGAATGCAGTGCCGATAGGGCTCTGGGCCGGGGATACGCGGGGGTGGCGGGCCGACGCGTGCCTCGTGCCCCGTCCCCAACTGAAACTGGCCATCGCAATGGTGCAACTGGACGCCTCGACGCCTCGACGCCAGTGGAAGGCAGTGGACCCTCGGTGCTAGCACGCAAGTGTGTCAGTGTGTCAGTGCGTCCGCGCACGTCTGGGGTAATAGGCTGCCAAGGGCGCCAAAACAGGCCGGGCTCCAGTCGATATTTTGCGTCTCTCCAACCTACCGTCCTGATTTTGGACCTTCTTGGCAGTTACGAGGGCGCTGACTCTGAGCACATGCACAGGGAGGCCTGGTGGAGTGTGCTGGGCTAGCGCGCAACAGACGAGGAGCGGGACGAGCAGACATCCGGTACTGACGTGAGGGTGGCCAGACGTCGGCCGGACAGCGGGCAGCGGGCCAGGGGTCAAGGCCGTGCACCAGCCAACCCAGATCTGCGGCTCGACCACCAGCTTGTACCTTCTCCACACAAGCCCATCATAACCGCATCGCTGCAGCGCTGCATACGCCCCTTCCATCTCGACATATAAGTCGGGGGAAGAGCTGGCCCCCGTCGTTTTTTTTATCACTACTCTACTCTTGTCTTCTTGTATTCCGCAATGTCCAACGCTACCGTCTCCGCCCCCGTTGCCGCCCCGAGCGTCAATGTCACATACGCTCCTCCGGCCTTCCCGGCCCTTGAGCCATTCTTTGCCGGCAACCACCAGTTCGCGGCCGACCGCAACGCCTCCAACCCCAACTACTTCCCCAAGCTGGCTGAGGGCCAGGCTCCTCCCCTCGTTTGGATCGGCTGCGCTGACTCGCGCGTGCCCGAGTCCGTCGTCCTTCACCAGGACCCCGGACAGGTCTTCACCACCGTGAGTGATATCCCCGTCTCGCCCTCCTCCGCTTCAACTGACCCCCCCAGCGCAACATCGCCAACCAGTTCCACGCCGACGACTGGACCTCGAACGCCGTCATTGATTACGGTGTAGGCCACCTGAACGCATCCCACGTCGCGATTGTCGGCCACACCCACTGCGGTGGTGTCAAGGCCGCCTACAACAGCCCCAAGCCCGACGCTACCACCGGGCAGGGCAAGCCCGATGGCCACGGCCATGGCAAGGGCAAGGGCAAGGGCAAGGACAAGGACTGCGACAAGAAGGGCAAGGGCAAGGGCAAGGGCAAGGGTGGCAAGCACGATGGTGAGTGGTATCGCGGCGAGTGGAGCAGCGGAGCGCCGGCGTAGGAATGCGCCCAAACCACTATGGAGCGGAGGCGGTAGGATCGCCTTGACGTGTGGGCAGTGAAACAGCGCGCGTCTCTACAGATCTCTGTGCATTTGCTCCGATCACAGCTCTTGCGCGCCTCAGATCTTGTACATTCCTCCCCTCAGCATCTCAATGCTCGCTCTGTTTCGATACCCGTGATCTCGTGACTCGACGCTGACTCCAGACCACGAGGAGGACGAGGAAGACGACGAGCCCGCCGAGGACGAGGCGCTCAACAACTTCCTTGCGCCCCTTATCACGCTGCGCCACTCGCTCCCCTCTACTGCAACCGTCATGGACCTGACGGTCGAGAACGTCAAGCTCGGCGTTGCGACTGTCGTCAACAGCTCGGCCATCCAGCACGCCTGGCACGCCGGGAAGACTGTGTGCGTTCACGGTTGGCTGTTTGACATCGGCACTGGCCTCCTGACCGACATTGGCGTCAGCAACTGCGGCCCCGCTGGCCCTTCGCACTAGATGGATAGAGTTGTATTTTAATTTATCATGGTCGTATGATACACATTCCTTGCTGTGTGTGGTGAATGCGCGGCCGAGTAGGCCTGGACTCTTGCATCTCATGACCGTCATCGTAAGCCACAAGTGGCACCGAATTGATACTCGTGACCTTCGTCAGCCACATCTTGTTACCCGTAAATGGCAGGCAAAGATGCGAAGAGATCCCGGCGTACGCACAGACCAGAGTGATGATGCCTCTTTATGACACGATCCTCCCCGGATCAATCTTTACCCCACAGCCCTCACTATGCGCTCAAGCCCGAGCAAGATGCTTCTACGTTCAGCGCTGACCGCGCCCAAGCCAACTCCTCTGCGGCGTGCAGTCGCTTCGCGCTTCTGCCATTGAGCCCACAGCTCTAGTCTTCGGCCGGTCAGCCGAATTCACTTTGATCCCTCACCTACATCCCGCCCAGATGGGTTGCCAACTTCTGGGTCCCCCCCCGCTTAATCACCGTTGCGTGGCCCCAACCCCGAGCTACTTGATACTTCACTTTGCCCTATGCCATGCTTCTTCTGTGATTCTCTACCATTGCGCAACAACACTACAGCTTGCCCTTGTACTGCGGGATCTTGTCCTTGACAAGCTTGCTCATCTCGCCGCCCAACTCCTGGAGCGCGCTGAACGGCCGAACCATAACCTCGAACTCGGTGATGAGGCCCTCGTCGTTGAACGTGATGAGGTCGATGCCCTTCAACTTCTTGCCATTGACGGTGGCGCTGAACTCGAGTACGACGCTCTTGCCGTCCGCGGACGCGAGGGTGCGATAGTACACAAAGTCCTTGAACACCTTGAGCACGCTGTTAATGATGAGCACGACCGCTGGGCGCGAGACGTAGGGCGTGTGCGCCATGGGCGAGCGGAAGACTGCGTCGGGGTGCACCATGCTCTCAAGATCAGAGAGATCGTTCGCGTCGATCATGCGGTGCCACTGCGCAAGGGAGCGCGCGACCGGGGGTATGACGCCGAGCTCGGGCATGGTGGGTTGCAGTGGTGGTCCGAGGGCGGAAAGGTAAGCGGGGGGCCGAGGGGCAAGAGCGAGGGAAGGAGGGGGGGCGAGGGAGTAGGACTAAGAGTATCAGTTGTGACGCGTCTTTTGTACTCACGCTCGTTGGGGATGATGTTGAGGACGATGCCAAGGTGTCGGTCGGCTTCTACCAGTGCCGGCTGAGTGGTTGCCGATCATTCCATGGTGGCGGCGGGAGCCGCTGACACCATCCTCCACTCCTCATCTTTCACCACAGATGCACTCGAGAGAGATCTCGCTCGGCACCGTTCGATCCGGCGTTAACTGGGATGGGCATGATAACGCATTCGGCGATCAAAGTTCGGAGGCCGACAGGTCGGGCCCGAGGCGCAGGTGTATGTGCAGGTGTGAGGTTGCACCAGTCATTCTGCAGACCCGAAGAGAATAAGCATTTTAGCGATCTCGGATCGGCGATGGAAGGCGATCAGAAGATGTTTGGAGCATGATGAGATACCTGGACGCATTGACCAGCTCAGTCCATCTGTCCTCTCCACTCCCCATTGCCCCATGCCGCTAGTTGCCTTCAAGCGGCTTTTCAAATGCCTGTACAAGAAGCCCAAGACGGAGGAGCTCCGAGCCGTTGCCGCAGTCTACGAGGCTGAAGGCCGGATGGAGGAGGCACGGCGCGAGGCGATCTGGGCGCGTGACCGGCAAGGCAGGTGGGAGGATTGAGCAACAGCGACAGGTTTGAACTGTGAGGACAAACGCCGCGCCAGCTGACGGGGAGAGTGGGCAACAACTCGACATCGAAACCTGTGATTCCTATGGCTACTGCAAGCGTCTCCACTCCGTCTCAACGTCGTTGTCCAGCCTGACATATCTCCCAGTCATCGCCGCCTCTCCTCGCAACCGGCCTCGCCACCACCTGCTCATCGCTTAATCTACATAACCTTTGCATCTGGTATCAGCCCGTCCCGGGCACAACGCACCATTTGCCCGGCTGGGCCGTCTTCTTCTTCTCCTCTTTGCGCTTCTCCTCTTGTGCGGATACCTGCGCATAGAGGTCCTTGATATCCTGCGACACGTTGGCGGCGGGGTCGCCCGACGCGGGCTTCTTCCCCGGCGCCGACGACGTGGAGGTGTACTTGAGGGTCTCGTAAATGCCCATGATGTGGCTGGTTGAAAGGGAGGGCGAATAGTGGTAAGTGAGCTAATGAGTGGGGTGCGACAAGAACGCACGAGCCGAGCGGAAGCGATGAGAAGCGGGGTAGGTCTCGACGGGTCTAAGCTTCGCGACTACACATCTGCACACTTGATTCTCATGGTCTCATGCGCAACAGCTTTCATTCATACATCACGCTACACTCAATCTCTACTCACGCCGTCGTGGGTCAGCCCGCCCCGTCGCAACGCACCCCATGGCCTCCTACGTCTCCTTCTCGAAGCCGGTGTTCACCTGCGCCCCGAGATCCTTGACCTCCGGCGAGACATTGTCGGCCTGCTTGCTCTTCTCCGACTTGTCGGCGGTGTTGGTTGCCTTCTTGATATCGTCTACGTACCGACCAAACTTGGCGTTCACGTCCATCTTGGCCGTGTTGAGATTCATGTTGGACAGGGCTGTAGGGAGTTAACGTAAGTGGAAGTGGACAAGCCAGCGTTAATCAGAATCAGAAGGCTGACCAAACGTATGCCCTGCTGCAACCCCCACAAGTAGCCACGAGGTTCAGTGATCCAAGTACATCTTCTGACAGCCACAGCTCCTCGACTAGATCTTACCCCGCTCAAGGAACTTGTTCGGCAAATCGACGTATCGCGCGCGAAGGAACTCGGCCACGCTCTTCGCGAGGCTGTCCATGCGCGCTGTAGACGACACGCCCTTGCCAAGGTAGTCGTGCAGCACAAAGTGCACGGCAAGCATACCCGGCAGCTCGACGCGCTCAATGCGGTTTCCGTCATACTCCTTACCCATGAGGCGCTGGACTTCGGCCTTGCTCAGCAGTGCCTTGAGCCACGCGTACTCGTCGGCGTTGCGCACGAAGAAACCGACATTGGCGTCTGGGGTCAGCCGTCTTGTCGAAGAGGCAGCACTCACTCCCGCCCTTGTCACCCGAGCGCGCGTGTACGATCCAGCCAAGGGGTCCGCGCGTCGTCTCGCCGTAGGCGCCAGCCTGCAGCGGCTCCTTGGAGTCGTAGTCCTTCTGCGGAACAAGCGGCTCCGTGATGTCGACTGGCGGCACGTCGATCGTCTTGGACGAGCCCACGAAAGTCACCTTCAGCGGCAGATGCTTCTGCTGTACGCGGCCCGGCCAGTACTCGATGTACGGCATGGGCTCGGTGGCTGCCATCAGCGTCGGCTCTCTGACACGTACTCCTCTCAGCGACACTCACTTCGCATGTCCATTTGGCTCTGGAAGCCGGGGAAGTGGCCCAATCCCTCGGGGTTGACGAACCCGCGCAAGCTCTTGGTTGGCCCAAACGCATCAAGCGTCTTAGCCTGGGCAAAGATGCGCATCATGGCCGTCGCAAGAGCCTCCTCATCTGCGTCGGCCTTGGCGATGCCGTACTGAGTCATGTCCCACGTCGTGAAATTCCTGACGTTGTCGCCCATAAATTGCCTGATTTGGAGCTTGAGGGCCTCAAACTTCTCCTCAACGTCGAGGCCAGTCGCGAACACGAGCGCCTCGGCCTGGTATCCCGCCACGCCGCAGATAGCGGCCTTGGTGGTCGGCGGCGGCGCGACGCCGCGCACGCCAGTGACGAGCACGCGGTCGTTGCCCTGGTCCGTGACCGTGATGTCGTCGATGAGAGCCTGCACGTCCGGGTTGAGGTAGACGTTGCCCTGAATCTCGTACAGAATCTGAGAGCGGACTGTGACGTCGTTCACGACGCCATTCCACTTGCCATCCTTGCTCTTCTCCTTGGTGACGACAAACGAGCCGTCGGCATTGATTTCGGCGATTCCCATGCTGAAATTGTAATAGTGGGAAAGGTACTTCTTGAAGCCGCTAGAGTTGCCGCCCGTAACGTAGGCGCCGCACTCGATGCAGTGGCCTGCGAGGAGTGCGCCAGCCAGCGCGTCGTAGTTGGTCCACTCCCAGCCGTGGTACCAGGCCGCAGCGGCTATGATCGGCGACGCGTCCGTGCATCGACCGGAGATGATAACATCGGCGCCAGCCTTGAGCGCCTCGTAAACGCCGCGCGCCCCAACGTACGCGTTCGCGCTCGCAATGCCCCCCTCGTGCTCCCACCCCTTAAGGTGCCGCTCGTCGTCCTCAAGGTGGTAGAACGTCTCGCCGGCCGCCTTGAGCTCGTCCAACCGGTGAATCAAGTTGTCACCCTCGACGTACGCGACCTTGAGGTCGATGCCCGCCTCGCTGAGGATCTTGGCCGTCTCCTCCGCCAAGCCCTTTGGGTTAAGCGCGCCAGCGTTGGTCAGAATCTTGGGCCGGTTCGCCTTGATCGCCGGCAGCGCGAGCTTTAGGTGCGACAGGAAACCCGACTCGTAGCCCAGGTGAGGGTGCTTGCGCAGCTCGAGGGCGCGCCAGGCGAGGTTCTGAATTCAGCGGGTTGCCTCGCCAGAAGACGTGAGTGAACAATGCGGACTCACCATTTCGGCGAGGTAGTCACCGAACAGGATGCCCGTGTCCGTCTCGGCCTGGGTCTTGAGCGCATCATAGCGGTCGCCCATGTACCCGCTGAACGAGGCGATGCGGCATGGTGAGTTCTCTCCGGACGGCATGGTGCAATGTAGTTGGACGGTCTACGGCGTGGGCAGCAACTATAAGTGTGGGTGGGACTCGGTGTGAGTATGGCTCCAGGCCGGGTATGATGTGAGCAGGAGATGCCCGGTCGGGATGCTGAATGCCGATTGCGGCCACCGCACCCACGAGATAGGGCATTGGTCATATCCTCTCGCGCTTGTCCACCTCGCTTTCCGGAGGCACAAGAGTGCCTTGTATGACCACCAGCAGTATGACCACCAGCCGCGGATCGCGGCGGAGTGGCTGAGGGTGTAGTCATGTGATGGACCCTCGAGGAGGTGGGCTGGGGCAGTCGGAGATGTGCGAGGTGTGTGTTTCGTGGTTTATCGCCCCAGCGAGTCGCATCTCGAGAAGATTGCCGAGCTGCTTGCAGTTACCACCCGGCCGCGCCACTCTTGGCCTATGCAGCCGATGCTGCCGAGATTTCTGAGTGGAGTCTAGGTGCTCATCTCAGCACGAGTATGTCGGCTCGCTGATGTTGACATTATTCGACAGATTCAAGCTCCTGGCCACATCATTGACCACCCCTTCAAGCCCACGTTCGCTTCTCCACTTGACAGTTGCGTCTAGATCCCCTCTGTCTGCGCCTTCTCACCGGCCGGCCTCACCCATGCACCTCCCGGACGCGCATGCGGAACGCGACCCCGCCGCGCTCGCGACCTTCATCCGCGCCAACCCTTTCGGCACGTTGACGACCTCAATCGCACATCCCACTATCGACACCCTGCAGAGCACCCACATCGTGTGGGTGCTTGACGACGCGCCGTCGGAGCCCTCGGGCTTGTTACTGCGCGGGCACCTGGCGCGCGCGAATCCGCAGGCGCAAGCCATGATCGCGTCGCTCGCGGCCCACGATCTCGAGGGTGAACTGGCAGACGACGTGCTCGTGCTCTTCACCTCGCAGACGCACAGCTACGTCCCGCCGCGATGGATGCCGGCCGGCATGGCGAGCGGGCGGGTCGCGCCGACGTGGCAGTTCTCCGCCGTGCAGGTGTACGGGCGGGCGCGGGTCGTGCACTCGCGAAGCGAGGAGGCGCGGGGGGAGACGGACGCGTGGCTGCGCCGCATGGTTGGCGACCTCACGGACCAGGAGGAAGCGCGGACGCACGGGACATGGCGTGTCGACAATGCGCGCGAGGGGTATACGAATGCGCTCATCAAGGGGATTGTTGGGGTCGAAGTGCGCGTGCGCAAGATCGAAGGCCGGTTCAAGGTAGGGCAGGACGAAGCGGACGGGGACTGGACAGGCATTGTCGAAGGATTCAAGGGCAGAGGGACGCAGCTCGCCGACGACATGGTGCATGACATGCTGGCGCGCGGGCAGGGGCGCCCGGCATGTCCCTTGGACGCTTAATGAAACTATTTGCACAACCTATACTCTACAGATCGACCTTGGTTGCGACGACGCGGCGCGAGCCAAACCCACTGACGAAGAGCCATGCCTGTTTCTTGTCTGTTGTCGCGGGGTCGATGGAGATCAGGATCGCCGCGCTCGAGGACGACAGGCTCTGCCCATCGTCCGTGAAGAGCAGGCTCGTGTTCCATCCCTTACCAGGCGCTCCGGAGCTGAGCCACACAATTGGCGGAATGCCTTTGCCGCCGTGTACGTCCTCGTGTACGGTGATTGCCCGCGCGAGACCGGCCTGGACAATGCCTGAGCGATCGTTGTCGCCAGGATACTTGTCCGTGAACCAGGACGGGTTGTCGATCGTGCTCTGGTACGCAATCTGCTCGTCCAGCTTGATGCTCCGACCCTCTACGTGGGCGAGGTATGCGACACCGCCCGACGTGTCGCACACGACGATGCCACCCGGGCGACGCCCGATGCCGTTGTTGTTGTGCAGCCCCGTGAGGGCGTGAACAGCGTCCACGCCATCGTACCCGCTCTCCTTGGCGTTCGAGACTACATGCAAAGTGTTGCTCCATGGCGCGAGGGCGCGAGTCGCAAAGTCCTCAATCTTGCGCATCGCGCCCTCGCGGTAGAAGTGGTCATTGGTGACGAAGAACGACGTCGGGCCGGTCGCGAGCAGATCGTTCGGTGTTTGGATCAGGCCGTGGCGCACAGTGCGGACATGCGTCGCCTTATCGGACCCAACAACGTGGTGGAAGATCTCGATGCGCGAGTCCGCCTTGCGCTCGGCCGGCAGCGACGCGTTGCGGCTCTGCATGAACTCGTCGCTCGGCGCGTGGTTCACCGCATGGATGTAGATGGCCCGGCTGCTCTTGGGATCCTCGATGATGTCGATGCCGTGCGTGCAGAAGAACGAGTCGAAGCCGTCGAGCGTGAGCTTGCGCGAAGTAAAGGTCTGGAGTGAGCGTTTGTACAAGACAAGCCGGGGCGTGAGCTACGACAGCGTCATACCTTGGGGTCGATGACACGCAGCTCGCCGTCTCCTGCCGAGGTCGGGTCGTCGAAGTTCGTGAGGGGAGGGAACCACTTCGCGCGGGTCCCCTGCGTGCCCTGGCACGCGGTGAAGATGGAGCCGGACTCGTGGAGATGCAGGTCCTCGCAGTCCGCGCCGTCGATGAAGCGCAAGTCACCGGCACCGGCGTTGTGGAAGATGGCGGTGGGCGAGCGGAACGCGCCGAATGTCACGGCGCGGTCGTACACCGGCTTGAGGAAAAGGGCAAGAGTCGCGATAGTGATGGCTACCGTGACGAGGCTGGGCATCTTGGTTGGGCGGAAAGAGGGATGAGAAAGAGGGAGTAACGACGAGAAACAGAATGGCGCTAGCGAGGTATAGCGAGCACGCGGTGATCCCCCAAGTTGCCGGATCCCAACCGGACCGGCAACCGCGACAAGAATATGCGGATACCGAGACGAGAATATACCGATACATTCCTCCCCGGACACGACCTGACTGTCGATGGCATCGGTGAGCGTGTCGTGTCGCAGACAGCTAGGCCACTTAGCTCAGCTGGTTAGAGCGCATGCTTAACACGGAGTAAACCGATTACGCATGAGGTCGGCGGTTCGATCCCGCCAGAGGTCAGTCCTTTTTGAATCGGCTGATCTCAACTCAGCACACAGTCGCAAGAGGAGCAATTTGAGCCCAGCATCGTCTGTACTCATGGTGGGGTTTGATGCTCGAGTTGATTCTCAAATGCCATCTCGGCGTCCATCTGTCCGCTAAGGAATGGACGAGAGCTGAACGTGGCGCATTGCGCCTCGCTTGCGAAAGCCCTACCGGAGAGGCTCCTGACCCGGCGCATTGACAGCCAGTGCCATGGGCATTGCTTGTTGTCGCAGATTGGGAACATCACGCTGATGAGAGCTGGAAAGCGGTCGGTAGGCAGCGCTGGGTGTACGTAGAAAGTACCAGCACCATGCGCGAAGCGTATCTGACTGGTATGTGTCAGGCACGGTTTCGGCGCCAAGGCTGGGCTCGATCATTTCCAGCCATCCGGGCCATGGCAGGCACGTCATCTCTCATGGGCCCAACATGCGGCCGTCCCATTCCTTCCCCAAACACGCGCGTAGGTCGTACTGGGTCATATGTACATGCAAAGGTGGAATTGAGGTGTCGTGTCGTGCGAGTGTGAGCTCTAGTGTCCGTTTAGTCTAAGTTACATGGCAAGGGTGAGGCCAGCGGCAAGGGCCGCCCCGAGGCCCGCGGCCGCGAGGCTGAGCGTCACGCCTGAGCGCTGCGCGCCCGCGTCGGTCGGGACGAGCGGCGACGGCGGCGTGGGGTCGGGGTTGGCGTATCCGATCGACTTGGCTGTGGTCTGCACGACGCCGCCGCCGCCGCCGCCGCTGTTCGACGAGTTGGAATTCGAGCTGCCTGTCGAGTTGCCCGTGCTGGTGTTTGAGGTCGAGTTGGTGTTGTCGCTCGAGTTGCCGCTCGCATTAGAACCCGAGGACGACGAAGAGGGGGCGGCGGACGAGGAGCCACCACCTGCGGAGACGGCATCTGAGGCGTTCGAGTTGTTGCTGGTATCAATCAGTATGGACGCGGGGAAGGATGCACGAAAGGCTCACCCCTGGGCGATGGCCGTGGCCAGGACTGGAGTCAGCGGGGAGTAGAGGTAAGAGGAGGTGGACGTACACAGAGGCGCGAGGACGACGAGGACGCGCATGTTGCAGTGGACGGAGAGGGGGATGAGGATTGAGAGTGTGAGAGAGTGTGATGCAGAGAGAGAAAGAAAGAGATGTGAGAGATCACGAGCGCCATGTCAGCCTTTGGATCCGTGACTGCCCTTTGCATCTCATTCCGCCTTTCACATGCTCCTGACCATGTTTCATGCATTGGACATCCGGCGGGTTGACCACGCACTTCCCACACTAACTGTACAGTACAGTACGCATCTACAGTATGCATGCGTTGCTGGATCGTTGGCAAGGCAGCAACAGCTCATGAGGCTGAGCATCTACATGCGGGAACATGCGTGGGAAGATGAGAATGCGGCGATGCATGCAAGCGGGTCAAGTCAATCGGTGGCGTCGGGTACATGCATCCGGCGCAGTTGAACGGCTAGGAGTGGGCACAGCATCAGTGCACAACAAACCTGCGCAGCTCTCTACGCTTCTTGCAGCGTGCTTGTGCTTGTCGCTGGTATCAAAGCTCCTCTCTGCAGAACAAGAGTGCACATGGCCAGCCACGGGACGAGGTTGGACCGCTCGTCCGTGAACTTGGTTATGGAGAGGTTTCCTCCTGACTGTCAGCTGCTATTGATATTCCTCCCAGTCGTCCAGAGCAACCATCAGAGTCGTCGGACGTTCTGAAATGGTTCAACTCAGCTCGCACTTCGCCTGATCGCACATCGAGGGGAGGGCAGTGAACCGTTTGTAGGCTGGGGCGTCCGTCCTGACCAGGTGAGTGAGAAGCGAGATTGTCACGCCAGGCCATCCGAGATGACCCCACCGACGCGCTCCCAATGACAATATGTGGACCATCGCTCACACCTTCTTAACATCTTTAAAGACTTCAGACTCTGATAGTAAAAGACACTTTGCAGAGCCGCATACGGTCATCTCCGCACTCTTAGAGTAGAGGTTCGGCTAATTCCGACTTCGGCGGCAAGCCGGTCTCCAATGCCGAGACCCAACCGGCCCGGCTACTCTCCATGACTTCCATCACCACCGCTGGATCCTTCCACCAGAACATCTTCATCTGAGCTTCGCTCATCTCCTTTCCTCTCGCCTCTGGCACTCAGTGTTACCTCTCTTTATCCCATCTCAACTATGGCTCTCCGCGGCGTCCGCGTTCTCGAGTTCCAGGGCATCGGCCCGGCCCCCTTCGCGACGATGGTGCTTGCCGACTACGGAGCCAAAGTCGTGCGGATCGACCGCAAGCCCGGTCCCAGCGGTGACGTGACCTCGCGCGGCAAGAGCTCTGTAGTGGTGGATGTTAAGAACCCCGCCGGAAAAGCCGCGATCCGCAGCATGATCAAGCAAGCCGACGTGCTGATCGACCCTTACCGCCCGGGCGTGATGGAGAAGCTGGGCTTCGGGCCAGCCGAGTGTGCGCAGCTGAACCCGCGCCTGATCTTTGCGCGCATGGTCGGCTTTTCGCCCACGTCGCCGTACGGCAAAATGGCGGGGCACGACATCAACTACGTGGCCGTGTCCGGCGTGCTCGACATGATCCGCAGCAAGACCGGGGAGCCCACGCCCCCCATGAACATCCTCGGCGACTTCGCCGGCGGCGGCATCATGCTCGTGCAGGGCATTCTGCTCGCGCTGCTCGAGCGCGCATCCTCTGGAAAGGGCCAGGTCGTCAAGACCGACATGGTGAACGGCGCGCGCTACATCTCCTCGTTCCCCCTCCTCTTTGCCCACCCCTCCAACACCAACAGTACCCTCGGGTGGCACCAGCCACCCGGGCAGAACACGCTCGACGGCGGATGCCCGTACTACAACGTATACAAGTGCCGCGACGGCGGATACATGACTGTGGGATGCCTTGAACCGCAGTTCTTCGCCGAGTTCTCCCGCCTCATCCGCCCCTTCTTGCAGGGCGACGACGAGATCGCCGCCCTCGACCCCCGCAACCAGACCAACCAGGCGCTCTGGGGCAAGATGCGCCTCGCGCTCACACGCGTCTTCCTGACTAACGACCGCGACGAGTGGGCCCGCGTCTTCCACGGCACTGATGCGTGCTCCCTTCCCGTCCTCACCAAGCTCGAGGTCACGCAGAACGAGCTCGGCGGTGCAAAGTATGCCCAGCCTGTGCCCGAGGGCAGCATGCTCCCGCCCGCGCCACACCCGATCCTCGAGCGCACACCCGCCAACCCGCCCCCAGCGTACACCGAGCCCAACGACTTCTACGTTCCCGCCGGCTCGGGGGCGGAGGATGTCATCAAGGCATTTGGTGACTCGCTGTCCGCCGACGACATCAAGTACATCCGTAAGGCGAATGGTGGGGCGAAGCTCTAATGGGATACAGGTGTGAGTTGTGGATCGTAGGGTGGCTCAGAAGATGTTGGGGTTGCACATGGTCTGGGCTTCGGAGCTGCTGAGGGCGTGGGCGGAGCTGCTGAGGGCGTGGGCTGATGCTCCGTAACTTATATCTTCTTCACAATCATGGCCTGAACCGAGGCTGTCACAGCCAGACACACATAATTCATGCTCACGTACAACTGATCTTTTTGCTTCCTACTTCAACAACCCAAGACAGTGTCTCTGCCAACCATGTCGCCCCTTTCGACCCCCCAGCTAATGGTGCGGCATAACGCTCGACTCGACGTACTTCCAGTACGACACGCGCGAGCGCTTGCGGAATGTCTTGCCCCACTTGACCATGATGAGGAAGCTGAGGACAACGGCCATGCACGCAAACGCGGCGGTGATGAACGTGTTCTGCAGGCCCATGTCGAGCCAGGGCGTGATAGCGTAGCCAATGCCAAAGCTGAGCGAGTTGCGAATAATCATGACGGTGAGCAGCGTCTCGCCGCTCAGGTCCTTGTACGAGTCGGTGGTGTAGTTGATGGGAATACTGCCCATGGGGGGGTTGCAGAAACCGATGAGGAACGTGCCGCAGATGAGGCCAAACCAGTGGATCTGGCGGGCGGCGCCGACGCCCCACAAAATGAGCGCGGTGGGCATGAGGAGCGCCATGAGGAGGAGCAGCCAGAGGCGGTCCTCAGGCTCGCGGATGCCGTTCTTGCGCCGCGTCTGCCACAAGAGGAACTTGTGGTCCGCGAACCCACAGTAGCCGATCGCCGCAATCGAGCCGAGCGTCGGCGCAAGATACGACAGGCCGACCTTGGACGCCGAGAAACCGTAGACCTGCGTCCAAAGCATGGAGGCGGTCGCGTTCAGCACATTGTACCACACAAGCGAGGAGCCGTAGAGGATGCCGCTCCACACGACGACGGGGTAGCGGAAGAACAGGAGGGGGCGGTACGCCATCGCAAACATAGTCGCGTTGCTGGCATAGCGTTCGCGGAAGGGCATGAGCTTCTTCGCGAAGCTCCACTCGGTGCCGTCGAGCGCGCGTTCACTCGCCGTCGCGACCGTGATTGTGACGGTCGCGTCTTCCTTGTCTTGATCCAAGGGCGACTCAGTGTCGTGCACCACGCCCGCATCGTGCTTCTCGCTTAGCTCAGATGTGCCGCGGTTGTAGTTGGTCTCCTCCATGAAGAAGAAAAGGAGCACGACGAGGATGGCGGCAATTATCGCGCTGATCCAGAACACCCACTCCCAGCCGAGGTTGTCATTCGCGTAGCCCGCCCACACTGGTGCCAGGTAGTTGCTCGCCGTGAGGCACACGGTGTACACGCCCATGTAGAAGCCACGCTCGTGGGCGAAGAACTGGCGTCAGGTGGGCCTTCGCACTTGTTACTCACCAGGTCGGTAATGCCCACTTCAACGAGCATCTCAATGGGCGCGCCAAAGAATCCCTGGATGACCTTGTTCGCGTACCACTCCGACTCGTTGGTGATGTATACCTGCCAGATGAGGATGCCGAAGTTGGCGATCGACGAGAGCAGGAACATGGGACGCTTGCCGAACGTGAGGGCGAGTGGCTGTGTAATGAGCCCGCCCCAGCCGAGCAGGAGGAACATGTACCCCGTGCCCGCGTTGAGCGCGGCCAAGCTGATGCCCTTAACCTCGGAGAGGGGCACAAGGACAGAGTAGACCGAGCAGCTCGCGAAGCCCCACAACCATGTGTAGGCCATGAGCATCCAGAATGCGAGCTGCTTGCGCTTCCACGTCCAGTTCAAGGGGTCGTTGACATCGTTGCTCGGCGTAGGGTGGAGCACAATCTCACGCTCACCCACGTCGTCGACGAGGAGCAGCGAGCCGGGAATTGGCAGGTGGTCGGCTGAAGACATGACGTCCGGAGGGGTAAGACAGGGAGGGGGGTCAGTGAGAACCACCGTCGGCGTCAGTTTTATACATCGCGTCACCTATCTGGGCAAGCCGAGATAGGCAGCGACCTCGGCGCGGGTGGGCACGATGCCGATGATGCCGAGTACTCCGTCTGTCTGTTGTCAGGTCCAGTTAGTGGCCAACAGCAAATGGCCGCGGTGGAGTGGTGAGCAGGTGACATGATGTGGGCGGATGCGATCCGATGCGACAGGGCGATTAGGTTGGCACCGGAGCCCACGGCGGGCTGCGTCGGATGCCGAGACGCCACTGCAGTTGGTTGGGCCGATGGATCTGCCGGACCGCTTGTCGTCTAACTAGTGCCTGCGCAACATGTCTCGCCGAGGCCAGCGAGGCGGATGGCGTGTGACCTCGCGTTGTGGGGATATCGGCTAAGCCTGAGAGTTCGTGTGCTCTTGCGTCTGCGAGAGTTTAGTCGAGACGTGTTTCTCAACAGCGTGTGCATACTTTCGCGAGCCTTGTGCGTTCCCGGGCCCAGTGTCTAGTAGAACACTGCCAGGGGAGCACGTCAAACAACTAGGGTGTCCACACGGCGACCGTCAGCCACAAGTCGGCCACATCCGATCGCGATATCTCGCTTGGAACGGACGGTAGTCGCTATCGCCATCGTCACCGATAGCCAGATAAGGTTCCAAAGGATCCGACTTTCTGAGCCGCTCAACGCGATAGCCTGATCCGCTTCATCTTGATCTGCGTTGTTCATCCTACCTTGACGAAAAGGTTCTTCCAAGCTGGTGGGCTGCAGAGCGAGGTGGGCTCATCGAGCGGTGTGGCGTGCTTCCAGAGGCGCTTCGAGCTGATAAATTACCTCTACCGCACCCTGGTGCATCTTCCGCCCGATCGTGGCGTGGCGGTCACATAACTTCACCGAGCTGATGCGGAAACGATGCAGTGGCGGGGGCTCGGGAAAAGCATAAGCTCTGATCAGGTGAGTGAGAGTGGCCAAAGGCTGCCCGGAGGCGTCATCAAATTTCGCTTAGCTGGGGAATAGCTGGCGCTTCTCGGGGATGTCCCAGTTCTTGATGAGGTGGCCGATGGTTGACTGCCCGCAGGGCAGACGATGGTGATGCGAAGGGGGAGGCCTGGGTCGTGGCTTACGGTGAGCAGAACAGAACGCTTTTTGCCTAGAACGTGAGCATGCGAAGCGTTCTTTGCCGTCACCTGCCTTCTACGCACCGCTACGGCCTCGTTCTTGTTTGCGACTTTGGACCCGGACCAAGGTAGGGCCGAGATTGACCTCCAACAGGTATTACCATGAGATTAGACGCTAAACGGTGTCGCCAGGCACCGATACTTCGGCTTCCGCCGATCCGCGAATCTTCAGTCGCGATCTTCTCGAATCGCGTTTTCAGCATCGACCTGCCAAGTCAAAGTGCCAAAAGCTTTCCGCGCACAGGAAGCTAATCCTGTTCGGTCCTCGCCGCGATTCGAACGCGGGGCCACTCCCATAGCTTGACCCTAAGAGAGTATGATAACCACTACACCACGAGGACGGTGGTTGATGTTGAGCGCCGCAGCCCTCGGGCTGTTGAGCTGCTCGCTGCTACCGGAGTCGCAAGACGCGTTTTTTCAGAGACTGGGGGGCGACTGGAGGATGCATGACGGCGTCTGCCCACGTGAAATCGCCTGGCTGTGTGTTAGATGGTAGAACTGGGCTTGGGCCAGGTCAACAGTCGCGATCGCTGACCTCGCTCATCCCAGCCTTGACGTGACTTCGTGCTCGTTGTGTTGGCGACTGTACCACTCGATCCTATGGCCTATATCATACACGTCTACGGAATCCACACCTCTCCCCGCCAATTCACCGTCTTCATGAGCTCCTCGTCGAGGAAGCGTATCCCTTCCAGCCCCGTCCTCCGCCCATTCCACCACACCTCTGCTGCCTCCTGCGCCCAGGCAAACTGCGGCAGCCTATCCAGCCCCACGGGCCGACTTTCTCTCTCCCTCCGCCCCTCTCCGGCGCGCGACACTCGCCCGCCCTCATTCTCCACCTTGCCGCCCGCAGCCTCCACCCCGCGCTCGTATACCACCAGCGCACGCTCGACCATGGGCCGCCACGAGTACTTGCGCTTGAAATGGTTCACGAGGTGCACTTGCCACTGCGGAGACCAGGCCGCCTTGACGTCGCCGGCCTCGGAGCCGGTGCCGGCGCCGACATCGTCGAGAAAGTAGGCGTTGAACCACGTGCGGCGGATCTCAGCAAAGGCGTTGCTGAAAGTCTCGTTTCGCCGCAGGGTGATGCCGATCCAATGCTGGTCCGAAAGCAAGGGATCAGGGCTGTTATCGGCGCAGGCGAGGACGGCGTCCACGAACTCGAGTGAGAGCTGGGATACCCGAATGGCGGCAACGCCCGTGTTCACGCCGTTGTGGTCCTGCCCGAAGAGCAGGTGGGCGTCCGGCGGTGCCGGGGAAAGGAGTACGTGCAGTGGGACTGCCGGGTCTGAGACAAAAGTGTCTGCATCCGTGTACCTGGAGGTTAACACTGAGGAGGGTATGGCTGCAGGCCTTTACGCCATCTTCCAACTCACACTATCCACTGTGCAGGCTGCTCGCTTCTGAGCTCGCGCAGCAGCACGCGCCGCAGCACGTGCTCCTTGTTGAGGAAGCCTCGCGGCCCGTCCTCGACGTATTTCCCAGAATCCCCGGAGTAGCGATACCCCCACGCCTTGGCGTAGAGCGCGTGGCTGGCGCGCGAAGCGGTCGCAAGAGATCCCTTGGGGAGGTGCTGGACGATAAGGATGGGGTGCTTGGCCGTAGGGGACCGGTAGGCCAGAAGCCGTCGGCTCTTGCTAATTGCCTCGAATCCGTGCCATGACTCGTAGAAGGGGTGGGTGAGAAAGATGACAAGGAGAACGCCGGCCCCGATGAGCACGCCCAGCGCGTGTCGTGAGCGAAAGCGCATCCCGACGGAAGATACGGATCTGTAGTGACGACGAGCTGGAAAGTCAAGCGTTATTGATTCTGGAGAGACGAGTGAGATTGGCAGGCAGGCAGGCACCGCCCACGCGAGCGACGCGTGGGTGATGCCTGCTCGGCCCGGTGGCCCGGCGAGGATCAGCCCTCAGTGAGTATTGAAGCTTGCGTGTTGAGCTGAGCAGCAGCCCCGTCCTTCGCCCAGCCCTCAAATGTCAAACCATGGCAGTCCTCCAAGTTCCAGTATCGCCTCCCAGAGGGTCACTTCGTTACAGAACTGTACCTCCGTCTACACTCTGCTCTCGCAGACTGGCGGTATGTGTTCCCGGGCCCCTGCTATTGAACAGGAGGGCTCACTCTTATCAGAGACTGTGTACACATTGTTACTTGCCCCGCATGCAGTCAGGAATTGTTCAGCAGGACAAGCTGTTGTGGCATGGACAGGAGCACTGAGTCGCCGCGGGTACGAAACTACAACGCAACGCTGCTCCCGCAGGTTCGGGAAGGCCACATGGCAACGCCTGTGTCAACTTAATCCACATAGATTGTACTCTCATATGCGAGCAGTCATGTCCACCTCTACGCCCCACTCAATCCTTGAACTTCCTCAAACGCTTACATCAACCCTTCTCACGGTAGCAACGCGCCGAAAATCACGCTGCCATCGGCAAGATGAGGCGTACCTCGTGTACAGTGAAAGGCGCGATTAGCCGCATATAACATCCTCACAAAGGATGCCCCCGGGCGCAGGCTTCACGAGCTCTGTAATGACAGAGGATCTTATGGCCGCATGCCTCGTACGACCACCTGCTCACGAAGTCGGCGCCGGAACACTTGTTTTAAGCAGAAGTGGGCGGCGCCCAATCTCGGCCTCTTCCAAGTGGGCAAGGGTCAATGGGCGAGGCCGGCTGCGAACCGAGCGCCCCGACGCCCAGCGCCTACCCCCACCTGGCCCTAGATATCGCGACGCGTCGCCATTGAACCCCCTATTGGCGTGAGCGATATCTTGCGAGGAGTCTACTGCGTTCCGCATGCAGATCTAAGCCGGGCCCCGCCAGCGCCTTGCACATGCTCTGCGCCTGCTGACTCGACCTGCGAGAAGCACGCGCCTAGCTGTTTGCTTTGCGCCGATGGGCAATGCACACCTCCGTCAAATCTAGCGGAACGTGAGCCACTTGCAGTTCTAAAGCTGCCACGCGGAAAGCGCCTTGTACGACATGCTGGGAGTCAAGTTGGGTCAGCCCAGCATGCCAAGCCGGATGCACGGATGCTAATGAGCTCGGTCTTGTGATGTGACGCTCGGATGTTTAGCCTTACATCCGATGCTTCGTGCTTCGTGTGCCACAGCTGAAACAGCGGCACCGTCCGCTCTCACGCAAGCAAAACGCAAGTGAGGAGTGCGACTGCGAGGTCGCAAAGTGTAATTGCATCGGCGGCCAGGCGGACAATTTTCAAACCCGCACCTCCTGCAATATCAATTTCCGTCAAACGAGGGTGGCCGGCGACCACAGGCAGGCATGAAGGCGCAGGAAATTGGTGCGTCATCTTTGATTGATGATCGGTGACGTGCTTTGGCGTTTACAGTCGAACTGATCTTGTTCCTTATTCTCTGCTGCTCTGCCTGACCCGCAACCAGGAACAATCGCGTTAGACCAGCTGTGGTTGGTTGATTGCTGATAACCCCTCTCACGCCGCTAATACCAAACATGAGCCAGCGGCCATGCGCAGGTGACTTGTGCAGTCGCAGGGGCGTGCAGGGTGCGACGAGAGTAAGACACCGGCGAGTCCTGTATCTGCCGCTCCTGCATCTCGCTCCTGCACTTGATGGCATTTGATGGCATGTCAAGCACACGCACGCAGCACTGCGCCCGACCCCATTCTCGGCCAGATTTTATAAGCACAGCAAACATGGCAATGTAGCAGTAACCTCCCCCCTTCGCCATCGCCACCATGGCCCACAACCAGCGCTTCGATCCGTACGCTGCAGGCGGACACAACGAGTATTCCCATCACCCCGACTATGTGACCCACCCCGCCGACTCCAATACCAACCCCAACCCCTACGCCCAGCCACAGACTGGCTACACCGGCAACGACGTGTATGGCGAGCGCGCGGCGTACGACCCCGACGGGTACGACCGCACGTTCCGCTCCTCGTCAGAGAAGGGGCCGCACGCTAGCGAGCTGCCCGTCGCAGCCAGCGACGGGAGCAGCGACTTCAGCGATATGGACCCGCACTCGGGCGTCAAGCGCGGCCTTAAAACGCGCCACCTGTCCATGATGGCGCTGGCCGGCATTATCGGCCCGGGCCTGCTGATCGGTGCGGGCGGCGCGCTCGCAAGGGGCGGCCCCGCATCGCTGATCATCGGCTTCGGCGTCATCGGCGTCGTCGCCTTCAGCATCATGCAGTCGCTCGGCGAGCTCACCACGCTGTATCCGACTGGCGGCGCGTTCACGGGGTTAGGAGAGCGTTTCGTCGACCCCGCCTTCTCGGCTGCGCTTGGTTGGAACTACTTCATCATCTGGTTCTGCGTGCTCGCCAACGAGTATAACGTCCTCACTTCAATCTTTTCTGTTTGGACCACCAAAGTGCCTCAGTGGGGCTTCTTCCTGATCTTTTGGGTGAGTCTGAGCTGCCGCGCAAGGGAGGGCCTGTGCATGTGCTTGCTGGGAGGGCGCTGGTGCCTCGCGAGAACTGGCACATCGGCCTATGGACAGGCGCTGGCCGTAGCGTCGTGATACAACCGGGGAGCATGCTTCGCGCAAGATGGTCCATGCACGCTAAGCATCACTGCTTCCATTGCAGAATGCCCAAGCCAGCCAGCCAGCCGGCGGCTTGTTTCAGGGCTGCAGACGTCGAGTCGCATGTCACATCATGTCTGGGCAGTCCGGCAACAAGGACATGGATGCCGACCGCTCCACGCTTGTCACTTCACTCCCTTCACTGCTGCGAACAGGTCGCACAGCTCGTGCGACTGATCTGTCCTTTCCAATCGCATGAAGCCGGTGGAGCGAATACCGATGGACCGGTCTCCTCCGGCGCGGCCCGGTTATCACCAGGGCGATGCCAGGCTCCCTTGCCCCATGGCAGCCGCTGACGACAGTTTGTGTTCCTTGCATTCCAGCTCCTCGGCGTCGAATCCTTCGGCGAGGCGGAGTTCTGGCTCGCCCTCACTAAGCTCATTGGGCTCTTCGCGTACTTCATTTTCTCGATTGTGTAAGTATCCCTGTACCTGTGCCCGTGCGGGCTCCACCCGGTGGCCTTCCCAAGCTGACATCAGCTATGTCGGCGGCGGTGTCAAGGGCGCGCCCGCCATCGGCGCACAGTACTGGAAGGACCCCGGGCCGTGGGTGAACGGCTTCCGCGGCGTCGCGACCGTCTTCGTCTTCTGCTCGACTTTCTACGCTGGCGTGGAGAGCATCGCGGTGGCGGCGACCGAGACCAAGAATCCGCGCCGCGCCGTCCCCATCGCGATCCGCCAGACCTTCTGGCGCATTATCTTCGTCTACATGGGTTCTGCAATGTAGGCTGTTGTACCTCGGCATGACTAACTCCAGCTTCTATGGCCTTACGTGTCCCAGCAACGCGCCCGGCCTCATCGGCGGCTCCAAGGCCGCCGTCAAGAGCCCAATGACGATCGCGATCCAGAACGCCGGGTGGGAGGGCGGCGTGCACCTCGTCAACGCCTTCATCTTCGTGACTTGCCTCAGCGCCTGCAACTCGTCGATCTACATCGGCTCGCGCACGATTCTGCACATGGCGCAGAGCCGGACGGCGCCCAAGTTCCTTGGATGGACTGACCGCCGCGGCGTGCCCATCCCCGCCATCCTGCTCACGAACGCGTGCGGCGCCCTCAGCATGATGAACCTCTCCACTGGCGCCGGCAAGGCATACAGCTACATCGTGAACCTGTCGGGCGTGTCTACGTTCCTCGTCTGGGGCTCGATCAGCTTCATCCACATCCGCTTTGGGCGTGCATGGACCGCGCAGGGTTACTCCCGCGACGACCTGCCCTTCAAGTCCATGCTGTACCCGTACAACGCGTGGTTCGGGCTCCTCGCAAACATCTTCCTTGCTCTCGTGCAGGGCTGGACCACGCTTTCGCCCTTTGACGCAGGCTCGTTTGTCGACGCATACATCCTCCTTCCTCTCTTCTTCGTCATTTACGTCGGGTACAAGGTCATTTTCAAGACACGCTTTTTGCGTCTCGACGAGATCGACCTCCAGTCCGGTCGTCGCCGTGACGTTGACGACCTTCAGAAGCCTTCTGCCGCTAGCTTTGACTCCCAGACACGTCCGAGTCTGTGGAAGCGCTTCTGGACGAATTTCTAGTGTCTGCGTGTTCGGCATAGCTGAGGCTTTGGAAGCTTCCTGCGGGCGGCTTTCTTTTGTGTATGTTAGCGTTCTGGTATGCCATATATGACGGCAATCTCTGTCATTTCGCTTTGCTCTCCGAGAGCAATACGAAGCTCTACCCCATTCTCTTCGACCCGTTATGCATGTTGGCCATTTCAATGACCTCCATTAAGGGGAACGCTCCAGCTTGCGAGGCACGATGTGAGGCCCTCAGTTCATGATCGAGCGTGAGCAGCAGGCACAGGCACTGACGTGATGAGGTCAGCACATTTTGAGGAGTGCTGAGTGAAATGACGCAGTATGGTGCCGAGAATGAAGTCGGGGATGAAAACGGACGTGCAGCTGTCGTCGAGCTCTGTACGTTCTGTACTGGCATTCCACCGGGAATGCTGGACGCCATCTGTCTTGAGGATCAGGTGGTTCGGGCGTCGACCGTGTTTCACCTCCAGAGCCGATGAATAGCTTGCGCTGAATGGCCAGTTTTCCGTCGGCATGTATCTGCCCGGCAATGGTGGCCGGGTACGGCACATCAGCCAAGACGCGCTCTCACAGACGACGTGGCGGACCAGGATCTTCAACCACGACCTCGCGGCTGCTGGCAGACATCATCAGGAACGAATGCATCGCCTCTCTTTTGTCTACCATCGTGGTCGAAGCCGATCATAGCTTGCTCTACCCTCTCCGTTGGCCAACGTCATCTTCTCGGTTCGTCAAGGAGGCCACATGCACGCAATCTATAATACCATTGCATCAAACGCCCGTGACTATTAGAGGTAATAAGGTTTTGTCCTAGTGTCACGGTGCGGCCTGTACCAATCCAACTTAGACGGCGACGGGGGCGGCGTCGTGCTCAGCCGAGCGCTTCTCGGTCATTGTGACGCTGGCGTCGCGGCGCTGGTTCTCCGACTTGCGGTAGTGGAGGCCGGCCATGACGATGAGAATGAACGAGATGAAGATGAAGAACCAGGCGAACCAAGCGCAGATCACTAAACGTCAGCGGCTGGATGCAATTGAGAACGGCACCACGGCGCGGGGGCCGCAGAAGGCTTGCCGCATTCCTAGGGGTGGACTGGCATGCCAGTCTCGCCGCATGGCGCACATGGCCGTGCGGCGGCGCCCGGGCGCCGCCGGTAACCCCGGAGCCCATCACCCCATGTCACCTGACTCCCGTGGCGTACTCACTGGCGTAGTAGGCGAAGGTGTCACGGTAGCGGAGCGACTTGCCGGTGGCCTTGAGGAGCGTGGCGATGGTGGCGGCGGGGATGCCGGGGGCAGTGACGCTCGCCTGGCGGTTGACGACGATCACGGTCGCGGCGATGGCGACGGCGAGGAGAAGGAGAGTGCAGAAGCCCATGAGGAATTCATTGATGTAGCGGAAGCGGCGAGGCATGCCCTTGCGCTTCTCGATGAAGAGCACGATCTCGGAGATGAACTGTGTGTTAGCAGGCGCTCGTATGCATGTATGTGGGTCATCTGTCGAGGAAGCGCGACAGGTGCTTGCAACAAGCTACCCGCAGCCACACTCGACCCTGGACCCACAGCTCCACTTACAGAAACGATGACGCCGAGGCCAGCGGCGGCGCAGACACATCCGAGGACGGCTAGGACATCGTCGGCGTGGATGACGGCACCCTTGAGCAGCTTGGACTGGTTGTCAGCAATCGCTATCGATAGGGGAGGGATGACCGCGTCCGGCGCCGGGGGCGGCGATCGATCCCCGCGTACCGACTATCTCGCTCCGGCGATCGAGATAGTGGCCGACGCTGTCGATCGTCCCTCCGGGGTCGTGGCCGGGACCCCGCGGGCGCGACGCGGCCGTGCATACTCACTGCAAGTTGGCGGTCGTGGTGCAGGTTTGAGAGGGCTACTGTCAGCGGGGGCCATCGGCGGGCGTGAAGGGTCGCGTGTCTCGGACACCCCTGTGTTGACTTACACTTGCCCGAGAGGCCGACGACGCAAAGAGTGAAGGCAGCCGAGAGGAAGAGGGAGACGAGGCGCGCAGCCAGGAGAGTCTTGAGGTTGACCATGGTTAGTGCAGCGGTGGTGAGGAGAGACGAAGAGATGGGGGGACGATTCACGGCAGTGGCAACAATATAGCTTTCATCGCTGATGGTATGAGGTTGACTAGCGCTCATGGAGGGCGCCACCGCGCCCCATGGGCCGTGGGCCATGGGCCGTGGGCGCGAGGGCCGGTATGCGCGGGCTTGCATTACCCGCTCACAATAAAAGTTTGCCTTTGGTACATGCTGTGAGGCGCTAGATGGAATGGCAGGCGGCATGAGCCGTAGACCGGAAATGGCAGCGCAGCGTGTGGCGCTTGTTTTTGCGTCGCGGCGGGGCGGATGACGAAGGGCCCGCGTTCCTGGCTGACAAGAGAATTCGCAGACTCCTCTTTCCTCCTCTGTCCTCGTGCGGCTCTGGCAGCGTGACTGCCTCGTCTCCACGGCCTCGAACACGTGAAGACGTCTCCCTTCGGGTGAGGCCCGTTTGTCCCGTATAGGCACAATAACAGAGGCCGGCACTCATGCCTCTTGCCCGAAAGGCGTGGGTCTGAGTCACGGCACGGCAGCGAGCGCCGAGTGAAATAGATCCCTGAGATTGATGAAGCACTATTCCGACCACTTGGCCGTGATTGTACTCGGTGTGCTCAGCGTTCTGCAGAAGCGTGTGCATGCGATGTCTATCGTTAGTGCCGGTGCGCGACTTTCTCTCCTCGCCGACCAGCGCACAAGTTCAACAACAGCTAGTCTAAACACTGGAAGCACCGCACAGAGAGCGCGCACGCTCGCCGACCCGAGTCCACTAAATGGCGTAAGAGATCGAGGGAGGCACAAGGTCCAGTGACATGTGAGACCGCCAGGGATATTCAACCAGCCGGGCCATCGCGGCGTTCCAGGGCTCGAGCGCCGAGCGAGGTGGAATGGATGTGCACATGTGCAGCAGAGCAGATGACAGGAGCGGCCGCCGATGACCTCTTACGTCTGCAGAGCGGCGGACTGTCGGTGCTCCACTCCATCCATGCAGATCGTGAGGAGCACTCCCGCAGAGCCCCGAGAGCCCTAGGCTCACGCGACCGGAACTTTACTCCGCATCCGGTGCCAAGCTCCGTACCCCGCAGAGGTCAAAGTATGGCAGAAATCGACACGGCCAACATGCCCGCCTCTGGTTCAGGACTGATCGGCAGCCACGCCACCCAACGTCTCCCTGTCCAAGCGAGTGGACCGAGCATGGACTGATGCCACATGTCGGTGTCGTGTCCAGTTCTCATGTCAGTGACGAGGAGCTCCGTCCGTGCGGGCCACCGGCATCCGGCATGCATGACCGGCACGTCGCCGTGTCGCAGGCATGCACTAGCCAAGTGAGACAGGAGCAGTGAGACGTCTCCCCCAAACTTCGCGTCTGTCTATTCTCGTCTCTTTAGCGCTTGGCGTCTTTTTGCCCGCATTAGCGGACTACCACGTAAACCGCAGACCGCGGTAACGTACATCCGTAGTTTGGAACACGAGGGATCGCGAGGGAGAAGATGCCGACCACACACTGCCGATCTTAGCATTCCACCGCCGGGTCCGAAGATAAGCGTAGCATACGTACTCACGAGGCGTTGTATGCCCGCGTTGATCGCGATGTCTTATCACCTCCAGATGTCCCTCCTCCGCATTCCAGTACCCCAGTGCCCCGTACGCCTGCCCGTATCACCCCGCACGCCGGTAGCACACGTCACCTCCACTGACGGACTGCGGCTGATTGTTAGCCCCACATACGACAGCTACCTGAACCAAAGGAGCGAAACAGCGATAGGCACCCCGCGCGGCCAAGGGCCACCGGATGTCAAACCCCCGGCCTGCATGTTGTCGTATCACCTGCCATCTCCATCTTCGCCGAGAGAAGTCCAGACCCGCCCGACCGTCGTCGGCCCCCCTTACGGCCCCCTACGCCTCGCAGGGCCAGCGCAGAAGCCGCACGACCCCGCTCCTCACCACCGTCCTCGTGGTGTAGTGGTTATCATACTCTCTTAGGGACTGCTATGGGAGTGGCCCCGCGTTCGAATCGCGGCGAGGACCCACGGGCTTCAATGTCCGAGCTGGATGCCTTTTGGGTGCGGTTTTGTTGCAGACAGGAGATAAGATGGTCTGCCAGCTGCCAGACCTTTGAGACACCGTCGGCGCAAGCGATAGTGGTAAAGGTGCGCCGTGCCCCAACGTTTGTGATGAATGTACAATTTGACGACTGAATAGTTTGGATCAGCTCTCCCCATTCTTCGCGACCCGTGGACATTATGACAAGTGACTAATCTATACAGTATGGTCGTACAAAAACCCTGCTTCCTCTTCGCTACCACCCTTACAAGCCCACGCCTGCGCCGTCCGACGCGCCAAACGGCCACTGCCAAGCGTTCCCAGCCGGGAACGCGGTCTCGGATCCGCCGGCGTACAGCACGTCATAGATGTTCTGCCCCTGCTCTCCAGCCCCCTGGTTGGCCGGGTTCATCGGCATGCCGCCGAGCGGGTGGAGATGGCCGAACAGCGACCAGTCGATGGCGCCGTTGGTGCCGGGCACGCCATTCATGGGCCCCGACGGCGTCGACGCCGCGCTCCCGCCAGTGCCGGTGCTGAGTGCCGGGCCAGCCCCGCCCGCCGTAGGAGGCGCCCAGCCGAGCGACTTGAGTTGCTCGGCGAACATGGGGTTCTGAAGCATGGCGGCTATGTCGAAGCCTGCGTTGGGGGTGGGCGCGGGTGGCGGCGCAGGCTTCGGCGGCGCGGGCGCGTAGCTCTCGTCCAGCAGCTTCTGGAGCGTGTTTGCGCTCACGGCTGCGCACTTGAGCGTCTCACCCATCTCGCGCAGCGCCGTGATGCACGTCTGCACGTGCTCGACACATGCTTTGAACTTGCGACTCTGCTTGGACGCGCAGTGGCTCGCGCTCAACAGATGCACGGTGCCCGCGGAGAAGGCCACCTGGCCAAGAGTCACGGGCGAGTAGCGCAGGCCAGGGCAGCGGCGCCACATCTGCAGAATCGTCATGAACTTTGCGGCGGCGCGCTCGCACTTCGCGACTGATCCGTCCGGCCCGGCGTCGAGTGTGGTAGGCGAGCAGTTGGCGAACCACGGGCGGTGCAGGAGTATGAGAATGAAACAGTGGAAGGCGTGCAGACTCAGAATGTGACCGGGAACGACGCGCTCGCTGCGCCCAGCCGTCGGAAGGCGCAGCTCGTCAGGAATCGAGTCAAGCCACTTCTCCAGCAGAACACTGATGTCAGCTTTACTCTATGAGTGGAGTTGTTGACACGTACTCAAGCTCCGATACCACATGTCTAACGTTGCTGGAGCGAATGTTGAAGTTGATCGAGTAGACGGTGCTAAGCACGCGCTCGGCGACAATGCTTAACTTGATCATCCACACAAACGTCGTCGAGCGCCAACCCTTGACGGGCTCGGCGTTGGCGGTCGCAATAGCGTCGGAGAGCTCTATCGCAGCCTGCCCGACCTTGGGATCAAAGGTCTCGGAACGGGGCGTGTGGATGATCGGGTGCCAGATGAGCTCGTCCTCCTCGGCGTCGGGTGTGGGCACGGGAATGTCATGCTGAGCGAGCGGCAGTGCGGCCGAGCGACCAACGTACGTCGACCAGCACTTGTCGAGGATATACGCGCAGTACCACATGTTGTAGCGCGACTGCTTCGTTTCCTCGCTGATCGCGCCGTTCGTCACCCAGTAGTTGCAGTTGGTGCCGAGGCCCAGCGCCTGTACCAGTCGCAACCCGATGCCCGAGTACATGAATCCGAGGTTGTGGCGTGCCACAGACGCGTGATAGCTCCCAAGGAGCAGCACCCCAGAGACTGTCGAGAGCATCGCCGTCTCCGCTTCTTCCTCCAGCAGGTCCTTGGCACGCTTGCTGAACGCAATGCCCAGCTGTTCGCGCACCTCAACAGGAATCTCGAGGAAGGCGACGCCCAGCGCCAAGATCACGTTGTGTAGCAATGGGGAGTAGTGCGCCGTGCGGCGCGCGCGGATGATCGTTCCGTCGACTACAGGCGACGACGCCATATCGCGGCGGAACTTGCGCTCATCCACCCAGAAGCTCTGCGGGTTGAAGTAATCGAAGAAGAGGCGCAGGACCTTCTCGTGCGTCGTGTCGTCGAGCTCCGGGCAGTTGAGCTCGGCAATCATAACCTCACGCGGGCGCAGGAGCGCAGGCCGCTCAGCACCGACCGCGGGCGGCGCACCCATCGGGGACGGGCCGAGAGTTGCGGCGGGCGACGCATCATCGCTTCCCTCAGGCACGTGCTTGAAGAGCGACGTCGGGCCATACTCGAACAGCTCGCCGGTGGTCTCGTCGATCTGCCGTCAGCGAGGGAGGGGTGAGATCGTACCTTCAGCCGGTCCAGACCCGCGGTCTCCGGCGTCGTCTCGTTCTCTGGTGGCTCTGGCTTGGCCTCCCCAGCGCCCGCTTCCAGGCCCGCGTTCTTGAGCATGCCCTCGAGGACACGCACACGTTCCTCGAGCGCGGCAACGTACGCTTTGGGTGTCGAGCGCCGACCATCCGCCTCGGGGTTGTACACGCACTCCTCCTTGTACACCTTGCAAATCGCTGGGGTCAGCGCAGGCTTGCGGAATAGTTGGCCGCGGCTCAGCTTGGCGGCGATAGCTGGGCATGCAGGGCGCACATGTGTCAGATAAGATAGCATGGCACGCATGAATGCACCCCGCACATGCCCACCGACGCGAGCCGGACCGCCACACCCTACTCACCACAAGATGGCTGCGCGCCGTCACATTTCATTTTCCTGCCATCAGCTCATGGGCCATCATGTTGACGCGGGTCGCAAGCGCGCGGATAGCGGGTAATACTTACCTTCTACGACATCCATTGCAAGCTTTTGAGATGTGCGATATGCGTCGGCGAGACTGTTTTGGCGCGTCCTCTTTGGAGCCACTGCGGCGGCCCGGCGTGTCGGACATAGCTGGCGTGGTAGTAGTTGGGTGGATGGCGACGCTGCTATTGTATTGGGAAAGGTGCCGAGGGGGGGGGGGGGGGGGGGGGGGGGGGGGGGGGGGGGGAGTAGGGATCGGGGGTTGTTTGGTCCGTCTTGCAATGTGTTGAGGCGGAATGTGCAGAGTCAAGAAGGAATAGATGAGGGAGTCGATGGCGAGGACGAGGTCGAGGTGAGTCGCAGAGACAATGTTGGAAAGAATGTTGACGAGAGAGGGAGGGACGGAGGAGATCGAGGAGATATCTTGGCGGGAGGAATCCGAGGGATCGTTTGTGGTGGCTGTGGGTGGCGTCACTCTCGGCCGGCGCTTACTAGACGCGGCAACCTCATCCTTCTCTTCCGCCGCGATCCGAAAGAGAAAGATCAAGGACGCCACTGCCGAAGTAGAGTGCAATCAGCAGCAGCATATGATGGCTGGGCAGGGTCTGGCTTGCATCGCTGCGGTCTGGCCGAGTCGTTGCAGCTATCCACGGCTGATGCGAGACATCGATTGGCTTTAAGACATGCCTAGCCCGATGCATACGCGGGCTAAGCGCTATCAGCAGATCTATTTGGATTATCATTAACCAGAGACCTTGCGTGGAGAACCACTGCGCTCTTCTTTGGCATCGATGCATTCTGCGTTGCATGCGTTGCCAGCTTGCCAGAACTCGAGGGTCAAGGAGACTGGAAGCTGCCAGATCCGGGATGCGGATGCGAAACCCTTGTCCCGAAACTCCAAAAGAGAAGGTGTGGACGAGTTAGGAATCGAACCAAAGACCTTGTCAAGATCAAGAGGCCATCAGAGATGACAATGCTAATGACACGCTCTACCAACTGAGCTACACGCCCTTCCTTAATAGGATTAGGCCGGGATACCACAGAACGCCACTAATGAGCTATCATGCATGCACGGCAAGTGATGGGCGTGTGGCGATCCAACAAGCCCTCCGTGAGCCCTTTAGACTCCACAAGAGCTTAAAACAAGCTAAACAGTGACGCCGGGTTGGAATTTTGTGTCTCGCACACCTCCAGTTTGGCGTCTCACAATCCCACGACCTGCCCGCTCGCCTTCGACCACACGATGGGGAACAGCAGGTGATCCATGGGCGCGCCCTCGGGGAGCTCGTCGCTCAATCCCGGGAAATCGGGCGAGGTCTTCCATCTGCGGGGCGCGTGCCGCACATCGTCGCCAATGAAGCGGATAGAGAAGGCGCGGCGCCGCGTCGTTGTCCCGGCCGAAGCATGCAGTGTAAGCATGTGAAAACAAACCATGTCTCCCGGCTCGAGTGCCCACTTGCGGATCGGGAACGCGGTACGATTCCCCTCAATGTCGGGGAGGTCAGCGAGGCTGCCTTCCGGGAACCACTTGGCCTCCTTGTCCATAAACGTCCGCGGCATAAGCCATGGCCCGCGGTGGCTGCCAGCAACGAACTCAAGCGTCGCCTCGGCCGGAACGGGGTCGACGGGGATCCACATCGACACTGTGTCCGCCCCCGCAATGTTGTAGTATGGTTGGTCTTGGTGCCAGGGCGTACGCTGCGTCGTGCCTGGCTCCTTGACGAGTAGGTGGTCGTGGTACAAGCGCACAGTGCGGGCGCGCATCAGCGCCGCGGCAGCGGTCGGCGCCGCCGAGCTCGTGATGAAGTCCCGATAGGCGACATTGGACTGCCAGTTGCAGAAGTCTTCAAAGAACCAGCCAGGGTCGTCCGGCCGCGAGGCGACCTTTGCCCGTTCGCTCGGCGCGGCGAGGTTCGTGTCGATGCCCGCCTTTAGGGTATCTAACTCAGAGGGGGTGAAGAGCCCTTGGATGCATACCGCTCCATCGCGCTGATACGTCTCAACAAGCTCGGGCGTTACGGCGGCCGCGACGCGCTCGCGGATGGACTGGAGGGTGGAGGCGGTTGCGAGGGTGCGGGTCCCAACGGGGGATATTGATGAGAGGTTTGGTGCCCGGAGAGCGCGCGTGAGGAATACGAAGGAGCGCATTGTGTGAGTAGGATAGAAGTGGAAGAGTGTGAGAGTAGGAGGAGGCGAGGGATAATGAAGACGGTGCAACGGGTGCGGAAGTTGGTGGGCAGCTCGGCAAGCTTCGCGGCGAAGCGGGCAAGGGATGTTGCGGCATAACGGATTGCGCTCGGTGTCAGAAGTGAAAGCGCGGAATGAGAGGGCGTCGAGAATAGAATGCGCCAAATGAGCGCGGAAGTGAGTACAGCGTGTGCAGAGCGGAGCGGACCGCGGAACCGTGTCATCGTCAGCGCTGGGTGTCGCGGCCTCTCGGCCGGAGATCCGGAGATCCGGAGAGGCTCTCGCAGTGGGGATGGCCGACCCCGTCGACAAGCTGTGACTCCCTCCTCACATCCTCGTGGGGTTCATTCCCCAACTGCTCCATGCTCCAGTCGACATTTCTTTTCTCCTGTTCACTCCTCCTCATCCGTGCTTTCGATAAAACTCGCTTCCTCATGATCATCCTGTCCACCTTCTTGCAGAAGATACTCGTGTGTTCTCTGCTGGACGGCTCTGTCCCCGTCAATGCTGGTTGCTGGTGCTGCCGCAGAGCCATCGAGGCCTTCCCTCCCTCGGTCCTGTATCCCCTTTCTGGTCGGCCACATCCCCCCCCAGATGGGGAGTGGACACCAACCGCACTTCTGGTTGACAGCCCCGGCCGAGGATCAAGGACTTGGTCTTCGCCTACCATCGACCTATGTTGACCCCGCGTCCTGGGGGTCTAGGCTCATGCCCATCAGTGTAACCTCATACACGCACAGCGAGGGGCGTTGGGGCGTCGGAGACTGTCACTTGCACCACTGCTCTGCTCGTCACTTCCGCCCCACTTCATCTCAGACCATTGTCCATTCATTTACCGACTAATCACATCATCTCACTGATCGCATCTCCTTTCCACCCCGGGTGTAAGCACGCGATGAAGATTCTCACCGGGCACTGGGCCGGGATGGAGGTGGGACTGGGTCTCCTCACTACCCTGCTGACGCCAGGTCACTGTTTGTGGCCCCGACGGCAACCCTCTTCGTGGGCGTGACTTGTCAGGAGGGAGGCTGATGAACCCAGCGGAGTACGATTGCACTTCCTCCTTCAACAGTCCTGCAATGCACAACTACGTCAAGTACATCGAGGTCGTTCCGTTTGACCGCTTTTCTCTACACTTTGCGCGCCCATCTGCTCCAATGGCACTCGGGTACCAGATTTACGCCGATGGGCGGCTGCTCCACAACACAGTCCTTCGGCCTCACAAGCTCAGTTACACCGTTGACGGGTACAACAAAGTCTTGAACGACGACAGTGGGTGGTGCGACCTCATCTTCTGGCCTACCAATGTATGCCACCGCACTGCCCCACGACCTTTCCCACGCTTACGTCAGAACGAGAGTAGCAGCGTGTCGTACACTCGTACGCGCGATTCAGAGCTCGGCACTTTGCATGTAAAGTTCGAGGACGGTCACGCCACACCTCTCAACAAGCGAGAGGTGTGCCCCGCAGAGACACCTACTTTCCAGGGCATGGACCGAATGGTACGTCTGGCACATAGCTGATTGCTAAGAAGTCTGCTGACATCAGGGTCTCCACGCATTCATTGGGTGAGCTGAACTGTACGCAACTAATGGTAGTGGCTCCATCAGTGGACCAGGCAAGGTGTTCGGAAAATGCCGCTTCCTTGCATCCTATACCACCCCTGCCCTCAACATCTGCTTCAAGGTGAGTTGATTGACCGATGTCGAGCCACTCAACCAGTATCGCACACGTCGCGCGTTGGAAGACCTTGGGATTGTTCCAGGTCATGAGGACGTTCCTGTCGCCTTGCACGCCGCCGACGTCCCCGACGTCGAGGTCGAAAAAGATGCGGAGGCAGGAGACACTGTAGACACCACGGGCGTTGCTGCCGGTCCGGCGGCCATGAACGCTGCGGATGTAGCGAACAGTCAGAACGGTGGGCACGCCGAAGGCGATGCGGACGTCGGAGACAATGCGGACGTCGGAGGCGACGCGGACGTCGGAGGCGATGTGGGCCTCACGGACGATCCGAACTCATTGATCGACTCGCTGGAATCCACATGCAGCCGCAGTCCTGGCGTCTCACACTCTGCAGGTCACCACGAAGATTACCCGCCACCGAGAATGGACAACGAAAGTGTGCCCCCCTTGCCCAAGACGCGCAAGCGTAAAGTTATCATGGTATACCTCGAGGAGGAGGGGCAGCCCCCAAAGCTGCTGTCGAAACGCTACGCGTCGCTCTGTGACGAGCACGAGGAATGATAGGTAGGGCGCCACCGGCTGCAGGTGCATTGTTGTGCAGTTGCGATGGGATTACTTTGGAATCGCCTCTTGCAGTGGCCCTTCCTCACAGGCGGCAGGCGATGGTGGGGCCCGAGAGTCCCCGTCTGCTTCGTGATGACTCAAGATAACCGTTTAGAGTGACCCGAAGACTATGTCGCCAGTGCAGCGGTAGAAAAGAGACGCTGATCCTCAATTCCCCTCTTGAGGTTATACTGATGCGCCGACCAGAGCATGGCGGGACGGAGCAGGCGCCTGCGAGCGTACGTGTACAAGACGCTTCCTCCTGGGAAGACTCCTTCGGGTGCAAGTGACAGAGCAGCCTCGGTTGCGCCATCTGTGGCCCGTACAAACATGTACTTGTAGCCACCTCGCCTTCACCTTCCTTCATCCATCTCTCTATCTCTCATTCTCTCATCACCAACTCTGTGTGCAACTTGACCCTCACTTCTCCCGCGCTCTCTGCTCTGCCTTCACGCTCTGCCCCTGCATTCACCAAACCTCGTGCTCTCCCTGCTCAGCCGCATGAAGGTTCCGAAAGGACTGTGGAAAGACGTCGAGGTGAGTCACTGCCCATCCGTGCTGAGGCAAGATCGATGTCTATGGCGCACAGAGTGATGGTGACTTTGCAGAGGAACTTCTTGGCAAGTCTCTCATGTTAGCTGACTAGCTGACGCGGTAGCAGAGTACGACTTCGTCCATGCCGACCCCAAGGACCACCACTACACCGCCCACCTCAGGTGCGATGGCTTGGGCCCCGTAGCCGTTGAAGTCCGCCTGCCTCCGCATTTCAGCAGAACCATGTCACGGGTATCAGGTAGTGCGACCCACGAGAACAGCGCCATTAGCCGGTTCACGCTTGCTCCTGGCCAGTCCAGCGTCATATCGAGATTCAGCGACTACCAGGCGGGCACGATCACAATTCTCCTTGAGCTCGAGTCGCCTGTGAGCGCGATCCTTCCTCGCTCTCCAAGTACTCGAAATGTTTTGAAAGTCTCCTTCAAGGTAAGCTTCTCGCAATCTACAAGACTGATTGCAATAGTACTGCATAGCCAGAAAGTCTATTGAGGCTCGCTACGAGGCACCCCCCCAACCCCTCGCTCGGTCCTTGTCCCCTCGACCTCATTCTCCACTTCAGCCACAGTTGTCAGCGCCTCTGTCTGTACAACTCAGCGGCAACTCTCGTGCAGATCGCCTCTCGTCTGGACCATCTCTCGCCGGCTCCTCTCCTCCCATCATCTATCCTGTCAATAACGCGCCCCTTCTTCTGCATGTGGCTTCGCCCACTCCTTCGCCGCCCGAAACATCATTCTCGTCTACGGCCTCGCTGATAAGGGGACCGTTTGAAAGCGCCACGGCCGGCTCGATTGAGTTCCGCCTCATGGGCTCTCGGGGCTTCGCGAACGGTGAAGGTGATGGTGCATCTCTGGAGCGGCTGGCCGTGGTTCGCCGCGCAAGGGATTTGGCGAACGCAATGCCTCAGAATATCGCGTCGCGCGTATTCAGTCACTGTGAGGTGGTCGGCCAGAAGACGAAGAGGATGCTTCGACGACGTAGGAGTAGCTAATAACACGTGTGTCCCTGCTACATGTATCATGTGATCTTAGCCCTCAAACGCACAGTCCCTGTGCAACGGCGAAGAATGAACCCAATCTGCAATCAGAGCGAGGAGTGATGCTGCAACTAGAAACCGATGGCAAGCATGAGGGCGAGCGCCCAGGGCGAGGCAAAGGCGTACGCATGCGACGGTCGACGGGTGATGGGAGTGGCATCACGGCTTGATGCCCCAAAAGCTGACATATATGAACGCCATCTCCTTCAACCCACGTCCATACTGATCCATCCCAAATCCTTCATCCTTCAATCGTGCACCCTTCATCCTCCCGGACCATCGCGATTTTGTTTCATCTTATCAATTACTTCCACAAGATGAAGATTCTGGAAGGGTTCTGGCGTGGCCTCGAGGTACGCCACGACGAGTCCAGGGCTAATTGCTAGGTCTCGCTCATTACCGCTGAAGGTATTCCCCTACGTACGTGAGGCGATCGACTCTCTTATACCCCATGCACGGTCCCAACCTCTTCTTTAAAATCTAACGTCAGCCGAGTTCCCAGGGTATGGCCCCACCCCTGTGAACGATCTCGTTGTCAGGCATGTCGAGTGCCAAAATGGGAGGCGGTTCAAGATCTATGTCGCCCGACCAATTGGCTTTGAGCATGAAATCAACATCGAAGTCACGATCGATGGACGCGTGGTCGAACGCGTAGCCCTTGTAGCGGAACAAGAGGACTTGTGCATCGCCACGTTCGACGAGAGCAGCCCCCATGGGTTCGTCAAGAAAGCTTTCGCTTTCGCGGCCGAGGTGAGTCTCGTCCAGGCAGACTTACGCCAGCCCTCGGATGGACCGTCGCTTGGTACACGCAAAGTGGACCTTGATCAGTTGGGTTCGATATCGATCACCTTCGAGGCGGGGAGCACACACAATACGGATGAGCATACGTTCTCCATCTGTGAAGACTGCGAAAACAAGGCACTGATCAGCGGCGCCAAGATGAAGAAGGTATATATTGTCGCGGATAATGCTCACTCCAGCTTCTGAGCTCTTTTGTTGTGTAATTCTGATCGATGAGCCATCTGACCGCAGTGGCGAGGAAGTGGGCCCTTCAGAGTCTCTGCCAGTCGTGGACTGGGTTCGCCTCGAGGGAGAGCCGAAGCTGACGGCGGTCTTCATTGTGAGTCATTCGTCCCTGTACTCAACACTCACAGCAGTACCGCACGGCAGAGGCGTTGCGCACACTTGGTCTCAAGCACCCGTTTGACGCTGAGGACACTAAGCCGACTGTCAAAGGTCTGAAGCGCAAGGTTGACGAGTCAAAGGACGTTCAGAAGAAGGTCAAGACTGAGATAGTTGGCGTGAAGCGCGAGGCGACCTCGCCAGATTGCTCCCCGAAAGTTGAGCCATCGACTGAAGACAACCAGGCGGAGCGGGCGGACTAGCTATGCCCACGAGCTCTGTGGTCACGCTTTGTGGCCGTCTTCATTTGCGCTTATCTCTCCACATCTTCAGTGTATGCTGCAAGTTCGATTGGTCATTCTCGTTCTTCTGCTGTATGATACTATAACATGTATGTTTATACTTGACACCTGTCCCCAAAAGCCTGCTGACTGATTGTGCAATCCCGCTAGGGCGGAAGTTTTCGAGCCATCTGCGCTGGACGTGGGTGGCGGCGGCGACACCTGAGCCATGATGCACATCCTCTAAGCTCATTGACTTTCGTCGCAACTGTCAAACTGTACGCCCCGTCGTCAACCTAACGCAGCAGTGCTGGGCACCTCCCTGAGCCTGCGCCACTGCCGGCGGCAAGCGACGCCTCAGCTTCCGTGAGGAACATTCCAATATTTTGTCCAGCTTCTTTGCGCCTCTCAGACTCTTTGCATCCTCAAGCTTCATTCAACTAAGCACTGTGCATGATCTGCGCCCGCCTATCCGTATGCACGTCGACAAACCACATGTCTTGTCGCCGCCCGCCACATGCGATAACAGACGGTGCCTCGCGGATCGCGGAACCAATTCCCTGCCGATCCGCCGATCGCACGGGCAAGCAAGCCCCGTCCCTTCATTCCCTCAGTTCTCAATTCGCCGCCCAACTACTCTTCTCACATCATCATGAACGAGAAATTCACCCCGCCCGCAGGTTACGCCCTCCCTCCCGGCTACGGGCAGCAACCGCAGTACGGTGCGCCTTACGACGCGTCGCAGCAGTACTCCCAGTATCCTCAGCAGCAGCCCCAGCCCTACTACCAGCCCCCGCCGGGCCAGATGGCGCAGTATGCCCCGCCGCAGGGGCAGGGGGGCGGCGCGGCGCAGTCGTACTACCAGTCATATCCCCCACAGCAGCAGCAGCAGCAGTATCAGCAGCAGCAGCCGTATCAGCCGCCTGCCCCGGCGCCTGCGCCCGCGCCTGCGCCGGATCACAGCAATAACAACAACAACAACACCCCACCCAAGCAGCACGGAAAAGTCGGCAAGATCTTCAAGAAGGTACGTTTGCGCGCGCGTGTGAGGGATGCTGACGCCTCCTCCATTCTTTCATATCCCTCCGCCATCCAACGTCACTCCTTTCGCCACTCCACCTCCTCTCCCACAGATCGGCGACGGCATCGTTCGCGGCTTCGGCTGGGGCCTTGGCATGCGCCTTGCGAACGAGCTCGTCAATGCCTGTGAGTCACCGCCCCGGAAGTTCTGACGCCAGGCTGCCGCGCATGCTAAACTGTATCACCTATTTGTAGCGATTCACGAGACGAGGCTTGACTTGGCCGCCTAACGGGCATTCTCGGGGCGGTGTTAGCTGCGGTTCGGACCGGCACAGGCACCGGCACGTGTGCAGGCCGAAAGGAATGCTTTCGTTCGCGATCTGTCGGCAGAACGCGATGCGCGAGTGATCGCGAGTGATCTGGTCACTCGAACTCACTGCGTCTACTCCATCAACTATCAGTATTGTACAAAACCACGCCTAATCCTCGCACCCATGTCCTCCCCGCCCATAGCAACTGACTTCACTTCCTCACCCGGAGATACTCATTGTCCGGCCACTGTATTCTAACAGAGTTCTCGCACGGCCACCCACCACGGCGTTGTCTCGTCTCGCCACTCCTCTCCCCTGGCATATAAGCTACGCCCTGCCCCACGATCTCATGCATCCCAGTTCAACCCTACGCATCACAGTCAACTACCGCCGAGTCCACAACATGGCCCCCAATCCATCCCCCGCACCTCAATTCCCCACCCGCACCCCTCTGGCCCCGCGCCATACACTTTTACCTCGATGCCAGACCAAATCCCAGCCCAAAATCAACCTCAAAACCTCGCCGACCTGCGAATGCCCTGGCTGCCCCACCGCTGACTTCGAAAATCTTTGCTCCGCCTCGTCATACTCGACCTTCTCACTAGACCCTCTCTCCCTCAATGTTTCCGGGCAAGCAGACCATGACACCACCTCCCGCCCAACCTACTCGCAGGCGCTCGCGCAATCGCGTATCGAAGGGGCGTCTCAACGCGCCGCCGCTCTCGCGCTGGAAGCCAGGCGCGCCAAACAATCCCGCGACGAAGCAGAAGCCGCGGCGCGCGCACACCTAGCCTCCCTCGCGGCGGTAGTACGCGCCAAAACAGCGCTCGAAGCGGAGCTGGCCGCGGAGCGAGCGCGGTCGGCGGACGCACGCGCGGCAGCGAGGAGCGTTAGCCGCGCCAGTGGCGCGGAGATTGCGGGCCTGCGCGGCGAAGTCGCGGCTGCTGTGGACACATACGAGGCGGAGCACGCAGCGATGAGTGCCGAGAACGCCGAGATGAGGGCGTTCATTGCGCGGCTGACGACACTTGCTGAGAGGGACCAGGGGAGGTCCCGCGCGCGCCCGTTCAATCTACGGCGTAAACATGCCCTGGAGGATGAGATGTCCCCCTCCGTTACGGATGCGCTATTTGCGCGCGAGCGCGAACGGATGGCGGCCAAACTCAGCATCACCAAGAGCGAACGCGATGCCGCGCGCGCGCGTGTGCGTGCCCTCGAGGAGAGCGAGGGACTGCGCGCGCTCGAGGCTGTCGGCGAGGTCGCGGGCGCGGTGAGGTCTCGCCTCAGTGCGTGTCATGCCTGTCGCCGCGCTGTGCTGGATGCCGTAGCCGAGGGTGAGAGCGAGGTGCGCCGCAAGTACGAGCGGGGTGTGGTCCGCTAAGGCTGAGCGGGGCGAGGTGTCGTTGTGGCTTGATGTATCGCGTTATCTGAAGGACTACTAAAAGTGGCGGCTGTGTGTGTTGGCGTGTGCCTGCTGATCGTTCTACGAATCGCTCGCTCCTCCCACTCCCACCCCTCTTCACTTTCCCACATCACCATATCACCACATTCTCATCTTCACACCACGCCGTCCTCTGTTGCCTCTCCCCACCGCATCCCACTATGGTGACCTTCGCCGCGCCCGAGCCCGCGCACCACCCCGACTCATACACCACGCGCCCCGCTCTCTCCGCCCCGGCCAACTCTATCTTCCTTTCCCGCGCCGGCCCACCCTCGACGCCTGCCGCCGCCGCGCGCGCCCTGCGCGCAGCCACCGAAGAGTACACCTTCGTGCGCCGCGCCAAGCGTCTCGTCCGCGTCCGCGTTCGCCAGCAGACCCAGGGCGAACGCATGGCCGACGGTCGGACCAAGTCCACGTACCGCGCCCTCCTGCGTGGCGGGGCAGAGCTGGTGACACGCATGCGCGCGCTCACCACTCTGGTGCGCAGCGTCGGACGCGGTGAGCGGAAGCGCGTGCGCGGCGAGTAGTTGTCATGCCGAGTTGTATGTAAGTTGAGCGAAAGGAAAGTGTTGTTATGGAACGAGTAGTGAGGGAATGTCAGCACTTGAGACACGTACGGCTGCCGGCAATGACATCGAGCAGGAGCAGCCGAACTCGACTCCGCATGCCACAGCTGGGGCCACGATCTGGCCCCGATGTGTCTCGAGCAGGCCCGCGGGGCAACAGCCGCCAGTCACCTCGCTGCGACGCACAGCGCACCACGAGTAGGACCTATCCGGCCACCAGCACATGCTTTTACGGCTGTGCGTTGACGGCGTTGCGCGGGGCGACATTGGCCACGGAGCACTAGCGACACCTAGCGGCGCAATCGAACAGAAGCAATCAGAAGATCAAGTAGGTCCTACTGTTTACAGTTGTCAGAACGATGACGGGGGCGAGGTGATTGATCAATTCAGCTTCGCCTCGAGCGACCAAACTACCATCGCCGCGAGACGCGTAAGGAGAAATAGGCGCCGAGACCAGGCACCTCGGTACATTCGGCCACCACATGCGGGATTCCATTATCTTGGCGGAGCGACTCGTCGCACATTCCGCACTCCGGTTTGAAGCTGGGCTAACAGGGCAGACAACAATGGCCGTGGTGCGTGCACGATTCAGGCTTTGCGCCGGGCTCCGCTCAATGCTCGGGCGAGATCGCGCTTGGGCTGGGCTCCAAGCGAGCATCCCCGCATGCACAAGCTCGACTTGTGGGAAGATGGCAGGATTTGGTGTTCGGCGGGCCCCGATAGGAGGGCCAGTCCGGATCCTGGTGTGCACGGACCACTGAGGATGAAATAACGAGAAACAGAGGCCGCAGGAAACCAAGGGGGGCCACTGAGCTGACGAGAGTAGCGGTGGCGTCGATATCCCTCCAAGTCAGCTGGGCCCAGGTGTCTCGAACCACGCGGGCTTGGCAGCTTGGCGTCCATGAAGATGATCAAAGGATGAAAGCCAGAATACTCACTGGCAGTCTTCTGCTCACCTAGCAGCTTAATGCTGCATCTTATTCGCCTCGCAATTTGCGTCCTGTATACATGTACCAACATATCATGCTCCGCACACTCCCACTTCTCGCAAGCTCACCGGTTGCTGATCACCCGGTGCGGTCCGAGCATACGTCCGCGCGCACCCCGTGGCGCTCTCTTATGCACTCGGTGTCCGCCTCCCCGCTGCCAAATTCACAAGTCACAGTGCAGCGGCCACGGCCGCTGGCATGTTTGGATCAGGGCAAGGCAACCCACTCGAGGAATTGTTGAGCAACGTAGACCCCACAAGCCCGAGCGGTTGTGCCCATCGGCCCCAGCGTCCCCCGCGTCAGCAAGACCCCATGCACGCTCCCCGAGCTGGGAACCCCGCGAGCCCCGTGGCTCCCGATTCTCCCCAGTCTCTGATCGTGCCACAGCACAGAGCTATAAGAAGGCTGCGGCACCCATTCTCATCCTCGCTGACGCCGGCCCCCGTCCCGCCACAACTTTCCCTATTACCTCTCCCCACTAATATTACACCACTCCGCTTCTTCCCACCCCGCCCCGCTCCACCGCTCCCTGCCATGTCCGAGAAGAAGTCGGATGCCGTCGAGGCCGTTGAGCGGCCCTCGCTCGACGGCGGCGTCAAGGAGGCGCAGGCGGCGCCGTTCGTCGACATCGACGACGGGTTTGACCCCGCCCTCGTCAAGCGCACCATGCGCAAAGTTGACTGGCGCCTCATCCCGATCCTCATTGCCATGTACACCATCTCGCTCATCGACCGCACCAACCTCGCCACGGCGCGCGCTGCCAACAAGGTCAAGATGGACCGCGAGATCGGCACGGGCAGCGGCCAGCGCTACACAATCATCACGCTCACCTTCTTTATTCCGGTGCGCTCTTCTCTTCGATCTCACTCACCCCAGTACATTATCCTTGAAATTCCCTCGCAGATCGGCCTGCGTTACTTCGGTGTGCGCAACTGGCTCTCGGCCGCCGTTCTCCTCTGGGGTGTCATCATGATCTGCATGGGCTTTGCGCCCAACTGGAACACGCTGGCCGGTCTCCGCGCCGTCCTCGGTGTTTTCGAGGCCGCACTCTTCCCGGGTTGCGCATACCTCCTCTCGTGCTGGTACCCGCGCCGGTCGATGGCCAAGCGCAACGTCCTGTTCTACACGTCCTCGGCCGTGCTCGGCAACTTTGCCACGATCATTGGATATGGCTTCTCCCTGATGGATGGCACGCGCGGCCTTTCCGGATGGGCGTGGATCTTCATCTGGTTCGGCATCATGACTGTCGTCGTTGCCATTGTCGCATACCTCACCCTCGTCGACTTCCCCGACCGCGCTACATTCCTCACCGAGGAGGAGCGCAACATCGTTCTCACCCGTATCCAGCGCGACCGCGCCGACTCCGTCCACGACCCCTTGACATGGTCCAAGATCGTCAAGTACTCAAAGGGTAAGCCCGATGCGGCTCGGCAAAAAACTCACCGCAGACTTCAAGCCATGGCTCTTTGCCTGGTTCTTTATGTCGGCCACAGTCTCGTCCTACGCCCTCGCCTACTTCCTCCCCGTCATCCTCGCTCAGCTCGGCTTCGACAACGTCCAGTCCATGGTCCTGAACGTGCCCCCTAATGCCTGGTCCGTCATCCCTGCCCTCATCACCGCCTACATCGCCGACAGATACCGCAACACCCGTGCTGCGGTCATCATGTTCAGCGGCATCTGTCTCATTGTCGGTACCGCCATGTACTCGCAGCTCGGCGCCAAGCAGAAGGTTGCGCGCTATGCCGGTATTTTCCTCGCCGTCCAGGGCGGCAACTGCAATGTGCCCCTCGTGCTGTCGTGGGCCCAGACTTCGATCCGCGCCCAGTCTAAGCGCGCGTTCATGGCCGCTGTCGTCGTCTGCTTCGGCGGTCTTGGTGGTATTCTTGCGTCTGTCGCGTTCAACCAGAACGAGGCGAAGAAGGGCTACCGCTCGGGTGTCATCTTCACCATGGCCATCAACGCCGTCACAGTCGTCGGCGCTGGTTTGCTCCACGTGTGGATGCGCTTCGAGAACCGCCGTGCCGAGAAGAATGGCAAGGTGCTCGAGGAGGATGAGAACTTCCGCTACCAGGGCTAGAGAACAGAAGACCTTGCGGAGAGAGGTGTGTGTACGAGGGGGAGGTTTCTGAAGTGGCTTGTAGTAATGCACCAATTTAATATGAGCGAAGGATGCCCGATGCATCGGGCATTGGGGTGTGAAAGCCGCTTGCCGAGGGCCCAAGCGCACTTTGTGGAGGTTTGTGTCTTCTCATGAGGCCTTGGCGAGCTGGCAGCCAACACGCCTGCGCAGGTGAGCTTGTCAGCGGCGGGCCCATATCGTACCCCATACATACACTCATCAAAGGATTAGCATTATAGCCCTCTGGCTCCAGATATCAGTCATGCGCAACTCCTCCTCGCCCGCCTCTTTCCGCCTCCACACCTCGTACACAATCTGGGGTGAGCTCGTCCCACATCATGACCTACGCTCTCCAACCGGTCGAGCTCGACGAGCCCGCTTGACACCCTGGCGTCAGCTTATCCTGGCCCAAGCGCACTTAGCAAAGTCCATAAGGATCTGGAGACGCTCCTGGTCCTCGCCATCCACGAGGCCCGACACGACGAGCATCGGGTAGTTGAGGTTAACCATGGATCCCGTATGAATCGCGACCTCAGCGAGCAGTTCCATGATGGCGGACGCGCTGCGCTGCACGATGGCGTCGTCCGCGCGGCGCCCAAACGCCACGCGCTGTAAGTGGCAGATGAGCGAATGGCGGATGAGGAGGTCGCCGAACTGCACGCGGATGGGCGCCGGCGACGAGTAGATCGTTGCGAGCGCCGTCGTCTCCAGCTCGTCATACATGGCGTGGCAGGACAACTGGTGCGCGGGGTCGTGCGACGCATGGCCCGGGCGCTGAGCCAGCAGGTGCGCGAGCTGGTGTAAGCAAGGCAGATGGGAGGCGTACTGTACCTTTGCAACGGCGAAGAGCGAGTGCAGACTCATCCCGAAGTCCGACTGGATCACCTGCTGCGCCGACGCGACTTCCTCGATCCACTGCGTTTCGTCAGGACGCTGAGGCTCGAGGAAGTATGGCGCCATACCCAGGCTGAGCGATGCTGCCGTCAGCTTGCCCGGGCGCATGCGCACCGAATGTGTCGTAAAGCCCGAGATACACCAGGTGCTGTTCGTACAGGCTGCTTCCAAACATGACCGCGCGGTTATCTGCGATCATCTTGCGCGGCCCCCCGCATCGATGCGCGTACGTGCGCAGCAACGCATGCGTCTTGGCCCACAGCGGATCACCGCTCCCGCACTGGCGTGAGCTCCCTACCCTTAGCAACTCACATCACGCAGCAGAAGCAACTCGAGAAGAATGAGCATTGTCTCTGGATCGTGGAACCCCTCGCCGCAGTTCACGGCGTGGATAACCTGTGCCGCGTCGTCCGCAAAACGCCGCGAGCGCGCGATCATGATATCGTGCCCCTCCGCGGGCCGGGTGCCTTCGAATGCGCGGGAGACCGCGCCCAGACTCCACGTTACGCTCACGAGCGCGGCAGCGAGCGTCGCATGCGCACTCGTCCCGACTTCCGCCGCACCGCCGGCGGAGATGAACATTTGGGCTTCCCACAACTTGGCAAGGACGCGGTCGCCACGAGCCCGCGCTCCAGGTTTCGTTGGGTGCGCGTTGAGCTGTCGTCAGCGCGTCGACGAGGAGACGGACGAGGCCGGGCGACGACACATATGATATGCCGTCCAGAAAAAGGCCGAACTGGTCCGGCAAGATGGGGCTGGGCGCTGCTACGTCCAGAGGGGGAGCGTTCTGCACTACTGGCCCCGTCCATGCGGCTGCAGTTAGCGTTGGGGGTTCGAGGGAGGCTTACCCCGCAGTAAGGAGGAGCCGGGATTGCGATTTTGGCGTGAGGCGGCGCGGGCCGGCGGTGCGCGGTGAGCTGCTGAAGGCTGTGACTGTCCCGTTACGAGCGCTTTTGGCCGCGCTAGAAGGTCGCGCTCGCGCTGTGCGTCGGCGTTGGTGCGCGGATACACGCAGTTCCGTTCGGGATTCCGCCGACACCTGTTACAGACGGGCTGGAGTGAGCCCGTGGGCAGTCGCCGCTACTATGTGCGTTGCTCCGCGACTCACCTTAGTTTCGTCACATTTCACGCGCTTCATGCGGCACGTGAAGCACCCTGTCCTTGTCCGTGGGCCCTTCTTGCCCAAGTTCACGGGACCTGGAGCTTCGGCTGACGGGACTGACTGCAGGGGCGGCGAGGTCGAGGCGGCGGGCGTGGATCCCCCTCGGGAACTGGTATGAGCTTCTTTGTGCAAGGGTAGCTCAGCCCAAACTGCTCGGAGTCAACGCACTGCATGGGCGTAGAAGAGTGCCCCATTTTCTGGAGCTGCTGCGCGATGAGGTCAGCGAGCCAAGCCACCTGCTGGTGGTCCCATGCCGTGTGCGCACAGCTCGAGCAGGTGAGATGCACATGTACAGCACCTCCCGCGAGCTCGATCTTGTGCGGCGGCGCAGCCCTGGAGGCCATGGTATTGAGGAGAGATGAGAGGTTGCAAGCTGATAATGGAGGAGCCACTGAGGTTAGTGGAGGTGGGTGTGCCTGGCGGGGGTCGTGCGCCCTGATCGCCGTTCAACTGCCGTAGCTGGCTTGCCGAAGCCAACGCCGAGACCGACGCCCGGAAGGAGACGGGGCCGCCCGGGCCGAGGGCTAGCCTCTTCGAACCGATCGTGTGAAGATGACTCCTCCCGAGCATGACATAGTTAAGCAAGTGCAGCCATGTGTTGAATGGCAGCAATGTGCTTCAGTGTCCAATGCGCTTCAAGGCAAATGCAACCATCAATAGCGCTGAACCTTCGTGAGGCTGGCGCCATTGCAGCCTCGTGTTAATGAGCCTCATTCCGATTATGATGCGGAAAACCCTTTTCATATGCCTGCGAAAATGCTACAATGCCATCTCTGCCTAACTACAACAATGCCACTATGCCGAAACAGCTGAAGGCTGCGGCGCATCCTGGACTTTGTCGTAGAACAGGTCGTCGAGCTGGGGCACAATAGAGCGGTCGTGTCCGAGGGTGAGCAGTGGGTGTTCCCAGTTGACGTAGCCGAGATATGGCAGCGACATGTCCCAGCCCGCGAGGCGCTGGGCCTCGATTGGGAGCCGCTTGACTGCCTCAATCGGAAGCTGGAGGTACTGGTTCTCCTCCTGCTTGAGGTATCCGCACGAGAAGCCGCAGAGCGCCATGCAGCGGACCGAGTTGGGCGCGCCGACCTCCATCGAGTTTGCGCCACCGCCGTGGTACACCGAGCAGAGGATGACGACACAGTCTCCGGGCTCGGCCGCGACGTGGATTGCGTCCTCGTATGTTGGGGCGGGCAGGTCGTCAGAGCGGATGTGGGAGCCGGGAACGATGAGGGTGCCACCGTTCTCGGGAGTGACCTTTGTGAGGGCAGCGAGAGCGAGGATGCTCTTCTCCTGGCGCGGGTCCCACACGTCCGAGCCCTTGATCCTGTCATGGTAAATTGCGTCGTCGCGGTGCAGCTCCTGCGCCTTGCCACCGGGGTTGACCTCGAGGAGGGCGGTAACGTTGAGTTGAGGCTTGCATGTCGACCAGTGGCGTTCGGGCGACGACATGGTCGTCTTGTCGCGACGGGTGAGGGCAAAGTCGGCGAGCCCGTTTAGGACGGGGTTGAGGAGCATGGAGTGCACGTACTGGTCCGACTTGGCGAGGAGGCCGGGCACCTTCTTGGAGGTGTTGGGGAAGAACGACCCGTCCCACTGCTCCTTGTTGCCGGACGGACCGAGAGCGTCCAGGTGCGGCTTGAAGTCCTTGTTCATCTGGTCGACCTCCTCCTTGCTGAGAAGACCCTTGAGGACGACGGCGCCCATCTTGGCGATGAGGGCGTTGATCTCGGCCTGCGGCGCCTTGGCGTCGATGCAGAGATCCTCAAGCTCGTAGGGGTGGCAGCGGGCCATGTTGTTTGCTGAGCTTCTGGAGTACGATTGGAGAGCAGACGCTTAAGAGCGAGTAGTGAAGTTGAGGCGGACTTGGGAATGATGTAGTTGCCAGTGCGCTGACAGACCGTCTATATACTACCAACATAAGCTGACGCGGTGGGGAGGAGCGCGGGTAATCTCAACATGGAAGTTGATCCTCGTGTATGGTCTTCTCGAGAGTGGGCCATTGGCTGCGGCAGGAGGGACCCCGGATACCATGGGCATGGATGGAAGATGGAGACGACAACGTCAATAGCATGTGGGCTCTCTGCTCTCGCCGAACGGAAGCAACAGCTTTGATTAGACGAGCTTCTTGGCGGGGAGACGAGTTTGACGAGGGCGGGGGAGCGGCAACCCCACACGAGATAAAGGCACGATTGCAGGTCATCGGCCCGAGATTGAGTTCGACGTAAGGTTCTATGCCACATGTGAGCAACGCCTCAACGCTTGTCAGATTGCATTATGTATATCACTTGCACTGGAGCGACCAAACACAATGCTGCGTCCAGAGTGCGCAAGTCGACCGTACCTCTGTTGCTACGCGACATGTATTATTAGCCACTTTCTGCTGCTGAAGCTGAGGGAGTCGTCAGCGGCAATTTCCACCCATGTCACTCCAGCCGGAGCTGGAACGGGCCCTCGCCTAGCCCGCCTACGCAGCACACAGAACCAAAGTCAAGTGACTATCACTAACAATTCCCTTCCGTATCAGGCTATCTGGAGATATGCAGACGAGGTGGGCAGACGGGCAGGGCCTTGGAGACGAGCTTGACGAGCAAAAACACCGCGACCTCGAGATATCGTGGAATGCGGGGGGAGGAATGGAAGAGCCGAACACGTACTTGCGTTCATCCGATTATCCACATCGTCAAGCTCGTCTACTGGTTCAATCCGCGGAGCGCTCATTGTCACATGCGCGCCCCCATGGGGACGTGGCTATATCAGGTGCTAGATTGCTTGCGCTTGAAAGCGATCCGACGGACGGCCAGAGAGGCTGCCGTGAGTGGCGTGGATGGCGTCGTCCTGTGGCTTACCCGTATCGGTAGCCCGGCCATACTGCCGTAACCCTTGTGGATGCATTGCTGCGATCGCGCACAAGCCGGTATCGCGTCTGAGGCGACCGCAGGCGATTGGTGTCGATGCCCGCCCCAGTGCGTTGAATCAGAGGCAACGCCACTCGCCACAACTTATAGTCCGCCGAGGAACAGTGTGGCACTCCCCACCTCATCGCCATGACCGTAGAACATAGCAAGGAGATCGCGACGCCAGCACACAGCGAGCATTCAAAGGAGGGTGGCAACATCACGGTCGTCGAGCGCGAGGCCGACCTCGACGGCGATGAAGGCCTCCACGAGCTCGGGTACAAGGCTGAGCTGCACCGTGTGCGAGGCTTCAGAGAGATCTTCTCCATGTCGCTCACTTGTGAGTCGCTGGTTGTCACCGCTAACTTGAGGCATGGCGGTCCCTTACGGGTTCGTGGCACTGACCCCTTCTCCTATATTGGGCATGCTGACGCCAGTTATGGCACAGCGCTCTACGTCGGCATCATTGGCGGCGGGCCGCTCACTCTCATCTGGGGTGCCGCCGTCGTAACAGTGCTCCAGTGGGCCGTTGCATTCTCGCTCGGCGAGCTTGCTTCACGCTGGCCAACCTCAGCCGGTGCTTACTACTGGACGTTCCAGTTGGCGCCGAAGCGATTCCGAACCGTGCTGTCGTACATCAACGGCTGGATGGTGCGTTGTCTTCTGACGGCGCTGATATCAGCTCCTCACCGCGCTCCTTCTGACCACAACCTCCGTCGCCTTCGGTATGAGTCAGCACATCATCGGCACCATCAATATCACTAAGCCCGAGTGGACCCCAGACCGCTGGGTTTACATTCTCGTGGCCTATGCGCTCATCGCTGCCGCCTCGGTGCCGCTTATGATGGCGAGTTCGTTCCGCCACACTTCTGACTCCAGCCACCACGTATTCTCACCATCCTTGAACAGACCAACGTGGTCATGATTTGGGTATACAAGATCGCTCACATCATTGTACTCTCGGTGCGGGCCAAGGCCGGCCGCCGCTCGGCCAAGTATGCCTTCACGCAGTACGACCCAAGCTTCTCCGGGTGGGGTCAAGTGTGGACGTTCTTCATCGGGTTTCTCCCTGCTGCCTACGTGAGCATTGAAAGGCTAAGCGGTCCGGTCTGACGCCAGGCAAACGCTGCGCCAGGTTTCGTCCTTGCTATGACGGAGGAGACTCACAGGCCAGAGATCAACGTCCCTCGCGCCATGTCGTACACTATGCTCCCAGCCTCTCTCGTGATGGCATGGGCCTTCCTCCTTCCACTGACATTCACCATGCCGTCAAGCGAGGAGCTTCTCGAAGCCCGTGGGTCCTAGGCACTCTTGAGTTAACTAACATCAGCCGGCGGTATCATCCTCCCGTACGCGTACAAACTTATCGTCGGCAACGACACAGGCGCCATCCTCCTCATGTTTGGCATGCTCTACATGGGCTTCAACTGCCTGGTGGGCATCAACTGCACAGCCTCGCGCCAGCTCTGGTCCTTCTCGCGCGACCACGCAGTTCCGGGCTCCAAGATCTGGTCGCGCGTCAACAAGAGCGGCAACGTGCCCTATGCCATCGCGCTTTGCCTCGTCATTCAATGCCTCCTGTGTCTTATCGACCTCGGCAGCAGCGTCGCCTTCAACTCATTCGTCAGCACGGCGGTCAACGCCTTCGCCGCGTCCTACATGCTTCCTGTGCTGCTCAGTGTGCTCGAAAAGCGACGCAGCATCGCATCGGCGCCCTTTACACGCCACACTGTTGGATGGATCTGCAACATCGTCGTGCTTGTGTGGGTGCCACTTGCTCTCGTCATCTTCAGCATGCCCGTCGCGCTGCCAGTCACGCCCGAGAGCATGAACTACGCCAGTGTCGTGTTCGGTGGCTTCATCACCATCGCTGCGGTTTGGTACCTCGTTTACGCGCGACGCGTCTACGAAGGGCCGCCCGAGAGTATGGGTCTGTAGGAAGGGGGTTGTCAGTTGTAAAGGGTACTAGGCTTAGATTGGAACAGCGCAGTATGCACAGGATATTGTGATCTGAGCTCACGTCTGCGTGATGACCCCAGCGAACCTATAAACCTCGAGTGTACGTGAAGTGCACTTGACCAAAGAGATGGTTCCAGTGCCTTTTGCTCCGACACCGGCACCGGACAATGCATTCCACCTCGGCTACCGGACCAACGGAAACGACATCTCGGTGCGCGCTCGGTCTGTTCACAAGTGGCGTGAGAACTGAACGGCAACTGAACGTCATCCACCCTCTCACGCTCACCTGCCTGCGATGCAAAACCGTCTGTGGTGCCAGCAGCTTGAGAATACAGACACAGCGTTGCCATGACGTACCTTGGGCGGTGCTGCGTGTGGGAAGGGGCGCTGATGTGCGGATACATCGAGATTTCTCGGACCCCCGCGCGCCATATAAATGGAATGATCTGGCCCTCGGACCACTACACTTACCCACCAGACTAACCTAGCCGACCATGGCCAAGCAGAGTGAGTCGGACACCGAATACCCCTCACGCAGTCACGACGACGTTCGACTCCAAGGCGTGGGACATGAACCCGGCGCACCTCGGCATCGCGTTCGAGCACGACCACGCCATCACAACACTTACATTCCGCGGCGATATGGACGGCATTGGCACCGGCTCGTACGTCGTGACCTACCTGCCAGGACACGGCGGCAAGCGCGAGCACTTCTCTTACTGTGAGGTTGTAGCATGCGCGTCTGACGACAGCCGGCCAGATCCTGTTTGAGGGCAAGATCCTAGGCAAGGACGGCACGATCATCATTCGCGAGAACGGCACCTCTGTCGGCGACAAGTTCCACTCGGAGTGGATCTTTGACACCGTCTCCGGCGCAGGCGATCTGCAGGGCCTCGCGGGCGAGGGCGAGTACGACGCCAAGCCCGGCCCCACCAAGAACAATCAGGAGATAAAGCTCACTGTCTCATTCCCCTAAGTCGCTGTAAGCCAAGGAATATGAGATGCAGAGTGTTCAGAAGTGCTGCGATGTGTGCGCGAAGGTGTGGGTGTTCAGCGACTGATCACTCGACCGCGCGAGCAAAGTCAGCTCGGCAGACTATACATGGGTTGGTAGTCCAGATGGTAACTGATACAACAGGCTCTCTAGCCCACTCTCTTTCTACTCGAGACGCTCGTCAAACACGAGGTCGACGTCGGCCTCGTCCTCCCCCCGCCACACCTTCGATGCCTCATTGCAACGCGCGACAGTGTCCCGCACGTCAGTCACCATGCTAGCCGGGCCGCTAACGAAAACCTTGGACGGGCCTGCGACGCGCTTGAGGAAGTCGCGGACCGCGGCACCCGTGTCCGGACGGCCGGAAATCACCGCGATAGGCTTTTCATCTTCGCCGGGCGTCTCGAGCGCGGCCTCGGCAGACGCGTCGTCGCGCGTGTGGTGAACAATAACCGAGATGTGCGAGGCGCGGAGGCGCGCAAGCTCGGGGGCGATCCACTCCACGTCGCGCGCGGCACGGACGGACCACACGAGCTGAATATGGGCGGCGGGCGGGTGCTGCGCGAGGAGAAGCAAAATGGGGAGGACAAAGGTGATTCCCGTCCCGCCGGCGATGCAGAGGACGTTGGTGGTCGGCGCGAGCGCGCGTGTGATATCGCCACCATAAGGCCCGGTGAGGATGACGGGGGTCGACTCGCCGGCGAAAGCCGTCAGCTTGGCCGTCTCGCCGCGTTTGGCGCGGATCAGGTAGGCGTGGCTCTCGCCGGGAAGCGAAAGAGGCGTGAACGGGTGAGACTGCCAGATGCTGCCCGCCGGGAAAGTTAGGTAGAAGTGTTGGCCGATGGCGTGTGTCAGGTCCTCGGGCACGTCGACGTCAAGGCGGACGACATCCGTGCCGAAGTGCGACACGCGTGCCGGAAAGCTCGTGAAGGCGCCATGCCCGCCACCAAGAATGCGGTAGTGGATGAGGCCGGTGCGGAGGAGGCGCACGCCTCGGTCGAGGCCCCAGAGGACTAGGGCTGGGATCATGAAGCACTTGAGCTGGGACCAGTGTGCCCAGCAAGCGCCGATGTAGATCATGGCGAGCACCCAGTGGGCCTTGCGGAAGAATTCGTAGCCGAAGGCGCGGCGCGCCCAGGGCGTTGAGAGGACCCAGAGGAGGCAGAGGAGAATGAAAGCAACGCAGCCCCAGACCATGTACGTCTGGACGATCCACTCGCGCGCGACCTTGGGCTGCGGCTGGTACAGCTTGACCTCGACGACGGTCCAGCCGATGGTGTGGACGACGCTCTGGAGCATGATGATGTGCCCGACCCAGCGGTGCAGGAAGTTGAAGTGGTGGTAGGGGATGCCTGTCGCAGCGGAGAGGATGCTCTCGCGCGACGCGAGCAGGATGGACACGGGCGTGAGGGCGTACGCGAAGATGCCGACTCGGTCTGCGAACGGCCCAAGTGTGCTCCGCGTGTTGTAAACGCCGGGCATGTTTTTGACTGGCGTGATCCATTTCTGGTACGTCATGCCCACGAAGGAGAAGACGGCGAGGTAGGCGGTGAGCGCTGCGAGGAGGAGCAGCTGGAGGCGCGTCGTGTGTCCGAAGAGCCAGGTCAAAGGCGCGTCACGCAGCGTGTACCGCCGCACCAGTGTTCCCACGGCGGCCTGGAAGCGTGGGAGTGCGCTCCGGCTTCGTCCCAGGCCGAAGCCGAAGGACGCCCACGCCGCCCACAGAAGCACGATGCCGCCCAGCGCGGCGTACATGATCCCGGCGTAGAGAATGCCGCGGTCATGAGACGCGTATACCAGATCAAGGTATGCGCAAGACCCCGGGTCGTTCGTGCACGGCTTCACGCGCTCGACGTAGCCCCAGTGCGGCTCGAGGCTCTCGGCCGTGTCGTAGTCTTGTATGTGTCGTGGGATCATGCTGATGTCAGCCGATGATGAAGGTAGATCACACCTTGTACACTACCCGACGATGCAATGGATCAAGAGATGGACAACACTAAACCCCAGCCGCATCAATGCATACATGTAGCGTACAGCTGAGCTGTCCGTTGTCAGCAGCATCCGGGACAACTCCTGATGACGGTTGAACGTCGCAAGGCGCAGCATGTGCCACACCCTGCCGAGCCCTGCAGAATCCATGCATACGGCCAATAAATTTACGGCTGTTCCAGATGCCTCACCGACTTGAGGCATGATCGAGCAGGCACAGCCAGTCAGCGTCCTCCATTTCTGTATGCCTCACCTTGTTGCGGCCAAAAGAGTGGCGCGGCGTGGTTGGCCACCGCCATTCTGAAGCACTTGTTCAGGGTCTGGATATTCTCGGTGATTACCGAACGACGGAAGATCGCCAGTTCCGAGTCCACGAGTCCAGATCAGCCTGAGACGACGTGAGCGCCACGGTTGTCCAGCTTGACTGGGAGGTTGCGAGATTGTCGTGGACAGCCGACACTTCCAAATGTACATTCCTCCACGACAAGCCATCCGGATCACGACGCTATGAACCACGGCAGCAGCGGCGCAGCGAGCAACGCGACCTCGTGCGAGGTGTCGGTGAGCAACCTGTCCGCGCTCATGCTGACATCAGATGCTCTGGAACTGGAACACTGTCGACACCTGCGTCCTCGCAAGCGGATGGCACATCACAGGCCGTGGCCTCTTCGCTGTGACGTGCATCGGCGTGGCCGCCATGGCGATGCTGCGCGAGTGCGTGCTTCACCTCTGCGTGCGCTACGACCATCTCGTCAAGCGGCAGCTGTCGCGGCGGTACGCCGCAGGCCGCGTTGCGCCGTGGGCGCCGGCGCGCGCCACGCCGCTGCAGCAGCTCCTCCGCGCCGTCCTGCATGTGGGAAGCACGGCGCTCGGCTTCCTCCTCATGCTCATCCTCATGAGCTTCAATGGGTACATTTTCGTGAGCGTGCTCCTCGGGCATGGGATGGGCAAGTACTTCTGCGACTGGGTCACGATCCACAAGTGAGTGACTGGGCGCAATGTCGCTGATGCCAGGGATCCGCGATGGGAGCTGCCGCCACCGGCGACGAGCGAGGCGCGGGCTGAGCAGTGGAAGGAAAAACCTTCTGAGTGCTCTACGGCATCCACACCAACAGAGCAGAAGCAGGCGTGTGTATAGGTCATGTATTTTGTTGTCTGCGCGCAGCTGCGAAAGTGATTGCCCAAGGGGGACCCGGGGCAGCAAAACGCCAAGTTTCCTGCAGATGATCATGACAAAAGTCTCCGCAGCACACCGTCGTCCCATGATTTCCTGGGAGCAGCCAACAGGGACGAGGAGGGGGAGGTTGCGGAGGTGGTCATCCTGTACGAACAGTATGACACGGGTAGGGCCCGTCCGCGAGCCCCCGGCGGGTCAACACGGTAGGTCAGCAACGATGCACTTGTAGTGTTTCCTGCTCTAAAGGTCAGACACTCGCGGGCCGAATCGAACAGGTACTTCGTTGACGGCTGAGCTGAGTCATATGAGCACAGACTGTGGCGGGCATGCCACATCGGCGCGCGCCATGGCGATCGGTGCTCATCCTGCGGTGCCACATGCGCATCGCGTGAACTGGCTGCCCCGGCTCTCCCGTTCAATACCCTTGCCATGCTATGCATTATGGTGATACAGTTTGTGTGTATGTGAGACTGTTATACTTGGTACACGTAGACGAATGTGTGGATTTTTCGGGCCCCCTCTAGTCTCTGCTAGACCAGGTCTTCAGGTGCAGGAGACGGCGCTTCGGGCGTACCCCGCCACTTGTGATAATGGTGGGAGGTCACCTCAAGCATGCGCGGCCCGATAGACAGGACGGACGCAAGCAGGAATGTTGCGGCACAAAAGATGGCGGCGTACGTAAACTTGCTATTGTTGGCGGCGATGAGTGCGCCGCAGATGGGCGGGCCGGCGATCATAGTCGGGCCGCAGACGCTCCATGCGATGCCGATGCGCATGCCGACCTCCTCAACCGGGGAGATGGTGGCTATGACAGCAGACACGAGGGTGAGCCACGCGCCGGAGATCCAGCCGTAGAGGATGTATCCGACGATAAGGGCGCCTTCTGGGATGGGGCACGGGACGTAGAAAGCGAGCAGGACGATGACGGTCGCGAACGACGTCGTGCCAAACACGTTCCACACGCCCCACTTGTCCGCCATCATGCCGCTGAGCGTGCGGCCGAGGAACGAGCCAGCGCTCATGATCGCGATCGCGTAGTCGTACACGGGCGTGCTGACGCGATTTGCGGTCGCGATAATCGGCGCGTTGAAGAGCGGGCTCATCCAGTTGAACATGTAGAGCGCGCATCCTATGGCGAAAAACGTGAAGCGCGCGTCGGTCCAGGGGTGAGCGAGGCGGCGCCACGGCACAGGCCGCCGCTTCGGCAGGCGGCTCTTGACGAGCACCCACGCCGGCGCCATCAGCACGGCGCTCAGGCCGGCGATAATGAGCAGCGAGTCGCGGAAGTTCAGGAGCTGCAGGAGGTGCTTGAGCATGATGGGGAAGATGATGGAGCCGAGCCCACTGCCGCCGACAATGACGCCGATGGCGGCGCCGCGCTTGGTCGAGAACCAGTGCCCGCCGATAGCGGTGACGGTCGGCCAGATGATACCGCTCGCAAAGCCGAAAAGGAAGTGCGCGAGGAAGAACTGGTAGAAGTGAGAGCAGAAGGCCATGGCGACGACTGCAGCGACAGCTAACGTAGTGCCCACGCGCACGAGAGGCCGTGCACCGTACGCGTCGAAGACGCGACCCCAGATCACGGATGGGAAGAAGACGAGACAGCTCTGCACGCTCCCGATCCACGCCACCGTCGACTTGGAGTATCCCGCCAGCTGGTTCGCGAGGTAGAACTCTTGCAGCTGCCCGAAGGAACAGACTGGCGCGCGTCAGCAGGCGCGGTGTGGGGCCGAGGCGGAGTGGGAGGAAGGGTACTCACCAAAGCCCATGAGGCAGAACGTAACCCAGCCGCCCGATATAGCGCAGAGCCATGCCTCGCGGCCGCCATTTGGCGGCGGGCCGACGTCGGAGCTCGGTGTGACGGGCTCGGGGTCAGTGAATGCAAGCGTCTTGGCGTCCGCGAGCGAGAGCGTGGGCTGCGTGCTGTCGTCGTCGTCGTGCTTCTCTGGATATGGGTCGGGCATGTGCAGTGTCGCGGACGAGTCTTTCAGCATCGCGAAGATGCTGGTGGGGAGAGAGGAGCATGCCCGAGTCAGGCCAGCTAGTTAAACATCTGGTCATGCGCGGGATACTGGCATGGTACCTAGTGGGCGGGCGGAGAGGGGCGATTGCCGGAGAAGAGCGATGCCGAGTTGCCGACTGAATGTCAGGCGCATCAGGAGTCTGGTCAGTCCAGTTGCCCGCATCCGGAGCTAGCCTGCTAGCGTGGCGGGATGGCGGTTGCTGGTGCGCGTCTCCGCTATCAGGGAGAGTTTAGAGCGTTCACGGTAACGCAGAAGAGCAGAGGGAGAGTGAGGAATGAGACGAGACAGAGTGGGGCTTCCAGGCGGAAAGGCGGGGCAGTTTGTCAGCCTTGCCCGAGTAGCCGTCCTGGAAGCCGGTCAAGATGCCATGTTCTGCGATCCAGACGGAGCTTGGACAATATGTCGAGTCGCTCAGATGACTCCGAGCGCTGTATAATTCGCCAGAATGCGTGCACAGATTAGCGAAGTGCTCGCGTTGTCACTGCATGCCAAGGTGTTGGCCGCATAGCCATAGCCGCATGGGCCCCGGCGGGCCACCGGAACTTCCCAGGTTCCTCTTGTGGAGCGGAAATTCCGGTCTGACATCAGCGACTCGGCGATCGGGGAGTAGAACGAGTCACCTGCGCCTCAACGCGCGCCAACGCGTCCAACAGAGAGGGCCGGCTCGATACGTGACAGTTGACAGAGGTCATGTCCGCACTGTGCCCGGTGTCCGAGCACGTGCAGCGTGATCTTGCCGGCAGGCTACAGGCGGCGAGGAGGCTTCAGCCCATTCCTCCGCCTCACCCCTCAGTCAATGTGCATGCATGTGCGCCTGATCCACCTTGCCTCCAGAATCATGATCGTCCTTGACCCGGAAACACATACACTCCTCTCCCACCCTCGTGCGTTGCCTAGACGCGGTGTCTGCGGACAAGCAGTGGCATTTGACCTCCGGGCTCGCCCTTCACCTGCGGCTGTGTCGCGAGGCTGGAAAAATGCTGGATGTGCGGCCTGGAGGGGAGGAGTTCAAACTCGAACGCACGCAGGAGCGCATGCAGTACGACCTTGATCTCGATAATCGCCAGCCGGTAGCCGATACACGCGTGCGGCCCTGAGATGAACGACGACACGCTGCCGTCAGCTTCGCCTTCCATGTACTCACTTTCCCCACACCCCCGGCACCTGCATCCGTGGTAGAGCCGGGTCAGCGTGCCGCGCAGGGTTGAACTCCTCGGCGTCGTCGCCCCAGATCTCCTTCAGCCGGTTGAGGCACACCATCGAGATGAAGAAGTACGAGCCCTTGCTGACAGGGAGGGCGTCGATTGTGCGGCCGTCGCGCAGGGGAATGGGCTTGGCGAGGGGGAGCACCATGTCTTTCGTCGTTGCGCGGCACGTGCAGCTAGCGGGCGGGTGCAGACGGAGGGTCTCGCGGATTACGGCGTCGAGGAGGGGGAACGCGTTGAGCGCCTCAAAGGAGGGGCGGGCGTGGCCCGCGAGCACCTCGGCGCGCAGCTTCTCCTGCCACTCGGAGAGTTTGGCGAGCTCGAAGAGGATAAAGCTGATTGTCGCGGCGGTCGTTGTGCTCCCCGCGAAAAGCTGGATTAGCTGTAACCGCGGGAGGGCTCACTAGAGACGCCATCTGAGCGCGCACTTCGTCGTGCGACATCGCCGCGTCTGATTTGGTGGCGCTCGCGCTCTTGACGAGAAGGGAGAGGAGGTCCTTGGCACCGGGGTCGTATCCGACCTCCTTGCGCCGCGCGAAAAGTGTCTTCATCAGCGCCGCCTACAGCCCACTTACATCCGAGAGCCGCTCCATCTGCCCGCGCACTTCGCCGATCACGCGCCGGCTCTGTGTCGGCTGGAGTCAGCTTAACCCACACTCAGTGAGCGCACGATCTTGTCCAGCACAGGCATGATATTCTGCGCCTCGGTGAGGAGCACCATGCCGTTCGCGGCGTCGACGAGACGGTTAAACCTATTCGCTAGAAGCGCGGGGCTGTCGTCCTCCGGCGAGAGCGAGTTGAAGTCGTGCTCGAACCCCGCGATGCCGATGATGTCCGTGGTGAGGTTGCCGGCGAACTTGAACACGTCAATCTTGCGTGCGCCCGGCACGCGGTCCTCTGGGGCGGGCGCGCGCGCCGCATAGCTCTCGAGCGCCTCCTCGTCAATCAGGCGCTCGAAGAGCGCAACCATCTCCCCCGCCTTCTCCAGCATGGCGGGCATCATCTCCTTGATAGCCCCGGCGCTAAACGCGGGATTTAGCGCGCGGCGCATGCGCCGATGCTTCTCGCCCTCGTTGACCACGAGGCTGTCCGCGCCCATAATGTGTCCCAGGATAGTGCGCAGATCGCGCGGGCGCTCAAACTCGTCGGGGTGGGCGAAAATGTACCCCACGGCAGCCGGGTCGAACGTGTAGATCCGCTTCTGCGCGAACAGGCTTTCGTACACCCCCGTCCAGCCCCACTGGAACCAGTCGGGGTGGATGAGCGTCTCGCGGTGGTCGGCGAGCTGCGCCATGTTGCCGAGCAGCCAGCCGAAGCGCGGGCGGGCGGGGCCGGGGAGCGCGCGGACTTCGGGCGTGTTGCGCGGCGAGTGGGGCGGTTTGAGCAGTCGTGAGATCAGCCATAAGGCGAGCGTGAGGGCTAGCGGCGCCCACCAGCTCGCGAGGGGGATTGAGGCCCACCCGCCTGAGAAGGGGAGGAGGGGGACACGGAGCGTCGTGTTGGCCATGGTGAGTGTGGAGTGGAAACAGTGCTCGTGGATCCGAGATTGTAATGAGCTCTGCGCTGGGCAGCGGGTGGAGGTCCAGCGATCGAGCGAAGACGTCAGTGTGGCACGAGATTCGTCAGGCACCCCGTTTCGGCGGCGGCGACTGATTTATCTGATACGCCGTTGGCTCGGAGCCGGCGGTGTCGTTATCGCCTCCGCTATCTGTTCGGGGGGTTTCACGGCAACATGTCATATTACATAGACTCTGGTGGTATCTCGCGCAGCCTCGTGCATTTCCAGAGCATTAGTCGTCGTCTCTATGAATCGAACTCAACTAGTGCACCTGGTGCTTTCACACAAGGGCAGCTGGCTCAAATCACTGCGGTGGCGGCAACTTCACCTCCCCCCTCGCGAGCCGCGAGCCGCTTCAAGTCGGCATTCTCTACCGCCCCCTCGGCGTTCCGCAGCTCCCACCCCTCGCCAAGCGCGAGGCGGAGACAGGCCTCCGCAAGCTCGGAAGCATGTATCGTCACGCTAGGCCACACATACGACAGCGCGTCGAGTATGACGCGGTTGTACCAGATAAGCTCGGGGCGGCGCTGGCGTAAGCGTCTCTCCTTCCCAGCCTTCACCGCCACCTGTCCCATGCACTCACCTTCTGGGTCGGAAGTATCCCGCCGGGCCGCACAAACACGGCCTCGATGCCCAACGCACGCAGCCCCGCCTCCGTCTCCCCCTTGACGCGGACGTACGCGTTCGCAGCCCACCCCGGGTCCTGGCTCACGCCCATGCTCGTGATATACACGAATCGGGAGCGGCCAAGCGCCCGGGCACCCTCGAGCGTCCAATCGCGCGTGATGCTGGAGTCAGACTCTTTCCCTCCCTCCCTCCCTCCCTTCGCCCTCTCCCACTTACGCACCGCGCATATTCCTCCATGTCCACTTGCGTCCGCATCGCGCCCAGCGCCCACACGACGGCATCGCAATCCGCGACGCGCGCAACGAGCGCGGGCGAGAGCGCGTCAAAGCTCCCCCACTCGGCGGAGGGGAGGGTGAGTGCCGTCAGCTTGGCGTGGGGCGGCGGCGCGCGGCGCCCGAGGATCGTGACGTGGGCGATGCGGGGGGAGGCGAGAGCGGCGGCGAGGATCGCCGAGCCCGCTGGTGTCAGTGGTGGGGGGGTAGGAGGAGGCGTACCTGTCCCGGTTGCGCCTGTCAAGAGGAGGTTCATGGATGCAGTGGATGCACGAGGTGGAGGTTTGGGTGGCAATCATGACGCAGCGTTGGAGAGTGGCGGTGGAGGTCATCCCTGGGTGGGCACATATTTGCCTGAAACCATATTCATCGGCCCGCGTGTGTGGTCTAGTTGGAGAGCAGTGTTGTTCAAGCCATTTCGGCGTCCATTGCGCTTCAATGAAGACCGCGGTTCGATACGGATGTTGGAACGACGAAAAGGGTTGCAACCCACCTATTCATCTTGAGTATGGTTGTCGGTAAGACATTAAAGGTGAAAACCGCATATCGCAGAAAAAAACGCCCGCCTTTGACACACAAACCGTGGCCAAGTTACGAGGACCTCAAGAGAATGAGGAGATTTGTTAGGATGCATGTTATATATTAGTCGCGCCGGCATGACTGACAGTTGACTACAAGGCGAGCTCACACAGCGTGGAAGTCGTCGTTTTATGCATCTGTCGGCCCGATCTAATCTTTCGTGAGGTCGATAATCTCTGGCACGTTGGTCGGCGCCAGTCGCCGCCGCCCGGGAGTGAACATCACAAACTCAGGGTCGTCGTTCGGAGGCGTCATCTTTGCCTGGGCCTCAGTCGTGACCTCGCGCTTGAACTTTGCGTTGGGCCTCTTGCGGTCCTCCCGGGATTCAAGTGTGGCGGACCTCTCGCGCTTCGGCAGCCTTCTGCCCTCGGGCTGCGTTGGGGCCCGCTCGGGCTCTGCGGCAATAATGCCGAGGTTTTGCAGGCGCTCTTTGGAGCGGTACTGAGGTCAGCGGCTCCAGTAGCTCCTGCGAGCGACCCACATGGAAGGTAATCGTGAGGGTAGGTATGTTATAGTTGCGGTTGAAGTAGCACTGCTCCCTCGTCTTGGGACGTCCGCGATGCTCGCCTCTGCGGTCAGTATGATTAACTAGGGAACCCACGTAAAGAGCGAATCGAGGACCTGTCGTCAGTGATGCATGCGCGGGCGCGCCCACCTTTTTCGTTGCGGCGCTACTCTTAGCCTGCTGGGCACAACGGATGGCGGTGGGCGCTCCTATTACGCTGTAGCTTTTCCCCCCTTGGAACGTCATCGATATCGTGCCGAGGTGTTCCAGCAGTTCGCGCCGCGCGCTGGGGGCGGCCCGTTCTCAGATACATTCCGTGTGAATAACCACCGATGAATATCACTCACTGGAACGCCAAACTTGAGATACCTGCTCACGAGCTGACCTCCGTCATGATCATTGTAGCTGCCGATGCGTACGGACTCATGCCCCTTGCGCGAAACGAACCCCGTAATCCAGCGGCCGTCAATCGAGATATCGACGAGGACAGCCTTCATGGCGTGGGCTGGGCGACGAACGTGAATGGAGAAGCGCTTGCTGTCAGTTAGCCTCCGGTCGCGCTCACTTCGTCATTCTTGCACTCGACATGCCTGGACACGGGTCCTTCGGCAGTCACGTCCTCTTGAGGGTAAATGGCTGGGGTCAGATACTCGGGTGGGTGAAGCGGGGATCAAGGCGGCCGATGCCAGCGAGCTGCGAAGCAGTGACAAGATGTACGTACGCAGAGAAACATTGTTTGCATCGCGGAGCGAGACCAGTCGTCAGTTATGCCAGGCTCGCGCTCACCTCAAGGTCTGTCCATGGGCCTGAGGCAATCCTCATGGCGAGAAGCCGAGCGGGGCCGGGGCTGTGAGTGAACAGGGTGAGGAGGTGGGGCGTGTGAGGCTTGGCTTGAGACAGAGTACGGAGGTGGGTAGTGAGTCGAGATGTGCGAAGGAGGAGGGAGGGGAAGTGGTAGAGAGGAACAGAGAAGTCGATAAGAGGTGACTGGAGAGGAATGGGAACATGGGGATAAATTGGCGGATTGAGGCGCGTCTCGCGTTCGCGGCATCAACTTTGGGCGTCTGTGCGTTCGTGGACTTTAGTGCGGGACGGTGTACTGCATGTACTCGCGGTCTGTCCGCCCGACGGCTCGTGCACATTTGGGCTGGTTGATGCCGGGGGTTCTGCGGAGACGCACAACCTCACGCCGGAGGAGAATCAACGTCGATAGGCCATCCGAGGGAGTCTGCAGGCTATACATGTTACAATGGCACAGGGACGGAAGATGATGGTCTGCTACGCACGGCTTGCGCGGCGTAGGTGTGGTGAAACCTATAATACAGGTTAAGACGATAATCCCTTCGGTGGGGAGCATGGCAATGAACATTATATGTCACAACCAAGGCTCATGGTCGAGCATCGTGTCCGCCTAGCGTGTAAGGTCAACAGTCTCCGGCTCCAGGTCGTCGGGCTCCTTCGTGAGGTCAATGATCTCGGGTTCATCGTCCGCGGCGGGGTTCGCCGAGCTGGCAATAACCTCATCATCATCATCCTGAGGCTCGACCGAGCGGGTCACAGTCTCGGACGCCTCTTTTCTCGTGGCCGCTCCGATCTTGGGCTTCTTATCCTCCCTGATGGTCTCCTCGGATGAGGCCTTGCGCTTACGCGACGCGAGATTCAGAGGCTTCCGTTGCGTATCGGCTGGATCGGGAATTTCATGAGGGGCGGGAATGATTCCAATGTGCTGCAGGCGCTCCTTGGAGCGATACTATGATCAGCGCCCAAGTCAGGTTAGAGAACAAAGAGCTCACATGGAAAGTCACAGTGAGACCAGGGATGCTGTAGTCACGAATGAATGAACACGATGGACGCTGCATTGCGGCTCCGCGATGCTCGCCTCTACCATCAGCGAGCGAAGTGCGGGATGACTGACGTGACGAAGGTGTCTAGAACCTGACGTTACAACAAGGTCTCAGATGTACGCTCACCTTGTTGGCCTTGCGACTCATGCTTGACGGCTTGGCCGCAAAAGCTAGGTCTGTGGTTGCTTGAGGGAGCATTATACAAGTGCCTGCGCACAGCGTGATCACCACTGTACCAAGCTGTTCCAGAAGAACTGGGCTGACACGCGGGCCATCCTCGCAGGGCAGGCATTAGATATGTCAACCGCGTCAGGACTTACTGGAAGGCCAAACTTCAGATACTTGCTCACGACTTGATGGCCCTCGTCTTCATTGAAGGATCTCACTTCCGAAGAATGATGCGTCATGACAAACTCTTCAATCTGACGGCCATCGACAGAGATCCAGACGCTAGCTGAGTTCATGACGCCTGGCGGGCGAGAAAGCTTGATGGAGAAGCGCTGAAGTCAGCCTCCGACTCGGGGCGACCCCACCTCATCGTGTCTGCACTCTACGTGCCTGGAGACGTGACCATTAGACCTCACGGGCTCGGGTGGATAGGTGGCTGGGATGAGCAGCACGAGGTAAGTGATGAGAGGGAGCGGGGCTAACGAGGGCGCAACGTTGAGCGGGAAGTTTCAGTTGTCACGAGTGAAGGAGTGAGACAAGACATGGCCTCTGAAGATCTGAAGCATGTGAAGGGCATGAAAGAGGAGCACGAAGGGAGGCGCACGGAAGGGGAAGCAGAGAAGCGGATGATGCAACACGGCGGACGGGAAGCACGCACGGAGGGGAACCTTGTTCGCGTCGAGGAGCGAGATCATTGCATCAGCGATGCTCGCGGAGTGCTCACATCGACACCGGCCCAGGGACCTGTCTCGATCTTCATCGTTGAGTGTTGAGGATGAGCAGTGAGGGCTGGGTTGAGGTGGATGGTGCAATGGAGAGATCGAGTCAGAGACAGAGAGTGGATGTTGTTCAGAAGCTTGAGAGGGTGAGGAATGTGACTGCCAGGGACAGGTGCTGCACGCACGATCCTCCACTCTTTGAGCGTGTGACGCACTCAACGTCACCTTTTGCTTCTGTTCAAGTCACTGAAGGGCGCAAAGGCCTCCTGGAGGCCGTGAGTCTACGATCTACAAGTCTATTCACATTTACTGTCTATCCAAGATCTGCTACATTCGGGAGGAAAGTAGGACACACTCAGTCCTTCTTGAACTCGTTGCGGCCGCGCGCATCCGTCTTAGTCCAGATCGAGACACTCTGGGCGGGCGAGAAGAACTCAGCCCAGCCCTCCTCGTCAACCGTCACTTCGGCCTGGTGCCAGCCGAGGAGATCCGTCCACTTCTCGCCGGCGTGCTCCTTGCCGACCTCGACCCGCTTCGAGCCCTCATCCGTACCGTTGCAGATGACAGTGACACAACCATCGTGGTTCTCGTCGCCCTTGCGGAGCCAGGCGACGCAGTTAGCGTGGTCCCAGTAGTCGACAAGGTCGCCATACGCGAAGAGCTTGCGAGCGCGGATGAGGTCGTCAAGTTGCGCGACGCCCGGCTGCGGGTTCTCGCCTTCACAGCCGTACATGTCGCCAAAGAAGACGCAGGGGTAGCCATCAGGGCGAAGAAGGATAAGAGAGTACGCAAGAGGCTTGAACCAAGCGGGCACCCAGTTCTGGAGCGCTTGGCCGACTTGGGTGTCGTGCTGGGGTTAGCTACCACCAGAGATATATGCTGAGATCAAGTCTTACATTGTCAACGAGGGTTCTGGGGGTCAGTTCAGTCACGAAGAAACCGAGCGGCAGAGCACGACTCACACAGCGTCGATAGGGCGGGCCTGGACTAGAGTGCCATCGAAGATCTTGCGGAGGTCGTAGTTCTCCTTGGCATCACCGGCCTCCTTGAAGTTGCCTGAAGTTAGTTGATGACTTGAGCGAGGTGCTCACCTTGAAGAGGCGTGTCAAAGACGGAGAACTGGGTGCCAAGGCCGTCAAGGTACTCGCAAAGATCTGGGACCGAGTCTGGAGATAAGCAGATGGCACTATGCGCAAGTACTCACCCTTCCAGAACTCGCCGACGCAGAATGCCGACGGGTGGCCGCCGCCCTCTCTGCGGAGGTGCTTGACGAACTGGCCGATGAAATCGCGCTACCATCAGCCTCCGCGTGCGAGTTTAATGCTTACCGAAATGTGCTTGACGGCGTCAAAGCGGAATCCATACGCGCCCGTCTCCTTAAGCACCCACTCGCCCCAGTTACTGCAGTCAGTGGTCCGCCCGATGAATACCTCAGTGGGACTCACTTGAGGTCCTCGACAACTTCTGGGTGGTCGTGGTCGACTGCCTATGAGCTCACACCCCAGAAGTTCACTCACTGTCCGCGAACATCAAGTAGTCATATGAGCCATTCTCGTCGTCAACGTCGGTGGCCCAGCCCTTGCCGTCGCCCTGAATCTTGTAAATCGCCTTGGTCTTGGACTCGTCATCGTAGTCTACACCGGTAAAGTGGTTGAAGTTCCACTTGAGCTTAGAGTAGGTCTCGCCGCGACCAGGGAAGGTGAACTTGGTCCAGCCCTTGATGTTGTGCATGTCGCTGACCGTCTTGTTGCGGTTGTTACGATCAACCATGGTGGCCAAGAACTCCTCCGTCTCGTCTGCGCCGGCCTTGTGATTGAGCACAGCGTCGATGTAAGTAATGATGCCGGCTTCACGGGCCTTGTTGATAGCAGCGACAAACTCCTCCTTGCTGCCCCATTTGGTGCTCTTGGTCCCCTTCTGCTCAAACTCTCCGAGGTCCCAGAGGTCGTAGCTAGTCGTGAGCAAAGACCAGCTGATGCACTTACATGTCGTAGCCAGTGCCTTCGGGGTTGGAGGCCTTGGTGGGTGCTGCGAGTTAGGTTGGGCGTGTGGGGCGCTGCCCTAAAGAAGCTCACGAGGAAGCCAGCATGCGGTGATTCCGACGTCCTTGAGGTGCTCGACGTCGTCGTTGTAGCGCTTCCAGTGGACGCCACCCGATGGGCAGTACCACCTGATGTTAGCTCGGCGACGCTTGTTTTCCGACTGCTCCGCCCGCCTTCCTCGGGTACGTCGACGTACTCAAAGTACTGCATCATGGTGAAGTTGTCTGTTATTAGCGCTGAGCGTCGTGGGGCATGAAGGGCTCACCCTTGTGGGCGTCGCCCTTGTGGAGCTTGTCGGCTCCGCTGGCCATTTCGATAGATGTTGAGGTGGGTGGTGAGTAGAGGAAGAGTGAGTGGAAAGAACGAAAGAAGAGTTGGGGAAGAGAGATCTTTTTGCGTCGACGGCATGAATCAAGCGCTGGACGCGTCAAGCGTTAGTGCCTTCCCTTCGGCTGGCATGCTGCGCTGCGCAGATCCCGCCGTCGCAATCCGCATCCGCAGGTGTCAGTATCAGTCGATCAAGTCACGGCGCATGCCGCGCGTCCACCATCCACTGTGCAGAACCACTGTACACCGCCCGCCCGTTGCGTCATTGTCACCTTTAGTTGGCGCGACTTTCAGGCACTGGATAATGCGCGTCAGCGGCTTGACGCGGTAACGGCATCTTCAGGTTGCATCCAGGTGGAATCCAGGTTTCATCCCTTCAATACCATGCGCAACGCCTCAACTGCCCATTCAAATCGCACTGGGGTCATGTCTTTCCGCATGCTGCTCGACCTGAATGGTGGGAACTTGACACAATCTACTGTAACATGATTCGGTCACCAGCTCACCAGCAGCTCAGTCGCAAGAATGGGCGGGATGGGTCCTGACAGGCGGCCAGGCGGGATTCTGACGGTGAGCGAGGCCATCAGTTCGGGCCGCAAGCCGAGCGATGCACGTGCCGCACGTGGATGGCAAAGTGTGAGAACCGCTGCAGCGCTGCAGCGCCGTTTCTATCGGAGATCGGAGATGAGATGCTGCCGATGTCCTTTGTTTCCGGGGATGCCGCGGAGGTGGAGCGAGTGATGTCAACAGCGGCTACGGCGGAGATTACAACTGGATATCTATATCCATATCACCTTGTAAATCAGCAGTGCGCAGCCAGAACCAAACAAAGATTACGCTCCTGTTCCCTTTCCGCTGCCGAACCACTCCGCACACTCTCCTCGCAATCAATCTGCGCTCGTGCATCACTCTCACCTCTGACTGTGTGCACTCCGCCGGACATGACCGCGTGCAGAGGTTGATTCCGCTCCGAGGTTACCGACGCCGCCCGAATTCATGGCCAATGGGCGCCGGCGTGCCATGTGGTGGAGAAATCAACCGGGCGGCTCGGCTTTGTCGCATCTCCGCATCCATCATGTTCCACGTATCCACATCTCGCTGGATCGCTGGCTATAGCTTTACACATTCATTGATTCAGAGATGCGAACAGCAGTTTCTGTGCAAGCATGCATCGGTGACACAGTTCCCTCCACAGTACCATCCGCAGGATGCAGGACACCGCTATCATTAAAGTCAACCCACTTCCGAAAAATAGCGGTATTAATAATGTGCCGTCCCGTAATGTGCCCTGCCCCCCAAACCAAAAGAAAAGGGCTTATCGTTGCCGTTGCCGGGGCAGAGCGGTGCCTGAAACGCATCGACCACCCAGCAGAGTGACACGCTCCGTCCTGACCACGTCCTCCTCTTTATCCATCGTCTTGACTGTTGTCCATTCACGACACACTCTCCCTCCCCCTTCGCCCTCTCCATTTCTCTCTCATCAACTGAATAGAGATAATGGCCACGCTCGACAACCCGGGCGCGGGCAACGCCACCCCCGTGATACCAGAGGCCCACCTCCCAGGCAACTCTGGTATCACCACCACCACCACCTCGGCCGTTCCTCCGGCCGGTGCCCAATCGCCAACCGCCACTCTCCGCCAGCGCAAGCGCCCCGACGTTGACTACACTGCCGATGACGAGAGCGGCGAGGATGACCAAGGCAAGGAAAAGGTCGAGGTCACTTGGGGCAAGACTCCCAGCGGCGTAGGTGAGTACCGCCGCCAACCTTCATCGCACTGCAAACCGCCGCTCACACGACCAGTCTTCCGCGTTCCTCAGACTCACTCGTGGGTCACGACCATGCTCAACACGTTCCACCGCTCCTCTCTTACTCGCTGGACCGCCTTTTCGCTCTTTTCACAGCCGCTCCTTTTCTTCCTCCTCCGCAACTGGCCCACTACTCGCTCCGTCTTCTTCCTCATCTACTTTGCCTTTTGGCGCTCGGCCTACGACTTTGGCTTTGCCTGGCTTTTGCGCAAGCAGAGCGAGGAAAAGTACATCATCCGCACCCTTCGCCGCTGGGGTTGGCTCGATGTCAACTCTGAGTCTGGCGGCGAGGAGGGCCGTGAGTGGGCAAAGTGGTGGAAGCAGGAGCTTGAGATGAAGATGGGCGAGGGTTACTCGTGGGAGGCCCTCCCTGCCGAGTACAACTCGTGGCTCATCTTCCGCCAGCTCGTCGACATCGTCCTCCTCAACGACTTTGTCGCCTACTCTCTTTTTGCATGGGCCAACCTCACTTTCCCCGCCAACCAGGGCATCCTCACCCACATCGCCCGCTGGATCCTCGGCTGGACCCTCATCATCTTCAACCTCTGGGTCAAGATGGACGCGCATCGCGTCGTCAAGGACTATGCGTGGTACTGGGGCGACGCCTTCTGGCTCATGGTCATGCAGCACGACCTCGTTTTCGACGGTGTCTACGAGATCGCGCCCCACCCGATGTACTCTGTCGGCTACGCCGGCTACTACGGCCTGTCGATCGTTGTCGGCTCATACACAGTTCTCTTCGTATCGCTGGCCGCCCACGCCGCGCAGTTTGCATTCCTCCTGTGGTTCGAGAACCCACACATCGACCGCACTTACGGCGGCGCCAAGAAGCCTATCGCTGCTCGCATTCCATTCGATCTCAAGGCGCCCTCGTCGGTGACGAGCCATGACGCGGCCGACATTGCGACGCCTGGTATCACCGAGGGTGAGACTGAGACCGAAGCCGAGATTGTCGATCTCCCGGAGCAGCGCGAGCCGAATGTCAAGATTCGCCCGCCCTCGGCGACGATCAGCGAGTCCCTTCCTTCGGCCCGTGCAAAGCGCTCTCGTACCATGTCGACGAGCATGCACGACCTCACCCACCGCTTTTTCCGCAAGCCGGTTGTCATTCTCTCGCGCATTGACCCCTTCCGGTGAGTGACTCCGCACTGCAGAACGTGCGGCAGACGCTAACCCTTAGTGCGACGGACTTTGCGCTCGTTCTTTTGATTGCCTATGCTGTGTTCTCGCTCGTTCCCGCTCTCCCCAAGTCGGTCGGCCTCGCCGCTCATTTCCTGCACGCATTCGCATGGCGCTTCTTCCACTCGTACGGTCTCGGCCTCGTCCTTCGCGCCCAGTCCAAGACCAAGTGGCTCGTCCGCCACTACCTTAAGAACTACCCTTACCCCAACGAAAACGACATCCTTGAGGACGACACGGACGGCTCAGACGCGGACCAGAATGTTGTGCGCCGCGCCACCGAGGAGGCCTTCCAGAACTGGCAGGTGGCCTATAACATTTCGCTTGTCATGACATATGGTGGGCTTGCGCAAAGGGAACTAATGCTGACGACAGTTTCGTTCATCGGCCTCGCGTGGAAGACTTACCACCTTCCCTCGGACTGGACCGTTTCCGGCACCATGCTCCGCCACGTCCTCGGCGGTGCCCTCATCGCTCTCCACCTCTGGTCAGCCGTCTCCACTGTCGAGGCCTTGGGCGAGTTTGGATGGTTCTACTCGGACTTTTTCCTTATCGAGCAGGTCCCGGCTCGCCTCGCCTATCACGGCATCTACCGCTTCCTCAACAACCCCGAGCGCACGCTGGGCGGCGCTGCCTTCCTTGGCCTCGCCCTCATCTCCAACTCGCAGCTCGTCTTTTTCCTTGCCATTTTCTCGCACCTGTCGCACTGGTGGTTCCTCAGCTTCGTTGAGCAGTGAGTCTGGGAAAGACGGTGGTTTGCTCACGCCAGGCCGCACATGAAGAAGCTCTACGGTGACCGCCTCCGCAAGGACGGCGGCCTAACCAAGACGGTCAAGTCGATGGCCGAAAAGCGTCTCGCGAATAAGACCGCCATTCCGGAGCTCAAACGCTACGTTGACGAGGTTCGCGACTCGATCGAAAAGGTCGAGGCAAAGATCACCACGGTGGTTGAGGAATTGATCGAGCAAGGTGCGCTTTGGCATGTGATATTGCTGACCCCAGCCCGTCCCCGCTGGTCTGAGTTTGCCCACGACACCAAGAACTTTGTCATGCAGGCGCGTCAGAAGACGCACTTTACGCGTATCGCCTCCGACATTTCCGCGTACGACAGATCGCAGTACTCGATCAACATTGCCTCGTCGTCGTCGGCTTCGACCGTGCCCCGGTTCCATGTCGGCCAGCCGATCCGCGTGTCGTGGACGGCGCCTTCCAACCACTCGCGCAAGGACTGGATCGGCATCTACCGCCTCGGCTCGTGCAAGAGCGAGCTTGTCACGCGCATCTCGAGCATGGGCAAGTGGGTGCCCATCTTTGAGGAGGAGTACGAGGGCGACGAGCAGTGCACGCCCTCGCAGCCGGTGTCGCAGGGCGACGCCGGCATTGTCACTTTTAAGGGCAAGCGCCTTCCGTGGGCGCCTGGGCAGTACGAGCTGCGCTACCACCATGACGGCAAGCACAACGTCATGAGCACGATCGCGCCGATCGAGATTTACGTCTCGAAGCCGAGTGACTTGCACAACTACCGCGCGGTGCATGACGCCGTGCTCAACCTCGTTGTCCTCGCTCTTGAGGCCAACGTCTCCCTCGTGCCTCGCTCGGCACGCCAACGCGCCGAGACGATGACGAGATCGCCTGTTGTCGGCAGACGCCCTCTCGGCCTCGGCCTCAGCTCGCCCCCGGCAGCCCTCGCCCCGCTCTCTCCCAAGGCAGCCGGCAAGGCTCCGGCTGTGTCACAAGCCTCGACCGCGACTGCGATCGGGTCGGCGCCGAACGCCTTCTCTGCCTCGCGCACCCCCCAACCGGCGGAAGCCGCCAGCCACGATGGCCAACAATCGCCGACCACCGAGCTGGCAATGGAATTGAGTGCCGAGTTAGAAGACCAGCCAGCACCCGACGATCCGCTCGACGAAAAGCTACAAGACGCCGACGACTTTGTCATCATGGACGAGGTGCAAGCGAAGCGCATCTCGGGACTGCTCAAACAGGCCTTTGGCGTGGATCTCAGTACCGACGTGGTAATCGCTGACGCAAATGTCGCGGCGTTGGCGAAACGAGTCATGGGATCCCGACATCTCGTGGACGGCATGCAGCCGTTAGTAGATGCCGAGTAGTCTGACTATCTCAACCATCTCAGCCCTAGCGGCAGACATTTCCTTGCTTTGTAGCGCGCAGCCAGCGTCCTACGATGTCATACATGTGATCTTGAAGGATAGAGGGGGCTTTCTGGGGTGATGGACTGGATGCGCTGCTTGAGGAGCATATGTGGCCATTGATTGCATACAAGACCGAGCCATGCCTTATTGAGAGAACAAACGCATACCCAAAGACTGCGAGCGACGACTACTATCTAACCAAACACCCATACGGATTACCTAACCCTACAGCCCATCCACACCTCCACATCCTTCACAACCCCCCGAGCCGTCTAGACACACAACGGCAGCGACCACCCGGCGCCACTTGGACTTCTCCCCGACCTGCTCCTCTTCGCCGTCCTCGGTCTGCTCATAAAACACCATCTGGTTGTAGGGCACAAGCTTGCTCTTGGAGTAGATCTTGTGCGCGCAGTACACCACAGGATAGAGAATGATGGGGAGGTAGGTCGTGCAGAACACGGGTGCACTCCAGTTTCCCTTGAGGAACACGGACCATCCCGAGAAAAAGAGGACGATGGTAATGAGCACGGCGGCATACCACGCCGCCGCTGCGCGGTGGTTGAGCTTGCTAGCGTACGGCAACGCGGCGCGGTCGACGCCCTGCGCGCGCAGACCCCGCTCGAAACGGATGTACGTCACGCACGTGCTCCACCACATGAGCAGGCCGCCCGCTGCGCCCAACGAGGCGAGGTATCCGAACGCGACGCCGGCCGACGAGCCGAGGGACATGAACGCGAGCGACGCGAACAGCGCGCACGTGACGATCGCGACGTACGGCACGCCGTTGTTCGCGGTGCGCGCGAAGAAGCGGGGCGCGTGCCCGCGCAACGCGAGGCCATGCAGTGCGCGCGACGACGTAAACAGCTCCGAGTTGGCCGCGCTCCACCCGCTCGCGATGAGGCCGGCGTTCACGACCGTCGGGAGGACCTTGATCCCCGCCGTCGAGATGGCGATCACGAACGGGCTCGCGAGCGCGCTGCCGGCGTTCAGGGCGAGCCGCGGGTCGTTCGACGGCACGGTGATGCCGATCGCGAAGACGCCGCCGATGTAGAACAGCAGGATGCGGATGTACACGTTTTTGATGGCGCGCGGCACGTTTACGCGCGGGTTGCGCGTTTCGCCGGCTGCAATCGCGACGATTTCGCTGCCGATATACGCAAAGGCCGCGCGCGTGAGCGTCGCCCAGAAACCGAGGAAGCGGCCAAGCGTGCCCCCCAACCCGGCGTATTGGACGAACGGGCCCGGATCCCGCCAGTACTTGAACCCGATGGGCTGGCCGTCCGGGCCGCCGCCGGCGCTGATCACGATCGAGGTGATCAGGAGCCCGACGACGAGGAAGATCTTGAGGTAGGACTGGGGTGAGCGAGAGCCCAGCGGAGGGGGTGCCGGTGACGCATGCCCAAGGAGAAAGAAGAAGGAATGGAAGCTCAGCTCAGACCTCACTCACAAGCCAGAACTCGAGCTCGCCGAACCACGCGGTGCCGAGCATGTTGACGGTGACCGCGGCGATGAGGAAGAGCGAGATCCACGCCGCGTTGGAAATCGTGTCGTTCCAAAGGTTGATGAGGACCGAGAGCGCGGCGAGCTCGGACGGCAGGAAGATGGTCCATGTGTACCAGTAGAAATAGCCGACGGTGAACGAGAGCGATGAGTCCACGTATCTGGCCGCGAGCGTGATCGCGCCGCCCGGGAGGGGCATGGCGGAGACCATCTCGCCGAGGGAGATCTGGGGTCAGTAGCTGGCACGCACAGCTGAACATGTCTCGCCACGTACCATCACGGCATAACACATCGTCCCCATCAAGCTGTATGCGAGCAAGATACTGCCGTCAGCCTCGTCGCATCGTGATGCTCACCCTAGTGGCCCACCCTCGGCAAGCGCAGACCCGGTGTACAAGAACAAGCCGGTGCCCAGCACGCCGCCGATGGAGATCATGGTGATGTGCCGCCCCTTGAGGCCGCGGTTGAGCTCAATGTCCGCGTCCGCCGCGGGCGGCGGCAGGTGCTTGTCGCTCTCAGAGCCGTGCTCGTACACTGGGGCTCCGTCCATGATGGGATGAGGGGATGGGGATGGGGATGGGGTGCTCGTGTGGCTTGTTCTTAACGCATGTTGTTGATGAGCTTGGACGAAAGAATATGCGCGCGGCTAGTTAAGCGCGGATGTGTTATCGCGGAGCGTCGGGTGAGGATCTGCCGGGCGTGTGGAGTGAGTGCGTGTGAAGTTGAGATGGAGAGGGGACGGGGATGTGGTTGGTTATCTATGCGCTGAGCAGTGAGAAGTGAGAAGTGAGTGGATGAGTGACATGGACGATGGATCTGGAGAGTGAAACAATGAGCGCGCGCGAAATTATTGTGGTGGCGTCGATCGATTTTCGGCGGACGTTTTGCCACCCTGGCCATTCCGCCACTCGGCCAAAGCACCCAGCAAGCAACAGCCAGCAGCCGCCAAGAGCTAGTGAGCCGCCAAAGTCGGCCGAGTACGACGCCGCAGTCTCGTTAACAAGCTGACATCCTCCGTTGGCTGTCATCAAGAACTGGGAGGGGTAGGCCCGTCGTATCCGCGATATCTATGCGCTTCTGCTCTCGAGTCGACGGATACGCGCTTGTCGCGGGTAAGTTATCGTCGGAGCAGCCGGGAGCGGGTGGGAGGAGCGTGAGGATATATATATATATACCGACATCCGAGCAGCTGAGCAAGAAGGCTGAGAGCGAATGAGCAAGTGAGAGATGTCTTGCGAGGTGCGAGTTGCGACGACGACGAGAGTGTTCAGCGACGCAAAGAAAGCATGAAGCCCTCCCGCCTCCCGCTAGTCCTCGCTCCCTCCCCTCCCTCCTCTTGCTCGGAGCGCTTTCCGTGCTGTGCGGGACGGGAGCACTGCATTGCATAAGAGCAGCCCGCCTCGCCGACCTACCTGTTAAAGTCTTGCTTGGCGTATCATCGCGCGAGGCATCGGGGGAGTCGCAATGACCGCTCCGAGCCCTGAATCTAATACCTGAACAGGACGCGACGCGTGAAACGTGCGTGTGTGGGGGATGTGGGGGGAGAGGGAAGGTGCGACGAGCGTGGCGGTTGAGTCAGATCGACGCTGCTCCTTCCCGCATCTCAGATCCACTCATAATGTGCTCTCACTCTCTCTCCATCGCTCAATCTCCTCATTCCCATCACAAGGAGCGACGACAACGATAACGGCAACGACAGCGATGACGACCGACCCCGCTGCTGCTGCCGCAACCCCCACCTCCACCTCTGACACTCCCAAGCTCCTCCTCCCCGGTATCGACCTTCCCCTCGACACGTACGCCAAACTCGATGTCCTCGAGACGACCAAGGAGGATGGCAAGACCCGCGTCAAGGTCCGCCGCTTCCCCTCCGCTGTCCTCGAGGACGAGTGGAAGTCAAACACACCGACCATGCGCGAACGCGCCATGATGCGTGTCATCGACTTGCTCACCGACAAGCCCAACTGGGAGGAAAAGGTGGCCGACGAGACAATCGTCGCCAAGTGGCGCGCTGAGGCCCTCGCCCTGCCTCTCAAGCAGGGCTTTTCAGACGCCATGTTCGACTTCGTTGTCGCCGAGCTGCGCGACAAGGCCGCCCTGTTCAAGAAGAACGGCGGTGTTGTGAGCGTGTACGACGGCGCGGCTGCCGTCTTTAAGACGGACACCGCACTTACCCCTGAACTGGTGCAGCGCCTCGGCGCCGCCATCAAACCGCTCGAAGACGTGCCGGAGGATGAGAAGGACTGGCACCCCGGCAGCGACGAGCAGGTGCTCGACCTCGTCCACCCCTCCCTCTTCCCGCTCGTGTACGGCAAGACGCGGATCGTACGCCGCGAAATCGCGCTCGCCGACGCCCTCGCGTCCTGGGGCAGCGGCGAAACGATCGCCAAGACGGAGGGTGTCAAGAAGAAACAGAACAGCTGGTACTACACGCTCGACCCTGAGCGCCTGCTGTCGCGCAACTACCAGTGGCTGCCGGCGGACGTGGCGCTCGTCGACGGCAAAGCCAAGTTCACAAGCTACATCAACAACCTGCATCCCGAGGAGCACGCCGAGCTGTACGGCGTGCTCGAGGAGCTCGTGGAACGCGCCGTGCCGCTGTGGTTTGCCGCGTACGACCGCGTCATGACCTGGATGGGGGCGGAGGACGGTGTGGGCTGGGAAGATCGCGAGAACACTGTCAACCGCATCTGGTGCATGGACTCGAACCGGCAGTGCACTACGCCTGAGGTGTGCAAAGGCTACTGCGATGCGTGGAACAACCCGGACAACCCGGACAACCAGGGGACTGATGAGAGCGATAATGAGGGGGAAGGAGATGGCGAGGATGGTGCTGAGGACGAAGAGGAGGACGACGCGGACGGCAGCGACAACGGCGCCGAGATTGGAAGTGGCAGCGACGGCCTCGAGGACTTGAACATGCCTGCGGGCATGAGCACGGACAGCGATGACGACGACGACCATGACGACGTCGATAGCGAGGACAGCGACATGGCGGAGATCTTGGGTGTGACCGAGACGGACGACACGGACGCCGACGCCACCACCCACGACAAGGAGGATGAGAAGGAAGAGGAGGACCGCGCGCCGCCGGCCGACGGCGACATCCCCCTCCCCAGCGGCTACGACAGCGAGGACGAAGCGAACCAAGTCTGGTTCGAAGCGACGCACAAGGTGCTGCAGCCCGAGCCCGGGGCATACAAGTTCGTCGGCTACCCCTTCACCAAGACGCCGTGGACGTCGAAAAAGCTCCAAGTTATCGTCAAGCTCGCGAGCATCCACCTCACGCCCGACAAGCCCGCGTACCCCGGCGGCAGCTGGCACATTGAAGGGCAGCTGAACGAGCGCATCGTCGCGACCGCGCTGTACTACATCGACAACGCGAACGTGACGGACTCGCACCTGTCTTTCCGCACCGCATGCAACGCCGAGGCGCTGTGCGAGAACTTTGGGTACGCGCAGAGCGACCACGCGCCGTTCGCGGCCATCTTCGGCGCCAACCCCGGCCTCGACGAGCACTCGACCGTGCTCGAGCTCGGGCAGGTACACACGCGCGCGGGCCGCCTCCTCGTCTTCCCGAACGTTATGCAGCACCGCGTCGGCCCGTTCGAGCTCGCGGACCGCACGCGCGCGGGACACCGCAAGATCGTCGCCCTCTTCCTCGTCGACCCCGAGACGCCTGTTATCAGCACCGCTCACGTGCCCCCGCAGCAGATGCACTGGGGCTCGAGCGGTGTGCAGGACCGCCTGCCGCCCGAAGTCGCCGAGATGGTGTACGCCCACGTCGAGTGCCCGTACCGTCTTGACGAGGCGAAGCGGATCCGCGAGAAGCTCATTGACGAGCGGCGGGCTATCGACAAGGACGCCAACAAGGCCGTCAACCACGGCGACTTTAGTTTCTGCGAGCACTAGGGGGTGGGGATACGACAGGCTATGACTAGGATTTGTGATGTAACTGGGTTTCTTGTTGCAGCCTGCATGCCTGTAGCGACGCTCACTTTGCAAGCACACACATCTCACACCTCTCCCTGCCTCGCCGCATACTCGCTCGCGTACACATTACATTATACACACAGTACTATTCTATCTGTGCACCCTCACAACTGCGCCTCCATCTCCTCGTACAGCTTCTCCGCGAGCGCGAGCGTTGCCTGCCGTCTCGCCCGTGGGTCCGCGAGATGGAGCGGCGCCGACTCCCCGAAACTGCCCCGCCGCACGCCGGCGGCCCAGCGCGGCCGCGCGCCCCGCAAGCTGGCGCGCATCGCGGGGCTCGTCGCGCCCGCGCTTGCGCTGAACGACGCGCGCGTGCTGCTCGTCCCCGAGAAATGCGACGACTGCGACCCGCGCCGCGTCCCCATACCCAAGCTCAGGCCGACGGACGGCCCCATGACGGCGGCCACGCCCTGGCCGAGGCCCGCGAGCGCTTGGTTGAGCACGGCGGCGGGCGGCGGCGCCGGGAGAGAGGTGCGTGGCGAGTCGCGCGACTTCTCGTCCCGCCGCTCCTTTTCGCGGTCGCCCCGCTCCCGCTCTTGGTCCTCTGTCTCCACTCGTGCCAGCGCGCGGTCGAGCGCCGCCGCGTCTGCCGTCTGCGCCCGGCTCGCCCGCGCGGCAGCAAGCGCGTCTGGCGCGACGACGTCGTCCGCTACGTCGTCCAGCCACGACGGCATGGCATCCGCCGGCACGCCGGTGAACGCGTTGGTGAAGCTCGCTGGCGTGGCAGCGGGAGATGCAGGCACCATAGGTGTCGGCGTCATGGTCGCGGCCTCGACGTCCGCCTGCGCTGCCGCCTCGGCCTCCTTCTCCAAGTGTCGCCGCAAGAACCATGGCAGGTGCTTGAGGTTGGGCATATGCAAATGCAAGTGGGGCAGGTGGGGGTGGAAATGGGGAAGATGTGGGTGGAAGCCGCGGCGCGTGTGGTCCGAGTGAGAGGGGTTCGGAATTCTCGCGTCTGGTGGTGGTTCAGATGCGAAGAGGGCCTGGAGCACATCCATCGAGCAGTCCGAGTCGATGCTCCCCCGGCTCGCGGCTGCGAGCGGCGTGGCCATGGTGAGCTGGTTCAGGTCGAGCTCGTTCTGCGCAGCGGCCGATGGGTCTGCTGCGCTCGCAAGAGGCGCGACGCATCCGACAGGCTCGGGCAGGGACCAGCTGGGATCCGCTCCCTTGTCCTTGTCATTCTCAAGAGACGGCGAGGGGAACTTTTCGCGGTAAGCGGCGCGGAACCCCTTGCGGAGGCAGGGGTCGACGATGACGGCCAGCATGGCAAATGTCACGCCGCGGACACCGTAGAACAGATAGTACACGCAGTACAGCCCGTACACAGCCTTGGACTTGACTCCGCCCTGGAGTGAGATGTAGAGATCACCTATTGCGATGACGCCGTTGACAATGACGAGCGTGATGGGGTAGAGCGAGACACGGATCGCGATGGACACAAATCGGTCCTCGAGGTGGCCGAACATGCGCTCGCGCTTGATGCTGTTGCGGCGTCCGCGGAACAGGCGCTTGCCCTTTTTGCGGTGGTCGGTGTCGTCCGTCGAGTCCGAGGACATCTCAAAGTTGAGGCTATCGCCGCCAAAGAGTGCGCGCGATGTTGCACGGCCCTGCCGGAACAGCTTCCATAATGTCTGGTGTCAACGTATTGCCAGGGAATGGCCAAGCCGGGGAACCCAGCTGGGCTTGGTTCCAGGCACGACAACGTTTTTTGTCCCACGCCACCACCACTTACAATAGCGACAGCGACAGTGGCGATTGCGCAGGACAACAGTTGCCAGAGATACAGGTCGAGGACAAAGTTGGTAACACGGGCTTTTTCAGACGACTTGATCCAACTGTTCATTAGTGCTTGCTCGGAAGGCGCCCAGCTCAATAACTCTACAACTCACCAAACGTGGTAGATAGGATCCCACCCAAAATGCCCAAGTGCAGCTGGGATGATGGGGACGAAGAGGCCGATGAATATGGAGAGGCCGATGTACCAGCGTTCCAAGCCTGGGGTGTGAGCGCTCCAAACGACGGGAGGCAGGCCGCCGGCTCAGGGGAGGTGGCGTCGGCGCGGCCAGCCACAGCCCGTGCTGGATCAGACGTCAATGGCGACTTACCCATTCGAATAGGATTCAACCCCAGCACGATGGTAACGAAGAGGTTGATAGCGATGCAAGTGCAGAGGTAATTAACGACCCCGAGGGTGCCGATCATGAAGTAGATGCCGACGGCGCATGCGCGATTTGGCCTTGCGCCGAGCACGACCTGGGGTTAGCGCGGCGAGGGGAGAGAAGGACGGGGAGCAAGGGCAAGAGCTACCAAGGAAAGGTAAGCCCGTTCTGCATCTCGACGCTGGCGAGTCGGGAGGAGAATCGAGAACTGGCTACGCGCCGCGTTGAATCTGCATGGTGTCATACCTGGCTTGGCGGCGTACGCCGAAGGCGCCTCTGGACGCAACCCGGGAGCTCTACGGTCGATCCCGCCTCTTTCTCGTCGACGTCTCCGGCTGCTCTCTACAGCAGCACACAGCGCCGACTCCCTCGATCTGCCCCGACCTCCCACACCTCGTTGTTAGAACTCACAGAAATGTAGTTGACATCATAAACAATTTCCCACACCAAGCAACTCAAGAGGAGCCGGAAGCTCACGCGGTCGAGAAAAACGCGCGCGCTGCGCACCGTCCACACCCACGCGGCTGTGAGTAGGACGGAGAGGCAGCAGACGAGGCTGACGGACGCAGCGCCGACCGAGACGAGCTGGTTGGTCTGGGATTAGCTGTGAGCGGGGAGAGGGGGCCGCGCGAACGCGGGGCGACGCGAGAGAAGAGTGCGGAGGACCACCGTCCTCGCTAACAGCGAGGTGGGGAAGTGGGGTGGGGGGGGCCGTGGGGGAAAGAGGGAGAGGCGCGGGGCTTGCGCCAAGGACCAAGGAATACTTACTCGGACCTTGTCACGGGTGAGCTCGAACATGCCCGCGGGGCCCTGGTCGGGCGGGTCGTCGTGGTGGCTGCGTGGTGGATGGAGAGGGAGGGGATGGCACAAGCAAGAGACGGAGAGACGATGACGACAAGAGAAAGAGAGAGAGTAGAGTGTAAGAGATGAGTTGAGCAGGAGCAATTGAGGAGTGAGGTGAGACAAAGGTCCCGGGTGTAATTCAGGGCGGCCAGTGCCTCTGGAGCCAGTCTGCCGGATCCGCTCTCTCTCCTCATCGCTTCCACCACTTGGTCCATGCATCAGATCAGCTTTACCCGCGACGTCTGCGCATCACATTACGCCCATCGTGATCGCTGTCGATGCGAGCGGCGACGAAGAATTGGGGAGAGTCCGAGACCGAGACCAAACCCCGCGCAGCTGAATTCTCACCCTCTGAGGCTTGGCGTTGCAGCCTCCCTCCTCCCCTCGTCTGCCCGTCCGTCTGCCTCGGCCCCCTCCGCAGCTCAGCTCCTCCCCGCAACTACTATCTACCCTTGTCTCACCAACCTTGTTGCATCGGCGCTAGCGATCGATTCGCCAGCAGCATGCTGAGACGCGGCGCCGCGACGCGCAAAACTTTCACGGCGATGGCGCTCAGGCCCACGCCGCCACACGCCACGCGCTCGCTATCCGAGCGTAGAGTAAAGGTTCAGAGTGGCGCCGGGTGCGGGGCGGGTGTCACTGGCATGCACGGACGGCTCTGGGTCGCTGGATTGCTGGATCGGAAGCTGGGCTCTGGACTGTACGAGTACAATATGAGAGATGTGAGGACAGAGGTGATTGCCGAGTTGAGCTCGGCACGTCCACACGCACTTGGCTGGGTGATGGCGACCACTAAATGTCAACCATCATCAAGCGGGAGGCGCGGTAGAGGTTGGGGTCCAATGCATTTGGAGCCATCATGATCTCAGATAATGCATGCGCATGGACTTGGTTGTGGCGGATTCAGCGTTTCGGCCGCCACACTGATATGTCGAATTGAGCATGTTTGTGTCAACACGCCGTGACGTCCAGGCCATTTGGATAGTTGCCATCATCGGTGCGGCGGTTGCCTGGGTACATCACCTCTCGTCCACTCCGCTCTCCTCTGCGCCTCTGCATCTCCGCATCGAATACACGTGCTAGATCCCGCCAACCCGCTGGGAAGCTGAGAACAAAGACACTCCGCCCATTGTTCGCAGCTTCGGCCCGACACATCGGCCGAAGCCGTGGCCACTTATCTCCTATCTCTCCACGTCCCGTCGACGACTCTCATCCTCTCCGTCCATCATGCCCGCCCTCGTCGCCGTGGCCTCCGCCTCTCCGTCCCCCGCCCCCGTCCCCGCCCCCGTCCCCGCCCTCGCCCTCTCCTCGTCGATCGCAAGCACGTCCCGCCCCTCCATCACCCCCCGCCGCTCCCGCTCGCCCCGCAAGATCTCCGTCGCGATCGACAAGGCCTCTCCCGCCGCCCTCCCCTCTCTCATCCCCCGTCTCGCGGACATTGCGCTCGCGCAGGAACACGGGCTCGTGGCGCCATACACGCGCGCGGACGCCGCCCAGCTCTACGACCTCCCCCTCGGCGTTGGGGCGGGCAAGTGTCTCCTCCTCGTCGCGCGGGACACGGCCGTGCCGCTCCGGCGCGGGAGGACCGGGAATGCCTCTCGCACGCGGGAGGGGCCGAGGGAGGGGTCTCGGACAAGAGAAGGGGGGGAGGATACTGGAGAGCAAGAGGAGCGCGGGGGAGAGGCGCGCAAAGGCCACATCGTCGGAAGCGTGCAGCTGCATTTCCACGCGGCGCCCAACGGGTGGTTCCGCGCTGATGTGCGTGGCTTGGTCGTGCATCCTGACTATGTGAGGCGAGGGGTGGGGCGGCGGCTGATGGAGGCGGTCGAGGAGGAGGCTAAGGCGTGCAAGACAAAGTTGTTGGTGAGTGGGGACACTAGACGGGCGAGGTGGCACGGAGGGAGGATGTGATGACGAGAAAAGGAGAGGGGGAGAGGAGATGAGATGAGAAGAGGAGCGTGGAGGGCGCGACGACCGACCCCAGACGCGAGAGAGGAAAGTGGACTATGGAAGCGCACAATACCTTGCCACGCGCTCTCGTTGCCCCACTCTCTGGCCTTCGATGCTGACCCGCAGCTACTCGACACCGAGCCCTCGTCCGCCGCCCACTCCCTCTTCGCTTCCGTTGGCTTCACGACGACAGGCATCGTTCCACGCTACACGTACAGCGTGGACGGACTGCTGCGCGACGCGGCGCTGATGCACAAGGAGCTGCGGTGCGGCAACTGCGACGAGTGCGGGTGTTCGACGGAGAAGAAGCTGCAGTGGTGAGGCGATGCATGGAATGCGGCTGTTCGAGTTGCTGCATGACTCGTTGTGACGAGGAGGATGATGAAGGGGAGATGGAAAGATGGATGGGGGGGAGATGTGAATTGGACGAGAGTTATAATCGAGAATTAAGAGAATTAGGAGAATTAGGAGAATTACATAAAAGCAATTGGGCGGTCGACGGGAACAAAACAAGGGACAGCACAGCCTGCCTTCTTCCCAATCTTGTCACATCTCTCAACATCTCTCTCTCAACATCTTCCATCTCATCTCCATCTCCCCATCTCCCCATCTCCCCGTCGCCAGCCCATTACTCCCCTCCCCTCCCCCCCCCCTCGTCATATTTGTATAGACTAGACCCTCTTCACGACTGCACGAGAACAACACCTCTACGAGCAACGGCGACACTCCTTCCAACAGCACATACCTCGTATCCCCTTCGGTTTTCAGAGGCTCTCTTCCTCCCCTCCCCCTCGTCTCGTAACACCCCCCTCACTCCCATCATGCCACGACACGGCGTGCGCCCAACGGCTGCTCCTAAGCGCGACGCTGCTCTTGACTACCTCCGGAAACGACAGGATCCCCAAAACGGCGGCAACAACGCCGGCGGCGGCAACGGAAACAACGCCGGAGGTGGCAACAATAACCAGAACGGTAACACTGGAACCAACCAGCAGGGTGGCGGTAACAACAACGGAACCGTCGGCACCGGCCAGAATGGCAACGGCACGACCAACGGCAACGCTACCGTGTCCGGCGGCGCCGGTGGGAACAGTACCAACACGAGCTCGACCATTTCCATTCCTCTCACAGCCGCGGCCGGTAGTATCGTTATGCTGGAGCCATCGCAGAGGGTTGACACGGTGTCCTATTACAAGATTGCACCAAGTGAAACAATCACGTTCCGCTGGAACATGACCAATCTCTAGTATGTCTCTCTGGCACTTGTGTGGGTGTGTGGGGCGTTGGGGACATGGTTCTTTGGTCAAATCGTGCTAATTCCCAGCGTTCAACCGTCTAACATCACTGTCGTCGCATCGTGCTCGGACAACGGTAACACGTATCCCGTTGGCCCTACCAACGGGGCGCAAAATGTGTTTGATGGCAATACAACCGAAGTTCACTGGGTTCCGTACGACTGGGAGCAGGTGCCGGGGCAGCCGCGGTTTGCGGCGGCTTCGTACACTCTCAAGATCTGGGACGAGCGCGGACCGGGTGTGGGCATCAAGGGTGGCTATCTCAGCCCTTACTCTGGTACAAGGTTTGGCATGTACATCCCACAAAAGTACACGCCGCTGGCTGGTGAGTTGGCGCATTACCGCCGAGGCATTGCGTACTTTGACAGAGCTGATTGCAGAATGGACGTGCGCGACCTGCTCATCTGCGCAGCGCCTGCTGGGCGAGCCCGCTGGCCTGAGCATTCTGACCTCGCTGATCGTTGTGCTTGTGAGCGCCTACGCCGTGCTGCGCCGCGCATGAGCGACATTAATGTCTGTCCCTTTTATGGACACTCGAGGACTTTTTTTGCATAGACACGACCGTGATGTACATTGGTAATGACTACGGGGGAGGGAGAGATGATTGAGTGAAATGGTGACGGCATGCCGCGTCGCGCGTCAAACGTAGAGCTGCACGCCATCATATAAGCCTGGTTCGACGGCGCCCAAGCACGTTTGCATTTGCGGACCATGGAGTGAACAGCTGGACGCCGACAACACAAGCACTTTTGATGTGATTAGACTCGGAGTCGGTCGGCCATTGCCGAAGATGGCGACCACGCGGGGAGATGATGACACGTTGTGGCATGAGGCGAGGTCCATTCCGCTCGCAACGGACGACACGCAAGCAACACTGCCTCAACTCAACATCGTCTCTCCTTGATCCAGCAACACTTGCCTCGTCCTCATCGTCTTCATTCCTAGTCTTGCTACTACTGCACTTTGGGCTCCTCTCATCTTCCCACACCCGGCCCTCCACTCCCCTGCCTCTCCGCTCCTCCCCGCTGCGCCCCCCCCCCCCCCCCCCCCCCCCCCCCCCCCCCCCCCCCCCCCTCTCCCCCTCCTCCGCCATGTCTGCCAACGCCCTCGGCGCGTCCCTCTACTACGCCGACGCAAAGGCGCCCATCTGCCCCCTCGTCATCAAAGAGCACTTTGACAAGCTGAACACTAAGGAGCAGCTGTACGCGCACCACATCGCCCGGGCTTCGTGGATCGGCGGCCGCGTCATCCTCAAGCAGACGACGCCGACCGCATCCGACCTCTTCGACCTGCTACGTGCGACCTTCAGCGCCTCAGACCCCACCAAGCTCGGCGACCTGGAGGCGCAGCGCAAACAGGCGGGCCTAACCACGGACGACTTCACCAGCGTGCTCGAGTACACTGCGCAAGTGTTGGGCAACCTGGCCAACTTCAAGAGCTTTGGCGACTCCAAATTCATTCCGCGCGTCGACGCCGCGACGTTCCGCAAGGTTGTGGCCGCGGCGCCGCGCGCGCACGAGGCCCTGCCGCTGTGGGATAAGCTGCAGGAGGAGATCTACGGGATCAAGCCTGCCGCGCGGACGCTTCTGGGGTACCCAGACGCCGGGCATGTGACGGGATACTACTCGGGCGACGTGACGGAAGCGGACATCAAAGCTGTGCAGAAGTGGTACGAGGGGCGCGGGAAGGACGCGCTCAACACGCGCCTCTTCAAGCGCGGGGACGTGTACGAGCTGCGCGTCGCCAGCGCCGACACGGCGCCGACAGAGACGTTCGACGTCCCCGGTCTCCCGGGGAAGCTGGAGGTCGTGTTCGGCGACTTTGCAGAGGAGATGAAGGGCGTCGCGGACGAGCTGGAAGCCGCGATCCCGTACGCCGCCAACGAGCACCAGCGCAAGATGCTCGAGGCGTACGTGCGGCATTTCCACACGGGCGACGTCGACGCACACAAGGAGAGCCAGCGCGAGTGGATCCAGGACATTGGTCCTACAGTCGAGACCAACATCGGCTTCGTCGAGAGTTACCGCGACCCAGCGGGCGTGCGCGCCGAGTTCGAGGGCTTCGTCGCTATGGTCAACAAGGAGATGACGAAGAAGTTTGAGCGCCTCGTCGACGCCGCCGAGACCTATATCCCCAAGCTGCCGTGGGGCAAGGACTTTGAGAAGGACAAGTTCCGCAAACCCGACTTTACGAGCCTCGAGGTCCTCACCTTCTCGACGGGCGGCGTGCCGGCCGGCATCAACATTCCAAACTACGACGACATCCGCATGACGTTCGGGTTCAAGAACGTGTCGCTCGGCAACGTGTTGAACGCCAAGGCGCCGGACGAGAAGATCACGTTCTTGGGCGACGCGGACGCCGCGCTCTTCCAGCGCCTTCGCGGTCCAGCCTTCGAAGTCCAGGTCGGGATCCACGAGCTGCTGGGGCACGGCAGCGGCAAGCTGCTGCAGGAGAACGCGGACGGCACTGCCAACTTTGACCTGAAGAACCCGCCCATCAACCCGCTCACCGGCAAGCCCGTGGAGCACTGGTACGGGCCCGGCGAGACGTGGGGCAGCCGGTTCAAGACGATTGCCGCGAGCTACGAAGAGTGCCGCGCGGAAGCGGTCGCCATGTCGCTGAGCACGGACAAGAGCCTGCTCGAGATCTTCGGGCACACGGACTCGAGCGCCGAGAGCGCCGACGACATCATGTACGTCGGGTGGCTGCAGATGGCGCGTGCGGGGCTCATCGCGCTCGAGTTCTACGACCCCGAGGCGAAGAAGTGGGGACAGGCGCACATGCAAGCGCGGCACGCGCTGCTGCGCGTCTTCCTCGAAGCCGGGTTCGTCCGGATCGAAGAGACGGACAGGGGCAAAGACCTCGTGGTGGTCATGGAGCGCGGCGCGATTACGGGGACCGGGCAGCAGGCCGTCGACACCTTCCTCACCGCCCTGCAGATATACAAGGCGACAGGCGACGTCGAGGGCGGCAAGGCGCTGTACGACAAGTACACGAGCGTCGGAGACGAGTGGCTGCCCCGCCGCGACGTCGTGCTCGCCAAGCGCCAGCCGCGCAAGCTCCTCCTCCAGGCCAACACGTTCCGCGACGGCGACGGCGTGCGGCTCAAGGAGTACGAGGCGACGCTGCCGGGATTCATTGAGAGCTACCTCGAGCGGGCGATCTAGGTTAGAAGCATCGCGTTCAGAAGCATGCATCGTGTGGTGTACTGTGTGGCCAGGTGGCGAGGGCGGGCAAAGGACTCAGCATGTCGGGCAACGTGCCCTCTTCGCCAAACACCTACAATCGCCACCCAGCTCAGATCGTTAGATCGCCACCCCGTCACCCGACCCACTCCCACTCACCGCCGAAGATACGAACGCAAGCTCACATGCTTCCCCACATCGGCGCTCGGCCCCCGCACCCGACAGTCACGGGGTCACGAGATCTGATGTATGCTTCCGTGGCCCAAGCGATCGGTAATGAACAATGTCCAGCTGACCTGTCCGGCTCCACATGCCGACAAAGCTCTGCGTGTGCTCTCCCGCCCCTTCCCACGCCGCCCCCGGCCCTCAGCAACATATAAACCCCCACTTCCCTCCCTTCTCCCCATCACCCCACGGTAAGCCGTGCCGCTCACGACCAGTGGTAGGCGTCCGTCCGGCACCCGGCACCCGGCCCTCTTCGTTTCTCCGATTCATCGAGGTAGTCGACGTGCCCGCCAACGACAGGGCAGAATTGTTCGGTTATGATTGTGGACATGGACGTAGGATGAGGCGACGTGCGAAGGAAGCGATGGCGAGGGGGCGAACGAAGGCGAAGCGAAGGCGAAGATTGAAGACGTGTAGATGAAGACGAAGACGGAGGCGTGTACGATAGGCTCCACTATTCCCTTTCCGATTCTATACCCAGCAAAGCCGAGACGCCAACGCCTCGGCCGACCTCGGCACTGACGACCAACGAGCCCGCCAACGCCGCGGCAGACTGTTTCAACGCCGCCCGCCAACTAGGCCGAGTGCCTGTTCGCAGGAGCCCGAGGCGCTACGCGCGCCCGACAAGGCATCGACCCGCCAACGCCTAGGCCGTGCCTGCGGCTTGACGTTAGTATAGAAGCAAGCTCGCCAAGGTCTGCAGGGTGCCCGCCAGCAGGGCCGAGACCTCGACTTCAACCTCCATTCGAGACGAGTCGACAAGGCCTGCCCGCCAGACAGGCCGTGCCCGCCAGCCAGGTCGAGGCCTGCGTCCATTTTCCATCCTGCTCGCTGCGTTGCGCGAGCACGTCCGCGACCCACGAAACATACCCACACCACATACCCATGCCTGCACCCATACCCACGCATACCAGGGTCGCTGTCCGGCGCGGCGGTCAGCCAGCGCCACCCCGAGCCTCTGGACGATCTACGATCGCACGCCGAGGGAAGGGGGGACGACGGGATGTCTGTAGTAGCTAGACTAGGCATAGTTTACTGCTCCGCTTTGCGCTCGTATTTTTGCGTCGCTTCCATTTGTCCTGCGAGGCAAGCATTGCTGTCTCCGCTTCAGGTATGTCCTTCGTTCGGCTGGATGCCCGTGTCCTGGGTGTGGCGCGGATCGCGTGCGCATCGGTTCGTGGCGCCGATCCTGCCACATCTGTAAGACGTCTCGCCACCAAGAGGGATTGAGAAGACTTGCCAGGAATAGCTCCATATAGATCCTACCACTTTGATGAAAGTCCCGCCCTGGCCAGCGGACCATTCACCAAGATCCACGCTTCCCCCACCCGCTGACGGCGCCTTGTGCGCCTGTCCAGTGGACATGGCCACCCGGGAAGACTAGGAGATCCATAGAATGCTGCGAATGGCCGCCGCCACGGCGCCGCCGGCTCCATGGAAGCATGGAAGAATGGAAGATGGAAGCATGGTGCTCCGTCGGATCTGGTGGGGCCCGCCCTGCGCCACTGCTTCGCCGCCGACCCGGGATGTCGGACAGGCCGGTAATTCTCGGTGCATCGTTTCGCTCGCTGGCTATGCGCGAGTGGGAGGTTGGGCGCCACAGTGGAGTGAGGTCTGTCCGAATCAGCCACCCGAGACGGAGCTTGCGGTTCTGGAAGCATCGTCATGGGAGTTCCGTCTGACATCCATACACTGACATCGTACTCCGCCCTCGAAATCGAGGTCAGCATGTCAGTCTGTTAAGCTGGTCAGCCTCATGCTATTGCAGACGTACGCCAAGGATCGCCATCGTCATCCCCATGGGGAGAAAGCTGTTCTGTTGGCCAGCGTCGCCGGCCAAGGCTGCCAAATTGCAGGCTCAGGACGGGGACGCCACCAGGGACGCCGGCGTGTCAGCGTAGGCGGAGGGTTCTCCGTCCCAAACGCTGGCGTGGGAGACGCCACGCTTGGCAGTAGTGTGGAGCTTCCGCTCAAGATGGGCAGGGCACCGACGAGCGCGGAGCGGACGTGGCGGCGTGATGTCACCTGAGTAAGACCGATCCGGAGTACGGAGACGCAACGCCACGCAACGCCGAGCTGGCCGGCGCGGGCAGCCGGGTCGGACAAGTACGCGATGGGACCAAACAAGGCGACACACCGGCATGCGCGTTAAAGGTGCCTCGTACACGTCCATTATCACTTTGCGTGGGCCAGCACCGCTGTGAAGGGGGAGGAGGTGCGGTGGGAGGGTGAGAGAGGTGCAGGGGATGGGCGAGTTGGTCTAGCGTGCCTGGGATGCTAAGGTTTCCAGCGCTGCGTCACTCATTCTGACACACGACCCGGGTTTACCGTCGCTTCGGGGGATGCGCCGCTGCTCTGCCTGGCGCCCGGCGGAACCAGAACATGGGATACTCTGCAGAGTGAGAGCGGAAGAGGGTCCGCTCACTCATGCTTGGCTGTTTGACAGAGCTGGCCCCTGCCAATTGAGAGACCAAACCGACCCAAAGTCCAAACCCCGGTCTACTGCCAAGCTGCCAACTGCTATCTTTGCCAACTGCCAACGACGGAGATCTACGCATTTTGCACACGAACAACGACGCAACGATAAGCGACGCAGTGAGAACACATGCCGCAAAGAACGTCGTATGATTGAGCAGCGGCCGGAGAGAGCCGGGGCGGAGCTCTGGCCGGCAGGAGGCGGCAGAGACATGTTTGGGGAGGAACATGGCATGCAGGGCAGATCAGGGATCTACCACTTTCAGGCACGTCAGGTGGGAGGTGTGGCGCCAAGCTCTCTTCTGTGTTTCTCCATGCTCACCCCATCAGCGCCGCACAATTGCTCAACCGCTGCCGGCACCCCAGTTCCTCTCCTCCTGCCCTTCGGCGCCTGTACTCCTGCAGGCCTGCAGGATCCGAGCATGTCCCGTGCACCGAGACGGAGGGCAGAGTTTCCGTCCTTTCACCCTCTCCTTCTCGAGCCTGAGGGCGCCCGCCGTACGTCGCCGTAGGACGCATGTGGTAAATCTGAAAATAGGGGTATGCCGCACATATGGGCAGCCAGGCAGCATCGAGCTTTGAGCACACGACGGACAACCATCGCTCATAGATAGCAGGCCCCATCGCATCTCGTCTTCCCATCGCCCATCCGTCTACTCGTCGTCGTCTCCACCACTCCGCCACTGCTCAACGGGCGCTTGCCCACGGCCTCGGGTCGCTTCATTACATTCTCCACTCTACGCTCTACGCTTCTCCCCTCTACTCGCCACTCATTTACGCCCTCCCATCCCACCATGTTTTAAGTACGGCTTACCTTATCCACACCACTCAACCAACCCACCCCATCCCACCCACCATCCACAATGTCGACGTCGGCCATTCCTAGCGGCAGCGCTCTGTTCGCGTCGCCGCTGTCGAGCAGCCCCGCTCCCAAGCGGGTCGCGGGCACGCTCGAGCCTTTGCACATCACCAAGCTCGAGCCTCTCTGCTTCACCAAGGTCCCGCTCTCCCCTGCCTGTCGCTCCGCCTCAGCATCCACCGACTGTGAAAGCGCACTCAGCGATGTGGGCGCCGACCTCAGCCGCTCTCCCTCGCTCCTCACTTCGCTCATGCAGAGCCAGGCCCGCCGCTCGGCCCTCACCACCCCGGCGACTACGCCGGGCGTATCGCCCACCACGACTCCCGCCCCTCTGCCAGGCACATCGCGCCCCATCCTCCGCCGCTGCTCGAGTGGTGCCGTCTCTGACGCGCACCCCGAAGAACCTGCGGCCGTGGAGGGCCTCGCCCGCCGCCGCTCGTGTCTCAAATTCGCCGTCACCCCTCGCCCCCTGCAGCTCCCCAACCGCTCCATTTCCGCCACGTCCTCAAGGCGAGCCTCTGGCGCCTCTTCCCGCCTCACCTCTCCACGTTGCGCGACCCCCGCGCTCGAAGAGGACGACGAGGACGAGCCGGCCACGCCCGCCTTCGACTCCGACGACGCAGGATACCAGGAGGACAGCGAAGACGGGTTCACCTCTGACGAGGACGGCCCGCCGCTCGTGCCCCAGGCGCAGTGGCCGCCGGCGTGGGGCAAGCAGGGCGCGACGCCCGCGCCCGCCCCGATCCTGTGGACCGCCGCGCGCCGCGCAGCCGACCTAGCCGAGCCCTCGACGGACGATTGCGAGCCCGTGCCGCGCAGAGCGCGCGTCCGCATCCGCGACGAAGACACCTCCACGCGCGCGAGAGGCCGCTGCTCGCGCCACCGCTCCCCGCCCCCGTCGCACATCGAGGAGCTCACCGCGCCGCCCGCCGCACGCTCCCCCTCCGCAGCCGACCTGTGCCGCCGGCGCAGCGGCGCCCCCGGCTGGCGCTCGGACGACTGCGCGCGCCCGCGCGTCGCCTTCCACCGCACCGCCAGCCAGCCGGCGCGCCCACGCGTCCAGTTCGCCGTGACGCAGCGCACGTGCAGCATGGTCGTGCGCCGCGACTCGGCGCCCGCCGCCGGCGTGGACGAGGTGCACGTCCTCGCGGACACGAGCGCCCAGGCGTGCCCCCTCGCAAAGCTCCGTGCCCTCACCTCGTAATATCCCGCTGGGAGTAATCTTGTAGACCAGATGTTGTACCCATGTCACAACGATTGCGATGATCGAGCGGTTGGTGGTTGATTGAGGTTGGTGGTTGGTGGTTGGTGATGGTGTCGAAAGTGAAAGGCGCCCGTGATCGGGCGCTTCGCAGCTTCTTTATACAACGTCTGGATCGATCGCCACGGTCACTGCGCAGGTTGCTAACGCACCGCCACAATAGCGTTCTGGGACGACGTGGCCGGCCTGGATCTTACCTACCGCTAATAAGTTGCGGCACGAAGAGCTGTAGTAACATTGAGTTCTCGCCTCCCTCTCGCTCATGCCAAGAGCCGCCTCATCTAGATTTGGAGCAGTGCTCTCGCACTGACATGATAAGCTAAGCGAGGAAATGGGCGGGAAGGCGGTGGAAGCATCAGAAGCGAGAGCATTCCGAGATTCTCGCTGTCTCTCGATCGGTACCTGCAACGCCTGATGGTGCACCAAAACGGCGGATTTTCGGACGCATGATCGCTCGCGCCGCTGTGCTCTGCATCTTGGAGACGGAGGTGTGTCGTTAGGAGCAACGGACCGCCATGGACAGCGCTCGCGCTGGGCTCGGTCCGTCGTCGAAGGGAAGCCTATGCTGTAGACATTGGAGCGTCGGTGTGGCCGTGCTCACTCTTCGGCGCGTGGGCAGCTTCATTCTCTACAGCAGGTCAGCTGACACCTGCCCAAGCACTCTTGTGGCGAGGCGCTCCCGCACGCATCTTGCAATTACACGCTGGAGGTTGCGGGACGAGCAGTGGTGCGCTACACTGGGCCGAGCAGTGGTGCGGTGTAGCGCTCTCTGCATCATGTGGTTTACCCCACCAGCTATCGGATCTTGCAATCAGCCGCCCCAATTCTGCATTCATGAACACGGTGTACATGCCCATGACGCTTGGTAGCTGGAGGGTTACTAGAGAATCCGCCCTCAACCCGCACGGGCTGGAGTAGTATAGCCCCAGATCTCTTCCCACGCTGCGTGCTATTCATGACGCTGACATTGGCGCTGACAGTATACAGTACAACGGCAGGGCGCAGTGGCAGCGCGACCACCAGATCGTCTAGATGCCACTCGCGGCGTTGGTGAACGCGACACAGCTCTCGCGTTGATGCGGAACGCGACAGCAGCGCATAGTCTTAACACAAGATGCTACAGATGTGTTCCTGGGCAGATAAGGCGAGTTTTCTAGAAGAACCCGTTCAGCTGCCCACTAACGTCGTACCCTGCGAGCGGAATGGTTTGCTGGCTGAGCAGCGACCTAACGAAGTCGTCGAAAGACTCGTCCCCGCCCGCAGTCCAGCCTGGCTCGTGATACGATCTGATGTCAGCTATCGAATCGCGGAACTGGCCCGCAGTAAAGCCATCTGGTGAGAGGTAGACATCCAAGTGCGGAGAAGACACTCACGGCTCGTCCGCTCGGGGCCCATCCCAGCCTCTCTCGATCCCCAATAGCGCGGGCACCTCCCGGCTCGCCTGCGCACACTGATCCAATAGGCCGCGCAATACTGCCGCCTGTTGCCGGCCCGCCTTCCACGTGCACCCGATGTCCTCAAGAAAACCTAGGCAGACATGGACCTTCTGCATTGCCGCAGCAGTCTGAGATGGCAACCCTGCCTGCGCTGCGGCCAGTAAGAAACTGGTGCCCGCCGAGTAGATGATTGCCGATAGTGTTGGGGGCGTGAAGCGCAAAGAGTGCTGCTCACCCCAGAGCGCGACCAGTTGGACGATTCTCAAGGCAGCTTGGTGACATCGCTGATGTTAGCTCGCGTGAGCAGTAATCCCTACCGTCATGGCAATTAGGCCGATCTTCTCGAAAGGGCCATCTGGCACAGCCCTGGTCACCTGGGAGAAGGGTTGATAGAGCAGGATCACGGTCCATGAGAACGCAAGATGGCCCATCAGGATGTGGGGCAGCACGGGGTCGGCCCTGGTGGGATCGACATGGAGGCACGCAGGCATCCCCTCCAAGATGCGATCAAGTGTGTCACTGAAGCGCTCAACAGTCCCGTTCTCGACTAATGCTGACTTGTCGGATCGCCCCGCATATCTGGGAGTAAGCGAGGTGCATGGGGGTTAAACACTCACAGCGTTCGCGTGATCTCCGTGCAGGCCTGCATAAGGATGGCGGTGTGTACGAAGGCCGTGCTCAAGTAGCTTTTCTGAGGCGGTACGGACTGCCGTAGGCCCTGGGGCCACATCCAGAGCATGTCGTCTGTTGCTGGATCGGCAGTCGGGAGGGGCAAAGAGTACTCCATCATAATGGGCTTGCGGCCAATGTACTGCGCCCATAGTGCCTCTTGACAGTAGCATGTCCAGAATGTGACATCACGCTGGACGGCGGACTCGTGGTCGAGCTTGCCTTTGGCCACAAGAGGGCGGGTATCCACATTCAGACCAACTGAGGTCAGTTACCACGCATGGAATGCCTGACTCACGCGCATAGCACACGCGGGTGGCGAGGCCCTGGTACACCCAGCCGAGGGAATAGTCGCCCATGGTGCTCGCCCAGCTTGCACGGATCGCCAGACCTTGAACCGTTCCAACACAGGGCATGGAGCACTCTCGGTCCAGAGTGCGGTCCCCTTCGGTCGCAAACAGTCGCCGGGTGGTCTGCGCGCGCAAGTGCTCTTCGTCACTGAACGCCAGTCCAACAGCAAGGATGTAGTTGTGTAGGAGGGGGGAGTAATTAGGTGTAGCGACAGGCAGCTCGGATACCTCAGTCCACTGCGCGGCTTCCATGTCGCGGTAGAACAGATGGGGGGTAACCCGTTGCGCTTTGACCTCAGCGGACAAAACCAGACGACAACTCACCCCAACATCCAAAATAGCGGAAGAACCGATCGAGGGCCATGTCGTGCTGCTCCCTCGTCAAGAAAAAGTCTGGAAGGAAGCGCGCAAAGCCAGCCTGTTCCTGTTGGTGTGGCTCAGACGCAGGCTCAGGCATTCTAGAATGTCGAAATGCAGACTGCGGTCCATGAAGGCGCAATCGTCCTCGCTCGTCTTGCACCTGCTCGTGAGCTGCTGTCCATCGTCTCTTCCCGACTCCCTTCTTACCATCATGTCGTCGATGTCACCGGGCAAATCCAACGGCGACTGAGTTTGTTGGGCTCGACTTGGAGTTGTGCGACCGTGTGATGTCTGAGTCGGTGGGGACTGTGATGTGCCATGCAGTGGGATGCCTTCAGTGTTGGGGCCCATGTTCGGTCGCGGTGGAGCGAGGCCGGATGGCCCGGCGCGCCCCAAGTATCTGTCCCGCATCCCACCCATTCCAATGTCCTGGCGAAACGATGTCGGCGGGGACATTAACGTCCCGGCTCCGGCGCCAGCCTGCGGTGGGGGAAAGGGCCCGGATACCCCATGCGATTGCTCGAAGTATGCCTGCTGGCTTGGCCCCGCAACATCTTGTGGTTGCAATGGACGTTGCTGGTGCTGTGGCTGATGCTGGTGCTGTTGCGAGGGCGACTGGTAGTAAGGTGGGGCTGGGGCGCGAGAGAAGCTGCCAGTGTCGCTGCCGGCAGTTGGTGCGCCTTCCACGCTATCCCCTCCATGCTGTCTCTGCAGTTGTTCTTCCAGCTCTTGGACGCGTTGTCGCAGCGAGTTGGCCTCGTTGCGCGATACAGCGCGTCGCCAGTCCGTCTTGGTTGTCCACACGCACTCATCCTTTTGTCAGCAAGCTCACCAGCAGAGGAGCTACCTTGTAAGCAGCACAGGTCGAGCATACAGGCGGCTGCCCGTCGCACTTCTTCTTCCTGCGGCATGAGTAAACGAGCCATGCACCTGCCCATGTCCACCACGTCTACGTGCTCTTTCAGCTCGCCTCTGCTCACCATCGCTCACGAGACATGTCGAGCATGCGAGTGCTTTCGACGACATCATCCTGGCCCCCACTCACCGTTGCCGACAGTTTATGCAGGCCTGTGACACATTGTGCCGCCTTCGTGGGGGTGACTGCGATGAGCGCATGTCAGATAGCCGCCCTAAGAAGAATGATAAGGATGCAAGGTGCTTGAGAGAGATGATGTTGAAAGGCAGAATGCTATGTCCGGCGAATCGCTCATGACCGGGTCGATGACGGAATCCAAGCGGACGCTCTCGCGCGGACTGCCCCAGGCACGTGATGTGCGTGGCACTTTGCGCTCTCTCACGCACAAATATGATCATCAACAACTCTTTCAATTGTACATCCGACCATCACCAGTCCCCCATGAGCCCCAACTAACGATATTAACCGTGATTAACTGCGTCGCATGCTCTTTTCCCCACGGGCCGCCGGGCTCTCGGCGGACAGGAGCAGGGACCATGCCCGACAAGAGCGGAACAAGGGGAACGGCATAGCGTCACTAAGCTCTGCCAGGGTCATGCTCTCGGCAATCAGCCGCAACTTTCCGCCTGGCCTCAGCAAAAGTCTTTTCCGCACGTGTCCGCCCGACAGCCCCGCCTCCACCGGCAAGCATCGAGTCAGATCCAACTCCGCTCACATCGGTAGTTCCGGACCGCGTAAATATGTGATGGAGCCGCATGCTAGCGCGTATGCTAGCGCGTGAGCTTGCCCTGCTCTCAATCTTGATCTTGCCCATCTCTCAACAATGCCACGATGGCGATGAACGCAAAACAAGAGAAACTTGACAACTACGGCCTCACACCCGTCCACCCCGACCATGACGAGCCTGCCGGCCTCCTCGCCCGCCAGCTGAGCCGTGAGGCGTATGCCGAGACGGCGGAGGCCGCACGGGAATCACATACCGACATCGGGCCCCCGCCTGACGGCGGCGTTGCGGCCTGGAGTGCCGTCGGCGCGGCAAGCTGCGTCCTCCTCGTAGTCTTCGGCTTCTCCACATCCATGGGCCAACTACAAGCCTACTACCTCGAGAACCAGCTACGGGGACGCTCCAAGGCCGACGTCGCATGGCTTGGCTCGATCCAGTCCATGCTCATTTACACGGGTTCGCTCTATGCAGGTCGATTGTTCGATGCGTACGGGCCTGAGCGCCTCATGTGGACCGGCACGGTCCTCCTCACCGGATCCTTCATTTCCATGGCCTGTGAGTTCACGCGCGGGCTAACCTGACCCCAGTCTGCACCCAATATTGGCAGTTTCTTCTTGCGCACATGCTCTTCGGGATCGGTGGCACAACGGTGTACTCGCCCTCCACCTCCATCTCAGGACACTGGTTCGCGCGTCGCCGCGGTACAGCCGTCAGTGTCGTGATCACTGGCGCTGGCTTGGGCGGTATCGCCTACCCCCTCCTGATGCGCGAGCTATTCATCCGCCTCTCCTTCCGCAACACCCTCTTCGTGCTCGCCGGCTTCACCTTCGCCGCCATGATTCCCGCTTGCACGATCATGCACGCGCGCCTGCCGCGGCGCAAGCCACCGCCCTGGTCCATCTTCAAAGAACCGTGGAAGGAGGCACCTTACGTGTGCCTCGTTACCGGCGCGGCGGTTTGGCTGACCAACGTTTTCACACCCTACTTCAACGCGCCCGTGCTTGCCGCGACGAACCGCCTCAGCCCTGAGGTGACATCGTACGCCGTCCTCATCCTGCAGTCCGGCTCCTTCGTGGGACGCATCATCGTCGGACCGCTGGCGGACAGGGTGGGCGTGTGGAGCGTCTTTGGGGCCATGTCGTTCCTCTCGTCGCTGTTCATCCTCGCGCTCTGGACCGGCGACGTGGGGCCCGGCGCGGCTATCGCCGGTCTTATTCTTTTCGGCATGACCTCCGGTGGGTGGATGACCATGGTGACAGCCGCCACGAGCGCTATCTCCCCCGTCACGCAGATCGGTATGCGGATCGGCATGTTGTGGACGTTCGCCGCCATCCCCAACCTCGTCGGCCCCGTCATCAGCGGTGCGCTCATCGGCGCGGCTGGCGGAAAATTCATCTACGCAGGCCTGTTCACGGGCCTGATGATGTTTGTGGGCTCGGGGATCATGGTCGCACCACACTTGATAAAGTGGTGGCGGGAGAGGGGGACGCCCAAAGATGGCGAGAGCACGGCCAGCACGAACCCATAGCACTGTATCTTAGACCCTTGCATAATCTACTCATCTTGGATATCCTCGATGCGCCAGTCGAGGCACAGCATCTTGCCGGGCGCGTGCCCGATCACTACGCCCTCGATGTGCGAGTTGATCACGACGAGCTGGGGCGTCACGCCGCACGCCCAGAACACAGGTACCTCGCCGTCACGGATTATGGGTGCGTCGCCGTACTCTGGCTTGTTGATGTCGTTGATACCCAACTTTTCGATCGCATCCCACCCCTGACGTCAGCGATTCCTAGCGTCTACTCACCCAGGCGATCGGCTCGCCGTGCGTGCGCACGTACGGCCGGGTGATGGTTCGCACCCGCTCGACCTGTTCTGGGGGGTAGGGGCGCATGGACACAACGGTGTTTCCCGAGAACACGCCGCTTGGCATAAGCGGCACACTAGTGCGATACATCGGCACGTTGCGGTCCTCGTCGATGTGCCGCACGCCGAGCCCCGCGTCTTGCAGCGCGTCCTCGAATGTGAACGAGCACCCGACTTTCATCAGCGCGGCCGGCGATGCACTCACTCAGAAACGCGACACTGTCCTCACCCCAATAGTTCACCACATCATCCACTTCTTCGACGAACTTTCCGTCGCGGTAGACTTTGTACCCCGGGATATCGGTGGTGATGTCCGCGCCGTCCGCGACGCCTGCAGGAAATCCCTTATCGCCCGTCGCCCGGCTCTCCGCCAACAACGGGCACGAGACCGGGTTGCGCGCACACAGGCGGCGGAAGTCGGCGGCGTACTTCGCCGGCAAGATAAGGAGGTTGGCCTGCACGTGCCCTGGACACATGCCGGACGTGTTTCCGCGCAGCCTGCCGGAGCGTGCGTACTCGCGCGCCTCGGTCGGCGAGGAGGGAGAGAGGGAGCGCGTCATATCTGTGTTCTGGTGGCGGCATCGTGTCATGGCGAAGGTTATAATGGATACGACGAGAAGCACGCTCGATGCGATCCGTTATCGTCGGGTGTCACCGTTGCGGAGCGGTGACTTCGTGGAGCGGAGACTGGGCGCAAGGGCGGAACGCGGAATCACGGCGGGTGGGCAGTCACCCCACTTCGGCGGAGACGGCTGTCGGACGAGGCCACATGAAGCATGCATTCCACGGCTGGCTCGTGGTGGAGCGCTGGTCGTTCTCGGCCGAGATGGCAAAATCGAAGACAGAGGCGCGAAGGCGGCGTCGCTTCTTTCGTGCGACGTGAAGCGTCAGTTCAGCTGACATCACAACGGATGGAGGATATGCCTCTGACCTCCAGCGCACCCACCGTTGTGTGACACAGTAGTGTCAGAGTGCGGAAATCTCATAATCGCGTACAAGCGTGTGGAAATCTTACATTCTCGTCTAAAGCTCGACCGGGGGCTCAGTAGGCATGGAAATCACCTCAAGAGGACAGCTGTGCTTGTGTCTTCGCTGTAAAGGTGAGGGCAGGAACCACTGCGAAACGCTTTACGTCTGGCAACGGCCGTGGTGACCTGTTTCCAGCAAACTCAAGCAACCACCACTGGATAAACATTGACAAGAATTCTTTGCATGAACAACGTCCTTACTTATTGCCCCTTTGTCCTTGCTCAGTTGATCTACAAACGCAACACCTTTTGGCAACTCCAACCCCCTGCCTCTGCCACCAGTTCCACATCCTCAGAGCGCGTAGCGGAACGAGTAGTGGTGGTCGCCCGTGATGCCCGCGACGTCGACCTCGTCCTTCTCCTCAGCGGTCATCCTGTCGCGCGCCGCATTCCTGCTCCGCCAAATAAAGTATTCCGCGGTCATCCCCGCAATGGCCAGCACCCAGAAAGCGAGCGACACACCGTGCCCGATGAGATACCGCGGCTTGTCGACCGAGCGGTAGATCTGGCCGGCAACAACACCGCCGGTGTTTCCCACCGTTTGCTGCAAGCCGACGGAGACGGAGCGCTTGCGGAAGCCCGCGACGTTCTGTCCGAGCCAGGTGACGTGCAACCCCACGCAGATGTAGATGCCAGCGCCGGCGAGGAAGCAACCGACGAGCTGGCCGCCGACTGTCGGCGGGTAGCCGATGAGGACGGCGTAGCCGACAGCCGTGACGATTGCGAGTGGCAGTAGCACGAAGTAGCGTACACTGTAGCGCATCGAGATGAGGGCGCCGACGAGGTAAGTGAGGGCACAGACTGGCGTTAGAAGAGTTGTTACAGCGGCTTACAGAAGTAGACGGGTGCGGTGATGCCCTGCGAGGCGATGCGGTCGAAGCCGAACTGGTCTTGGGTCAGCAGGATCAAGAGTGAGACTCACTGATGATGACCACGAGGAACGTGCTGTAGCCGTAGAGGCAGACGTCGAGGCCCAGCTGTACGAACCCCGAGAGCCAGATAACCGGGTCGGTGAACGCTTTGCGGATCTCCGCCCAGCTGAACCCGTCGTCGTGGTTGAATGCAGCCTCTTGCGCCTGCCGCACGCTCATCATCCACTTTTCGCGCTCGTTGAGATACCGCGCGCTCTGGTACGTGTTGGCGATACAGAAGAAAACGACGATTCCGACGAGGATCGTGAGCGCGCCCTCAATGATGTACAGCCACTGCCAGCCGCGCAGGCCCTGCAGGCCGTCCATCTTGAGGAAGCCAGCGGCGATGAGGCCACCAAGGACGCCGGAAATCGCCGATGACATGTATAGGTAGCAGAGCCGAAGGGCGAGCTCTTCGCGCCGGTAAAATGTTGTCATGTAGAGCACGAGGCACGGGGAGAGGGCGGCCTCGCACATTCCCAGCAGGAGACGGCAAGCGAGCACCTGCGCGTAGTTCCTGCAGAAGCCGTTGGCAAGAGAGATACCGCCCCAGATAATGACGACTGCGGGGATCAAACGCTTGGGCTTGAGGCTGCGGAGGAGGATGGTAGCTGGCGTTTCCTGGGGTGAGCGACGTTGGAGCTGAACCTACGAAGATGACATAGGTAACGTAGAAGATGGACGTGGCGACACTCAAGCCGTTGGCTGGAAAGTTCAAGTCCTCTGTCATTCCTCCCACGGCGGCATTGCCGATGTTGGCGCGGTCAAGGAACGCGATGAGATACAAGCCCATTGCGACTGGCGCAATGTGCCGGTCGAGCTTCCACACGAGATGCTTCTCCTCGTCCTTGTCGAGCTCGTTGGCCGCGAGCGCCTCGATGTGCGCCGACTCGCTCTGCTCGCCCTTGGCGTCGAGGTCCACGACCTCGATGGTAGTCTGTTCTTCCTTCGCTGCCATGATGAGTCGGTCAGGCAATGGTGGTGAGTTGAGACAGACGTCAGCACTGTTTTATGGATGGTTGCGTCTGATAACAAGCATTAGCGCAGCATCGTCGTATCGCGAGATGAATGCGGAAAGCGGAATCGCAGCGGCGCGCTAATGAATAGACAATGGGGAAGCGAGAAGCGGGTGAGGTGTGTTTCAGTCTCCACGTGAGGCACCTACAGCCGAGGAATGACATGAATGGTGGGCATGCCGTAGATGATGCTATACTGGGGCCCGTCCGGCTCAGCGTCCCCTGGGCTGTGACGTGCAACAGATAAGTGGGGGAGGCTCTCCGCGCGGTGTGACGCTGCACAGGTGTCGATTCCGGATAACCGACCGCTGGCATTCCGTCGGCTGCGCGCTCCGGTCTGATTGCGAGCGAGCGGTGGTGTTACCTGCGGTCGTGTTGCGCTCCGCGGATACGTGCGGGCTGTCATGGCGAATGGACATAGAGCACAACTGTGAGGAGATAGTTTGCCGAGCTCAAAGGTTGCGTTATTCTCGATATTGATGCTTGGAGTGGGGGGGCTGCGACTTGGGGTTAGCTGCGGTATAATGCTGCACCGCAGCCACTTATTCTTCGCTGCCACTATCTTCACTGCAAATGAATCGTCGCTCATGATGAATGAGCTGTCGAAGCGTGTAGCGGGACAACACGGCAGCAGTGCTAAAGTCGCTGCGGTGGGTGGTATGTCGTAGAACAGGCGGTGACCTCGTATCTTGTTCATGCCACTGTATGCGACTTTACAACGGACGAGTGCTATGGTGCTTGTTTGTGACCTTCGAGGTGTTTACGTGTGTCATCTCCGCATGCTGGACCTTTTGTTGAGCGTCGGGCGGCCCAGGAGGGACATATTGCTGAACAGCAACAGCGGGTCATCAGCCTAGCGTAGAGCACACGTAAAGAGCCACAGAATTGTTGTGCAAACAAAGGCTATTCATTTCGACTACCGCCTAGAAGTCGACGCGCGACCGCTCCGCCACACTGCCCCGCATCTCGACCTCTTTAAATCCGTTCTCCTTCTTAGCCACAACTACCTCGGAGCCAGGGATGCCCCACCCGCCGGCCCCCGGGGTATGGACTTCGAGGGTATCGCCCGCTGCGAACTGCATCGTGCCCTTCCCACCGACATTGACGACGCGTCCGCCCTCACGCACCCACAAATTGCGGCCCATGCCGCCCTCGCCGCCGCCGTCGACGCCGTACGGGGCCCGTGCGCGCCGCTCACTCATGATCGACACCTGCAGATTCTCGAGGAACTGGTACGAGCGCACGACGCCGTCGCCGCCGCTCCACACGCCCTGTCCGCCCGAGCCGGGGCGGAAGTGGAACTCGCGCAGCAGCACGGGGTAGCGGCGCTCGAGGATTTCGGGGTCCGTGATCCGCGTGTTCGTCATGTGCGTGTGCACGCCCGACGTGCCGTGCCAGCCGGGGCCGGCGCCCGAGCCGCCACAAATAGTCTCGTAGTATCCCCATCCGTCCGTGATTTCGCCTGTGATGGGGTCTTTGCCGCCCACACCGAAGGTGAGGTTGTTCGTGTCGCCCTGCGAGGCGGCGCACGCGCGAAAGGCTTTGAGGACTGTGTCGGTTACGCGTTGCGATGTCATGACGTTGCCGCCGCAGACGGCGGCGGTGGGCGAAGGCGAGAGGAGCGAGCCCTTAGGGATGCGGATGTCTAGGGGAACGAGGCAGCCGGCGTTGAGAGGGATATCTTCACCAATCATGCTGCGGAGGCAGTAGATGACGGCGGCGTGGACGACGCACACCGGGGCATTAAGGTTGCCGCGCAGCTCCGGGCCAGTGCCTTCGAAATCGAAGACGGCGCCGCCAGTGTCGGGGTCAATCTCGACGCGGAGGCAGATCGGTGATCCATCGTCCAGGTAGTCAAGCGCCGAGAAAGTGGTGCCAATCTCCTTTGACGCGCGGCGCAGCATGTCGCGCACAGCGGACTCAGCGTTGCTTCGAATATGACCCATGTACGCGTGCACAGTGGGCAGGCCCCACTCGGCCACGAGGGCGGTGAGGAGCTGCACGCCTTTGTGGTTGGCGGCGATCTGCGCCTTGAGGTCACTCTCGACGTCGCGGAAATTGCGACAACCAGAGCAGCCAGGATACTGCGCCGGCTCTTCCACCAAGGCTGTGTACACGGCATCGCGGTTATACACGCCCTCGCTCACGACCTTGAGCGAAGGGATTTCGGCGCCCTCCTCGAACAGTGCGGTAGATGTGGGCGGCATAGAGCCAGGCAGGATGCCGCCGATGTCAGCGTGGTGGGCGCGCGACGCGCTGAAGAAGATGATCTCGCCGTTATCAAAGCATGGCGTAATGACGGTCAAGTCCGGAAGGTGCGAGCCGCCGCTTTGCGGCGCATTCGTGAGGAGCACGTCGCCGGGCTTGAGCGTGGGCCCATGGAGCGCAAGCTGATGCTTCACACTCCAGCTCATGCTGCCAAGGTGGACAGGCATGAAGGGTGCATTGGCAACGAGGTCCCCCGTCGGCGCGAAAACCGCACACGAGTAGTCGAGGCGTTCTTTGATATTCGTAGAGATCGAAGTCTGCTGCAGTGACCGGCCCATCGCCTCGGCGATGGACATGAAGCGGTTTTGGCTGCGGTTAGGGCTGAGCAGAGGGCACGGAGAGCTCACAAAACAGAGAGGGTGATGGGGTCGTACGGGACAACGCGGTCCTTGTTGGCGGCTACCATGGTTGTGTTACGGTGGAGGGACTTGGCCTCATTCTACGAGGAGCCATCGTGTACTTATCAGCTGTTGAGCAAGAGTGAGAAGCGGAGTTGAGCGAGAGCTGGAACACGATTGCGGAATGACGCACGGCTAAAGCGGAGCAACACCGCCACGATTCCGCGGCCCGCGAACCCCCCTCCCCCACTGTCGGCCAATGTTTCTCTCCTCCTCTTCACATCATCCTCCAACGCCATGTCCGCTATCAGTTCACGTTGACGTGCCGACATGCCCACCTGGCCCGCTCGGAGTGCACGCGCATACCATGATACGAGCGGTCCGCACTTCCGCGTCGTCAGAGGACTCCCGGACCGACCAGACCTCATTCCTCGCGGTTCCCGCATGTCGTATCGCGCATCTCCGCTCATGCGTCTTCAACAGACTCGGCTCGAGGTGATCCACAGATGTGGCTCGCGATATAACTGCCTGAGTCTGAGGTACTACTGGCTTCACCCTCATCAACCATGACCATCCTCAGCATCCCGGAGTCAAGTATCCGAGTCGCCATCGACCGTGGAGGCACCTTCACGGACGTGCACGCGTCTGTGCTCGATCCTAGCGGCGGACGCAGAGAGTTCGTCATCAAGCTTCTCTCGCAGGACCCAGGAAACTACGCCGACGCGCCGACCGAGGGTATCCGCCGGGTGCTCGAGCGAGTCACCGGCACCTCAATTCCGCGCGGCGAGCCGCTCCCTATTAAGCATCTTGGTGAGCTGCAAGCTGGAACTACTCTGATACAGACTACGTCCGCCTCTCCACCACGGTGGCTACTAACGCGCTCCTCGAGCGTAAGGGCCAGGACCACGCGCTCGTGATCACTAAGGGGTTCCGTGACCTCCTCGAAATCGGAAACCAGACTCGGCCCCGCATCTTTGACCTCAACATCAAGCGTGCGCTGCCTTTGTACTCCAAAGTCGTCGAGGTCGACGAGCGCGTCACTCTTGGTAAGCGGAGAGTGTGTGTGCATGCTAATGGCAGTCGGGTACACCTCTGATCCGAAGCATGCTGAGCACGCCGTAACCTTCGACGCCGACGGCTCCGTCAAGAAGGCCTACTCTGGCCCAGGGGCCGAAGCACAAGCTCGTCTCATGCCCCAGCCCATCGTGCAAGGCCTCTCAGGTGAGGCCGTCAAGGTCCTCCAGGCTCCCGACGAGGTGGCCCTCCGTGCCGACCTCCAGGCTGTCTACAACGAGGGATATCGTGCCGTCGCCGTGTGCCTCGCCCACTCGTACACGTACCCTCAGCACGAGCTAGTAGTTGGCCGCATTGCAGCCGAGGTCGGCTTCGAGAACGTCTCGCTGTCCTCCCAGCTGCTTCCTGTTATCAAGATGACGACGCGCGGACAAAGCACAACGGCTGACGCGTATCTCACCCCCATCCTGAAGGAATACCTGCGCGGCTTCTACCGAGGCTTTGAGGGCGGCGCGGACGGCGGTCTGCGCGTCGAGTTCATGGGCTCTGACGGCGGCCTTGTTGAGCTAAAGCATTTCTCGGGCCTCAAGTCCATCCTGTCCGGCCCTGCCGGCGGTGTTGTCGGCTACGCCCTGACTAGCTGGGATGAGGAGGAAAAGGCGCCCATCATTGGCTTCGATGTCGGCGGCACGTCGACCGATGTCTCCCGCTTCGCGGGACGGTACGAAAGCGTTGCGGAGACGACCACCGCGGGTATCGCCATCAACGTCCCCCAGCTCGACATCAACACTGTTGCAGCTGGCGGCGGCTCCTGCCTAACATACAAGAATGGACTGTTCCGCGCCGGGCCCGAAAGTGCAGGGGCACACCCCGGCCCCGCATGCTACCGAAAGGGCGGACCACTCGCACTCACTGACGGCAACCTGTTCCTCGGTCGCCTGGTGCCGCAGTACTTCCCCAAGTGCTTCGGGCCAAATGAGGACGAGGCACTCGACCCCACTGCAAGTGAGAGGCAGTTCGCTGCGCTTGCGGAAAAGATCCGCGCGCACACCGGCACAGAGAAAGACATGGACGAGCTGGTGTACGGCTTCGTCAAGATCGCCAACGTGACGATGGCGCGCCCGATCCGCACGCTGACTGAGGCGCGGGGGTTCAAGACCTCGGACCACGTGCTCGCCTCCTTCGGCGGCGCGGGCGGCCAGCACGCGTGCGAGATTTCCGAGCTTCTGGGCATCTCGCGCGTGCTGATCCACAAGTTCTCGAGTGTGCTCTCGGCGTACGGCCTCTCCCTCGCTGACCGGGTCTATGAGCTGCAGGAGCCGGCAGCAGACGTCTACTCAGCGTCCGCGGACACGCTGTCAGCGCGCCTCGACGGGCTCGGCGAGCGTGTGCGCGCCGTGCTTCGTGCCGCCGGCTTCGACGACGCCAAGATCCGCCTTGAGCGCCTGCTCAACATGCGCTTCGACGGGAGCGACACGGCGCTCATGGTGCTCGCGCCGGACGGAGACTACGCGGCGGCATTCATGCGCGCACACATGGACGAGTTCGGGTTCTTGCTCGACAAGGAGATCGTCGTCGATGACATCAAGGTGCGCGGCATCGGGATGAGCTACGAGTCGCTTGGGCGCAGCGCGCTTGCGGAGGTGCGCACGCTCAGGCGTACGCCGCCGCCCAAGGCCGACTTGGCGCAGGAGGTGTATGTGTGGCATGGGGAAGCGGGGAAGCGCGTCAACGCGCCTGTATACGAGCTCGAGAGCCTCGCGACGGGCAACGCTGTGCCTGGACCCGCCCTGGTCATCGACGATACGCAGACAATCTTCGTCAATGTCGGCTGGACAGCGCTCGTGACGACAAACCACCTGATGCTGGTGCGGGAGTAGGCAGAAGCGGTCCGTGATCCAAAGTCAAGATGAATCATGTGTGTAGTCTCCGACTGGTCTTTGTCCTGGTGCTTCTGACGCACGTCTCAGTCTTTGTTTTCTGGCACCTCAGCGCCACTGGGGCACCTGGGGCACCTGGGACACCTGGGGCACCCACACTTCTGGCGTCACTGCTCACACTCATAACTCGGAGTCGGTCGGAGCGCCTCATTGGGAGACGTGCCCACTCGGCCGCCATTCATACCTCAACCTGTCTTGGAACTCGAATCTCGGCCCATCCCGGCGGTAATGTGTGAGATCCGTCGGCGACAAGGCCATAGGGGTCAGGCGGCCAGGCGGCCAGGCGGCCAGGAGGCTGGCCACGCTGCACATTCAGAAACGCGGGTATCCACGTGTGACCAGGATATATGGGACGCATGCAGGCATGGCCTTGGATTGGTGCGATGCCCGTTGGCAGTTGCCCGTTCTGCTTATGGCCGGATGACCGCTGGACCATGGGTGACACGCTGCACGGAGCGACGGCCGCGGCGGCTTGGGACGGAATAATAGCAAGTGGGCGCGGAAAAGGACGGGACGGTGATCATTTGTAGATCCAAAACAAGCCATACCCCACAGCGGTTCAAGCGAACGCCGAACGCCGGCGTCCATCAAGCGGAGTACCGAGCACAACACTACTCCGCACTTGATCACGACCAGCGCAGCAACTCGCACTCGGATATCGCGAGATGATAGCCAGCTGACATCTACCAATGCGTAGGAGGGCACGGAGGATGTTGAACACGGACGGAGGGCGGCACGAGGTACAGCCCCCCCCCCCCGATCGGGTAGACATGAGGAATGCGCGGGGTAATGCCGAATGCCGGCGGGGCTGCGGGGCGTCCAGACTCGGGGGCTGCCCACATGTAACCGAACAAGCTCATCATCTCAGCAAGCTCATCTCATCACTCTCTCCGCGACCTCGTCCGCGCTCTTGATACCCATCCATCCACTGATCACCGACATCCCGACGCCGAGACCAAAGCTCGAAAGCTCCAAGCACTCCGAGGGCCGCCCCGCCGCCCGTACCTCAGCCCCGACGATCGCGGAGTCAGTCCACTTGACATCCGTTAGCTCCGATCACGTGCATCCAGCCGTCCCGCTTGCTGTCCTCGATCCCACCAGTCGTCTCACACGTACACCACTCCGGGTCCTCACTCTCCCCGTCTCCCTTTCGCTCTCCCCATCGCCACGCTCGATGCCACCAGCCCCGCCTATTCCGCCACCAGGCGGCTCCGCCGCCGAAGCCGTACGCCCCTATACCTACAAGAAGCGCCCATACGCGCAAGCCTGTCTCGTACGTCGGCCTCCACTACCCTCTAACACTAGGCATGTAAGGCGCGCAAGATCCGCTGCGTAGAAGCCGACAACCCGCCATGCAAGGCGTGTCGAACGGCACGCATCACCTGCGAGTTTCCTGAGCGCTCCGTCCGGCGGCGGCGAAGCACAGCGGCGCCGACAGCGCCAAGCGCAAGCGACGTCGAGAGCGCGGCAAGCGCGATCGAGCGCCGCCTCGAGAGACGCCTGCAGCGCATCGAGGAGGCGCTGCGGCTCTCGCCTCCGCGCCGGGGACAACGGGAATCGAGCATGAAGTCCGACGGCGACAGTAGTAGCGAGGAGGAGCTCGATCCGCCGCGGTTCACGCTCGGCGGCGCCGAAATGCCTGTATATCATGGCGAGACGTCCATGCACGAGGACGCGGTCGCGCTCGATCCGTCGCCCAAGACGAGCAGCTCGGCGCCGACAAACAAGCCAAGCGTGGATGCGAGCCAGTGGACTCAGGAGGACATACGCGCTCTCACACGCCTCCGGCATAAGTACGCTACAGCCGACGAAGGTGAGGCCCTCATGGACGCGTACTTTACCTGGGCGTCGCCGTCTACGGCCGTGGTCAACCGCCGCCTCTTTCTCCGCGACATGGCCGTCAACGGCCCATACTTCTCCGATCTCCTCCTCCTCGTCATGTACCGATCGGGACTGCGCTTCTCGCCCAACCTCAGCGAACAGGAGCGCACCATCCGCTCCGAGCGGTACATGAACCTCATCATGCAAATGATCGCCGAAGAGCTGAGCAAGCCGAGCACAATCGTGACGACGCGTGAGTCTGCTTGCCACCTCAACGAGCTTTCTGCGCAGAGCTGACTGCCAGAGGCATTGTTGTCCCTCGCAGGCACACAATCCGCCCGCGGCGAACACACCCAAGCGTGGATGTTCACGGGCATGGCGATCCGCATGATCCAGGACCTCGGCATCCACCTCGCGATCGACGAGCCGTCTCTCGACGCCAACATGGACCAGGAGACGCGCGACGTGCGCGTGCGCCTCTACTGGTCCGCGTACTGCTGGGACAAAAGCATCTCGCTCGCGATGGGCCGCGAGCCGGCGCTCACGATGCGGAGCTACACCTCCCCGCCCGCGGTGCTGCTCAACGAAAGCGACGACGACTGGGAGTGGCGCCCCTTCTTTCCCGGCGGCGGCAATCTGGACCTCGTGCTCCGCTACCCACGCACCACGAGCATGACAAACTATGTGCTGCGCTACTATGTGGTGCTGAACCAGATCCTCGAGGAGATCCTCGTGAACATGTACTCGCCGCACCGGCCGCAGGCGCGCTCCGTCACCTTCATCCGGCACGCGGACGAGAAGCTGAAGAAGTGGTGGGACGAGCTCCCGCCCGCGCTCAAGCTCGACAAGGCGCGCCTGCCCGAGTTCTGCCCGCCGACCAACATCACCCTCATGAACCTGCTGTACCACTGCGCGCGCATTCTGCTATACCGTCCGCTGTTGACGGTGCGCGCGCAGCCAGCGGGCGTAACGACATCCCTCGAGATCTGCCGCGGCGAAGCCAACGACATCCACACCATCCTCTCCCTCTGGGGCCGGACGTACGGGAACATCAACATGGTCTATCTCATCATGTACACGACGTTCGTCGCCGCAGGCGTCGACGTCATCCTGCTCCGCATCGCGGACGAGCGAACGCGCGAAGAAGCTCTCGAGCGCGTACACCTCTCCCTGTCTATTCTCGAGCAGGTGTCGGGTCAAGGACCCGGCATCCGGCGCGGCATCAGTATCATTGCGTCCCAGCTCCAGGCCGCCATGCAGCGGCATTACGCGCCGTCGAACGGCGCCGGCTTCGCCGAGAGCGCGATGCGCAATAGCGCGCCCGATAAGGGCAACGCGACGCCCGTCGCGCAGCCGCCCCCGCTCGACGCGCTCACCGGCGCCGGGTTTAACGACCCCCTCGCGCCCATCACGTTCCAGTCGCCGGCGCTTTTCGACGACCCGCAGGCCCTCGCAGACTTGCTTGGCGAGAGCAACGTGTGTACGGACGACCCGTTCGCGTTCCTCACCGCCGACGGGTGGGACGAGATGCGTTTGGCGACGTAGTTAGGTCGGAAGAGGAGAGGTGAGCAGAGATAGGATCAGCGAGTGGGCGGAGGATTAGGTCGGGTGGGCACATCGAGATAGTTGTATAGATGCATTTGGGTTTTGCGATCGCAGTGAGTAGGGATAGCGCTGTGGGTAAATCACGCTGTCAGTTGAACCGCCGCGGCGCAGCTCTGCATCCACGATTACAACTGTATAAGCGTCACCTCGGTCTGAGAGATCACACCTTTCCTTTGGGACCATCCTTCTCGTCCAGCTTGGCCCTCGCTATGCCCGCCGTTAGCGCCTCAACCTCGTCCTCGAGAGCCGCGTCCTTGGCCGTTTCGGCCTCGATAGCCTTGGCCTTGGCTTGGAGGGGCTCGTTCTCGCCGAGCTTGTCCGTGCCCGCATCCTGTGCTGCCTCTGCCTCCCCTCCCTTGGCCTGCTCCTTCTCGACCTCCTCGCCCTCACTGTCCGCCGCCTTCTCCTCATCATCTGATGTCTCCGTCGCCTCTGCATCCGCCGCACCCATCGCCATCCACTCGCTCCGCAGCCGCTTCTGCCCCTCCTCGATCAAGGCGTCCAGCTCCTCCTCCCACCCTATGGCGCGCACAAGCTCGCGCACCGCATCGTCCGCGTCGCCGAGGTACACGCCGTCCCGCCCCCTTCGCTTGCCGTGCTTGACACGGGTGAAAGGCCCCACGGCCTCGCGGTTGATCAGCAGGCGCGGCACAGAGGATGAGACGCGGTCCACAAGCGCCGCGAACGGATGTACCTGCAACGACGTGCCGATTACGAGGATGAGGTCTGCGCGGTAAAGCTCGGGCTGGGGTCAGGCTCGAGCTCACTTCCCGACTCACCAGTAGCTGGAAGAAGTTGTCGGGGAGGCCCTCGCCGAAGAAGACGATGTCCGGCTTTACTAGCCCTTTGCAGTGCTCGCAGCGGACGACCGCGCCCTGCCGCACCCCTGCCTTGAGCACGTACTCGGTACTCGCGGACCGGCGGCACTTCAGACAGTGCGCGGTGCGGAACGACCCGTGTGCCTCGACCACGAGGTCCTCGGGCACGCCAGCGGCCGTCTCGAGCGTGTCAATGTTCTGGCTCCACACGCGCTGCAGCACCTCCTTGTCGTGCAGCAGCTTCAGGAAGTAATGCGTCGGCGTCGGGAAGTACTTGCCAGGATACAGGTCTTTGGCGAGCGTCCAGAAGGGCTGCAATCAGCTGTGGGGCATGGAGGCAGGGCAAGCTCACCTCGGGCCGGTGGAGGAAGTAGTCGAGCGAGAAGACCGCTTCGGGGACCGGCAGGTCCAAAGCCTGCAGGTTGTCATAAAGGCCGGTGCCGGGAGAGCGGAAGTCGGGAATGCCTGCCGACGTAGATATGCCTGCGCCGGTGAGGACAGCTATCTTGCGCGCTGGGGTTAGACTCGGAGACCATCTGCACGGCCGGCCACACCGGCCTTCCTCCAGCTGAGAGGCACTCGACGACAAACGCGCCGCCTTGTATCGCTCCGTCGCACCGCTGCCTCACAACTGCACGCGGATCTTGTACTACTCACCTTTCCCTTCACGAATGAGCGTGGCGGCGTGTTCGATGGATTCGAGAGGCTTGGTCATGACGGGATAGGAGATGGAGTGGGCGATGCTAGGAGGCAGAGAACGAATGTGGTGGATTCCAGTTGTGCCTGAAGACGTGAGTGGCGAGTGGTCATGGCGGGTGGCGCTCGGCGCATTCCGTTCGCCACCCAGCACCATGCATCGCTGAGGGCAACACGGATGACGGAGTCGGTGCTCTTGTCCATGGTTAATAAAGTGCAGGCATCTTGTCAAGAACGTCTGAAAGCATGAACAGAGGCCAAGGTCAAGGCGCCGGGTCAGCTGGCCACACTGGTCGTCGTTGGCGCTGATGTCTGTTCCTTGGGTCGTCGGCAGGCTATTTGAAGACCGGACGGCGCGTCGCGTCACCACGCTACGCCGAACATCACGCCCCTGTGGACGAGGTGATCGGAGTGGCCGGAGTGAGGGGGGCCGAACATGCTTTCGGTGGTGATGAGATGAATGAGAGGGCGACTGCGGTTCAGTCACCCGACCTTCCTTCCCTCCTCTAATCCGGTTCAGTCATCTCAACTCTCCTTCTCTCTCTCATCATTCAACCATTCATCCCCAAGCCCACCAGCTTCATGTCACAAACACTTGCTGACAGCGTCTGGCGCCGGCGATATCACGCTCACAAATACGCAGCATGCTGAGAGCCCACGCTGATGTTGAAGCGCGCATCGTATCCAGATATTCCGTTTAACCATTGTGCCGGGGTCACCAGCGCCTGACATTCCTCGCGATGCACATGGAGTTGATGATCGAGCACTGATTGTGCAGCGACTCCGAGGCCCGGTCGCGAGTAGGCTGCGGCCGTGGTGGTCTTGTGAGCAATCTAGTTGGCAATATCAAGGAGGTTGGAACAAATGGGCTAAGCAATGCAGATCCAGGTGAGCTGAGACATCGCAACTGGGCGATAGCTGAGGTGAGCATCTACAATCCGACTTTGACCTGATAGGCACAGTGTGTGCCATGTTCTTTTGCGGGCGACCGAGCGCGTAATGACAGAAGCGTCGTCAAGCGGCCACCACGTTGATCGGTATCGAGCTGCCAGGCAGCCGTCGTGGCGGCAACTGGCTGCCCCGACGCGACCAGATCTCCTTCCCATCCGCTTGTCGTCCCTGCGTTCTCCCCGCACTCCACCTCGCTTACGCCCCTGACCAGCTCAAGCAGTAACCAGACGAAGAAGCAGTGACGCGCTCTGACGACCTGGCTGAAATGGGCTGGAACCGGCCAATGAGGTAATCGCCGCGGGCACCGGCCAACACCGCTGGTTGTTTGGCCCTGCGGCTGTGAGTCACGAGGGCTGGGCAGCAGGCCCACGGTGTGGTACCGCGGATTGGCGCAAGATAGCCCCACACATGCTTGATCCGGACTACTGACCGGGCCGTCCCCCGGTGTCCAAGTGCATGACTTCGCTGCTGCAGCCGAGCTTGAGGCGAGATGCTGTCTCGTCGACTCGTTTCACTTCTCCATCACTCTCTTGCTCATCACACCCACGAGTTTGGAAGCGCGGCTCTAGTACTATTGAATCCAGCGTCGAGCCTAACCATCTCACACGCGACCTTCGAACGCGACATACCCATACAGCTACACAGCCAACAACACACGCGATGTCACTCGACAAAGAGAAGGGCGTGGCCGAGTCGCAGGGCCGTGTCGTGCCGGCCGGCAGCGACGATGTTGCGCACCGCCTAGAGGAGATGGGCTACAAGCAGGAGCTGCAGCGTAATCTCGGCATGGTCGCCGTTCTTGGCCTGTCGTTTGCGATCATGGCGGTGGGTACAAATGCGATGAGTGGTGAAACACCTGGGCGGACGTGAGATGGTTGTAGAACGACGCGGAGGAACGCGAAGGAATCGCGAGCCTCGATCTCACGTACTGGCCTGAGCCGTGCGGCAGCGGTATCTACCCGTTTCACCATGCGCTTGGTGTCCAGCATAACATACACTTGGTCGCGCCGTAGGAATAATGACTGACACCAGGTCCCATTCGGCACGTCCACGACCTTCCCCATCGCTCTCATCGACGGCGGACCCGTGACCATCCTCTACGGCTGGATTCTCGTGTCGCTCATCTCGTGCTGCATCGCAGCGTCGCTGGCTGAGATGTGCGTAGCTATGGAGTTTGGGCTGACGACAGCTGCTCAGTTTACCCAACTTCCGGCGGAGTCTACTGTGCGTCCCGCCCCGAGGCAAGCTGACAGCAGACTGGGCTGCCATGCTCTCCACCCCAAAATACCAGGCTTTCTCGTCGTATCTTACCGGCTGGCTGGGCACGGTCGGCAACTGGACGTAAGTACTATCTCTGGTATCGCGATCGCTACCGATAACCTTATCGAGCCAGACCTGGCTCGCATGCCGTCTTGAATCGCGCTCATCCCAGTGTCACCGCTTCCATCACTTTTGGCGGCTCCCAGCTCATCCTGGCTGCCGTGACGCTCTTCCACGATGACTACGTCCCCACCGCATGGCAGACCGTTCTGGTGTACTGGGCTGCCCTCCTCGGCTCCCTTGCCATCAACATCTTCTTCAACCGGTATATTACGGCAATGAGCCACTGCTGACCTCAGCCACCTGGACAAACTTAACACCATCTGCCTGTACTGGACGGGTGCCGCTGTGGTGATCATCATTGTGACGCTCCTCGCCCGCGCTGAGAAGCGCAACTCGGCCAAGTTTGCTTTCTCTCACGTACGTCTGTTTTCCTCGCCTCAATTATCCCGGCAAAGTTATCTTGGCTCGCTGACACCAGTTTGATGCGAGCGGCGCGGGCTGGCCAGAGCCGTGGGCGTTCTTTGTCGGCCTTCTTCAAGCTGCGTACACCTTGACTGGATACGGCATGGTCGCAGCTCTCTGCGAGGAGGTGCACTCTCCACAGAAGGAGGTGCCGAAGGCCATGGTTTGGAGTGTTGTCGCTGCCGGTATTACTGGCATCGTCTACCTTCTGCCCATCATCTTCGTGCTTCCCGTCGACCAGATTGATTATCTCCTTGCGGTGCCGTCCCTCCAGCCTATGCCGGAGCTCTACAAGATCGTGACGCGTAGCGCAGCAGGTGCGATGTGTCTCCTGACTCTCAGTGAGTCTCCTCTAGTGTCGCCTCTCCCCTCCAAGGTCACTCTGACATGCAGTTCTCGGTATTTGGTTCTTCGCGACTGTCGGCTCGTTGACTGCCGCATCTCGTTGCACGTGGGCGTTCAGCCGCGACGGTGGCATTCCGCTCTTCAAGGTGTGGCGCAAGGTTAACCCGCGCTATGATGTGCCGGTCAACGCGCTGATCCTTTCCACCATTGTCTGCGCGCTCCTCGGCCTGATCTACCTCGGCTCCTCGGCTGCCTTTAACGCCTTCACTGGCGTTGCCACCATCTGCCTGGGCTGCTCGTACGCCTTCCCCATCCTCTGCTCCCTGCTCCGCCGTCGCCAGATGGTCCGCAACGCGCCTTATTCGCTCGGCGCATTTGGATGGGTTATCGTAAGTTGCGACTCCCCTCACGCCAATCCATCAGATGACTGACCGCAGAACTGCATCACCTGCGTCTGGATCACCTTCACCATTGCGCTGTTCTGCATGCCCACGGCAATTCCCGTGACGCCGCAGACTATGAACTATGCCTCGGTCGTGTTTGCGGGCTTCTCTACCATTGCGGCCCTGTGGTACGTAGTCTACGGGCACAAGAACTACAAGGGTCCGCAGGTCGCTGTGCTCGCGCGTCGCATGAGCACCGCCAGCGAGGGAAGCCGCCGTGCGAGCATGACCAGGGGCGAGATCCCGACCCAGTGATAAATCGGGGCTGGAACGGGGGGCAGCGTGGGCTGTGGGATCGCTCGTAATTCCGTTGTAGACCAGACCGCATGTACGCGTTGCGTTCGTTGAGCTATTGATGTGGCGCAGCCACTCTGCACTCGACGTGACATGATTAGCGGAAGCAAAATTGGGTAACCTCGCCTTTAGCCGGCGCGTGCGTCATGGCAGCCGCGCTCCGCTCTGAAATTACCTTCCTCCGGCCCGCGACTCGTCATCCTCCATCCTCCATTGGGCCTCATATCATCTCCATTCATCAACATGTTTGGAGCAGGCTCCCGGCTGGGTGCACGCCTAGCGCCCGCCGCGCGTGCGTTCCGCTCCCAACCGCACTTGACGGCGACGACGCCTTTCTTCAAGCCCGCACCGCGAGATCTCCGGCAGGCAAGCAGGCCACTCCACTCCTCCTCCCCGTCTGGCGCCGAGCTCGGGAGGATTAAGCCGCGGCGAGTCGCTGTCATCAACGGCGAGATCGTGGACGGACTTCCGAAGCCAAGTATCTGGAGACCAATAGCTGTAAGTGCAGGCCTTCTTGGGTTGGGCGGTGTGCGATGGCGATGGCATTATTCAGAAGACCCACGGGTGTTGCTACGCGCCGGCCCAAGTGCTGCCGGCGTGTGGGCCTTCCTACAATGCTTGAGCTGACGTTAGTTTGCCGTCGGTCTCTCGCTCACAGGCTTTGCACTTGGCGCGCTCTACGTGAACCGCGACACCAACGTCTGGCTGAACCGGATGGGCAGCGGCTCGGCCTGGCGCTTCGGACGCGACCCGTCTGACCGGGACCTGATGAACGCAGCGCGGATGCACCGCGTCAAGCGCGCGCAGGAGACGCTCAACACCCTGCCTAAGGTGTTAAGCTGGCTGCCTGACGTCCTCCTCGTCCCAGTGCTTCGCACCTACGTCGTGTACGAGGAATGGAAGATAAACGCGCCAGCTGCACATGTCGCACCCGCCATCCTCATCGCCGGCATGGGCGCCATTTTCCTCGCGTGGCAGGTGCCGAGTGCGCAGGGTTTCATGAAACGCTGGTTCCTGCACCACCCCGTTGTGTTCGGAGGCAGGCGCGCAGAGTGGCGTAACTGCATCACCATGTTCACCAGCACTGTGAGTCCCGGATATGCAGCGTGGAGGGACGCTAATGCCAGCTCTCCCACCAGAGCCTCGGCCACTTTGCCTTCAACTCGATTGCGCTCCACTCGTTCGGCTCAGCTGCGTACATGTTCCTCGCGGCGCAGCCCGCCGGCCTCCCGCACGAGAGCACGATTACCCATACGCCCCACTTCTATGCCTTCCTCCTCGCCGCCGGCCTCTTCTCCTCCCTCGGTTCGCACCTCTTCACCAACATTGTCCGCCTTCCGCGCTTGCTGCGCACGCTCGCCTCCCCCGCGCGTCTGAGCAGTGCGCACGCCCTCGCCGCGCACCAGGCCATCCTGCCCTCGCTCGGCGCGTCGGGCGCCATCTACGGCGCCCTCACCATGACCGCGCTGGCCTACCCAGACTCCCATGTGTCAATCATCTTCCTTCCCTTCATCAGCATCCCCATCGGCCTCGGCGTCGCCGGGATGGTCGCAATCGATGTTATTGGCATCTGGCGCGGATGGGCTATGTTTGATCACGTTGCGCACTTCTGTGGTGCGGCATTCGGCGCTATCTACTACAAGTGGGGGCGTGAATGGTGGTGGAGCGTGCGAAAGCGCCTGGGTGCGCATATGCGTCAGTAGGTTGCTCGACTTCCGGGGTAGATTCTAGACCGGCATGTATACTGCATCGTTCTGCATCGATGTCGCTACATCTCGTTGCTTTGGAGCATCACACAGAGACCTTCTGCAGCAGGCAGTTCCGAACTCCCAAGGAGCAATGGAGGAACATGTCAATCTGCTGGCTTCCACCTTACTCGCCTACATGAGAGCAACCATGCAGGGCGATTTGTAGTTTCAGCAGGCCACCAAGCCGGAGGCTCCACCTCTCCGAGTCAAAAACGAAGCTGTGGACGAGTTAGGAATCGAACCAAAGACCTTGTCAAGAGTTTGTAACCAGATCCTAATGAATGCCGGCCGGATGCTAATGACACGCTCTACCAACTGAGCTACACGCCCGACATTGAGTAAGCCCTCGAGACCCGCCATGCATGCTCTGGGCGCTCTCCTACGCTCCGGACACACTAGATGCATGGAAACAGGCTGAGCGTTTGTAACTATGCCAAGGCTAGAGGCGGAAGATGGAAACTATAGCTAAATATCGGCGAAAACGGGGTCGCGTACGACGCGCGCCATGGTCTCCGGCTCGAGCCAAAGCTGGACATTGACGCCGCCGGGCGCCTCGAGGGCACACACAAGACCATCGAGGCCCGGGAACGCGGCCTGGACCCAGGTGGGTTTGACGTCGGCGATCTGGAGGTCGTACATCCCGATGTGGAGCCACGACGTGGTGTGGATGTGCTCGCGCCCGAAGAACATGTTCCAGCGGCGCGCTGGATCGCTCGCATACGCCATGCGGTGCAGCTCGGCGCCAATGGTCGTGGGGGTATACGCGTCGATCGCGCTGCGGATCGCGCGGGCGGTGTCGCGCAGGTCCGCGGTCTCGGCGGCGTTCATCTGCGCGGCCGTGATGATCAGATCGGCGCCACAGTGCTCGGGCCCGACGCCGGGGACGCGGCCGCGCAGGCCGATGCACTCGCCGAACGAGACATTCGTGTTCTCCGGCAGGCCGCGGGCGCGCACGATGGCGCCCCAGACCAGCGCGTAGAGCGCGTCGAGCGAGCTCTTGCTGCCCGCGCGCGCCTTGAGGCGCGCGACTTCGTCGGTGGTGAAGGACAGCACGCGCTGCTGCACGTGCATGTACGACGCCCAGTCCCAGGTCGACCAGGGAGGCGCGGCGCCCTCAGTTTCCGGCGCGCCGGGGGCGCGCGTGAGCGCTGCAATAGGGAAGGCCGTGTCGGTGTTCTGGGTCATGTCCAGCCGCAGGCCGGGGAGCGTGTCCGCGAGCGCGAGGAGGGCGGGGTCGGGGCCGGGCGCGTCGATCGCGCCCGCTGCGGCGTCGATCGGCGTGCGGTCGAACGAGAGGTTCAGGGTCGGCAGCGGCGCGCCCTTCAGAAGTGCGTTGTAACTCTTGAACCAGGCGCCGATGACGTTCGCTGCGGAATGCGCGTCGAGGATGGCGTGGTGGGCGCGGAGGCCGAGCGCGATGCCGTCAGAGAAGCGCGTGATTTGCAGCGCGAGGGCGGGTCCCGTCTGCGCCATCGCCTCGGGGCGGAGGACGACGATGGGAGAATCGCAGAGGTCGTTGGCGCTCGCGGCGTCGGCGTCGAGCACGCGCCCGTTGGCCTTCGGGAGTACGTCATTGATCGAGCCGGCGTGTGTCGCGAAGGCGAGGGCGGCGCCAGGACCGTCGTAGTAAGCCCACGCGCGGCGGTAGCGCGTCGTGTGCGCCGGCCAGTCGCCTGCCGGCGGAGTGGTGTCGAGGCGTGCGCCGAGGAGCGGGTAGGTCGATACAACGTGCTGAAGCGCCTGCGTGAGGGCGCGCTCGTCGACGGTCGTAGGCGGGAAAAGGAGGGTGACGGGCACAACGGGCCACATTGTGGCGGCTGAGCCGGCGAGGCTGAGAGGCTCGGCAGCGCCAGGCGGGGGGCGTACGGACACACGCGAGGTGATTGTGAGCTTGGGAGGGTACGGGGTGTCGGGCATGTTGAGGATGGTGCTGTGGTGCTGATGGACTGAGCTGAGAGGCGGATCGATTGTGAAGTTGGGAGCTGCTGGTTCTGCTGTCTTCGCCTCGAGTGGCAGATTAAATAGTTGTTTTGGCTTTGGCCATGTTGAGCAACCAAGTCAGCGGGCAATGCGGTCAACGCTTGCCCGGTATCAGTCAATGATTGCTCAGCCCGTGCTCGCCCCGTCGCCGCTCGCTCAGCCGGCATCTGCTCATCGTTAGTACAGCATGCCCAGACATGAGGCGGTTTATCAATGCTGTCCTCCTTTTCGCGATCGCTGCCACTCGGACCCGAGCTAATCCTACCGGTATTCTTGGCGAAAAGTGCCACAGATGCGCCACTGGTTGCTGGTACGCATCCACCTACCGACCGCAACCGTGTACGCCCTGGTTCACGCAGGGTGAGTCATGCTTGCCATCAAAAAGCGGCGCGGGATCGATATCGGGCCGGTCGTGAGACTTCCGGACGCGCGTGGAATGTATTCGATGAGGATAAAGGTTGAGTTGTGCAGATCAACCTGGAGGGCGTCAGGCTCATTAGTAGTGCGCTTGCTGTTGTGAGCTTACACATCCCGTCGGAGGTGCTGCGAGAGATTAGAAATACTGGAATAAGGGTACTTACAGCGCGCCGCCACTGCCACGAACACAATATCATGCCACAATGCCATGTACGATGCGAAATGCTCTACCATCTAAGCATACACAACCAATCCTACACTCAAATGCTATGTGCCGGGCTTCTTGGGGCTGGCAGCTGTCGCGCTGCCCGCCAAGCTCATGGGCCGCAGACCAGAGTTGCGGCCAGAATTGCGGCGTGGCTCAGGCGGCGGCGGAGGCGGCGTCGCGCGCGAGAAGCTTGCCACGCGGCTCCCGAAGAACCCTGAGATGCTGCTACCGACCGAGCCCAGAGTGGTGCGAACGTCTATACCAGGCGAGGCGTTGGGAGACGCGGTAGGAGCACCTGTCGAATTGCCGGAGCGATTGGATGCGACAGAGGCCGGCCTGTTCGCCGCAGCAGGGGTAGAGGGTGCCAGTGCTGTCGCGGACTCCGGGCGAGAACCGGATGGGGAGCCATTGGGGGAGTTTTTCTCGCGCTCGGCTGCTGCCGCCGCGCGGCGGGCTTTCTCAGCCTCGAGGCGATTGTTGACCTCCGAGCGCACGCCGTCAAATGCGCGGAAAAGTGACGAAGAGCCTGCCGCAAACGCAGAACTGACTGCCGCCCGGGTTGGAGCAAGGCTTTCCTCAATCTTGAGGTCGTGCAATCCTTCCGCCAGGCGTATACCGACATCACTGAACGCGTTCACCTTGCCCTCCATTGGGTGACGAGGCTCAGTGAGATCAAAGATTACCTCATCGGTCGTACTGTTCCAGAGTTCATACGCCGGCGTTTGGCGGAATGACGCGGTGAAGGCCTCACCGAAGTGGAAGAGCGGGTTTGGCTCGCCAGGCGACGACACTCCTGCCGCTGCCGGATCTTGCGACCCTCTCCGTCCGACGAAGTCGGCGTACTTGATTGAAGCGAGGAATGCGCACAGATATTCTTCGAAGCGGTTGCGCAAATCGTCGTCGCTCCCAAGGAATCCCGGTCGCTCACCCTCAGGCAGGTTCCAGGTGTCTTCAACCGTCTTGACTATGTCGTCCATCCACTTGCGGTCCGCCGCCGTCAGTGCGACCAGCCTCTCGACCTTGGAGTCTGGGAAGTCGAAAGTCATGGTCTCAATCTGATGTCAGCCCAATGTGGCGGTCGATGGCACTCACGTTTGCGAGGAGATCGTACTTGCAGTCTCTCTGCTGCGTGACTATCTGGTTCGTCGTGCCGATGAGCCAGGAGTGCGCCTGCAACATGTCCATCTGCTGCAGTGGAAGGTACGGCTGGAACACGGCATCCGCGCCAAATAGGTGGAGGGCTGGAGTCAGCCAAGACCGCAAAGCACCACTCACGAAGTCCCATGTATCGCAGGAGGCTCGCACGGTCACTCGTCCGCAGAGAAGTTGGCCGTGTGCGCTGCGTCCGGGCATCGAGCATGGGCGAGCCACAATCACGCAGGTTCATGAGCAAACCTGTGGTCAGCAGTCTCCGCCAGTTTCAGCTCACCTGGTACAAGCGACACCAGTGAGTACTGATATGTGCACAGCATCTCGACGGGATACCCGAACAGCATGACGCGCTTCTGCAACAGCAGCATCTTGAGGAGCACAAGAGTCCGGTGCCGGAATTTGTGCACGAGCTCACGGAGGGACGTGCCTGTGGTTAGTGACCGAGGAACGGTGCTGCCATGAACATGCCGACGCACCCATGTAAATGGCGTTCTCACCCGCCTTGCCCTCAAGGCCTGCCTCGAGGCTCTCGTAGAAGTCGTGCAGGATCTGCGTGCTGCCGAAATCGCGCTGCGCAAAGAATGCGCGTGTAACGACACCCAGACGATCCCGCACCGGTCCAAACACTGGCTGCGATGCAAGCACAATCACGGCCTTCTGGACCATGCTACGGGTGACGTCGGAGGACTTGTGCAAGAGGTCGGATGCCGCGATTTGCCGATTGCATCTGGAGTCAGCGCGCGCATCCCGAGGCGAGTGAGAGGCCATGGGAGTCGTCGCCACGACGACAGCACCAGATCGTGGGGCTCTCGCCACCCGCGCTTCCACTCACGAGATGCCGAAGATTGTGCGACCCCATGGCACTTCGGTATTGGGCTCAGCCCCAGCCCTGGGGTTGAACGCGCAGTGCTAATGTTAGCGGGGTCAGTGATATGTTCCCACAAAGTACGAGTAGTCCTCTTCAGACAAGTGCGCCCCATCAGGAAGGGCGAGGAAGGGGAGGAGGCGAGACAGCTCGTCGTCGGCAGCCAGCGCCTCCGCCAGGCTGGCGGGGTGTGCAAACTCGACTGTTGGCCCGATAAGGTGGTTGAAGTCGACAACTGCCACACCCAGCACAAGCGGCACATCGCCGTCGCGCACCCGCACGCGCAACCCCAGACCGCCACCGAGAGTGCCTAAACTCGCGGCCGTGCTGCGCTTGCTCGGTGTGCCCGTGCCCAAGATGGTGTGATCGGAGCGCGCTGACGGCGAATCGGCAGACGAGGAGACGGGGGAGAATCCGCCGGCGATCGGGGGGCCAGCTCCCATGCGCGCCGCCTGGGGAAGCGCCATCTCCGGCGCCTCGGTCCATCCCGGTCCGTCGTCGAACCCGATCTCCTCGAATGCGACGCTGGACGCCGTCGCCCGCGAGTGGCCTGACGTCGCGGAGAGCGCAGACGCTGCGGAGGCGGTGGAAATGTTGCGTACGTGTCCCCGCCCCGGGGCGCGGGGGGAGGTGAAGGGTGAGCCGGTGGTGGAGGGAAGAGGAGGAACTGCGTCAGGCTCGGCGTTGCGCTCGGAGCTTGGGCTTGGTGGGCTGGGCTGGCGCTCGAGCTCGATCGCAGCTGTCGCTGGCTCCGGTTCGGGAGTGCGCACACGCAGCGCATCTGCTAGACTAGGCGTGCTGGCTGGCTCGGGAGTGCGGAAGTCCCCCTCTCTGTCCGTGTCGTCGTCGAGCGCGATGTCCTGCATCGTCGCAGTGGTCGCGAGCTCGGGACTGTACTCAGATCCAGCGGAGGTGTCTGAGCGGCCCGAATCAGAGAGGACCGACGTAGGGCGCAGCTTGTCGCTGGCCTGGGGAGCGGCGTCCGGCGCCGTGTCGGCCATGCTTGCTTGAAGCTAAGAGCTGAAAGGAAATGAAGAGATGAGAAGAGGAGAATGTTGACAGAGGAAGGGATGGAGTGAGGGGGATGTGAATCAGGCTTTCAGGGACAGGCGCGAATGATGGACGTGGCGCGACCCGCTCAATTTCCACCTCCAGCCAAGCAATCCCGCTTCAAAGACCTGGCTAGCTCTTGAGATTACATGCAATGCAGTATTGTACAAATGGAAACGCCCTCGTGCACTACCGCCCCTCCATCGCGCGGCTCTCGATTCGCTTGAGCAGCTGTCGAAGATTGCGCCCGTTCTTGACGCAATTGTCCTCGAGCCAGTCCTCAAACTCTGCCCGGATGGACGTCAGCTGCTCCGTGATCGGGACATCTGCAGGATTGAGTAGCGTGTCGAAAAGCTTGGTCCACAAGTCGGTCTGCCAATACTGCTGTCAGCGTTGGTTCAACGTCTCTCTCCGTGCTGCGCTACTCACCCGCTTCATTGGTGCGTCCAGCTTGACCCGCCCATCCTCGATAACAGTGCCGATGTACTTGCCGTGAAGGAGGCAGTAGCACACGCTTGCCAGGCCAAAGTAATCAGACTCGAAGGACCACGGCCGGCCCTCGCGCAGCTGAATGCAGTCACGAGCGTCAGCCTTCCAGTCCGCCACGAAGGTCTGCTTGTCGCCGGCCGAGAACAGCGAGAGGTCCGATGCGCGCCCAAAGTCGATGAGTCTGATGCCCTTCGCAGACCACCCGCCTGTGCCGTCGCGCGCGTACTGCGCGTCCCAATTAGTGGCGGGGTCAAGGCGAACGAGGCAGTTGTCGATCTTGAGGTCGCCGTGGATGAAGCCAGCGGTATGCAGGCCTTCAACGAGACGGAGAAGCTCGATCGTGAAGAAGATCGCGAGGATCTCGTCGGGGACTGCGGGTCCGTTGAGCGAAGGCCCGATGCTCCACTGCGCCGCCTTGTTGACGACGTCCAGCAGGGTGCCCTGTCGACAGTAGTCGAGGAGGAGGAAGGACTCGTCGGCGTAAGCGAACAAACCGCGCGGGCGGATGATGGACGCGACGAGGTTGGCGGCGATGCGCTCGTGCACGCGGGACAGTACCACGGCCTCCCACAAGTTGGTGGGCTTCTCGACCTTGATCGCGACCTTGGCGGCGTCCTCGTCGTCGTCGTCCGCGTCATCGAGCTGCATTTGCAACTCCTGGTCCACTGCGAGGAAGACGGAGCCGAAGCCGCCCTCGCCGATCTTGTGCGTCGCCTCGTACGTCTTGCCTCCCAACTGGAGATGGTAAAACTCGTCCGGCGAGAGCGACTGGCGCATCGACGCCGAGCTCGACCGGCGCGCATGCATCTTTGCGTGCTTCTGGAGCGCGGCGAGGCGGCCCGACTTGTCGGGAATGCGGCGGATCAGTGGCTGGTCTTCAAGGGGAGGGTCAATGCGCTCCAGAAGCGTGGCAATGACGGCCGCATCGCTGGGATTACATGGATTGGGGACGTCCGAGAGTACGGGCGCGAGCGCGAGGGCACCCAGAGCGGCGACCGGCGCTGCAGGAGATGCCACGCACTTCGCTGGCGATGGCTCGGCGATCGGAGGCTCCTGTAGCTTGAGGGACGTCTTGGGCTCATCAGAGAACACCATGAGCTTAGCCGAGGGCCGGTTCTCGTCCTGGTACACCGGAATTCTCTGCGAGACTTTGGGTTCGTCCTGGAAAATCTCCATTTTGGCGACAGGTGAGGCCTTCTGGCGAAGAGCCTCGACTCTTTCAGTCGCAGGCGACTTGTACTGCGCGGTGACGAAGTCGCCCGAGGCGTCGACGCTCGACTGAGTAGCATCCTTCGACTCGTTAAGCTTGCGCGCGATGGTGTAGCCCTCGGGTACATCGAAGGCGCCGGTGTCAAAGAGACCCGAGCGGTCAGCCCGGCTAGGTGAGCGTGACTCGTCCTCCTCTTCCTCCTCCTCCTCCGTGATCGCGAATCCGTGGCGCGAGCTCTTGGCTGTCGTGACCGTGTTCTCAAACGTCCGCTCCGTCACGGGCGTGAGCAAGTGGCGGTTGTACATCTGGTTGCGGAAAGGGCGCTCCTCGGGGTACGCCTCGTAATGGTCATTAAAAGTTTCTTGGTAGCCCTCTCCTTCCGGTTCAGGCTCGGTGCGATACGAGTGGTCATTCTGTGCCTCGGTTTCGTCCTCCGGGCCCACTTCAGTTCGGTACGAGTAGCCCTCGGCGTTTGCCTCAGTGCGGTACGACTTGTTCTCGTCCTGCACCTCCACATGCTCGATGGGTGACTGGTGCAGGGACTCGCGAGGCGATCGCGTACGAGGGGAGCTCTCCTCCTCCTCGGCAATGGCATCCTGCTGCAAAGCGAAGATGTTTCGTTGCACAGGCCTAGACGGCGCCGGTGTGTCGTTTTCGTCCGCCACGGCGCGGGGTGTGGGGGCAAGTGGGGTGCGCATACCAAGGGGAGCGCGCGGTGTGGTGCCGAGCGGCGCACGCGGCGTCATGGCAGGGCGGCGGTTTTCGTCTGCGTTGGCGTTCTCGTCGAACACCACCAGCTTGCGCGCCGCCGGCGCATTCTCATCCCCGAATGGCTCGCTGTTCTCGTCGGCGAAGATGTTGCTTCTGCCTGGTGCAGGACACGGTGTGGGCGGCACCATGCCGCCGGGGGTCATCATGGCGGCGCGTGGGCGGGGCAGGGGCGTGGGCATGACCTGCTCCTCGTGGTCGTCGCCATCGTCCTCATCCTCATCGGAAGACTCCGAGTCGGACTGGCGCGCCTTGCCGCCATGGATGGTCTGATTGAAGAGGTCCATGACTTCAGCGTTGGCAAGCTTGGTGTTGACTGTCGGCGAGGGCGGGCGCGGAGCCTGTGGCGGGGCCTTGGGGCCGGTCGCGCCGCCAGCGTGCCACGCCCGTTCCCATGCGGTAACGGGCTTGTACTCTTTGCCAAGGAGACCACGCTGGCGCGCGCGCACCTCCTCAAAGCTCCACTCCTCGCCGCCTCTAAACACCGCGTCCCAGTCGAACATGCGCCGCTCGCGCTTGCCCTTCGCATCGACAATCTCAGCGCCGCCTGTCGGGCACGTCCACGGTTCCATGACGAACTTGTGTCGCTTTTCGCGTTTCTTGTCCTTTGACGGCTTGCGCGCACTTGTTGGCGCTGCAGGAGCCACTAGCGCGGTAGGACGCGTCTCGGGAACCGTAGGGAGAGTGCTGATCGCGCCCACATCGAAGTTCCGCAGAGGGTCGAGACGGAGCATCTCGGCTTCGCTCGGCGGCGCCTTGGCGCGCATCACTTCGCCTCCGCCTGTAACAGCCGTGCCGTTCGTCTCCGAATCTTTGAACACCTCGATCTTGGGAGTGCGTGGAGCAACGCGGTGGCGTGCCGCGCTCTGCGGCAACGTCTCGCCACGCCATGGGGCGGCTTCGATCGTGTTCTCCTTCCGCCTGCCCTCGTGCGTTCCGAAGTCCTCCCACGGCGTGTGCTCCGGGTCTGATCTCCCCGCAGTGTCGGCAAAAATCTCCATCTTGGACCCGTTTGTCGCTCTCGACCGCCCGGCCGGTGTCTGCTGCACGGAAGGAGGCGGCCCGCCGATTGCGCCAAGAGCCGCCCGACGGGGCTGGGTTGGCGGTGTGGGATCGTCTTCAGGGATGTCCTCAGACGACGGCGCCATGATGCGTGTGAGGAAAGCCGCGTGCCGGTTCTTCAGCCGCTCAAGGGGCGCGGCGCGGCGCGCAATGCCGAGGCGGTAGACCTCGTCGGCCTTCTTCTTCCTACGTGTCAGTGGCTTCAACTAGTGCAGACTCACCGCCCGATGCCCTCCAAGACGAGCGCCCACTCCTCGTAGAACGCCGCGTGCCGTGTCCCAACATCGCGGCTCTCCAAAAACATCCACACTTCTTCCCGCCTCTCGACCTGGCGTGCGTAGATGATCCAGAGCTTGAGGTATCGTATGTCCTGTTGATATCGCGCATCGTCAATGAACCGTCGCGTTGCGCTCTCGACCACGGGGATGATGCGGCTTGGTGACGAGGGATTGTTCTGAACTGTGAATGAGACGTATCTGAAGTCAGGCTCCGCGAAGCGAGAGAGGAGGCGGAGAGAGGGTGTTGGAGGAGTCGGTCCCAAAGAAGCAGAACTCACCGGTTCCATAGGTCCAACACGTCGGCCACGCCGTCAGCCATGTCCTCGCCTTCGCGATCACGGCGCTCCGCCTCCTCAATATCGCGCTGGAACTGCTGAACCTTGGCCTCCTGGGCCTTGCGTGCCTCCTCATCAGCCTCAAAGTATGCGCCTAGGGCGGCCGCACTTCGTCCAGTCGCGAGCGGGCGGATGTTCTCCTTTTGAGCTTCGAGCAGCGCAAAGTCGGTCGTGGGGGCGTCCGGAGAAGTCGCCCGGGGTGTTGCTGGCACTGCTGCCATGGTGCACAGTGTTGTACAAGTGATGTTGGGCAAGTGGACTTGATGGATGACGATGTTTGTTCGGGGGCGAGATGAAAGTCAGTCGCCTTGTTTGGCTCAAACACTTATCACCACGTGTAACAATATGACGTGGATTTCATCCGTTCTTTCCATAATACATCTACTCTAATGACCTAATAGCCAGTTGATAGCATACACATATAGAATTCAACATCACCAAATTGCTCATGCGAGGTAGTGAAGCACATTCTTGTCCTCGACGTCGCGCTTGAGGAACTCTCGGTCGATCAGACTCTCGACCCGTTTCTTGATCTCCTTAACATCTGGCGGGAAACGCTTGGAGATGTCACTGACCACAGCGTCGATGAGCAGTTGCAACGTGAGCTTCTTGCGTCCCTTCATAATGCGAACAATGGTCGCTTCAAGGACAGACACGCGGTCGAGCGCAACTTGCTCGTTTGTCTGACGCGACTCCTCAGCCTGTCGTCAGCAACGGCCTAGTATGGGCAACTCACCGAAAGGTCCTGCTGGATCTGGTTGATCTTGAACTTCATCCGCTCGCTGGTGAACGCCTTGTTGAACGCGAATTTGTCAGTCGGCTCCACTTCCTTGCCGGCCGGGCGCTTGATGAGCACGCGTGTGCCCTTTCGCCCAAGCGAGAGGGACTGGAGTGTGCGAGTGAGCTCGGACGCCTCTGCGAAGTTAGTGGAGGCAAGCGAAGGGCACTCACCGATGCCTGTTCTACTCTTCAGTTCCGTGAAATCCAAGACATCTTCGTCGTTGAACTGCAGCAAAACAATGGCCTGGAAGAGGCTGACGCCAACCTCGTACTTGCCACTGTCGAAGCGCGCAGTGAGGGTAACGGTTCCGAGCTGATGGCGCCACGAGAGCACCCGGTTCTTGTGCTGTGTCGTGTACCACTCGCTGAACGTATCAATCGACGACTGCAGCTGGGGGGTAAGCTTGAAGTTCCAACCATCTTTCAGCAGCGGGTAGGTGGGCCAGGCGGACTCGGTGAGGACATTGGCTGTAAAGTCCGAGCCGTCTTTGAACCTATTGGGATCCTTGGCGCGCGCGGACTGGTACGCCTTGACAAGTCTGCTGTCAGTTTATGCCGCTTGCTCGTCGGCTCACGTCTCCGATAGCTGGAGGTCCTTCAGCATGATGTCACCGGTTGTAAACTCGTCGCCCATTTCTGTGATCGTTAGTATAACGTTGCGCCCGTTCACTCACCCTTCTGGAGCTTGACGATCATGGTGCGCTCCATGTCATCGCTTGCGCTCTTGTTTAACAAGAGACGCTTGGCGAGCCCGCTTGTGTAGAAGGCACGGAAAACGTCTCGATCGGGCGTGTACCCAATCAAAGCGACAATCTCATCGAGGAGAACGTTGAACTCGAGCTCTGACGATGATCCCTGGCCCCTCCTCATCGTCATGTCCAGATACTTGGCTGTCGCGTAAGCTATTGTCAAGGATGGGAGACGAACCAATCCACTCTGCTGGAGCATTCTTTCGGGTCCCCAGACCGGCCTTGAATCCAGACCGCACAGCTTCCTCCATCTCCAACTGCTTAATTCGGTCTTCCTGTTTTTGGATTAAGTGAGGTGTGTCTGCGATATCAATGTCGCCATCCTCGGCTTCAGTGGCGTCGATAAGTTTGGCAGGAACTTCGAAGAGGTCGGCGACCGCCTTGTCCACGAAGCGTTTAAGCTTGAGCACCGACTCAATCATCTGTCGGTCGTTGGCGGGGTCTGCAATAACAGTGCGTATCCTGGTCTCGATGTGATCGTGGACGGCCTTCGTCAAGATCTTCAACGCCTTCGCCTGCTGGCAGTACACAAATAGTCGATTCAATGCGTCTGTGTCTGCGCGGTACATTGACTCATCCAATGCTGGTGTTAGATTCGCCAGAAGACAAACTCACCCTGCCGGACCACTTTATCTGCGACTAGCTCCCCTGTAACATGTTGGAAGACATCGACGACCTCCGCAACCGCCCTAGGTTCGAAGCACTGCTCCGCGCGCACCGTCTCCTCGGCCTGTTTATCAAGAGCCCATTGAATAAACTCTGAGCCAGTGAGCTCGTTCTGTTGGACCATGCTGGCGTAAGAGGCAGCCAAGCTTTCGTAGTGTCCTTGGGTCTGCTCGATGAACGAGCGAGAGAGCGTAGAGATCCCATCCGAGGGGCTATCGATCGACACGATGAGCTTGATTTGATTGCGCAGCCCAACGTTGATCTTTTCCTCTGCGCGTTCCAGGTCAATCCCTGCGAACACTTCATCCTTCGTCTTCTCGTTTAGCAGCTTATTTCTCCTAATCGTCCGGCGGAAAGAGTGAGTGGCCAGGTCGCTGATGTCAGCACGGGCCACAGGGTGACAGTACGTGATGTTAGACCAGCTTACGCCCTCTTTGACATGGGCACGGTCAAAATACGCGAAGAGAGCCGCTAGCAGGCGCTGTTTGTGAGCTCGATTTCGTTTGTCGCTTACCACTCGCTCGATGTACGTCTCCCACATGGACACGAAGAACTGGAGCCAATCGCCAGTCCTGGCCATGATGGCCGCTTGGCACTCCCTCGCTATTCCTGCAACTCTTGCATCCAGCTCGCGGCTGATGGTTGCGTAGACGGTGGCAATAGACACCTGCGAGTTCAAGACGAGGTTGCGGCAATACGCAGAGATGCAGTTGAACGAAATATCTGTGGGTTTCCCGTTCAGAATGAGGGGAACCTGTGCCTCTAACGCCTTCAGCTGACTCAAAGAATCAACATTGGGCACTGGTGCTGGCGTAAGACACAGGAGGTCTGGTGAACGGCGTGAGCACTCACGCTGGACATTGACGGTGACCACGCGTCCGTTGCTGGCGGACGAAGAGGCTGTGAGAATATCGGTGTGGGCGTTCCGGCTGGGGCGGTAGGCCGAGAAGGCATCTGTCTTGTGCGGAAAGACGACGAGGGATGCCATGATGGGGGAGACAATGTCTCGTTGTCTGATTGTCTGATGGCCAACAGAAGTTGAACACTGCAGTCATCATCCGAGGTTCCGAGGACGCGTTCGCAATGACGGTGGTGGAGGTGGAGGTGGGTGGCGAATTGACACGTCACGATTACTGATAGCGGGTGGCGGAGGTCACATGACTGCGACACAGCACCTCTGTTCTTTGGTCGCCTCGTCGTTAACTTGTCAACCCGTCCGACATAGACATCCCGCACCTGGTCATCGCGTCGCGCTCGAAGGCGTCTGAATGCTCAGAGGCCCTATCTGCAGCCACTCACACATTGATGATGAACTCACACCCTTGGCGCCGGCACAGACGGCTGGTGCCTGGAGACACAACGCGCTCCGCCATCAGTGCACCGCTCCGCGTGCGTCGGACTGGACGCCTGACCACATCTGCCTTCAGTGACAGATCACATCGCAGGCTTCAACCTCTTGTCATCAAAATGCGTTGCGAACACAACAATGTGCCCCAGCTACTCACGCTGCTCCGAAGCCGCACTGCCTCGGTGCAGCCCTTGGAGCTGACTAGGGCGCCCTCGTTCCCGCGGCCGACGCGTATAAATGCTCGCACCCGTCTCCAAACTATCAGCGCCAAACACCCCCTCTGTTCTCTCTTTGGTCCACAACTCGACCTCAACTTTGCGCCATCACCATGTACTCCCTCTCACCATCCCTCGACTCTGTCCTTGCCTCCGATGTCCCCCTCTCACGGTATCCCCACATCGCAAAACATGTGCGCGCGGGACAGATTCCTTTCCCACCCACTCGACCGCAGTGGCGCGAACTTGAAGAGTTCTTCCATGACGCCGCTGTCTTGTCGAGCAACACCCACATTCGGGTCGCTGCCTTCGTGGGGTTCATGAAGTCGGTCATTATCGCCCAAAGCAAGCGTGAGTAGCCGGATGGTTGGCAAGTGCTTATTCGAGTGAATGGGAAGAGCCGCGAATCGGCGACGAACCTGGTGTTTCTCGCGCTGAACGTACTCTTCGACCAGGTGGCCGCAATGCTCCTCTGCGTGCTCGATGGAGGCCAGACGCCACCACCCGAGATGATCGGAGGCACTGAGGCATTCATTTTCGGCATCATGGCGAAGTACGGACCATGGATGAAGGAGTGAGCGAGCACGTCTGAGCACATCATTGATATCAGTCTTTCGCCCGGCCCGCCCGGTGTGGAAGTGGGCGACCAGCCTCGGGACAAGGCTCAGTCCATCCAACTGGACCTGATCGCACCTAATCCGGAGCACGAGAAGACCAGCTCATTACAGCCAGTCCCCCGCGACGAGGAGGAGCAAGCTGTGCTTGAGCTCCTCTTGCTCAAAGACGAGGGGTGTCACAACGAGACACATGCAGTGGTGCTCGCCCACTACGAGGCCGGGATGAGCCGTTCTGGCTCTGGAAGCGGTGTCTCGAACACCCCTATCCCGCCCCGCGCCGAATCACGCCTCGCGTCACCCATCGCCTCCCTCTCCGCATCCTCCCTGGCATCACGATCCGCTTCGCCTTACTGGCGGACGCTCTGCACCAATGGCACAGCTTCCGCTCCCATCCCCAGACGGCGCAGCAAACGCAGTACCTTGTCAACCGAGAGCATGGTCGCTACGCTCTTCTCCGCCGGCAATGTCGCACTTTCACTGGGACCTAACCCTTCTGCTGAAGACATTGCGGAGTGGCAGTTGGAAAACAACATCAGCATCGCCCAACTGCCCCCGCCGTATTATCTCATTGTGCAGCACCGGTTGTTGGCCGTTGTGCGTGAGGTTGAGGAGTTTGCGGTGCGGAAGTGGCGCGAGAAGGGCGAGCGATGGGGCCTCACGCATGCGCGGAGTGCGCTGTCGCCCTTCCGACTGGAACATAGTGGTGGCCCCTACGCCCACTGGAATTACCCGCAAGAAGAGGTTGGCGGCGAGGTATTTGACGCGCGCGTCCGCGAAGAGTGTGACAGAATCCTCTCTCGTCAAGGCAGCTCAGCTTCGTCGTCCGACGAGCCAGAAGAAGCACCGGGCGCTGAAGCCATCGAGCCTGTCGAACGCGTCCAACTCATCGCCCCCGTCGAGGACCTTGAACCGGCGGAGCCCGTCGCGCCTGTGCAGCTGGTCGAACCTGTCAAGCCCGTCACTCGTGTCGAGCCCGCCGGACTCTCTAAAACCCTCGCATCTGTCTCAGCTGTCGCGCCTGTCGCATCTATCGGACCCATCGCACCCGAAGAGCCCCATGAGCTTGTTGAGCCCATCACACTCGCTGAGTCCATCACACTTGTTGAGCCGGTCGCTCCCATCGAGCGCGCCGCATTTGTCAAGCCCACAGCGTTTATCAAGCCCCTTACGCCACCGCCTGTCGACGCTTTCGACTCCACCACAGTTCCTGAAGCTGCGCCGACGCCGGAGACTAACACAATCTCCAAGGATTCCGAACTTCCCGACGACACGCTTGAGATGGCCGTCCTCGCTGAGGCCGTCCTACTCGAGCGATCTGCGCAGCCCGTCAAGAACCTTGAGATCGTCGACGCTGTCGTACCCGTGGGATCCGTCAAGAATGCCGTGCCTGTCAAAGCTGTGGAGGCTGTTGAGGCCGGTGAAGGCATCGAGGTCGTAGAGGTCGCCGGGGCCATTGTGACCACCGCGACTGCGGCATCCGACGCTACCGAAGCTGTTGAGGAGGCAGATGCCACCGAGATTACCAAGGACTTTGAGGATGTTGAACTCTCCGAGGTCAATGAGGCGGCCGAGGCGGCCGAGCACTTTGAGACCCCCGAGACCGCCGAACACACCGAGTTCTTGGTGCCCGTCATTCTCATCACATCCGAGGACACCGTGGAGGCGTCTGAGTTCACTACCATCGCTGAGATGCCTGACAAACCTGCCCCGGTTTCAATATCAAGCCCGCCTGCAGACGAGATGCCTAGCTCCAGTTCTCGGTTGCCCACAACGACCTCTGCTGTCGAGACTGCCGGCTCCATCGCGACGGTCCCCATCATTGCTTTCGTGCCGCCAACCGACGACAGACCAGAGGACATACGCTTGGATGGGGGTAGTCTCCGCGTCCTGATTGAAAATATCGGTCCAAAGGCTCCAGATGAACAGTGGACAACCGAATATATCCCTCAGCTACCCCAAGAGCAGTACGCGATTGCGCAGATGCGTGTACGGATTGATTTGACCCCGCCGTCTCCTCATCTATTGGCCCCTCAAGGACAGTACAGCCGCGTTTCATATGTCCGCGAACGGTACCTCACCGACGATATACCTCTCGAGGATGCCTATGAGGACGTAAACATCGAGAACGGGTACGCTGAAGGCGAGCGCAGATCAATCGAGGACGAGCGTAACTTCATCGAAGAGGCTGAGGCCCTCCAGAATGGCGAGGTAGTCGAGGAGGAAGCTGTCACAAAACAGGCAGAAGCGCCTCAGCAGTCTATTGCAGCTCCCCCGACTGAACAGGGCGAACCGCCGGCGAGTACCCTGTCAGACTCGCAGATCCGCTGGGGTCTGATAGTCGCTCAGACGGGCCGCGCGAACTGGGCCGACTACGATTCCGACTCTGACTCTGACCGCGGTGCTAATTCGCAGGCTTCTCCCTCTACAGAGGTTGAAGAGTTTGAGACGCCTGTAGCGTCTGACATCACGACGCCGCACCGTCCCACGTCGCTTGTGAACGACCAGGCAGGGATGTCGGACAAGATGTCGGACAACGAGCACGGCCGCAGTGACGGACATGCTACTCCTAAGCAGCAAATCCAGCTCGACGCGTGGCACCGACGCAGCCTTCGCCGCCATACTCACCGCGTTCCCGGGTTTGAGAAGGTGTTGTGCGATATCGAGTCGGTAAGCAGCGATTCGCCTTCCTCCGTGCACAGCACGCCTCCACACCCGAGCCACACCCAGACATGGTCGCCATCGCCCTCTCGTCCGATGATGGAATACTCGTCGACGCAGTCCTCGCCGCTCTTTGGCCCAGCGCCGCCTCTCGCCGTACTCTCCCCATCCCCTCCGAACACACCCGAGCGCAACCCGCCCCAGGAGAGTGAATCTCCGTCGCCTATGCTCCGCATCCTTACTCCCAAGCCGAGGCGCGGTGTGCTTCCTCTCTTCTTCCCAACACCGCCGCCGCCCCATCAATCTCCATCCCCGCCGGCTGCCTCGTCAATTGTTTTGGACGGCCCCACTGAGATGTCGTCACCGTCGGCGTTATCTGCGACGCTCAATACCGAGCCCGTGCAGCCCGATGCTCCGCTTGTTGTCGTCACAAGCCCCTCGCCTCCACCCCAAGCAGCTCGCGTTGCTGCTGAGCCCCAGCCTCACAAGTTGACGAAGGCCGAGTCCGGCTCCAGCGACTCGACCAGTACGACGGACAGCGAGGAGACGCCTGCGACCACTCCTGAGGTGCAGGCGTCTCCATCTCCGGTCGAGGAGCCTCCGAAGCCAGGCGAGGAGCCTGACCAACCCCAAGAAACGAACCCACAGCAACCCGCCACGACGACTCCCGCTTACCCACGCGACACTTATCGGGAATGGGTGCCCCTCAGCCTCCGGGGCCTCGAGCGGCCGTGGACCGCGTCCGAACGTGCGCGAGAACAGAATGCACGTAAGAAGTGGATTCGCAAGCAGAAAGCACTCGCACGCAACGGGGTGATTCCAGACTGGCGTCCAAATGACAGCTCTACAGCTAGCGGCGAGGGAGCCTCAACGCAGACGTCAGCGCCAGCTGAAACGGGTTCGCATTCAGAGGAGGGCGCCAGCGCGGCGCCTCCGAAGGAAGGCTCCGCCGAGTCCGCCGAGCCGCTCGCCACCCATCCGAACACCGAGCTTAGCGCTGAGCTGAACCGGAAGGATGAGAATACCGAACACGACGTACCGACCACCACCCGGACAGACTTGAGCACGGCCAACGAAACAGCGGAGGTGGACGAGATGGAGGAACTGGCCGTTGTCGAGGATGACATCGAAGAGACTATCGTGGAGATCCTTTTTGAGCCCGTGACGACGCCCGAGGTTGAGCATGAGCCGGAACGCATCGTGGTATTAACAGAGGAGGCTGCGTTGAACATGGCCCCAGTTCTCCTCGAGGAGCAGGCTCGGATCGAGCAGCCAGCCGCGGTCGAGGAGCCAGCCGCGGTCGAGGAGCCAGCCCCGGTCGAGGAGCCGGTCCCGGTCGAAGAGCAGGCGTCCCAGATCGAGAAACCAGAGCTCACACCCAGTCCTGCGCCCGGTGAAGTTGGGGAGCCGCCTACGCGTGCAGAGCCCGAGTCCGTTGAACCCATGGCACATGAGCTCCAGCTGCCAAGCATCACAGAGGCAGAGTCATCTGAGCCCTCGATACCCAGCAACGCTGGGACTATCCACGATGACACTTCTAACTCTGAGCCGGAGGCTTCAGAGAAGATATCCGCGGAGAAGCCGCAGGCGCAAATCAAGGCAGCGCCACCTGAGTCCACCGAGGATATGTGGGAGAACAAACCATGGGTTCCTCTTGAGTTGCGCACCACGCGCAAGTGGACGCAGGAGGAGGTGAAACGCATCAAGAACGCACGGATGAAGTACAACCGCAATCGGCGCCGTAATCTCGGCAGCGATGCAGACTCGGTGGGCAGCGCGCGCTCGACCGCCACTTGGGCTGCCAAGTCATTGCCTAGCACGCCGCCCAAGGCGAGCTCCAAAGCAAAGTTACGCCTGGGGCTTCCGGATTGGCCGCAGGAGTCCCAGCTTCAGCCCACCCCGAAGACTGCCGGTACTCTGCTGGAACAGACGCTCGCCATGCAGGCCGAGGCATCAACTCCGCCCTCGCCAGCTACTTTGCGATACAAGCCTTACCCACAGCCTGCTGGAACGCTGCTCGACCAGACCCTCGCGATGCGGGCCGCATCGAGCGGCGTAGAGACTCCCAAGACCCAGCGCACACCGCCGACAGAGACGCCAAAGGCCACCCCGCACCTTCTGAGCCGCCTTGGCCCGGCTCCAAATCGCTTTAAGGAGCTGCGCAGCAGATGGGAACAGTCGAGCACTTCCCCCATATCTCGCGTCACCTCGCACCTACCCGAACTGGCCCGGTCCTCGCCGATCACCGAACGTCTCAAGGCCTTCGTTCCTCCGCCCCCTAAGTCACCAACTCCGCCTCCTTCCACCGCCCGTGCACCCACGCCACCTTCGACTCCCAAGCCGCGCGTGAAGCGTGGCTACGAGGCACCCACTAAGGCGAGCGGTATGCGCGAGGACGACGCCACGAACCGCCGTGTCAGCACTGAGGCCGCAGCCAGCCCTTCCAATGTCACCGCTCGCCGCTTAAGCGATGGCCGTGCTACGCCAACGGCTGGGTTATCCAACCCGTCAACGAGTCGCCAGGACACTGCCACAGGCACTACAGGTGTGCTGCCCAGCCGCCCTAGGAGTGCCGCCGGTGGCCGTCCGTCCAGTGCCTCCTCGAATCGCCCTTCATCGGCGAGCTCCATGCGGGGCAACACGGGAGGACGAGGGCGTGGAGGTGCTAGCGGTCGAGGAGGTGCTGGAGGTGCTCGCGGCGAGACGCCAGCGACGTTCGGACGTGCCCGGGGGCGAGGAGGAAAGTGGAGTCGGGTTGGATGAGGCATGTGCGAGGAGCGTAGAAGGTGTAGCGCAGGTGAGATTGTGCGACCTCCTGTATCTATAGAGCTGTAGTACAGTTCTGCATGTTTCGTGTTGAAGTGAAGAGTAGGTGGTGTTTGTTTTCGCAGTGCAGTTGAGCGGGTTCCCCCCGCCCCACGTCCCGTCATTTCCACTCCAATCCGAAACTGCTCGAGTTCTGCCACTTGCGGCTTCGTTCTCACATCCGGCTCCAGCAACGCGCGGGCCAGCGGTTTGAGGCACACCTAACATGGAACTCACGACTCGACGCAAAGCCACAATGCCAAGCTAAGCTCTGGCTATTCACACCAGGTTGTGGCCTGTGCGTGATCTGGCCTTAGTCCATGATCCCTCGCCCCTCTCTCCTGCACGCGACTTTCCTCATCAGGCGGAACGTGCTGAGGTGATGCTTCGTGCGGAATGCCATCGTTGGGAAACCATCACGCCAGGGGGAAAGTGTGGGTGGGGTGCGACCGGGCTGGTGTCGTTCACCGCGACGGAAACGGAGAGCGGCGATGCGTGTAGCAGGAGGATGCCGAGAGCGCCGAGTTGTCCTTGGCACAGCAGCCTCAGCCGCGGCTGATGGGATGGGCGGACAATATCTCCACTGTTGCTCGGCTATCTTTCTCCTCCGATCACACCAACATCTCTTTGAGTCTATTCGGATCACCGGACACGGCCCTCCCAAGTCTCGCGAGCCCCGCAGCTCGCGAGCAACTCGAGTTCACGCAGCTCACAGTCACATGCAGCACACAGCTGCCGTACCTCTGGAAGCATCGAGCTGCGCCCCTTCTTTCACATCGCGATTGAGCTGTTCCGGGCTTTCCAAGTCTAAATCGAACGGAGTGATGAGCTCATGAGATGTTGGTCAGCTGATATGTCACGACGACGCCGTCTTATCTGCACAACTTGACCCGAGACACTAGTCCGGCACACGCAGGCCCCACTGGCCATGAGCTGCCGAAGTCCTCGAGTCCGAGTCGGGGATTGCGATCTGGCCTTTAGCGTGAGCTGCGCTCGGGGCGTTCGCACCAGTATGCACGAGCATTGGCTCTCAACTCATCCTCCTCATCCTCCCCGCGCTTCCCCACGTCCCCCCAGCGGGCCCGGCGGTGCTCCAGGGAGGAGTGCCTAGAGCACAAGCCTGACGCCACTGGTGGCTGGTGGCCCCGTATCGCATTTAGAGTGCAGCTCGATGGCATCAGGCGTGGTCACATGCCCATGCCCCCACATTCCACCGCCGTCATCAACGCTCACCATACACCCAAAGTCGCCAATATGCAGCAAGTCGCAATGCTATCAACTGCCCATTCACTCCGTAACTACCCACACTCGCTCCCTCCCCACCACCTCCGCTCCGCGCCCATCGTCCCCCGCCACGCCCGCTCATCGTCGCTCACACCCTCGAGGGCGCCCACGCCCACTTCGTCCATCTCCCGACCACACATGACGTCGGACGATCTTGCCTACTGCCGAGACTTTTCTACACCGCAGGACGTACTCCTGGTCTGCAATGCCGTCGACAGCGAGACGCAGCGCGATGTCGGATTCTACGTCAACTCGGCCGTCCTCCGTGCCTCCTGGTAGGGTCTCTCTCCACCCACCACCGACGCTGACAGCAGCGCATGGTTCGCACAGTGTATCGACGACCGGCCACCTGACTACGAGCCGGGTGCGGTCATCCGCATCGCCATCGATGTACCGGTCATTGACATGGAGGTGCTCGTCCGCATGATGCACGCCGGCTCCCCAGCCTCCAGGAGCATACGCGTGACCCTCGGCCAGGTGCTGCACACAATACCGGCGCTCATGACGCGCTTCGGCGCCGACCGCTCCCTCTGGTCCCTCCTCACCTCCTACCTACCGCCGCTCAAGCTATATGGCCTGGAACGGGTGGGCAACGGGTACGTGTTGCGAGAAAACATCTGGGGCCTGCTTGTGCTTGCGCACGCGGCACGCGACGCAAAAGTGCTCGCCAACACGGTCGGCATCGTGCTCGGCAACCGCCCGTCCGAGCCCGAGTGGGCGATGCTGTACGACCCGTACACCGTCCCACGAGCCGAGATCACGCCCGAGCGCGAAGTAATCTACCGCATCCTTCTGGCCGTGGCGCGCATGCGAGCGCGCGTCGGCATGCACGTCGACTTTGAGTACACGGACCGACACTTGGTCGTGATCAGCCGCAAGTCTCCAGAGTTCAAGCTGTACTTTGAGCTCGAGAACCACGACGATGTACTCCTATTGTAGTATGACTAATGTTCTTGTATACGTTTGCCGAGGGCGGGACCCACGGGCCGGAGTGGGGTGTGTCAGCAGGACGTGGGGACAGCCAAGTGTGAGTGCGGTGATGGAGCTGACTTGACGCGCAGAAGGTGGATCACCCAACTCTAGGTCCACCGACCGGCGCACACTCGAGGGTCTTAACGCTGTCGTGGGACGCGGCGGAGGTGCAAGAGAGGATAACCGAGTCGTTGGGAGAACTCAGAGACAGTCGAGGGAGGACTTGAAAGCGGCCAGTGGAGAGAAGCCAGTGGAGAGCGGAGAAGCTGAGGATGAGTGTGTCTGGGCGTCCGTGCGTTGGAGCTCACGTGTGTGCACAGAGAAGGTGACTCGACTGACTCAACCACGGCCACCCCCATCATGTCCTCTCTCCTCATCTCCATCTTGTTCAACGACTAACGACTGCTCAGCATGGTCATCTCTGCAACTCCCCAGAGACTGTACCTCGTGAACACGCACAGCGGCAACCGATACCACCACTGTGCGCCGCAAAGCAGTTACGACGCTGCCCCCCTCTACAACATGACCACGCCTCTCCCTCTCCCCTATATCCCTCTCCCGCCCCACTTGAACCATCCCAATGGTTGCAGCAGCGGCCATGCCAACGTCAAAGACACAAGTATCGCGTACCTCCCGCAGCCTCACGCAAAGACCAATAACGCTGTCCCCGTCCAGACCCCGGCTGCCATTCCGCCGGCTCAGCACAGCAAGGACACGTCGGACACACACTTTTGCCTGAGTGACGGCAAGATGGTGCCCGTACACAGCGCCTGGACTCGCGGAGACTTTGTGCTTGTTACACAGTATGGCAAGGAATGGCAGGCATATCGTGTGCACGCTTCAGTTCTGTCTCGCGCAAGGTAGGAGTCTCCCACCACCCCTTCCCCCGCCGCGCCCACCGCTCACCTCAGTCCGTGGCTCGCTGCACAGCGCGGACACGTGGTTCTGCACGAACCGCCCGACACCGTCGAACTGTTCCTTGCCTTCCTCTACCTCGGCCGCGGCAACATCTCCGTGCCATCTCTCGCCCCCTCTCTCGAGCAGTATCACGCGCTACACTCCCTCTTTGTGCGCCTCGGTATCACGCGGCCCCTGTGTCTTGTTGTGCGGCAGTACGCGAACAGCTACGCCGTCGGCCTAGTCGAGAGCCTCGGTCGCACCGCGGCCCCAGAGCAGGTTTGGCGCCTGCTTGATCTCGCGCGCCTCCTCCGCGCGGAGGGGGTGTGGAGCGCCGCCCTCGACACAGCGTACGAGACGAATGGGTGGAAGATCATCCTCGATCCGTGGGATGCAGTCGTCGAGCCGCACAACGCCGAGGCGCACGCCGTCCTGCTTCTTCTCCATCGGATGAGCGCGTTGGAGGATGCCCCACTCAACGAGTTTTGTGTGGCCTACGACACATGTGAGTAGGTGGTCTTGGGAGAGCTCACGCAGACGACCGGCCATGCGTGTACCATCAAGACACTCCGACGCTCAAGTTTCTTGCTGTGTGAGGAACAAGATCAATCCCCGGTCGAACTCCAGTGTATATAATGTAATCGCCATTTTATAGACCATTGTTGATAGAGCCTCGTTGTAGGTTAATAATCGTTGGGAAGAAGGGGGATCGATTACGACTGCCCCACTTCGTGAAGGGAGGGTCGCCCCCATGGCGTGCCTGACCTCCACTACCCTCCACCAGAGGCGTCCACTCGGATCGCCTGATCGCGCATGATCGTCAAAGCAGTGCAGCACGGCCCACCTCTTCCGCACCTCGTCTCCTCGACCCCGGCTCTGCATTCGTTTCCTCATCATGCTCCTCGGCGCATGAACAGTCGAACAACTTGCTCATGAGCCCGCCTCGCAGCCCAGCAGTCTCGATCCACGCCCCCTCCCACTCCCATTCCCACTCTCCATCGTGCTGCCACCCCCTCCCCCGTTCCTCGAACTCCAAGCGGCGCAACTCGGCCCCTCTCCACATCATGAACCCGACTCCTCCGCCTGACGCGTCCTCCAGGCACCCCTCGCTCTCTTCGGAGGCTTCGGGACACAGTCAGGCGCAGCAATACGCACCGCTCGCCGCGCCTGGCGGCATTGCGCCGGGCATGGTGGCAACAGAGCCGTCACCGCCTTACTCGCACACCCCACCTCCTGGACATCCGTTCATGCAAAGCCCCATTGACGCTCCTCCCGCTCAGGTGCAGCAGCACCCACAAGCGCAGTACTATGCGCCTTTTCGGCCGATCAGCCTCACGAGCGGGGGACGCGTCGCTGCAAGAGTGTTGCAGCGAGCCGTGAGTGCCTCGGAGAACGCCAACTTATGCTTAGCAGCACGCCGCTCAGAATGCTCAGAATCCTCAGAATCCTCAGCAACCTCCACAACCTCAGCAACCTCAGCAGCAACAGCAGCAGTCTCAGTACTCTCAGTACGCTCAGCACTACCATCATCCCCAGCCCCAGCAAAACCCCCCGCCCCCTCAGCAAGCGCATGTGGTACAGCCGCCCCAGCAACATGCTGTCCAATACTTGCCTCCACAGCAGGGAGGCGTTCATAACGGGCCACAGCCAACACCCGGGGCGGAGTCCCACCGTCTGTCAACGCAAACGAGTGGTCCGCGCGGACGCCCATCGCTCCCCATACTTCCACAAGGCCAGCAGACCCCTCCTGGGCCGATCGCACGGGCCATGTCACCAGCTTCAAACCAGCCTCACCAAGATTCGCCTCCTCAACCTCTTCAGCCCCAGTCCCCGGTCGCTTCGCCAACAAGCGAGCCCAACGGCCAACCTGCTGCGCCCACCCACTCGATGACGCCCCCCGCGGCTCTCCAGCAACCTCAGCAAGGCCAGGACCCACTCACTCGCGCCCAATACAGTCCGCAGCCGCTCTCACCGCAGCAGCAGCACTTTGTCCCGCGCCCTCCGTCGGCGCTGTACGCTCAATTCAAACTCCAGACCCAACAGCAGGCCAGCCAGCAGGCCAGCCAGCACGCTCCTCTCCCAGCACTACCAGAAGGGGCAGAACCCAACGGCGCGGCCCCTTCGTCCCGTCTGGCTCACCCCGCGTTCACCCCTCAGCTCCCTTCCACGCTCTATGCGTCGCAACCAGCGACCCCAGCAGCCCCAACGCCCCATGCGCCCCCGCAAGAGGACCGGCCGCCCTCGCCTGCGAAACCTTACCCGTATCCCATGTCTCCATACCTCCGCGACCGGCCAGTTCGTGAAGAGACAGACGTGGACCTTCCTGGGGTGACGATGCACTTTGAATTCTCGCATGATGGGGACGTCGTGCTCGTGTGCCCCGAAGGACCCACAAGTACGGGGTTCATGGTGCGGCGCTCGGCTCTGTCGCGCGTGAGGTGAGTAGCTATTTGTCTCCTCGCTCACGCAGTCCCGTCTTCGCCACTTTGCTATCCAACCTCGAGCCTACTCGTGTGCCTACACTCGCTCTAGCCGACTCGGGGACAGACATGGCGCTCTTTCTTCATGCGCTCGTCTACGGTGCGGTGGGAGCGCCCCACTCGCGACGCACCCCGCCCACCGTGGCTGAGTATCTGATCTTGCACCACCTCTATACAAAGTACGCGGTGCGGCCGTTCCTGCTGGCAATGCTGCGTCACCGCATAGCTGAGCGGGGGCACGAGTTGGCTGCGCCGCTCGCGAACCAGCGCCCAGTGCGCAGCGAGATCACAGGCTACCTCCGCCTCGCGGCGGCATGCTGCTCGCCGCGCCTGTGGAACTGCGCGCTCAAGTACGCGCGGACATGGCAGTACTTTGTGTCGCCGTGGAGTATGGGGGAGCGCGACATTGCCGAGGTGGGCGAGGACGCGTACGCCGTGATCCTCGCGCTGGAAGGGCTGCGCCACGCATCGGGGGAGAATACGTGGACCGACCTCCGGGTGCTGTACAAGGGCAGAACGGCGGGGGTGGCGCGCGCGAACGACGAGACGGTGTTCTGGATCGAGGATGTGGGCTCGCAAGGTCACGCCGATTAGATTTCCGCACGTCGCGCACAGAGCGCGCGGAGGGCGTTCCTGCCTGGTCGGACGTGCCGGCCGGATGTGCCTGGTTGCCGGATTCCGGCCCTACGGGTTCAAACCAGGGCCGTTGTAGATATCACGGAATGCGGAAATACAGTCGACGATGTCTTGTGACGCGGTCGCGGTCGCGGTCGGCCGTCACTTGATATCGAGTGCTTTCCCGAGGAGAGGAGAGGTTTTCCAGCTCTTCCAGCACGACGGAGTGTTGAGGAGAACAGGAAGAGCTGGAAGAGCTGGAAGAGCTGGAAGAGGGCAGATGGAAGCCCTGCGATATACAGGAGTACAGGAGACACTGTGGTCACATCTGACATGTTGAAGAGTCGAATGCTTTTGGAAGGTCTGTGCGGGGAGACAGAGGGAGGGGAGGGACTGGCGCGTCTCAAAGGATGTCAACACACCTTGCTTCCTTGCCTCGTCCATGCCCTCCTCCATGTCACCACCACGTCGTCTTCACAACTCTTTCTCTTCATCTCTTCTTCTCTTCATCTCTCTCCATCCCTCTCCATCTACTCTAGCCTCCCCCCCCCCCCCCCCCCCCCCCCCCCCCCCCCCCCCCCCCCCCCCCCCACCCCCCCCCCCCCCCCCCCCCCCCTCGGCCATGAAAACATCTCGCCAACCAACCTTCCAAGAACTCCTCGTCGTCCCAGAAACCGCTAATCGCAACCATGTCGCACTCCACCCAGACTTTAACGAGAACGGAGACGTCCTCATCGTTTGCACCGAGGGCGAGCAGCAGGTCGGCTTCCTCGTCAACGGCAGCATGATGCGCATGGCAAGGTAGGCTAGTCCACGGTCCTCAGCTCACGCTACAGCCCGGTACTCACCGAACTGCTCGGACCGCCGGAACCAGGCCCCCCAAAGATCCTTAGAGTCGACGACAGCGTGCACGACATGCATGCCTTCCTCCGTCTTCTCCGCTTTGCCGCACCCTCGTCTGGCTTTCCACCCCCCTTCGATCCCAACATCTCCCAGTACGCAGGCATCCATCGCCTTGCTCTCAAGTACAATGGGTGGTATCCCCGCGCCGTCCTCGACTTCCACGTCGAGCTACATGCCGCCCAAATCGTCGATGACCTCGGACCGGACGCGACAAAGCAGGACGTCTTCTCTCTTCTCCGCCTCGCACACGCCCTCCACTCGAGCTACCTCTGGAGCCAGGTGTGCGATCGTCTGCGCTTTAACAAGTGGTGGCACGGGATCCTCAATCCGTGGCAGTTTAGTGAGGAGGACGCAGCCGCTCTCGGACCAAGTATCCACTCGATTTTGTCAATCCTTGCGAGCGTGTCGTCTCGAACTCGTCTCTACTCGAATCTTGAGGAGCTGTGTGTGCTCTACACCGACGGTGCGGGTGTATGCGAGGGAAGGGAGCTGACGGCAGAAGGCGAAGTGAGCGTCGCCGCCGCTGAGCGGCCGTCGGGAGCGTGCCCCTGCGGCGCCACCCGCTTTGCATGACACCGACCAACCTGTACCAACCGATTCCAACACTGTCGCACCCGGCCCATTCTTCCCTAACCCGACCACATAGAGTATAATCCGTCACAACAGCACCAGCACCATGTACCATACCTCTCACGCCGCCGGGCTTGCCACCGGCTGGCTTGCAGCCGTGCCGCCTGGCCGCCTGATCGCACAGATCGTGACTAACCAGAAGCTCGGGGACAACCCCTCATCACTTCGTGTCGGGAAGGGGTTTCGCTCCTTGCCGCTCCTCATCGGGAGCACAGCGAATGATGAGACGCACGTCGAGCTTCGCCCATCACAAGCTCGCCGCTGCTGCCCATCACTGCTGTCGCCATATTTTACCCCCTTGAGCACTGACGACTCTCACTCACCCACTCACCACGCGCCATGACTAGTGCTTGTCAACTCAACACTTCATCGTCGCCACCGGGCCGCCCCAGTCCCCCTCGACCCACTGGTGTCCAGACCAACGAAGACGTGGCCCGCCGTCTCATTCCAGCACTGCGCATACCTGTTGACGAGCTGCCGGCGCTCCATTCTGCAGCACTGCACGGCATGCGGGAGCAGGCCATCCACGACCAGACTGTTCTTGATCCGGATGCCTTCCTTGATGCTCCGGACTCTCCCCCCCTGTTCCTCGTCGGTGCCGGTATTGAATGGCCAAACTTCATCACACGTGCCATGCACCTCCGATCCTCATCTTCTCCAAGCTCCCCTTGCTCCGAGCCCGATCTTCCTCCCGATAACGCCGACTCGGAATGGCTCAGCACCAGTAGCCATGGCACCGAGCAGACCTTCTCCGCCGACTCACTCGAGCAGTCCCGCCAGTCCAGCAACTCTAGCTGGACGACCTTGCTCACCAGCCGAGGCACTCCGGACGTCCCCCACTCGCCGACGCCGTCGCCCACTCTCCCACTTCCCCCTCATCCGTCCCCAGTCCTCCATTTCCCTCCCCTCCCTTCTCCCCCTGCCACAGTTCGCCACCGCCGCCCCACCCCACCTACACCCGACCTCACCGCGCCCACCACCACCACCCAACCCGACCTCGCCTCCCTCTCCTTTGCGGACCTCTCCGCAGCCCTCGATGCCATGATAGCGGACCTCGCCCCACCTTCGCTCGCTCAGCGTCGCGGCGTTGTCATACCCCACCTCCGTTTGACCGGCATCCCGACTCCAGCCCCTCTCCCGTACCGCCCACTCCCGCCACTGCCCCGCGAGCCGCCGTCCGCGCCCCTCGTCCGCATGCGTGGAAGCAGGGGATATCCTCGTGCGTCAGCTCATGTCCCCGAGCCTCGTGCTCGGCCAGGGGACACCGTGGCTCGCAGCAAGCCTGCTGGCCCGCGCCCGCGGACGTCGGGGGTAGAGTACCGCCCTCCCCGCTGAGCCAACACTCCTGCCGTGCGAGTGTGGCCATGACATGTACATAGCAGCATACACTAATGAATCCTTGTACACTCCCAAGCTCCATATCCTACTACCGATTTGTCCATGAACAGCGGCTGCACCAGTGCCAGATTAATCCGCAAAACACTGAAAACCCCTACAGCTCCCATGTTTCGCCCCGCCTCGGCCCACCCTTGAGCACCTCATGCCGCATCGGCATCCGACAACGCCCCAACCCCTCACGTGCAAACGCACATGATGCAAGCAGCCCCGCGCCCTCGTCTCGTCATCTTGTCGCCTGGCATATAACATGCGCCGAAGATCCTCTCCCCCCAACCGTCGATCTATGATCAAGTGAGCGACGTTTGGCACAGCTCACACCAGACTTCTCCGCAAGCTCACCCACAAACGCAGCAAAACACGGGGCGATGGCAAGCCCAATTCGACTCCCTCCGCGCAGACAGCCAAGCCCTGCCTCACCCCCACGCCTCCAGCTTCGCAAATGCCCAAATCCACCCCTCCAGTGCCCCCACCCCACATGCCCAGGCGGGGGGATTACGCTTCCTCGGGAACATGGAGCGCCGCGTTCGACGCGTGGGCCACGGCGGCAGAGCACGCCGCGCACTACGGATCCACCGGCCACGGCACGCAAGAGTCGAGGCGCGCGTCCCGCGGCCCTACGCCGCCGGATATCGACGACGGCGTGCCCGGCCCTCACGGTCTGGGGGAGTACGAGCCGTGGGTTGAGCCGCTTTACGCTTCGTATATCTCCTCGGCTCCACTTTCCGAATATCATTTCGTCCCGGACGTAGAGACTCCAACTTGGCAGCGGAAGGAGGTCGACGATGAGGAACACAGACAGCCCAACCGGGAGCCCGAGCAGTACTCCTCCACCACCTCCCGCTCATGCACCCCATCGTCCTCGACGCACGCCGTCCACTCGCACTACTCCCACTTCGTGAGCAGGGCTAGTGCGCACGCTCCATCCCCACCCTCCTTCCTCGGGCCCGCATCTCTCCCGTCTCCCCGCGCCCTCCCCAGCCCGCCCCTAAGCTCCCTCCGCCCGCACCACCCATTAGCAATCTACACGGACGCGGAATGGGCCGCCCTCCCGCGTTCGCACCGCGCGCTCGCGCGCGCGGCCTACCCGGCCATTCGGCGCGCGCGCCGCCGTCGCGCGCTTGACGCCGACGCGCCCCCACCCCCCGCGTCGACGCCCGCCGGCGCGCTCGCGCGCGCCTACCGCCTCCGCCATACGCCGCTGGCGCAGCTCGCGTGGTGGAGCGACGACGTATGGGCGTCCTTTACGCTCACAGAGCTCGCCGAGATCCAGGCTATGGCGGAGCACGTGGGGGCGCTGCGCGACGCCGAAGAACACAGGGAGGAAATGGCGCTGCGGCAGTGGGAGAGGGAGGCGGAAAGGTTGAGGGAGATGGGGCCGGACGAGGAGTGGGTCGCGGGGATGGTGGGCGCGCCGATGGAGCCCGGGACGTGGGCGCCGCTCGGGAGGGACGATGCGGTTTTGGGGCGTATTCTGATGGAGCGGGTGGCGGGGGAGCGCAGGCGGCGCGGATGCGAGGGTGGTATGGGGCTCGACGATGCTGGAAGGTTTGGAGGGGGAATGGTTGATAAGGGGCCGTGGGCGGGAGAGGGTTCCAGGGAGAAGGAAGTGATGAGTGGAGTGTAATGCGTGGCTCATGGGTCGTGCGTTGATGATTCAAGATGTTGTGCGCTAATCGTGATTTACAATAGCAAAGCTTGATAATGCAGAAAGAAACAGCAGCATACACAGCAGGGCTGGCGTGGTACACAGTGCAAACAGTGCACGCTGTGAATTACGCTGGGGATGTTACTATAGAAGTCACTGTTCCCGCCCACACCCACCCATTCGCTCAGCCGTACATTAATTGTAGAAACCCTATTAAACTCCCCTGCTACTTTTACGCGAACACACTCGCCACGAGCGCACCACCAACGAGGGCGAGCGCAGGCGCGACGCCCCTAGCCCCGCTCTGCGGGGTCTGCAGCGCCGGGCTCTCGGCGGGCGACGGCGAGGGGTTGGGCCCAGCGGGGCCCATCGCCCCGGGGTCCGCGGACTTCGTGGGCTCCGGCGTCGAGTTCGGTCCAGCCGGACCCATCGCGCCGGGGTCCGCTGGCGTGCTGGCCGCCGGCGTCGAGTTTGGCCCGGCCGGCCCCATCGCCTCGGGGTCCGCGGGCGTGTTCGCGGGGGCGGAGTTGGGCCCCGCCGGCCCCATCGCATCGGGGTTCGGCGTCGGCGCCGCGGGCGGGGGCGTGTTCGGCCCGGCTGGGCCGAGCGCGTCATCCCCCGCCGCCTTGGGGTTTAGGATGCGGCTGATCGCTTCGTGGTCTACCGGGCCGGTGACTGTGATTACTGTTACGGGGTTCGGGCCGCCGGGGGCCATCGCGTCCGGAGGCGGAGGCGCGTTCGTCGCGGCCGGCGGCGCGGTCGGCGCGGGGAAGGGGCCGCCGTTCGTTTGTGCGTCGGTCGGAGGCGGGGGCGGAGCAGGCGCAGCAGGCGTGTACGGCTCGCTCGGAGGCGCGGGCTGCGCGGGAGGAGCATCAGGCGTCGGCTGCGCAGGCGCCTCGGGCGTCGGCTGAGCCGGAGGAGCTTGCGGCGTCGGTTGGGCGGGAGGAGCTGGCGGCGTAGGCCCGGCCGGAGACGCTTCAGGCGTCGGCTGGGGAGCCTCAGGAGTAGGAGCCGGCGGAGCAGGGGGAGTCTTAGGCTGTTCCTGCGGCGTCCAGTCGCCGTTGGGGCCAGGCATGCCGGCGGGGAGAGACGGGGCCTCAGGCGCGCCGCCCGTCGCGACGGGCTGGAAAGTCGGGAGCACACCCGTGAGGATGATCGTGCGCGTGAACGTCGCGTCGCCGACACCGCCGCCGATCGCCTGCGTCTGCGCCGGCGCGTTCGGCGGGATGTACCGGATCTCGGTGACTGTCACCGTCTCCTGGGCTGCGACGACGAGAAGCAGTGCGAGGAGAGCAAGCATCGCAGGGTGTGGGGAAGAAGAGAGGGTGAGTGAGAGATGAGGCAACGACGTCGGATCGGGCGCTTATATTTGCACGTCCAGGTGAGGGGAGGAATTGGCCGAAAATGACGCGGCCGCGCCCTCCCGAAGCGGGCGGGTCGGGTGTGCACATATGACGAGAGACGGACAGCGCGTGGTATGCCAGTGAGGTGAAGCGAGAGGGGCTGAGTAGTGGCGGAGTCGCAGCGGAGTCATGTCTAGAATTAGATGGAGGGGGAAAGACGGCATGTGGACTCGCAAATTGTGGCACCTGATTGCGCAGACAGCATAGATGGCGTCTGGTGCTCTAGGCGTGACAAGTACCGAGCCGTGCAAATTGAAGAGTTTATGGAGTGGCAGGAGCAGTCAGTGGTTTATTCATTTCCCCCTATTATCCGCATTACTATGGTGGTGTTATCTGGCAACTAAAAACCGCCACCAAGCTTGAAATTCCGAAACTGAGATTGTAGTTAGGACATCCCCTCAATTTGAAAGTGCTGCTCCACCATTTCCCACAAGTTGTGCATACTTTTCGGGCGTTCAAACCATTATGTGGACTGCAGTAATATATCCCTCCTCCTCTTCAAATTAACTCTCTCTCTAGAGCGCCATAGCAGCCCCAAGGCCAACGAGCACCATCGCGAGACAGGGACTCGCGCTTCCGCCGCCGCTCTCGGGCGTGGGGGCGGGACTCGGCGCCGGCTCCTGTGTCGTCGGCGCAGGCGCCGGGGCAGCAGGCGAGGTCGGAGGCGGCTGGGCCGGGTTGGTTGGAGGCACTGCAGGGGTGGTGGCCGGCGGGACCGGCGACGACGCAGGAGGGGAAGCCGGAGACTTGGGGGGAGCCTCGCTGCTCTCCTCCGGCGACGGAGCGGGCGACGGCGAGGGTGAAGGCGGGGGGGCCGGCGATGGGTCAGCGGGGGTGGGACGACCCTGCGCAATTACGCTGCTGAGCGCCGCCGTGTCAATCGGCCCGGTGATGGTGATGACAGTAATCTCGGGCGGGGCAGGGTTCGCGGGGGGCTGCGCGGGGGCCGTAGGGGCGGGGGCGGGCTCGATACGATTGCCGTCCGGGCCGACGGTGACGGTGACGGTAACTTCCTGCGCGAAAACAGCGATCGCAACGCTCAGAAGGAGGGGAATGAGGGGGCGCATTGTAGTTTATATCGAGTTCGAATGCTGCGGAGAGAGAGGCGATGAGCGATTGAGAGCGGTGCTGGTTCAACGTCGGATTGAGTTATATGGATCGCCGGAGAGAGTCGCGATCGCGAGAGGAAATCAAATCACCCACCGCACACGACGCCCTAAAAAGATATTGAGCACAGCATGACGAGCGAGTATGTGATGTCGCTCTCAAACTGAGACGCGAAGACAGAGGACCTTGGTCTCGCGTCATCATAACGCCCCTCATATCAGTGTCTTGAACACAACTGCGACGCAGGACTGCTGTCCTTTCCTTGGCGCAAACCAGCGTCGTAAGCGATTATTGTGAGACCTTTTACTCGTCATTCTTGACTCTGCTCCCCTCGCGTTCGAGGTATCGTCATCTTCTGGTAACCGCCACACCATCTGCTGCCACACTCAGGCACACCTCCACCTCCACCTCCACTTCGACTTCTCCGACCAACTTTCGAACCTCAATCTGACATCATTCCAACCACCACGCCCATGTCTTTTGCCGCCCTCCGCGCGCAGCGCGACGCCCGTCACGCGCCTCTACGGCGCGCCGGTTTGGCTGCGACGCCCTCGGAGCATGTCTCGGCACATGCCGATGACGCGATATCTCGCGGCAGTCTGGAAGCGTCTTCCTCTTCCGGCGCTGCGGGCAATCCCGCCCAGCAGTCACCTTCTCCATCCGCTGCGCCAGCCAGCGCGCAAGAAGTCATGACTCTACCGAAGGAGGAAACCGCCCACGATCCTGCTACTGCCGCGCTCTTTCCCGAGCTCTCCGCAACGCCACTCGAAGTGCGCCGTACGTCACGGCATGGGCGCGGCTTGTACGCGGGGAATGCAGTCACACCTGGTATGTCCTTCCCCTCGCTCATCTGACAGCAGGCACTACGCTGCTCCGCACGACGCCCCTTTCGGTCGTCTCAACATCGCTCCTCACATCGCACTGCAGCTTCTGCCACGCCGCGACGAAGGTGCAGCGCTGTGCGCGCTGCAAGGCGCTGCACTACTGCTCATCGCGATGCCAGAACGCCGATTGGGCCGCGCACAAGCCTGAGTGTGCGGCGCTTACACGCCTTCGCAAGATGTGGGCGGCGACGTACCCTGACAAGGCGCAAAGGGGGGAGAACGGGTTTGTGCCGCACGAGGCAGTGCGCGCGCTCGCCCGCTTGTGTTGGATGCGGCGGAGTGGAGGCGGAACGGGTGCGGCGGGCTGGCCGCAGGTCGCGGGGATGGAGAGTCATGTTGGGAGGATGGGCGAGGATGATGTGCGCCTGGGGAACCAGGTCAACCATCTCCGGCATTACCTCGGCGCTGCGGAAGGCGAGGGCGATCTTCTCCACCCCGCCGACATGGCATCGTTTGGATTCAAGAGCGCGCGGGAGCTGCTCGACCTTGCTTCAGCATTCGCGGTCAACTCTTTCACACTTTCCACGCCCGACCTGACCCCGATTGGAGTGTCAACTTCTCCGATCGTTGCGTTGTGCAACCACTCATGCTGGCCGAACGCGGTGGTCGTGTTCCCCTCGGGGCGAGAGATGTGCGTGGTCGCGATTCGAGATATCGCACCAGGCGAGGAGGTGAGTGCTGCCGTCGACTTAGCTAATGTAGATTCTCACGGCGTACATCGACGTCTCGCTTCCTCTGGCAGAGCGGCAGGCGGACCTACAATCGCGATATGGGTTTACGTGCGACTGTGCACTCTGTGCAAAGGGCGAGAATTGGGCAGACCCGCGGTGGAGCGTGCTGCACCCGGGCTGCAGCAAGGGCGGTACCGGGCCGATGCCGAGTACGTTGTCCCGGTGGGTGTTGCTGACGACAGACCTCGCTCTCCCTGGCGACGCAGAAGTCCTCTGTAATTGCGGATACAAGTTCACCACAGCCGTTCCGTCACTGCGGGGCCTCATCGAAGCAGGCAAGCGCCTGCTCGCTGCCGACGAGAATGGAGAGCTGGGTAAGTTCCCGTTCCTGTAGAGGTTGGTGTCACGGCTGACGCCAGAACGCGATTCCGCCCTGTCTCAGCTCCGCACCCTCGTGCCGGCACTCAGCACGCGTCTCCCGCATAGCGCACACCCACTTCTCCCTCTGCTCCGAGTGTTCGCGCTCCACCTCCTCCCGCCCGCCCCCGATCAGCGCGCGCTTGTTCTCGGCCTCTTGACGCAGGCGGCGGAGGGTGCGCGTGCGGCGCACCCGCCTAACCATCCTACCGTGGGTGTCATCCTTGCCGAGCGCGCCAAGGTCATGGCGATGGACTCTGGCGACCAACGCATCATGCTCGATGCGGCGGGCCTCGCGCGGCGCCGGGGTGAGCTGGTTGCTGCAGTCGCGGCGCTGCGGGAGGCGGCGGCGGCTTGCGAGGTTGGATTTGGGGGCGGAGAGGTAGCGATATCCATGCGGACGTTGGCGGGCGAGTGTGAGCGCGAACTGGACATGATGCGGGGCTAGACTCTCGCGGTCCAAGAAGGGCTTCATTCGATCATTCCGTACAACTGTCTACGAGTAGTCTACTGATCTACTGCGTCTTCATCTCCTTGTCCTCCTCGATGTGTGAGACGACCTTGGAGCCGGCGAGGCCGCTCTGGAGCGACGAGAACTGGTCGGGGGAGACGTTGACAACGACGTAGGGGAAGACTGGGTAAGCGGGGATCTCAAGCAGGAAGCAGATCACTAGGACTGGGGATGGAAGAGGTGAGGTTGTGCGGTGACCAGAAGCGCACGGGCTGATCGGCGGGGAACCGAGCCTGGGCGAACCATTCCGGACTTGTGCTTCCGGAAGCCGGCTTACAGCTTCCCGTCGCCACCCACACCCCCATGTCCACACCCCCACCCCTACCTCAACACAGCGCGGACGTACTGCTCGAGTCAACATGCTCGTCGCGCACAATAGTGCCGCCAGCAGCCTTGATGTCGTCAATGACCTTCTGCTTGTCCGCGGACGACGCGCCCTTCTCGAACTTGACAATCGCTGGGGTCAGGGGAGGGGTACCGGGGGTGTGCAGGAGTTGCTGAGGCGGGGATGACATCGTCGCGTCTCGCCTAATGGCCTCTTGCCACACGGCGACTCACCGTCCTTGGCCATGGTAGTGTATGTTCTGGTGAGTGCTGTGCGGAGGGATGAAGAGTAGAGGGAGAAGAGAGAGATCATGGTCACTAGAGGGAGACACGGCAGCGTCCAGCATCCAGCGTGACATCACTTTGGTCCCGTTGTTTGGTCATTGTGTCATAGGCGTCCGCCACCTAGTTGAACTCACAACCCTGACACACAACGACGGCGGTCACAACGACCTATGCATGCAGAGCCTACGACGATAACAATGACGGCCTTTACAGTGTAGCTGAAGAGATGAAGGTGGTGCAACAGAGCAGGTGGCCGAGGTAGCGCGGATTAGGACCACAACGTGTCGATGCCGGTCGCGTCTGTCGGTGACAGCCATCGTCACTACAGCTGACGCCGCCTCCACGTTGATTGAGACTTCGTCTGGCCCCATGCTCCAACATCCGGGAGAGGCTGCGCGGAATCGCTCTCGAGAATGAGGTACTTGCACTTGTGGGCTGTTCAAGCGAGACGAGCTCAAGTCGGAGACAGCCGTAGCGATCGTATCGAGTGGAGGTCGGTGGAGGTAGATCAGTGGGATGGGCTTGTCCATGTGATCATCTCGTGGTCGTGGCAATTCAGAGTCCAAAAAGTAGCCACGGATGCCAATCCGTTTGTGTTGGCTGAGTGAGAGGGTTGGGGAACGAGGGAGATGGGTGGTACGGGACAATGCGTGCCGAAGCGCGAACAGGCCGCAGAAAGGAAATGCAAAGATCGAGTGCGGGATACAGGATAGAGGATGTTGGTAATCGGTCGCGGCAGATGCCGGACTAACACTGACCATCTTCCGGCTTTGACAGACTGGCCGCGGGCTGCCTCCGCAGCAGGCTGGTCTTCGGGAGTGGGTCAGTTGAGCGGCCAGAAAGCCTTGCCCGCTAGCAGCCAACGGTGGCGGAGTGTTGGTCCAAGAAGGTAAGATAGAGGGACACGGGGCCCTCGCAGGTCTTTCCCCTCCGTCTCTTCCATCGAAGTCCTCTCCTGCCCATGTGTATTGAAGGCTGTTGCCTCAATTGTGGATCATTAGGCAGTGTCATGTCAGTTCATACCTCCTTCCCACGGCGGTCACATCCACACCAGCGAACGGCGCAGTGTCCCAACACGTGCGGACCAAGGATGTCGCCTTCAGAGCAATGATAAGCGAAGAGCCATTCCAGCGGAATCAAAGTCAGTCACGCTGATCGGCAATCAACAACTGCAGCGGGATCCATCGCCACCTCGATCTCCAACTCCCACTTTCTCACCAACCTCCGCCCCGGATGGCTAACATTCAAACCCCTGGGCATCTCCGAAACGAAGTATAGGAGGGTTTTTCCTTTACTCCCAACATGAGCGCTAGCAGTGACGATGGTATGAGGTGTGCTCGGCTTATCTTTGACACTCAGCCGCGCCGGCAACCTTCTGGATCGACGACACCGTGTACCCTCACATCACGGACACCGTCCTCCGCTATGCAACGTGGAAGACTCTGTGCGCTTTCCGCCGCGCTTCCACCGCGCACCTCGCGCGCGTAGATGCACTCCTGGGCAACCACATCATCCTGGCATGCGACGTGCCCCCAAGAATGAACATCACCTCGCCGTACGGACGGGTGCCGGGCATGCGAGACCGGCACTACTTGGACTGGTCGAAGCCGGGGAAGAAGCGGGCCAAGTGGGAACTCGAGCGCTCGAAGCAACTAATGGAGAGCACGCGCGTCGTGGACATCATTGGCACCGGGGACATGTCGCTCGTGCCCATCTCGCGCTCCCTCAACAACGTGCGCGTGCTCCGCGTCCGCCCCGATAACGACTACGTGCAAGTGTACAAGTGTCATGTGACCGCTCCTAAGATGGTTGTGTTCGGCAATGTTGGCGCACCGCAGACTGTGCTGGGGGATTGGCGCACAGTGGTGCCAGACAGCGTGCGTAAACTCATCGTCAATATCCGCTACCACCCCGTGCAGCACGGCCAGGCGCAATTCCCCGTCATCGTGGAGCTGTTTCCGCCGTCACTCCCGGAGGTTGTGGTGCACATCATCGAACCAACCGGGATCAGCGTCCTCCCGCCGTGGGACAGGGACCGGTTGCAGCGCCAGCGCTGGAACTCGATATCCTCGAGCCTCGCCGGCATTCTGGTGCGCACGCGACGCCGTGATTTTCGCATCACAGTAGTCGGGTTCCGCAGTCTATACCCCGGGTGGGTGGGACAGCACGTCGACAGCGTATCGCAACTCGAGACACAGCTTCTGCACAGTGTGGAAGAGGATTTACACCAGCGCAATCCCGTGCATGCCGCCGACACGGACACGGACAATGCAGACAGTGCGGGGGTTGCAGAGGACAAAGACGCATGGCCGTTTTCCAGCGTCGCGGCAGCAATGCAGTGCATCGTATTCGCCACCCGCGAGGAGTACGCGAGCACGCTGGACCCACACGAGCACATGCTTGAGACGATCGAAATGCTGGCGAGTGACACGCGCGATCCGCCACTCAAAGTGCAGCGGGATATGTGGAGTTTTCCACTGTACTTGACTCCGCCTTCGGTCACGGCGCCGGTGGTAACCTAGTAGACAAGCCTGGAGTACTGCCGCGGGCGCTGCTGCCGCTCCTGCCCTCGAACATTCGTTGTGGCTTGACGAGCCGCTCTGCCTCGCTGCAAGTACCTCCGCTGTGGGAGCACGAGGTTGAGCATGTGTGACGCCTGCCTCCAGCCAAGCGCACAATTGTCGGCCCGCACATAGTAGACCCCGAGCGGTTATGGCCTTTCGCACAACGGCGCTACTGGCGCGACGAGGACGGGGTTATGAGTTGTCCGCTGGCAAAAGGTGGTCAAGGAGGCTATCAGCGGCTCATCTACTAATCTGATTAGTAGCCATAGGGCCTAAAGCGCGGAGTGACTGTAGCTAGTGCGCATCTGCTTGCAGATAGACGATATGTTGCGACCTGCCGGCGCTTTGTCGTTGACACCTATGCACCATGCTGCATCTAAGTGCCATGAGTTCATGTCGTCATCGGTGGAGGGAGAGCAGGGGAGTGGAGGTCGCATCCCACTTCCTGCCTCACACTGCCTCACCAATTTCATCAACCGTGGTCACAATAGCTCGAGCACTCGAGCGCGCCACGCCATGTGCCTTGACGCGGCCGCCTATCCACACATCCTCGATGCCGTGCTCGCCTACGCGCCACGGGAGGTGCTGATCACACTGCGCGGCGTATCGCACGAGCTGCGCGACCGCGCCGACGCCATCTTGTGCCGGCACATCCTCTTCACAAGCTACTCGCCGAACGAGATCTTCGGCAAGACCGGGCGCATTCCTGGCCTCTGGCCCGCCGGCTGGAAAGAGGAGGGCGAGGCGCGTGTGCTCTCGCACGCGCGCGTCGCCGACATCGTCGGGCCCTTCGGGGCGCCGGACGCGCGCGCGCGCCAAATCGCTAGCGCGTGCGCGCTCGACGCCGTCCGGCTACGGCACCATCCAGCAGGGCCGCTGTCGAGCGTGTGCCCCCTCCCCGCGCCCCTCCTCGCGACGTTCACGACGTTCGCCGAAGTCGGGAGCTGGGACCACCCGGCCGTCGCGGACGTCGGGCCGGTGCCCGACGGCGTGGAGACGCTGGTCGTGAATCTGCGGTACGACCCCGGGCGCTCGTGGATGCCGCAGGCGCATGTGCCGCCGCTCGCGCGCCCGCGCTCGCTCCGCCGCGTCGTGCTCGTGTTCACGGAGAAGACGACGCACCAGGAAGAAGAGGTGTGGTTCCGCCGCGCGAGCAAGCCCATGGGACTGCTCAACTCGCTCGTCCTCGGCATGACGATGGCGCTGCCACGCGGCGTGAGGTATACCCTTGTCGACGCGGAGACGCTGCGGCCCGAATGGCTAGGGTGCGACGGCACGGGCGCGGCCGTCCACCGCGCACCCGGCGCTATAGAGGCCGCTGTGAAGGCTAGTGTTGCGGCGGGGGTGATGCGTTGGGAGCGGTGGAGTGACGAGCAAGCTGCCGAGGCGGTGCAGGCAATCGAGTTCCGCACGCGCGCAGAATACCGCGCTGAAATTGGCGAGGCGGCGTTTGAGCTGCACACTATTGAATAGTGTGGGATGAAGTACGAGAGCCGCCTCGCGCCTCGTTACGCACCCGACCTCCGCGACCTTCATCGCGACTGGAGGTGGCTCGTCTCGAGGTCCCACATCCTACACTTTAGAACGGATGGGTCGTGGGTCGCACGAGCAGCATCTCCTCCCCGTGCACGTCGTCTCTCACTGGTACAAGGCGCATTGCGGCACATGGTAGAGATGAAAGTAAATCTGCAGGGTGCAGCACATGCTTTGATACTACAGAGTAGCCTTGCCAAGTCGGTGCTCGGGAGCGGTCCGTCATGATTCCTGTAGAAGAAATGCCGTCCAGCGCAATCTCGGGATTGTAGAATTGAGCGCCAGTGGAACACACCGGATAAGCAGGCGTATGTCCTCCACTAGGCGAGCTGAGATGGCTCCACCGGGGCGGGCGCCAAGCGCCGCCGCAAGAGTGGTCATGCGAGTAGCGCCTGGCGACAGATCCTCGCCAGCTGCATCCGGAAAGCAGACGCAACTGACAGACGTGATGGGAAGACACTCCGTGTGATTAGACGCAGTGAACTCGTGTAGGGCCGGTGAACTCGTGTAGAGTCGGTGAGTGGCATAGTGCGACACGCCGTAGTCGCTGCACGCAGGGCATGCTGCAGTACCTCGATGGAGTCCACGCCCGCGGTCAGGCTTTGGCATCTTAGCCATACGCCAATCGGGGCAAATGAGGCTGCGGAACGCGGAACTGCCGTCGCTCGCCGACCGAGACCTCTCCTTTTCTCACCTGCTACCAACTCAGTTGGCTGCAGCGGCCACGGACACCATCGTCCTCGGGGTGTCGAGTCTCGAGCTCGAACTGGCGCAGTCCAACGCGGCGCACATACTGCGCAGGCTCGAGAATGCTCAGGCGCTTGCGCCACCCCTCTTCGAGCCGCGTGTCGATGTACGCTTCCAGCTCGGCGATCGTGGGCGTAGGCGTGCAGTCCATCTCATCGAGGAACGCCCCCACACCAACAAGCGTCCACTTCACGCCGCGCTCGGCGCGGCGCACCTCGCTGATGATGGTTTCGAGGAAGCTGAAGTTGGGTCGGCGGGAGGCGTATGTCCCGGCGGGAGTGAGGCGGGGCGAACGCCGCCGGCCCGGCGCTTGCTTGTAGTGTGGGACGTTGGCGTTGGCGAGGATGATGACGGCTTCTCGCAAGCCCGGGATTTGGGCGCCGAACAGGCCGACGAGATTTTGCCGGTACGCAAAGCAGGGCTTGTACGGGATCGTGAGGACGAAGCGGTGCATGCCGATGGGGAGCGCGGGCACTTCCACCCAAATGTCGGCGCTGCAGCCGGAGGGCAGGCAGGGGTCGTCGCGGGCAATCGCGCCGATGCACACGAGCGTGCGGGCCGCGGGCGCGTTCGCGAGAAATTTGGAGAAGCGGAGATTGAGCTGCGAGTTGGAGAGGCGGACGAGGTTGAGCTGCGGCGCATGTGCCGTGAGAGAGGAGACTAGGTCAGTGCTCCGGGAGGAGAAGAGGTTGGATTCCCACGCCTCAATGTTGGTGAGCGAGAGGGTGCGCGCCTGTGCGATTTGTATTGGGGGGTTCTCGCCTGCGCGCCAGCGCAGCAGGGGTTTGGCTGGCCCCCTCGGGCCGGGGACGGTGATGTACAAGCCCTGGTCGGCCGTCCTGAAGTCCGAGCCGACTACGACGTGCCGGAACAGACGTGCATCGACGTCGTCGCGGTACGCGCTCGACGTTCCGCGTATGGCGAGCAGCGCGTGGGTGTCGGCATAGTCAAGGATGGCCTCGATGATGTGAGGGAACGAGCGGTGGTCGATGGTGATGCGTGGCGGCGGCGAGGGGCCGTGCTTGAACGGACGTTTGGCAGGGCGTTCTGGTGGCCACGGGATAGTCATGGTGGTCTCGGAAAGAGCGCGTTTGCGCGATGGAGAGGTGGGGGCAGAGTTGGGCGTGTGCATTCTTAAAAGTTGGCTTGTGTCGACGAGAGTGTTGACAGTCTGACGAGCGCGTCGAGGTTTCGGCCGATGATTGCAGTGGGCACGTCCCCATCAGGTCCCGTGTCTGGGTTATCGGTCGGCTCAAGTCTCCGAGGGACCCATGGTCCCAAGAGCAAGAGCCGAGCGGGACTGAACTGCTTTGCTCATTTCAGCCCCGGGCCCAATCCCCTTGCCAGAACGAGAAGGCAACAAAGCCGATTCTCCATGTGATTCGGAGTTTGCAATTATCAGATAAGCCCTGGCTGGGACGCCATCATCGATTCCGCTCCGACACCCTCACTCTGTGCCGTGCCTGAATCTGTGCAGACTTGAGACAATGTCGACGTCGAGGGGGTGTTGGCAAGACTTACAACATCCGACTTTACATGGTATACTCGGTTTGATCCCACCGGTCAACGCCAGAATTGAGAGAGTTCTAGATCATGAACGATCTCCATCTTGGTGCCGACTTTGTTCGCATCTGTGGTCACGTCCGGAGGTGCATCTGTGAAGGTTGAGCGGACGAGACTTTCGATATCCCTCGTAACAGTACAGTGAGTAAAACTGGTCCGCGAGCTGACTGGCGAGTGGATTTTGATTCAGGCTGCTCAAACACACGTGTTGCAAGACCCAAAGGCAAGACTGGTGCGCCCCATTACGCACCAACCCCATGGATATTGAGCGTCATGGCTCGAGCTCGAGCACGACACACCGCGGCCACATGGTCGCGACCTGTGAGGACCATGGCAGTGACTCGCAACGGGCGTCTCGCTGATCGTCTAGGTTCAAGCCGCTGCCGCTCGAGGGTAGCTGCGTCGGCGCCCCTCGTGGGCTGCGGTGGCGGGTGGCGGCGACATTTGTGGTCCACTTCGCCTGGGCCTCTGCACGGCTTGGACAGCAGCGACGCGACTTGAACTCGGCACTAGCCAGCACTTGGGGGCGACATGCAGGGGCCGATGCCGAGTGCGCTGATGAGGAAAAGTGAATGCAAGTGAGTGTTGAGCGATGAGGAGTAGAGGTGAGTGGAGGTGATATGTACACGAAGCGCACACACACTCTGACATTCTTCTGACCGGCCTCTCTCTTTCTCTTCTTCTCATTCACTCATTCTCCCACTTCATCCTCCACTTGCCACTACCTCGCATGCTCAACATCCAAACACTCGTCCTCCCTACGTCCCCCTCTTCGTCCGCTGCCGCTCTCGCCATCTCCCGCGCGACCTGCATCATCGCCCTCGTGTCCCCTTGGCCTCTCGCATCAGCCCTCCCACCCCCACCTTCCCTGGCCCCATCATGACCTCTCGACCGCCCCGCAAGAAGCAGCGACTCTTGCGCCAAGCAGACATCCGCCCCGTTCCCCACTCCCATCCACCAACGACACAACGTCCGCAATACATCGACATCGCGCGATACCCAGACATCGTCCAGCAAATCATCAGCTACCTCCCATTGCCCTCACTCCTCAGCCTTCGCCTCACCGCTCGTGCCCTCCGCAACCATGTTGACTTCGTCCTAAACGACCATCTCGTTCTCAAACCTGGGAACCAGCTAGACGGAATCACTGGACCCCTCCCCGCGCTTCTGACGGTCAACTCGGACGAAGTGCTAGGACGAAATCGGTCGAGCTGCCACTGCCGCATCTGTCGGTCATACGACCGACGCTCCACCCACGCCACACTCCGCGACGCGCGCGTCCTTGACCTCCGCTACCTTACGGCTCTCAACCTCCGCGTCCTCAAGAACTGTCTGGCCCGCGTCGCACCTGTTCCCGTCATCCGACTATGGATGTGGTGCACCGCGCCTCAACCTGAACCTCTCCCCATTCCCGCCTTGACTCTTGTCGTCTTTGGTTGGGCAGGCATGTGGGAGCCGTCGAACGGCTTTCGTCGCGAACGCTTCAATGGCCCTCCGCTCGGCATCCGAAAAGCCGTCTTCAACCTCAACGTGTCGTGCACAAAGGTTCCGTTCATCTTTCACGGCATGTTTGTTAAGCGGACGCCGCCCGCTTCTCTGGAGAAGGTCGTCATCGTGTTCCATTCGAACTGGGCCTCGGACGACCGCCCCTGCGCGCTCAAGCCACTTCAGGAGGCGATCCCACGAATTGTTCAGCTGCTCACCGAGTCGCGGCGGCGACGGCCGCAGATCGTCTTTGTCAACTCGGATGCGATCCTGCCGGGAACCTTTCCCCTGGGCAAGGGTACGAGCAAGCGCCCCGACCTTGCCGAGTGTGCGTCGTTCGTGGAGTACGTGACGACATTCTATATTTCGGCAAGGGGACGGGCAGAGTTTGAGGAAAAGGTGTCGTTCTTGACGCGGGAGGAGTATCAGGTGGAGGTGGGGCCCGAGGCGTTTCGGGTGGAGACGCTGGGCTAAAGAGGGTGTGTGGTCTTGTCGGGACGGCAGTCGGCACGGCAGTCTGTACGCAGTCTGGCAAAGTTTGACCATAGTGTACGGTGTAATGAAAGATGACGGCTCTATGTGTGTATGTGCGGTTCAGCATGAGTAGGTCGTCACGGAGGCGAGCGAGCTGTCAGACCACAGTTGGGACTCGAGGCGCCAGGCGAGCGATCGTGAGGTAGATGATGTTAGTATTGAAGATGTGAGCTTGGCATCGGGCATCATAAGTCATGCAATCGCGCGATCGCGCGGCCCGACTGCAAGTGCAATCAATCTGCGTGGACCCATACCATCGTACATCCGTCCTTCCTTCTTCTTAACTCCTCTTTCCGCCCTCGTTCGAATCACGAGCTCCTTCACGACCTGCATCAGCGCCCCTTCTCAACACCTCCCCCTCCCCATACTGGACCCACCGATGCGTATCCTCCGGCATCTCCACGACGAGCTTGACGCCGCCGCCATACATCGCATTCGTGACCCCGGCGCGCTTGATGGCCGCGAGCGCTTCCTCGCGCTCCTCCACGAACGCCGTCAGGCCCTCGGGCGTCATCTCGTTCGGCGCGCGCCCGGCCGCTTTTGCGGCCGCGAGGGCGGCGGCCGGCGGCGTGTCGCCGAGCGCGGCGAGCGCGGGCGCGAAGACTTCGTCGGCGCGGCGCAGGAAGTATTGGCGGAAATTGTACGAGGAGAAGGTCGAGGCCGCGGCGCGCGTGGCTTCGTGTAGTGCTTTTACTTGGGCGTGGGTAGGTGGCATCGAAGAGGAGGTTTGGGGAGGAAGTTCGAGGAGTGCGGAAGGCAAGCAGAGTCAAGGATGGGTGGGAGACGCATTCCGAGGTATGACGTGGGAAGAAGTGATTCCAGGTGGCGACGGGTTTAAGAGTGGGGCACTTGGCTGTGCTGGGCTCGACAGCATTAACAGCATCGGCACATGTTAACACAGCTGCGCCAAGATCCAACTCCCCGACAGAGATAGATCATGCATGTCATTACCAGATGCAAGTTCGCGCGCGCGTTTCTATGTAGGGTATCAAGAGTGGATTCGGGCCGTCCACATTTTGTTTGCGTCTTAGAGGCCAGCAACGCCCTGGCCAGAGAGGTAGCGCTTGAGGTCGTTGAGGAGCTCAAGCTGCTCGGTAGTGGTGAGCGACACGACAACCGTCTGCAGGATGCTGCCGACAGACACGTTCTGCACGCGGATGAGCGACGAGTAGTAGACATAAGCAAAGATGCCCATCATGAACTGGCAGTCCATGCGGTCGGTCATGCCACCGTGGCCGGGAATCGAGTGGCCAAAGTCCTTGATGTTGAAGGCGCGCTTGAAACCAGACGCGAAGAAGCCGCCAAAGGGCGCGACGAGCGACGCGAACGTGGCCATAGCAATGACGTGCAGCTGGTAGGGCTTGTACCAGACCGGTCCGGGCTCACGGCCGAGCTGCTGTCAGTTCAGGATGTGGCACTGAAGACTCACGATGGTAGACAAAATAGTGCGCACCACACCAGTCCACTCATACTCCTTCCAGAGGAAGACCGGGTTAGGCTTGCACTGAATGTCCGAAAAGATGTTGACGCCCAGATCCTTGGCGGGGCAGATGAAGTAGTTGAACTGCTGGAAGAAGGTGCCCCAGGCAATACCGAAAATGAGCGTGCAGATGAAGGCGCCAACAAAGCCCTCGACCGTCTTCTTGGGCGAGAGCTTGATGAGTTGCGTGCGACCAAACATCTTGCCGCAGATGTAGGCGAAAATGTCGTTGCAGATGACGAGCGAGGCGGGAACGAAGAACCAGATCATGCCCTCGAGGATGTTGTTTACGATAAAGTGCGACGACACAACGATAAGGAGGAGCGTAATGTGCACCCAGCAGAAGAGCGCAAACTGCTGGCGCAGGTACTGGCGCTGGAGATTGGCGACGAACGCAACGAAGCCTGGGGTTAGAGCCGAGCCGGGGTGGGTCAGGTGGCGGCGCGCCGAGGGCAGGTGCAGTAGTGGTCTGGCCTAGCAGGTACCGCGCGGCTTTGCCTGCCCGCTGAGGTACTCACCGAGAATGTACAGCATAAAGCTGATGAAGCGATGATTCTTGGCGAAGGGCACAAAGTACGCGTCAACGAACACGATGTGCTTGAAGTAGTAGATGATGCTCTCGCCGTAGAGGAAGTAGTTGGTGACGACGAAGAAGTACCAGTTGAGCGTCTTGCTCCAGTCACCGGCGGGCTTGAGCGACTTGGCGCCCTCTGAAAGTCAGCGGGGTGGGCAACAAGCAACGTACGGTCACGCAGGTCGAACAACGCGGTGATCTCCTTGTACACAAGCGCCTGGCAGACCATAACGAGGATGATCATGCAGGGGTGACCCATCAAAAGGAGAGCTGGGGTCAGCAAAGTGCGTAAAAATGAGGGCGGCGCTGGCTCCGCTGGCAAGCGGTGCCGGCGGAGACGCCCCGGAGTCGCACTCACTGATGAAGCCGAAGATCATGATGAGAGTCCATACCGTCCGCTCGATGGCGTTCTGGTTCTTCTTAGCCACGGGAACCTGCAGTGGCTCGGGGACACGGGGAAGAGTCTTCTCGCCGTCACGTCCCTCGCCTGGGACGACACCATCCTCAAACTTGACGCTGTTCTTTGACGGTGAGCTCGGCGTGAAGGCAGCGCCAGGGCCGGCCGGCGTAAAGTCGGAGGGAGCCTTGCGCTTGCGGCTTGCGGGCGAAGGGTCCCTCGCAGGGTGTGGGAGCGAGTCGGGAAGGACAGGCGCGAACGTTGGCGACGTCGGTGCAGGAGCATCGCGAGGCTGTGGGGGCGCGGCGACGGCAGAAGAAGGCGCGAGTGTACTGCGAGTGGCAGCAGCTGGGGTGGAGGTGGGTGCGGGTTTGGGCGTTTCGGGTGCCAGCTTCACCGGCTCGGGCTGAGACTGCGCAACCTCGGGCACGGCTGGTGGCTCGACAGCGCTGTCGCCGTTCGTCCCGTTCGTCCCGTTCGCCCCGTTCGCCTTGGCGGCCGCGGCGGCCTTGGCACGAGCACGCTTCTTTGCAGATTTTGAGAGGGGCGCAGATGGTGCACTGGATGTGGGTGTAGACGGCTCCGGTTCGGGCCTGCTGTTAGCAAAGTGAGGAGTGGGTGAGGAGAGGGCGCACTCTTCGATGTCAGATTCTTCGTCAGCGACGTGCTCTTGGACGTCGAGCACGTCAAACATGTTGCGTTGGGAGAAGGAGGGCATGGCGATGGTGGGGGAAATTGATTGCCTCGGTAAGGACAGTGGTGTTGTAACGAGGCTGGAGATGTAGAATGAACAGAAAGAAGGAGAAAGAGAATTGAAGATGTTGAGAAGGGATGGAGGATGAACGCTTCGGTGTCGGCGGGGTGGACAGGGGGAAGGCGGTCCGTGGGGCGAGAGCGAAGAGTCCGTATGGTTGGGGTGACGTCGTTGGCTCGTGGCATTGTCATAGCGGGAGTATCCTTGTCATCCGTCATCACCCATCCACGTCATTTTATCACGTGGCTCAACCTCGCCCCTTCTGCACACAACATTTTCCTGCTGCCCACGTCTCCATCTCTCCTTCACTCCTCTCCTCTCTCTTCATCTCAACGCGCATGTCTTTTCCCATGTCTTGACTTTGTTCCCCCCCTAACCCTTCCTACGTGCACAGTGAGTCACCTCCTCCCCCTTTCCTGCTTGATGAACACTACAATCCAACTCCTAAGCGGTGGAACCTCTCGAGGTTAGCCGCGGCGCCGGGTAGGACCGGTCTGCGTGCGGACTCTCTACACATGACCTGACGCCCTGTTTCCTTGTGCCTGCCATGAGCGATGCTGACAGCAGGTGCTGACTTTCCGAATCAACTGACGAGGATGACAAGCGAGGTTTAAACTGAGTGAGTACATCTGCTTGCGCCGTGACGAACAAACATTACCATACTTTACCTCATTCGTAACCGGCTCTGCCGCGATTGACGAGACAATTTCAGCCTTGGCTGAGCGCACTCCATAGCATTTTGCGTGTTTGTCACCAATTGCTGACCGACAGTCACAGCTCGCTGAGTCTATCTTGCTGCTTTCCCTTTGGTCTGCTTGTGTTTGAATCAGGTGAGTCGATCCCCGCACACACGGATGAAAACTTTCGATGGGCGGACAGAAATCCAAGTCCTGCGCTTGCGCAACGCCCCACTGTACAAACCGGGGCGGGGAGGCGGAGTTGGTGATTCATCGTTTTCTGATCTCTACTGTTGTGACGATGGACGTTGTCGCTGACAGCAGATTTTGGAAGTGTCAGAGAAGAGTAGAAGTGAAGGCGTCAGCCGACGAGCCCAGGTGGGCATTGAGCGAGGAGCTCGGTGCTGACCGTGCGGGCGTCGCTGGATGATTCTTCTGGCCTAGACGCCACCCTGTCGCGGGGGAGGAGAAGTGCTTGCACTTCTTCATGATGCAAAGACCAACTTTGTTGGAAACACGGCTAGCTTAGGCAATGCTGTCGAAAATTAACCATCTTTCGGGGCTGATCTCCCACCGCGACTATTTGTAGTGTACTCTGAGGGTTATGCCATGACTGCATCTCATCTGCTTGTTGCTGTGTGAGAAGTTCTGGCACGGCCCGCACGGCTATACTCTAAATATCAATATCACGGACCATGAGCTGGTGCGGCTCGCCCTCTTCGTCGAAGCGTGGCCCTTCTTGGCGGTATCCGAGCTTGGCGTAGAAGTCGAGGACGGGGATCTGGCGTGAGCAGATGGCGAGAGCAGAGGGCATGAGCAGAGTGGGTGGAGCGGGCACGACGCTCGGCGTCGGTGTCGTCGCTGCCTCCCAATCCCCCTTTACTCCCCCCTCCCATCCCCCATTCCACCCACCTGGGAATGTATCTTCACCGTCACCGCCCGCCCACTCCGCCCCTCCACCACGAGATGCCGCATCCGCCCCGCGCGCACCTCGAGGACAAGCCACGCCTCCATGGCGTGCACGAGGGCCCGCCCGGCCCCCGTGCCCCGGTACGGCGCAAGCACCGCCAAGCGCGTCAGTTTGCCCTTGGAGGGCACGAGGCGCACGGTGCCGGCGGGCGACGCGCCGGCGCGCGCGAGGAAGTGCACGCAGTCGCCCGTGTGGTCGTAGCTGGTATTAGCAGGTGTATAGGGGAGGGGCGTACTCGTCAAATTCGGTGTCGAGGGGGAAGCCCTGGTGTCAGTGCGTGAGATTGCGGGAGTGTACTTGTTCATGCGCGAATACTAGTGTCAGAGGAGAGAGGAATGGTGACAGCTGGCCGGTGGAGGACTCACCGTCGACACGGATTTTGTGGCACACGGCGAGATCTTCGGGGCTTTCAACGACGTGGACGGAGACGGACATGGTGGAGAGGTGCGAGGGGGGGGAGGTGAGATGGCTTGATCGAGACTGGTCAGAGATGAGACAAGAGACGAGGCCGGAGATGATCCGGCGCCGTATTCCGCTTTGCTTCCGCCCTCTCTGTCGTCGCCGATCTGCATCGCATCACCATCGCTACTCTGTGCACCCAACTCTCACCCAGCGCCGACCGCAGCAACGGACACGCACGCGCAAATGCAGACTCTCCAAGCACTCACATACCCGTCGCTCGCGGCATATCTCATGAGATCAAGCGACGCCGCCCTTGATTGAGGAAGCGAGGGGCGGAGGGGCCCATGCGCTGCCCCTCAACGTGGTCGCCACAGTGGCGGGCACGGCGTGCTTGTACAACGTCTCGAGCACAGCGTATCGCACCAGCGACCAGGCGCGGCAGGGCCAGTGTAGCGCCAGGCCGCCACGCGGACCGTGCGCTGGCGTTGGACCTCGGCCTCGGGCCCCAGCTGCCAAGCTGCCAGGCCACAGGCCGGCAGGCCAGGCGGCGAGGTTGCGCTCGCCTACGCCGCACCGGCTCCACTGAGCATGCCACCATGCCCACGGGGCCAGAGATGTCCGGAGACCCGGTGATCGCGCCTGGACGCCCGCCTGCGCCTACACCTGCGGCGGGCGCTCGTCTCATCCTGGAACTGGAGACATGCACCGTGCACGCCAAGCTGCCACCGCAGCACTCATAACCCATCGCTGTGACTTTTCGTCTCCCCTCGTCTCTCGTTTCGTCTCTCGTCTTGGTCTCGTCTCCTGTCTCCTGTCTCCGTTTCGTCTGTCTCATCTCCGCCTCGTCCTCACCACTCACACCCTCCCAACCCCAACCCCACCCCCACCCACCCAATGGCCCCCCTCTTCCGCCGCGAGCTGCCGCAGCAGAGCGCAAGCTCAGGCATCAGCGCGAGCTCGCGCCCCGACGACCGCACATTGCCCAAGAGTGCGACGGAGAAACACGGTTCTGACCTGTATCCCGAGCTTGTGCGCCTTGGCATCCGCTGACGCTGACCGCAGAAAGAGCTCATGCTGCGTAACCAGCGGTGGGCGAAGCGCGTGGGCTCGGCCGACCCGGGGTGCGTTGCGCAGTGCGCACAATAGCTCACGCCAGATTCTTCCCGCGGCACTATCCCGGCCAGCGGCCCGAGATCCTCTGGATCGGCTGTGAGTGGCGCCGCGCCGCGGCGAGGCAGCAGCGACTGACGACAGGCTCGGACGCGCGTGTGCCCGAGACGACCGTGATGGGATCGCAGCCAGGCGACATTTTCGTGCACCGCGGTATTGCCAAGTGAGTGCTTGGTGACAGCGGTGACTGGCACGAAATGGGGAATCTATCTGCGATCCAGCGCTGATGCCAGCCTGTACTCGCCGCATGACGACTCGCTCAATGCCGTCCTCATGATCGCGTTGATCAATTTCAAGGTCAAGCACATTATCGTGGCCGTGAGTAGCGCGTATGCGTGGATGGCGTGTTGGCGGCGCGTGTGGGCGGCGTGGTGTGCTGTCACGCCTCGATTATCGAAGCGAAACGCAATGCTTGTGCGTGAAACGCTGGGTAGCGCAATGCTCGCGAGAACGGGCCATGCGTATCATATTGGGTGCCAAGTGCGAAACGGCGCTCGCGCCCCGCCATGTCGCCATGCACAATCACATGCTCACCCTCCTTCTTCCTCCCCTACCCACACCCACTAACCACAAAGGGCCACTCGAACTGCGTCGGCTGCCAGACAGCGCTGCGCGCATCGTGCCTCCCGCCAGTGCCCGAAACACAGGCGATCCAGCGCTACCTCAAGCCGCTGACGGTGCTCGCGCGCTCGATGGCAACGGAAGACGGGCCGCCCTCGCTCGACCTGCTCGTGGAAGAGAATGTGCAGCAGCAGGTGCGCAACCTCCTCGCATGCCAGGTCGTGCAGGACGACTGGAAGCGCCGCGGCGACTTTGGGGTTACGGTGCATGGTTGGGTGTACCAGCTTGAGAATGTGAGTGGCGTGCTTGGTGGCCGCGTGCTTGGTGGCCCCGTCAGGCCACCAAGCAGCGCGAGGAGCGAGGAGCGAGAAGAGGAGTTCAGAAGGCCAGAAAGGCTCACTCGGCGCTCGACGCTCCAAGACGACCCAGGCTAACAGCAGGGAACCGTGCGCGACCTGGGCGTGTCGCAGGGGCCGCCGGGGGCCAAGCCTGGTGGCTCGCGAATGGGGCCGCGGCTGTTCTAGGTGGTGGTTGATGGTAGATGTAGAGGGTATGGGATATGAGTGATGATATGAGTGTGCGTGTAAAGTTGGGGCGAGTAGCAGTGGACGGTGCGAGAGAGTGCTCTCGTCATGCACTGGCGCATGCATGAACCAAACAAGCCCGGGGGTGCCACGCTCGGATATTGCGATATCGCCGTCGACCGAGAAGAGTGAGGCGGAAGGGGCCAGGGTGCCTGAGACGCGCCAGCCGAGCCGGGGCCCTCGCGCCAGGGTTCTCGCAAGGGACGCACACAGGCCCCGCCCCAGTCCGAGCCGTGCCTGGAGCAAGCCTCAGGGACGGCGCATGGGCCGCTCAAGCATGCAAGCATGATGGGTGGGAGGGAAGGTGACACGGGCATCTCTGCTCGATGCATGCTCGCTGCTCATCACTGTCTGCTCTCCATCACACTCTCCGTTATTGTCGGTATCCTTGGCGCCGTGTTGTCTGGCGCCGAAGCCAGCTGAGTTTTGTCGACGCGACCGCCGTTACTCGCTTCTGCTCCCCTCCCTCTCTCCTCCCAACGCGACCTCGCAACCGCGCAGCCTCACAACTCGCGCCGTGCCCGCCGCTCGCCTGCGCATCAGCCCATCTCTAGCATCCACGCTCACTCGATCGCCGCTAGCATCCAACAATGAGTAGTGAGTCGGACGTCGAAGCGTGAACCGAGGCAGTGGCCCTGGTGCCGGTGGCGGTGCCAGTGCCGGTGCCAGAGATTGAATCAAGCTCTCGGAACAGCCGGACCCCTGCCATGGCACGGGGGACGCGGGATAAGCTCATTGTCGACATGGCGATGGGTGACTGCATGTCTGGGGCGCTCGCGATGTGCGTTCCCGACGCGCACGCGCGCAGACGGGGCACATGCTGTATGCTGAATGCTGGGCACGATGCAGGAGATGCATGATGCACGCCGCACGCCGCACGCCGCACGCCGCATGCATGGCTGTGCTGGCTGGGCAATAGAGGCATTGGTATTAGCGGGAGTATTATAATTCCTAATGGCCCAATTCAAGGTGGACCCTGGAACCCATTTGCCCAAAGGAGCGGAGCGGGAAGACCCGCCCAAAACACCCTTCCCCCTTTGCCATCGCTGACACTCACCTCGCCATCACTCGTCGCCTCCTCTTCATCACTCTCCTTTCCCTTGTTGTCGTCACTCTCTTTCTCTTCACCATGTCCGCCTCTGTCTCCGCCCCCCCGCCTTCGTCCCAAGGCCCCGAGTCCCCCTCTCCCTCAGTCGACCCGTCCCAGCCCCCCTCCCAGGGGCCAAGCTCACAGCCATCCTCAAGCTCCCCCGACCCATCCACTCCTCCAACCTCCTCGCCGCCCCCATCCAGCGAGCCCCCTCCTCCCTCCTCGACCACCCAGCCTCCCAGCTCTGAACAGCCCTCGCAACCCCCCACCTCCGAACCCCCTCCCTCGAGTAGCGACCCCGGTCCCTCTCCATCTGCCAACCCATCCTCGCCGGGCGTCACTTCGTCCCCGACTCCCTCTGCCAACCCATCCTCAGTCGTCGTCCCTCCTTCTTCATCGGCCAGACCCTCCGCCCAGCCCTCGCTCGTGATCCCCGGCACGACCCAGATCACCTCTGGCGTCCTTATCACAACCACCGATGCCAACGGCAACACGTACACCACCGCTCCATCCGTTCTGACCAGCGAGATGGTCAAGACGGACGCCTCGGGCCGCGTCTTTACCGTCACTGCAGTCGTGCACAACACGGCCAGCATCAACGGGAGCTCTTCGCGTGGCGGCGGCAGCGACTTTTTCGAGAACACGGGTGCCGTTGCCGGTGTGTTTGTCGTGGTTGGTCTCGTCGTCGCAGCCGGTATTGGAGCCTTTACCTTCTTTATGCTTCGCCGTCGCCGCCGCCAGCGTCTCGACCGCGACGTGGCTGCAGCAGCAGCGGCGGCGGCCGCTGCCCAACAGCCGCGTTTCGAGGACGATGACGATCACTCGCCCGCTATGACCCAGTACGGTCAGTACTACGCGTCCAACACGAGCCACGACTTTGAGTCGGCGCCCCAGTCGACGAGAGGCTACGAGTACGAGGCGGCCGGCGGCTACGACCCGTACGCCGCCAACCTCGTCGATGTGCCCAACCTCCCCGGGGACAACAATTACCATGACGCTGCCGCGACAGGGTATCCCCCCACTGGCGCCTACTACCAAGACCACCACAACGGGCACAACGGAAACGCGACCCAAGACTTCTCGCGCAGCGCCGACTACCACCACTCGTACGGCGACCCGCAGTACGACGTGGCGCACGTCTACGCCGGCCACGACGAGACGCTGCCTACCGTCCCCGAGCACCAGGAGGGCCAGTACCGCTCGACGTACTACAACTACACGGACGACGCGGGGTACAACTACAACGACTTTGACATGCCGCCGTCGCACGGCGCGCCGCTCGAGCGCCCGCAGAGCGTTGGGAGTGTCAACTCTGCTCCGGTGCAGCACCGCGACTTGACAGTCACGAATGTCTAGGCCGTTTATTTGTACATATAGTCTCCCTCCGCTCTCCGCACCCCGTCGCTCCGGCAGCGCCTCGCGCAAGATACCCACCAACCTATCCACATCCACATACACTTCCATCTCCTTCCCGAACGTCTCCGGTTGGCTGTACGGACTTTTGTTTTCTCCTTGTAGGGTTTAGGCACAGAGACGCGGCTGTGCTCGTAGCGGGTGGGCGGGTCTGTGTGCGGTGGTGGGGGGGGCTCGAACTGATGATCAGTGATCGCGCCTTGACTGTCAGCGGGATGGGAGGTTGGCGGGACACGACATGCTGGGTCTGGAAGACGGTCTTCGGATGCGAGGTACCAGTCCCCGCCTCTGAACTATACCTGACATGGCGTCGCCGTGGCTCATGCGCCGCGAACATGCTGAACAATAGCTTGCCGACGCCGAACAAGTCGCCGAGCGACGAATGGCGGCAACTACGTGCCACAACTCGACAAATACCCGCGGTTAACAACATTGTGCATCGTTCATCTACATACAACCATACATTCCTCATAGCCGCCCCGCCTACCACGGCACGTGGCGGCAGCCGCAGTCGGCATGCGCGTCGTACATGCCCTCGATGCCGCCGAGCTGGGCGAGGAACGCGCGGTGCGCGCGCGCGACGGCGGCTTCGGCGTCCACGACGGCGGCGCCCGCGCGGTGCCGCAGCGCCGCGACGCCCGCAGTGAGCAGCAGGCTGCGGTCGAGCGCGTGGAAGGCGGCCAGCGCGGCGTTGTGCGTGTCCATCGCGAGGCGGAGGGCGTTCCAGTGCGTCCAGAGGACGTGTTCGGCGGAGATGAGGGCGTGAGCGCGCGCGCAGAGGGGCGGTGGGAGGGGGGGCATGGGTATTTCCGGGGGGGTGAGTGGAGGTGGGGAGGTGAGAGGTTGGAGGGGTGGGGGCTTGAGTGGAGTCGAGCGGCGAGTAGAGGCGGGTGAGGAGGATGTCTGCGCGCTTATATCCACCTTGGTGTAACGGGGCGAGGCCGTGTTCTACGTCTGTCCCTTGTGCGAGTGGTGGGACGTGGCTGGCTTGCCACAAGCAACAGGAGCGACGACGCTCTTTGGGCCATCGTGTGGAAGTGTAATTGCTTGATGTTAGTCGCTCGCGCTTTGATTGCCCAAGTTTCTGCGCTGAGGTTGGCAACCAGTGGATTCGGATCATGCAGTTGGGGGGAGAAGATGTGCACCCACGCGAACAGGTCATCGCGGAGCGAGGAGTGAGTGCAGTGACGGGCCGGGCTGTAGCGATCCTCGCAAGCACGAGTGATGGGGGAGCAAGTTAGCGACCAGTGTTCTGGTTGCCTGCTAATGTTACAAGTGGGCGCGACAAGGACAATGTACTCCCATTACAGGAGTTTGCTTTGCATCACCACGGCCGTAAAGCACTACCATCGATCGGACGCGCGGACGCTGGTCCACCTCCAAGCCCACGTTGCATCCGCAGGCGGGCGAGGGTATCTGGCGTGCTGTCACGGCTGGTAGCATTGCGGCAGCGGCAGTGTCTGGCCAGTCATGAGAAGCACCGGGACTCACCCATCCGCCTAGCACCTTAGGCAGCCCGTAACAACCAAGCCCACGACAAGCAGCGCGGCCAGCATCCTCACAGCTGCTTCTCGTCTTCGTCATCAACCTGTGTTCCCACATACATCAAACAAACATGTACACGCTTTTGGGGCCGAAACACAAGGCATCCCGTCACCCCTCAGACCCCACTAATGCTGCACAGCCGTGATGAGCTTCCCAGGCTTGCTGGTACCCGAAAACAGCGTCGCCCAGGTCACGGGGATCTTGTCGAACGGGGTGGGCACGACGTTCTCCGCGGCGGGCGAGAGCTTGCCCTCCTCGACCCACTGTGCCATCTCGCCCGTCGCGCGGCCGATCTGCGAGAGGAAGTCGGCGATGCTAAACCCTTGCGTCAGCGCTTCCCCCTCCCACCCCACCCTGCATGTCAACCCGCTTGCTGATCAAATCAAGGAGATTGTACAGCTCCGTCGGCCCGCCATTGTACTGCGATATGAGGCCGCACAGCCCGATCTTGCCGTGCACCTTCATATTGGGGATCATGGCGTCGAGCACCCGCCCCCCCACGTTCTCGTAGTACCTGTCCGCGCCGTGCGGTCCCACGGCGGCGCGCAGGTCCGCCGCGAACGTCGCCGACTTGTAGTCGACCCCGACGGCGCCGAGGCTCTCGACGAACTTGACCTTGTCCGGGCCGCCCGCGATGCCGATGACGCGCGCGCCGCGCACCTTCTTCGCGAGCTGCACCGCCGTCGACCCCACCGCGCTGCCGTCAGCCGTGATGCGGTGCCACTCACCCCGCGGCGCCGGAGACGACGACCGTGTGCTCGGGCTGCACGTCCAGCACATCCATGATGCCGTGGTATGCGGTCGCGCCCGTCGAGCCGAGCATGCCGAGCGCGATCGCCGGGCGGCCGGGCAGCTGGCGCGCCTCGCCCGCAACGCTCGAGGCGGGGACGACGGCGTAGTCGACCCACCCAAAGTATCCGACCACAAGCTGGCCTTCGGCCCACTTGGCCGAGGTGGACTTGAGGACGGTTGCAAGCGCGTTGGACCGGAACACCTGGCCTTGCTTTACGGTGCCGGTGTCCTTCGCGATCCAGTTGCGCTGCGTCGGGTCGTTCGAGAGGTAGTCGACGCGGAGGAGGACCGAGTCGTCGCCCAGCGCCGGGAGCGGGCGCGTCTCAATCTTGAATGTGTCCGGCTGCACGGGGCCGGTGGGCGGGTTCGCGACGACCCACACGCGCTGCTGCGTCGGGAGGGACATGATGCGGGCGGTGGTGCTGAGGCGGCGGGCGGCGGAGGAGGGGAGAGATGACACGGTCTGCGGGGTGAGTGTCAGAGTGCGGGTGAGTAGAGTGCGGAGAGGCATCGTGCTGTGAGAAAGGGAGACACGGAGCATCTTATAGCTTCTCAGGCGCTGTCGCCGTCGTCATCGCGACATTGGATTGTGACAAGTGCGGAATGGGTGATCCAGGTGACCCGATGGAAGATGACCGAGATGCGACCGAGGCGCGGAAACGGGCGTGTGTGTACGCGCTTGCGGGTGTGCTTTGCGACGGCTCTCATCAGTCAGCAAACAGAACTTTGGGTTCGATGGGTCAGCTGGGAGACTTAGGTCAGAAGAGATTGGATCATCCCACGTGGCTTGGCGCTGATCATTGCTGATCTCCAGCGGAGTTCGGCTTCTAGATTCATGCCGATCTGCGACACGACACCACGACGTCCATTGCGTCTAGTCGGAACTCGCAGTCGTGTGTCAGCACAGTCGCCACGCACGCTCGAGGTAGTCTCCTGGCCCTCTGTAGATCCAAAAGGTTCTCGCGGTCCTCGCGGACCACTCAGCCTCGTGTGGGGCTCGAACCCACGACCGAATGATCAACCGGAATCCAAAGATCCGCATTAAGAGTCATTTAATCTACCGACTGATATAACGAGGCTCGTGCCTGAGCATGTCTGTGCTGCGATACCATCGGCAACGCGAGAGTCCTGAGGATGATCTTAGATGACTGGAGGCTGCTTGGGGCGCTCACCACCCAGAGACCCCAACGGGAAAGTCAGATTAGTGGGCGTCAAGTCATTACCAAATGGTCCTTCCGCCTGGAGAAGAGATATCAACACATGCCTGTATACTATGCTACACAATTTTGCCTCACACGCCCCCCATCTCGAGGACGAACTGCCTCTCTCCCACCTCCGCCCTGTGCTCCTTGAGGGTCGTGAATCGCCACTGCTCCGCAACCTTGCTGCCGTCCCCGTCGCCCATGATGCCGCGGACGTACTCGTGGAACGAGGAGACGAAGGGCGCGACAGCGTCGTCGCCGAACACGACGCTCCCGTCGGACGGGAAGAGCTGGGGCAGCCCGGCGGCATTGACGAACGACACGCGCATCTGCGGTCTGCGGCGCGCCGCGGCGACGACGCAGCGCAGGAGGTGGAGCAGCGGGGCGCACTCCCATGGCTTTGGGAGGGGGAGGGTGTCGTTCACGATGATGGTGAGCTCTTCGACGCCGCTGGCGGACGAGCGGAGCTGCGCGAGCAGTTCGCTGTGCGCGCGGTAGCGCGTGCTGATGTGGTACACTACACGCTTGGTGGTGGGTCTGAGCGCGATCCACGGCTCGTAGACTGTGCCGATGGATGGTGTCTGTGGCCACCCAAACACGATGACGGTGTCGGACGGCGTCGTGATAGCTGGATTGTGCATAAAGCCCGAGAGCCACACGCGCAGGATCTGCGTATGTGCCGGCAGGAGAGAGATGGAGCGGGGAGTGAACATGTCGCCAAAGTCGACGACGGCGGGGCCTGAGACAGAAGGGGAGAGGCGTGGGGTATGTCTTGATGAAGCAAGGGGTGGTGAGGAGGCCCACGGGACGGGCGCGCCGCGGACAGTTGCGTCGGCGGGAAGCTCGCAGACGCGAGCGTGGATGTCGGCCAGCGCGGGGTGGCGCCCGGCGGGCGTCTCGACGCTTGCCCAGCGGCACACGAGGTGGTTGGCTAGCTGCGCATCTGCGGCGGTGCGGAAGGCGCGGGACGCCGTGCGGAGGGCGAAAAGGGACGCACGATCAGCAAATGCAAAGATGTTGTCGATGATGTGCGGGAACGCCGAGTGGTCCAGGAAGGGAGAGGGCAGGTCGGACATTGCTGGAAGGGTGATGCTGGGGATAAGAATGTCCATTTTGAGGTCGAGGCGAGGCTTATATGAGTCTACGCATCGCATGGTGCACAGACACTCTAGCTCGCTTGTGGTTGTGGGGATGAGGGAACAAGAGAGGAGAGCTCGAGTGGGGAAGTGGCTGTAGCTGTGGAGAGTGTCTGAGCGTGGATCGTGCAGCTCGGTCGTGGACAGTGGACAGAATGGTGGCTTGCTAGCGGCCTGTGCGCTGGAACGTGCTTGGGAACGCCATGGACTGGCGTGATGAGATGTGTGCTGCGCCGAGATCGATAGCGGTGTGCTCTTGGCCGCAGCAGTTGACGTTGAGCTGTGATGATGCTCGACGATCGACGAATGGTGTTAAATGATAAGCAGATGGATGAAGAATTGAGGTGCCGACGTCACTTGTATTCTGGCTTGGCGGCGACTTGGAGCCGTGTCATGCGAGGCGGCGCCGCACTAGCTTGAGATTAGCTTTGCGTAGACGCACGTTTCCAAACTCACGACTGTGGATGTGCGCGGTGATGGAGGCGACCAGTGAGGTGGCGAGCTCAGTGCAAGACGATGAGGAGGTTGACCATGCTCTCTTTATCATCTACATCGACTGACATGACTCGACTTTTTGCCACCCATACTGGAGACCCCGCGTCAGGTCACGTGGTTTCCGCGCGATGCCGGCGGCAAGTCAGCATGTCGGACGCCGAGGCCGGCCGACATTGGATATGCCTCGGCGCTGAGTAAGAACGAGACGGGATGTCGCGGTGCCGTTTGGTATACCGTCTTCGGCAGTAAGAAAGAGGAGAGTTACATGGTCGGCCTGACGATTCGACTCTGTTTATGTGTATGGGCGGCATCGAGGCCGCTGGTGGAGGCCAGTCCAAAGTACGACGCCGTCCGAGTCGTCTTCAACCATCGACTGCTCACTCGCTAGATCTTCCGTACTTCCTCTACCCAGCTGGTTATCACACAAGTTCGTCATCTCATATCTAAGGCTAAGGCCCCCGGCCTAGTCCTTAGCCTCGGCACGGTATCTGACCAGCACATCTTCAACCACCCCATGACGCGGCGTCGACGCGAACGGCGCCGAAGCGTCATCCTCGTAAGTTGTATTCCGCCACGCGGTCATTTATGTTGAGCTTCCCTGCGGCGGCGGCGGGGGTGGCCCTATGTCGGTTGAAGCAGCTTCCGTGGCCGTGCAGAATCATTTTTGCGTCGCCCAGCACGGGCCAGGTATTCGGCGATACTAAAGCCGCGTCTTGCGTCAACTCGTGTTGGTGTTGACTTCACATTGCGCGAAGGTCGTGAACCTGCGCTCGCCGCAGCAGGAACCTTGTGCATTGAATGGAAATGTATGGTCGAGCGTGATCGGGGTATTGCCAAGGCGGTGAGCAGACAACATAAAGGCGGAAGTCTGAGTTGAGTTAGGAACGGTTGCCGATCGTCGACGCGCCAAAAGCCAGACGTAACGTCAGTCCATCCCACGGCTGATATGTAACACGATGCATTCATGAGGAGGACAATGCTAGATTGCGCATAATGAGCTCGTACGACAGCATGGTGACGGCCGAGCTTGGCACGGTGCGCACGAGGTTGATGCTGAGCCCGCGGTAGAACCCGCGCCACCCGTCCTGGCGGTAGATGAGTCGGCATACGTCGATGATCCCGCCCCGCTTGGGCTGCCATCTCCGTAATCTCCCGTTGCCCGAGAGCGGCTGCTCGGTCCTCTCTGGGTATGGTGGCTCCGAGCCCGTCACGAGGGGCGAGTACAGCGTCGCGTGTGACACGCGCGTCGACGAGCCCGCTGGTGCGCCGATGGGTCCCGAGCCGATCGGTTCTGGCGGCACGGTCGGATGCGGCGGACCTGCTGGGCGGTTGCGTTGCACTTGGATACGCGTACGCAGTACTTCGTGGGGATATGTCGCGAGCGAGGCCACCATCTTGGAGAAGGCCGAGCACACGAGAATCGACGTTGGCGTGAGCTGTCGTCCGTCACGGCCTGCCGTCAGCCTCGGCTTCGTCCGGGACGGAGATTAGGAGAGTGCTTCACTGCATCCCCCCAGGTCCCGAGTCCGAGTCGGAAAAGATAGCCACTCACCTGCCCACGACTTGCTCTTCTCATACAACCCGAACTGGACGGCGACGTGTGACACGCCGAACAAGCTCGGCAGCAGCCCCTTGTAGAATGCGCGGATGCCCTCGTTCTTGTAGATGGTGTAAAACGCCTGCACTGTGTTGCGGTATCGCTTCGCTGTTGGGGGTAATATCGCTTGTGCCTGCGGACGGTCAGTCGCTGGGCTTCGCCACGCCAGAACGCACCATGAACCTCGTCTTGACGACCCACAGGGGGTTGGTGAGGATTGTCCCGGTCGCGCCGGCCGTCATGGCAGCGACCACGTGCGACATGTCTGGGTGGGCGACGGCGAGCGGGACGCGCCGCAAGCGGTCCTTGATAAAGTCGTACACGGTGAAGTAGATGCCCCATGTAGGGAGGTATCCACCTATTGTTGGGCCAAGGCCGCGGTAGAAGCCGCGCAGCCCGCTCTGACGGTAGATGCGGATGATAGTTTTCGTAACGCCCTCGTAGCCTTTGTCGCCTCGCGCAACGCTCTGCGCCTGGAGGGTCGTCTTGACGACGTCCAGCGGACATGTAGCGATCGAGCTCACGAGACCTGCTCCGGCGCCCGCGACCATCGAGTGCAAACTCGGGGGCACGTGGATGAGCTGGAAGACGGCGAGTGGTGGGCCGCGCATCGCGATCACGCCACGTGTCGGAGGCGGCGGCGGCGTCGGAGTCGGAACCGGAGTCGGCACCGACACGGCGACCGCGGCGTTCGCGCTCTCACTCCCATCGCGCGACAGCGCCATCCCGGCGCTGGGTCTGTCGTTAGCGCGTAATTGATGAAAGCGCGCACGTAGGGGGGACGCGCGCCCCGGGCTGGCAGCTTGTGTGGCTGAGCCTCGGCGGGAGATCGGCTAGTGGCCGAGGTGTGTTTGAATGGCCACGCGACTAGGCAAGAAAATGTGGGCGGGAGGGCGTGCAGCGCGCAGCGCGGCGCGAGGGGAACAGAGAGGCGGCGCGCTGCGGCGGCGGGAGAGGGCGGAGGCGGCCGGGGAGGGGAGATGAGTGGTGAGTAAGAGGAGGATGAAGATGGGCGGGTTGGAAATGACGAGAGTCGAGAGGGCATCGGAGGGGTCGGCAGTGGTGGGACTGCCCATGCGGCGGGCACGGAATCAAATTCCGCCTTGACTCGGGCATGAGGGCAGTCACCATGACGTGCGGGGATGACTACATCCATCATCTCGACCGCGTCGACCTCATCACCACGCTCCATGCATGCAAGTGCAATGTATCTGTATCACGTACACCACTAGTCGAATGTAATCTTGGACCCAGCACTCTCCACAATCCCCACCTTCTCCCTCTTGGCCATCATCAACGCTGCGCCTGGCCTCGGCCGTCCAGTCGACTCCCACTTCTTGCCACGCTTATCGCGCTTATCGCGCCGCTCATCTCCGCCTCCGCTCTCGCCACCACCCTCACCAGATACCATGGCCGCAATACGAGCCTGTGCAGCCGCCTCCGACTTGAAGTCGGTGTGGGCCGGGGCAGACGTAGGCACAGGCGCTGACGCGTGCTCCCCGTCACCATTCTCAAAGTAGCGCGGTGCCCGCTCGCGGCGCTGGAACTTTGCCGGGCCCGGGCGCGCGTCGTCGCGATTCCGCTTTCCGCCCGCACGTTTCGTTGCCTCCTGACTCGCGTATTGCAGCGTGAGCTTGTGCCCGCGCAAGAAGTGGTTCTTCTTGTTCATCAACGCCGCGCGCGCGTACACTGGAGACTTGAAGTCCCAAAATGCGAATCTGTACGTCAGCCACGGGACCATCGACGACATCAGTAAACGCACCCCTTGCACCGTCCCGTGTCCTCAAACTGCGCAACACGCGTCTTGATGAGCCCAGCCTTCGCGCTCCCGCGCTTGCCCTTAGTGAGCGCCTCCTTGGCACGCTTCTCGCGTGCGGCCTCACGCGCCTCCTCGTCCATCTCCTCGTCCTCCTCGTCCGCCGCCTCAGCCTCGGCCTCCTCCTGCTCGGCAATCAGATCGGCGCAGTTGGTCTCAATCAAGTCCCGCAACTCCTCCTCCGTCGTGTCGAATGGCAGGTTGCCGATGAACAAGGTGCTGCTCTCCGCATGCTTCTGCTTGCCGACAGACGCCGTGCCCGGCCCACTGGGGATGGTTTTAGGCGTCCGCGCGTTCGGGTTCGCCTTGTGGTCATTCCCTGCCTTGATGAGCAGCCGGCGCCCGTCTAGCGGCCGTTCGCTCAACCCAATTGCAAGCAGCATCTGCTCCTCCGTCTTGAAGTCGACGTAAGCAAAGCTGCTGTTAGCTTGGTACCGAGGCCGCCTGTCTCACCCCTTGTTCTCCGAGAACTCCCCACGCGCGGCCTTCTTGGGCAGATAAACACGTGTGATGCAGTCGTCCTCGCCGCCGCTCTCGGTGATGCCAGTCTGAATCCACGACTTGAGCGCCTCCGGCTGGGTGCGGAATGACATGTTGCCGATCCAGACGCTGAACTCGCTCTTCTCCTCTTTGGGAGCAGCCGCCTTGTCCTTCTTACGTGTCCGAGCCTCGCCAGTGCCCTCTGCCTCTGCCTCGCCGTCCTCGTCGTCGTCCTCAGCCTCGGCGAGCTTCTTGGCCTTCTTCTCATAGTCGGCCTTCTTCTCGACTGGGGCCTGCCCAAGCTTGGCGCGCTTCTTGGCTGCGCGCATCTCGGCCTTTGAAAGCGGCGCTCCAGCCTTGAGATCGACCTCGAGCATCTCCTCCTCGTCGTACACCGGACGCTTGCGCTTGTCGCCGCCGCCTTCCTCGGCATCGCTGGCGGCGTCGTCCTGCGTCTTGGCGGCGGCAGCGGACTCGGCTGCGGCGGCTTCGGCGGCGGCCTTCTTGGCGGCCTTGCGTGCGTCACGCGCAGCCTGCTGCTCTGGCGTCCTTCCAGACTTGCGCTTTGGCTGGGTGTCGCTCATGGTGTTGCAATAGGTTAGTAGAATGGAGGAGGTGGAGGTCGAGCCTCCCACTTGTAGAATTGCCACCCGAGCATTCAGACATTTTGGGATTAATCTTGAAATAAAACGAGGTGAAATATAATACAAGGGGAGATGGCGATGACGATCGACGCGTGGAGGCCGTCGAGATGGTCCAAAGGCCTGGCTGGCAATCACTCGACCACGCAACATCCGCACATTGTCATCGCACTCTCATCTTTCTCTCACCGCCATATCTTGCCAGGCAACATGGCCTCTCCGCCCTACATGACATCCCGCTCCCCTCCTCCCCTCCAGCACCCCAAGCCCACGCACCCGGCCTACCCGCCTCCAGAACCGCCCCACACGCCAGGGCGCAGCTCGACCTCATCTTACGGCCGCACCTCGCTCGACATGGGCGACGGATATGTGCGCTACTCCTCCCCGCCGGTCGGGAGTATCCACCAGCAAAGCGAGGCTCCAGGACAGCATGCGGCGCCGCACGCCTCGACGAGCGCCTACGCTCCTCCGCAGGGCGACATGCACAGCAGGGGGTATGGCCAGGCGCATGCGCCGATGGGATACGGGCAGCCGGCCGGGTTCGGGTGGCCCGTCAACGACGCAACGGCGCAGATGGGTATGCAGTTCGGCAAGAGCGCAGTGGCCGCTGGCCAGGACTACGTTGAGAAAAACGTGAGACGGCGCCGCCGACCTTATGACGCTGACTCCAAGTTCTCGCGCTACCTCCCCCTTCCGCTGGTTAAAACGTGCTTCGCCGTCACTAACGGATACGTGCTGCGCAAACTCCGAATCGTTCTCTTCCCCTGGCGCCACCGCCCATGGGCCCGCCAGCCGCGCCGGACGGGCGAGGGGGGTGGCAGCGTTGAGGCGTGGCAACCGCCGAGAGAGGATATTAACGCGCCCGACCTGTATATTCCAAGTACGTCCATTGCGCTTGTGCATTGGTCAGCCGCTGACAACCAGCAATGGCTCTGGTCACGTACACGCTCCTTTCCGCGCTGGCAGCTGGTCTGGGCCAGCGCTTCCACCCCGAGGTTCTTGGTTATGCACTGAGCAAGGCCGTCGCAGTCGTGGTCACGGAGTTTGTCGCTATCAAGCTCGGGTGCTACTTCCTGGACGTCCGCGGCGGTGGCGCGAGCGGTGTCGAGCTGCTCGCGTACGGTGGATACAAGTTTGTCGGGTGAGCCTTGTGAGAGATGGCACGGCTGACGTCCAGCATCATCGTCACGGTCCTTGCATCGCTTCTCTCCTTCGGCCGTGTCGCTACGACAACAGTCTTCCTATACGTCGCGTGTGCCAACGCATTTTTCCTCGTGAGTTGCTGCTTGTCTGACCTGTTCCGCACTCGCTGACCCCAGCTCCGCTCGCTCAAGTATGTGCTGTTGCCCGATTCCAGCGTGAGCGCTTCTGCTGCGACGCTGTCGCACGGCCAGCGGAGCCGACGTGTACTGTTCCTGTTCATAGTGGCTGCTGCGCAGGTGGTGTGGATGGCCGTGCTGAGCTGGGTGTAGACGTAGACGTCGATAGCATAGTAGAGTGCATGCCATGGATGTGCATGGTGCCACTGGTTGGCTTGGGTGGAGGGTCTAGTGCCACACTGCGAGTTTCCGGCGTGTAAGGGGCGGAGTTAATTCCACGTGGAGATTTGGCAGTCTCGGATCGTCCAGCAAAAGTCTGGGCTGCAGCGAGTGGTCGACCTTCCCTCGCCCTCGCCCTCTTTAAACGCAACACTCTTCTTCTCGTCTTTACCATGGCCTTCTCCTTCTTCTCAGCAACACGAGCATCACTCTCGCAGCGTACGTTTTTCTCCTTTGGCCTCAGCCTCAACCTCACTGACACTCAGTCGTATGTGCTGCTGGCCCATCAACCTCACGCGCACTGCATGCTTCGGCGGTGGTGAGCCGCGAGTCGGCGCACAAGGCGCAGGCTCGTCGCAAGCGCAAAAAGGTCATTGAGGGTCGCGAGAAGCGTGCTGTCGCCGAAGAAGAGGGTGCGGTGCACCTTGCGCTGGGATCGCGGAAAAACGACCCCAACGGCCCGTCGGCACTGTACGAGGGCTCGCGCCTGGCGAAGACGGTCCTCAAGGCCGAGGACGTGTGGTACACACCGCCACCAAACTATGCGGCGGGCGAAGAGCCGGCGCACTACGTGTACGGCGTGAACGAGGCGGACCGGGAGCTGTTGTTCGGCGCGGTGCCGCTCGCGACGAGCGCGCTCGCGTTCGACCCCGAGCGCCCACACCAGAGCGAGGCGCAGGCGGTCGAGCAGGGCCAGCAGAGCGAGGTGATGCGGCGCATCCTCGACCTGCGTAATGCCGACAAGGCCGGCATCGAGGTCGTGAACCGCGCCCGCATCGTCAAGGAGTTTGGCAAGAACGACAAGGACACGGGCAACACGGTCGTGCAGGCTGCGCTTATTACGCACCAGATCCGCGAGATGTGGCGCCATGTCGAGGAGAACCCGCGCGACATCCACAACCGCCGCCGCCTGCGCATGGCCATCCACAAGCGCGCCCGCGTCTTCAAGTACCTCAAGCGCTCCGAGCCGCTCAAGTACGCGCAGACGCTGCTTGACTGTGGCCTCGAGCCCGGAGCTGTCGAGGGCGAGCTCATGGTCGGCATGTAGTGAGTTCCGTTTCCTTCTCCCCTCCTCGAATGATGCTCTACAAACCTGATTTAATGAGCCTGAGCCGGCTAGACACCGGCACAAGAAGCTACTTCGCATTGTACCTGACACACCCCCATCCCCTTCTCTTTGTTCTTAGTCAAAGCTGACGGATACAGGCGCGCGCAAGTTGGTAGAAAGATTGATGAGTGGATATGAGTCATATGTTGCATTTACTTCTCCGTCGGTGTTGACGCCAAGCGAGTGCGGGCACGGAGGTGCCTGGGTGGTGGCGTGGTCTGACTGACTGCCTACTGCCAACAGCCTGATAACACATCACGCCTCGAGGAGACCGAGGATGGGATGCCCTACCGCGACCTCGAGCGCGAGCACGGCGAGCGCGAGGCTCGTGAACCTTGATTTGTGAAGCCGACCACGCCGGGGATGTCACGCACATCTTGCGCGGTCGATCCGGTGCGTGCGCGCCTGGACCTTGCTCTCGTGCAAGAAGAGATACTCTCCGACGCGACGCCCAATCAGGCATCACAGTCACCGAGGGGAGTGCGTGGCGCAGGACTCGAGGCGAAACGATGCGAGGTGCAGCGACTCCGATAGGGGCCGTCATCGCGTACTCCGACGCCAAGCCAAGCTGGAGGCCAAGACCGCCATTCTTGTCTGCGCAGATGCGCGATTCCGGCGCCAAGACGGCCTCGTCCGCAGCCCGCGATGCAGCCATCGCCCACTTGTCGGACAATTGGACCTGGGATTGAATCCCAAGGGCCGCATTTCGTACGCCTACAGTGGCGGTCGGAATGGTGGAATGTGGCCGCGCTCCTGGCGCATGTTGACGCGCCGCGCCGTGCCGTGAATCACAGTGCACGGACAAGATGGGCGTGGCGGTCACATGCGCGAGCGTGTCTGCTGGGCACTCGCTCCGCTGCTTGTCCGCTCTGCGCCGCTCTATGCTCGCCGACGACGCCCAGGCCCGATCGGCGCTGCGGCCGGCAGAACGGCTCGTCGGAATGAGAGCAGAATGAATGTCGCTCACCTCTCATCACACTAATGAATGTGATGGACTAGTGGGGCGGACCTGACGGCCTCGCGGCCTCGCGGATTCGCGGCCTCGGGGCTGGCGGCGTGGCGCCCAAACGGCGGACAGCGGAGATGGCAGGGTGAGGGTTATTGAATTGTGCCTCGCTGTAATTGAAAGCGCGTGTCCCTGCGACTTTCCATTTGTTCCGAACTAGTTCGCGTCCGCCACCGTCGTGTCCTCCTCATCGCTCAGGTGTGCGTTGAGCCTTTTACACCCCGACGGTCTGTGGCCGTTGGCTGCGGGCTGCGCGCAGCGCTGGGACGGGAACAGGTCCGTGGGCCGAGATCTGGGGGCAGGATCTGTCGATGGTCTGTGAGTTGACGGTGTGCCGGTGTGCCGCCAAAAGTTTGTGTGCAAGGCGTTCAAGGCGTCCCAGGCGTCCAAACGCGTCCAGAGGCGTCTACTGGCCACCGAAAAGCCTGAGAGCGCAGTGGCGAGATAAAGGCATATAAAGATGCCCTGCATGCACTGTCACCCCACTCACAGCTCACCCACCATGAAGATCACCTTGGCCAGCCTCGTGCTCGCGTTGGCACCGGCTGCGCTGGCGCGTGTCGGCCCCGGAGAGTTTATCGTCGAGGGCGGCATGAACTTTATCGGACGCGTCGACCCCGTCGTCTCGCCCGGGCGCGTGAGCGACCACGTCCACACCGTCTTTGGTGCCAGCAACTTCCGCGAGGTGCTCAACACGCCCGCCGAGCAGGCCCGCGCCGAGTGCACGAGCGCGACTGTCTCCGCCGACATGTCACACTACTGGGCGCCAACGGTGAGTTACAACCACCACACGTGTCCTCCCGCGGTATGTTGACAGCAGCTCTACTACATCCACGACAACGGCTCGTTCTCGGCGCTCGAGGGCACGCCGCGCGCATACTACCACATCACGTCGAACAACGTCAAGCCGTTCCCGCGCGGCCTGCGCATGGTGAGCGGCACGGCGATGACGCGGGACCTGACGGCGCACCGTTCGCTCGGCGTGCGCCTCGGATGCTGGGGCAATCGGCAGAAGATCCTGCCGAACGCTGGCGCCGGCTGGACGTGGAGCACCTGTGGCAACGGCAAGGTCGAGCTAAGCGTGACCTTCCCGTCGTGCGGGCGCGCCGACCGCGCGCTCGACTCGCCCAACCACTTCGACCACATGGCGTGGCCCGTCGACAGCTTGCGCCGCAACGTCATCAACACGCTGCAGGGCGATTCGTGCCCGCCCTCGCACCCGATTCAGTACCCCATCCTCGACCTCGTGTACTCGTACTCGTTTGATGCGGCGCGCCCGTGGCGCGCCGGACGCGACAACGTCGTGCTCAGCAACGGCGACTTGCACGGCGGCTCGTACCACGCCGACTTTGTCAGCGGGTGGGACGAGACGGTGCTCGCGGCCGCGATCAAAGACTGCCCCGCCAAAGGCCCGCACCTCGACCAGTGCTCGCTCCGCAACCACTTCATCCCGGACCGCAAGTCATACGACCCCCGCCGCTGGCCGACGGGCACGGGCGGGCAGTGCGCGCACGCCGGCCAAATCCCCGCCGAGGAGGTCGGCCTCGCCTTCCCCATCACCAGCTTGCCCGGCTGCAACCCGCTGTGGCGCCCGGGAGTCGCCACCAAGCCGACGTGCGGCTCGCAGCCGACAATCGGCTTCGTCTCCCCCAACGCGTGGAAGGGCGGGAGCACCGCCAACGTCCCCCTCTACATGCCCACGAACGTCGGGCTGTTCAACAACGTCCGCGACCCCATCAACAACTGGCGCGCAAAGTTCAACCGCTGGGGCACGATGGGCGTCAACTACAAGAACGTCATGATGCCCCCGCACACGCCGCCGGCCAACCCGTACGACTCGTTCATCTGGCTCCCGGCAGACACGAACGTGCAGCGCGCGAGCACGGTCAAGAACATGCAGGACAAGACCGCCTGGCGCGGCATGTTCCCTGGCCAGTAGCTCCTAGATGGTTGGATGGTTGCTGCGGCGGGACCGTAGTGGCTGGAGTCGAGGACTTTGCTTTAGTTAGTCTCTTAGGGTTTCGATGATGTACACACCTGCTATACATGATGGACTGTGACTAGATTTCCCGGTACAACTGCAGTGTGCCAGATCCCAAATGGAAACGCCTTCTGCTTCTGCTACACATTGAACGGAGACTCCTTGCGCGGCACAGCCGCCTGCTCCGTGTGCTGTCCTTGCGGCTCATCGGGCGGATGTTTGCGCAGAAGGAGGGTGAACACGACGGTAAGAACCCCGATGAGAGCCATAAAGATCGTCGTCGCACTCCATCCCGGTATATAGCGCGGTGCGTCGGTCTTGGGCCAGAGAAACACGCCGTATATCGAAGCACTGTTGCCCATCGCGTTGACCAGTGCGATCGCGACGGCGCGTTTCTCTGCCGGCCACGCGATGACGTTGGGCACCCACGTCAGGATGAGGGGGCACGCAGCGTACACGCTGCCAAAGCCCAGGATGAGGAAGACGTACTGCACCATTCTGTTCGTATTCGCCACGGTGACGATGAAGCAGAGGACGCCGATGGCACTGGCGATGCAGATGAACAGGGGCTTGTTGCGGCGCCAGTCGGCACACATGCAGAACACGAGAATGTAGACCAGCGCGCTGATGTACACCGGGATGGTGTGGTATTGTGCGTCGTAGCCCTTCCAGCCGAGAGAGGAGACGAGCGTGGGAATGAAGTACTGGATGGTCTGTGCGCCCGTCGAGAGCATGTACAGGACGACGAGGCAGGCGACGCGCCAGTCCTTGAAGACGAGCTTGAGGGCCTTGCCCTCGGACACCTCTTCGCCGGCGGCGGTCGCGCCGACGCCGTCGTACGCGAGGCGCTGGGCGGCGAGGACCTTCTCCGCGTCGCTGAGGAACCGCGTCGTCGCCGGCCAGTCAGGCATGACCATCCACGTGAAGCAGCCGACGAAGCTCGAGCCGACGCCCTCGATGATAAACAGCCACTGCCAGCCGCGCAAGCCGCGCGCGCCGTCGAGGTGTTGCGTAATGAGGCCGGCGAGGAGGCCCGAGAACGCCCCCGAAATCGCCGTCGCCGTGTAGTATAGCGAGTAGCGCGTCGACAACTCGTACCGCCGATACCATGAGGAGAGGTAGAATGCGACGCCGGGGGCAAAGCCGGCTTCGACGACGCCGAGGGCGAAGCGCACGCCAGCGAGCTGCTGCCACGTGCGCGTGGCCGCCATGCATGCGCTCACGCCGCCCCAGAGGACGCAGAGGCCCGAGAGGTACAGCGAGGGCCGGACGCGCGGGAGCACAAGGTTCGACGGCACCTCAAAGACGACGTACGAGATGAAGAAGACGAGCAAGCAGATCGAGTACTGCGTCGACGTGAGCGCAAAGTCTGCTTCCAGCCCGCCGGTTTTGGCGTTCGCAATGTTCGCGCGGTCGAGGTACGAGAGGGTGTACAGCACCCAGATGCATGGCTGGGTGAGTGCGGTCGCGTGACGTAGCTACTCACCACAATGCGCATGTCGATCTTGCGCAGAAACTTCTTCTCGGCGTCTGAGCCGGGGACATATGACGCGGCGAGCGCCCTGCGCTGCTCGGCGGCGTCGTGAGGTTCTCCGAGGTTCTCGTGTTGCGTGTCGCGCTCCCCCAGCATGACGGAGAGAGGCTGCGGCGCCGGAGGGAGAAATAAGTGGTGGCAAAAGCAGGGCGTGTTGTGAAGATGATGCGGATGCGAGGCTGACTGCCGCCTAGCGCGGAGGTCGGGGGGCGCGGTGGCGGATGGGCTCCATGCCCTACGGATGTTTCGGTGAACGGGGGGAGATGGGAGGGGGTGAGGAGCAGAGAGGTTGACCGGAACGATGCAGTGTCCGAGGGCGACGGACGGCGCGGCCAGCGATCCGCATTGCCTTAGGAATGTGTGAACCGAGCCGAGGGTGTCCGTACACCGATTGCTGAGGTCAGACGGAGTGGGTCTGCCGGAGTTGTGGAGCTATCATCACGTGGCCTCACCGGGCCGAAGATCGCGTGGTGGGCAGGTGAGTAATGAGTGCGAAAGTGTGAGCAGTGGGTGAGTGAGGCGGTGGGGAGTAGCGCCAGGTGCGGGACACAGGCAGTGTTGTGAACGGAGCCACAACATGTCGAGTGGGCAAACCTGAAGTACTGTGTGGCAGGTGGATGTGGCAGTGCGGAGCGAGCAGCGTTGTGTGGATGCCTGCCTGCAGGGCAACTCACGGCCCTCGGTGTAGGGCGTACACGGAAGTGAGGCGGCTTGGAACGCGTAGCCGAGAGAACGGGCGACATTTGTAGTGGCTGCTTGAGACTCGGATAACGCGGTTGATGTGACTCTGGCAGATCCGAGGCGTTGCGGAAGAGAGTATGTGTGGCCTGTAACCTCGACGCTGCCACGATCGCACCCGCTGCTGAGTGGGATACGCAGCGCCGCACCGTTCACGCCGGGCGGCATTTCTATGCATCTATCTACACGCTGCGGCACCGTTTCGCCTGCTTCCCCAGATCTCCTCACAGCCACCATTCCATATTCCATCGAGCAGACAGTTCGACGATTCCAATGGAGCGGAGCAACGACAGCCGGCAGTTGCCGTTCCTGACCGGGCACGTTCCCATCGGACGGCAACACCGGCGTTGTCAACCATGGTCCTCCCTCTCCTCTTCCCCCTCTCTCCGCCCCATGTCCATCGAAACGAACCGCACGCTCCAGATCCTCGCCTCCGCCGCGGCGGGGCACTACGCGGTCCTCGCGCAAGTCGTGTACGACGGCACGCAAGCGCACGCCTTCGTGCGCGCGTGCGAGGCCCGGCGGGCCCCCGGCATCCTCCAGCTCTTTCCCGTGACGCTGACGCACTTGGGCGCCCCGTTCCTGCGGTACTGCCTCGACGTGGCGCACGGCGCGTCCGTCCCGATCAGCGTGCACCTCGACCACGCGACGGACGCGGCGCACCTCGAGTTCGCGTTGCGTTTGGCGGAAGACGGCGTGGCCTTCGACAGCATCATGGTGGATGCGAGCCATGCGGCGACGGACGCGGAGAACGTCGCGCTCGCCCGCCCGTGGATACAGCGGTGTAAGCGCTTGGGCATCGCGACCGAGGTCGAGCTCGGCCGGCTCGAGGGCGGCGAGGCGGGGCTGCGCGAGATCGAAGGGGGGATGCTGACGGATCCGGACAAGGCCGAGGCCTTTATGGACGCGTGAGTGTAGGGTGGGGAGGCGAAGGGGAGTGGGCGCGATGTCGGAGCGGGCGAGGCGCCAAGTCCGCGGGCATCGCGCTCTGCATCGCGCCCCGCCGCTCCGCGCGCCGCACGCCGTCCGTACACACGCCACATCGCACTCTGCCCAGCGTGCACTCGCCTACCACTCGCTCCGCTCGTGGCCCCGCTCCTCGGCGACTAACCCTAGCACCGGCGCAGACATCCTCGCACCATCTATCGGCAACCTCCACGGCTCGTACAAATACGTGTCCGGCGGCCCGCAGTTCCGGCAGGAGATCTTGGAGGCTCTGCACGCGCGGTTCGGGCGCGGCCCCCCCTTCCTGTGTCTGCACGGGACGGACGAGCTGCCCGACGCTTTGTTCCGCGCATGCATCGCGAACGGGGTCACGAAAGTGAACGTCAACTCGTGGGCGCGCGACCCGTACTGCGCGGCCCTCGGGCGCGGGCTGCTCGACAAGAGCATGCCGCAGGCGATCGAGGACGGCATGCGCGCGTTCGAGGACGCGTGTGTCCGCTTCTGCGATCTGCTCGGCGCGAGCGGCAAGGGCTAGATGGCTAGATGTATGCATACTAGAGGCCTGGAACGGCCGCGCTGTCGCCCGCGCCGTGCGCACGGTCGATCGCGGCGAAATACCCGTCCCTGCCGTCAGTGTTGTCGCTGCACAACTCACCACGCGGCCCAGTCGTAGTTTGAGCTCGGGAGGTTGTCGAGGAAGAGGAGGGCGTCGTCGCCCGCCTCGTCGAGGGTGACGAGCTCGGCGCCGGGATTAGCCTCGTTGTCGTAGCTTACGACGTGCGGCCCGTCGCCCTCCAGCCGCTCGAGGTATCTCGTCTGCTGGGCGCGCTGCGCGTGCGCGGCCGACCGGCTCCCGAATGCCGGCGCGTGTCCCCCCTCCGTGCCCCGCGACACACTGCTCCCCGGCGTCCCCTCCGAGCGCTCGTACCGGTCGTCGTCCGGCACCGTCTTGAGCGCCGCCTCGTACAGCAGCATCATGGTTTCGCAGCTCTTTTTGCGCGTGCTCATCTGTTCCGGCTGCAGCGCGTCCTCCCAGCGCGCGACGACGTCGTGTACGAGCTTGAGCGTTTCGAGGATCGCAGGGTCCCGCTTCCGCGCCCAGCTGTGGTACTGCACCAGCGCGCACGATGTTGCCGTGTACGGGAACACGAAGAATGTGTCGAGCGTGTGGTCGTGCTCGTTCAGCCACTCGATGCTCTCTCTGGACAGCTGCACCAGCTGCTGCCACCGCGACACGCTCAGCACGATCGTGATCTGCGGTGGGGGCGGGTGCGTCGTGCGCAGCCAGCACCGCCAGAAGAGGAATTGCACGGCGGTGAACTGCATCCGCAGCATGCCGGCTAGAGTCGAGCTCTCGGGGCCCTTGAACCGCAGCTGCTCGGGGACGTTGTCGTGCCATGCAGCCAAGTCGTCGAGGATCCCGTTCAAGTCCGCATCCGTGTTCCGGTTCATGCCTGTTGGGCCGTACATTGCGCGGAGGATGCGCGCCGTGATCGTCGCTAGCTTGAGGTTCTCGCCGAGGCAGGCGTAGCTCTCGTCGAAAACTGGTCCGTCTGGTGTGACACGATATGGTGAAGGGATGGGCACGTCACAGTCCGCCACGTCGGTTATTACGGGCAGCGCCAGAGCGCACCCATACCACGCATCGTAGACCATGAGCGCAGCCCAGATACGGCGCTGCAGCTGTTGCGCTTCCTGCTGCTCTAATGTCAAAGGTTTGCTGTCACTGCTCTTATCTTCACGGTGGAGCTTGAGATCCTGCCCCATCCGGCACGCTATACTGAGGCGGAGGACTGCCGCACTCGCTGTGGGTGCTGTTGGCTGCGCGTTCAAATCTCCGTTCGTGCAACACAACAACAACGCCTGGATGTGCTCGATTTTGGTGTGGCTCAAAATCTCGTTGGCGCGCAAAAGCCCATTCACCAACCCGCGCATGCGCGAGAACACCTCGCGCGGGAACTCGCGCCGCGTCGCTGTCACCGCACACATGGCGTACAGCAGGAGGGGGTACGGTTTTCGTTGTCGCAAAAACTCGGCGCGGTCGATGATGGGCAGATACTTTGAGTCGTGGTCAAAGTACGAGTTGACGAGGGCGCTCATCATATTCGGCGGAAGCACGTACTTTGCGAGTCGCTGGGCGCTGGCGCCATCAGCATCGCTTGGATGTTCCGCGTGCGCCTCGACCTTGATGCGCCCGTCCGCGTCCTCTGACACCTCCCAGTGGGCGTGGTTTGCCATGTCAAAGCGCTCAAACGAGCTCGTGGGTACCTGGGAATGCACGAGGGACAGTATCGATGCCGGGCCGCCGGGGGTCCGTCCGTCCGGGCCGTTGAGGGACGGTTTGCTCGCCGGCGACGCCGCGGCTTCCGCCAAACGCTTCTTCTTGAAACGCGTTTCTGTGATCGGCAGGAAGAAGGTGCATTCGATGCTGTACTGTTTGCAGTGCGCGCAGATTGGCTGCGTGTCGTCGTCTGAAGAGAGGATGTCGCAGCGGATTTTCTTGGTTCGCTGCGAGTCAGCGGCGCCCGGAACGGCAGACGGCAACCTACACAAGCGTCGCATGCGCGCCCTGTCTTGGTGCGCTTCTCCTCTGGGGCCGCCCCGGGGCTGTTCCGCTTCTTCTTCTTGTTCTGCCCGCCGTCTGGTGTACCCATGACGCCGATGCCATAGTCGTACGGCGGACGCTGTGCGTCGGGCATGGACATTCGCAGCGGTGCGGTCTGGGAGGGCGGGGGCAGTGATGTGCCTTCTGGTCCGGGGCCGGCAGCGAGGAATGGGTTGAACTGCATAAAGTCTCGTTCACTCGCGGCCATGGAGCGCGCGTCAGGTGGTCGCTTGCCGTTGAGATTGAGCTGCTGCGAGTGGGGGTTCATGTCCTGTGATGTCGAGTATTGTGGAGGTGGTGGGAGGTAGAGATGTTGCTGCTGGTGGTGGTGCTGTTGTGACTGCCGTCCATCTGTGGGCATCTGGGCGGACTGTGACCCGTTCCCGTTGATGCCGAACATGGATGTCAGAGGCAGTGGCAGTGGCTGTAGCTGTGGCTGCCGGCGCTGGCCGGATACAAGACAAGACGTCAGCGCCGAAGCGCAAGGGAAGCGGGCCCCGGGGGGGAAAAGGAGAGGGGGAGTTGGGGCTGAGCGGGTGTAGTCGAGGACAGAAAGATGGGCCAAGAAGGGCTGAGTGCTGGCTGGGTACAAGGTCTGGGAGGGGAGATGGGACGGTAGAGGAGGAGGATGACGAATGCAGATGGATGAAGATTGGGGAGGATGCAAGTGGGCGATTGGTGGCTTGTTCGGATGCTGGAGATGCTGCCCTGGTTGTTGGGAAGATGGGAGGGAGGGGATGACAACGGCGGTGGAGGGTTGGCCTGGAGTGATGGCGAGAAAGAGAGGAGAGTGTGATAGAGCGAGAGGGTGAGACAGCGAGGGCGAGGGGAGAGACAGTGACAAGATGAGAAGAGACGATGGCGACGATGGCCGGCGTGCGTGTATTGTTGATGGGTCCCCCTCCCCCCCCCCCACTCTGCATCTGAACCAGAGATTCCCACCCAGGCTATTTCGGCCCAGAGGGGGCTCGGATAAACCTCGTTGTGTATCGATGAGCGACTCGGCATGAGCTCGGCATTCGATTGCTGCGATTGCTGCGATTCCCGCTGGGTGCCGCCGTGCCGGCCAGTATCGGCGAGGCTGCCGATGCATTTTTAGCGTTTGGCTCAATTGCCGTAGAAGCATGATGCCCGGAAGCCGTGGTATCTCTTGGCATGCAGCTCTCGAACATTGTGAGCAGAGATGGCCCGCGACACGGCGACAATTGAGCTACAGTAGAACAATTCAGAGGATCAGAGGATGCCATCGAGTTGATGGTGTGTACGTACATAGGTGCCATGTTCAAGTGGGGGTAAGGAATAACAAATCAGAGACACGTGGAATGATCCGTGGCAAGACGTGTCATATCCATAACAGGGGGGCCTTTCTGATCCCGTCACCTTTGCTCATCCCCCTTCCTTGCCCCGCCACCACCGCATCCACCGCATCCACCGCATCCACCGCGTTCAACTCGTCCCCATCATCCTCATCATCTCTTTCTCCATCCTCGCCATTGTTCTCCCTCTCTCCATCTCCATATAACTCGCCCTCTCTCTCTCTCTCTCTTCTTTCAATCCACTCATCTTCCCCCCCCCCCCCCCCCCTCCTCCCCCTTCCACTTGCTACACACAACCACAAACAATGTCGTCCGACAACAAGGAGCAGGTCACCCTCGTCACCTCTGACGAGGAGTCGTTCAAGGTCGAGAAGAAGGTCGCAGAGCGCTCTCAGCTCATCAAGTCGATGATGGAGGGTATGTCTTGTTGTTCTCTTGTCGCGACCGTCTCGTCGATACGCGTCACCGCCAGATCTGATCTTCACGCGCCACCCCCACACCGCGCTCACCTCCCAAACTTCATTACCCTCCCCCACATCGATGCTGCATTGCCTTTTGCATCACTCAAATCTCATCGCATCCTCACCTCATACTTCTTCCCATCATTGCATGCGCTAACTCAACAGACCTCCCCGGCCAGAGCGACGAGCCTATCCCTCTCCCCAATGTGTCCTCGGCCGTGCTCGTCAAGGTTCTCGAGTACTGCGACCACCACAAGAACGAGCCCCTGCCTGCTGCCGACGCCAACGATGCCGACGAGTCGCGTCGCAAGGCCTCTGACATTAGCGAATGGGACGCAAAGTTCATTCAGGTGAGCAATACATGACGCCGCGCGCCGACATCAACCGTCAAGTGCTAATTCCTCCAGGTCGACCAGGAGATGCTCTTTGAGATCATCCTCGCCGCCAACTATCTCGACATTAAGCCTCTTCTTGACGTTGGATGCAAGACGGTCGCCAACATGATCAAGGGCAAGACGCCGGAGGAGATTCGGAAGCTGTTCAACATTGTCAACGACTTCACTCCGGAGGAAGAGGAGCAGATTCGCAAGGAGAACGAGTGGGCCGAGGAGTGAGTGTTTCATTATCAGTTTGCCCTTGTGCTGACGCCCCCCCAGCCGCTAGACGTCGCGTGCTATCTCGCTGCTCGCGGCATGATAGTATCGTTTCGTTGTAATCCAATATCATAAGCTCAGTCTGCAATGTATAGGTCCGACGTATCGAGGGGCAGATGGAGCATGCTCGACAGCAGGTATGTTGGGCTGGACGCGTGTGAGGGGCTTGTGAGGCCATGCAGGAAGAGGCCTGTGCGATGAAGTGCGGAATGGGTGGGTTTAGCAGCAGAAGCCACTGGCATTTACTCCCAGCGGCGCTTGATCCTACGCTTCTTAGTCGCAGGGCGCGAAAGAGAGCATGCTATGGCACAACATCCGTGGCGCAGCTGCTTCTGGTCGGAGGTGAAATCTCACGAGTTGTTGACGACTCTGGCCTGGCTCAATTCAAGTGAACGGGTGTCGATAGGTCAGGGCGCTGTTTTGGCCCATCGTTGTGTCACCCATGAGTCCGAGTCAGTTCCCCGTTCCCAGATCCATCGAACCACTCCCCACAGGCCCGCCGGCCTACCCGCCGCCGCCAGCCTTTCACTCTGGCCGCCTTGCATCACCGCGGCAGTCTTCTGATCTTCTGCCCACTGCGCCCTGGTTGTTGTCTGTCAAGTACAAATCCTAATGGCGCCATCACTGCCCGCCACTGCCCGGCCATGCCATCTGATGCCGGAGGCTGGAGGATCAGTGTTGCACACAACACCAAACGCCGTTCAACACGCTCTTAGGGGCGCCGTAGCATGCAAGCTTGCAAGCATACAAGCTTGCTGCTGCGCGGCGATCGTCGAAACAGTTCATCGTTGTGTCATCTATAGATCACGAGCTACAGCGGGCTGGTTTGAAAGACTAGTGCGACGGGATGCTGACCTGGATCTCGTTGTCCTGCGTCGGCGCCTTGCCCTCGAGGTCGGACGCCCACAGCGCCGCGCCGACGGTGCTCGCGAGGCCGAGAACGATGCCGACAACCGGCACCATGTTGAGGAGGAGCGAGACGACGCCAAAGGCCGTGTACGCGCCGCGGCGGCGGTCGACAAAGCTTGCGCGCCGGCTCTTGTCCCACCCCTTGAGCTGGAAGTAGCGGGCGTGTGCCGAGGGCCCGGACTTGTACCCGTTGTAGCCGAGGAAGAAGGCCGTGCCGACCACCGGGATGAGGTTGAGCGGCAGCGTGAGGAGGTAGCGCACGACGTTGTCCGTGCTGAGCTTGGACAGGGGGCGCGAGAGCACCTTGCCGAGCTGTCGGGCGCCCGAGCTCTTGGTTGTTACCGCGCGCTGCTTTTCCACTAGGGAACTGTAGCCTTTCTGGACCATGACGGCGTCGAAGAGGTCCAGGTTCAGCTGGCCGAGCAGGAAGCTCTTGCCGAGGAACATGAGGATGACGTAGGCTTCGCCGAGGACGAGCGGGACGGCGGCGAGGAACGCTGAGGTTAGTATGTGGAAATGTTGATCACAGGGGGAGGTATGCACAGGCGAGTGTCATGTCTGGGCTCTACCTCGCTGCGACTTGGGTGGGAACTTGGACTGGGGCTTGGATTTGGATTTGGATGTGGACTTGGAGGATGACATACCGAGTGGTCCAGTGAAGAGGGCGAGCCATGCGACCTGCGGGAGGTAGAGGAGGAAGAAGCATCCGGCGACAACACCGGCTGAGATGAGGAGGGCACGGAGAAGGAGCGGGAGGACGGGACCGAGGAGGCTAGGGTCTGGGGTTAGCAGGCGATGGGCGGGGCGCGGTCAGACGCTGTCGAAACGGCCACTCGTCCGCTCAGGTGGCGGCTGTACTCACGAGAAAAGATGTATAGGGCGCCGCGGATGGGGTACGCCCACGCGCCGCTGGACACGGCGTCGCTCGCGACGGCCGCGACGCCGCGTACCTGGCGCTCGGCACTCTCGGCAACAGCGCCCGTCGCGCGCCCCGCGATCCCCTTCTTCCCAGAGCCAGAAACGGCTCCTGTCCCGGCGCCAGCGGACGCGTCGGTGTGGCGCTGCCGCACGCCCGTGGCCTGGGGCGCCTGCTGGAGGGGCTGCTGTTGGGCGTCGTGGGCGTGGGGCTCGTAAGCGGGGGGCACGACTGCTGCAGGGATGTCTGCGGATTTGAAGTCGGACATTGTTGGAGATGGAGATGGAGAGAGATGTGAAGAAGAGCAAGTGAATGAGGCCGAGTTATAAGATGACGCGGAGGACGGAGGAGAGTCGGTGGTGTCGGGGAGAAGAACGTCCTCGACGTCACTGTTGAGGTGGGAGGGAGATGAGATCAAAGTGACGTCACCGACGACCCGAGTGCGGATACAAAACCGTTTGGTTTCGCAAGTGCCATAGCTGTCATGGTCTGGCGTTCGATCCGCCGCACAAGTTTCGCGACATTTGGAGTGCACACTTTTGGAGTGCACGCCAAGTGTCCGAGAGTGTTCGTGGAGCACGCATGCGTGCTCGAGGACGGACTTATTCTGCAGTCCACCAGTCAAACACAACGGCTTTTGCTTCTGCAATCCCCACGGGGCACGACGGGGCGGCGGCAGCGGGGCGGGGTGGAAGATGAGCGGTGTGCTCTGGGCGACACCTGCCACCGAAGCCTCCGCAAGTCCGTCGGTGGACCGCGGAAGACGGCGGGGGGCGACGGCGAGGCGAGGAGAGCGCATGAGGACTCTTGAGTGAGTAGCCGAGGGGCCCAGAGTGAGCCCGAGGGGACCCCGCATATTAAGCTGTTTAGCATGTTTAGCCTGGGTGTGGCCTCATGCTGGATCGGCTATGTTGGGTATGATCCGGCCGCCCGGTGCGACTGATCCGGTCTCTCCATCCATCCAGTTGAGCCTCAGCATTCGGCTCTACCACTCGCTCCCGGCTCATCCACACATCTTTGCACGCTCTTCGCGCTCTCTCAAAAGGTTGTCACTTGCTCTCTCTCCTCTCTCCTCTCTCCGCTCTCCGCTCCTCCTCCTCCTCCCTCCTCCCCTCCTCCATCATCCACAATGCTGCGCCGTATCGCGCGTACACGTCTCCCATCCCCTGCCGTGGCGCGCGCCGCGCCCACGCCCACGGCTCGCGCGCTCTCTTCCGCGTCGTCTTCGTCCTCGCGCATCGTCCCAGCAGCCTCCATCGCCGCACGGCGCCAGATGGCGACTGCCGCCCCGTCCACCCTCTCCCCAAACGCCCAGGGATTCGAGCCCCGCACCGACGCCAAGAAGCTCAACAAGGTCCTCATTGCTAACCGGTGAGTTGAGCGAGGGAGGATGGGGGCCGTACGGGTCGTAGACGGTGACGGGGGTGTGGCAGCAACGCGGCAGCCAGGCGGACTCAGGAAACAAGCTGTGACTGCCTCGAGTTGCCCGCGCTCGAGCCCAGCTTGACATGCGCCGAGCGCGGTGCTCTCGGTGCTGAGCTTGACTCTCGCCCTTGAGTTCTGCCAGACACTCCCAGCTCCACCCCTGCAGACGTCTACGTGATTCCGTTCCAGCAACCAGCCCTCACTAACACCCAGCGGTGAGATCGCCTGCCGCGTGATCAAGACCGCGCGCAAGCTCGGCGTCAAGACCGTCGCCGTCTACTCGGACGCGGACAAGGACTGCCTGCACGTCGAGATGGCCGACGAGGCGTACCACATCGGCCCTGCGCCCGCTGCCGAGTCCTACCTTGTCGCCGAGAAGCTTCTGCAGGTCGCCGCTGCGTCGGGCGCCGACGGCATCCACCCCGGCTACGGTTTCCTGTCCGAGTCGCCCGCATTCGCCGCAGCCGTCGGCAAGGCCGGCATTGCGTTCATCGGCCCCCCTGCCGAGGCGATCCGCGCGATGGGCTCGAAGCGCGAGTCCAAGGAGATCATGGTCGCCGCCGGCGTGCCCTGTGTCCCCGGCTACCACGGCGCCAACCAGGACGAGGACGTGCTCGTCAAGGCTGCGAGTGACGTCGGCTTCCCCCTCCTCATCAAGCCCACCCACGGCGGCGGTGGCAAGGGTATGCGTGTCGTGCGCAAGCTCGACGACTTTGTCGAGGAGCTGCGCTCGGCCAAGCGTGAGGCTGCCAAGTCGTTCGGCAACGACGAGGTGTTGCTCGAGCGCTGGCTTGAGCGCCCCCGCCACATCGAGGTCCAGGTCTTCGCCGACTCGCAGGGCAACTGCGTGAGCCTGTGGGAGCGTGACTGCTCGGTGCAGCGCCGTCACCAGAGTGAGTAGCGCAGCGACGAGTCTGTGGACCGCCAAGCAGTCTTCCGCCCTAGACACACACTGACGCCCGCAGAGATCATCGAGGAGGCGCCTGCCCCCGGTCTTTCCGCCGCGATCAAGAAGGACCTCGCTGACAAGGCCGTCGCCGCCGCCAAGGCCGTCAACTACGTCGGTGCCGGCACGGTCGAGTTCATCATGGACGCCGACTCGGGCGAGTTCTTCTTCATGGAGATGAACACGCGTCTGCAGGTCGAGCACCCCGTGACCGAGGAGGTGACTGGTGTCGACCTTGTGCAGTGGCAGCTGTCGGTTGCGGCCGGCAACCCGCTCCCCGTGACGCAGGACGACATCCCGTGCATCGGGCACGCGTTCGAGGCGCGCATCTACGCCGAGCGCCCCGAGGCCAACTTCCTGCCGGACGCCGGGCGGCTGATCCACACCGCGGCGCCGCGCGACGCCCCGCACCGCCTCGACACGGGCTTCCGCGAGGGCGACGACGTCTCGTCCTACTATGACCCGATGATCGCCAAGCTCATCGTGCACGGCCGCGACCGCAACGAGGCGCTCGCGCTCCTCCGCTCCGCGCTGGACCAGTACCAAGTCGTGGGGCCGAGCACCAACGTCGAGTTCCTGCGCACGGTCGCGTCGCACCCGACCTTCGCGGCGGGCCCCGTCGAGACCAACTTCATCGAGCAGCACCACGCCGAGCTCTTCCCGCCCAAGAAGGTGCCGGCTGAGATTCTCGCGCAGGCCGCGCTCAGCATCGCGCACCACGAGCCGGGGGCCGGCGCGTGGGCCGCCCTCCCCGGCCGCCGCTTCAGCGACGTCAACGAGCACACGTACCACTTTGACGAGGGCGAGGTCGTGGTCCGCCAGAACCCGGACAGGAGCTACGACCTCTCCGTCGTGGTCGGCGACCACGCGGACGCGCACAAGGCCGAGGACCAGGGCGAGGCTGTGCGCCTGCACGCGCGCGCGACGCGGACGGGCCCCAACGACCTCGTCGTGCAGTTCGGCAACTCGCGCGCCGAGGCGACGATCATCCCCCACGGCCCCAAGCTGGTCGTGTTCACGCCCGAGGGGTCGCACACGCTGCGCCGCCGCGGCGCCGAGGTCGAGGCCGAGGGCGAGGGCGGCGCCGCCGCAGACGCACTCGTCTCCCCCATGCCCGCGACGGTCATCGACGTGCGCGTCAAGCCCGGAGACAAGGTCACCGAGGGGCAGGTGTGTGCCGTCCTCGAGTCGATGAAGATGGAGATCAACATCCGTGCCGAGCGCGACGGTGTGATCGCCGCTGTCAGCGCCGAGAAGGGCCAGGCCGTCGAGGAGGGCGCGGTCCTCGTCGCGCTGGAGCCGGCGGAGGCGGAGGCGAAGTAGGGCATATAGTTAGAAGTTTTGAATGTATTCAGTAGAGCGCGAGTGTGGAAACGGGGTTTCAGGCATCTGCATAGACCTTGTTCATACAGCATTGGTGCGAACCAGCTAACAGGGAGTTCAGATGGTGTTTCTGTAGATCAGCACGGCTTGTCTCTCCTCGACACAAACTCACACAGCTTGGACGGCGAGGCGGCACGCGGCGCGTCGATCTCCACGACGAGCTTGCCAAAGTTCTTGCCGTCGCGCATGTCGGCGAACAGCTCCTCGAGACCAGCCATGTTGTCGAGGCCCTTGATGCTCTTGCTGATCACGGGCGAGATCTTGTGCTTGTCCACGAACGCGAGCATGTCGCGGAACTCCTTGTGCGAGCCCATCGTGGATCCCTTGAGCTCGATGTTCGCCAGGACGGCCGGCATGATCCAGTCCATCTTCGGACCGACAGTCATGCCGTACTGCGACACGACGCCGCCGGTACGCAGCAGCCGCGTAGCCTTCTGCACAATGGGCCCGCCGGCGCCGTCGATGATGGCGTCGAGATACCTGCGCTCGGCGGGGAGCGCGGCCTTGAGCTCCTTCTCCCACCCGTCCTTCTTGTAGTTGATCCCGCCCTTTGCGCCGAGCTTGAGCGCGCGCGCGATCTTCTCGTCGCTGCCGGACGAGACGTACGCGTTCACGCCGAGCGCGACGGCAAACTGCAAGACTTGGAGGGCGACGCCGCCGCCGATGCCCGTGATGAGGATGTTCTTGCCCGCCTCCGCCGCGCCCGACTTGGTCACGAGCGCGCGCCACCCCGTGATCCCCGCCAGGGGGAGGGCCGCGCCGCCCACCGCGTCGAGGTGCGCCGGCGCACGCTCCACCTCGTTCTCCGAGAACACGGCGTAGTCGCGCGCACACCCGCTGTCCGAGTGCACCGTGCCGCCCGACACGTGGAAGTTGGAGCCGGGCGGCGGGCCTTGCGGGTCGTCCTCCCACCCGCGCATGGGGAGGGCTACGACGTTTGCGCCGGCAAGCCCGCGCTTGCACCCAGGGCCCTCTTCCACCACCGTGCCGTACCCGTCGCCCAGGAGCGCCGTGTCAAACGCCAGACCGGGGTACAGGTGCTGGCGGATGAACAGGTCGCGGTGGTTCAGCGCCGCGGCCTTGAACTGCACCAGCACCTGGCCGGGGCCGGGCTTGGGGATCGGGACCTCCTTGACCTTGAGGCTGGGGTTAGTGAGACACGATGGAGAGGGGGGTACAGGCGGAGCTTTCTCGTTGTGTGGGCACTTGTTGCGTGCACCCAACGAGTGGTGGGCGACGCTTGGTGCTCGCTTGCAGTCAAGCAATGCCGAGCCCCGAGCCCAGGCTCCGAGGGCCGAGCTTCGGGTTTCACGCTGCCCACACCAACACACCCTCCCACCCGCCCCCCACACTCACGGGTAGTACACCTGGCCAGGCTTGCCCTCAATCTTCTCGATAACAAGTTCGCGCGGCATCTTGATGTTGTACAGTAGATGGAGTGGAAGATGTCGAAGCGAGATGAAGACTGGCTCAGCATATCAGCCAAGACGCACGGAGGAGGCCGACATGATGTGACCGGTTCGGCTATTTCGTGGCCGACAAGTCTGAGTAATCTCCGTCTGTGACGTGCGGCGACGCTCCATGCGTGGTCGAGCAAGTTGTTGCTGATATGCACTTCCAATGCTTAGCACGCTCCAAGCCTGCAGCCCCGACTACGGCATGCCGGCGTCTCGGCATCTATGAGCGCGAGCACGCCTCACCACCGAGCACGTCAGCAACGTCATACCCGCACCACCTCTGCCACGTCCACGCTGTCCATGTATGCAGTGGATCTGTTTACTACTACACCATCTGCCACACCAGCTTGGAGCGCTGGTTCCAGCCGCCAACCCACCCCGACCCGTCCGGGTCGCACTCGGGCACAGGCTGGCCCGCCCACCGCTGCAACTGGCGGTCAAAGTACGCGACCTTGGCATTGAAGCGCTGGTCGGCGTCGATGTCGACCTCGATGTCGCCGCACGTCACCGTCTTGGCGTACGCCACGAGGTTCGCGAGCCACTGCTGCACGTTGGCGTCGGGCACGCCCGCCGCGCCAGCAATCACGAACAGCGCCTCGAGCGAGAACAGCGTGTAGTGCCGCCGGCGGGTGCGCTGGAGCTCGGGCGCGAAAAACTGCGCGGGGTCTTTGTGCTCGCCCGCCAGCGTTTGCTGGACGTACGCGGCCACGTTGCCGGGGTCGATGACGGAGAGGTGCGACGCGTACTACAGTCAGCGATCTGTGTGTGCCAGCCTGAGAGCCAAAGCCATAGTAACGCTCACGATCGCGTGGTACCACAAGGTGATGTTGTTGGCGCTTCCGCGCGCGCTCTTTCCCTGCTCGCCCTCGGCCATCCACTCGGCCTGGGCGGACAGCCACTGGCGCATGCCTTCCGCAATGTCGGGCGGCATCTGGAGCACAGTGAGCGCCTGGTCCACGAGGATGATGTAGCGCAGCGCGATGGCGAACGCCTTGTCGCCCCCCTGTCCGGGGATGCACTGCGAGTAGTTGACCTCGGGGACCATGCGGGTGGCCGGGTCGAGGAAGAAGGCATGGAGAAGCTGGTTGGCCTTGGCGGTATACGCCTCGGCCTGGGGCAGGCATGTAGCGCCGAACGCGAGAGCCTGGATCGCGCGTGCGGCCTCATGCAGCTGGTTCTGCGACTGGGGCAGCTTGGAGTCTGACGGGCGATGAGCGAGGCAAGGAAGACGGAGACAAGCGACTCACCTGGATTCTTGTGCCCGTCGCGGCGCACCCACTGCCCGCCCTCGTTCCACCAGTACGGCTTGACGGTGTAGAGCTCGTTCGGGCCCGCGCCGACCGGACACACAGAAGGGCTTTTGGTGACGCTGAACGACTCGGCGTTGAGCAGCTTGTCGCACACCTGCCGCAGCGTGGTGTGGCTCATGGGCGGGGGCGGGATGGGCGGCCGCGGCATGATGACCTGGTCGGGATACTTTGGGACTGCGAGACGCTTCTGCATGGTGGCGGAGGTGGTGTCTCCGTCTTCGTAGTCTGACATGGTTGATATAAGAAAGAAAGAGATGAGATGAGTGAAGCGTGTGAAGCTCGACGCGCGGTGGCAAGGTGAGTCGCGTCGTCAAGGGCAGATGCTCCTCCCGCTCATTCCGCCGATCACTCGCACTGCACCGTGACGTCAGGCACCCACATCCGGCCACGCCCAAGGTCAGATCGATCAAGAGATCAAGAACTGCATCATCATCTCTAGCTCTCTATACATGAGCAGGCGGGGGCGCCTAGTTTGCCGGCGGCGTCCATGTGAGAGCCCAGTACTGGATCGTGGTGTCTCGCACCGGCCCAGTGATCGTGTCCTTGACCACGAACCCGAGTTTCTCGTAGAACGTGACCTGGCGTGAGCGTGCTGTCGCGCCGTGTAGGTGGCCAGCGGTGCTGTCACAGCAGATCTGAGATCCGAGATGTCGGGGCTGGTGTCGGCTCACAGCCGCCTCCGTGGCCAAGATCTCATGAGGAAAAGCTCCCTTGCTTATCCCACCACCCCACAGCCACTCACATTCTCCTTGGTCTGCGTGAGCAGCGCCACGATCTTGCCCTCGCTTGCGGCCCGCTGCCGCACCTGTGCGAGGAGCGCTTTCGCCAGCCCGCGCCCTTGCGCCTTGGGCGACGTGGCGAGGAACCCGATCCAGTAGATGTCACTGTTATCGGGGAACGCACGCATCTGCAGCCCGTGCTCGGACTTGTGCATCGCCTCGTACCCCTCCCTAATAACCGGCGGGAGGGACGCGACGAACGCGCTAAACTCGGCCGTGTTTTGGTTCGGCCTGAGCGTCAGCGTGTGGGAAGTCACCACAGAGTGCCAGTGTGTGCACTCGTCTCCACAACGGCCCGTTGAACTCACGTCGGATCTGGCGTGCCGGGCGGCGCGACGATCATGATGGCCTGCACTGTGCCCTCCTCCGTAGTTGCTGTGTACGCTTCGAGGTCCATGACCCCATGCCGCACGATGTTCGTGTATCGTGTCGTGTGGAAGTCGGGGTGCTCGCCGCGCGGGCTCATCGCCTGCGCGATGTACCCGGGCTCAAAGGCGTCGTGGACGACCCTCGCGGCTTCCTGGAACGCCGGAGACGTAGTGGATGTCAGGCGCTCGATCTTGATCATCGCGAGAGAGGGCTGGGGAATCAGACGCGGCGTGTACGTTGAAGTATTCGAAAGATATGAGCCGAGTCGAAGTGCTGAGCCGAGTTGCTGGAATTGATGGTGGGCTTGGTAACAGAGCCGGGTCGAGTTCGGATATAGCCGCTATCGGATTCTGGTTACCGACATCGACATGTCCGCCCCCGGTTCTCATGTCCTGGTCGGCTGCTGCAGACGCACATAGATCGCTCACATGCGGCCTTGCGGCCGCACAACCGGTGGGAGATACAGAGCAATGAAGCAATGTACACTCGACATGCACTACAGAAGACCGGAAATGTGCCCTGCAAAGGCTGTGCTTCCGAGATCACAACCTGCCCTGCCTGCGACGCCTCGCAGAGCCAAATACGCATAAACATGGAGACAACGCCCAGATCACCGCTCCGTCCACTCAACTTGTGCGGCAAACGCTTCGGGCCCCACACTGGCGCGGTACTCGGCCATGGTGCAGAACTGCACCCGATCGTACAGTTCCATGCCCAGCTCGGGGCCGAGAGTCGCGCGCACATATCGCTCGAGAGGGTGGAAGCCGTTGGGCTCGTCGCGTTTCCATGTCCGGAAGTCGAGGGGGGGAAGCCTCATGCCGAAGCCCGGGGCGAGGACGCCGTCCACGTCAACAGTGACGTAGTCGTCGAATTCAGAGGACGGGATGGGGATGCAGTCAGCCGGCATCTGGGCGATGTTGACGAAGGTGGTGCGGACAGGCCGCCGTTCGTCGAGATCTGGATCTGGGGCGGCGGCTTCAAGAGCCGTGGTGATCATTGTTCGGAGAAGCGCGCGGTCGCGCCCGTCAATGATCGGCGATGCAGGCGAAAGAAAGATGACGACGAGCTCTTCGAGCTCGTTCGTGGTGAGGGCTCGCTGTAGCAGTAAGGGGAAGAACGGCTGGCTTGCGTCCACGTTGTATACTAGTCGCCTGACTGATGAGACGAGGCTTGCGGGCTCCGAGATAGGGAAGCCAAGTGAGGGGTGCGGCGGCCACGGCGTGCGCACAATCACGGTGTCTGCGGATTGAGATAGAGGAAGCGCATTCAGATGGTATTCTGGCGAAGTAGGGCGCAAGCGGAGAGTGCGCAAGGCGGGGAATCTGAGATCGCCAGAGACGAGAGCGGGGTAGGCTGTGAAGTCGGGGCGTGCGTCGATGTCGAGGGTGAGAGTGTGGGCAGCGACGAGCTGCAGGCGGTCGAGAAAGTGGTCAAGATGACCGAGCGGAACCTGTGAGGCGAGGCAAATGAACGCCGGGTGCCATCCTTTGCTGTGGACGGGGGAGATACTGTTGTCACGGAAGACGAGATGCTGAGCTAGAACGGCATCGACCCTATCCCGAAAGCTGCGCGATGCGGCGCGCAGTGCCAGCAGAGCGCAGAGGTCTGCGTAAGCAAAGATGGCGTCGAGGATGTCGGGATAGGCCGAGTGGTCGAGCATGCTGGAAGACATATGAGTTGGAGTGAGACGGTGGCCAGCTCGGACGAGTGGAGTTGCGAGACGAAGACTGCGGACCCAAGTGACTCCGCGGAATGTTTTCATGTATGCTCTGTTTGTTTTGGCCTGGCCCATTTGTTGCTGGTCGCCGCCAACTGCCATCTGCGCCGTTCCTCGGACGTTGCGAGGCATCACAACACACTTATGACCCGACACACAAAGACTAGTCTGTCACCTCGGATGGAAGCAGGAAACTGTGCCGGTGATAGCCATCTTCGTAGAGCAACCTGGGCGCATGACCTTGTGTCGGAACAATCTGAGCCATGAATCGAGTCAGCGCGGCAGCGGATGCCCATTGCGAACTCTATGTCTCAGTCTACATGAGCTCTTGACCTGCGTGCTGACTATAAAGCTCGCCCTTGTGACATCCGGCACACTGTTTCTCGCCTGTCGTGGCGAGAGACTACACCCGGTGGGGTGAGGTACCTGAGTCTGGCAGTCATTGATGTTGTTGTCAACAGGCAAGTCTAAGAGACTGAAAAATACATATGTTGGTCATTACTGAGGAATGACAGCACTATATATACGATGAGCCTTACGGATGTATTGTACCGTGTGCAAGTACTAACAATGAATCACTCGATGAACTGGTTCCGCATGTATGTGACACTTCGTGTAGACTGTGTGCCAGTCACATGGTCGATGTCGCTGGTACTGAAGGTGGCGCCATGACATCGCCACATTCAGTTACTTGCGTTGTGATAACCGCGGTTGTTGGATGTTGACTCACCTTGACGCGATCCCCTCCACCTAGTTTCATCCACATGTCTCTCAACCTATCCGTCTCTTCATCCTAATTATTCTCTCTCACTCCTTTCTCCCCATCCTCCTGCTTCTTAAACATCCACCTCTGGTCTCTAAAACCACACCGCTCCCATCTCTTACGATATGCCGCGCAAGCCGCCATGTCTCGCTGCCCCTTGGGATTCCCCAGCTCTCCGGTTTGCCCGTCTTCCCCTTGAAGAACGCATCACTATCGTGAAACGTATCCACAACGAAATGCTCGCCGCACAGCCCCAGCTTCCAGAGTCTCCTTTGCGCGACGAGTGGACCACAGCAGACTTTGACATTCCTCTGTGCGACACTTACACAAGCTTGTGGATGCAGTGCGTTTGGGCGCCCAAGAAAGCCAGTATCGCCATCCACGGCGCGTTCGACACTGGCAACTGGAACAACGTCTGGTCGCTCACCGTAACCCTTGCGGTCGCCGACCGCGTCATGCAAATGTACGTGTGCAGCATTCTTCTCGCACTGCTTTCTCTTACTGCCGGCGCTGATCGCTCAGGAGCTCGTACGAGAACGACCACATCCTTTTGAGGGGCTCTCCGCTTTTGCCCATCGATGTGTGGATGGCACACCGTGAGGCAGACATTGCGGTCGCCTACAACGCCGTGAGCATCCCTTTAGGTTTGAGGCCGCACTCTGACGCCAGTTGACCGAGATGCTGAGGCCTTACGTCCACGGCACGTCGCTTCCTTCGCTGCACGAGGCGCGTCGCTTAGCGCTTTTTTGCTTGCGCTGCACCATGACCCACTTTGACGCCGGGGTGGACATGCCTGACGTGCCAGATCTGCCTGAGCTGGAGTTTATGAACGGACTCGAGTTCGGCCCGTACGCTCCCGTCATTGAGGACTTGCACACCTATGGCGGGAACAATGCGCGGCTTGTCCGGGGGAGTGTCGGTACGGATGCGAGTGCGCGCACTCGGGTCGATGAGGAGCTCGACCGCTGGGCGAATGAGAATCCTGACTATCCCAACAAGGTACGAAAGTACCTCGACGAGTACGGTGGTCGCGCCCCACTCTGCCACATGCCACCGCGTCCGCTGCCGGTGATCCCGAGGCCAACTGTCTAGGAACCGCACACGACCCGATCCACTGTTGCGCGACTCTCTTTCTCCGTCTCCTGTGCTTTGTAGTGCCCCCACATGGGACATTCTGTCGAATGTCCCATCTCTCACTCGAGCATGTGCTCAGTCGTATGTGTATCGTCATTCCCTTTGGGTATTTATGAACGCTTGTGTTGTTGAGCAGAGGACTGAATGGGGCGGATCAGTGAACTAAGATGGTGAGTTGGGCGTGTGAGGCGCCAAACTGGCAGGATGTCAGACCCTGCGTTGTACGGAAAGGCGGAGGCTGGGGAGTGGTGAGCACAAAGGTGTCTGCACACCAGATGAAGCTCCACCACCCTGATGACTCAAAGTCGATATCAGTGATAGATGTGTGCAATAAAGCTATGATACTACGATGGGGTGAGAATACCATGAGTATCCAGAGTTGAGGGAAAAGTGGTTCTAGACGTCACCGTATATGTGATGATACAAAGTGAATGGTACCAACATAGGTACCGATCGGTACCAATGCCATTATGAGTTGTGGAGCATCCTGCGATCATGATGCGTGGTTATCCTGTGATGGATACTACGTGGTTGACATGTGTAGTCAGTGCTCAGTGATCATTGTCCTTCGGATCGTCACACTGCCTGACATTTGGCCAACCGCTCAGGCCTCTGTCCATAGGTTTCCTATATAGACTTGGAGGCCAACCAGTCACCTGTGTTGATTCTGTTATCCTTGTTATCTCACTGTTTCTTCGAGGGTTGCCCCAATCTTGGGCCTCTCCTAGGCATGACAGAGATGCAGAATAGGTGTCCCCCAGCAGGGTGGCGAAGACTGAGGGGAAGGTTTCTGTCGAGGGCTCCGAGTACGAGTTGTTCTGTACACACGATCATAGACCAGAAGTGATTCAAGACCTCGGACGAGGTCGGGTTCTTCACTGACGGACTCGTTTTTGATTCGATTCGACACCTGTGGAGTTTCGGGACCGAACTGTGTGCGCCATCGATGTCTCTCGCCACTACGCCATCATTGATGTCTGAGCTGCAGACATCCGATGACAGACATGATGTTGGATGGGACTTGGAAACAATTATATGTCGAAAATCGAGGTCGGTGCCCCTGGTCATTCATGCCTTTGAGCAGCCTTTTTCGTTGAGTGGACCAGTGAGTTGGGTCCCACAATGCTGACCATACGTCTGAGCACCGCTATCACTCTCACGGCCCACATCAGCACTAACAGCGCATGTCCATCAGACAAGCCGTCAGGAATACACCCTCTAACGTCCGGCGCGGACGGGCCAACCTTCGGCCTAGCATCTGCATGATGGCGCCCCTGTATCGGGTGACCTGCTTCTCCGTGCCCATCGGCCCTCTATGTGTTCATTCGCAGCGACAGAAACACCCATTCATGACATCTCGGACCCCCGCACGACCCCCGCACTCCCCGTCTGCATCTTGCCACTTACCCACATAGCCGCCATGAGCAATTAAGGAGATGAAACTTTGCGATGCACTCTCCACCTTCGCGACACTTGCGCTGACTTGATACTTTCTCCAGGACACCCTGGGTTGCTGACTCCCCTGTTACCTCAAACATGCCAGGTGCTCCGTTTGCATGGGACGACTACGTCAATTACCAGCTCGGCCCTGCGCTGCTGTACGCCGACCAGCCCCTGGGGCTCGACGCCCCCCCGCCGTCGCCGCAAGGAAGTGTGACGGGAATGTTTCCGCACCGTGCGGAGCTCGGCGTTCTTCGTCTCCATAAGAGCGCCCCACAGCGAGTCGTGAGTTAGCAAACCTGTTGAGTTGAGCTTATCCAGATGCCCGAGGCCCCACATAACCCTTCTGAGGCCGCAGCCGGCCCCTCCCGTCGCAGTCCACATAGCGAATCACGCGGCATGGACTACCCAACCGCGGAAGCCCCCTCAGAAACCTCAACACTCACGCCTCCCGTCAAGCATCCGCCTCTGCTGAGGGGCGACGATGTGTCGGCTGCATCTCTAGGGGGAGCACTCGACCCAACGTCGTGCAGCCGCCTAGCCCGCAGGAGCACGCTCACGCTCACGCTCTCGCACGGCGCGTCTCATCGCGTGCGCGTGTGGCGCTCATCGCCGATCCCGCCGCTAGTCGTGCGTCTCGCTTCCGCTCCTCGCACATCAAATCTCACCCCCACGCCCGCGCCCGCCCCACACGAGTCGCCCCGGCTCTGGGAGGAGCACAACGATCCTTACGCCCACGTCCGCGAACGGATATCCATCTGCCAGGATCGGATCACGGAGCACGACTGGGTTCTAGCATACGGCGGCGCCGCGCTCGAACAGAGCCGCCATTCTGGTCGGTCCTTTGCGGCCCGTGGGGGTGAGGGCTCGGCCACCTTCCGTAGTAGTTGGCTTGCACCAGGTCCTGGGGCTTGCACTCGACGCTTCTCGTTCGGCGGCGAGCGGAATACCCTCGGATGGCAGCGCCAGAGCGCTCGTGCAAATAAGCGCATCGAGCATTTCCAGCATCTGCAGGAGCATTATCTTGGCCTTATGGGCGCTGATAATGGGCGCAGGGGCACGGCATGTGCGGGAGTATGATTGGGGATGGGAGAGGGGAGGAATGCGTTCGGCTTGAGAAGCTGAGAAGGGGAGTGGGGAGTGACTTTTGGCAGAGGGACTCGTCCACAATATCTGACAGCGTGCCCTCCCACAGCGCGCCTCTGATGGAATATTTCACTCTCTTAGAAGTCAGATTACGATTTCAGCTACCTGCGCGCCGTGGCTAGCTTGCAGCATGATGGAGTCTTTTGTGCGATGGAATGGCAATCCAGTGGAATAGAAGTGGGGCAGTCATCATCATGCAGACGACCGTGACAAAGTGGGGCAGCCCGCAATCTCGATTTGGTCCAACCATCCAATCTTGTCTTTCGCATGGGCGACGCAATCTTGCAACAAACATTCTCCTAACAAGCCGAGCAATCAAAATCAGTACAAAAAGGAACACTTTCCTCGAGCTAGCCAATGCCAGTATCGGATTCAAACGCAATATGTGCGCTGCCGCCTGGCTTACCCCCACTGGAACGTCAGCGTCGCTGTCGCGAGCACGACCAGACTCGCAGCTCCAACCTTTGCATTGAACATGGCACCGCTTGCGCTTCCCTGGAGGTTGGGCCGATCACAAGCGAGCCCGACTGCTTGGCCGCCAGTCTCGGCCATAAGTTGGCCGACGCACGTGCTCCAATCGTCGATTCTCGTTCCCTCAAGCAGACACTGCACGCGGCCGCACCATGTGCGCGCCTCGCCGCCCAGGTGCTGGCAGCACGGGAAGGTGTATGAGGTGTTGTACGTCGTGCAGATCACTCCATCGTACGAGCCCTCCCACTTTGGTGTTACGCGATCGACCGTGTAGGGAGGTGGGTAGGAGTTGCAGCGGGGATCGTTGGCCTGAACCATGGGGGCGAGGCTCGGCGTCGGGACCCATGTTGCGACGGGGATTGCACTGGCAGAGGACATGATGCGTGCTTGTTAAATCAGACGGGGCGAGGAGAGTGTATTGAGTGGACTCGGTCTGCTGACGGGCTTGTTGGTTTGAGAACAAAATGAAGAGAGTGGTGGTCGGACGTCCGGAGCTGGGAGGAGAATGATGGGGTGTGATATGTTTCTCGAAGAGATCAGTAAAGGTCAGTCTTCCCCTGCTCTGAATCTCTGATAGATCTTTCCAGCAGCGTTGCAGACCCTACACAGCGAAGTTGATCCTTTAGAAGGTATTCAGTATCACGGCCGATCTGCGGCCGCGGTGGGGGACGTTGAAGGCCACAACTGCCATGCAGGGATCGATCTCTTGGCGCGATCGCATTCACATGCACGGTCATTCGTGAGTCTTTTCACGCGTGCTCGCGTACGACGTAGGAATGAGGACGCGTCTGTATCGCTTCCTGAGACATTTTCGTGACGTAGGAACTCAAGGCAATAGGGACGGTCATCAGCAAGACTCCGGTATCTGCCGAAACTCAATTGAGTCGTGTACCCGCTGTCATCACCGTTTCGCCGATGCGTCGATGCCAAGGCCAGTGCCCTTGGTGATTGTTATGTACGCGGTCTACGCAGATGCAAACATTGCCCACTGGCCCACTGCCTAGCTGCCTACTTATCCGTCCGCGTGCACGCGTGGTTTGTCAGACGCGCTGCACGTGATGCGATGACGGCAGCAAATAGGGTGCACGTGGCTGGGACCAAGCTCGATCGCGCTGAGCGCGTCTACTTTCTCGAAAGATTGTCAACAAAGCCACTCAGACAAGCCACCGCGCTACTCCCGACATCTCCACACCTCTAGCCTTCCACGGCTCTGCCCTCGGGGTCGCTTACAGGCCGGTACATCCATCGCCGAGCTCTTTACACCCAGTCTTGATTCCCCGATACCCGACGTGTTCGTGAACTCGCGGTCACGCTGGCCGCAGATGCGGGCACTGCGGGCACACACGACCATCGACAGGTCTTAAAGAAGGCGCGCCAGCCAGGGCGATCTCAGAGGTTGATGTCGGCCGTCATTCCCAAGCAGGCGCCCGCCCCGGACGACACGGCGGGCATTGTAGGCGGCGAGGAAGGCTGGGAGAGCAGTCTAGAGCGCGATGTTGCGCTTGCGATCAACGCCAAGATGCAGCAGCGTCTCGAATCTCTCGACACCGAGAACAGCAGGCTTGCTGCCCGCGTCGCCGAACTAGAACTGATGACCGCCGCGTTGCCCGAGGTAGGGTATCCCCCGCTGGACTTCAAATTGCAGCCATTTAAGCCACTTGGCTATTCGCAGGCGCCAACATCGTGTGCCCGCGAGGACATCTCTGCCTCTTGTACTCCTGTTGAAGGCGTCGCTGATCGATTCGACGCTGCCCCATGCGCTGCCCATGCATGCCTCGCGAACCATATCCGGGACGTGCAACGCGACGTATCTCAGATCAACCTTGGTATCCTGGCTGCCGCGGCAATCAGTCTCTCGACTTCGCAGACTCCCCAGCTGCCAGCGGCCTTGCCGACCAAGGCATCTCCCAACGTGGCCGCAGCATCTAGCCTCTTGGCTGCCAAGACTTCTCAGCTGCCAGCGGCCTTGCAGACCAGTGGCTCTCTCAACGTGAACAGCTCGCGTACCGTCAACAGTTCAGCACATCTCAATGCCTCGTCTAAAGCCACCAACATGCCTGCTTTCAAAAACTCGCGCATGGGCAACTGTTCGCCTCACACAAAGGTCTCGTCCAATGGCGCCGGCATGCCCGCCATGAAAAACTCCGGCATTATCGCATATTGCCCGCGCGTTGTCAACAGCTCGTCCACTGTGAAAAGCTCGTCCGCCGTCAACAGCTCGTCCATTGGAAAAAACTCGTCTGCCGTCAACAACTCGTCTGCCGTCAACAACTCGTCTGCCGTCAACAGCTCGTCTGCCGTCAACAGCTCGTCCGTTGTCAACAGACCGCTCAACGTGAAAAGTTCGTCTACTTTCAGCAGCTCGTCTAATCTCCACACTGCGTCCAGCATGAAGATCTCGAACATGGTCACCAGCTCGCGTATCGCAGTGCGCTCGTCTGCTACCGACAGTTCAAGCATCGTCAACGGCTCGCTTAATGCCAACAGCAACAGCTCGTTTGATGCCAGCATCCCTCACACTTCCAGAAGCCCACGCATGGTCAGCGACCTCCACAACGTCAAACGCAACAGCTCGTCCAATGTCAGCATCTCGCATCCTCCAAAGAGGGCGCGCACTGATAGCGGTACGACCCATGTCGGCGGCTGGCCTACAGTCAATGGCTCGTGCATTGGTAACGGCGCGTTCACTACCAACAGCACATCCATTGCCAACGGCAAGTCCACGGCCAACGGAGCGTCTGCTGCCAGTCACACAACCCCTGTCGACGGCTCGCCTGCTTTCAAGGGCCCTCATTATGTTCACAGGCTACCTCTCATCGCCGGCTCGCGCACGGTCGAGAGCTCGTCCCTGGTCGAAACCCGGCCTCATGTCAAGCGCTCACGAGATTCACAAGCTGCGACCTCGCCAGTTGTCGGAGGACACTCCACTCAGGCAACGCGCGACTTATTGGCTTCTTTGGCGTCACAGCTGGCCGCGCAGTCTCATCAATCCGCCTCGCCCGCAAGTGTGCGCAAGCTCGACACATGGCGCCCCAACTGGATCGGGCAGCGATCGCCCCCTGTTGTATGTGCGCCGGAATCTTCAATCTCTGCTGCTTCGTTCTCGCCTCCGCGCAAGCGACTTTCCAGCGAACGCCGTTACTCGCCCAGTGTGCCTGTTGCACCAGAAGATCCATTCAGTCGCGGGTCTCGACCTGAATCTAACAAGCACACGGATATTGGCTCGTTAATTGCCCCACGCTCCGCGCTCCCGGCTACCCCGGACTTGTCACTCCCATCTCGCCCACCAGCCCCTACCATGCCAGATCGAGGGCCGGGCCCGAGACACCGGTCGCGTCCAAAGGGACCGCCAGCATTCGGCGCCGATCCGAGCAAACGCGAGCGGATATATGCGTTGCCGCCAAATGTGGCAGCAAGGGACGCCCGTGATGTTCGCGAGCGCGTGCATGGGAAGGCGCTCCTTGCTCAGGATAGGCGCGACTCTAATTCGCAGGAACGAAATGCCAAGGGGTGTGCTGAGTATCGTAGGCAAAGAGACCACCGTGTCGACGGCGAACGCACCAAAATGCCCAGGCATGGTACATATGGCGGTGGGTGGCACCTGAACCCTGGCAATGGAGGACAGCGTTAGAGTGCAAGCGTGGGGGAGGTCTGTTGTACATGAGTAGTGGTAAAATATGTGATGTAGGAGTAGGTGCAGACTTTGCAAGGCAGGCACTCACATTACTATGTGGCGATAACGTTAAGTTCTGCATGTCCCAGATTATACATTGTTACGGCTACAAGTGATGAGACTCGTACTGGGACGGCACGCCCGCGTGCGCTCGGTGCAATTCCACAGTGTGGGTGGTACATGGCTCGACTTTGCCCACAAGAATATTACTCGCGCTCGACGACATTCACCTTGTCAAACTCCGGCTTGTCCTTGGTTTCGTCCTGAGCCTTTTCGGCGTCCTTGTCGGCAAACATGCCCATGCCGGACACATCGACGCCATTCTCGATGAGATACTCGCGGAAGAGGCGATCCTCGTCGATCATGTTGTCTGGCTTGATGTTGGGCAGGAAGAAGAAGGTAACGGTTGCGGAGAGGAGCGCGACGCCCGAGCCAACGTAGAAGATGCCGGTCTGCTCGAGCAGCTTCGACCGCTTGGCGAACTGCGCCACGATGTGCGGGAAGATATAGGTTCCTACGAAGGCGCCGACCTTGCCGCTCGCAGCAGCGATCGAGTACAGCTGGGCGCGCGCGGCCGTGGGGCCGGCAGCCTTGGCGGCAAAGAGGCCGAGGTTGTTTCCCGGGCCAATCTCTCCCCACGAGAGGACTGCACGTCAGCACATGAACTCAGTCGAGGCTGTGGACTTACAAATGCCGTATACGATGGCGAAGCCGACAACGCGCTTCTTGAAATACTCGTAGCCACCGGAGAGGCCAAAGCCGAAGGCAGCCTGCATGACGCTGCCGAACACCATGCAGTACTTTGGCCCGAGCCAGTCGGACATCCATGCGCCGACAAACGCGCCGGGCACGTAGAAGAAGTTGACGAGGCAGCCCCACCCGAGCGTCTGGTACAGCGTGGGGTTGGGCCCAGTGGCCGCCGACGTAATGTCGCCCGCGTACATGCCGAAAGGGTAGGTGATCCAGTCGTAGAGGAACCAGCAAAAGGACACGGCGAGGAGCTTGGGCCAGTAGCGCTTGAGGATGAGGCGGTAGGGGATCTTGACGTGCTTCATCGCGTTCTTCTGGTACGCCTCGGGCTCGTCCATAAACAGGCGGAAGAAGGTGAGGAGGAGCGGCGGCACAGCGCCGAGCAGCAGCGAGCCACGCCAGACGGCGCGCAGGTGGTCCATGCCAAAGATCCAGAGGAGCACGAGCGGGACGAACCACGCCACGGGGAAACCGACATCGATGATAAAGTGAGTGGCCCAGACGAACAAGCGCTCTGGCTGTCAGTGGATCATGATAGGCGGGACGCAGGCGGGGAGGAACTCACGTTGGCGCTTCTTGCTCACACCCTCGTTCTCCGTTGCCTCAGCCGCTGCGGTTGATCCACAGGGGTACTCGCCGCCGATGCCGATACCGACGAAGAAGCGGAAGGCGATAAGACAGTTCATGAGGACCTGAGGGTTGGGGCCGGCCGCACATGCCATGAGGATCATGAAAACGAAGATGATTGCCTGACGGTCAGTGGTTGCTCCCTCGTCTGGTATTCACCGTCGTGATGAACATTCCAGGCTTGCGGCCGAGCTTGTCCGAGATAAGTCCAAACATGAGCATGCCGACAACCACTGATAGTCAGCACGCGCCACGGGATCTAGGGTCGCATGAGATCAGCCGCGCGACCTCTTCCCTCGAGCTGAGGCGTCAGGCCGGGTGACAAGCCATGGCGGACGCCACGGCCGATGCCGGACGCCACAGCGCTGCGGAGGTGCAGCACTGCACTCACTTCCAGCGAAACCGACAGCGCCGAAGATGGTGCCGTTCTCCGACTTGTCGGCCTCAAGCCAGTCGGGGTACAAGCGGGTGAGGATAGTCTTGACGGGCGAGACGACGGCGTTGGCGTAGCCGTCTGAGAACATGGCAGAGCCCTGGGGTTAGTCCGACTTCCGACTGTGGACTGCTCATGTCGACTTACAGCGGCGAAGATGCTGCTGTCAGCAATGTGTCACACGATGACCCACGTAGCGGTGTTGCCAAGTTTGCGGCGGCGCTGGAGGCGCTTGAGCTCCTCCTCTGTCAGCTCGCGCTGCGGCTCGGCGCTGGCTGGCTTCTTGCGGAACAGGCGCATCATGATTGAAGGAGGGAAGGGGGGTTGCAAACGAGGTTTGTCCCCTTAGATATGCTATATCACCGGATCGTCAAGACCTGCGAGGGCGAGGCGGGGAGAGCTGGGGCGTGGGGTATCAGGCTAGCCAGCGCACAATATGCAGGCGTTGGAGCACGAGGCTGCCTGTGATGTCTGGTGCCGGGGTTGGGCGTGTATATGTGGTGCACATGGTTTCCGCGCCTTGGCACGCCGGTTTGAGCGCTGCCGAGAGGCCAAGCGGAGGGAGAGCCGCGTGCGGGCTGGAGGGGATGGACGGTGTGGACGGAGGTTTTGAGTGGTTTGTCTCGCCGAGTGATGAGATCAGCCAATGACAGGCACGCAGAGGTCATTCGCGATCACACACTCTGCCGACACCCTCCCCCTGTTTGTGCCTTGGAGTGTCTGCTGTGCTGGATGAAACCAGCCTGGCCGCGCGGCCGCTTGGGTGTATCGCTCAGTCTTTGCGCATTGCTGACTGGGAGGTGCAAATGGTGCCCTACATACCTCTCTCAGCGTGTGAGCTGAGACTTGGTAGGTCACGGCCAGGGGGGCAGCAGCTGGGTAGGCCGCGGCTGAGGTTTGGGATGAGGTTTGGGTTGTGATTAAGGCACATGTCGGACGCTGCTTTTCCTAGAGTGCCAAGGACACCAGTCAGCCATACCTACCAGCGGACCATCATTTAGTACCGTGAAGACTGAATTCTGGCCTGCGAAATGTTGTTTACTACTGTGCGGAAGCTGTAAGGGCAAGCGGAAGAGCCACAGAATTGAAACCTACGTGTCGTGATCGACAAGCTGTGCCAGAGATTATTGCCGCTGCAATCTCTGACGCAAGTGATGAGGGATCAAAGTCTCTACTCTGAACGTCGCTCTCTCCTCTCCTTTCCTCCTATACCTGGTTTGTGCTTTTCCCTGCATTCTGCCTGGCGTGAGGAGGCCGAGCCGCAACCGCGGCTGAGTTTGCAAATGTGACGGGAAGACAAGAATAACGACCATGTCTCTGTGTGCCTGGGCTGTCGTCTGCCCTTGTTTAAGATCGCTTCACCCGCCAATAACACGGATCGAGTATGATCCGCAACCCGGTTCATACGTCCCTTCTGGTCTCTCTGCTGCCTGGCTTCCCATGCTGTGCGTTAACCCATGGTCAAGGTAGCTGCAGGTCACGTGCAAGCTGTTCGCAGCTTGAGCTTGAGCGGTTTCAATATCTTGGTCGCCGTCGCACGAGCTGATCACCGTGTCAGGGCCGAGATTAGATGGGCCGAACTTATCTCCGATATCGCGTCAGTCAACCCAGTTCCAGGAATGCCACCGACTCGGCTGGGTCAGCCATTGTGGACATACAAAGTCCTCCCGCTGACCCGTATTCGTCGTGACTTGTGAGCCGCGGTATGGATAGCTGGCGACTGTGGGATTGGGTTTTGCCTAAAGTTGCTCGTCGAACGGCGCGACACTGCACTCAGGACACGGCGAGTGAGGGCGCTGGGGTCCGGGGTACCCAGTTGACTTGTGCACAGGAGTCAGTGTGTATAGCGCAGCTCCGGCTGGACGGGACGGGAGCCACCGGTTCACCACCACTCTGTTTAGTTAAGCGGCATGGCGCACGGAATGCAGGCAGCTTTGCGGGCGTCGCGTCTGAGTGTGAGCCGACTGAACGGTCTTCCCCACCGATTGATTGGGTGTGATTGACGGATTTGAGAGGGCAAGGCCAGGCAAGCTCCAGACAGTATTAGAGCCAACAGATGAGCTGTCTTGGCCAGATGGTACACGATGATCTGACAGTGAAATGGGAGCTGGCTCGATTCACCAAACATCACCATGCGCGCGTGGTCCGTGCGGCGGCGGGCGAACAAACAACGGTGACCTCCACTCGTCAGTTCATCAGAAGCGCCCCACTCCAGCAATCCCTCGCCACTGTCCGTCATACACCTTTCTTATTCATTCATCGCTGTTCCACCTGCTCACCGCGCTCAACTTTTCTGCTATCATGCCCATGCCGACCTCTCCGCCTCCCACCCCTGCCAACGGACATCCCTACTCCCCAAGTGCAGGCGACAGCTTGCGACCGAGCGCCCTCAACGGAATCAGACGTTACCTGTTATCTCGAGACCTTAAGCTTCTCTCTCCCACCAGGGCTGTGTGAGCTGCCGTCTTACCCACGGGCGGCGCTGACTAATCTTAGCCCCACAAAGCCGTGTGCTAGATGTCTCTCAGTCAACATCAGATGTGAGGACGTCGCGCTAAAGATTGGCCACATAGCCAACGGATTGCCGCAGGCTGATTCGACATATCATCTTCACATCATGGGCTGCGGACCCTGTCGAGCCGCGGGACGCACATGTTCCTTCGCGGGCACGGCTACACTGGCCACCAAGCCGCGCTCGACGTCGCCACCTCCTTCGTGAGTCCGTTGTTCAGCCTGGCTGACGGAAGAACATCGCTGGAGAAGCGCAAGCGTGACTCTCAAAGCCCCAGCGGCAGTCCCTCCTCCAAAACGTCCCGCTTGCGAAGCCCGTTTAACCCAACCCAGCCCATCAGTCATTCAGGCCCCTCGGCTTCAACCTCGAGTGCGCCGAACAACGCGCAAACCCTGCAGGCCAAGGTCACCGGCCTATTCACACAGCTCGCAGATGCGAAGAGCAAGCGCCGAGCCACGGCTGCTGTCGTCGAGGATCGTCGCCAAGCCGTGCAAGTCGCTTTTGCGGAGCTTCGTGACGCTCAGCGTGAGCTTGAGCAGAAGAACTCGACGGTCGCCGATATCGAGGCTAGATTCGCACAGGCACAGGCTGCCCTCGTGGCTTTTGATCAGCAGGCTGCGGCGATGGCGCGCCAGCGTGGCGACGGGTATCGGTCAGCTCTTGCTGCAGCCCTCGAAGAGTCAACAAATCTGGACAACAGTTTGTGTGACATCTCAGGCGTCTTCGCGGAGCCAGATAGCGACTAGGAGCAGGGCTTACACGTGCTGGGACGGCTGGTTGGCCGTGTGCGCGGAATAGCGGTGAGGCGGCGAGCGAGTTTGGACGATGGAATCAGAGACCATCCAGATATCAACGGACTCGAGCATCATATCGAGGTCCCTTAACATGCATGTGAATTACTTTAACAAGTTTGCTTGGAATCCGTCCCTGCCCAGACTGCCAAGCTATTCTAGTACTGCCTTGACGTGGATACGAAAGCGGCTGGTTCCCAGGCAACTTTGAAGATTTCCCGGGTCTGACTTTCGCGACGTCACCTGCTTCGCGTCACCCACGTCAGGTCTGCAGAGTCACCGCCTCGCACCGCCACTGCACAGACCACTCTATGCACATAAACATGCTCTCGACACCAGTCACGCCCCTCATTCTCCTATTCATACTCATGGTCGGGAAATCCAAACATGTCGAGTCAACGCTCGTTGGGGACGACACAGTGACGACGACTACGACGCGCTCGACCAACCTCCGCGGCGTCACAACGGAGAAGGAGAAGGTGACTGTAAACGGCAAGCTGGAGAGCTCGACAACTGTCGTGACGCAGAAGAACGGAAGTGCGGTGGAGACGACCAAGCAGGGAGACGGCAGGACCACCACTGTAACGTGAGAATAATGCATGCCTGCGCTAACGTCCAGTTACCCTCCCACGGCGGTCATTAGAGAGTACGGTTACCCTTTGCATTCGCCGTGGCTCTTCGCCGCTGTCTCTTAAGGCCCCGCTGATCTCAGATATCAGGCGTCTGCGCCCATGGCCGTCCCCGCCGCTAGTTACGCGGTGCATACAGATGAAGGGCCTGTGAGTCGACCTGTCTGTGTTTGCGACTGTTGCTGCTTCGGCTTCTCAATTGGCAACCCCACGTCTATCAATGTCCTCGGATGGGGGTTTAGTATCGGGCGGCCTTGTGGTGTCATTCTATGCTGTGTCCCCATAATGTGTTGATCTGCTGATCGACGTCGCCGCTCGTGGACTGCGCGCGTTATGCATGTATGTACGGTTGTTTAGTATTTCAGGAGCAACCATGAATGTCCATTCCTCGCGTTCAGGCATGCAAAGCGCAACTGAACAGATCCGTGAAAGTGTTTCAGTGTTCAGTAGGGAGCGACACACGCTCAATGTCCGACAGTTCGCTGCCATTGTACAGTCGTGCCGTTGCACGAGACAGAGACAAGGAGGAGAATGAGTACGGTTGCACTTCATCAATCGCAATATGTGTACACATACGAGCGCATTTCCACACGCTCCGCTTGGCTTCTGAACCTCCCACACTGTCTCCAACTCACAGAACGACCCCAGCTGACCTCCCTGGCGCCCTCCATCTCATTTCGAAGTTATTAGGGGTGCAACTAGTACACGTAGCGGAACTCGGGATTCTCCCTGCTGGTCAGCGAAAGATTACTGGATGGCTTCTTACCGGTCCGTGAGGTCGACCCAGACATCCTTCTCGATCTTGTTCGGCCGGCCGTACAGGCGGTCCTTCTTCGCGTTCTGGGCACGGTAGTAGCAGTAGAGGAGAATAAGGAGGCCAACGTTGATCGCAGTGAGAATGACCATGGTGAGAAGCGCTGGGGCGTATCGGGGGGCGTGCTTCGCACGGAAAGTCTGAGGCCCGATAAGCTGGCCGATGCAAAGGAACATGACGTAGCCGCCCGAGCAGACGGACTTCTTGGTGCGCCCAGCGACGTTGGTCGTGACCATTGACGTCGCAATGTACGTGGCAATACTGTTCCAGATACACCTGTGGTTAGAACAGCTGTCACCGCCTACTTACAAGTAGAATCCGGCCAGGCGCGCCTCCTTCTTCGCGAGCGGCAGTGCCCATAAGAGAACGCCACCAATAATGGACAGAGCAACACCAGTGCCGCTCACCAGGGTGCGACACTTGGCCTTGTCACCCGCCCACATCCAGAACATGGTTGCCGCACCAAGCGAGGCATTGGCCATGGTGAGCAGGAGAGTTTCAGCCGAGTTGTAGCCGATGCCCTTGACAATGAGAGCAAAGAAGCTGTCCCGTCAGCAGACCTACAGGATTGCAACGTACTTGACGAGACCACCGGTGGGAACATTTGAGCAAAGCGTGATGAGGGCGAGAATGTAGACCTGGAGGAATTAGTACGCGTCGTCCACCCTGGCTTACCTGAGGATCGGTGGCGACCTCGCGGACCTGGTACCACTTCCACTCCTTCTCGCCAATATGTTGCTTGTTCTCAAGAGTACGCCGGTGCGCGACCTCCTTCTGCTCGGGGGTAAGGAACCAGGCCTTTTCGATCGAGTCGGGAATTAGGAAAAGGAACAGAAGTCCGACGGTGATGGTCATGGCGCCGAGCCAGATGTAGACAATCCTCCAGCCCGCGAGTGCCAGCGTCCCCTTTTCCTGGCGGATGGCGAGCGCATACGCGACACCGCCGCCAAGAATGCACCCCCACGAGGTCATTGATCCCCACACGCCAGTCCGGGTGCCTTGCTCGTGAGGCTTGTACCATTCTGCAACGACCAGGAGGATGGCTGGCACCATGCCGGACTCGAAAATACCCAGAATGCTGTCGTCAGTTGCGTACGTAGACTCGCGCGTACAAGCGAAGACCGAGGAGGCCGGCATAGTTGTTCACAGCAGCTGTGCAGCCGACGGAGATGCCCCATACAATGATGTTGAACGAGGTGAACTTGGCCAGCGGCAGGCGCTGCAGACCATACACCATTGGAAACGTGCCCGCGAGGTAGCCAAAGTCTTGGCGTCAGCACATCGGCTCGTGCCGAAGGGTCCCGGAACTCTCACAATAGATTGAGGCTACCCAGCTGAACTGATCGCCCGTAATCTTCGTGTCCTTGAACAGGCCCATGACCGAGGCGTACGTAAGTGCCGTCTTGTCCAACTCAAGGTCAGCTGTTGCAACCACCACGGGGTCACGCGACTGTCTACAACTCCCACACCCCCAGCCCACCTACTCACGAAGTTCATGGCGTAGACGAGGCAAATGACTGGCATGATAATGCAGTCGGTCTTGCGGCGGACACGCCTTTCTTGAACGGGATCCAGCGGCATGGCTGCGGGGGCATTGGCATGCTCTGGATCCTGGCTTCCGACGTTCTCGAGGTGGTGGACGGCATCGCCACCCTTCTCGTCGATGGACTTGTCGTCGTGTGGAGTGTGAGCCATGATGTACTGGGCGTTGAGGAGCTTGCACTTCAACGTCGTCGAGTTTTGTGTCCTCGTGAAACGGCATCTGGTTTGTCAACTCCGAGATCGACACGTCGCGGTCCACTTGCGGTCGATCCGCGGTTCCGAACGCAGTTTGTGTTGCTGATCATGTGTTCCTCAAACCCCAGTCTCCCCGCTTGGCCCCATACTCTATGCGGAATAGAGGTGAGTGAGGCGGCCTGGCATTCGCATCCGAAGGGTAATTCCCGCTCCAGTTAAGGACCCGCGGACCCCGCCGCGCTCAATGTGCACTCAAATCGACCTCTGCCGCCGATTACCGTCCCCACGCATCTTACCTCATTCTTGCTGAGAACTGGGAGACAACTCAAATTACGGCAGAGCCACAGGTTTACGGCTGACATCATTCCTTCCAGACCGATCACACCGGCCTCGTGCCCCAGGCCAAGCAGACTGCACATCACGCGGAGCTATATTGGGCCTCGGTGGAGTCGACCGAGCGTTTACCACTCCCGCATGTGGACTGCGCGCAGAGCATCTGAGAGCTGGCGGGCACGAGACAGCGGTCATCTTCCCATGCCCATAGCGTTCATACAGGCCCGGGAAACAGCCTGGGCCTTTAACTCCTTGGTGCTAGGTACCCGAAATCCGTCGCTGAAAGGGTGCTAATCGCCGCCCGCTCTACATGGCTGGATGGATGGCAACCTTGTCAGAATGGCACGGCTTTGCGAAGAAACATCTCGGTCGCCGGCATTCCTCGGTTTCCCAACTGTGTACACGGCTGTAGACCGGCGCTCATTATAGATTGGTGTATATTCTGCATAGCGGGTGCCGGAGATCGGAGTTGCTCCTTTGATCTTTGCCTTGAGGAGATCGATCAAGCAGAGTCGCTACCATGGCCAAGGTCGAGATTTTGCTAGGTCACACGGCGCGTGCGCGTTCTCCTTCACATCATCCGCTCGCAATGCCGGCGGGCCACACGCGACACCCCAATGAGATAGAACGGAAGCTTACCGTACGATTTACCATGTGACGGATCGGCCTGGCTGAGAAGCTGCTGACTGTACTATCTAAGCTTCAGGACGTTAGGCCAACAGAACTTGCAACACAGACCGGGGAGGCGTCCTGTGAGTAGTTAGTCTTTGATGCCGTTCTCCATGTGCAAATCCCAGCCTTGCTTCAACACGGAGTTGCTGGGTGCCCGCAAGATTCCCAGGCTGGCAAGTGTGGAATCACTTTCACCATGTCGCAGGATTGCCGCTTCATTGCCACACCTGCACTCCAACAATCCACCTCCCGCATTCTTGTCGCACTAGCACTATTTCGAGCGCCTTGAGAATGTGGTTGCAGGATCTCTTCGAAGAGGGTAAAAGGACCGATGGTCTCGGTAAACTGCGCACGCTAGATGAGTGTGAGCAGGCGCTTGTACTTACGAGGCGGTAGCGCTCACGGCTGGATCTGAATTGCTGATAACATGAACGTTCTCAGTATACCCGCGTCGCGATGGCTGGGATTGTTTGTTATCGGCGGTGGCTTCTTTCAAACTGTATCACCCTGAAAGTTACGAGGTGCCGCGCACCGGAGGCGGCGAATCTTCAGCACCATATCTCGGCTTCGCAGAGTCTGGCATCACTTTGCAGCACCTTTGACGATTGGCCAGTTTTGCCGTTGGAGTGATGAGTCTTAGTACCCGAGATTAGATCCTGCCTCTAGGGTCGTTGTCCGCGAAGTACAATAACTTCCAATCCTTCGCCTCTAAGTGCCCTCCCAGACTCGCCGCGGCGCGTCAGCCATTGCGACGCCCAGTCAGCTGGTTCTCGCTAACACTGTGTTAGCCTCGCCTGGAGGATTGGCTGTGCTCCTTGGATACACTGTCTGTGCGCTACTACTGAACTGCGTTTCTCCGACGAGCACGATCAGGCTCCGTTCGCGGCGAATTTTATTACTTGCCTTACGGAGGTGAGTGAGACTGCGGATGGGTGATGGGAAGCAGTTACTGAATTGTGGGCCTGACTCTGTCATTAGCGCAAACCTCCGCTGCGCCGAGAAGTAGAGAGACTGAGGGCAGAGAGGCAACGTTAGGTTGGATGCTGGGGGTCGAGAAAGATGAACATACGGCTGAGCAGATTGGTTGGTTTTGAATTCTGGGCACCCTCATTGTAATGGTGGAAGGAAGGGCGCCAGCGCGTGTGAGGATTACACAGTCTACATGACAGGCTATACAACATCTGGTGCTATATTTGACGCGTGTTGAGGTAGATGACATGCCACTAGTCCGCCTCTGGGCCAAGCAATGCGTGCATGGACAGTTCATGCTCCCCAGCTCCATCCAACACACGACTTCAGCAGGACGGGCTAAATCTGGAGCCGAGCGAAAGTCTTCACCACCTGCGTGTCGACCGAGCCAGGATGGTGAGTTGATGTGCGCGCGGCCGAGCGAGGAGGTGGGGTGCCAAACTCGCCGAGGATGCGGACAATGTCAAGCTGGGGCCTAAAGCGAAGCGGAAACGGTTGGACGCTGTCACCCGGCCTGTAGAACCAGTCGGCCATGGCGCGAATCACGATCCGAATGCCTTTATGGGGTGGAGAGAGGTGCCCCTCGGACGCAGAGAGGGCAAGCGTCATGGCGATGTCAATAAGATTGTCGATCAAAGCACGCCACTGTCGAACAGTCCAACAGGGTGGCCAGCGCGTACAGGAGTCGTAGCGCGTAGCGGTCATCCTAAGGTCAGCGGAAATTGGAGTGGGAAAGGGGAAGGCTAGACTCACAGTTGGAGGACTTTGTCGAAGATTGATAAAGCGAAGCACCGATTGCTCACTGCGCGCCAGTCGCCAGAGCGAGCGGCAGCCTTCCATGCGCGTGTCGCGCGGCGTGCTCCCTCAGCCAGAGGAATCTTGATCGAGTCCGTTGGCTCGGGGACAGAGTCGCCGTCAAGCCAGATGTTGTATCGATTGCGCGGGAATCTGAGAAGGGAGGGGTGAAGGTCGGCGGCAGTGATAGGTTGAGGGTCCATGCGCGAGCTCATGGCCGTGGTGGTGATACCTGCCTAGCAAAGCGGGAGGAATAGCGTTGTAGATGTAGCTCGAAGTGTTGTGATTTCGATGGATGGAGTGAGAATGGTGGAATGATGAATTCGAGTCAAGTTGAGTAACCCATGGCGGTGGCGAGTTGGCTATGGCGCTGATTGGGACCAACGCAATCAGATCTGAATGGACTCCCCTCCTTGCCTCTTTTCTCTCTAGCCATATCGCCATCTGGCTCTGCTCTGAGATCGACGTCCTTACAAGTGCATGTTAGTAACTGGTGAGATGCAGTGAATAGTCTTCTCGCATGCCCTGAATAGGCCGAAGGTGGCCGGGAAAAGGACGAGGAGCCGCTGAGATTCGAACAGATGACCACACCGTTGTGAGTCGCCAGACCGAGAGCGAACGCCAGTGAAAGTGCCACACTGTAGCTCGACGTAGGACCATGCGTCTCTCTCGCCCTCTTCACAATCCATGACCGCACCAGTGCGCCGGTGTGACTCTTACCACCCTGTTGTTCACAGTGGTACCCGCGCTCGTTGACACCCATGTCCTCAATCCTCCTTACCCATCCCCATCTGCGAACAGCGTTCGATACATACTCGTCGCACCAGGGAGCCCTCGATCGATCATGCCCTTGATGCCGGGATGGCTCGCGGCCGTGCAAGACTCCGAGTTTGCCTCGCAGCTGCCACCATCCTGCCCCTCAAAGTTCCGTTACCCTCATCTCAATGAATCCCAACTGGAGAGCCAATTTGCACGCGCATACACCCCTGTTGCCGAGCTCATGTCGCCACACCGTTTCGACGTTGTCATGGCAAGTGACCAAAACGTTATATCCAAGTACATGTCATTGTCGTGACTCTGAGCCTCTTCGGCATTCTATGGTTCCGCATCTTATTCAAACATACCAACCCTGTCAGGCCCTGTGCCGTTCAGAAAGGCTGAGGCTGGGGAGTGGTTGAGCACAAAGGTGTCTGTACACCGGATGCCGCTCCACCACCCCGATGACTCGAAGTCGACAACTGTGATAGGCGTGCAATAAGACTATGATACTATGACGGGGTGAGAATACGACGAGTATCAAGAATTGGGGGAAGAGATTCTGAGGCGTCGCCGTATATGTGACGATACGATGTGAGCGGTGCCGACATGGGTACCGATCGGTACCGACGCCGTTATGAGATGTGGAGTGCCTTGCGATCGGGATGCGTGGTTATCGCGTGGTGGTTGCCACGTGGTCGACACGTGTAGTCGGTTGGTCAATAGTCGTTGTCGTTCGGATCGTCACAGAGGGCGTTGTTCAATGCCTGCGGGTCTGGCAGCAAGTACACCAAAGGAATGATATTATCAGCACCTCGCTCTCACTTGGGTCCTCTTGTTGAAACCAGTGACACCGAGCAAGTTGTGCACATTCAACTGGTGCACACTCCTCAACTGGTGCACACTCCTCAACTGACTGCTGAGCACAGTCAATGGGCACATGGAGGAGCTTGCCGATGGTATATAAGGCCAAGGCTCCCCTCTCCTGCGACACCCATGTTGACCTCACCTCGCTCTCACTTGGGTCCTCTTGTTGAAACCAGTGACGCCGAGCAAGTTGTGCACATTCAACTGGTGCACACTCTTCAACTGACTGCTGAGCACAGTCAATGGGCACATGGAGGAGCTTGCCGATGGTATATAAACCCATGTTGACCTTGCCACCCAGATCCAACTGTTCTTCTTTCAGCTCAGATTACTTGCGGCTATTGGGAGGCGCCCCCTCTCAAACAGTTCTGTGACCTTCACTGCTGTTAGGGCGCCACCTTCGGCGCCAGCAACATCGACCACGTGACCCACACGAGGTCTACGCCCAACGTCACGCCCATGCGGAACCTGCCCATCATGTGACTCAGCCTCGGTACTTCCGCACGACACGATACATCTGTACGGCTCATAGTATATATAGCGCTGTCGTTACTCAGTAACGACCAACATATGTATCTTCCAGTCTCTTAGACTTGCCCTCGTCGACGATGCCGTCGACGGCTGCCAGACTCAGGTACCTCACCCTACTGGGTGTGGTCTCTCGCCACGTGCTCCACCGACCACGGTTCAATTCATCTTTCAGATTCCACACACATCTCACCGCTTCTCAGGCCGTCCAGCGATGCTGCTCTCCCTCACAGTCTGGACGATGTGCGCGCCGATTATACCCCCCCCTCCACCGGCGAGCTCCGGTACCACGTTGGGCGCTTCTGCTCTTCCGTGCACCGCCTCCGTTCTTCGTTGGCCCTCGCCCTTAACCTCGGCCAAGTTTGAGCTGGGCTTTGTACTGAATGACAGCGATGCGTCAGAGGCGTAAACCCTCGCCATTGGGGGACTAAATACAAGCGGCACCAGGGGGCCTCGTGGAGCCGCGCAAATGTACTGTAGCTTCAGTCATCACGTCAGCTTGCTCGACTGTGGTCCCACTACCTGGAGGCATTCATCTTCCAATCACCGCAGGCGCAAAGCCTTGATGACAGCTGGATGAGGTGACTCGCATCTTTCCTATGGCGTACGCTCTCGACATCCCACGTCACTCCGCTCCAGATAGCCCTCCCTCCGGCTTGTCCGTCCAAGCAACCACTTCGCCGTGCGACAGGGGTACACCGACGCCGATGGGTCACTTTGCTATGGCCCCACCTGCAGGGTTTCCAATTCATGCTGCCCCATCCCTCAAGCACGTCTCAGATTGGTAGCTTCTCGCTTGACGTATGCCGTGCCCCCTTTGTAGACGTCATGAGCAGGACGGCTACACAGATGCCAGCACCTGGCAGAAGAGTAGGACCATGTTGCGCAGAACGAGTCGTCACCACATTCATCGACGTAAGAGCCGTCAATACGCGCAAGGCGTCTTCTGCTTGTGCATAGGGCATCTTGTTGAGACGGCCGGCCGACCAGGGAAGCAGAGTTGCATGCGTAGCTCGACCCACAACACTCCTGCAACAGAAACACTGCGGCGGACGCGTTGAATTACGCCCTTGAGGACTCTCGAAGTTCGGACCGACTCTATGCAACGGCCTTGTACCGCCACACACACGGAACAACATGCCACCCAGCTCACAGAGCGCAAGTGAAGTCATCGACTGTCTGCAATCCGTTAGCACTCAGACAGTATTACTGTAGCAGTCCACCCTGCCTCGACCTGCACCTACCATGCACACAAGTGCGCTGCCTCGACCCGATACCATGCTTACCGGATGCGTGTCGTGGCGCCACCTTCGGCGCCAGCAACATCGACCACATGACCCACACGTGGTCTACGCCCAACGTCACGTGCATGCAGAACCAGCTCATCACGTGACTCGGCGTCGGTACTTCCGCACGATACGATACATCCATACGGCTCATAGTATATATAGCGTCGTCGTTACTCAGTAACGACCAACGTATGTATCTTCCAGTCTCTTAGACTCGCCCTCGTCGACAGCATCGTCGACGGCTGCCGGACTCGAGTACCTCACCCCACTGGGTGAGTCTCTCGCCACGACAATGCGTCACTCACTCACTGGTCGCGTATCTGTATGTTGTGTGGGAATTCACGTGAATCTTGGCTTTGTTTACGTACCATGCCCCTGACCCCTTGCTTATTCCTCCACCATCCGGTCACTGGCTCTCCCCGCCATGTCCTGCCATACTCACTCTTATCAACAACACTTCAAGTCAACTCTGCATCGCGACTACCAGCGTCTTATGACAATCTCCTTGAGTGAGCACTCATAGTATCGTCTGCTCATTGCAGCTTTTGATCACCTGGCATACCCGCACATCATTGAGCGCGTCCTCGACTTCGCCGATGCGCGTACCCTCTTAGCATTCAGCCGCACGGCTCATGCGTACCGCAAGTGCGCCCTGACCGCGACGCGCCACATCGTGGTCGAGCGCCAGGGCCGCTCTCTCTCGATCCGGAGCTCGCGGGGCTCTATTGGCCGCGCATTTCCTCCTGGTACTCACCACCTCGTCGCAAGCGCGCATCTCTCCTCAGACACTTTCGCGCACACCAAGGTTATCGACTTCGTCGGCGCGACGGGAAAAGGTGCCCCACGTCCACTTCACGTTGTTCCCGCATCAGTGGTCAGAGTTATCGAGCGTAACGGCATCAGCAAGCACAACTATGCGCAGTATCCGTCCACGACTACGATCGTCTTCGGCAATCTGAGCTTGCGTTTTCCCAATGAGAGCACAATCCATTGGTCGGGACCGGGCGTTCCGCTTGGCTCGCGGCTGGTATGGAACGTGACGGGCTTGGGCTGCGGACAGTCGGTGGACAACAAACTCACGGATAAAAGGTTGCGCGAGGTCGTGCTCCACTTTTCGGCCTTCTACGGGAGGCTCTCTGTGGACCCATTCATACGGCTCCTTAGAATTTTGACCCATGTGGAGAAGGTCCACGTGTGGCTAGTAGGGTTAGACACCTTTCCACCGGGCGAGTTGACCTTTGAAGCGCCCGGTCTGACCAACGAAGAGGCATGGTCCTCCAGATTGCTTGCGCTGGGCCCAGCCGCGGACCGTCTCTCGTTACTCACCGCTCAAGCGTACAAGGTGGAGGTTGGAGGGGAGCAATACGAGCTTGAGACGGTCGAGGAGCTATGGTGATCGGATCGGTGCAATGGGACTGTCCTTGCCTCGTGTAGGCAGCAGTATAGTTGCAGGAAACAGTTCAAGATGTATGATAGCCATGCAGCTTTACCACCCTGTCTGCAGGCTGTGCTGAACGCAAGAAATCAAGGAGGCGGGGCAGGATGGTGCTCGGAGCGACAGACTGCCCTGCCACACGCGCGGCTGAGCTTCGCGTACCAGTTCAGCGCAGTACGTCTACCTCGTCAAGTGCCCCCGCCTCGGGGCTGTAAAATGTGGAGCAGCCGCAGAACAACATTACGTGCAGGCCAATAAGATTGGCCACCAGTGAGTGAGGTACTGATACCATCTGCATCGATCCACGTTTACTTCCGCGCGGTGTTGGGCTTGCCCAGATTCTTTCCTGCCCATAAGAAGCACAACGAGGAGCTGAGAACACAAGAAGTCGAGGAAATGAGAGGGAAAACGGCGAGAACGAGAACTGAGGAAGGGAGAAGAGAATTACGGTGATCGGCGACCGGACAAAAGAAACCAGGGGGATAGGCTGAGAGGATCTGATCGACGCCGCGGGCGGGCGCAGATACGCCCGTTTGCAGGCAGATTGATTCACGTATGTTTGGCCATCGCTTACCAAGGAGAGTGAGTCACATATGTCTGGCTATCGCTTAGCATGATGCGAGGCCGCAGATTCCGGAATTGTGGTGCGATGGTGCGCCACATAGATCGAGAATCCTGGATTCGTTACATACCGCAAGTGCCACGCCCTTACCTCCTTGGTATCGCCTTCGCATTCGAGACGATTGCAAGGGATGTACTGGTCTCCATCAGGCATAGGGGTTATCGTCAAGCGGAGCTGCCCAGGCTTTGCTGCGGTCTGGATAATCCGATTTGATTTTGAACCGCTTTGCAGGAGAATCCTTGGCAATATGTTCTATGCTGGGGTCATCGTTGCAGTTGTTGTCTTCCGTTCACAAGTCATTACTCAAACTTGCTCCTTCAGGAATGACATTATTTCGCACCCTTTCCTCGAACCACTGTCATTAGATGCTCAAATCGTGCCCACCACACCCTGCGTCCCAAAGGAGAGGTCGCCTATGTCTTTGAGTGGCACTTATCATTCATGAACGACATAATGACGCCCCGCCTTCCAACACTAGCCTGCTAGACTTTAATCTTTGCCTCCAATCCCACCCACGATGGCGCTACGATGGCGCTGCACACGTTGAACACGGCAGACAGCTATCGCTCAGGCCGCTAACATACAGCGCCTCCGTCATGTTAGGATTACAACAAGGCGGGAAGCTGGACGGCAGGGATAGTGGAATGACTAAGCTCACTAACGGCACACCAGAATGCCGGAATGCCAGGTTCGGTCGCCAAAGGTGTCGTACATCACCCCAAATCCCTGGTTTTGCTCTCGAGACGATATTTGAATTTGCTGACGTCGGTGCATCGCTTTGTCAGCCCGTGTGTGATGACCGATGACCGCGACGCTACTGTGAATAATAGAGATAACCGTCATTTTAGCCACGTCTTCGATAGCCTTAGGACGGGTTGCTCGGAGCAACGCGTCTGTTGGGCATTGGCAACGAAAGGCTACTCGAAAGCCGAAGTTACGGCGAGATTCGAGGGGGAAAGGGGGGTAGGGGGTTCACACTCTCTGTAAAGTAACTATAGTTAAGGGGCGGGGCATCCTCGCTGAATGCAGAGACCACCGAGCTCTCACTTGCTGAAACCACGGTTTGTGACCCCGACATGGACGTGGCAGAAGTAACTACTGCTCGTCATACTTGTGGGCAGTGACGCCTTGTGACCAGCATGGTGACGAGAAGCGGGGGCGCCCATGTGCGGCGTTGTTGTCGAACGCGATCCGAGCGAGCTCGTCTCCCAGTGGCTGAGCCTGATTCACCCCAGCGGTAAGGCACAAACAGCGTCGTCGCCATGAATTCGTGCAGAGCGTTACGATAAGCACTGGAATTATGGGGACGGACATTTGGGGAGAGATTGGAGAATCAAAGCTGAACAATCATGCAATCAAGGGTGGAAGCGCAAACGAGAAGGAAGGGAAAGTATACACGAGAGTACGTGAGTGCAATGTTAGCAGCGAATGGCTGATCAAGCAGAAAGAAATGTGTGCGTTGAAAATGAATCTGGGGCAGAGAAATCTCCATACAGTAGCGCGTTCAGTCAGTAAGGCAAAAGAAGGTGAGGCGGAGGAACAGGCCGAAATGGGGTGAAGAATGGAGGTGGCGGTGCGTCAAAACACAGGACACAACAAAGTACCGAGATGGCGTACACCCTACCTGATACCCTTCACTCCCGCGGTCGCCCGTTGCACACGGCCTAATAGCGTGTATATATAGACCGACGAGCATCCACTGCGTTTCCTCGCTTTACTTCCTTACCACTCCTATGAGCGACAACAAGACTAACAACACGAGTGGCACCATTGGTGGCCCAAGTCGGGCGATGACTCTCAAGCCCTAGTTCAATCAAGACCGCCCCATGCCCATCCAATCGATCAGAATGATACACGAATGGTTGTGCAGTTGCCAGCGCATCCCGTCACCATCGACCACATGGCCTTCCCGCACATCATCAGCGCTATTCTTGCGAACGTCAGCAGTGAGACTCTCCTCGCCTTCCGCTGCACGTCAACGCTCTACGCGGACCGCTGTCTCCAAGATCTCGGGCGGCACATTGTGGTAAAAGCTGCTAAGCGCGACGCATCCATCGTGATCACATCGCCACGCAGCACACTGCCTAGTCTCCGCCACTCATTGTTCCAAGAGCTGGAGCGCCGGATGGTGGGCGGCGACTGACTCATCAAGGAATGCCGCATCTTTGACATTTGTGGACCTGCTGGGGCAAAACAGTCTCGGCTCGTATCCTTTCGCCTGCAAAGCTTAGAGGTTCTCCGCATCCTCCGGAGCATGGCACGCTCTACACGAAGTACAGTGACCACACCCATTTTCTACAGGCTGTAATTGTCTTCAGAAACATGGCGGTCCCTCCCGAGAGGGACCTTTGGGATGATGAGCCCTACTTTTGGGATGGACCGTCTCTACCCCACTGCCATCGGCTAACATCACATCGTTTCACGCTCAGAACAACTGGGGCAAGTTCGTTTTCCCCTAGGCAAATGCCTCGTCTGGCAGTTCTACACTTCCGCCAGTTCCGATCTGGTACAACGCTCGAGGACACACTCGACAGCCTCAAAAGCGTCGTTCAATACGTGGTGATCTGGGGGCGCACCGTAATGGTCAAGGTAGTAGGCTCCTCAAAGCAGTTAAGTTCCGCAAACCGCATTCTAGGAAAGCTGCTGGAATGGAAGCAAACGATTACGTGCAGCAGCAAATCAGCATGGAGCTCGGCGACAAGGCGTCTCATATCGTTCCTGACTCCCAAAGAATACTGCGCGGAGCACGGAACGTGGCAGAATTGTCTTTAGACTTGCCAGCAGCTGTAGTAAGCCAGCGAAAGCAGCTGGGAAGAAGGGTGAGAGACTTGCCGGATCTTTCAACAGGGACTGACAGCAGGGCGCTGGTGCATTAGTATTATGAATGAGGAAAACGCCCAAAATTGTGAACTGTTCGGAAGCTGAAGAGAAGGTTGCGAGCGCAGTAGACCCTATCTGCTATTTGTTGAATGACTGGGAGGTGCCTCAGTGTTATCGGCGGGCGTCTAGATCACTGTACCGCTTCCTGTAATGAACGCTGTTGATGGCGAATCCATACAAATATCGATTTGTGGGTCTGCTGCATGCATGATGTTCTGAGTGAGGTCTGACATATCACCGCTCTCTCATTACCTCCCACACCAGTTTTCCAGACCCCTTTCACTTCAAGTCCAACTGGTCGTGACACCAGCCAAGTGGCACTTGTCATTCCTATAAGAAGAGAAGGGTTCGATTGGCGCCAAGCTCGGCACATCGGTCGCCGACGCCAGGCGCCTTCACCTTCTGCGAGAAGTCTCCTCGAGAAGAGATCGGCAGGACGAGGCGGGCAGAGCACTAAGGCAATGGTTTCAGCTGAAGAAGAGGACAGATTCATAGCCACGAGGATCAGAAACGGAGGTGAGCTGCGAAGCCCAATATTGTTGAGGGCGTCACTGATCTGAACGCCCCCCCAAGTGCGTGCATTGCTGTGCGGGGGAATGTAAGAGTTTTGGTGCGTTCTGAGGTCATTGCGGCCCCTTACTGCGGTCATGAGCGCATCACCGCTTGAGACACCCAGTTACATATAGTACGTCACCCGCACAGCCCAGGGTCACAGATCTCAACGTGAGCTCCAGCAACTCCTCCTCACCCAACTGTCGCTTCACGCGCACATGTCTGAACAGCGGCCCACTCAGGTCGCCAGTGGCTCCAGTCAGCCGGCGATAACCCAAGGTATACTGTTTGGTGAGAGTGTTGTGCTCATCTTCTTAGGCCCGGTCATTGACCACCTTGCCTACCCACACATCATCGACAGTGTGCTCGCGCACGCCGATGTCAAGCTCCTCCTCAGATTTCGCCAGACTGCCACAAAGTATTCAGCGCGCTGCATTCAAGCTATCGGGAGCCACCTGATTGTGGGGTCGACAAACTCATCTCCTCTAGTCCTCACATCTTCCCGCGGCCCCCTTCCCCGACTGTCCGGCCTCTCCCCCATCAGCTACGCGGAGATTGAGCGGCGTATCGACAACAGCCAGTGGCTATACACCCACTGCCGTATCCTCGACTTTCACGGCCATACCGGGGCCAAGTGCCCCCCATCCTTCATCGGCGCGCTCACCAGCCTGCGCGCCCTCCGCATTATTTTGGTGCAGGACCTGTACACCAATCACGGCCTCGACAATCTCACTATCCCGACACTCGTCGTGTTTGGCCCGCTTCCCGGCTACGATCGCTCATACCACCGTCTGTATCTTTGGGAAGGGCCGTACCTCCCCAAGTCCCATAAGCTGGCTTGGGTAGTAACAGCACTCTCGAAGCGCGTCCGTTCAGGGCCGCTGACCTTCCCGTTTGACGTACCCACCAGCGTCGTCCTTCATCTGCGCCACTTTCGGCTCTTCTTTCAAGTCTTTTCCAAGCCCGACGACACCCTTGCCTGCCTTGGCATGATCGTACATGAGATCTTGCGGCGACATGCCAGCACAACTGTCAAAGTTGTGGAGCTGGAGGCCATCGCTTTCAACAATGGAAGTGGCCCAGACCTCGACGAGTGTAAGGCAGGTCTCCTAAGGATCGTCGATCAGTACACGTCACGCCTTGTCTTCATGACCTCCCCCGAGTACTGTGCGGAGTACGGCGCTGAGCAATACTGTATTGAGACTTGTGAGAAGCTGTGATGAATGATACATAAGGGCTCGTAATGATTGTTTTAGTCACAATAAATTAGCTCACTCGGGTCGTATGTCGGGTTCGTGATGGTGAGAGTGACAACAATTAGAGTTGAGACTGATATCCCGTAAGTGACCTCCTAGAAGACGGTGTGGTGCGATCCAGGTGTACATACTTCTGCCTTAATGGGATGGACGCCTCTCTTACTCTCGGGTCCCTGAGAGAACTGGCTATGACGGCTCTCATCTCGTACTGGGGCAAGTGGCTTGCGTACAGATCGCGAAGTGTCATAGATCTAGATTTGTTGCAGATCAGAGTCAACATAGATTGCATTGGTGTACTGGCGCTGAATCACTGACTTCCAAAGTCACTCTTCCGTTTCCGAGAGGTTTGCTCTCTAACGCAACCGCTGGTTAGCTTTGTGTCGTAATGTTCGCACTTTGTATGAACATACGACGACGATACGTTGACCGGGCGCATTCGGAGCTCCGCTCATGGCTGCGCCCCGCCTTTGTTCCTTGGGCTTCCAGAGACACCAGTGTCATTGACTTGGACCTTTTTAGCGTGGTACAGTCGATGGTAGCTTTTGCCCTTCCAACATGTTCTCAGCTGACTCAAGACGCATCCTGAGCACAGATTGCGCGCTGCAGTCGTCGGCGGACGAGGGTAGGTACAACTATCCACGCTGTCGCTAACAATCAAGCCTTTGGCAAGGTCATCGACCACCGATCGTATCCGCACATCATCGATGCAATTCTGTCACACGCCGAGGCACAACTTCTGCTCAGTTTTCGCTGCACATCCTCAGAGTACTCCGAGCGCTGCTTGCATCTCACTGCCCGCCATTTGCTGGTGTGTGGCACCCCGACATCTCTCCGAATCAAGTCAGCGCGTGGCGATCTGCCCCACTTCATGGGGGAATGGAGACCTTCCAAGCTGCGAAGCTACCCCTGGCTCGGCAGCTGCCATCTCCTGGATGTCCGCAGCAGAAGCGGACCCATGGCCTCCGAGATCCTCGGCCCTGCCCTGAAGAACCTCCAAGTCCTCCGCATTCTCTCGGGCTACGGACCTTATCACTCTTACAGCTTGGGGCACTACTCTGCCACTGTTCTGGTCGTCTTCGGCAGGCTGCCCGAATACGATCCGAAGACCGACATGTTCTACCTCTGGCCCGGCTCTCTGCTCCCCCGCTCCCGCAAGATTGTCTGGACGGTTTCCAGCATCTCCTCCCGCCTCCCACTTTTTTTGGGCAGCAATGTCTCACCATACACTCACCAAGTGGAGGACGCGACGCTGCACTTCCGGTGTTGTGAACCCACCCCGGATCCGGACGGTATGTTCGCACATCTCGCGGGCATTGTGTCCGACATTGTCGAGTACATTATCTCGAACATCTTGACGATCGTAGACCTCGACCAGGTCTGGACGTGCACTCCCCTTTCTGCAGGGCCGCTGGAGGACTTTCCGGAGCGTCGGCTTCGGCTTCTTGACCAGCTTGGGCCCCTCTCTGCCCGCACGAAGTTTATGACGGGAAAGGAGTATAGCCAGGCATACGGCGAGGAGCAGTATCGTATCGAGACCTACGAATGACTGTGGGTCTGCACTGTACCAGAGTGGCCAGGCAACCTTCGGACTATAAAGTATTGGGATGCATCCAGTTGCTGGACGTCATGACCCGCGGAACTAAGAAAGTGGTAAGCATGCTGCCAAAGGCACGAAAAGAATCCGTTTGACGTCATCATGTGGCACAACGCCCCCACTCTCACTCCTTGCGCCCCGCTCCATTCTCGATTGTGATGTTCCTTAACTCGATGTGCAAGCCACCCAAGCGCCTGTGTGTAGACATTTCTCAGCTGCCTAATGGCTCCGCGGCGTGGGGCAGTCGAGCCGTGGCGCCATCGGCTCACCGTGAGAGCATCACATTGAATCTCGCTACTGCCACAATCCACACCTCACTACCCAGTACGCTACATTTCCGCCAGCCGGTGACCTTTGCGGCAGGGCTAACCACAACACCTCCCTGCTCCTTATACAGGTTCCCCGCGCTGAGATGTTGATGGCCTTTAAGCACATCTATGGTTACCAGGACGAGGAAGCCGAACAACCCGGGACACTGCCCGCCCTGATGGTTGGCAGCACGACCTTGGCCTTGAGCCGATCTTCCGCTTCGTTTGAGTGGGGAATGGGATGTGTGGCGTTGTCCCTGGGCTTGTTGGACTTCCACGCAAGAAGCCACCCAACCTCGAGTTGGCTGAGGGGGACGTCCACGCTAGGGTATTGGGTGCAGCACCATAGGGCACAGCAGCCGCCCATGAATACGCCGCCGCCTCTACCAGGAAGTTGAGACCTGATTGAAGCGTAGCATCGATTTCGGAGTCGAGGTTGTTGCTCTTGAGTCTGATGATATCGAAGCTGTGCTTCAATCAGGTCTCAACTTCCTGGTCTCAGGTTGTCTCTCCGCAAATGGACAGTGGCATAGAAGACGGTACCTGTTAGATAAGCTTCCTTAAGCTGGTTGAAAACTTTATCAGGGAGTGGTTGGTACTGTTTGAGTTCGCAAACAGCGCTGAGGAGGGTGGGCCACGGATTCATAATTATGGCGAAGTCGGCGAATGCAGCAGGCTAAAGCAGCGGGAAAGGCCGCGGCCATAGGGAATGTGTGACGATCTGAGCAACAACAAGCACTGAACACCAACTACATATGTCGACCATGTGGCATCACCTGTGTGACAACCATGCATCCTGATCACAAGGTTCTGACAGTTTATTACTGCATCGGCACCATTCAGCACCCACATCAGTACTGCCCTGTCGCATCGTCACATATACAGTGATGTCTAGGATCCTGTGACAATCCGACTGACAACGACCCCCAAGTAACTACAACATATGTCGACCACATGTCACCACCCATGCGGTAATCACACGTCCTGATCATGGGACACTCCACAGTTCATTACAGTGTCAGTACTGATTGGTACGTCGGTACTGTCCACATCCCATTCGTTGTGCTCGTCGTCGGCGTCAAGCTCAAGCTCAAGAGACTGCTGCTGTGGAGGAAAAGCAAGGGCATGACGCGATGACGCGGCGGTGGAGGTGATCTGGGATCGAAGCGGGAGCAAATGGCTGGTCGGACTGAGTCTGACTCGATCGGGACATAGGGCATTGACGTTTCGATCATCCGCTTCACTCGCACCTCCACCACTGCCAGTGGCGTGCACCACCGTGCATGGCGTTGGCTCATTCTATCTATACACCTACGGCTAGACGACAGCAACATACACTGGACATCGGAAGAACGCGCATGGCTCAACCACGGAAGACGAACAGGCGAGTGAGACTGTCGGAGAGAGAGACGGAGTTCGGGCTTAGAGGCTGGGCGCGTACCGAGGTAGCTGGTGTGGATGTCGGCGGCAACCGTGCCGTAGTCTTCGAGAGAGACAACGAGATGCGCGGTTGGGAGCGTGGGCTAGTGTCAGGCCCTGCGCCGTTCGGAAAGGCGGAGGCTAGGGAGTGGTTGAGCACAAAGGTGTCCGTACACCGGATGCCACTCCACCACCCCGATGACTCGAAGTCGACAACTGTGATAGGCGTGCAATAAGACTATGATACTATGATGGGGTGAGAATACGACGAGTGTCAAGAGTTGGGGGAAGAGGTCCTGAGGCGTCGCTGTATATGTGACGATACGATGTGAGCGGTGCCGACGTGGGTACCGATCGGTACCGACTCCGTTATGAGATGTGGAGCACCTTGCGATCGGGGTGCGTGGTTATCGCGTGGTGGTTGTCACGTGGTTGACACGTGTAGTCGGTTGTTCAATAGTCGTTGTCGTTCGGATCGTCACAGTACCCCCCCTCGCAAGTCTCGAACTCCGTGAGAGGGGAAAGATTGACGTACGATGTGTGGTAACGTCATCACAAGTGTATGTGAATCGTTGAACAATGGGCGCAAGTGGGGCGAGCTCGTCGCTACTTCCCGAAGCGGTAGAAAATGATTGTGAACGACGAGGATCGTAGTGGCGAGACCGTCGTGTGACGAACATGATTGTCGAAGCGGTGCGGGCGTTGTGTTGAGCGGTGCGAGCGTGTCATGCGACCTTGTGAATTCACATGCGCCCTCTTGAGGTGGTGTTGTATATAAACGAGACCGTTGTCGTCGAGTTCCGCAACATCCCACCTTTCCTTCGCTTCACCATTCAACTTTCGTGATACCTCACAATGTCTTCTCCTTCTCCCGTTACTCCCTCTTCGCACGCTTCAGCCAAGGTTGTCGTGAGTTCTCCTGACTTCGACGCTGACGTTTGCCTTCGGTTGACACCCCTATTGACGATATTGATGACGGTACCGAGGGTTCGGTTTCCACTGATCACAACGGTGATCGCGACTCCGAGTATCTCCCCTACGTAGAAGGGAGCTCTACCGTGGAGAAGGATGGTGGTGTTGATTCGTCGGAGAAGGAAATCGCCATCGGTTCAAAGGCGAACCCCATTGACATCGATGACGAATATGAGTTCGAGACCATTTCGTTCAAGCGCAAGAAGGGTACGAGCGTTTTCGAGCCCCTCCCCGCCAAGGTCCGTCGCACCGAGACCGATTCGGACGCAATCGAGGAGTCGCCCAAAGGCA